TATCCTCTAGCATCTGCATGTATGTGCACGAGTGTCGGGAAAGCATCAAATTCACGAGCTATAGCTTCCAAATCAGCCCTCACAAACCCCTGCTTGACTAGTACAGAAGCATTTTTGATGTTCTCAAGTCTCAACTCAAAGAAATTCTCAGTTGACGTATTCCAAGCACCGAGCATGGAATCATCACTTCCTAAACTCTTGACAAGATACCCACGTAACACATTCACAGCATGATCTGCAACATCCGTTACACCCAACGCTCGAGCAGACTCTGCCAACTGCGACCATACGAGCGGTATCGGTAAACTATATCCAGGAGATGTTCCACAGCTGACATCACTAACACCACGTCCAATCATGGTACCTGCATCATCGAATGCAGCGATACTGAAACAGTATCGGCGGTTGGATTCAAGACCACATATACTCAACGTGGTTGCAGATTCTTGTGCTTTACGAGATTCGCCGGTGCCTCTATACATTGTATCTGATATACAGACGCGAGGGCGTGGTTGTGAATGTGGCCATGGTTTACAAAATACTTGGTAAAACGACGGGACACCAAGTGTTGGTGGCGGTATTATCGGTCGAATGGTCACAGAGTCTTGAGTTCGTCTCACGAATAAGGGTGCAGACAATCTAGCTATATCCTCCCTCCTGTTTCGGACAATGGCAGACTGTGATTCTTCAGCCCACCTCTTTTCAGTCGCGGTAGCTGACTCTAAATACGTGACTACGTCTCGTAACATATTTATTCTTTCTTGAGGTGGTGGCGCTTTAGCATCTGTAGCTCGTGATATCAAGAATATAGCACGAAGAATCATATTATCACCACACATATCAGTCAATTCCTTTTCAGTCGGTTTTCTACCTGTGCTTAGCGGAATCGGCAACGTACGACGTTTCAAACGAGCATCAGCATCCTCTCGTGCTCGTTTTTGTGAAAAATACGAGGTTTCAATTTTACGGATTTGTAGTTTCTGCCATTTGCGGTGGGCCATGACTTGTACATCCGCCAAATCACGACGTGAAGTCAACACGAGCTCGTCAGCCAAGGATCGTACAGATGAATCAAGTATGAAATCTTGATTGATAGTCTATGAGAGTTGAGGTGTTAATTTTGATTTGACAGTAAGAATGTGGAAATTGGAAAACTGAAAAGAAAAGCTAAACCAGCTCGATCTATAGCAATCCTCTCAACTCACCGAAGCACCCAACACACCAGCAGATTCCCCCGTAGCAGCTCGTGCCTGCTGCGCCAACGTAATAACATTCTCTAACGCTTCCTGAGCAGCAGCTAATTCTCCTGACGCCTCAAAAGCACCAGCCAGTCTCATTTGCATATCAGTAGCAAACAATGGATTCGTCTTGGCAGCTTCAGATGCCGTAATAGATGCAGCACGGAGCGCCATAGCTGCTGGTGATGTGATATCAATATGATGACCAGCCAGGATTTGTGAATCCACTGCTTTCCATAGAAGACGAGACACGTCTGAGAAGAGAACTGGATATCGTTCTTTGAGTCCGGGGACTTCGAGGGCTTCAGAGCATGATGCTATTATGTGGCCGAGAGCTTCTTGTGTTTGGGGTGATATTTCACTAGACCTGCTACTTCCATACGAGAGATTCGAATCATCGGAATCATGCACATTATCTGATCTTCGGTCTTCGTTATGCATAGATTCCAGTAACGATATCGCACATTGCCGTAACCGTATTTCAGCAACTACTTCCATAGAACCAGCTACAGCTAGCTTTTGCTGTGATGGAAAAGCTCTTTCAAGAGACGAAGCAACAGTCTTGACTCTAGCCCACTGTCGTTTCAAATAAAACGCACGACAGAGAATCAAGATATCAGGTAAATCGAATCTAGTAAAGCAAGAATCTGATGAGAACTTGATGGCAAAAACCAGGCAGCCTACTTGTCATTACCTGGTTATTTGGCCAGGGGCGGCTGTTGGCGGTGGCGCTTGAGTACCGACTGCAACAGCTCCTTCTCCACTTGCTGATGCAGACGAGTCTCTAGACATTACAGTCCCAGTATACACATCTCCAGCTAGTATTCTGTTCGCCCGTTCTTCAGAAAAGGGTGCTTCAGGTTCAGATATAATAAGTTCATATGCCGAATCCAATAATTGTCCTAACACACGATTGTCCTCGATGAGTTTACTCTCATCCAACACATCAGGCACAAGACTATTTGGCTCATTTAAATCCAAAAAGGCCAGCACGGTAGTCGAAATAACCTTCATACGTTCGAAATCCGTCACGCATGATTTCATTGCCGTCATTACCTCAGACACGACTTTACGATCTTCTTTCTGCTCTTCTGTTTCTTCTCCCTTTTTACGTCTCACTGTTGTAATGGAGATCATGCCACGTTCATGACGACGGGTTGAATCAGCTAGTGATGCTGGAGCGACTGATTTATGATGTTGGATGGATTCCTTGTCCTTGTCCTTGGTATTAAGAGTCACAGACGGGCGTAAATCAAAACTGACTCGAGATTTACCCGACATTACAGATGCATTATCATCATCTATTCGTTTGATGTTGTTGGTATTGTGACGGACTGACGATGCTCGAGTATGCGAATCTTCCATTGTCGAAGCAGGAATAGTCTGTAAAGCCATAACAGACAGCTGTCTCAACTTGTGGGAAGCTCCATGTGAATCATGGATTGACGACACAGATCCAGTATAACTTGTGGCATCTTCCTCTTCTCGAAGTACAGGTAGATTCAATTGTGATGGTGGTATTACGGGTATTGCAACATGTTCCAGCCCTAAAGTATTACTATTGCTATTTTCTTCGGCTGATGCTTTAGCACCGCTACTGCCATCTGCAATCCCATTAGCCCATGTCGCTAATTTCAGATGGTTTATGGCGGTTTTGATGTTGGCTTTATATGCCTCTGAAATGGGCCCATCGCCAGCAGCTAATGTCTCATAATGAAGTGCACGTTCAGCAGCTTCAATGCCCTTGGAAGTAATAGATTTGATTTCTTGTGGTGGCGATTCTCGTAATCGGCGTAGACATTTAATGGAGCGAAGACGCAGATCTGTTCTTTGTAATACATAGCTTGCTCCTTGTAGGGCAGGAGTCGTGTCCAAATAGCTTAGTGCCATGGTCAAAGTATTATTAGCCTAGGTTGAAGCAAATTGTGAGCATTGGTGCTGTTGTCTGAGAATGCAACAATTTTTTTTTTGCATCCAACTACACAAACCTGGTGATACAACTGCCTTTTCTCAAACAGTAGAGCACATCTAGACAGCACATCACAAGCATCCAACACCATATCTGCCTCTCCGCGTAACGACGCTTGAGAAAAATCCTGCAACATGGAATGCAATTGTGGAAGCACCCCGTCCTCAATAACCTTTATACTAGATACATCTCTACCATCTGAGTCCAACTGTAACAATCCCCACAGATCACACTTGACGAGTCCTAATCGTGCTCTCAGCAACAATGCAGTTCTCAAATTTACAGATTCCGGAGACGTTGGCCGATTCGTGACAACCTTTTCAGCAGCGGAAGCGATACTACAAGCCAATCCATTATCCCTAGCCCATATAAAACAGATTTCTTTTGCAACCACAATGATATCTGGTACACGGTCACTGGATTTCAGCAAACGTTCTCCAGTGTGAATGGCCAATTTCAGTGCTTCGTCGATATCCAGTTCGTGTATCGAGTCTAGACCTGCAGTGATCTCGGTTATAGCCAGCCTTCGTTGAGCGGGGGTCAAGAATGAGCGTGTTAAACGTTCAGATGCATCATTCACGTCTCGTGCATATCGAGCTGTTAATGCCTCGGGTTTAAGTCTGGTAGGAGATAGAGAGGGCGCAGTGACTTTTGGAGACTGTAATGTTGGTAGAGACGGGAGTTGAAGTGACCTCCTTGCAGGAGAAAGCCTTGGTTGAAGCATTTCTAGTTTGTACAAAGTTTGTTGGATTGAAGGCGGCAAGTGGTTAGCATCCAGTACAAGGCGAATCATTGAGTTGAAATACCTGTATTTACCAGAAAGTATCCTTCTTCGTACTTTTTCTACCAGAACAAGACCCCAGCGTCCTTCGGTCAAGTTTTCTGAACGTTTTTGAAGTGCAATACGCAGTGAGGGTTTGAGACTAGATCGTCCTAGTTCCAACACACGAATACACATAAAACGGGTGTATGAGCGTATCTATGCAACAGTTTACTTGAATATCTACATTACAAACAGCGCGTGTGTACAATTGCAAGTTAGCAAGAAAACCGACATTATGGTCCTCCGTCATTTGATCTTTTCCAACAACTTGTCCAGCACATTAGCCATAACAGGCTGTCCAGTCTTTTTGGTCCTCTTTAGTTGCTTATGGCGTTCCTTTTCTCTCTTGGCATAGTATTCAGCTCTACCCTTCTCCTTGACTTCTCTTGCACGTTGAGATTCAAGTATCTTTTCGTCTCGCTCCTTTTGCCTGCGGTCACGTTCTTCCAATACTTGCTGGAATGAGGATACTCGTCTATTTGTTGTAGAGCTATAGTAAATAATGTCAGTATGTGACAGCGAAAAACAAGGACAGCTCTGTTGATGTCAATACCTCTTTGCAGGAATTGTGATTGGCTCTTCGTGATCCAGCTCAGTCAGTATGGGCCCAGCAGCCTCAGGTTCACGTTCCAGTAGCTTTTTATACTCTCGTCTTATTCTATAATCCTTGTATTCGTCGTTTTTGCCCAACGGAGTTGTGTTTGAACCAGTTCCAGCCTGTTGTCTCTTCTTGTACTGGTGCTGAGTATCCTTGTATGGATGTGGCCTATGGCGATGCTTCGAATTGTCTCTTCCACTCATCGTCCGTATATATCTGTGATCGATCTTCTATGTCGCAATTATTGTTGACAGTTTGCAAAAAACGTGAAGAAAGAAGCTACATTCCAACTTTGATTATAAAACAGTACAGGAGAACTTAGGCATCGTAACAGACGCATTAAATTAGTAGCCGACCGCTTACGGGCTCAAGATGTCTTCTCCTTTAGATACTCTTGGTAAGCTCCACTTTTGTTGAACATGCAAACATCTGGCCTTTTCACACAAATCACTAACCTTGGATCTCGCCCTCGCTCATAGAACATATGGAATCGCAACCTGAGAACCCATTCGCTGCATTCGTAGACAATCAGTTGATTGCAATACTCCCAACATTCACTCTCGAAAACGGTGTCCAGATTCATCAGGCTCCCGTCGCATACAAGACCTGGGGACAACTAAATCAAGCCAAAGATAACGCCCTTGTTATATGTCATGCCCTGTCGGGCTCTGCTGATGTGGAAGACTGGTATGTGCTGATTGTCACATATATCGATGACACACATGTTATTGTGAACAGAGTGTCTTTGTGGTCGATACACGTCGCAATTGGATCCGCGATACGGACATTGATTCATCTTTGTCTATCCTAGGTGGGGCCCGCTCATAGGGCCAGGAAGGGCTTTTGATCCTGAGATATTCTTCATATTTTGTGGAAACATGTTTGGATCGCCGTATGGGTCTGCTTCTCCAGTCACAATGAATCCCGAGGTCGGAAAACCATACGGGCCAACATTTCCTCCTACTACCATACGTGACGATGTTATGTGCGTAGATAATGTGAATCCAGCAACCAAGAAAAGCACTCATATTGTGAATAACCTTCATAGGGCTCATAAAGTGATACTGGACTCGTTAGGTGTGAAGACTATACAGTTTGTTGTAGGTGGCTCCATGGGTGGAATGGCTGTATTAGAATGGGCAATGTTTGGATCAGACTATGTGAAGAATATTTGTCCCATTGCTACATGTGGAAGACATTCTGCTTGGGGTATTAGTTGGGGTGAAGCTCAGCGGCAAGCCATTTACAGTGATCCGAATTACTGTAAGAGGCAAAAAAACCAAGATACAATCCTGGGTGATGATAAATGGCTAACTTCTCTTTCTACATAGGTGATGGATACTATTCACATGACAAGCCACCGAATACTGGCCTAGCAGCTGCTCGCATGTCTGCCCTCTTAACATATAGGTCACGGCATTCATTCGAATCTCGATTTGGCCGAAAGACCATGCAGCCAAAACCATTATCGGAGGAATTAGGTCAGAGAGCTGAATCTCTTTCGCAGTATGAAACTGCTGCCATGTATCATAATGAGGGCAACAAGATCCGGCTGCATTATACTAATGGTAAAGGTCGGCCTGCTACAACCTCAGCCAGCAACTCTTCGGCTTCTGCAACAACAACGTCAACCGGTAACGGCAATAGTACAGCTGGAATGGATACCGTACAAGCCATAGAGGGCGAAGCTACGGGACTATCATCAGATAAACCTACAAATAATAGTACTACTAGCAATAACAAGAAGGACGATACTGCACCACCAGCAGTATACTCTGCTCAGAGTTATCTGAGGTATCAAGGAGACAAGTTTGTGAAACGGTTTGATGCAAACTGTTATATTGCCATAACTCGTAAAATGGATACCCATGATGTGGCTAGAGATCGAGGCATGTCGTATGAGGAGGCTCTTAATTCTATAGTGCAGCCTTCACTTGTTATAGGTAAACGTGGTTGTGTTTTGTGTTAGTGTGCAAGGAAGGCCAAATAACCCCCCATAGAATACTCACCTATCCTCGTAACAGGTGTCGAAACAGACGGGCTCTTCACAACATCGGAACAATACGAACTAGCAGAACACCTACCAAACAGTGAAATCGTTATTATCGACTCGTTTGAGGGCCATGACGGTTTCTTACTCGAGTTTGATCAAATGAATCGACATATTGGAGGGTTTTTCAGGAGGAAGGCACCCGAGTTTTATAAGGAACATGAGGCTATAGTGCTGACTGCTGAAGAAATGAAGAGTAAGGCTAGTAAGACGGGGGAAGCGGAGGGGGATGTGTTGATGTGGTGACAGTGAACTGGGCGCAACACTTGCATATTTCCAATAGATATTTTTTTTGTTCCACACGTACAGCGAGAGGGGCTTACATACGTAATCGACGCGTTCTTAAGCTCTAGCAGCCTTCACCTGTACGTGAATATCGTCGTGTTTTTTCTTGTTGAAAAAGACATCACATACAAACGTGAGTGATGAGGGCAACAGCCGTACTACTAGGAGCCTCTAAGCGAGTACTGACCCCCAAAGATGGAAACAAGAACTTTTACAAGGGTACGTAAACCAGCTTTTTCGTAGATTTTGAATGTTTTGAACGAACTCGCATTCTGACGATTCATCTAATCATGTAGGCACGGGAAGTGGTCGTATGGGTCATTTTGTGAAAGGAGGTAATGCCTATATATAGCTGCTAGTGGTTTGTATCTCGTGAAGCTGTTTACCAATGACATCTTCACGTTTTTTTGTTGTATAGGAAAATACGTAATTGATGAATGGAGGCTACGAACATTCGTCGTGCCAGAGAATTTAGGCAACTTTAAAGTAATTTGCTTTCACTTCGTTCGCCTAAACTTTCACCAAAACAAAAAAAAAACCAATCCAACTAACTCTAACTGATGAATATAGCTCAGACCATACATATCCCCCTCCACACCCAAAAAGACAACAATCGACACATGGACAGACACACACTCTGTCCTCGCATACTTAACCCCATCCTCAATCCCACAATCCATCCTCGCCGCTATCCCAAACCAGGACGAATTCGTCGCACGGTGTCGAGCAATCGCCACACGAGATTTAGAATTGATGAGAGCGAGGGTTAGTGATCCGACGAGGGGGATGAAGAAGTGGTATTTTGGACCGAGGGGGAAGAGGTTGCCGCAGTGGTGGCATGCGTGGAATCCGGATCCGAATGAGGCCAAGAAGGATAGGGAGACCGAGGAGTAAAAGTTTGTGTGATATATAGGTGAAGGGAGGGTAAGATTTTGGAGTGTGGCACGGACCTCGTAAAATGTAAATATTGATCAAGACATTTAATACATGCTGGAATTTTTTTGCATTACAAGTCAGTTGCGTTACAGAAACGTGATGATAACACCTTTTAGAATGATGTTCAAAAACAGCGAATTGACGTCTAGATTGTGAAAAAGGTCAAGTGAGAATACGGTCGTTGGCAGGCAGACAAGCAGGAACTCTCTAAAGGCTTCAATCAACTCGTACGTGTACTTTACAAGCAAATTGGAACGATTCAAATAGGAGTGGATTTGAAGGACATTGAGAGGAATTGAAAGTGTGGATAGTGTGATGTGCTCTGTCGAAATCCGCCAGAATGTTTCGCGCATCAATCAATAACCACGTAGACTGTTTCTTGTAAGACGGGGATGTGCTCGAAGTGTTCTGCTCCAAATAGATGTAGTTCTGTGTGAATTTATGAATCTACAAGCAGTGCCGAACGTTAGTCATGTCAGAATCACACTAAAGACGGAGTTCAAAGGTGTTTGTGCAAGAGTTTAGTATTCTTTTTTAGCAATAATATCTTATGTACAGATCATTTTTGGTTTCTTACAGACTATTGAGGCGGTCTAAATGAAGGTGGTTGGAATCTAGGGACAGAGAAAACTGTGAGAAACAAGGACCGTGACAACATTCAAACACACGCGAACGTACGGTGGACGTGCAGGTGGTGCGCCGGGCATCTGCATGTTGGGACGGAAACCAGGTGGCTAAAATCACAAGGAAGGAGGTGATGAGATTATGCCTTTGATACCAAGATTCAGTAACCAGCGAATATGGTTTTATTTTGGCTATTGATACCAGCACTCGACGATAAAATTCGGCCCTTTCTTTGCTACAGACATACCGGCATTCCAGGGAACGGCATAGCCCCCATTGGTGGCATCGGGCCTCCTCGACCCAGGAATGGTGGTCCAGGCATAGGTGCGCCTCGTCCATAAGGTGCTTGTGGTGCCATCATTCCAGCTCCTGGTCCACCAATACCACGCACAGGTCCAGCCAATCCTGTGCAGTTCAAGAATGCATGAGTAATTGCTGTAACGGGTGTGCACTCAACTATATTACATACCAATAGGAGCACCCATAGGCGGCGCAACAGGCAATCCTCTCCCCATAGGTCTTCCCACACCGGGCCCAGCAAGCATACTGGCCGCCTTTGCCTTTTGTTCATCAGAGGGTGGTGGAGGAGCCTCGACACTCAGAGACACAATAGTTTCACCCCTCAGGATAATAAGGCCCAACACCCGTTTCTCTTCCCGTTCAGGCTGGCCCTTGATCTTTTGTTTGATTTTACGGAATTCTTCACAATCGGCTAGGACCATGTTCATGTGTTTGTCGAATGCGAGCATTTGGCCTATTAATGTTCGGCCATCCAATGTGACGATTCGGAGACGGTAGTTGAGTAGGGTGACCATTTTGCTGTTTTTACTTAGCATGGACTATTGTGATATAATTTGTTAGTGTTGGCCTATGCGTTTATGAGCTAGAATTCGCACATTCGCTCAAGTTGCTTTGGACGTGTATAAAGTCGCCCGCAGTAACCAAACTAATAGGATAAGGAGATGCAAACACGTACCATGATGGGCAAGAAACCAAACTGAAACTTGTTCCCGTTGGAAGTAGCTGTCTGATTAACCTGACTCCAACTATCACTCTCTTGCAAACTTGCTCACAAGGGGAACATAGGGAGAGTAAAGTATCGAATCACGTACATATAATAGGATTAATCAATGTATATACACGTCAATACACCAGAATAATTCTCTGTTTTGCAATATACTTATTCAGAAGCAGATGGATGGGAACGATGGGCTGTCTCGTCCAAACCCGTAAACAGTTTAACAATCACCATTAAGGCCAATACAGTCCTAGGATAGTAGAAAAGAGTCAAGTTCATGGCCCCCTTTCATTACCTATGCTCACAAATAGAAAACAGCTTCCGCTGGAAACTACGTAGAATCGCAGTCCCATCAACAAAAACCAATCGAGCAATCTGCCAAATCCTATACCATGAGGGCTTCCTCTCCGGAATAGCAACTGGAAACACCAAAGGACCATACGCATACGCTTACAATGCATCTGTAACTCCCGATAACGTCGCTGAACAACGGCTATGGCTCGATTTAAAGTATAGAGATGGATTACCGGCTCTAAGCTCGTTAAAAGTCGTATCAAAACCATCGAGGAAGGTGTCGCTGACTGCTGATGAAGTCAAACTGATGGCTGGAATGAGGAAGGCGTCTACTCTCATCAAACCAATGCAGATTGGACAGGTTACCATACTCTCAACTCCTGCTGGAATCGTCGAGCTGAATGCTGCACTGAAATTCAATGCCGGTGGTGAAGTGCTTTGCATTGCCACGTAGAAAAACCATATACCACATGAGAGAGATAGATGGTCAATATGTATAAATGTAATTCAATAATAATCTAAGTTGCATCCATAACGAGCTAACGGTGTGATACTTGGGAAAGCAACGTTACAGCCATGAGGGACGTGGTGACGGTATCCTGACGAGATCAGCATCAAACAATTCAATGAATTGCTCATTCAATACTCGGACTTTGGGACCAGCGTATCGTCGATATTCTTCAAATATAGACGTCAGATTCCACTTTTGGAGTTTGCGTAGGCATCCAGTAACAGTTCCTATGTGATACGAAGCATTAAGAACGGCTTGAGGAGGGAGCGAAAAAGGACGCCGTACGAACTACAAATTATGACGTTACCTGTTCGATGTCGACCAAGCCCACACATGACCATCATTGGATAGTTATTTGGATCCAATATCAATTCGAGAGCTTCCAACACCACTTCTTCTGTTATCGGATCCCATGCATTCGACGATGTATTCAGGCCAAGATGATGTAGTTGGATCTCTTGATCATCCAGAAAGTTCAAACTATGTGATGGTGCGTTGTTAGTTGGTTGTCTGGACAAATGATTCGTTGTTGGTGTCGCCGTTTTTTGCCCATACAATCTTGGGGTTGGTTCTTCTTGAGCAAGAAACACGACAGTCCGTAAACCCAGTTTCTCCAAGAATGGGAAGTTGAGTTCATTTGGTTGGCCAGAGCGATACAAGTCTTCTTCAATCATGCCAAAGTTCTGTTGCGAAAAAGAGTTGAGTGGTAAAACAACGAGAACCAAAAGAGGTTGACGCCAAAAGAATCAAAACCAGAACAATAGGTCAATAAAGCTTACCAATGGTGGAATATAGTGTTGAGATGTAGTCTGCATAGCTGAGATGAATCTTCAAAGAGCTAGCTTCCGAGGTGATTGTCGTTTCCAAACGAGAATGTAGCTGTTTCTGTTCACGAAGCAATTGATTTCATTAGGTCTTCAGTAAGCGACCAAGAATGTCTTCAGTAAACGACCAAGAATCCCTTGCAAACTTGTTACAGAGCGCAACTCACAAGTGGTAATTTGGTTGTTCAAGCTCTTTTGGTTGATGCACGCGTTCAATTGATGGAAAGAAGTCCTAGAGTGTAATGGAAGATAGCTTTTAGATCAACATATGGCATGAATTGTACATCAATAGTCTCCTGTTCGTGATTTTCAATACCAGGAAATCAATCCAAACATTTCCAATCCAAGCTCATAGTTTGGTAGACAAGTGAAGCAAAAGACACGGAAGAAAACGAATACGCTTTATCAACCGCACACGTACCTTGCGAGAAAGAGTTGGTATCAAGACTTCTTGTCCTAATAATGCCCGTAAGTGGTTTGATATAATGTTGGAAACATTCAAAATGGTGGAACTAATAGGCATCAGACAATGGAAGCGATGAGCTGTGTATTGAATGTTAATTTCCAATTTATTATAGGCCTATCACTCTTCTTATAATGAAGGAACATACAAGGCAGTTGGTAATCTGGCTGTCCTGCCGCTGAAATCAAAGATTCGAGGTCCAGCACTACCTTGGGGTAAATGAACGTCCTAAAGACTAGCCAATCGAGTCAAATTCCTCTTCTTTGATGTATTTCATAATAACTGACCTATACCGTCTTCTCCTTTCTGTTATTAGCCAACAGCGACCCAACAGCAGAAGACATTGTCGATGAAGCAATCTCACTCTTCCGCGCAAACAGCTTCTTTCGTAACTTTGAAATCAAGGGAAACGCTGATCGGGTCTTGATTTATATGATTCTGTTTGTCTCGGAATGTCTTGGTAAACTGGCCAAAAACCCTTCTCTCGTTGAAGCTGGTCGAGTACTATCTACACATGCGAACCAAAACTTTGCTATTCCTGGGGATGCAAACTTCCCATTGAATGCATTGTATGAGAAGCCTGCTTCTAGAACTGATGCTGGTATGTTGTCATGTATATATGAAATGTAGATCATTAAGGGCCTGCGTTTAGCACAATTTGATTTCGTGTCCCGCACAACACTCACGTTCACCCTTTCTTTAGATATCATGAGACAATATTTGAGTCAACTACGTCAAGAAGTCGCCAATCGGCTTCCACAACGTGTTTACGATGGTGACAAGCCCAGTAAATGGTGGATGTGCTTTGCCAAACGCAAGTTTATGAACATAGGAAGCATTACTGGCACTGGAGTGTAAAATGTAGTACGGATGTAGTAGTAGTTGGTGTCAAACCCCCAGCAGCAAACTCCAATATTATATCGAATTATGAGTATATTTGTTGGTGATTCAGGAATCAGATTATTGTTCTTTCGTAGTGTTGTTTAAACTTAACACATTGCCAAAACCTTCAAGGATTCTCGACTCCTATGTCTTCATTCCACAGCTCAGGCTTCTCCTTTATGAAATCGGCCATGATCTGTTTGCATTCTGCGTCGTCCAAGTTGATGACTTCCACGCCTCTTGATCTCAGGTAATCCTCATTCCCCTTGAAGGTGTGGTTCTCTCCCATCACGACTCGTGGTATTCCGTACAGGAGGATCGTGCCGCTACACATGTCGCATGGAGACAAGGTCGTGTACATGGTACACTGGTGGTTGAATGTGTGTTGAGTTTGAAGCAAAGTAAAAAGCAGCGAGTAAAAGTGTTCACATCAACGCAGTGGATGTCCAAGGAACTTACAGTCTTGTACACCGATGCGGGTAGTCTCCCTATATTCTCCATACAGTCTGTCTCTCCGTGTTTGATTGCAGAATTCTCCTGCACTCTCTGTCAGGGCGCAATGTGTAAGTAAATGACAACCCTCCAGCCAGCAAGCCCTTTGGAGCACAAACCTTGTTGTGCCCTACACCGAGCAGCTTTCCACTGCCATCTACCACACAAGCACCTATTGGCACGCCTCCTATAACAGAATATGTGATGAACAACGAAATTCAACAGGTGTGGTTTCTGATCACTGATGACAAATGCAGCAGATGGAACAGATATATTCAGCAGCATCAAGCACTTGAGCTTCCGTACGAGAAAGAATGGCGTCGCCAAGTGTAACGTACCTTCGCTAAGACCAACACGAGCTTCGCTAATGGCTACTTTTAAATATTTGATATCATCGGCAGTTGCTGGCATGGCTCCGCTTTCTAGGAAATGATCAGGATGCTAGGAATGGTTCAGATCTTGGCTATGATAACTACGAGGTCGTTATCCGACGTCAGAACTTCCTCTCTCGCAAAATTGTATGACGATAAATAACCCCCACCAAAATCCGAACTGCCGCCACAAGACAGAAAGGAGATAAGATAAGATTGATTGAATCCAATCAGTACAAGAATTACTAGCAATAAATTATAATAAAGAGATCTTGACTTTGATCGCCACACGATTCAACTTCGACGGTGGGCCTTGCATCACTGACTCGTTTTGCTATATTCGGCCAAACGCTTTTTCAAAAACTGGTTTTGCGATACGGAAGTTGATTGTGAGGCAAAGCCATTGATGGGTCTTTTGACCATTTTTTTCAGAAGCTTCGCCCTCCACCAGCAAACCCACAGTATATCAAGCATACGAAGAGAAGCTTATCGAGATGGAATTAGACAAGAAGACTGAAGAAGCCGCTGGCATCGTTGAAGTTAGCAATGTTAAAGCTGGAGTAGGAGAGATAGAAGGACGAGGTACGCTCATGTTTGAATTGGTTTTGGGAACGCACGATGTGGAAGTGTTTGGAATTCGTGAAAAGAGAGCAGAAGCTGATACATTCGTTTGCACTAGGTATCCAACCCGTTCCTTTCGAAACCAGACATCACACGTAAGCATTCCAATCTGTGTTTGCGTTTTGGTCATCATGTTTCTTTGGGTGACGAATCCAAACATGCACGAAAAGCTACAATACTGACTTTCTCTTGATTTTCAAAGTGCCACATACGAATCATTCACCCTCTGGTTCAGGTAAGCATGATTGTAGTCTAGCTTTAATGCTTGTCTAAAGTTGTAATGTCATCGATGTGGTTTTTTCAACCGTTCCACCGGTGAAAACGTGTAATTCTTGCGTTTTACGAGACTAACGACCTTTTAAACCACAATCTAGTGCCAACTGTTGCATATCGTAAGTTAATTTCGCTTATCTGTGGGGTTTAAAAATTTGGTGGCACTCAGTAAAAGAAAAAATCGAAGCATTACCGATCGCTCCAGAACCAACTCAGGTTTTTGAACCACCGAAACAAGTTGACTCAAAATGCATATTTCAATAGCACATTCGTCATTGGTGTTCTTTCCCAAACTATTTTCTACCTCGGATTCTGGGACTCATTCTGCATCATATTGTTCTTCAACGCTTTGGCTCTCCTCCCTCCAGCATACTTCACTACATGGGGTCCCAAGACTGGTATGAGACAGATGGTCTTGACTCGTTACGCTTTCGGTTACTTTGGTACATACACTATTTTGGCTTTGGTGAGTCAGCAATCCGTCTCTAGGGATGGTTCTATCCAGATTTTTGAATCGATTAACCTTAACCTTACTAACCTCGATATAACTATGTAGAACATCTTTGCTTGTATCGGATGGTCGGCTGTAAACGTCGTTGTCGGTGGTACCGTAGTTCACGCTATCTCAGACAAAGTACCAGTCTGGGTCGGAATCATCATCATTGCCGTCATAACCACTGTGCGTTTCATATTTATACGCGGTATTCTGTGTCTTTCCAGGGAACAAGTACTAACGGCTCGTTCTTATTCTAGCTTGTTGCCCTCTTCGGTTACAAGTGGATCCACATATACGAAAAATTCGCTTGGATTCCAATCTTGGTTATCTTCTTCATCATGTTGGCTGAAGCCGCACCATACTTCTCTTACGTCCCAATGTCCACCTCGCCTGCTCCAAGTAAGTTCAATCCATGACGTGTTTACTGCAAGCTACCCTCTACGTCAAACTCACATCCACTGTACTTTAGTCTTGTCGTTCGGTGGTACAGTCTACGGTTTCGCTGCCGGTTGGACTTCATACGCTGCCGACTACAACGTAAACATGCCCGCTGAATCCTCGGCCCGAAAGAACTTCTTGTGGGCCTACTTGGGTTTGATCATCCCTCTCGTGTGTCTTGAAACTTTGGGTTTGGCTGTCGGAACTGCTTTGGGTGCTAACGATGCCTACGCCGCTGGTTTGGACGCTGCATCATACGGTGGACTCTTCTCTGCCATCTTGGACCCTCTCGGAAACGCTAAATACTTCCTCATGGTCTTGTTGGCCTTGTCTACCGTCGGAAACAACATTCCTAACGACTACACTCTTGGTTTGACTGTCCAAGTTATTGGACCCTTCTTCGAAAAAGTACCACGATTCATATGGACTGTTGTTGGTGCCGTTGTCTACATCGTCATCGCTGTTTCCATTGCCGGAAAGTGAGTACATTGTACATTTATGGATGCCAACACCTTCTTTTTTTTGCTGATCGCCAACGAAACAAGAATTCTAAATGATATTTTCTTTAATTCAGGTTCGACTCCAACCTTGAAGGATTCTTGCTCTTGATTGCCTACTGGTTGGCTCCATACTCTGTCATCATGGCCATTGAACACTTGTACATCCGAAAGGGCAACTTTGCGAACTGGGATTTGACTGGTACGCCTTCCCCCCGCTTCTCCATTAGCACTCCTTGTATCACGAAACTGACAATGACCTACCCAAATAGCCTGGGACACCGTTGCCAAGCTCCCATTGGGTTTGGCTGCTAACGCCGCTTTGGTTGCCGGTATCATTGGAGGTGTCATTGGTATGGCACAGGTTTACTACATTGGTGTGTTGGCTCTCAAGCTCGACCCCATGTACGGAGGTGACATTGGATTCGAACTTGCTCTCGGATTCTCTGCTATCGTCTACTTCATCCTCCGTAAGTTTCCATATTACCGTATCGTGAACATCTTGGTTTGGTGTCCTGACTCGTGTTTTTGCTTCTTTAGGACCAATTGAATTCCGATTGGTTGGTCGTTAAGCGATCTGCACCGATTTGTCCTGCTATCTTATAAACCTAATCTACTAGACCTGCACGCAGTTGAATGTAATAATTTGTGCTCGAATATAGTCCCTCAGAAGCAAAGCTGATGTGTTGAAACGTAGAACGTTGTTTCAATGCTCGTTTGAAACGTGAAACCGACCCAAAAGGAAACACATGTCAGTAAATAGCGTATCTCGAGATGCTGCCATAACAGAACGTCGTTCCGCGACGAGAATGACGCGACCAGTTCAAATATAATATATTCAAAACACATATGGGCACTTCTTTTCCTCTGTTCAATGACTCAATAGTCCTCCAGCTTCACCAGTCACAGTCAGTGCAAACTCAACACGATCCTTACACGTTTTCTAGGTGGGTAGCCTCTGTTTGCCGACATTCGAGATATTTGCTACCATTCAGATTTTTTCAATAAATTCCAACGTGAATCGTCCAACATTTTGTGTCGACCAAAAAAGTTCAAAGTCGAGAAGCAGGCAGCTCAAAAACAATGGTAAAATCTAGTACCAAAATTCCCATTATCGTTTTACTTACAGATATGATAATATTCGTAGGCTACAACATCAGCTGTCCGCGTCAAGCGTCAAAAAACCACATATTTTATATCAACAGCTCCATCCAGCTCCATTGCCGAATTGAAACAAGAGCTAGCCAAGATCATAGGCGTCTCAAATGTGGCAAATATTCGTCTTCATGTAGCTGGAAAGGCTCCTGGAACATACAATCTGGTCGACGATGTTGCCACATTGGATCAACTTGCTGTTGTGAGTTATCAGAGAATGAGTTTCATGCGTAAGGTGGATCAAGAGGATAATTATTATGAACTTTGTAGGCTGATGATGGAGTCCTGTACATGGCATTACCTCTCTCTGGAACGGAAGGTACAACGAATACTTGGACCAAATCATATGCAACTGTGCTCACAACTCGCTTTCATATCTAGCACCCGATGCGAAATGGGAACAAATAGAAGTATACATAATTTTATTTAATTACAATGCGTCAATGGGTCAACACTAAAAACTCTTATATTAGATTCCTGACTTCGAACCACTTGGAGATGACGACACTGACGAGAAGGGCAAAGAGAAAGCCTGAGGGGTTGTAGCTTAGAGTTCCTTGTTTCTCAAAGCCTCTAGCCTTTGTCTTGCTCGTTGGAGGGCGGCTGAATCGTATAAATAGTGTATAAATCAATGAAAATTGCATCCAACCAAACAAAACCAAGAAATATTTTGGGGTTTGTGCTTACCAGACATTGCTCTGAGGTCTCCACGAGTAGCACTTACGGGTTCTGGAGGAAGTGCTATGCTTCGAGACGTCGTAATACTAGTCTGAGAGACGACATTGAGTCGCACTTGAACTACTCCAGCAGATTGTGTTTGTAGACCGTACAGATTCACTCGACGCTATTGAGTAAATAATGAATCAGTACCCAACTCAAGCACTTCGGAAGAGTCTCGTACTTTATCCTGAGTCATCTTGGACTGATCTGCTATATCCTCAAACTCTGCACCACCTCCAATAAAGAAGCGGCGCATTTCACTTATGAATGTTCCTACTGGACGCCATGTAGGAACCTCAATGTCGTAACAGCCTGGAGTAGACGGAATCGTCGCAAGACCATAACCTTCCACGTTTGTGCGATCCCAAAAGTCTGTAGATGTCACTTGGAGTAACAGCCTCGGTGCCGCTGTATCGGACGGTTCTAAAGAATTGCCTTGTTAGTAAGCAATTGGACTTTACAGATTCATTACGTTTTACCAAGTCCTTGATACACCGAAACAGCTTCCATAGGAAACGAAAACGCAGCCTTGTACATCTTTTTCGTAGCATCAAATGTTGGACGACAGTCCTGAGTGAATCCCGTCAAGGTTTGGTCCGGCAGATCATCACAGGTCCATTGATTTGGAAACTCGATGAGATACTGTATGAACAAATCCTTGTTCCCGAAACCGAGAGCTGAGACAATCTCGCCAAATAGTGTCACTCGTGTGTTTTGAGGGCTGACAATATCCGCGAAATCATTTCCAATGACTGTTGATCTTGTTTTTAATCGTCTAACGCAAAAAAAGTTAAAGAGGGGACCGCTATAGGTGATCACAACCCGGATACGCACTTGCGATCATATTCGTAATGCAGCCGATATTCAGCATCTTCCTCGGCAGGAGTTAGCACTTGGGATGCGTTTTCTATCGTGTATTCGTATGTTCGTCGATCAACCTCAAACTTGTGTGTTATTTTAGATGCTAGTCCGGGCTATTTGAGATCAGTTAGCAGGGTATTCGAAATTGCATCAAATCCAACTCCGAACCTGTATACTAATCAGATTGTTCCTGTAAAGTCGAATTGTGCAAAGTCGTTTCACCGTATGAAGATTGTCACCAGGCTGTGGGCCGTTTGGACCTAGCCGGTTCCAAAGTATATGTCTGGACGTGCTGTTTATGTCTGGTCTATTACAAACAACGTTTGGTTAGCGTCTGTGTTGGTGTTCGCACAATTGCAAAGGTTTACTGTTCTAATCGTAAGAAGGCCATAATGTGCATCTCCTTGTAAGGAATGTCAATAGACTCCCGGGGATTTCTCATTACAATAGGATGCGATGCAGATGAAGGTTCTGCCGCTATATCAAGCATGAAGGTGTTGGGTCAATGAATGATGTACTAGAAGTCAGTACGGTACCTCTAGCGATATCGTGAGACTTGAGCCGGTTGGCTAGTATATGATGAGCCATAGAAGTCATGGTTTCACGAGGAGCAGTAGTCATGCCCTTTGCGAGATCGTCTGCATCCACAAAGTGATCCTCGTCAATGTGTGTAAAGAGACAGGTTGGAGCTGATTCAAAAAGAGCTTTGTTAAGACAAACTTCTAGATCCCGGTTCTTATCAGTATTTCCTCACCATCTGCAGTCGTTCCTGATGCAAGAAGCCGTGCGTAGGCCGAGTTCTCATCAGTTCTCATCTTTGAAATCTCTGCATGGTATCTTTGCTCTGTGGGAGTAGCATTGGGCCGCAAATGACTATATTGTAGTATCTCACTGTATTGAAAGGTAATTTAAATCAGTATTCCATCATAAGAATTTCATTCTGTTTTCTCAATGAATGTACCTGGGAGAGAATACTTTTGACTGCCATCCCACAGTGATTTCAGTGATGGGAGCAAACGTCCCTATAGAAACGGTATTCCGATCCGGTGATAATGGACCTGAATAGTAGATCTGAGATTAGGATCTATACATTCGACCCCTCTTCGTTCCAAGAACTACCACGTACTAGTCGAATTAACTTTTCCGTCCATTAGCTTGCTCAATTTCACCTTGATCTTCATATGAGATGGATCATCGGACGATCTAAACCATTGGCACTCATTCATGTTTGTATGCCCTTCGCTTTTATTGAACATCGTTTAGCTCCCTCTACAATTTAATCAGTAGATCATGACTGATGAACGTTTTTTAGAAGGACACACGGATACAACAGGCTGATGAAATGAAACTGTAATCGCTTTAATGTGATCTCAATTCAATCGTCTTTTCATTTTTCTCTCTTTTTCACTACGAAAACAATCATTTAAGGAAAGGGAAATAACAAACACACCCAGACTCCCCACATTCTCACAATATCACTCGATCTTTAAGCACAAACTCCGTTGTTGGAGAAAGCTGCTTGACATCCGGTACCGCAATAAGCGGTTCCGCTTCCACACCCTGAAGAGAAACAATTGGTAAGCTCATTGGAGGTAGGAGGGATAACTCAATTTTCAAGAACTTACATCCATATTTGGAGCAACAAGGACCGTCAGTGTTGTTGCCGTCACCACAAATGGCTAGACCAGCACCGCAAGATCCATCACTAGTTAATGGCAGACCGACAGATGATGAGCTAGGTGCGGGAGCTGAAGCCGATGGAGAAGCTTTGATTGGGGAAGCAACTGGCGAAGCTTTAACTGTGGATGCGGATGGAGATGCTGGTGCGGCAGAGGCAGAAGGCGAGGCTTTTACTGGAGATGCAGCTGCAGATCCCTTGGCTGAAGCGACAGGAGATGATGCAGCACCGCAAGTGCCTTGGTATGAAAAGGCTGCTTGACAACCATTACCACAGTAAGCAGTGCCTGTACCACACCCTAGTAGAAGAACCGCAAAAGAATCTGTTAGTTTCATTCCTATGCCAACAAAACCTAAGAGATTTGAGCTACTTACATCCGTATTGGGAACAACAAGGACCGTCAATGGTAGCACCACTACCACAAACAGCTGTTCCGGCACCACAAGATCCATCGCTGGTTACTGGAAGACCGACTGGGCTAGCGGCAGTTGAGGGAGCAGCTGATGCGACTGGTGATTGTGCGGTGGTTGATGGTTTGATTGAGGCAACCTATTGGTAAGAAAATAGCAGGTCAGCTATCAAACTTTCTTCAACTCTGATTCGTCTTTCAAGACAACATACCGGTGAAGCGACAACGGTGCTTGGGGCAGCAGATGGAGCAGCTGAACTAAGTACTGTAGAAGGATTGGGGCTAGCAGGAGCAGCTGATGTCAATGTGGAAGCGACTGGGCTTGGAGCAGCGGATGTCAATGTGGAAGCGACTGGGCTTGGAGCCGCGGATTTCAATGTGGAAGCAACAGGGCTTGGAGCAGCCGAGGTCAATGTGGAAGCGACTGGGCTTGGAGCAGCGGATGTCAATGTTGAAGCAACAGGGCTTGGAGCAGCCGAGGTCAACGTGGAAGCGACAGGGCTTGGAGCAGCAGATGTCAATGTAGAAGCAACGGGGCTTGGGGCCTATTACATTCTAGTGTTAGTTTTGCTCGTGTGGTTATGTTGACAGAATCAAGCGAACTTACGGCAGATGCTTTAATTGTGGACGCTACTGGACTTGGAGCAGCCGAGGCGACTGGTGATGCAACAGGGGATGCAACCACACCACCACAACCTCCAGGAATGGTGCAAGAGTTCCAAACGGTTGTGACTTGAGCATTCTTGTACCATTGAGTATCACCCAAACACTGTTTTCATTACAATTGTTAGTTTCTCATTCGGATTCTTTTATCTTTTCAAACAAGCCATGCAGCAAGCCGTGCTTTCAGACAATTTTTAACAATTTTTAGCTGACTCACTTGAGGCACAGGCATCATTTGGTTCTTGATTCCACCCAACGACTGAATCTTCTTGAGTGCAGCGATTGACGTTCCAGAGGTGAAAGTGTCGATCGTGTGTTGTAAAGAGATAAAACCTAGAGGATGTTCGTTAGTTCAAAGTATGTCTTGATAAGGAAAACTCACGGCAAATCACCTGGAATAGTGTTGAACCATCCGGAAATAATGCCTTCGACTTTTGCAAAGTTCGCAGCATTTGCACTTACATCAGCATCAGTAGAATCATACCTAGATTTGAGGGGTTTGGTAGATTGTTAAGTCTCATGGATTGCATAAAGGGTTGCAGGACAACGCCTGTTTCGACACCCAACCACTTACTTTCCATCCCACATGACAATTCGATAACCAAGAGCATTGACAATACCACGAATACGGTCATCAATGTCGCCATAAGGTGGGCGGAAGTAGCGAACACTCAAGCCAGTGTTCTTGTAAATGATGGCAGCAGTATACATCATTTCTGCGACAACCTAATATTCACATACAGTAGATGTATTAGATAACGAAAGTCAAATAACTGGTGGGATGCACAATGGCGAGGCGAAATTATGCTAAAAACAATTCGTACCTGAGTGTTAGTCAAACTAGTGAAGGGATGGTGGGACCAAGAATGATGAGCAACGTGATGGTTGCGAGTAGCAATAGCGGACAAACTGGCTGGACTGTCGGATGACTCGGATCCAGTGACGAAAAATGTAGCCTTGATGTTCATGGAGTCCAGTTGGTTCATGAGTGAGACGGTATCATTGACGTGAACACCGTTGACAATGTTTTCACTTGGAGCATCATCGTACTAGAACATTTGAAGGAGTATGTATACAAGAATTCGCGTCTACAACTTTCAAAAAAACTATGACGAGAAACACACTTACAGTAAGACCCCATTGATAGCTTTGAGGACAATAGACAATATCAGCAGCACCCCATGCTCCAGCTGCAGTACGAGTACAAAGGCCACTTGGCCAGTAGCAGTTGGTTGCAGCGTTGGCAGAGTACGTGACTGATGAGTCTTGAATATACTTGGAAGGTGCAATATTCAGAAGAGATGCTGGCACAACAGAGTTGATGTAGGCCAATGCTGACGTGACAATAGGATCGTTCAAATAAGATCCAGTAATGAAAAGACTTTCATCGGAGCTGGGGTACTAGAATTTTTTTTTGGTAAATTATCAAACAATGGACGCAAAACAAAAATGCGACGAAAGGAGAGACAAGAATGAAAACTTACGGCAGCTGGCTGAGCAGGAATTATTGGGGGAGCGGCCACAGTCTGTCGGCGTCCGAGAGCCCTCGCGAATCGTTCACTTTTGTCAGTTGAGGCAAAAAGTATCGATCCACCGAGTACCACACACGATGCAAGGGCGTAAGGCCATGATTTGGATTTTGGCGCCTTGGTTGTCTGCTTTTTGGCTTGCTTCATTTTGTTAATTGATGGTGATCGATTGTGTGTGTGTTTACAAACTCTATTGTCTTTTCGGAATGGGGGTTGCGAATCAAAAAGTTTACTACCGACACGACGGACTCCGAAATGCCTTGAAATACTTTATAGACATTTTCACGCATAAAGGAGTTCTTCGTTCCTACATTTTCTGACTGGCTTAATAGATATGAAAATGAAGACTCGCCCAATTACAAATTTATTACATCCACTGTTAGATTAATATAAAATTATGCTGCTTTTGTTTTGACACTAACTAACAAACAAGCGACCCTGCTATTACTAACAAAGGCACCATCAGCACTGTTTCAACTCTTCCGAAAGTTTTTCCAACAGAACCAGACGTCGAGAGTGCGTTTCCACCAATTTGAGGGGTGTCGCTTGCTGTGGCCGCCCCGGAAGAGACCACCGCCGAGTTCGAAGGTGCACTAGATGCTGCCACAGATGGGGCTACAGATGCCATTACGGAAGGCATTATCGTTTGGGATGAGCTGGGAGTCGTGTTTGTGACAGATGAGATAGAAGTCGGACCGACTACTGAAGAGAGCTGAGCTGTGGGGGATTGCGCAGTGGAGGCAACCGGTGATGGTACTATCGGCGAAGGTTGCACTGGTGATGGTACTACCGGCGAGGCTTGTACCGGCGATGGTACTACCGGCGAGGCTTGCACAGGCGATGCAGCTGGTGAAGCAACAACGGCACCACATCCTCCAGGAATGGTGCAAGAGTTCCAAACGGTTGTGACTTGTGCGTTCTTGTACCATTGAGTATCACCCAAGCACTAAAGTTGACGGTTACGGTAAGCTTGATTTCAGTAACAAGTTTGTTCCAAGCGACTCACTTGAGGAACTGGCATCATTTGATTTTTGATACCTCCCAACGATTGAATCTTTTTGAGCGCAGCGATGGATGTGCCTGATGTAAAGGTACTGATGGTGTGTTGCAGGGAAATGAAACCTAATGAAATAGGTAAAATCGTGTTAGGTCTGGGAATCAGGTGACGAACTCCTGTCCGTGCATACCTGGTGCAGTGTTAAACCATGAGCTGATGATGTTTTCGACAACACCGTAGTTAGCAGCATTGGCAGTAACATCAGCATCAGTAGCATCATACCTAGCAAAACAATGTTAATTAAACCCCACATGCAGATAGAACACACTTAATCAGGAGCTCAAAAGGCAGGCTTAGATACAACACGTCACGTACTTTCCGTCCCAAATGACTATCCGGAAGCCCAAAGCATTAACAATAGCACGAACACGATCATCCATATCACCATAAGGAGGACGAAAGTAGCGAACACTAAGACCAGTGTTCTTGTGAATGATGGCAGCGGTGTACATCATTTCAGCGACAATCTAAAGGAAAGCATAGGTAAAAAAAAGTTGACAAACTTGTCCTGAAAACTTTCACTTACTTGAGCATTGGTCAAACTAGTCAATGGATGATGTGACCAAGTGTGATGAGCAACATGATGATTGCGGTTGGCAATGGCAACCAAGCTTGCAGGATAGTACGTGGATTGCGATCCGGTGACGAAAAATGTGGCTTTAATGTTCATGGCGTCCAATTGGTCCATGATAGCAACGGTGTCATTGGTGTGTACGGTCTTGACAATATTATCACTAGGAGCATCATCATACTATGTTTTGCGATTAATTTGAGCAAACATTTTACGTTTCTACATGACATAATCTCGCGCTAGGCGAAGCAACTTACAGTGAGCCCCCATTGGTAGTTTTGAGGACAATAGATAATATCGGCGGCTCCCCAAGGGCCGTCTGTAGTACGAGTACATAGATTATTTGGCCAATAACAGCTTGTGGTAGGATCAGCGTGATAAGTGACATCCGAATACTGAATGTACGTTGATGGTGCAAGATTCAACAAGGAAGCTGGAACCACAGAGTTGACATATGCCAAGGCCGAGGTAACGATCGGATCATTCAAATAAGTCCCACTGATGAAGAGCGTTTCGTCTGCAGACGGGTACTATTGAACAAAGTGAAGTAAGCTATTGGTTAGCGAATAGCATTGCCAAACAGGCGAGAAATGACGCGAAATCGCCGGAACCACAAAGCTTACAGCAGTAGGCTGCAACGGAATAGCAGGAGGTGCTGATAATTGTCTCCTTTCGATCACTGATCGTCCAAATCGTTCACTGGTAGATTCCAAAGACGTTGCAAACAAAACTGTACCGACCAACACAGCACCAGACGATAGAATGCTAACTAAGGAAGTTCGTCGATTCATTTCAGTAATTTCTACGTCCAATACTGTGATTGTCTTGAAGATCCGATTTCGAGGATTTCACAGCTGCAACGAAAAATCTATTTTGGCACTGTCTGCGCTAATTTGTGTTGATAAATTTCGGCACCTCAGGCGACACGCTGAAATTCGACAAGACCATTACGTCAGTTCAGTTAGTTTTGCATAAAATACCGTGTTTGAGCCTGGCGGATAGTTTGCAATGGTGTTGACGATATTTCGCTACAAAACCTATTGGAACACTAACTCCAAATACGAACACCCCAAAGAAGATTGCGATCCCTTTCGAAATCAACATTTTGACCTGGCTTAACGCGAAAGGGAAATCCTTTAATTGCTATCGTTTAATTGCTAATCCACGACATCACTTTTATTTAATCGGGATAAAATAACTTTGGTAAGAACTAGCAAAAGAGTGACCCAGCTGCGAGTAGAAACGGTACCGCAAGTACGGTTTCATAACTTCTCAAAGTTATGCCGGCAGCGCCAGATGTCGAAAAAGCAAAGACGCCTTCACCAACATGCGGTGAGGCGGTTGGTAAGGCGGCTGTAGCTGATTTAGATGGGGATTTTGTCGAATGTACGGATGAAATTGTGGCAGATGGTTCATCGTCACAGTCTCCACCTGGAACTGTGCAGGAGTTGAAAATAGTCGTGACTTGTGTGTTCTTGTACCATTGAACGTCGCCTAGGCACTGTGTGAGTGTGGTGAATTCGTCAGTTACCACCCACAGAAAAAACTTATAACAACGATAATGCCTCACTTGGGCGACTGTCATCATTCTGTTTTTGATACCACCCAAAGATTGAATGTTTTTGAGTGCAGCAATGGAAGTTCCCGACGTGAAAGGACTGATCGTATGTTGAAGGGAAATGAAACCTACAAACACCGTTGGCTCATTTTGTGTCAACCTTCGTTCAACATGTACATCAAAACAAACTCTTAAGTCTGACCTTTGGTGGTGTTAAACCAAGAAGAAATGATGTCTTGTACCTTTCCAAAATTCGCAGCAGTGGCGCCAACGTCTGCATCTGTAGAATCGTATCTAGACAAAACTTGTGCATTAGAACCAATAAAAGATTGCAAGAAATACGCCTAGAGCATGTCAAAAACGACGCAGTAGCCACTCACTTGTTATCCCATAGTACAATTCGGAAGCCTAAAGCATTGACAATGGCACGAACCCGATCATCAATATCACCGTAAGAAGGGCGAAAATAACGAACACTGAGACCAGTATTCTTGTGGATTATTGCAGCAGTATACATCATTTCAGCAACCACCTGAATTAACAATTGTAAGTTAGAAATCATGTCCAGAAACTACCCTCTACTTTAAGCAAATCGCTTGCTTGCTCGTTTGTCAAACTGGTCATCGGGTGATGTGACCATGTATGATGGGCAACATGATGTTGTCGAGTAGCAATAGCAGCCAAACTGTCAGGATAGTAGACAGATTGTGATCCTGTGACGAAAAAAGTTGCTTTGATTTTCATAGAATCCAGTTGGTCCATGAGAGCAATGGTGTCATTGTAATGACTTCCGTTGACTTTCTTTTCGCTTGGAGCGTCATCATACTACAAAACGAAAAAAGAAGTTATAAATCAAAAACTTAAGAACGCAAAAGAAACCTCAAGCACGCAAAACCACTCACTGTCAAACCCCATTGATAGTTTTTGGGACAATAGACAATATCTGGGGCACCCCAGTCTCCAGTGGTGGTGCGCGTGCATAGATTGCTTGGCCAATAACAGGTGGCGACCGGATCAGCATGATATGTTGCTTTTGAGCCTGACACATAGGTCGCAGGCGTTATGTTCAACGTTGCAGCTGGAACAACAGATTGCACATATGCCAGAGATGACGTGACAATGGGATCTGTCAAAAAGGCACCAGATATCATGAGATTCTCATCTGCCGAAGGATACTATGAAAGATCGATTGGGTTAGAAAAACTCGCTTGTATTGTCGGTATTCGCTATTTCCCTTAAAAGAATCGTCTTATTAAGTATGAATTTCGACAACTTACAGCTACAGGCTGAAGTGGAATTGCTGGTGGTGGAGCAACTTGTCTTTTTAACACTGAACGTCCTGAACGTTCGTTGGAAGTTGAAATGGTTGCAAGTAGAATGGTCCCACCCAGAACAACCGACGACACGAGATAGTTCCATGAGATCGCCCTTTTCTCCATATTAAAAATTCTTATGGCGCACCTCTCTGCTTACAAGCGATCGATTGGCTACGTTGACTTTTTAAGGTTGTTTCTTCCGCAGGAGCAAAATCGGCGTAGAAGTTCCATTGTGGTGAATCAGGCAGCCCTAAGCGACACAAATAGTTTAAAGCACAATATTTCCCGAAATGGTTACCTTGACTACGGTTACTTGCGCCAGCTGTTCCCTACAAAGCAGTGAATGGTGTGGACAAATAGCATTTCGTAAAATACATGCGTCCCAACAAAATTCTCGCGTGTGCGACTCGGCCCGTGGTTCGCAATAGGTACTTCTATTATTTTCAAGTTTATTCGAATCGTTTACGATATAAAATTGTACTAAAGTAGCATGATTCTTTGTCCAACTAACAAACCAGCGCCCCAACTACTAGCAACGGCACAACAAAAAATGCTGCCACCCTTCCCAAAGCCACACTTAAAGAACCAGATGTCGATAAAGCACTTGTAGTTTCACCGATCTGAGTCTGAGGGGTGGAAGAAGGAGATGCAGGTGCAGCTGGAACTACGGATTGCGTTACAGCAGGCGAGATAACATAAATTGTAGTGGTGGTTGTTACAGTAGAGATGGGCGAAATCACTGTTGATTGAGAAAGTGCGCTCGAAGTAGTTGTAGATGGGTCTGACGAAGGAACTACCGAAGAAGCCTGGGTCGAACTTGCAGATGGGATTGCAGAAGGCACAACGGAGGAGGTTACTGCTGCCTGAGACATGGCACTTGAAGACGGGTCTGCAGAAGGGGCCACAGATGAGGCCTGGCTGGGACTTGTATTGATAACTGTTGTAGTGGTTGAACTAGCCACAGAAGAAACAGTGGGCGATGGCACATTGTCACAATATCCACCTGGCATTGTGCAAGAGTTGAAAATGGTCGTGACTTGTGCGTTCTTATACCATTGAATATCGCCTAGACACTGTTTTGAGAGTGATGTGAGAGTTAGTTCCTTCTCAATGAATGACCTCCACGTTGCTATAAAGATAGCCCTACTTGGGGAACAGGCATCATCCGGTTCTTAATACCACCCAAAGATTGAATGGTTTTGAGTGCGGCAATGGACGTGCCCGATGTGAAGGGATTGATTGTGTGTTGAAGCGAAATAAAACCTAGAAACAGGACTATTTTAGATGCGAAAGCCTTCGAACTAGCCGTCGGTTCGTACCTTTGGCCGTGTTGAACCACGAGGCAATTTTGGTTTGAACTTTTCCGTAATTTACAGCACTTGAACTAACGGCATCTACAGAATCATAGCTAGCAAAATTATGCTCATTAGTAAGAAGGACGTCGCTACAAATACAGCCAGAGCCAGAAAAATGCTATTGCGACAACGCAGATGCTTACTTGTCGTCCCATAAAACCACTCGGAAGCCTAAAGCATTGGCAATGGCACGCACACGATCATCAATATCACCATAAGCTGGGCGAAAGTAGCGAACACTGAGGCCAGTATTCTTGAAGATGGTGGCAGCAGTATACATCATTTCAGCAACGACCTAAAACACGGTATCAGTTTCAAAAACTGTGTTTAGTTTCACAAAAATCAAAGGGTCCTCACTTGTTCATTTGTCAAGCTTGTCAACGGGTGGTGAGACCACGTGTGATGTGCGACATGGTGCTGCCGTGTCGCGATAGCAGCTACACTAGTCGGAAAGTAGATGGATTGTGAACCTGTAACAAAAAAGGTGGCCTTTATGTTCATAGAATCCAGTTGATCCATGAGCGCAATGGTGTCATTGTAATGGCTTCCGTTGACCTTCTTTTCGCTTGGAGCGTCGTCATACTGAATACGAAGTACAGGTAAATCAAACTGATTTATGATGAAAACACACATCAGATACCCAAAACTAAACTTACAGTGAGTCCCCATTGATAATCTTGAGGACAATAGACAATATCGGGGGCACCCCAGTCTCCAACCGTTGTGCGTGTACACAAGCCGACTGGCCAGTAACACGTAGCGATAGGATTAGCCGTGTAATTAACTTTTGAGCCTGAAACATAGGCCGCAGGTGGAATGTTCAACATTGCAGTTGGAACAATCGATTGGACATATGCCAGTGCTGATGTCACGATGGGGTCAGTCAGAAAGGCACCAGTAATCATCAAACTCTCATCAGCGGAGGGGTACTATACAAGATCGGGTGGGTTAGAAGGTTTCTCGTAATGGTTTTTCACGAAAATAATGTTTTTCGTGGAATTAAAATCAACATCTGTCAGCTTACGGCTGCAGGTTGAATTGGAATTATTGGTGGAGGAGCAACAGTTTGCCTTCGTAGCACCGCACGTCCTACACGTTCTTTAGAAAGAGATGTTGAAGTTGTTGCAAGCAGGACACCTGCACCCAGGACAGCAACCGACGACAGAATGTAACTCCATGATGCAGTTTTTTTCGCCATAATTTAGTTGCGATCGTAAGTAAGCACTGCTTCCTTTCTTCTTGGCGCGACAGGCTGGTTTGGCTTGAGGTTGCTTGTTGCCAGGCAAATTCGGGGCAGAATCCTGCGAATCACGAATATTCTTTTCTGAATACTTCAGCCGAAACTGCTCGGATACGCTGTTTCAAAGATGCCTTTGGCTTCGAAACACTGAATTGCGACCATCGTCTTCGAACACCATCGACTACATTCTGTTATAATTATCGTTGCCGCAAACACAAAACGTAACAACAAGCGAAGACAGAACCACGAGAAATTACCGTTGCTAACCTGAGACCTTTCAAATCGCATATTTCAAGAGTTACGACTATGCACGCCTCTTGGACCAATGAAAACTCGCTCCAAGAAACACTAACCAGTAGTTCTTGGCGTAATTCGCCACCACACTGATCGATGCACGATCGCATACGATTTACAAAAATGATTTTGAAAGATTGGAACCAGACTTATATTAATGAACTTCAAGTATGGAAACTATTACCACCCAAACGAGTCTTCTCAAAATTTTCTTTGTCTTTACGCACAGACACCATTGTTAGAGAACGATGGTTGACATCCAGTACCACACCAAGCTGTGCCGGTACCACACCCTGCAAAATGAAAAGAATTGATGAGTTTTTGGCAATAAGTGACTTATGGCAAAACGTATATGATTCGACCCTTACATCCATATTGAGAGCAGCAAGGACCATCTGTGTTAGTGCCATCACCACAAATAGCGATTCCAGCACCACAAGTTCCGTCACTGGTTAATGGGAGACCACCAGCTGATGGGCTGGCTGCTGGAGCTGATGCAGCTGGAGAGGCTTTTACTGGGGAAGCAACGGGAGAGGCTTTTACTGGCGAAGCAGAAGGTGAGGCCTTTACTGGAGAAGCAACTGGAGATGCTTTTACTGGTGAAGCCGAAGGTGAAGCTTTTACAGGAGATGCTTGTACTGGCGATGCAACTGGTGATGCAGCAGGGGATGCAACGGCACCACCACAACCGCCTGGAATGGTGCAAGAGTTCCATACGGTCGTGACTTGAGCGTTCTTGTACCATTGAGTATCACCCAAGCACTAAATTTGATGTGGACGGTAAGGTTGAGTCCATGCACAAAGTCATTTTCAATCGACTCACTTGAGGAACTGGCATCATTTGGTTTTTAATACCACCCAATGATTGAATCTTTTTGAGAGCAGCAATCGATGTGCCTGAGGTGAAGGTACTAATTGTGTGTTGAAGGGAAATGAAACCTAAAGAAATAGGTAAAATCGTATTAGGTCTGGGAATCAGCTGACGAACTCCTGTCCGCGCATACCTGGTAAAGTGTTAAACCATGAGCTGATAATGTTTTCGACTACTCCAAAGTTGGCAGCGTTGGCAGTAACGTCAGCATCAGTAGAATCGTACCTAGTAGAGGAGACCGTAGTTAATAAGTTGCGTTGGTAGGAAATCGGAAATAATGAGAGCTTTTTGAAGCACCAAGAGCCACTTACTTTCCGTCCCAAAGAACTATTCTGAAGCCCAAAGCATTGACAATTCCACGAACGCGATCATCAATATCGCCATAAGGAGGGCGGAAGTACCGAACACTCAAGCCTGTATTCTTGTGAATGATGGCAGCAGTGTACATCATTTCAGCGACAATCTAGATATGTTTGCATTTCAGTTACAGCTTTTTCATTCGTCGAACACATCTCTCAGTCTTAACGATTCTTTTACCTGTGCATTGGTCAAACTAGTGAATGGATGATGCGACCATGAATGATGAGCAACATGATGATTGCGGCTGGAGATGGCAATCAAACTGGTTGGGTAGTAGATTGATTGTGACCCAGTCACGAAGAAGGTGGCCTTTATGTTCATCGCGTCCAATTGGTCCATGATAGCGACAGTATCGTTTGAGTGAACATTCTTGACGACGTTTTCACTTGGGGCATCATCGTACTAGAAAATGATAGTAATTAATAAGCATACACATCTTACAACCGCTTGAAAAAAATGCTCAGAACAAAAGCACTTACAGTGAGACCCCATTGGTAGTTTTGAGGACAATAGACAATATCAGCGGCACCCCAAGCTCCAGCCGTCGTACGGGTGCACAAATCGTTTGGCCAATAGCAGCTGGTGGCAGTGTTGGCGTGATAAGTGACATCCGAATACTGAATGTACGTTGATGGTGCAAGATTCAACAAGGAAGCAGGAACCACAGAGTTGACATATGCCAAGGCTGATGTAACGATCGGATCATTCAAATAAGTCCCACTGATGAAGAGCGTTTCGTCTGCAGAAGGGTACTATTGGAAAAGAACAAAAAATAGTTAGCCAACAATGATGAACATCCACAATAACACGAACATATAATGGACAAGCGACAGCATTTGGAAACTCACAGCAGCAGGCTGCAATGGAACAGCAGGAGGTGCTGAAACTTGTCTCTTTGAAACCACTGATCGTCCAAATCGGTCACTGGCTGGACCAAAAGATGTTGCCAGCAAGACCGTACCAGCCAACACAGCACCAGACGATAGAATGCTGACTAAAGAAAATTTTTGAGTCATTTTAGTCATTGTCGTCTGATACTGGGCTTTGTACGTAGATTGGAGTTGTTGCAGTAACGATTTCGAGACTTGCGTCCAAAAAAATCTATTTTTGGCACAAATTACAAAAACTGCGCTGATGTGAGGTCTTTTCTTCCATAGACTCAGAGATCTAAAGAGCCACTTCGGGTAATAAACAGGCTTGTGCGAACACCATACGCTTGAACCTGTACTGTGTTTGACCAAAGAGCTACCATTCTCCTATTTTCTAGCCATCATTTAAATCTAAATCGCAATAAAGGCACCTTTTAAATCCTTGTAGAGGTAAAAACAACATTTCGATTCCTTTGAAAGCTGTCTTATACGCGGTTTACAAGTGAAGTCAGACCGAAATAAATAACGACAATTGAGTTTGATTAAAAAACGACTACATTCTAGTTCATATTAGTGAGCTTCCCAGACTAATGTTCTGCACTCTGATACTATCAGCCAAATTAAGTACGCTTCATTACGCACAGACACCGTTGTTAGAGAAAGATGCTTGACAGCCAGTACCACAGTAAGCCTTTCCGCTACCACACCCTGAAAGGAAAGCAGTGGATGGGTTTTTGTTTTGCTGCTAATGACGAAACGTACTCAATACTTACATCCATATCTGGAGCAACAAGGTCCATCAGTGTTGTTTCCATCACCGCAAATAGCAATTCCAGCACCACAAGTTCCGTCACTGGTTAATGGGAGACCACCAGCTGATGGGCTGGCTGCCGGAGCGGAAGCTGATGGCGAGGCTTTTACTGGAGAAGCTTGCACAGGAGATGGTTGGACAGCAGAAGCTGATGGCGAGGCTTTTACTGGCGAGGCTTGTACTGGAGAGGCCTGTACGACAGAAGCAGAGGGGGAAGCCTTTACTGGTGAGGCTTGTACAGCGGAAGCAGATGGTGATGCCTTCACTGGAGAAGCGACGGGCGATGCAGCAACTGAAGTACCACAAACACCGTTGTTGGAGAAAGATGCTTGACAACCAGTACCACAGTAAGCCGTTCCAGTACCACACCCTGAAAAGAAATCAGTTGATAAGTCTTTGTCTTGCTGCTTCTAATTGGGAACTGTGTTTGATTTGAGACTTACATCCATATTGGGAGCAGCAAGGACCATCTATGTTGGTGCCATCTCCACAAATAGCAATTCCAGCACCACAAGTTCCGTCACTGGTTAATGGGAGACCACCAGCTGATGGGCTGGCTGCCGGAGCGGAAGCTGATGGCGAGGCTTTTACTGGAGAAGCTTGCACAGGAGATGGTTGGACAGCAGAAGCAGATGGAGAAGCTTTTACTGGTGATGCTTGTACTGGCGAGGCTTGCACAGCAGAAGCAGAAGGAGAGGCTTTTACTGGTGATGCTTGTACTGGAGATGGTTGCACAGGAGAAGCGACTGGTGACGCGGCAACAGGAGAAGCAACAACGGGTGATGCCTGGACTGGAGAAGCAACTGGTGATGCGGCAACAGGAGAAGCGACAGCACCACAGCCGCCCGGAATGGTACATGAATTGTAAATGGTTGTGACTTGTGCGTTTTTGTACCATTGAGTATCACCCAAACACTATAATTGACAAGATTTAAATACGGTCAGCCTCCTACTTGGTGTCATCTGCCATCTGTTCAAAGTACAGCAAAATGTCACCAACTCACTTGAGGAACAGGCATCATTTGGTTTTTGATACCACCCAATGACTGGATCTTCTTCAACGCGGCAATTGAGGTGCCTGAAGTGAAAGTATCGATGGTGTGTTGGAGTGAAATGAAACCTGCAAAAAACACGAGTTAGTTGCACAAGAAGTGCATTTTACACCAATGCTCGGTACGCACCTTTGGCAGTATTAAACCATGATGAAATAATGTTTTCGACAGTGGTGAAGTCAGCAGCAGATCCAGTAAGGTCGGCATCAGTAGAATCGTATCTAGATCAAGAAGAAGGGGTCAGGCAAGTGTTCGAATAGCCATGAGATGACACTTACGTAGAGTCCCATACAACAATGCGATAACCAAGAGCATTTACAACTGCACGAACTCGGTCGTCAATATCACCATAGGGAGGACGGAAATAACGAGGATTGAGACCAGTGTTCTTGTAAATAATGGCAGCAGTATACATCATTTCGGCAACAATCTAAAATTCGATACATTAGTAACAAAACAGAAGTCCGGAGGGATCAAAATGCTAATTCAGTCCAAATCTGTACATACTTGAGCATTGGTCAAAGTTGTGAAGGGATGGTGAGACCATGAATGATGAGCAACGTGATGGCTACGAGTAGCAATAGCAACTAAGCTAGCAGGATAATAAGAAGATTGCGAACCAGTAATGAAAAATGTGGCCTTTAGATTCAATGTGTCCAATTGATTCATGAGTGCAACAGTGTCATTGGTGTGAACACCATTGACGATATTTTCACTAGGCGCATCATCATACTAAGAAATTGACTGAGTGTCAAATATCGTCCGAGCTTGTATCGCCTTGAAAAAAGTTGTCGATCAAAACAAAAACTTACAGTGAGACCCCATTGGTAGTTCTGAGGACAATAAACAATATCAGCGGCACCCCAAGCTCCAGCCGTCGTCCGGGTACACAGATCGTTTGGCCAGTAGCAATTGGCAACCGGGTCAGAGTGATAAGTGACATCCGAATACTGAATGTAGGTTGACGTTGGAATATTCAACAAGGAAGCAGGAACCACAGAGTTGACATAAGCCAGTGCCGAAGTAACGATTGGATCATTTAAATAGCTTCCAGTGATGAAGAGAGTCTCATCCGCGGATGGATACTATTCGTGATTCAATAGTCAGTCATTCAGGCAACACCGTAAACAACATGAATACGCGACACGGAATTGCCGGAATAAAGAGACTTACTGCGGCAGGCTGCAATGGAACAGCAGGAGGTGCTGCAACTTGTCTCTTTTCGACCACCGACCGTCCGAATCGTTGATTGCTGGGAGCCAAAGAGGTAGCTAGCAAGACTGTGCTTGCCAACACAGCTCCAGAAGACAAGATGCTTGTCAAAGAATATTTTCGACTCATCTTCTACTACACGATGCTTGATGTAGCTTGCTTTTTGTGAATACTCAAGTCAAAGAATCACTGTTTGAATTTGCGGCAGTTAGGAGTTATTTTCAGAATTTTGGGTTGAAAACACAGAAACCCACTAATTTCATTCCAAATCCAAATTTTTGTTTATATTGGCGCAGTGAGCTAAAGACAGAGTTTCGGAGTGATGACGCCCATCCGTTCCGTACTGCTACTGGTGTATAGTCTGCTGCTACTCTCCCGCAAACCGCAAACTTTGTTTATTCGACATTGATAATTTATTAAGAATCTATAAACAACTCTAATTTCTGAAACGTGTAAAGATATAAAAAATGATCATATACAATAATAAACAAGTACCAATACGACATACATCGGCAACAAACTTTGGCTGAATACAAACACCTCTCCACTTGAAGCTGCAACGAGATTTGTCAGGGAAGTTGTTGAGGAGTTTGGAGAAGCAACAGCTGACTTGGCTGGTGGTTGCACTACAGCAGATGCATTTGGTGCATCATTTCCCTTCACTGAAGCAGAAGCAGCTGCACCATTGCATCCTCCTGGAATTGTACAAGCGTTATAAACGGTGGTGATATTTACATTCTTGTACCATTGAGTGTCACTGAAACACTAATTGTAGAAGTTGTGAGTGGTTAGTTTCGTCGTATCCGTGACTTTGTCAAGGATGGAACCAAACAGTTTCAAAATATAGTCTTACTTGAGGAACTGGCATTATTTGGTTCTTGATACCACCCACTGCTTGAATCGCCTTGAGAGAAGCAATTGAAGTACCTGAGGTAAATGTACTGATTGTGTGTTGAAGAGCAATGAAGCCTACGTGAGACATTGATGTGTTTCAACAATCCTAATCAGTTTGTATAGTGGTGATACCTGAACAGAATTCATACTCACCGGGTGCAGTGTTGAACCATGACTGAATGATGTTTTCGACTACAGCGAAGCCTGCAGCGGAGGGGACGACATCGGCATCTGTGGCATCATGCCTAGTAACATGTGGAGATGTAAGGCATCAACAAACGAAATGTACTTCCTACACCATCTGAGAAAGGATGGTACTAACTTGATTGTTACTTACTTGCTATCCCACATTACAATTCTGAAGCCCAAAGCATTGACGATTGCGCGAACACGATCATCAATATCACCATAAGGGGCACGGAAGTAACGGACACTGAGACCAGTTTTGTTGTAGATTATGGCAGCAGTATACATCATTTCAGCCACAATCTAGACAATTATAAAAAAGAAGTCTGGTTAGGATGAAGCAAGAAATGAAGAAAATGATGGGATTCAGTTCCTTACTTGCTCATTTGTCAAGCTTGTGAGCGGGTGATGTGTCCAGGTGTGATGAGCAACGTGATGACTGCGTTTCGCGATAGCAACCAAACTGACAGGGTAGTAGGATGATTGTGAACCAGTGACGAAAAATGTAGTCTTCACATTCAGCACTTCCAACTGATCCATGAGAGCAACAGTGTCATTGTAATGTGTCCCATTAACAAAATTCTCACTTGGTGCATCATCATACTGCAAAAAATGGAAGGAATTTACAAGTCATATTGACTTCATGATTGGTCCTCCGGAAGAAAAGGATACGATCGTTGCGATCTGTCAAGACTTACAGTGAGTCCCCATTGATAATCTTGAGGGCAACTGACAATATCAGGAAGACCCCAAACTCCGGTTGTGTTCCGTATGCATAAATCATTTGGCCAGTAACAATTGGCAACTGGATCAGCAACATACGAGACATTGGCGAATAGAATGTAAGTGGAGTTTGTGACATTCAACAGAGCAGCTGGGACCACCGATTGAACATATGCCCATGATGACGTGACAATAGGATCAGTCAAGTAGGGATCTGCAATGAAGAGGGTCTCATCAGCCGATGGATACTAATGACAATGATAGAAGATATCAAAATATGACCATCGTAACCTTCAAACCACGCAAATCTTCCACAACTGAGCAAACACAACCGGGAATGTCGAGATTCTTACAGCGATAGGTTGTTGAGGGATGATGGGTGGTGGTGAGACTTGTCTCTTGATCAATACAGCGCTTCCAGAGTGTTCCCGCGGTCCTTGATGATTCACTAATAGAAAATCAAGACGACATGTCAGCACATTGATCGAAGTGCAAACTACGCAGATGAAGATATTCAAATCAACAAGACAAACTAACATGACTTGCCTAGCAACAGAGCTCCAATAAGTATTACAGTAGCATATGAAATAGTTGCCAGAGAGACCTTGATGGTGGTGTTCATCTTGTTGGAAAATGGCATTCGTGGAGCTAGGTTGTGATTGAATACTATAGCTGTGCCTAGAGAGCAATAGTATACTATGTGTTATATGATCTTTCCTTCCAATTACTGTGTTGAATGTAGGTCAGAATTCTCAAAGCATTGGTTCGGGGATTGACATGTGAAAATGATGTTACGGTTCATGAAAGTGGTCAACAACAATGGAAAATGGAACACGGACGTTTCGCGCATTTCGACGCGCTATGAGTACTATTTATATAATTCCATGCTTCTCAGGCATCACATTGCAATAAAATAAGGAGTAAGTGACGAGAACTTCAGTTATCCAGCGGTTATAATAAAACTGTTAAAGCCCCTCTCTCGGCGCAGTCCCCTCTTTCAGAAGACAGTATGTTGATGAGCACTGGTTTCGGACTCGGGAATTCTACCTATCATTGCACCACATGTGGACACGGCAAGTGAGATTGTTTCCTACCGTGCTCGAGGCTGCTGTGAAACTCGTTTCGGTCAGAACTTATCACGAATAAAGATATATTGTTTCTGCAAGTTTTCGTTCCTTTTATTTTTTTCCCTGACTCCACTTTTGTCTACCACATGCAATAATGAACGCCTACGATTAAAACCCACAAGGTCTGGCTCAGTGCAAACATCGTTCCACTTGAGATATCTGAGATCTTGATTGCAGATTCTGAAGCAGTGCTTGGTGAGGCAGCAGGTGACCCGCCTTGTTGAACTGGAGACAGGACTGCGGATGTAAAGCCGAAGGCGCCGCAGATGGATATGGCAGTGGGACGGAACCACAGCCTCCAGGAATCGTGCAAGAATTGTAGACGGTCGTAACCTGTGCGTTCTTGTACCATTGGGTATCGCCAAGGCACTGTCAAAGTTCGGTTAGATCATTGTTGCAAAACGAGACGACTTACCATTGATAATTCCGAGGACAATTGACAAGGTCAGGTGAACCCCGGTTCCCAGATGTAATGCGATTACATAAGTTACCAGCCTAATAACAATTTGCATTAGGGTCAGCATGATATGTCCTTGTCGAGACTGAAACGTAGGTAGCAGCGTCAATAGTGCAGCTGGAACAATAGATTGAACGTGTGCTATTGCTGATGTCACTATAGAGTCATTCACGAAGGCGCCAAATATCATGATATTCTCATCAGACAATGCATACTGGGTAAAGAAAAGAAAAATGTGATAATGTTATTAACATTCAGTCTGCTTGGATCGCAAAGGTTGTAACTGGTCAAGTTAATCCTGTAAAATCTGAACTTACAGCAGCGGGTTGAAGAGGAATTGCAGGAGGCGGAGATACCGTTCTCTTGCTCAATACGGCTCTTCCGAATCGTTCTTTGACTCCCTAGTTGAAATTCGCTGTTTCCCAAAAATAAAGTTTCACCAATTTGAATCAAAAAGCACGCAAACACAGACATCTCAACCAATACGAATCAACTTCCCGACTGACCTATCAATACAGCTCCAAATGATAAAGCTCCAACCTAAATAATTGTTGTAAAGGAGATACCACTGGTGGCTTTGTGTTCTTTGGGGACATTTGCTGGTTAGGATACTGATGGGATTCCTGGTTTGACTGATGAACTAACTGTTAATTCTTGAATCCTAAGAAATTCTGTTTGAATTTCTTAGGAAATCACGAAAGCGAAGTGGCTTGAGCTAAACTTCATTGTTGTGTTTAGGTCCAGGTCTACGATTTTCAACAGATTGGTGCTTCCTTTGGACGTTCGGAAAGGGAAAACCGAAGAAACTACTTCAAAGTAATGAAAGATTGCGACAATAGTTGGATTTATTGTGACTACGAGGTTCGTGTCAAGAAAACCAGAAAAGGAATCTTCGTGTGCATACGGAGCAGAATCTTTGTATGCGAAACCGCCCAAATACATCTTCGTGCAGCTCACCTCCCTCGTAACTTATACGTCATCACCAAAGGATCTCCGCAGGACGAGTAATCGATAATATGTTGTCTGTATTTCTGTATTTGTTCTCATTTCCCAGCCTGTTTCTAAAAACGTTCAATTACAATAACTTGAATTCCTACCATAGGCAACAATACACGAGTCCTACGGAAACCAGCAAGATCTTGCTTAATACAAACTTTGCACCGCTGGAAGTATTAACAAGATGGCTTGCTGGTGATGGCGAAACACCTGGCGAAGCAAAACCTGAACCGACTGGTTGCGCTGAAGGTGGCATGCCACCAGCACTGCAACCTGTAGGAATTGTGCACGAGTTGTAAATGGTCGTGACCCTTGCATTCTTGTACCATTGAGGGTCTCCAAGGCACTACGTGAGAGAGATGTGGCTGATTAGTTTCGGTGATCAGGCGATGGATTCAACAAAGAATGGAGATCAAAACTAAATCTATCACTTGAGGAACTGGCATCATTTGGTTTGTAATACCACCCATAGCTTGAATCGTCTTGAGAGAAGCAATCGAAGTACCGGAGGTGAAGGTACTGATTGTGTGCTGAAGAGCAATGAAGCCTAGACGAAACAGACATTTCTTGATGGTATTGATCACTTTGCATACAGGTATTGGACCAGGTACCTGGTACGGTGTTGAACCACGAAGTAATAATATTTTCGACCAGGCCGAAATTTGCCGCATTGGCGGTGACATCAGCATCTGTAGCGTCATACCTAGAAATGTTACCATTAGTGGAAAGCTGTATCAGGTCTCTGTTGGAAATAGAAACGCGAGAGCTCAAAGAAATACTCTGCTTGGCCACTCACTTGCTATCCCACATAACAATTCGGAAGCCCAGAGCATTGATAATGGCACGGACACGATCATCAATGTCACCATAAGGCGGACGGAAATAGCGAGGACTTAGACCAGTGCTATTGTAAATGATTGCAGCAGTGTACATCATTTCAGCCACAATCTAAGAAAAGGGCAATTAAAGGCAGGTTAACACTAATCGCCTGGAAGGACACAAACCGGATTTATACAGCAAACATCTTACCTGTTCGTTTGTCAAACTTGTAAATGGGTGGTGTGACCAACTGTGATGAGCAACATGATGGCCACGATTGGCGATAGCAATCAAACTGACAGGATAGTAAGATGATTGTGAACCAGTTATGAAGAATGTGGCTTTCAAGTTCAACACATCCAATTCATCCATGAGAGCAACAGTATCATTGTAATGGACTCCATTCACGAAATTTTCACTTGGAGCATCATCATACTAGGTGAAATTCAAATAAGCGCTATCGCTAATTTGTTGAGAAGGTAATGAAATTTTACCGTGAGCCCCCACTGATAGTTTTGAGGACAATAAACTATATCAGGCAGACCCCAGTTCCCAGATGTAGTGCGAGTACAAAGGTTTGCAGCCCAGTAGCAATTGGCAACTGGATCAGCACGATATGTTACTCTGGACAATCGAACATAGGTAGAGGGGGCCACGTTCAACAATGCAGCTGAGACAACAGATTGAACATATGACAATGATGACGTGACAATCTCATCATTTAAATAAGCATCGGAAATCATGAAGTTCTCATTAGGTGATGGATACTATTAGATAAGAGGTGTTGCTGATTAGAACCTAGTTCTACTCATTTTCCAACTTGTTGAATCAAACATGTGAAAACTGCAACCGAAATTGGAAACCTACAGCAGCGGGTTGTTGAGGAATAATAGGAGGTGGTGAGACGTCTCTTCTAGTCAATACAGCTTGCCCAAATCGTTCCTTTCCTACTTCGAGATTCACTAGGTAAAAGAAGACAAGAATCAGCAAAAACACGCAAAGGAGCACATCCCAACAAAACAACTCAAAAGTGTCGACGTGCTTATCAATATAGCTCCTATGAGTATGGCAATAGCATAAGTAATTGTTGCCAAAGAGATACTACTAGTTCGCTTTGTCGTTGTTGGTGACGCCAACATTGGTTCAGCCATTATGGGGTTGTTGATGAATATGCCTTGGTTTGATAAGCTAGATGTACTGTATGCTAGTACAAATGATTCTGAGGAGCACTTGCGATATTTAGAAGAGATGAAAGGCTCAAACTCAGTTTCTTTGGGTTTGGTTGAGTTCGAGCATTTTTGAAATCACCAAGATTGGCCGATCCTCGTTTCAAATTAGAACAGTAGAGGTATAAAGCACCAGTGACGTGAAATGATTCTTCATGGTGATATTCTACCAGCGTTCGCGATAACGAGGGTCGTGCTTCTGACAAAACCTCCCACTGTTTTTGTACTTCGAATATCTCAAAAAGTAGCGACGGAACGAAAACGAATTGACCCGTTCCAATGATGGAGTGATATGAGTGTTGACTGTTCGATCTCTTCTTGCTCTGAGCTTTAGTTGAAGCCCTGAGAATTTCGGTGGCCAAAACTATCCTACCGACGATTTATCTCATCGACGATGGTGGTTCTTCTATAACAATTTTCCGCGATGCCAAGAAGTTTCACCAAGGCAAATGATATTTCGCATTGAGCAACATGAGAATTCACTGACTTTACAATCTATATTCATCTTTGTACATGTCTTTTGTATTGTCCAACAATGAAAGCCAGATGCAATATACATCATCTCTCCAGAGGCAGAAATATCAATTTCGAAAAGCACTGGGAGCAGTATTATTTCACTGGAGGAGCAGTTACACCAGTGCACCCTCCTGGAATTGTGCAAGTATTGTATAGAGTGGTGACATTTGCATTCTTGTACCATTGAGTGTCACCAAGGCACTAATTTGAAGAGTTGTAAGGGGGTTAGCTATCAGGTTGGGCTTTCCTCTTTGTGTGAAAAATGAACAAACAAATGAGGGAAGGATTATTTCAACACAATTCTTACTTGAGGAACTGCCATCAGTTGGTTTTTGATCCCACCCAATGATTGGATCTTTACCAGAGAAGCAATAGAAGTGGCTGACGTGAAAGTACTGATTGTGTGTTGAAGAGCAATGAAGCCTACGTCGCGGGAAACGAATTTGAGTGGCCTTGATCACTGGTTTGCAGCCGAAGGGTGTGAGCGTTGCGAGCAAATCACCTGGTACAGTGTTGAACCATGATTCCAAGATGTTTTCAACTATTGTGAAACTTGCATCGGAGGCGACGACATCAGCATCAGTAGCATCATATCTAGTCAACGATGAAGTTTATGAGTAATTACGCCGAATCAAGTTGCGAAAGCTTCACGACTGTATATCAAAACAAGGCTGCAAAATGCTGACACGTCACTTACTTGGTATCCCACATGATGACTCGGAAGCCAAGGGCATTGACGATTGCACGAACACGATCATCAATATCACCATAAGGAGGACGAAAGTAACGAACACTGATACCCGTTACGTTGTAGATTATAGCGGCAGTGTACATCATTTCAGCTACAACCTAAATATGAGATGATGAAAAACTGGTTAGACCCAATCACTTGAGAAATAGCTTAGAAACAAACCAGACTGACGAAACCGATATCTTACTTGCTCATTTGTCAAACTTGTAAGAGGGTGATGTGTCCAAGTGTGATGAGCAACGTGATGACTGCGGTTTGCGATGGCAATCAAACTGGCAGGATAGTAGGATGATTGTGAACCAGTGACGAAGAATGTAGTCTTGATATTCATGGCGTCCAATTGATCCATGAGAGCAATTGTGTCATTACTATGAACACCATTAACGATGTTCTCACTTGGAGCATCGTCATACTAAAGAAATCGAAAACTGTATTATGAGATCATGGCTTCATAGTTTTAATCGGAAGAACACACAATAATTCCGAGAAAACTTACAGTGAGTCCCCATTGATAGTTTTGTGGGCAGTACACGACATCAGGAAGACCCCAGCCCCCGGATGTGTTTCGTGTGCACAAGGTGCCAGCCCAGTAACAGTTAGCAACTGGGTCAGCCACATAAGTGACATTGGAATAAAGAATATAGGTAGAAGGTGTGACGTTCAATAGTGCTGCTGGTACAACAGATTCAACATATGCCATTGATGACGTGACAATCGCATCAGTCAAGAAGTCGTCGGTAATGAAGAGAGTTTCATCAGGTGATGGATACTAATCAAAACGATCCTTTATATGATCAGACATATGATCAGAGCAGTCACATCCTCCAAATCATCAACAATTGAGCAAACACAACCGGCATGTCACGATGCTTACAGCGATAGGTTGTTGAGGGATGATGGGTGGTGGTGAGACTTGTCTCTTGATCAATACAGCGCTTCCTGATTGTACCAGAGGTTCTTGATGATTCACTAAAGAAAAAAGGATTGGCAAGTCAGCACATTGGTCAGAGTTGCGATGCAAACTACGCAGATGAAGACATTCAAAACGACAAGACAAGCAACCATGACTTGCCTAGCAATAGAGCTCCAATAAGAATCACAGTAGCATATGAGATAGTTGCCATAGAGAGCTTGATGGTAGTGTTCATCTTGTTGGTAAATGGCATTTTTTGAATTCGGTGGTGAGATTGGATTCGAAGAATATCAGAAGCTTATCAGTGTCTATTATGTATGGTATTATTTCGAAAGTTAATCTATACAAAAGTTTCCTTTGGGTTTTTTATCTCGAATGGAGTAGAAATGTGGTTGCCCATTAGCTTTTGCGCGTGAAAACGCCTGATCACGAAAAGTTGTTGAAAAGGAGTAGAAAGAGCAGTTTTACGCGTTGCTACGCGTCTTGAGTACTATTTAATATAATTGCATGCCTCTGAGGTCTCAGTCTCCATTTTGAGCCGAACATGTCGTGTTGAGAGTTGAGAGGAACTTCGGGGTGATACCTAGTAAGGGTCTCCCACATCAAAAAACATACTGTAAGACCACATTGATAGCTCTGAGGACAGTAGACAATATCAGGACGACCTCCAACTAGTATTGCCAGTGCGGGAGCCACCGGCACAGTAGCAGTTGGCGACTGGATCTGCCTGATACGTGACAAGGGTTTGCAGTTGGTACGTTCAAGAGTGCAGCCGAGACGATAGATTCAACATATGCTGGAGCTGAAGTGACGATGGGATTTTTCAAGAAGGCATTCGAGCTGAAGAGACTCTCATTCAAAGATAGATACTATTACAAAATGGCTTTTATGATCTCGAGAAGTCTCTATGTGTTCATTCATATAGATTACAAGGCAAACACCAAGCAAATAAGATAAAATCTTACGGCAGCAGGTTGCTGAGGCATAGCAGGTGGAGGTGAGACACCTCTCCTACTCAGAACAGCTTTTCCGAGTCGTTAATTTCCTATTTGATCGAGATTTGCTGTGTTCACCAAAAAAAATTCGTGTGCAAGTTATAAAACACGCAAACTGAGATTACTCGACCAACACGATTCAAATCTGCTGCTTGCCTATCAGTGTATCTCCGATCAGTATGGCACCAGCACAGGAAACTGAGGAAACTGAGACCCATCATAACATTTTCTTCCGATTGCTGTAATTGGTATGAGTACCAACGACCGAAAATGTAACAAAAAACAATGTGCCCAAGAACAGTTGGCACACCGCACCCAAATACCCAGCAATTCTAAGTACTCTCACACTCCTTACCCATGCGGCATCACCTGTCGCTTGTTAAAATGAAGGTAATTTACAATCTGTATTTGCTCTCATTTAAAACACATTCTCTAACGATATAATACTGACTACTATATGCAATTTAAACAACGAAACGAAACCAACAAGCTCCTCTCTCAGCACAAACCTCAGCTTGGCATATACGAATAACCACCTTCAGGAGCTTGCGGTTGCACTGGGAGCGGAAGCAGTCACTGGAGCAGAAGCAGTTGCACCATTGCACCCTCCTGGGATTGTGCAGGAATTGTATATAGTGGTTACATTTGCATTCTTGTACCATTGAGTGTCTCCAAGACACTATTTTTAAAAGAGTTGTTTTAAGTTATCTGGTCCTTTCCGTCCCTATGCGAACGACGAACAAGAAGCACGAAGTCAAATCAGGTCTTACCTGGGGAACTGGCATCATTTGATTCAATATGCCACCAAGTGATTGAATTTTCACGAGAGAAGCAATTGAAGTGCCTGATGTGAAGGTATCGATGGTGTGTTGAAGTGCAATAAAGCCTACAAGAACAAACAATAAGATATGCGTTCGTTGATATTGCTATTCCTGCTCATTCAACAACGAATGGTGCCTATGAAAGTATCAACGAATCTTTCACTGACCTGGCACACTGTTAAACCATGAAGCAATAATGGATTCAACTATTGCAAAGCTTTCAGGGGACGCAACGACATCAGCATCAGTAGCATCATATCTAGCAAAGTTGAAATTTCCTTATAAAATACTGACTTCAGAAATAAAGTATCTGACACGTCACTTACATGGTGTCCCACATGATGACTCGGAAACCAAGAGCATTGACGATGGCACGAACACGATCATCAATATCACCATAAGGAGGACGAAAGTAACGAACACTGATACCCGTTACGTTGTAGATTATTGCAGCAGTGTACATCATTTCAGCTACAACCTAATACGAGGTGATGAAAAACTGGTTAGACCCAATCACTTGAGAAATAGCTGAGAAACGAAACGGATTGACGAAACCAATATCTTACTTGCTCATTTGTCAAACTTGTAAGCGGGTGATGAGACCAAGTGTGATGAGCAACGTGATGACTGCGGTTTGCGATGGCAACCAAACTGGCAGGAGAAGTCGATGATTGTGAACCAGTGACGAAAAATGTAGTCTTGATATTCATGGCGTCCAATTGATCCATGAGAGCAATTGTGTCATTACTATGAACACCATTAACGATATTTTCACTTGGAGCATCGTCATACTAAAGAAATCGAAAGTAGTATTATGAGATCATGGCTTCATAGTTTAATCGGAAGGACACACGATAGTTCCGAAAACCCTTACAGTGAGTCCCCATTGATAGTTCTGAGGGCAGTACACGACATCAGGAAGACCCCAGTCCCCTGATGTGTTTCGTGTGCACAAGGTGCCAGCCCAGTAACAATTGGCAGCTGGATCCGCGGTATAGGTGACATTTGATTCCAGAACATAACTTGAAGGCGTGACACTCAATAGGGCAGCTGGGACCACCGATTGAACATATGCCATTGATGACGTGACAATCTCATCAGTCAAGAAGTCGTCGGTAATGAACAGAGTTTCATCAGGTGATGGATACTAATCAAAACGATCATTCACATGATCAGGCATATCATCAGAACAGTCAAATGATCCAAATCATCAACAATTGAGCAAACACAACCGGAATGTCGAGATACTTACAGCGATAGGTTGTTGCGGGATGATGGGAGGTGGTGAGACTTGTCTCTTGATCAATACAGCGCTTCCAGAGTGTTCCCACGGTCCTTGATGATTCACTAATAGAAAATCAAGACGACATGTCAGCACATTGATCAAAGTGCAAACTACGCAGATGAAGATATTCAAATCAACAAGACAAACTAACATGACTTGCCCAATAAAAGAGCTCCAATAAGTATAACAGTAGCGTATGAAACAGTAGCCAGAGAGAGTTTGATGGTGGCGTTCATCTTGCTTGTAAATGGCATTAGTGAGGGTTAGATGTGATGAATAAGAAGGCTGCTGGGTGTATATACAAAATTATGATATGAGTTAATACAATATTTTCAAAGTTTCCTTTGAATCTTTGGTTTCAATGTTGTTGGAAATTTTTGGTGCAGCAGCTTGGATGTCATGCTTTTGGGATGTGAATTTAGAAGGGTTGATAAAAACTGTTACGAGCAGAGAGCGAGACCAGCTTTACGCGTTTCTACGCGTCTTGAAACTATTTGATATATTTTCAACCCTTTCGGATCTCCGCTCACTAACGCTGGGGTCCCACGTTAAATGACGACGTTTGTGATGGCGTAAGTATTCTAGCCCACCTTGGTCATTTCCCCACAGTTTCGCTTTAAGTACCATTTCATTTTCCAGTAATGTGGCGATTGTTAGCGAGATGGCCTATGTACGTTTTCTAGCATGTCTGTTACTCCAATAGTATGAAAAGTCCCCAAGTGGCACATTTCGAGTGTCTAATCACAAAGATATTATATATTTGTATGTTGTCTCTCACTGGCTTCAATTAAATTCCTATTTTGTAACACACCCTCCCTACCACATGAAATAATAAAGGACGGCCAACGAAACCAACATGGTTTGGCTTAGAACAACAATAGTTCCACTTGAAACAGTCAAAAAGTTGACTGCAGAAGTGGTTGGAGTGGCATCTGGAGAAGCGACAGCATAGCCGACTGATTGTGATGGAATGGCAGCTGCGGAAGGAGCGGCGTATGGCGAAACAACAGCACCACAACCTCCAGGAATCGTACAAGAGTTGTAGATGGTCGTAACTTGCGCGTTCTTGTACCACTGAGGGTCGCCTAGGCACTGTTGGTATTCTTTAGCGGCTGACAATGTCGAAAGAAACGTACACAAAAAAATGATCCAAGCTTGGCGAGAAGTGGTCTTACTTGAGGAATAGTCATCATCTGGTTCTTGATGCCACCCAACGACTGAATCTTCTTGAGAGCAGCGATAGAAGTGCCCGAGGTGAAGGTGGAGATTGTGTGTTGAAGAGAAATGAAACCTAAGATGGGGGGCAAATTTCATCGAATTAAATTCGGATAGTCACTCGAACACGAGAGTCTTCATTATAATCCAGACGCTAACCAGTATCGTTACGCACCTGGTACAGTATTAAAAAATGAGCTTATGAGATTTTCAACTACTCCAAAGTTTGCATCGTTTGCGGTGACATCAGCATCAGTAGAATCATACCTAGCAGATCCAACGTTGACGAAAACGTACGAAAGACATGACAAACACTTAATTACAGAGCTTTCACATATCACAGCGACTTACTTGCCATCCCACATAATGATTCGGAAGCCCAATGCATTGACAATGGCACGAACACGGTCATCAATATCACCATATGGAGGACGGAAGTAACGAACACTGAGACCAGTGTTTTTGTGAATGATGGCAGCAGTATACATCATTTCAGCGACAATCTAAGTAAAGTGGCGATGATTTGTGTCAGCAACGAGAGCGAAGATAAGATGATGCAACTGCATCTTACTTGAGCATTAGTCAAACTAGTCAATGGATGATGCGACCATGAATGATGGGCAACATGGTGGCTGCGGTTGGCGATAGCTATCAAGCTGGCAGGGTAATACGATGATTGTGAGCCAGTAACGAAGAATGAAGCCTTCAAGTTCATAGAATCCAATTGATCCATGAGAGTAAAGGTGTCGTTGCTGTGAACGCCATTAACGATATTTTCACTTGGTGCATCGTCATACTAAACCACATGGCAAGGAATTTGTGTCAGTACAAGTCATGGTATTTGCAGCCTATCAAAGTTTTTAATCAAATGACTTACAGTAAGACCCCATTGATAATTCTGAGGACAATAAACAACATCCGGCGGGCCCCAATCTCCAGTTGTAGTTCGAATACACTGATTATTAGGCCAATAGCACGTAGTAGCTGGATTAGCCGTGTAAGTCACAGTTGAGTATTGAATATAAGTGGAAGGAGTGATATTCAAAAGTGCAGGTGGGATAACTGATTGAACATATGCCAAAGAATTTGCGACGATAGGGTCAGTCAAGTAGGCCCCCGATATCATGAGCGTTTCATCAGGAGATGGATACTAGAATAAAAGGAAAATGATTAGATCCTGCTGGATTCGCTGCGGAGTTCATATGGTCAAGAAACACCAACGACGAAAAACTTACAGCAGCGGGCTGAGCTGGAATAATCGGTGGTGGTGAGACAGCTCTCTTATCCAAAACAGCTCTTCCGAAACGTTCTTTTCCTGCTTGATCGAGATTCACTATGTTCAAAAATCAAAACAAGGTTTCAACATTTTGATGACTCGAACAAAAAGCACGCAAACAAAGATATCGGAGCTAATAAGATACAAACATGGTGACTTGCCTATCAGTATAGCTCCGACCAATATGGCACTAGCGTAGGTAATTGTTGCGAGGGAGACATTACTAATGGGCATTGCCGCCTTTGGTTTTGCCAAATTCTTCGGTAGTTTGTTGGTCATATTGGGTTTCACTGTTGATGAGATTTCTTGTTTCTGCGATAGACGACCTCCGTTGGATGCGAATCCGAATAGTTTGAGCTCGTGTGTTGGAGATTCTGCAACGTGCAAACTTGTGGCCCAAACTTCATTGTCGTCTCTGCGTCTAGGTTTGGAATCAACAGATTGGTGCGTCTGCTTTGATAGAAACAAGGACGAATGACGACATGAGCCGACATTTATCCATTTCATCGTCTCGAATGCCTAGCAACGATGACTTTCTCGCCTTTGCGGATTGATGCAGCTGTCAACGTTTTTCCTAGTCATGGTTTTGCGATTTGTCTGAATGAAGGAAGAAGCGCCCATGCTGACAGTTCAACACCAGAACGCCGGACCGACCATCACATTTTCGTGACTGATGAAATGGGATCTATTGTTGCTTCTAATATCTTTACAATATATCAAAACTGTGTTGGAACAAGAAAGATGAGATTGATTATTCAGGCTTTTGGCTGGCACGTTTAGCAGCCTTTTCAGCTGTGAGAGCGGCAGAGAACCTGTATTGAGGTTGAGTCTGTAAGCGAGCCGTAAATTCGAATCGGCGACTCAGGTGTCTTACATTGTGTTATTTCCTGCGACAGGTATATACGGCATCGTTGGCACTGCCGCGAAATCAAGAAAAGATGGGTCATATTCCGAATCACCACCTCCTAAAGGAACAGTAAGAGTTTGTTAAACCAACAACAAAAAAAGGCACGAGAACCTCAACTCATACCAATAGGTGACATAGGTCTTGAGTTCGGACCTGACACATATCCTTCACCCCTGCTCATTGGAGGACTAGCACCTATAGATCGACTCAACAGTGGCTCAGGAGCAGCAAAAGTAGGACTTGACATTCCTGGATGCCCTCTGATGCCCATACCCAAGCCCAATCCAGCGTTAGGCATAGACATGGCCTGCCCAATCCACTGATTGACTTTACTTTGGCGCCTCTGCATAACTATAGGAATACTCTGATTTCGTCCAGAAGGACTTCCCAATACAGGCTCGTCATATTCTTCCGACATTTCATCATGATCTCGAGTCATTTTATGGAAGGCTGGTGACCATGATTTCTTACTCATAGCTGGATGATCTAGTTCATGTGGTGATGTAGACGCTTCTGTGGTTCCTCTGTTTGATTGTGATGGGCTGGTTGCACTAAATATATCTGGTTCAATTGGAGCTTTTAATGATCCTTCAGCGACACTAGTAGCAATTGCGTCATTTACAGGGTTGATTGCTCCAGTCAAGACACCGGGCGGCCATAGATTGGCGTTTGAAGAGTGTGGCGGAGGTGGTATGATGCCTGGATTCCAGAATTGCTGGTTGACGACTGGGTTTGCCATTACATCATGTGAGACGTCCAAGTTCTCGAATGAAGCATTCATTAAGGATTCATCCCTTGGACGTTCTGGTGTCAGACTACCAATGACCATGTGCCTCTCTTCCATCAAGGTCTGATATCGATATGCCATACGTATATTTGGCACATTAGTCTTTTGAATATCTACAGAGTGAGTTGTAGAGTCAGATATCCACGCATTATAGCTCTTTTGTGGAAGCGGGTTTTGTTTCTTGGAAACGTACGATTTCCGGCAGGTCCAGGAAGCTCAAAATGATCACCAAGCCAGTGCTTCTTGATCTTTCTTTCCCAGCCACTCTGAATAACAGAGTTTCTAGCAATTTCACACATATCTGGACCAGTAAGTTTCCATATCTATCCATCGACAAAAACGTTACTTCAATACTCGCACGAGCCAAAATAAGATCCCTAGTCAGTCAAAAGGAATTATTACCTGAGCAGCAACACTATACTCTTCAATAAGTGGTTCCTTTGTAAAATGAAACTGTAATGGATCATCGGTAGACAATGACACATTAAGACCTCGTTGGAAAAACTGCAAGAATGGGTTTCTCTCATAGTTCAAAAAGAGAGCATTATTGGATAGGGGCGACATGGCAATACCGATTTGATCAAGATAGAAGAGGTATTGTAATGCGGGAACTTTTCGTAACAAGATACCATGACTGATGGAATGTGAAGTCAAGAAGGCACATGCCAAGTGATCTGTATCACCAGCCTCTCCCGCATGTGGTCTTAACACGAACGTGTCTGTAATAGATAGGATTTAGCAAAAAAAGCCTCGCAGCAACAGAATAGTACGCCAAAGACTTACTGAATCCACGCTCCTTCCTCCACAAGTTCAGCACTGCCATATTAGCAAACATATAATACAGATAATACGAGTATGGAGGGTTGAGATTGATATTCCATTCTCGTGGTGGTGGATACTTTTTGAAGGTTCGTTTCTCAGCTTTGGATTCATCGTCGACACTATCAAATCCAATGACTCGTTGCAAAAAGATGTATAATTCTGGATGAGAGCTTGGGTTCTGAGTGACCTCAAACAAGGGCTGGAAGATATCTACCAGGAATTGTCAACGTTAGACTTTCTTGCTCCCTGAGCTCAATGAAAAAACACACAAAAGCAAACATACTCTTGATGATATCCTCAAAGGACGCGACTTGACCAGCTCCCTTATATACATTGTAAAGACGAGGGACTTGAATCAACCATCGGACATTGTGGGAAAAGAGTTTACTTCCAACCACCCATTTAGCCAACTTGTCCCACTCAGACATGTTCCTACACACAAATCATTGGGAGTAAGTTACTTTCATCGTTGAAAGAAGCTGCACCATATGGAGAACAACGAAAGAAAAAAAATGTCAAGGAGATCAGTGCATACCTTCCATAGATCGAAATACGGTACTCCATCATCTGATACTTGCTAGCTTCCAAATCATACATAACCTCTATAAAGGACACCAAAAAAACTTCATTATGGTAACATCATACGGTTTAGTAACTCATAAACAACAAACCTTTTGTCAAATCAGCCAAAAAGCGTCCCTGAATATAGTTATCCGTCTTCAAAAAGATTTCACGTAATCGAGATTCGCCCATTGGATTGTACTTCAAATTGAACTTGTCGAATCGATGGAATGAATCTGTATGTGCCTAAAGTAAGCCAAAAAAAATTATTATTGAACAATTGAAAATGAGAATGGTGTTCCACAGTGTCACTCACATGCATATCAAGAGTATCAATACTCAAATCATAAGCTGTCAATGACAAACTTTGAAAGACTTGTTTCAGAGTCAGGTGCTGCTGATCTCTGAATATCACAACCTCCTTTAAAAGGTGAACAAGAACCGGAGTGAGCCAAAAAAAAAGATTAAACCGGCTAGTATAGTTCAACAACTCACATCTCCACTCTTCCTCAACTTGGACTTGATGAATCTCAACAAGTGTTTCTGATTCATACAAGACGAATGGTGCACGTGGGTATCGACTTTACGAACATTGTAGAAGTCACGATGTGGAACTCTCTAGCAAAACCGTGCAAAAATATACAAGGTGAGCTACCATAATGCCATATCCAAAATTCTTCGCGTACCTTGGTATCAGCCAACTCTTGATATCCATTCAGCAAAGTATACATTTGAAACTTGGCTTCTAGGTATCTCAGTCTGCGAAACGCAAAACTCTTTGTTGGTCCATCAGAAATCACATTCACGATAAAGTCCAAGTGCGTAAAGTAATCCTTGACACTTGGTACCACGTATCGTTTTGAGTGCGTTGCCTTTGCTAATGATGAAGATCGAACAATAGTTGAGTGCGGGAAGAACAAAAAAATGTCGACTGTAGGAATGAAAGGATATCTCAACTTTGATTGACATTTCACATACCTGTTTCACTCTCATACACTTCATAAACACCATTTGGACCCATTTGATACGAAAACTAAACATGAAACAAAAAGTCAAACTCAAAGCCAAAAAAGGCTCGATTTCAGTCGCCATATCACTTACAGCATGCATCTCAGGAATAGGCACCTGACTAGCATCAAACTCGACCCGCAAATCGGGTTCTCGTGGTATAAAGTCACCATTAGCAGCATATTCAGGCGGATAGGATGGCGATAATGGTGGTGGATAGATGACCCAGTCGTTATCATCTTTGGGGTTATCACCAGGAGTTTGTAAAGACATTTGTAAGAATGATTCACGTAGTTCTAGACACTCTCGTAATGATGAGAAGATGGATTGGAGTTCGGATGCTAGTTCGTCGTCTATGCGAAATAAAACCTTTGTGAGCCATCTGAAATTGGTGGATTGAAGAGGACCAAACAAGGTATCGGTAAACGTGACAAAGAGCAACTTTTAATCTGCCAACTCCTCAATTCCTCTCTTTACCTCTCATAGCAGATCTAACAGGTCGCTCCTGCCCACCAGGCTGATCAACCAAATTCATACTGCCAGGATTAGCAACAGAATGCAACTGTTCAGCCAGAGACGCAGACGCATTATTGGATCTTGACATTGACAGTGATCGCCCTCTTGCAGGCCCATTTCCAGCTCCAGGACCTAAACTTGCCACAGATCCATTATTGATGTTACTGCTTCCAGCAACTAGACCTGCTGAACTGCTACTACCAGCATTAGCACTGAGACCTGGGTTTTGTGTTAACAGAGGGAGCTGAGGAGCATTGACAGCTGCAGGGATCGAATTAGGAGAAGGAGGCAGTTTGTTCGCAAGTGGATCTAGGATTGCCTTTCGTGGTGGAGCCCCGAAAGGAGTTTGGATTTGAGTCTGCATTTGCGATTGTTGTTGTTGGATGGTTTCTTCGAGATTAGGAAGCGATGGACGTCTCATTGCAAAGAATTTGCCATCTTCCTGTTTAATTGAATGATAAAATAATATAAATGAGTAGGTTGAAGCGTTTGGAATGGGTGCAAGGCCAGATCAAGAAAAAACAAACAAGCTTCAAAATTTTGGAAAAAACGTGCTTACGTGTTGGGACAGTTTTTCATCCACAGGAGTATAGACTGAATTTTTGGCAGGAATCTTGATGCTCTGGCTCTCCATGGCTATGTCCCATCCAGGCTTCAAGTGGGCAAAGTGTTAAAAAGATGTGTAAAAAATGTGCACGATTCTTTGACGGATTGGTCGAAGTAAGCAGACAAAAGCTGTCAAAGATTTCAGCTGCGAACATACCCATGAACTCTGACGATCTATATCAGGCGCTTGGAGCGATGCCTTGAGCTTGTCATCCATCCTCTTAATGCTGGTTTTGAACAAATCGATAAGCGAACGGTTGAAAAGCCACCAGCAAAAAAACAGTCGTAACTTGATAACATATTGTATTTTACTTTTAATTTTCAACGCGTAACTAGTCTCTGATCGCACGTGTTCCTCCGTCAGATCTAGTGGAAGCTCAACAAGACACCGACAGTGAGTGATCGTGCGGTAGGCATTTGTATGTAGAACTAGAAAACATGCACCCAAGCACTCCTGTCGGTGGTGAACGGGAGGTACCGTGTTGTGATTAACCTGTTGTCGAGGTAAAGCATTCCAGCAGCTTTGGTACAGCATTCCAGACTCTGGATTTCTGTTGTCTTGATTTGTCTCTCCCCGCTGGGATCTAACATTCAATTAAGTAGCCTCCGTGGATCAGGACTATAACCACGCGATGACAATTAGTTTCGTGTTGATGATAAATTCAGGCCAAAAAACAAGCAACGCGCCTCAATCGACCATTGGGCCTAAAGATTCATTCTTAAATCCAGATGGTACCTGTAGCGCGGATCCGTTTGGAATGCAATCGTCCATGGCACAGACATAGATCACACATGCAACGATACCTGTAGCCCACACATCCACTGGTTCTGGATCATGCTCAAGTCTCGCTATCTGGAACATCACCAAATTCTAAATTGAATGCAATAGTTAGTTTTACATACAGCAGTATTGATGCACGGGTGAAGTTCAAACTTGCCGTTACAACAAATTGCAAAAAAAATAAACGAATATATTACCATACCTCTGGTCCAATGTAAAGAGAGGAAGCCTTCGCTTTCCCTTCTTCTCCAAAGGTGCTCTAAATCCACGATATCAACTTGAGCATCATCACCAGGACTGTAGAGACCTCGAAAGAAGAATGATTCACGTAATTCTAAGCATTTTCGTAATGAGAGACGACAGATTGTCGTTCTGAAGCATGATTTTAAACGCATCTCTATGTAAAAAGGAAGACTACTAACACTTGAAAAACTATACTCAAAAGCAAGTCCAAAGTCCACTGACTATGATTGTGAAATGGGTGGCGACGGAGAAGTACCATGTTTGTGCTTGACCTGTTGTCCAGGTACAGCAGCAGCGTCGGTACAGCATTCAACAGTCTTGAACCAATCATCCTCAACAATCTCTGATATCTTGATTCGTGTTTCTGGATTTGGATCCAACATTCGATAGAGTAACCTCCTTGGGCCAGGGCTGTTAAAAACGGAAGAAAAATTGTGAGATCATGAAGAGGCTAAGCTAAAAAAAAGATTCCTGTACATAATGCGCTCTAGCACACTATCAATGGGCAGACAACACATACCTCAATCGATCTATGGGCCAGAAGGATCCATTCTTATGATCCAGATAGTACTTGTAGCGTGGATCCGTTTTGACTGCAATCTTCCATGGAATGGCACTATAGTACATTACGTATAGAATGATACCGGTAGCCCACACATCCACTGGTTCTGGATCATATTCAACACTCTCACTATCTGGACCATCTCCAAATTCCTATTTCAAATATCAAGATTTAGTTTTGATCGGCATTGACGTTGCGTTGAACTGACACCAGGTTCAAACAGAACACAATAAAGGCGAGTAACCGTATACATACCTCTGGAGCAATGTAAGGAGAGGAACCACAAACACCCTTCATCTTCCTAATCTTCTTCTCCATTGGTGCTCTAAACACATCCGAGACACCAAAGTCGGTAATCTTGATTATTCGATAATACTTGTCCAACAAGATGTTTTCTGGTTTGAGATCTCGATGGGCAACACCCATCTCTGAATGGAGATACCTCACTCCATTAACAATTTGCTTGAAGTAACTAATAAAGTGCACACAGGTTAGAACATCAAAAGAGGAAGGTATGATTGTACCAGGAGAGGCAAAAAGAGAAAAAATAAAGATTCAACATGTGCACCTTGACACTCACCAGTTGATTTCTGCATGGTCTGTTACAAGACCAGCGTGGATACGAGCATACAAATCACCACCCTCCATGTATTCCATGACTTCGCACCAGTTCTTGCCCTAAAAAATACGAAGTGTTGGCTGGTCACAGCAAACAGACCAGAATCACGACGAAAACGTACCTCATCTTGAATGAGATCGACGGTCTTGATGATGTTCTCATGCTTGAGAGTGGAACTGATACAGAATTCAGAGACCACCTTCTTCAAATACTCCTTCTACAAAAGCGATTTAAAAAAATATTGTCAGTACCACCAAAAAGTCGTACCAAAACAGCATCATGACTACAGCACGTCAGGTCATCAATCTTACAGGCGTCTCATCTCTTCTCCTCTTCCTAAACTCTTTGATAGCATATCGTTCACCAGGCTCTCCATTGGCAGGACAACACAACCGTACGACAGCGTTGGCACCACGACCCAATTGGTGTCTCTTTTCACCATATTCATCTTGTAAACTACCCTTTGAAGATAGTTTACGTTCCATGGTGACTCCAGATGGTGAAACTACAGCACCCGTGCTGCCGTTTGTGATCGGAGAAGTACTGAGTGGAGTGGTGGCTCGTTCTATTAATGGGTCTGTGGATTTCGAGGTTTTGCTGGTTCGACCTAATGATCCGTACATGCTACTATTGGCACTACTAGTCTTATCGGCGTTGTTTGAGACACTGCCATCCTTGTTGTTGTTTGCGAGATCAGGCTTTGATTCCTTGTGACGTAGGAAAAAGTCTCTAAATAAACTATGACTGGATGACGCTCGTCGTACTTCCTTGTAGGGTTCTTCATCTACTACTGGGATTGACGACGAAGTATTGATGGATTCGGGTTTTGGAACTAGAGGGCTCGGTTTCTTTGTTGATGTGGATCTACGAGGTGCTTCTTCCTTGTCGTGTTCATCAGAGCCTTTATGGTCTTCGTCTTCTGATTCGTCTGAGTCTTGAGCAAAGAATCGACCAGAGTGGACTTTGAGTGGTCCCATTGGTTGAGTCTTTTCGACGTCGTCTATAGAAGAAGGTAATGGTTAGTTTCAAGTGTTTGAGCTGCAAATGAAGTGATTTAGACGAAGGAGATGTTTGAGAACATCAGGATGTTCCAGCAATCGCCACATTCTGTTTGAAACATCAAAGCAAACAAAAAGTTGTGCAGACAAGTCATGAGTTTCAAACACTCATACCATCAGCTAGATGGAGGATGGTCCATTTGAAGCCCTGCTTAGCAAGTAAGGAGCCTATTTGTTCATCGTCCAAGTCCATTTCATCGACGGACTTTGGATCGGAAAACATGTTTGACATTGAGTATGCAAATTCATTGTTTTTTCCCAAGGCAGTCTTCTTTGACGGTTTACGTTCGGGACCAGGGGAAGAGGAGCGAGACGATTGGTGGCTACTGTTGTTGACATTGGTAGTATTAGTAGGGTTGGTTGGATTTGTTGGACTAGTATTTCCACCATTTGCATTTGATGTTGATGCCGATGGTCGTCTTGAATCAGCCCGACGCTGAGGAGCTCGGCAATGGTTGTTGAGAAGCTGAGGCTCCCATAGTTCTGGAGTAAAGGTACTCATTATTAGGTAGCTGTTGGGGAATACAAGTTGATATTAAGCTTTTTGGGTCGGTGCAGGTGAAATTGATGTGTGGGTATTATATGTTGTGCTCGTCGGACGATAACCTTCCAGCTGCTTCTGCGAATGCAGCAATGTCTGCTGATGCGCTATCTGCACTCTCCTCCCTTGATTCAACAGCCTCGTTTGTAATCAGAAATTTGCAAACCGAGAAAATTCCACTCGTCCAAAAACGTGCGAAACGGTCGTTCGCGAAAACATCGAATACAACAAGGAGGGAGGGAATAGTATACTATCCTACCAATTTTACGTTGGCCTTTCAATATCATTGGCCATATCGTCGCCGCAAACCACCAACATTCACTACTTTTCAAATTGCCAATTTCACACCATTCCACTTACTTTACAAGCTGTTTGTCTACCTGAAACACCTGCGAATTTATCCATCCGAGCTGTCTACCCAACACCATCAAGATCTAAGCTACCATTCAAAATCCAAAACAACGTGATTATAGCAGCACCAACGAAGCACTAATCAAATTGCAGCTTTGAAGGAATCAACATGTTTGCACGACGTGCCTTCGCCCACATATATAGAGCCGTCGAGCCTTCTCAAGCAACAAGTTTATCATTCTCACAATTGCCTTCCACTTTGTCACCAATGCCCATTACAGGAGCCGAAGCTGAGAAGCTATAAGCGTCACTCATTGTGAATGCAATTACGTCTTTCGACTTCCTTCGTGTTTCCAATGTTTTCAATATGACGCCTCCCTTGCTCCTGTCAGAGCGATATCTACAATCACGAGTATTCAGCGAGCGATCCATCCATCGTACGGCTTTTGAGCTACAGCTACATTAATTCCTTGATAAAAGGATCTTTCTAACGTTCTTGCAATCCAAGCGTCTGATGAGTTTTCCGTCATGCATGCTGGCTTCAGCCACAAGGCCAAAATTCTTCAGCAAAAGTCGTTTTCCATTTGGTATGGCTCATGCCTTGCATGCCTAGATTCGTCCAGCAACCTTTGTCTCTCACCTGATTGTATATTGTATCCAAAAGCTCTCAAACCTCAAACGTCTAAACGTCTGGCGTCTGACAATAACTTTTTGAATACCAAGGGCACTTTCAAATCGCACGTCCGGAGGTGGATGAATCTGGATTCAACGATGACGCCTGCCCGTGGATTTGGAACTTTGACAACTTTACCAACCAACTGAAATAACTTGAGGTGATGACTGCTTACTTCCGTACTTATACTTTATCATATGATGAAATAGAAACTACACTAATACATTACATATCAGCAGCCATTTGGCATAGCACGTACGTCTGTTTGAGTAGAAACCAATCACGCAGTTCCGGCATTTTAGTTCATACACCTGTTGCTCAACATTTTGAATATCGGTCGGTGCTACATGATTGAATATTGTATTTTGAAGTACATTATACTTTATATTACTCTTGTTAAATCGCGTCAATGTGGTACTTTACACATGAAAATCGCGAATGACTTTACGAAAATCGACAGCAAAAACAAGTCGAGTGGTTTTAGCGTGACTTTTGACCTGTCAAGCCACAGCCAATAAAAATTCAGCTCCGCCCTCCACTAAGAGTATGGTCAGACTTTTGCGCACTCTCAATTCCAAACATCCAACAAACTCAGAACATCGTCCCAAATATCAAGAACATACAAAGTCGATAGTCTCAAACAACAATACAGTACTCTTATATATCAGGTAAGCTATGAATCGATTGTTGCATGCCTTGCATTCAAATTATGAAGCTGTTTTGAACAAGTCTGTCATCATTTGAGCTGACATCTTCAAATGCATCTTTTGATTAGAAAGGACTGCTTCAACTATGGTAGATATCAGTGAAGGAGTAGCTGGATTGAAACTCCATACCATGCAACTCGCTCGTCGTCCTGGTCCAATGACAGGTAATTATCAGCATGTGGACATTTGACATCAAGTTCTGATCTTATATAAGAATCATTACAAAGCTTATTTTGAAGTCTTTTCATTACCATCCGTTACTCATTCCTCTATCATTCTCGTTATAGGAAGTGGTATTCCCAAGGCACGAGAAACTACCATCCGTGTCAACTATCTCAAGGTCAATAACCTTCCAAATTTCTCAATGATACACTACGATGTATCATTCGAACCTGAAATCCCACCTGCATTCATTCGTCGTGTATTCCACGCGTTTGAAAGGCAACATCGCCAAAGTGAAGCTATGGGTGGCAACTACGTCGTATTCGATGGTCGAAAGAATATGTACTCCAGGTGTGATCTTTCATTCCCTGATGGAGCCACTGCTCATACTTTTATGGTCAATGAACCTGAAGTAAGTTTTATTGCTTTTGAATCTTATGAAGATGGGTTTTGGAGAGTGATTGGTTGGATTCGAGAAAAAGGGTGGTGTGACAGGTTGACATGATCAATCTATTGATAATGATTGGGAACAAAGCGAAATCGAAAAAGATGATTGGATGATTTTCGCATGTGAATGAACCTATAGTTGATGTACATGGAAGACTGGCATGATGAAACTTGAAGCGTTCGACAACTTTTAATAATGGTCTATTTTAAACAGTATCAAGCCAATCATATCACTATCTCTTTAGGATGCCGACGCTGAAGAAATTCTTCGACGAGGTGGCACCACTAGAGAACGTGCAGTCTTCAAGATGAAGGTCCGTAAAGTCGCTGTCATTCCTTTGAATGTCTTGAATGGCTTTACACATGGCCATATGCATGGTTCGACTCCTCAAGAAGCCATTCAATGCTTGGATATCGTCCTTCGTCACAAACCATCACTCTTGTATGTGACTGTTGGTCGAAACTTCTATACTCGTGCTGGTGCATCTACTCTTGGAGGTGGGGCTGAAGTCTGGTAGGGGTTTTTCTGTTCAAATACCTCTGCAAAGGTCTTCGCGCTTCCTTTTTTTTGGCCATTGTGCTGAATCTTATACTAAATATCTGTGCATCGTACCCTCACACAGGGTTGGATATCATCAAGCTCTTCGTCCTGTCATTGACAATCTCAAGATCAATGTGGATGGTAAGCTGTTCAAGAGCTATTAAATTTTTTGCGTGTTTCTATTTTGTTCGACCTTCTTCGCGCTTTCTAAGTTCGGCCTCATACTCAACATCGTTATTTTCTTATGTAGTCACTGCCTCTGCTTTCTATGAAGCAGGTTCCCTACTCAGGATGGTTGGAAAAGTCCTCTTCACAGGTGTCAACGAACTCACCCTCGCTGCACACAACCGTGAAATGAATGATCGAGATCGTCAACGACTTGAGAAGACACTAAAGGGTCTTCGAGTCGAGACAACCCATCGTGGATCCAAAAAACGATTCAAGATATCTAAGGTCCACAACCAAAATGCTGTTCAATATACATTTGAACAAAATGGTCGTCAAGTCTCTATCAAAGAATACTTCAAGACTCAATACAACGTCGATATTCACTTTGATCTCCTGTACGTATCATGTGCTTTTGTGTGCCTGAATGTGTTCGTGCGTGTATGAGCACATCACTAAGACACTTTTGTCACACACAAATAGTCCACTGATATGGGTCGGTGACCAAAAAAAGGCTTTGATGCCAATTGAAGTCTGTGACATCACTCCTGGTCAACGTCACATTCGCAAGTTGAACGAACGTCAAACATCAGAAATGATCAAGTTCACGTGCAAACCACCTCACGAGCGTGCATCAAAGATTCGTGAAGGTGTCGAGCTCTTCGAATATGCAAACAACGAGTACCTCAGACATTTTGAATTGGGTGTTGAGGAGGACTTGTTCTTGTCTCGAGCTCGCATTTTGGATGCACCTACTATCCACTTTGGAGGTACGGGTCGTGGTGCTTCTGAAAAGGTCGTCCAAGGAGGATGGCGTTTCCACGACAAACGCTTCTTGGATCCTTGCAAAGTCAACTCTTGGGCAGTATTGGTATTTGTCAGTGAGTCAACGACTCCTGAAAGTGCGGTCAGAGCCTTCTTGGATGAACTCTACTCTACTTGTGAAGCCACTGGAATGACATTCCAAAACAAGAGACCCTTGATTGGACATGTTAATCCATCTGGTAATATCGAAGACACAATGAAGAGGGCTTGGAAGGCTGCAGGTGATCAAGTTCAACAACAACCTCAACTTCTCGTGTGTGTCCTTCCCAATGTTGGTAAGTTATCTTCTTGATGTAATACCATAAAGTCTTCATAAACTAACTTCTCATCATTATTCCAGGAGTACCCTTGTATGCCGAGATCAAACGTGTATCAGACACAGTGCTTGGTGTTCCAAGTCAATGTCTCCAAAACAAACACGTCCAATCCAAGAAACGTCAATATTGCCAAAACATTGCCTTGAAGCTCAACGTAAAGCTTGGAGGCACCAACTTTGTCGTCTCTCGTGAAGAATTGGGCTGGGCAGTCTCTGAGCCTACTATCGTCATTGGAGCTGATGTCACTGTTGCTGCTCCTCATGAGAAGGGCAAACCTGCTGTCATCGCTCTTGTTGGCTCTATTGATGCCAAGTTGGGCAAGTTTGCTGCCAAGTTGGCTTGTGTACCTGCTCAAGAGACTACTCGTCGTATGTCTGAAATGATTGCTGAATTGATTCGAAATGCAAGCTAACAGTACGTCGTTTCACTTTATGATTCGATTCTAACGATGCTTATTTTTGTATGTAGTTCTACGCTCATGCTGGAAAGATCAAGCCAACTCGAGTAATCTACTATCGTGATGGTGTCTCTGAAGGGCAATTCTCGGAAGTACTTGGACAAGAACTCAACGCTATTCGTACTGCTTGTACTTCTATCGAACAAGGATACCAAATGAAGGTAAAACAAGCATCTTACTCGAACTCGATATGTGCACGAAGTGTCTTTCTGGCTTGGATAACACGCTAACTGTTATCTTCACAATGAAATAGATTACTTATGTGGTGGTCCAAAAGCGTCACCACACTCGATTCTTCCCAGTTGAATCTCGTGATTCAGACAAGTCTCAAAACTGTCTTCCTGGAACGGTTGTTGACAAAGACATCGTCCATCGTAAGCTTCTCAAACTTCATTATACTGTGATTCTGATTAGTTACTCCTTATCTTCCTCGTTCTATAGCAACTGATTTTGAATTCTATCTTCAATCTCATGCTGGTCTCCAAGGAACTTCTCGTCCTGGTCGATACACTGTCTTGTTTGATGAGAACGCTGTTCCTGCTGAACTCATCCAAGTCAGTCATGCGGGTACTGAACTTCATTATGGTTGGAACGTCTACTCATCACACTCTGTTTCTTTCCACTTCTTAGAACACTACAAACCAACTTGCAAGTGTATTTGCACGAGCAAACAAGTCTGTAAGTGTCACTACTCCAGCCTACTATGCAAACTTGTTGGCAGCCCGTGCCAAATTCCACTCTCGTACTGGATTCTTGGATTCGGAGTCTGTCATCTCAGCAGGAAGTGGAGGAGGCGATGGTCAAGCTGTTCACGAGTACGGTGCTGTGAAGCCTGAACTCCTTCCTTGCATGTGGTTCCTTTGAAGCTGATGTCGCTACTTGAGTCTCATGCTTATTTTAGGTTACTTTGTTTTTGCTTATAACCTGTAGATGTGTATCTTTCTGTTGCTGAATAAAAAAGACGCTCAATTTTGTGGAACAGAGAAGACCCTTATGACTTTCTGCATTTTTTGCGCAGTCCAAGCTTTGAATCTTGCTACTCTCAAGCACTCACAAGACGTGTGGCCCGGTCTACAGGGCAGTGAATGAACATGGAGACGGGGTATATACTTCAAACATTTGCAAACTCTTGATGTTTAGTGAACCACCTACAAGCTTCCTTTTTCTCACTCGTTTCTGTCCCATCTTCATCTCAAGGCTGCCGTCAAGTCTATAAATATACAGTTTTTCGAATATCTTGAAACAGTTGAGGCTGCCACTCTCGAATGCCCCGCCGTTCAAAATGCAATCTGGCTCAGTTATCTCAAGCTGGTTCGAGAGACTAGTATATCAACGATGCTCGACGATCCAAACATCTGCCTCTGTCGAGTTCTTCTTCTTCTATGCCAGTGGGAAGGCCGTCTAGTAAATCGTCACATCCCTTTACTTCCGACAAATCTAGTTATTTCAGGGCGGCGAGTCGGTTTAAATCCGGCTGATTACATTGCTCCGCGTGGCAATTTACAAGAGTGAGTTTAGTCAGTGAAAGTTTCGGCACTTACGGCCATTCATGACTCCATAGCATCTACTAAGCTTAAGTTGTCCGTGTCGGATAGTAATTCATCAACCTTGCTCACAAGCCCTGTATATGAAAATGCGACGAGGTGCATTTGTGGAATCATGTCAACCATACAAAGAGTTATAGTATCCCAGATCAGTTGTAGTTCGCGCACTTTTATATTGAAAGCTGCAGCGGTTATCAACTTCCAGTTCGCGTTTTCCCAAGGCGCCGTCACGGCTGCTGGTACAGCTCCACTGTCCATCTCCTCGAGACAAGGCGTTGGCAAATGGTGAAAGCTCAAATTCAGCTCTTCTAACTCTGCCGGCATCTTCCTCCAGTCTACTTTGTAGGAGTCGTTGACAACAATGTTGAGGTAGCGAAGATTTACGAATCTAGTGAGACTGGTTATCAATACTAGTTGGATTGTGGTGATGCTCAGACAGGTCATTGATTCGAGAGATAGCTGAAAATATGGTTGAGGATCATCATCGTCTGACTGAGCTCCGTGAGATTCGTGCGATGCTTGATGGCTAACAGACACGACTCCCAGACCGTTTCTCGAATCGGAGTCGTGTGGACCTGTTCATAAATCATGGCACCACTAGAGAATTCCAGTACTTGCAAGCCTGGCCGATTGTAGCAAGGGACTTGGAACACAGAAGCAGTGCATTGTCTTATTTTCCAGACCCCACACGCCTAACTCCCGAAATGTAGTTCAAGATGTTGAGCAAGAGCTCAGTCGGAACGTCCTGCAAACCGGTGACTTCCATAGTTGAAATCAATTGAGATTCAAAGTGAATAAAACTGGGCTGGTCTTTTCAATGACAACAGTGTAAAATGTTTGAGCGATACAATGCCAGAGTTTGGAGATATTCCAGCCCAGCCAAGGAGGATCAACGAGAAGCTTACAAAATATGCTATATAATCCAATGATACACGCAAGATCCAGTCCCACGGTTTCCTTTAGCCCTTTTGCGTCCTGAAAGCAATCACAAGCAACATCACAAACTTCTACGAACATAGCATACAATTCATTTTGATTTCTTGATTGCATTCTATTGATTTATTGTCTCTACTTTATCGGTTCTGGAATTTTGCGCCTCAGTACGTCGTTCTACACACAGGTACTCGTTCAAGCAAGGCAGGCATTCATGGTTATAAGGTCGAGGCGACTCCTTCCAGCAATCATTCCTCGATGTGGTAATTGGATTTGAATATGTTGAATATGATAACACCGTCCACTATCTTTTTTACTCGTGCAGCCAGCTCCTTCTGAGCTTCCCCCAAATCATCTGCTGTGTCAAACTTTAGACTTCCAACCTTAGACGAGGTGGAGGCAGCCATCTTGCCCTTCCCTTTCTTCGTCTTCTGTTTTTTCTTCTGCTCCGGTTCTGATTTGGACAAAAGTCCTTCTATAATACTACCAGAGAAGTAAACATCAGGTCCACTTATAACAGGTATAGTAGCCTTGTTCAACGATTTCCTAGCTTCCACTGCCGACAAAAGGCTACTACCGGATGCTTTAGTGCTTGAATAGTGCAATTTCTTTAGCTTTACTAGGGTTGAGATCATATCATAGAGGGGTTGATCATCGAGTCGCATCTCATAGTATGGTTCGTCATCGAGTGGTATCATATCTATGGCAACGCTTATGCTAACGTTGGTGAGGTTTGGGCAATGGTCAGCTATCAGAGACAAGTCCGGTGGTCGGTTTTCAGTTCGGCCGTCGATAGTTAATTCTTCTAGGAGATGACCTTTTACTTTTATGTAGTCCAGAAGACCTCCCTCCATGGCTTGATCTGGCGATACTACGAGTTTTCGAAGAGCGAGGGCTTTGCCCAATACTGGGCGTGTCAGTGGCATGTCATACTGACACCCGTAAGTTAAGACTTGGAGTGTGGCAAGGTTCCTCTCCACAAACCTCGTCATGCTTTCGCAAAGGTGCTGGGACAGTTCGGATATGCTAAACTCTTCTATACCAGATGGAAGCCCGTCTACTAAGTCGTCACAATTTAATACTTGCCACAAACTTAAATATCTTAGAGAGGTGAATTGGTTTAAATCCTCCTGGTTACATTGTTGGGTATCACAATGTGATAGAGTGAGCCGAGTCAAGGTTTCGGCACTTCCTGCTGCTAATGACTCCATAACATATACTAAGCATGCTATATTCGTGTCGGGAAATATATCTGCAGATATATCTGCATCGATTCCTCCATAGGAGAAGGAGTCGAGCTTCATGGCCCGAATCATTTCCAGCATTTGCATTGTCAGTTTCTCCCATGCGAAATTTAGTTCTAGCGCTTTTATATTCGGGGCTACTATAGGAATCAATTCCCATTTGGTGTTTTCCCATGGATACAGCATGTCCTGCATATCAACCTGTGGTGTGATCTCATAAGGAATTTCTTCTATATAGGGTTCCAACAAATCGCGGAAGCTCAAGGTCAGCTTTTCTACTTTTGCCGGTAGCTTTCTCCAATCTACTACATTAGGATCGTTGACTTCGATGGTGAGGCTGATCAGATTCACAAATGGCGTGAGACCACGGATGATGACGAGCTGGAATGAGGTGATGTTGAGGGTAACAATTTGTCCAAGTGCTTGCTGATGGTAGAATGTGCTGTTGTCCCAACTGGGAGTATCGCGGTCTCGGATGGCCAAAAGGCACCTATTCCATATCTTGGGCTGGTCGGCTTGTGTGCCCAGCATACCCTTGACAGACTGTGTCATGTTGCACTCCTTATAGAGCAACGGCAAGATTTTAGAATTAAAGTTCTTGGAAGTCTGCGACATGCTGCTCAAGGATTTGCAGCCAGAGGGCAGCACATCGACCATTGGGTTGGCTCTCACACCATGGACCTTTTTCAAGATGTGGAGGAGTAGTTCATGAGGAAGGTCATTCAAAGTCTTGACTTCTTCCATGGTTTCGAGATTGTAGAGACTTTAGCTGGATCAAGTAATTGGTCGTATATGTCTGATGAGGGATGAAATGTAAGCGAAATCTTTAGCCGACGCAGTTGTTGACCATGTTGCAAATTGAGAGTACGGAGGATAGAGACGGCTTACCAAATATGATTTTGCACTCTGAAATATACGCAGAGGCAGCTCCTGCAGCTTCGTCGTCAGTCTTTATATCTGTTTCTCTCACCAAGTTTTGGTTTCCAGACTTGATGGACGTGACTTTGTTCCTGAGTGACCTTTTACGACAAAAGATTCACGGTGTTTCCCTAGACAATATTAATTTAGAGGCATTTTATCAGCGAAGACACGTGCCTCTTCCATGGAGAAGCGAGTCTTGACACAAATCTTCGCTTTATCACAGAAAACCACTGGACCTTGCCCCCAGAGTACAACTCAGAGAGGCAGGTTGTAAGCTTGAATAGAATAGAAAGGCGATATCATGGCTGCAGATGCGAGACTGCCCATAAAGTAAGTCCTTGGCACCAAAAAGAGGCACCGCCCTTCAAATTCTTGCTTTTCAACATACCGAAAGATTGGAGAACTTGTTCAGTATCTTGCACACGGAACTAACAATATATATTCATAAAACTCGTCAATTAGATTCCAGGAACATGTCCAGGTACTCTCTCTTACCCTGCGCATTCCTCGAACGCGTTGAAATCTCGTCAACATTTTTCACATTCATCTTGTCGCTGTAGTCGCTTCTTGACGTTTTTATTATTCCACCACCACCTATCATCGCTAATTTTCACTGTTTCTAGTTACAATCGTTGGGCATCAATGCTGCCAACATTGGATTTAACACACTCACTATGGAATCGGACAAGTTCATATGTGTGCGTGAAAAAGTCGGCGATGTCAACCAGGTCGTCATTATCGATATGAACAACCCCACTGATATCATGAGACGTCCGATCACTGCTGACTCGGCAATCATGAATCCTGTATCAAAAGTCATTGCCCTGAAAGGTAAACCAAAGCCTTGTCCGCACACTCTTTTGATCAATGCTCTCTTTTCGCTCTGTGATCATAGCATTGACGTTGATCCAATTCTTTCGCATATTCAGCCGGACGTACACTACAAATCTTCAACTTGGAAATGAAGTCCAAGGTCAAGTCCCATGTCATGAATGAAGACGTAGTGTTTTGGAAGTGGATTTCTACAAAGGCATTAGGTATTGTCACCGAATCCACCGTATATCATTGGTCAATGGAAGGAGATTCTCAGCCAATCAAGGTGTTTGATCGACATCCTTCTCTGGCTGGCTCTCAAATCATCAACTATCGCGTCAACTCGGATGAAAAGTGGTTGCTTTTGATTGGTATCTCTGCTCAGGTGGGTGTTCAATGATCCCTTTTGCTCGAAAGTACTAGTTTATAACATGATTGTGAGAATAGGAGGGTCGAGTTGTAGGCAATATGCAACTGTTTGCCAAGGATAGAGGTGTTAGTCAACCTCTAGAAGGTCATGCTGCTGCGTTCGCTGATTTAAAGTTGGATGCCGCTGCTGCTCCAACCAAACTATTCACTTTTGCTGTCAGGTCTGCAAATGGTGCCAAGGTCAGTTGAAACGCAAAAAAGCCAACGAAGGAGTCTCCCTATGTGCTTACCGCGAAACTCACTTAATTTAGCTACATATCGTCGAAGTGGATCACAAAGAAGGAAACCCACCCTTCCAGAAAAGAGCAGTAGACGTATTCTTCCCTCCCGAAGCAGTAAATGACTTCCCAGTCGCAATGCAAGTTAGCAGAAAATACGATATAATCTACCTGGTAACCAAATACGGCTTCATTCATTTATACGACTTGGAGACCGGTACATGCATCTATATGAATCGAATCTCTGGTGACACCATCTTTGTCACTGCTGACTTGGAAGCAACGTCCGGTATCATTGGTGTCAACCGAAAGGGTCAAGTCTTGAGTGTCTCTGTAGATGAAGAAAACATCATCCCATACGTATTAAGCACTCTAAATAACCCAGAACTGGCATACCGTCTTGCTTCTCGTAATAACTTGCCCGGTGCAGACCACCTTGTATTCGATCGATTCAATGTAATGCTACAAACTGGTAACTTTGCTGAAGCTGCAAAGATTGCTGCTAGCTCTCCTCGAGGTGTATTACGTACTCCTGCTACCATTGAAAGATTCAAGCAAGTGCCAGTTCCGCAGGGTCAATTGTCGCCTATTCTACAATACTTTGGAATATTGTTGGAAAAGGGTGGTCTGAACAAGTTTGAGTCCTTGGAGTTGGCCAAACCAGTATTGCAACAAAATCGAAAGCAATTGCTTGAGAAATGGCTCAAGGAAGACAAGGTAAACGATATGCGCATCATCGCTGTCGGACAAAAACGTCTCACTGTTGATTATTTCAATAAATTGTAGCTTGACTGCAGTGAAGAGCTCGGTGACATTGTAAAACAGGTTGATTTGACTTTGGCCTTGTCAGTTTACCTTCGTGCCAATGTTCCAAGCAAGGTAATGGAATTGTTGCATTGATCGTTCCAAGCTCATTCAGCTAAAAATGATTGTCAACACCAGGTGATTGCTTGCTTTGCTGAAACAGGCCAATACAACAAAATCATCTTGTATGCCAAGAAGGTTGGCTATCAACCCGATTACGCGTACTTGATGGAATATATTATGAAACTAGATCCAACAAAGGGTGCCGAATTCGCAAATCTACTAGCAAATGATGAGGCAGGCCCTCTCGTCAACATTGAAGGCATTGTTGATGTCTTTGCTCAAACGAATAACGTCCAACAAGCCACTGCATTCTTATTGGATGCTCTGAAGGGCAATCGACCTGAGCAAGGAGCTTTACAGACTCGATTGTTGGAAATGAACTTGTTGCAAGCTCCGCAAGTTGCTGATGCTATTCTTGGTAATGAGATGTTTACTCATTATGATCGAGCTCGTATTGCTCAACTTTGTGAGCAGGCAGGATTGTATCAGAGAGTACGTTGACGATTCTTTAGGATCTTTTTTGCTCTTTTTATTTGAATCCTAGCTCATTCTTTCCCCGTTTTTAGGCCTTGGAGCACTACACCGATATATATGACATAAAACGAACGATTGTTCACACTAATCTGCTCAATCAAGAATGGGTTGTGAACTTTTTCGGTCGACTATCGGTAGAACAATCACTAGAATGCTTGAAGGAAATGTTGACCAACAATATCCGTCAGAACTTGCAAATCGTTGTTCAAGTTGCTACAAAATATTCTGAGCAACTTGGTGCTAGCAATTTGATTACCTTGTTTGAATCATACAAGACTTTTGAAGGTGAGGGCAAATCAGACCCTATGGTTTGCTCATTTTGGAGATGACCCATGGTTTTTTGTTCCATTCATTACAGGGTTGTATTACTTCCTTGGATCCATCGTCAACTTCAGTCAAGATCCCGAAGTGCATCTCAAGTATATCCAAGCTGCTTGTAGAACTGGACAATTGAAGGAAGTGGAACGTATTTGTCGTGAGAGTCATGTCTATGATCCTGAGAAAGTCAAGAACTTTTTGAAGGTATGATTTTCTCCAAACAAAAAAGCGAAGCGGTTATACAGCCCGATGATAACACTCTGTGTTTTGCAGGAGGCCAAGCTCAGTGATCAACTACCATTAATCATTGTTTGTGATCGATTTGGATTTGTTCATGATTTGGTGTTGTTCTTGTATCAGAATGCTTTGTTCAAGGTATAATATCATTAACTCCTCCACTTTTTTCCATCACCAAACTCACACAACTCATCAACACGCAGTACATTGAAATCTATGTCCAAAAAGTTAACCCAGCAAGGACACCGGCTGTAGTTGGTGCTTTGTTAGATGTAGATTGTGAAGAGTCCATCATCAAAAACTTGCTTACATCCGTTCGTGGTGCAATGCCTGTAGATCAGCTAGTAGAAGAAGCTGAAAAACGAAACCGTTTGAAGCTTCTGTTGCCATGGTTGGAAACACGACTACGTGAAGGATCAACCGATCCACATGTGTATAATGCTATTGCCAAGATCTACATTGATACTAATACGAATGCTGAGGCTTTCTTGAAAGAGAACAAGGTACGGAACTTCTGGATTGCTGGGTTTATTTAAGTCTTCGACACTCATGATACCCATCCACAACTCTTCTAGTTTTATGACTCTCGTGTCGTTGGCAAATACTGTGAAAAGAGAGACCCATACCTCGCATTCATTGCCTACGAACGTGGATTATGTGATATGGAGTTAATCGATGTAACAAACACCAACTCCATGTTTAAACACCAATCTCGATACTTGGTAAAACGCCGTGCTCCTGAATTATGGATGTCGGTGCTTCGACTAGATAATCCACATCGTCGTGCCTTGATTGATCAAGTAGTAGGCACTGCTTTACCAGAAACGCAAGATCCTGAAGATGTATCTATTACTGTAAAAGCATTCATGGCTGCTGATTTGCCAAACGAGTTGATTGAGTTGTTGGACAAGTTGGTTATTGAAGGATCCGCATTTAGTGATAACCGTAATTTGCAGAACTTGTTGATTTTGACTGCCATCAAGGTATCTGCATTTATTGAAGAGGCCTTTTTTGGTGTGTCCTTGCTCACAATATCTTTTGTGATATAGGCTGACAAGACACGAGTCATGGATTACGTGACCAAATTAGAGAATTACGATGCACCTGATATTGCCAATATCGCCGTTGGAAGTGAATTATATGAAGAAGCCTTCACCATATACAAAAAGTATAATCAGCATTCTAATGCTATCCAAGTCCTAATCCAAAACATCAACTCTATCGATCGGGCACATGAATTTGCCGATAAGGCTGATAAACCTGAAGTATGGAGTAAGCTTGCCAAGGCTCAGTTGGATAATGGGTTGGTTAAGGAAGCTATTGGTGAGTCAGACACATCTCGGGGAGTAGATTCCTTTTTTTGGCTGACTGAATGTTGTAGTTTCAACTGCAAATTCATCGTCTCAAATTAATCGTCTTTGCTTTTGCAACAATAGATTCATACGTCAAGGCCGACGATCCAGCCAACTTTGGAGAAGTGATCCAGGCGTCAGAAAAAGTCAACAAATATGATGACTTGGTCCGATTCCTCCAAATGGCACGTAAAAAGCTTCGAGACCCAGTGGTAGAATCCGAACTCTTATTCGCATATGCCAAAGTGAATCGATTGGCTGATGTTGAAGAGTTTATTTCTACTCCCAACATTGCTCAAATTCAAGCTGTTGGTGAACGATGTTATACTGAACGAATGTTTGAGACTGCCAAGATCTTGTTTAACAATGTATCGAATTGGGCACGATTGGCTCCTACTTTGGTGCATCTGAATGAATTTCAAGCTGCCGTTGATTGTGCTCGAAAGGCTAATTCTACTAAGTGAGTGTGGTCTCTCAAGTGTGGTTGTGAGTTCCGTAAGCATCGTTGACGATTTTTTTTGGTGGTGAAAAGGGTTTGGAAGGATGTCAATGCTGCCTGTATTGAATCTGGAGAGTACCGTCTTGCTCAAATCTGTGCATTGAACTTAATCATTCATGCGGAGGAGTTAGAAGTGAGTCTCGTGTTCAAACACCCATGGGTCATTCCTTTTGATTTTTTTTTTGCCATGTCTTAAAACGTTGACAAACCCCTCTACTCTTGCTTTTAGGATTTGATCAGACTGTATGAACGAGGAGGCAAATTTGAAGAGCTCATGTCCTTGATTGAAGCCGGTCTTGGATTAGAACGAGCACATATGGGCATGTTTACAGAATTGGCCATCCTGTATTCCAAGTATAAGCCAGAACGACTGATGGAGCATTTACGACTCTTCTGGCAGCGCATCAACATACCAAAAGCCATTCGAGCTTGTGAAACTGCACATTTGTGGGGAGAATTGGTGTTTTTGTACACGCACTATGATGAATATGATAATGCAGCATTGACGATCATGAGTCATTCTGCTGATGCGTGGGAGCATGCTACTTTCAAGGATATTATTGTCAAGGTTGCGAATTTGGAGATCTATTACAAGGTATGTGGGAATGGTTTACCATGGATTTTTTGGCTTGTACTAAGACAATTCATATATAGGCACTTCGATTTTATCTTGATGAAAACCCACTGCTTATAAATGACTTGTTGGTGGTCTTGACACCCAAGATTGATCACAATCGAGTAGTACAACTCTTCCAAAAGACCAACAATCTCCCATTGGTTAGACCTTATCTTGTTGCTGTACAACAGGTAATGTGTTGTATTAGGTGATGGGATTTCTACCGTACATTGGAACTCTGAGCCATTTCCCTTTGTTTGTTCAATGTTTTAGGCCAACAACAATGCAGTGAACATGGCATACAACGAACTATTGATTGATGAAGAAGATTTCAAGTCATTGAGAGATTCGATAGATCACTTTGACAATTTCGATAATATTGCATTGGCTCAACGATTAGAGAAGCATGAATTGTTGGAATTCCGTCGTATTGCTGCTCACTTGTACAAGGTGTGTTGAGATGCATCGGTTGTAATGATGTTTTTTTTTGTGCTTACCAGTTTCTTCTTTCTCGATTCATTTAGAGGAACAAACGATGGAAGCAATCTGTTGCGCTTTCCAAGACAGATCAACTGTACAAGGTAGAGAGAAAAGACCGACTTGCCCTCACCAGTATCATGCACTGAGCTACTTCAATCCCTCACTCATTCTAACATATACGCATAATATAGGATGCCATGGACACTGCAGCCGAATCACGAGAAGTAGAAGTTGCCGAAGAGTTGTTGCAATACTTTATAACGAGTGACAAGAAGGAGTGCTTTGCCGCATGTTTGTACACATGTTACGACCTGCTTCGACCGGATGTAGTATTGGAAGTAGCATGGAGGCATCAATGGCAAGATTTCGCCATGCCGTATTTGATCCAAGTGCTTCGAGAGTATACAGCCAAAGTGGATGTATTGGAGAAGGCTAATGCTGAGAGGACTGTCAAGGAAGAAGAGAAGGAGAAGGGTAAAGAGTTCAAGATTGAGCATACTATGAACCTTTTTTTTTACTTTCCTTTTGTACATTAGAAACAACTGCCATACTACCCAACCAAACGCTAATGATTACATATGCTGGAGGAGCACCACCACCCGCAGGATTCACTCCAAGCGCTGTAGCATATGCACCTCCACCACAGAACGTGAATGGATATGGATTCTAAAAAAAAGGGAATGCTAGTGGGGGGATTTTCTTGCAGGCCAAACGTTTTTGCTTAGAGAAGGAGAGAGAGAGTATAACTATTGAAAAAGAAGCACAAGAATGTAAAAAACAGAACTTTGTTTACAATCAAAAGTGTGGTTTGCATGTTGGTTTTGTTGGACGTGATTTTCAATGCCAAGAGAGCAACTCCTGTTACGCGTATTATAATTATTATAATCCTAGGATACTATCCATATAGGGTTCCATTCATTCACAGCACTTGACACTTCAGTTGACCAAACACTCTCAAAAACACCTACCAAATTTGGCAACAGAGACAGACTCAAAGATGGACGACAGGAGGACACAGGCACTTGCCAATTACAGAAAGAGGCTACTGGAGCATCGGGAACTGGATGCAAAAGTAAAAGAATGTAAGAAATTACTAGGATTCAACGAAAGTATACGCGTCACCATTCATAGATTCAATCTGAATGGATTGATGCAAAAAGAGAGAGGGTCAGCAATTGAAGGCATTAAGTCTAAAATTATTTACTCTATCGCATCTAGTACGATTAGGCCTACGAAGCCTTGAAAAGGACTTTGACAAGACAGAAGATGACATTAAAGCATTGCAATCTGTGGGCCAAATCATTGGCGAAGTGCTCAAACAATTGGATGAAGAGAGATGTACGTGTGATATTTAACAGTTGTGCGATAGTATGGTTGACAATCCCTCGTTGTCTTTTATTCAACATCGTGTGCTTCAACATCGAAACCCTTCACAAACTTGAACACTAACAGCTATACCCAATAGTCATTGTCAAAGCATCAAGCGGTCCAAGATATGTAGTAGGATGTCGAAACAAGGTCGCCAAAGACAAGCTCAAACAGGGTACTCGTGTCGCCTTGGACATGACTACACTGACAATTATGAGAATACTACCTCGTGAAGTTGATCCGCTTGTATACAACATGTCAACTGAAGATCCTGGAGATATTACGTTTGCTGGTATTGGTGGGCTTGGTGAACAGATTCGGGAATTGAGAGAGGTAATGCATTGTGGATAGAAGTAGTGTTAAGTGTTGGGGGTTTGGCATTTGGCATTTGGAGCCATTCGTTAATTTTCTGGGTACGTTTTTTTGGTCTGCTTTGCCTAAAAGAACCTTCTCGCGAAAATGCATAGGTCATTGAACTGCCGTTACTGAATCCTGAACTCTTTATTCGTGTTGGCATCAAACCACCAAAAGGTGTCTTGCTATATGGGCCTCCCGGCACTGGAAAGACTCTGTTGGCTAGAGCTGTGGCTAGTACCTTGGAATGTAACTTTTTAAAAGTCGTATCAAGTGCTATTGTTGACAAGTATATTGGAGAATCGGCTCGTCTCATTCGTGAAATGTTTGGTAAGACACCGTGGCTGGAATCTATGAGCATTCCTCCGGGCTTTGCGTTTTGTTCAGTGATTGATTCCAAGTTGTCTCGTTTAGGATACGCGAAGGAACACGAACCATGTATTATTTTTATGGATGAAATTGATGCTATTGGTGGAAGACGTTTCTCAGAGGGTACCTCTGCAGATCGTGAAATTCAAAGAACTTTGATGGAGGTAAAAAAAAGCTATCCTTCAAGATTTATTCAACTGTTGCAAGTCCTCCGCTCACATCTCATACTCATCCTAGTTATTGAATCAAATGGATGGATTTGATTATCTCGGTCAAACGAAATTGATTATGGCGACAAATCGTCCTGATACTCTTGACCCAGCACTATTACGACCTGGTCGATTAGATCGAAAGATTGAAATTCCATTACCTAATGAACAAGGTCGAATGGAGATTCTCAAGATTCATGCTGGCCCAATTACCAAGCATGGTGAAATTGGTAAGACTTTGTGATTGTGTTGCTTACTGAAAGAGGAAGTCTTGGCAAAAAAAGGAAAACATCGACGCTTTTCATGACCAGTACATGCCTTCTCATCCTCATTTGCTCACAACGTATAGATTATGAAGCCATCGTCAAGCTCTCTGACTCATTCAACGGAGCTGATTTGAGAAACGTTTGTACAGAAGCAGGCATGTATGCTATTCGAGAGGAGCGAGACTATGTAGTGCAAGAAGACTTTATGAAGGCTGTTCGAAAGGTTGCTGATACCAAGAAACTTGAGACCAAGGTAAAGCAGCTAAAAAGTGTACTATTACGACACGTTTGGATTTATCAGTTAGTGACTTCTGTTATCCTTTCTAGATGGATTATGATAAAGTCTAGGATGCAGTTCTCTAAGAGCATTAGTAGTCTTTTGTTATTTTCCCCCTTGTGTATTGTAAAGAGTAACATGATAACCAATTCGAAGTTTGTGTTTTGACAATTTGGCGTCAAATGGCTCAGGTTTTTTGGATTGGTGGAATTAGGATCGTTTTTTTCCCTTAGTGGTTGGAGGTCCTTGAGACTCGTGTCTCTTGATCATGTTTGTTCACTCTCTATATTTCGAGTGTGCCACTTTGGACGCAAATTCGAGAATTAAGAGCAAACATGTTGGAGGCAGCCGAAGTATTTGAATCACTCCAAAATATACATTCTTCTCCTCTGATTAATGAGACCTCTGCTGAGAAAGGTGTACTGATTTGGACTGTTACCCAAGACGTGAAAAGTTGAGATTGTCAATGTTTATTTGAAATATAGAGGTTGTGGTCCAAGATGAGAGTCAAGGATCAAATTTCTAAGCATTTCAAGCATCCGTAAGAGAATTTCGAGTCATTCCATGGATAGCAAACTTCAAGTCAACGGCCAGACCATCCTTTCGACAAAAGATCAATTTAAAGGAGAATAAAAACGTTTTATGTACTATGAGCAATGAAAGCAAAAGAGTAATATAAAATATTAAAACATGTGTATTGCATACATTTGATGTAATCGTACTAGGAAACCAAATCATAAAGGAGAAACTACTAGAACTTCTCACTAACAACCGTCCAAACAAGCTCGCTTATAAATTGCCAAGACTAGCAAATCTTCTCGTATACTGTGGTGGGTGACGCACCAGCCGAAGCCGGTGAACCATCACGCCGGGGTTCAGACCAATATGACAGTAATGGACGCCACAAGGGCACGCAAGCTATCGATTTTGGTGCTTCAAACAGCGATTCATGTGATATAAACTTTATGCAGGAAGTGGGACGCCGTTCCAAGCTTCCTTTCAGTCTCATTCACCGTAATAGTCAGTCTTCGGAACTCTCGACGAAAACAGCCACCATGGACTAGCCGAGCTTCTTTCCCACAAATGCAAAATTTAACGATCATGTAATTTTTAATAATTTACAAGCTCAAATTATGATACAATCACTGTAACATGTTTGAACAAATGGTGCCAAATTCCAAGTTAGAGACTGCTCACAGCTTGGAAAAATTGACGAAGAGTGTCAGATAGAATATTTGGTAGGTCGTCAATAGACTTGACATGGACAAAGTAATCGAATGGGAAGGTGTCCATATAGTTCGACAACTATTGACAAAATACCAAAATCAGTTCGAATGCTGGCTGGAAAAATTTCGACTATACGCGCAAACGTACTTTGAGCTTAGTCCCAGAAGCATCTTGTTCATACACCACATTGGTCATCTTCATTATAGACTCACTGCCTCTCAGACTATCAATGATCACAAAGACAGAAATGACTCGCTTCTCAGCAGCTAGCCGTACCATTGACTTGACTGCCTCATGATCATTCATAATACCATCAGAGATAATAATCTGCAGTCCCCACAACTCATTCTGCTTATATTGATTGTTATTATTGGCGTCAAACATTGCCAGCGATTGTACCATCAAATCACGAACGTTGGTCCTTGTTTGAGCAAACGAGAAGCGACTCATGACATTGGCACCACTCGTATCATCAAACGCACGTTCAAATGGATGAAGAACTTGCATTGATTCACCAAAACTGGCTATAGCGAGCTGTCCTACTTCAAGCTGTGATAATGCTTTGGCAACCACAGCGAGTGATTCGTATGCTAATTGGACACAGTGAGACTCGGCCATAGATTTAGAGTCGTCGATAGCCAACAAGACTTTATATTCTCGTTTGTTTGGTTTGGTTCTACGTAACCAAATCTTGTCCTTTTTATAATTGCTGGCTATATATGGTATGATTTTCCTCATATTGAGTCGTTTTCCAGTTTTATAGTCACCCTTGAGATGGGATAGTAGTGTTGGAGCCAAGATTAGCTGAAGTTGATTGTACAGGTGGATGGCAAGGTGACGAGTAAGATGGGTATATTTTTGCCACAGCTCATGCTGGGTGGGTTGAGTGGCTGATGTGGTGTGCTATGAGAAAGTAGGTGTTAGATATTCATGTCCTCATGTACTTCGTCAAACATCCAACCACTTACCCCATCCTCCATCCAATTCGCAACCGCCTGCTCCAATTCTTCACGTAGCTTGACCATATCTTGATTTACATCATCTTGTGCTTCTTTTTCATCTTCAATCATATCAGCTACATTGTTGAATCCGTCTCCGTGGTCTTCACGGGAGTCATCAACATCATCTACATTTGCCGATTCAACGTCCATCCCCATTTCATCTTGCCTCTTGTTCGATTTATCGTTACGTTGAGCTAATGGGTTAGATTTAAATGGTTTAGATTCAGTGGGAGGACTGTCATCCGAGTCCTTTATGGGTGGGGGTATGGTGTTATTATCATTATTTTCATCTACACCTTTGTTATCGAGTTCTTTGAGCTCAAAACTAGCTTGTTCAGCTGTTGCGTCACCAACAGCTTGAGCATCAGAAGCATCTTGATCGTCGTGGACATACTCGAAATCAGTCGAGTCTCCAGATTCTTGTGGAGCCATTTCGCCCTCTCGAATCTCATGCAAACGATCAAGCCAACTCTTTAATGCGTCTCCAAGACTACGATGTGGATTTACATCTGGTTTGCGATTTTGTGGTCTGGGGCGAGATGATTGCCCAGTAGGCTTTTGTTGTTGCATCATGTCGGAACCTGCTGCATCAGTAGCTTCGATGGTTGTACTGTTGGAGCCGTTAGCACCATTGTTTCCAGTATCATTTCTATTGTCATCTTTGGTATCTTCTTTAGACTCGACACCAAACTCCCCTTGAGCGCCTAAACAAACAACAAAGCGATGAACAAATAACCACAATTAGCTGAGAAAAACCAGATATCATACCTTGAGATTTGGAAGACTGAGGTTGAATTTCGTCACCGTCTTCTTTCTCGACATCTCTTGTCTCTTCATTCTCTCCGTCGACATGATTTTCGTCTTTGGCACCAACAGAGGCGTCATCTGGCTCATCACCACTTTCATCCATATTCTCATCATTAGACAGATCTTCATTTTGCATATCCAATTCGTCGACATCAACATCCATAGGATCATCCAGGTTTGATTTCTCAACGTCAGAGTTTTTGGTACCATCATCGTGGTCCTTATCATCAAGACCTCCTTCTTCTGATCCCATTTCTGACGCGTCCGATCCTATATCCGAACCAGCTTCTGATGGCTCTGGTGGGTTTGATGGTAGCTCTAGATCTAAATCGTGTTCTAATATTTCGGGATGTGACTGATCGATGGAGGCTGGTTCATTCTCTTTAGCATTTTCGTCACCACCTTGATCTTGTTCTGGCGCTTTATCATGTTTATCGGTAGCTGGATTTTCGTTTTGTTGCGTTGGGTCTAGATCGTTCTTGGCAACAGTCTCAGATAATTGACTTTCGTCATTGATTTGAGGACCTTCTTGCTCATCTTGATCTGAGCCTCCATCACCAGAGTTCTTGACTTTATTATCACGGTTTTCATCAGAGTGTCCCAAATCACCCATTTCCTATTACATTGAAAGGATTAGTTGGCTTGACGACAAAATGGCTTCTGCAAGAAAAAAGAATTCTAGAATGAATACATACCTCATCAGGCTCTTCACTGTCTTCTTCTTGGTCTTCCTGGTCAGACTCTCTTTCTTCAACATCTTCCATCTCCCCTTCAAAATCATCTTCCATTTCCATTCCTTGGTCTGTCGTTTGATCCTTGTTCTTTTTGGTAGGCTGTGGTTGATCACTATTTTGACGACCCATATTTAAATCAGGCCAGGGAATTGCAGCACGTGTACACGAGACTTACTTGGTATCTAAAGCTTGTTCTTGATTATCGAGCTCGTCTGTAACATCCTTCAACCCATCACCTTCGCCAATACCAGTTCCATCTACGATATCACTAGCAGATGGCTGTTCGGTATCATCATTTTCACTCTCAGCGTAACAGAAACCACGAGTGAGAAGATTGATGAATACACTGGTCACAATATGACCGAATTTACAGAGTGAGTCGTAAAAGATGGCGAATTCCACTACTTTGAGATATAGTTTATGCAGACATTCTAGCAGACCTTGTTGCGTTGCTGGAGAGATACTTGAGTGATGAGATGAGAGATACGACATCAGCTCTTCATCGAGTTGTTTCATAATGGGTACCCATTGTTGGTATACTCGACAAGATTCTGTTAGGGGACTATCCATGTTTGCAGAAGGCGATGCTAATGATGCGATACATGCCATGATTTTGTTCGTACTCTCTGCTTCGTTGGAAACACTATCATTGCTTTCCATAGCACTTACTAAGACGGAAGCACTTGCAGTCACGGATGGAATATTGAGTAGCTCGACTCGTTGAACAGCATCTACTGCTCGTTTACAAAGCTCATCTACATCCTCTTGAGAAATGAAAGACTGGTACTTTGATACTTGAATGATGCGGTGAAGATCGTTCTTTACGGGAGTAAGGTCGTTCTGAGCTTGCTGAATCTTGGTTTTCGTCTCTGCTGTCTCTATCATATCGGCTTGACATAACATGGCGTAAATATTACACACGACATGATGATGTTGAGACAATAAGGCCGTTGCCTCTTGCGTTCTTACGAGGTGAGTCGATTTAGCCAATGGCTGGATTAATGATAATAAAGATCGAGAGACCCTTGCGATTGTAGAATTCAACGAGGTGGCGTCGACGATTATTCGGAAAACATGATTGCTGAGGGCCCCACATCGTTGTGAATCATTTAAAGGTAGTGTTGTGATGGGATTTGCTACAGCTTCGTTCAATATTGATACTTGAGCAAACACCTCGAAATACTTGACATCACTATTGTCACGAATGATTCAGTTAAATTCCGTTTAAATGTAAAAACAGGAAAACGACTGTCCATTACCTAAACTCTGGCAATTGTGGTTGTGATGATATTCTAGGCAAGGCCTCCAGCACAGATCCAACTCTCTCGGTATCAACATACAACCAACTTTTCTTATCCATGATCTGATGTGAGGATGACAACCCAAGACGTTTAAGCTCACGGAATACATCAGCTAAAGCCTTGGTTGCTACACCCTTTGGAATTGCTAGTTTTGGCTTCTTCTTTTTATCATCATCCTTCTTATCGGTGTCAGCAGCTGTGTTTAGACTGTCAGAGTTTGTATCCTGAATGCCCTTGATGCTTTCCAAAGCTTCCCAAGCTATATCCACCAACTCTGGACCAAAACCATACAGATTGTGACGTGCGACCCATTGTCGATCTAGCTCTATAGCACGTGCTTTATCTGTGCCAGGTCGAATCAAATGGGTTTGTCGGCCGGTCTCAGACACTGTCTTTAGGACATTCAGCATTGGCTCTTGCAAGACATCTCTGTACTTTTTGACCCACTTCATCAACTGATGGTGACTCTTTTTGGCACTGGCTTCCAAGGCATATACGTTTACGTCCTTCCAGCTAGCGATCTTAACAATGTCAACTAGTTGAGACTGGATGGGCTTTTTCTTCTGATTTATAGTGTTGGATAGATGTGGTGATAATAGACGGTAGAATCGATAAATATTATGAATGACAATGGTTGATTCTTCTTCGTCGTCAAGCCCCTGTTGGTTACTGGCACACTGTGACAATTTCAGAAATTGGTAAATGTTCCAAATCATGCCTAGACGAGCTTCGAATTCACCGCAAGGTGATGATAGACAGAATTCATCCAATGCATCCAGTAAATTACTAGCTGAAGACTTTGAGGCTACTAAAATACTATAAAGATGTATCCACAGAGCCGATACTCCATCACTCATACGTTGCTCTTCAACTTGTAGCAACTGCATCCAAGAGGACAATTCCAGCTTTCTCCATTGAATGATCAATTGGATCAAATCATTCATTTCAGCTTTCAGAGAGACTTCTCGACTAGCATAAGATTCCCAATCATTTGACTTCATCAGCAATACTTGCAGTCCGTTCAAGACTCGTGCAATCGGCGTGTTCATGGGCATGTTTGCAAGTCGTGAGCAAATCATTGCCAAGCTTTGAAGTCCATTATGTTCAGGCCACTGTGCCAAGAGTTCAACAATTCGTTGTTGAAACCTTATCAAAACTGGCATACAATGTTGTGACAGTTGATCAGGATTGGCATCTCGATAAAAGTCAGTTGAGGTTTGTTTTAGGGATTTGCGAATGTCGTTGATCAGCATAGTTTCACCCAATGCCAACTTGCTCTGTTCTTCTCTAGTTATATTACTACATTTTGCTAGTGTAGCAATATAAAGAGACGTGAAGTGCTCCATATAGATACTACTGACGGATCCCGACGAAGTTTTCTGAATATGCGACAGAACGGAATTAAATAGTCGGACTAGCTGTATGTTGAGATGACTGAGGCCAGATCCTGCTGGCGACGATTTTGATTTCTCGTCGTTGACTGGCGGCTCCATAACTGTATCGTCTTTGGCTAATCAACCAGTGCGTTAGATTTATGTTTAAAACCCACGTTGCTTCAGCATAAAAACGATAAAATGACTCGCCGCAATACGTACCCATCATGTCTGCAAAGTCCTCATCATAATTAGCAAACGTATAATCCGTCAAGTCTATTTTAAATCTGAAAAGCGATGTAGAAGCAATCTTCTCATCATATTCCTTTTGGACGTCAGCCTTCCATTTCAGTGCTAAAGTCGAGACAACATCTCCAAAATCTAAAATATCGACATCATTACAAACCGAAGCGACAAAGTTCAAATATTGAAGTTTCTGGGTATGGGCGTCTGCGACAGGCCAACAAGGTTGATCAAGACCACAGACCACCTTTAGCGATGTTTCTTGTGATTTTGGTAGATTAAGCAAACGAAGACCATGTTTGATGTAGAGCACTACTTGACAGATTGGCTGCAACAAGTCTCGGTACATGGGGTAGCTAGTTTCCATCTTGACTATGAAGGCAGATAGCATGCTTTGCAAATGATGCTCTCGCTCCGTGTTCGGTTCCACTAAATCGACCAGATGAGAGACGTTAGGCAGTACATTGGTCATGAGCATCAATACATCCTGGAATATATCGGAAAGCTGTGGTGTTTCTGGTCGTAAAGCCATCCGTCTTTCGTATTTAGCGAGGCGTTTCTGATATTCAGCGACGATTGACTGCCTTTCATTTATTTTGGGATTCTCACGACTTCCGGTCGTCAAGTATTCCATTTCTGACCTCACAGTAATGTCGTCTTGAAGAAGACGTATGTGTTCAGTTATTGCACCACGTTTGACTGCAGGTGATATGGATGGATCCATGGGAGTTTCGGGTACATACGCCTTTATAAAAGCAATGGCGTTCACTACGTATGCTCGACCTCTAGCTTGGTCAGCCGAAACACCTTCTCGTTGCACTTCAATTGGTTGAAGACTAGACTTGGACATCTGTAAAACCCCAAACGGCCGGTGAGCAAAAAAGAGCAATGATAAAATGGATTCTAACAAATCTATTTACCAAGCTCGTGAATCGTTCCAGAATGCAATCGTCGGCTTCTCTCACGTCCGGCAACGGTCGATTCTCAATAGCCAACGCAATATTAGAAAGCTGACTTGAGAACGACTCAATATCTGAAATATTTATCTTGTCTAGACTCGTTCTGCCAAAAAAAAAATCGTTTAGACCAAGGTGATCGTCCTGCAAATGACAACTAGCGCAACATCATCAAACTTACAAAGCATTCAAAACAACAAATGGAAGTGAGTCCTGATAGAGCACTTCACTTCCAGCAGATGATTCAACCTTGACTCCTTCCATGAATCGAGATGCAGAAAATACTGCATCGCTAATGGCGACACGAGGAGTGAACCAAAGACTTTTGAAGAATCTATAAATTCCGACTGACACAACTTCTTCCATTTGTGAATCTGCTATGTCTCCTTGGTTAACAATCCACTGGAGACGTTGAAGATACTCCATGGCTGCTGGAGTTCGTGACGATTTGGTTTTACAAAATTCGAGAGCATTTTTGACTAAACTAGTGCTATCTCGAGCGTTACAAACAGAAGCCAAGACGTTCACTTCGAATATGGAAGCAACCGAGTCGTTTACCACCCACTGAGCAACCGCTTGCAGACGGTCATGCAAAGTCTGAAGCGATCCAAGTGGAATCAGCTGTTGGTTATCAGCTTGTATCAACGCCAAGGCCGACTGATTATCCTGATTACTGAGCTGTTCACCAACTGATTGGAGCACAGTGAGCAAATCTGTATTATCAACTGATTCAAGACTTGACAAAGTTGCCAACGCCTGTAACACATCCGACTTGAATGCATCATTTACAGTCAATAGTGGGTGCAACAGCCATGATTCCGATGTATGTGGAAGCTGAAGAGTGTTGTCAATTTTACGAAACGTGGATTCTACGTCCCATATGTCACGACGTCTGGTCATGCTACCTCTCCATTGTTTCCATAGGGAGCTAACACTACCGAATTGATGATTGCTGAACAATGCCATGGCTCTCGATAGACTAGTCGAGGATTTTGGCAAGTTTCCACCAACTGCTTTATGGAATCGTCTGCACAATACATAGAGTTGCATGATGTCCACAGTTTCTTGACGTAGACTATTGACCAAGTCATCTCGATAATCCCATGCGCAGTGCAATTGCTTCCAATCCTAGATTGATGGATCGGTGTCTTTAGCTGGTTTGTTTGCAATATGCAATTTAACAAATTGATCCTCACTTGAACCGCAGGAAGCAGGTCAGAGATATCTCCCACAAATTCAATGCTGGCTCTACCCAACCACATCAAGATCTCATCAGTCCAAGATTGTGCAACGATGCTTCCTTCATTCATAGCAATAGCTCGTTGCATGATAGAACTTCCTCCCTCCGTATTCTCTTTCTTACTATATACAAGTCGGAAGTAGGCTCGTCGTCTGCCATGATAGCTAAAATCATCATTTACGTTAACGACTGCTTCTAAAAGCTCCTGTGCTAGAGCACCAAATCCTGTAAGCCAAGAAGATGCGAGGTTGACGTCGGATTTATCAATCTCGTCTGCTAAAGATTCCGATGAAGCGAAGACTGATAATGAGGCTGGGTTGATTATGGAAGCATAATATAAAGCTGATGATTGCCAGACAACTCTATGCTGGTTGATTGAGTGAGGCCATACTGTTGGATATGCCATATCAGTCGTGGTAGAGGTCTTTAAAGTCGATGGCAGATTGAAAAATGTCGTGCCAATCTTTTCGCCACGTTGTAACAATTCCATTGTTACCCGAGCAGAAGAAATCAACGACCTGGCGTCTCGAGTACAATCTACCGAATGACACATATCACGTCCAATTATACCATTGTGGTTTAAAACACGAATAGCATCAATGGATTTGGGAGATGAAGCCCAGACTGGCGGAGCTAGGCTAATTTCAATAGATCGATTCCTCATTGCTGGAGAAATCTCACCATAAGCTGGATCCATTGTCATGAATATGCGGAAGTTTGGATGAGGGTTGACGATAATGACCTAAAAAAACGAATGGTAAATAAACAGACTTGGTAAATCTCCGCAACTCCTACAAAGGATTCTTGTTCTTACCTCTCCGTTGACTAGACCTCTTTCATTCAACACAAGGACACCACCAGGCTCCAACAATGAATTCAGACGGTCCAAGACACTTGCTGTACAAAAGTTTACATTATCAATCAACAGCCAATGACCGTTTTGCACAGCTCGGACAAGAGCTCCATCAACCCATTCAAATCGTCCTGATGTACCACCATCACGAGCTTGATGATAGCGCAGCAAGCTACGACGAATAGAAGCAAAATTGACGTTCGTGATTCCAGCCTGACTAGTCAAGACCTCCAAATCGTTAATAATATTGTCGACGTTGACATCCGAGACTTGAGAATACTGTAATCGTTCTAGCAGAGCCGCTATATTATCGTGTTTGACAAGGGCTCTCATGAGTCTCTGGTCAACTTGAGTCAGCTCGAGTACTATATGAGACCATAGTCGATCTAAACTTTGCTGTTCAAATCCACCCAAGAGCTCAAGAGCGTCCACACCAGGATTCATGGCGAATTCTGATAGTGGTTGTTGTGCCACAGCAGCTATATGGCGAATCAATGTGGTTTTACCAGATGCAGCTGGACCTGTGAGCAACACAGGCCAGTTCATGTTGACTCCAATCATTAAGTGTGCCAGAGCTGGTAATAGTGATGGCAATATAGGCAAATTCAGATGCCGTTCTTGGAAATCGGGATGTTGGGATCGTTCAAGTGTCGCACTTCCAATCTAATCATCAGCAAAAAATGGAAAATTTTAGCTTAGTCATTCACATAATTACAAAATAAACATGATTCAACAAGTAGTATACAAACCTGGAAATGAGTGGTCGTCATCTTCCAATGAATATCAGTATGTGGTTGGCAGCCAAAGAGACTCTCAATAGTTGAGCAGACCTCATTCCTAGAGTCTTCAGTTCTCAGACGAGCAACAAAAATCAGATCCAAAGAATCTTCTAGGGACACAAATGGAAGCACTTGAGCCCATCGTAATATATCACGAAGGTTAAAGTGATCGAGTCCTTTGGCTAAATAAGCGAAAAAAAGTTACTCAGCAAAAAGAAACACGATGAATCGTCGTATTCCAAACTCACATTTGAATATAGACAACAACTTGATCATCTTCTCACACAAATCCAGTGACAAACTCGGATGTAAAGACTTGACAAGCAATCTCAAATCCTGATTATCAAACTCTTCCATATACACTGCCGTGAACCGATTCATAAAGCTCTTTGGTAGACCTTTACGCCCGCCACCTTCTATATGCGGATTCTGGGCTGCAAACACCCGGAATTCTTCATGGCATGGGAATTCTCGATTAAGTTCTGGTATGAATACGGTACGTCGGAAATCCAAACATGCGTTTAGTCCTTCAAGTACAGACTGTGATGCCAAGTTGAGTTCGTCTAGTAATACCCAATGACCTAGTCGCATAGCACTCAAGAATGCACCGTCTCTCCAAGCGAATTCACCAGCTTCGCCATCTTCTACTGGCAAGTCTGAGCCAAACAGGTCCATAAGATCGGTTTGGTCACTGAGATTGATTCGTACTACGGTCTTATTTACGAGGCGACCCATAGCCGTTATGAGACTGGTTTTGCCAACTCCTGGAAGACCTTCCAATAAGACTGGTTTGTTGATTTGAAGTGCTCTGACTACACGAAGAGCGTTTCTTGATACAGTTGGAGCCAAGAAATCAAAGTCGTTCATGGCATCCCTGTTGTCAGGCGACGTTGCGTCATATCGTGGAAGTGAGAATGGACCGATTCTCAATTGTGACGGATCATCAATTGCGAGTGTATAATCATCCCTGGATGAATGCAGTGCTTCTATACATTCTTGGCGAATTTTACATGCCACTAAAGAAGTTGTTGGACAGAAGTGAGTTCATTCGAGCAAAAAAAGCAAAGTCGTCTCTGCAGCTGTCTTTTTTTTTGTTGTGGCTTACACGACGAAGACATCATTCCATACAATGGATTAACACCAATACCATCCACAAGCACCATCATAGCACCATGAAGAAACCCTTCATCCAAAGACAAGGCCATCGACATTTGATTGATAAACCCAGACCAGCCCACCATATCACGTAAACTGACAACCTCATACCACGGCTTTTTCAAAAGACTAGCAAACCAAAGTACGAATTCCACCATTCGTTGAGCAAGAACTTCTTTATCATCATCGATAATAGTCAACCGGGCTTTAACAACCTCTTTTAATTCTTCTGGATTACTCAATACTGAAACCCAGATTTCAGTGAATCGATTACGGAGAGCAGGCGATAATTCACGCTTCCCGTAATCGCCACCAGGATTCATGGTTGCAAAGAATCGGAATTGCGGGTGTGCGTGGAACATTTCTGCACCACCGCTGCCACCACCCTTTTCTGTTAATACCATAGATCGTGACGTTTCGAGTAATGGATTGAGGCGTTCTAGGACTGAGTCATCAGCAAGTGATAATTCATCCAATAGGAAGAAGTCTCCAGATTTGACTGCTTGAGTTAATGGACCATCTCGCCATTCAAATCTATTACTGGCTGCTGTAGTAGTGGCTGTAGCAATATCAGTATCTGGTTTATCATGACTCGTCGACTCGACTCCCTCCATGGCATCATTTCTGACTGGTCTCATACTACCCAAGAAATCCGATGATTCTGAAGACTGATGTGCATTGACTACAACAAGAGACTTCTTTGCCAAAGCACTAGCTACATATTGGCAAAGCGTAGTTTTACCAGTTCCAGTTTCACCAACCAGTAAGACAGGTTCTGAATGTTGGATACATCGAGACAAGAGTACAACGACTCGTTTAGCTTCACCAGTCCAGTTTATATACGTTTGTAGCGTCGTTTGTTCTGGTGTTTGATCTGTAAATAGGGATGCAAAGAGCCGTTCATACATTTCAGAGACTTGTAATTTACATCTCATGCATTTCTCAAGTGCTTCCTGTACTACGAATTTATCTTCAGAGACTCGAATACGTTCTGCTAGAAGCATATATCCGTTTTCAGCCAAGTCTTGATAGCTGAGTCCACCACGATCACCCCAACGAAAGAGATCTCGTAAAGTGATGAAGCCATCACGGTCGAATACACGTCCACGACCACGCTTAGCGTGTAGTTCGTTAAAGACTGATACAATGGCTTTAGCATGACTAGGAGCCATATTACATCTTTTCTCCAAGATCACACCTAATTCATCTTTAGGTACTTCATCGAAATGAAGTTCAAGGAATCGATTACGGAATGCTCGTGATAGTGGTTTACGACCACCATACAAACCAGGCGGGTTTTGAGTAGCAAATAGCATAAAGTTCGGATGTGGCTTTATGATTTCATCGGTTTCTGGAATACGTAGTTCACGATTATCATCCAGCAGTCTATTCAAGGCTTCAAGTACATCCGTTGGTGCCAGATTCAGTTCATCCAAGACGATCCAATGACCATGTCGTAATGCCGATACCAGTACACCATCTTGAAAGACGAGTTTACCAGTAGTATCACTAGCATAACTACCCATATACTCTTGCAAATCTGTATGCTCTGAGTTATTTACACGGACAAATTGATGACCGGTTCGTTTGGCCAGGTAGTTTATAATACTGGTCTTTCCAGATGACGTTGGACCTTGAATGAGAATAGGATACTTTCGGGCAGCGACAGATCTCATCAGATTGACAATGTTTGTATATACAGATGGTGTTATGACATAGTAGGGATCCACAGTATGTTGCAGAGGGCCAGAGTCGATTTTGAATGGTCCAACTGATATTGATGGTCCATTCTCATTTGAGTCGATTGCTTCATATTTGAGACCTAATGGAATGTTGCAGATTTGAGAAAAATTGGCACTCTGCTTAAGCACTCTAAAACATCTTTATATGCAACAAAAAACGATGACCAGACCGACCACAACATACCTTGTCGACGAAAGGTAATCAAAGAAGTCATCGTTCTCAAACACTCTTTAGCACTTTCAGAGCCACATTGAGTAACAAACGTCATAACCAATCCTTCAAACAAGCTTCTATGGAGACCTAAACTAACAGCCTGATCTCGTGCAAAAGTCAGGGCCCGACTCAATGTCCTTATACTAGTATGCAAGACAGCTCCTCCACCATCATACATTGTCATACCCTTTATAGTATAATAAAAGTCAAGCACGTCTTCAATCAACTGTTCAGAGTTTTTAGACATTGCTAATACATTGACCAAGTATTTCTGGACAATGAGACGTAGATCTCGACGGTTGACATCGGGTGATTCGACAAATACTTCGGTGAAACGTGACCTGACGCCTGGTGGTAGTTCACGTTTGCCCGCATCTCCAGATGGATTCATGCAGGCAAATATGCGAAAGTTTGGATGTGGTTTTATGGGATGAGTGTCACCACGTTCTAATAGTAGGATGCTGCCTTCTAAGAGACCAGACAGAGTCTCTAGAGTTTCGGCTGGAGCCAAGTTGACTTCATCTAACAAGACGTAATGGCCATGTTTGAAGGCTTTTACAAGCGGACCTTCCTCAAAAGTGAATGACATGCGACCCTACGAGAGCAAAACATATGCTGTTCACAAATAATTTCCACGACAGACAGAACACACGTCTCTCACCTCATTCTCAAGCTCTACGCGCAGCTTGCCAATCCTCGTACTCAACAAATCCCACTCTTCAACTATAGTGGCATCCAAACGTCTTTTTTTCGACGGTTGATTTATACCACCATTACCGCTAGTATTCAACATACTACGAGCCTTTGTAACACCACTTTCAAAAGTATTGAGTAATGGCTTCCATCGTCTCTTGCGTCGTAAACCATCAATGGAATCCAAAAAGGCAGTATTGGATTTGGTCGGGAACGTTTTTACAAACAATTCATGGAAATCATCATATAATGGCAGCATCAGTTGATTGACTTCAACAGGACGAAAGCCGCCCAAGAGATCAGCAGAATCCGATTGTTGAGACAAGTTCAAACTGACGAGTTTCTGACCCATCGAGTTGGCCAAGTGTTGGACTAGAGTGGTTTTACCAGTTCCTGTTTCTCCTACTAAAAGTATAGGTTCTTGATGGCTTATAGCACCAGCAAGTATCTGTAATAGTCGTCTAGCATGAGTGGTCTCGGCAAACGTCATGGTTTGTGAGACGGAAGGAGTGTTGGACATGGTTATTGGCAACGAGTATCGACCGCATACGACAACTCCTTCACTAACGGCCATAGGTTCTGGAGCATACATATCACGATAAAATGCGATACGGTGTTCTGGCAAGTTGAGTTGCTCACCAAGGAGATCCATAATGATGGATCTAACAGCCATATTGGGAGACATTTCACCCAAACAGACAACACCTTCATAGAATATATCCTCCCATAACTGTAATGTTGGTATTTCGTTCCTACGACTACTCGTGATTTGATTTATACGTTTGCACCATTTGAGGAGATCTCGTGTAGTCAATATACGACCTCGAAAGGATGATTTATGGGAATACGCGGCGACTGCTTCAAATGCTCGGAGTATATCTGCGACTAGTGGTTGAAGACGAGGATATAAATCTACGATGACTTCTTGAATCTCATTCATTGGCATGTGTTCAACTGTAACCTTATGCCATAGCTGGTCTATATGCTGATTGGACGTAGATGCACCACTCATTGTTTCATGGGTTCGTCTAGTCCCGAATATACGGAATGTTTCAGCAGCTTTGATGACTTCGTTTCGAGATGGTATAGATAGCTGTCTAGTTTCTAGTAGAGGTCTTAATACAGATATGACGTCGAGAGGTGCCAAGTCGACATCTTCGAATACAATCCATCGTCCATCGCGGACGGCACAAGTCAGAACTCCAGGCTGCCATTTGAATTCACCTGGAGCTGTACATATATATGTGCCTATGAGAAGCTTGCTATCTGTTTGGTCTCCCAAATGAACTCTCAATACCTCTAAATTAGAAAAAGGAAAGGTTGTTGAGTGTTTCGCGAATCGCGAGGAAGAAAAAAGACTGTATTCAGAGAATTTCGATTGCACCAAGCCTCATATTCACCTTTCTGACCCATGAGCCTAGCTGCTTCTTCTACAAGTGACGTCTTGCCAGCACCTGCTATACCAGAGAGTAAGGTGGGCATTCTCAACGATATGGCCAAACCGAGCTGAAACAAGTTTCGTTGTAAAGTCGACGTTGGTGTAAGAGGGTTATATGTACTTGGTGGTGTCGACGTAGCTTCCGGTATTGCTTTCATCAACAGGACTCCAGCCAGATTGGCAGTCCAGGAGCACAAGTCTGTAGGTTTGACAATCACGGTCGTACTAGTGATACCACGATCTATTATACCATTTGGAGGTGATGATTGAGATACTGCAGTCGTAGTATCATTCCGTGTGCTTTCTATATCCGAAGGCAGGAATAAATAACTTCTTTCTATTGAATCTATATGTTCTTCGACGCTCCTGCCAAAGAAAAGGAAGAAATATGGTAAGAAAATGGATCTGCGCAACACGCCTGACAAAGCTTACGCTCCCGATTAGTCTAAACAGCTTACATCAGCATCAACAAACTAGCAAAAACGTGTTTTTTCAAGAATTCATCCTTTTCTTGTTGGACCATGTTGAGTAGCTCGGCGATACAATGAGCAATATATGCACAAGTGTATTCATCGGTTTCTGATAGCAAATTTACAAGTTGATGAATAGGCCAATTGGGAGTATGAACACCTCGTAATTGGACTAGGAGCCTCAGCATGGCTCTAGCCAAAAACCGTGCCTTTCTAGGATTTGAGGTATGATTTGACATTGGATTCAGAGATTCAAAGTCGGGCGTGAAAGATATGAGGAAGCCGACCGAGTGCCTGTGTACATAGTGCGTCAGCGTCTCTCGTTTTTGTTGGCAACTCTTGACAAACAACCCAAAGTTCCATATGGTGTCTACTAAAGAAGTTCAAAAGACACGCGCATACCCTAATAATTGAGGTGCAACAGACAAAACAGTAGCCAAAGCTCCCAACAAGAGCTCAGATCGTGTCCAATCCCAATCCTTTTCATTTGACGGCGTTGCACAAGCACACTCATCCAACACCCTCTTTTGACCATGAATAACCATGCGCCCTCTCCTATCACGTTTCAAAGACTTGACCGGGTCTTTTGAAACAGACTGATCGTCTACTGCATCACTAGAAGGGCAACAAACTGGAATCACACTTTGTTGATTCAAGCGTAGTCTAGCTCGTCCAACCAGGTCTACGAGGATTGGACGACAGTTTCGGGTTAATACGAGTGTAAGGCATGGATGGAGAAGGAGATCTGACAGGATATCTAGTCGTTGGGATGTGTTTGATGTCGGGTTCGAAAGTTGATCAAAAAGAGCTTGTGGGATGCATTGAGAGCTCTCCTTGAGGATTTCTGTTAGTTCTATTGTATAATCAGTCGATGCGCCAAGCATCTCTTGACCCATTTATATGTCTGTTTGCTTAAAAAGCTCGGATTTGATGTTTTGTTTTTTGAAGCTGAGTTTGTGCAAAAAAAAAAAATTGAGTTTCGACGATGTGTAAGGACAGACTGTTGTGAGGCGAAGACAAGGTGATCATAGATTTCTGATTTCTGTATATTTAACGCGTATTCTTTCGCGACAAGCTACTCGTTAATCGCAAAAGTTCTCCAAAAATCAGTTAGGTAGTCCAAGATCAAAAATGCTTGCAGATGGGATCGAAACAGTTCTATGCTTCATATTCACGACCAAATCAAATAGCAAAAGCATATCAATGTGCAAAAGAACAGTTGAAAGTGTTTCTGAGGTGTGGGCATTTAGCTTCATAAACTTTTCCTTTTTTTTGTTGTACGGTACGAGAACTAGTTCTTGATCCGCATCAACTGACATGCTCCGCGAGTTCAGCGATGGTGAATCTTGGCCTCTCTGACTATGTGGTTTGATCTTGTAGTCAAGTACAATAATCGGCTCCAAGAGCGAAAAAATGACCGTATAGTACAGTATCAGCATAAGAACAAGAGTCCCCCGCACACGATTCTTCCGTTCTCAAACAAGATTCATGTCTCATGTGACATCTTGTATTGTACTAGAGTTGCCACGTCATACAAAATCAGGCTATCGTTGACTCCATTGGCATAAAGGGTTACACTTCCAGAGCAGAAAAAGTGCTTACAAGCTAGATCATGGATGCCCTCGTATCTTATCCATTGAGAACGTCAGTTTGAGTCTACCTTCATTTGCTATGATCATCGAATCAAGACAGCATTTCCACACGGCAGGGCTGACAAGACTCTTCTCAAAAGATGAAGTAGGAGCGATTGACTTGATTATCTTCAGCTCCAACCAAAAAAAACACCGAAATCGTAGGCGTGACCAAGGAACATGCCTGTTCAAGCGACGTGTGTGGGTGTACATGTCAAATCCCAAATGATGCCAGTAATGGAAAAGTGGTGAATGAGGCCCTGGAAAACCACCAATGGGCGAAAAGCGTTAGATTCCTGAAATATAGTCGTATGACGTATAAGACAGAAAAAAAGCAGTACCTAGACTAAGAAGATCCAGTCACCTTTTACAGAAACGTGATTTCCTCAAAAATCACGATACGAGACCCTTCAAAGCACAATAAGAAGGATCAGCGCCCTTTGATTCATACAAAACTAAGTTTGGTTGCATGAAACTGCACCAACCAATACACGTTTCGAAGCACAAAGTCGGTTTCAGTGATTCGGTTCGCGAGCGTCGAATTTGTGGCCAATAGAACAGGCGAAAGAGGGAGCGCATAGTCAAAGTTCACGTAAAATATCGGCTGCGAATAAGCCTGTCTTGTTCTTGGCCCCTGAATGCAATCCCAATCTCATTGCGATTTTGTAGATGTGTGACTTTGATTTTTGACCTCGACACATAACGTTCCCATCTTATCAATCCATCCAATTATTCAAGATGGTAAGTAATGAGAGAAAGAGAATCAGTCTAGTATGCACATATGTGGTACAGGAATCCTGTTCTATCGCTCTACTTTGGTGTTGCTCGTACGAAACTTTTATGATGGTGTTAGATGTTGGAATGCTTGCCAATCTAAAGCTCTGGAAGTCATGCAAGAGGAATGAATGAACATAGTGGATCAATATATTTGATAGCTCCATTTTGCAGCTGCTACCGGGATTCGGAAGCAGGTCGTTGAATCCCTTAGGAAAACTCACAGCATCAACATTGAAGAAACATCAACATCAAACACTTGACTTACAAAGACACCACCATCGTCATCACCCTAAATCCACTGATCTAACACATTCTCTGATCCAAATAGGCCGAAGAAGACAAGAAAAAGAACAACCCAATGCGAAACCTGCAACTGGAAAAATTATGTCTCAACATTTGTGTTGGTGAATCTGGTGATAGGTTAACTCGAGCTGCCAAAGTGCTTGAATCCTTGACTGGTCAAACCCCCGTATTCTCAAAAGCAAGATACACTGTTCGTACTTTTGGTATCCGAAGAAACGAAAAGATTAGTGTCCATTGCACTGTACGAGGTCCCAAGGCTGAAGAAATCTTGGAAAAGGGTCTCAAGGTTAAGGAATACGAGTTGAAAAAGTCAAACTTTTCTGGTACCGGTGAGTGTAATACTACCTTGTGATTTGATGCCATACTTTTTGCCTGCCTTAGCAAAGTGGTCTCACACTATTAACATGTAGGCAACTTTGGTTTCGGTATTCAAGAACACATTGATTTGGGTATCAAGTACGATCCTAGCATTGGTATCTACGGTATGTAAACCACGTTCCTCGGCTTTTCTTATGATTTTGTTGCTCTCCTCGACGAGGATCTAGCCCTTATCACAAACTGCTTCTGACACGCTATCCATACTAGGTATGGACTTTTTCGTTTGCATGGGAAGACCAGGTCTTCGAATTGCCAGGAAAAAGGCAAAGGTTGGTCGAGTCGGTTTCCCACACCGAGTGACCAAGGATGAAACAATCAAGTGGTTCAAGAAGCGAGTACGTGTCGTCTCAGCGTTTACTTGATGGTCTCTCATTGATCGTATGTGAAAGTGCCTAACTTTTTTTTGTTGCTAGTTCGAGGGTATTGTCTTGGAAAAGTAGAGATTTTACACACACTTTAGTCAGGATATGAAGCCCTGTAAACCTGTTATATATAAACATGATTTGCTCATGAATTCAATCAATGGGTTTTTTATTGACTCACAAGAATATTAGATTGGTGGTTGCTACACGTCACTTGTCAATATTTTAGTTGATGGCTCTTTCCTCACTGTCCACGTCGAATCCTTGTACCTTTGATCGGAGCACTTCCGCCCACTACATTAAATTAAGTATGTGTTAGTACGGTAGCAAAAAAATCAAAGACGCAGCTGCATACCTCATGAACGGCTTTCGAATCCTTGCCAATAACAGAGACCACAACTCTAACCTTCCATTCTTCAATGGGAGCATCCACGGGTCTCATTTTAGGATAGGATCCTATACTGATGCCTAGAGGCTTAACCTTGTTTTGGACATCTGTCAGGGTTGGTGCAATGTCTGATTCAAACAACGATGTTCCAACTAGTTTGCGAGTCCATGGGACTGTATCAATAGTAGGTAACAGATGATTTATGAAGAAGTTGTCGAGCTAAGTTGTGGAGAAATGTGTTAATAGGTGTAGCGCGGTGAGTGTTCAAGTCGATGGAGACACGGAGAATCAAGCTACTGAGAGTTTTTTTGTCGTCGATTTCAAATATACTCGAACGAGGCCCAATCAAACTGAAAACTCACCAGTGTCTGGAAAAGTCTAGGGACACCAGGCAGTATGTGCACATTCTTGTTACACCTGACGATAGGCACCCACAAATGTGGTGCCGCATACACGTAATCACAATCTTTGCCCAGCGGCAACAATGCCATCCTCTTTCGAGCTTCCAGCATCTCAGCAGTAGGTTCAGGTCGTTTTATTACAGGTTTGCCAGCCTTTTCAGCATCTTCTTGAGCAGCTTTTAGAGTCTGTAGACCGACAGTGTTCATCTTTTCTAGAGTCTCTTGATGGTATTCTAGTTGTAGGTTGAATGCTTTTGCCATGGATTCGTATGTAATGTCATCATGAGTTGGACCTATTCCACCAGAAGTGAAGACGAGACCGAATTTGGATGAAAGGATGCGTACGCTTTCAATGATTTCTACAAACGACAAAACAATAAAGCCTCTAGTAAATACAGCTGTTTGCGTGTTCTGTCTTTGCACCACCTTTGCACCAACCTTCTTCTATATCAGGAACCACAACAATACGTCGTAGCTCCAGCCCATGCTCAAAACACTTTTGAGCCAGGTAGTGACTGTTAGTGTCCTTAGTTTTTCCGTTTAACACCTACACATAGTTGAAGGTTGATTAGTTCTTATCAGTTCCTCCACACTGCGAGACAGCAGATAACTGTTCGATCATCTTCAATGCGAAAAAATAACTACGTGCCTCATCACCAATGATTAGACAAGCAACAGTGTTTGACACATTAGATGATGACATTCTGTTTGTTTTGACGCCAGCGACTTGAATAGAGGTAGAAGGAGCAGCGATTTGAGATAGAATGGCACGTAAGCGACTACTGCTGCTTCGAATCATGAATTCCAAGTCCACGATGTGACTTCTCTAATACTTATAAATGCGTAAGCTCCATGATTTGCAATTAAGGAGCGCTTTGTTCAGAAGACATGTAATCGCAGTATGTCTCGTACCTCAAGAATGGAACTGTGGGCCGTAAAGCTCCTTTGCGTCCGATGGTTATTGCAAAACGCAGGACGAATTTTTAACCAGCTGCTGTTTGTTGACAAGTGATAAGTGCTGATGACCACAACGAAGATCAAATCAATCACTGTCGACAAATCCATTTATCATTCTATAACGCGTAATAACACGTCATTCTGTCCTTAAACTGTCTTGGAACCAAACCTGTCATCTCTAATCTAATTGCTCCAAAGAACTCCAACGTATTGACGGTTGTTATTTGATCTGGAGGAAGAGATGGAGGGATCAAAAACGGTCATGCGCTCAGGAGCTTATAGCTCTATATCTGGAGCTGATGACACCTCTTCCTTCCTTCAACAGCCTTCAAAGTCACAGGCTGTACTTCGGCAGCCAGATTCTCCTGAAATGTTGGACGATGAGGAAGAAGGATTTGCCATTCTATCTGATGAAACTTGGTTTGTAAGTGATGTACTCATCTCTCTCCCTGTGTTTTTACCTTCACAATTCGCAAAGATCTTACCGATATAAACTCCTTGAACACGTAGTCATGGCTTCGAAATCAAGGAAGAAGGAGAATATTGTTTGCTGCAGCTGCTGTATTCTTCATATGTCTTGTTATCTTCATTATGGGCTTAATTGCTCTGACAACCGGTAACTGGAACCCCTTGGGCACTGTTTGTGAAGCTTACACGCAGATCCGAAGTAGGTGATAAAGGAGTGATACCAGATTCTAGACTACCCTACACTGAAGATACAGAGGGTCTATTTTACGCATCATCACCTACCATTAGCTGGTTTCATGGGGGTTGAGTAGTTCATCGCTGGTGGAAAGAACCATCCACCAGTCACTGACACCATTTTTGCTGTTACAGGGGAAGATGGAAATTATATTGAAAAGGATGAAAAGAACAATATAGTGCTGAAACACGTCGAGTTTCCAAACACCACCGTTTTGGCAAGAAATGCAGATCTTATCGATGTGGGTTGGACCGGCGTTGACCAAAACAAGACATTGTGCTAATCTAACTCGATGTAGTCAACTGGAGCCTCCTTATCATACTTCACGTATTCAGTGTCTCCTGATATGGCCCTGATCTTATTGGGAACTCGTTATCACAAGGTTTGTCTGCACATTAAGAGGAATCCAACGTACTGGGTTTTCATATTTCCACCCAACTCCTTGTTGTCTCAGGGTTGGAGGCACTCCTTTTTCGCTGATTACTGGCTATTCAATACAAGGTCTCGCAAGACCTTCTTATTGACAACATCTAAAACTGGTAAAGAAGGACAAGCTGATGAGCCTGGAATGGGTCAAGTTCCATTAATCAAATGGAGCTCTACTGGTCATAATCTGGTAATGAGAACAAAAAACGAAGGCACAAGCATGACATACTCAAGAGCTCATAACTTTCTAGGCATACGTGCGAGATAATGATATCTACATGTTGGTAAACGGTACTCAAGAAATGCGATTCACTGTTGACGGATCAGCTAACATCCTCAATGGTTTTGCTGATTGGGTGTATGAAGGTGAAAAAGCATCCGCAGCATCGAAACAAAAACTCGACGGTTTACAATTCGCCTGCTCGTCACTGATACCAACTCTGGTTGTTTAGAGGAAGTATATGGATCAGCAGATGCCATATGGTTTTCTCCTGATGGACTCCGTGTAGCTTATGTCAAGTTTAATGATACCCTTGTCCCAGAATACCCATTGCTATACAATGTCCAAGATCACAATGGAGAGCCAGTGGGTGCTTATCCACATGAAGTCAGATTGAAGTATCCCAAAGTAAGCTGAGAATGGCTTGCTGAGCACGAACCTTTGTTTTGCTGAATCTAACTTTGTTCCATTGGTTTTAGCCTGGATATCCAAATCCATCAGTTACAATCCACGTCGCTGACTCAACATTAAGCAAATCAATCCCAGTGACTTTTGAACCAGGCTCATTACCATCCGATGACGATCTACTAGTTACTGAAATCGACTGGGCATGTCCATCTTCATGCTTCCTAATCAGAGTCACGAACCGCGTACAAGATCGTATGCAAGTGTATAACGCTTCATTCATCACCAAATCAAGGTCTTGGCAAGCGACACTTGTACGAGACGATAAGTCGCCTGATGGTGCTTGGTTTCCGCAATTGCAACCTACGACAGTGTTGCCTATACTCGAAAGTGGATCCCCCAAAAATGGAACCCCCTTTGCATACTATTCGTGTTATTTAGAGTTAAGAGATCATGCAGGGTGGATGCATATAGGATTGTACAATGTTTCCTCAAAGAGTGCAGGAAGGGCTGTTGAGAGTTGGTTGACGTCTGGATCTTTCGATGTTGTATCTATCTCAGCTGTTGATTTGAAGCTTGGGATAGTGTAAGAAGCAATCTCGAAACGTTGACGATCACCTTTTTGCTCACCCTTGGTCAATTCCTCTTAGATACTTTATCAGCACAGAGGAAGGCCCAACCCAACGACACCTATATAGTGTTTCTATCGATGGAAAGACAAAGGTCAAGATTAATCCACCATCCGATATGCCTGCTTCTGTCATGACACATGTACATTCGATATCTAGCACTGCTGGATATTATGGTACAAGGTTTTCGCCTGGTAGTCGATACTATGTGTTGAGCTATGAAGGTCCTGATGTGCCTTGGACCAGAGTGATGCGAAATGATGGAGGTGAGAAATAATTTCATTTAGTGCTCTACGGATACGTTTTTTACTCATCATTCAGAATTTCCGTAGAGGTCATCAGCGCCTTGACAGACAACCAAAACGTAAGAGAAGCGTACGAAAAATATTCAACGCCATCTCGTGATTACATTTCCATACCGAATGAAGATGCTGGCATCGGTATGTCATCAAAAGTTGGTCTTGATACTTTCAGCAAAAATATCCCAATCCATCGCTTTCCGTAGACATGAACGCAGTCCTGGTATACCCTCCAAACTTCAATCCAAATCAAGTCTATCCTCTCCTCGTACGATGCTATGGAGGCCCTGCATCACAGTTAGCCGCTATGAAATACACCCTTGACTTTTCAAATACGATTGCATCTCATGGTTTCATTGTTGCTTCTGTTGACGGTCGAGGGACTGACTTCATGGGGTAATAAGCTTTTGAGCAACGGTTGATTTTGGAAGACAATATCGTTAGGCAACAATTTTTTCTTTTTTAGTCGTGACTATCGAAATTCGGTATCCGGAAAACTTGGAGAGCTGGAAGCTTTTGATCAAATTGTTGCTGGCAGGTAACAGGAATCACTTTGAGCGGGACAAAAGTAACCAAAAACAAATCTAATATTTTGAAAATCTCACAGGTACTTGAAAGATCTATCGTACATATCGGACAATCAAACAGCCATATGGGGATGGTCATATGGCGGCTATTTGACTTCAAAAGTGATTGAAGCTAATTCAGGAGTCTTCCAAGTTGGAATGGCCGTAGCACCTGTTACTGACTGGCTTCTTTATGGTATTGAAACGAACGGCACAAGATGGATTTTGCATATGGCAAAGCCATGTGCATATGGCAGTAGTTACTCATCTGTTTCTATTCCATTAGATTCTGTGTATACTGAACGGTACATGAAGACCCCGACAATCAACCCAGAAGGTATTATCGACTCTTAGACTTCGTTTTGCTTGACAATTGACAATTGACAATATACAATATTCTGTGTTAAACTTCTGTAGGATACAAAAAGAGTGCCGTGAGGAATATGACTGGGTTCAAGAATGCCAAGTTCTTGTTGGTTCATGGAAGTGCTGATGGTAAGAGTTGCATTCCTATCATGTTTTTAAGAAAAAAGTGTGCCTAAAGTTACTCTTACGTAGATAATGGTGAGCTAAAAGAACGTTGCAAATCTTAAATGTGTCCCAAGAATGAAAATTGCTTGCGACGGCATCTAACACAAGTTGCATACCATCTAGTACACTTCCAAAACAGCCTTAGACTGCTCTGGCTCTTGACTGAAGAACACGTCGTGACGTACACATCACAAGTGTTTACGGATTCGGATCATAGTGTGTCCACTGGACAAGCCTATAATGAATTGATGGGATTACTCAAGAGCTTCTTGTTTCAGAACTTGGGCATTGCACCATAGTTTAACTTTGATAGTCCTTGTTTGTTGCTTTGTGAATAATTAGATCTTCATATTTCTTGTACAAAGGAAAATACTACTTCTAGACTTTCTTAACGATGTGTACATAAAATGTTTGGCAAGATGCCTTTCCACTCTGATTTGAGAGCTCAGAACAAAGTTAAACAGAAGCACTTTGGTAATTTCAATCTGGCACTAACTTAAGTTAGGAGCTCTCCCATTGAGAGGAAGGCACCGGGCAATGAGTGCGTGAGTAAGATCAAAGAACTGACAAGAAAAGAAGCAAGCAAAAAAACACAATAAGTGTGTCGATATTCATCACTGTTCATCCTGATGGAGTTATCCAGCGGTTATATTAAAACTGTTACAAAAAAACAACAATTTGGGTGCAGTGTTTACCGAATTCATTTGGAGTTTGTTTCGACAGTCGACTGAAGTTTTCGTAGGCAATGATTTGAGCTCTTGTCAAAGGAACACATGACCTTGGTATTGCCCTTTTGAAGGCTTTCTCGGAGATAGATGTCAACTGGTAATATTATTCACAAGCAGTCAAAATCCATCTAACCCTGTGAGCTCATATACTCGAGAACGCAATGAACGGATAGAAAAAGCGACCTGGCTACTCTAATTGCTTCTCTTCATATGCCTTTTTGCTTGATTTCAGAAGTTGCGTCCAAAGTTGATAACTTGATGGTTTGGTGGACTCACTACTTTGTTTATCCATAACAGAGCCCGGACCAATCTGTACCTGTCTTGACATCTTTAAATCCACGCCTGGACGACGTCAGAAGTTTCGCTCTATAACATGCTTCAAACCATTCCATTATTGCACGTATTGTTGGAGTATCGAATTTCGCAGTATAACGAACAATGAATCTCAGGACAATATTGCAAACTCGATTTCTGATGAACTGTATTCAAACTCGTGCTTATATCATATGCGTGCTTTTATAAATCAAAACATCTATTCCCGCTCACGGCGAGGCTTCTCGAATGGATCTCTAGTTCCACGTCCATCCGATCCGGGTGGAGCAGCGATTTCTCTAGGCATTCCAGCAAACGAGCCAGTGAATGTAGGGAATGGCACAACAGCACCAGGAGGAAACACTTTTCCTTGTGCTAGTTTACGAATGGCGTCCTGTAATTGAATATATCCACCATCGGGGCCGGGGACAGCGCCTTTTACATAAACCAGGTTGTATACCAGATCAATCTTTACGACCTACAGCAAAAAACAGACATGTAAGTTGGTTGTAACTGCAGGTTCAATTTGCCCCAAGGCAAGTGTCGCTCCGACGAATCTTGCGACAGCGATACTTACATGAAGATTCTGCACAGTTATTTGTTCACCACCCATTCTTCCAGCCATCTTCTTTCCCTTCCATACTTTGGCTGGATCTGTTCGATTACCGGTAGAACCACCAGATCGATGGGCCAACGAGACACCATGCGATGCACCCATTCCTTTAAATCCCCATCGTTTCATGACACCTTGATATCCTTTACCCAGCCTATCAGAATTTAGCGAGTTCAGTTATAGTGAACGAAACAAAAGTAGGTGGATCCGCAAGCTTTGTCAAACGTACGAAGGACCAGAGCAATCAATATATTGTCCGGGCACGAAATGAGCACAAGTCAATGTAGTTCCTAGATACAATAGGCGTGAGTTGAACGATAAGAACGATGCCAAAAAAGGAATGTCCAAAAATGGACATTCCTTGGCCATACCTGAAGGCAAACAAGCATCTGGCGACACTCTAAACTCTACTATACGTCTTTTGGGAGGCACAGTATGCCGCCTGAAATGGTATAGTTCGGGCTTTGTCAGTTTGTAAAGGCGTGGATGGTTTACAGCTCCAACTTGTACAAAGTGTCGTTCACATTGTGGATCGAATCTGCTTTGGACGACTTGGCAGTCTATGATCTATTTGGAAAAGCGAGTAAGAAGGCATGGAGCGGTGAGAAGAGAGCTCTCTCTATGGATGGTTGCAAGGTATGGCTTTTTTTGCACCAGCACACACTCTACCACATATGGCACACATAATTCAACAAGCACGTACTTTGATGACAGTGACGGGGGTCTGTTGGCCCCATTCATCCCATATCTGGGTCATTCCCATTTTGATTCCGATGAGACCAGTTCTTCGTTGATTCTTTCCCGTCCAGGTAGTGATGGGTGATGGATTGATGCCATCAGATATAGGAAGTGGTACATTATACGGTATTATGGCAGTGGTGGTGGCAGTAGTAGTAGATTGTGCGGATGATGGTATCGATGCCTGTATTTGTGCTAGCCTTGTAGTCATCAAAGTCCTCACTGGCTGAAAGCAGGCTTGCAAAGGGTGTTGGAGGTAGGATGCTCTGGTAGAGCGTAACACCAGTAGTAATGCCTCAGTGGCAGTAGTAAGCCGCCTTGCTGCCATCACGTCCACTAATCTATTCGTTGATCTTTGAATGCTTTAAGTGTTTGAGAGAACATTTAGACAGTCCATGCAAGGAGTTGTGTAGGTTTGCGCGTGTTTTTTCATTGAATGTAATAGATTTAATAGTTTTGTACGAGTTAATCACGTCCAAAGTGTCGCATCTAGTCTGCTTTAACCTCGCAATCCAACGTGCCAAATCCCTACAATCTGGACAATATTGGAACATACGAGAGAACTAGACCATGTCGGATGATCCAAACATTAGAAAGTCGAACAGGAAACGTTTAGATGTCGATTACAAGAAGGCCAATGAGGGACTACCCATCGACGCAACTCCTACCAAACAGCCAAAACAAAGGAAGAATGTCGGCGAGGCTAGCACCGCTAGTAAAAAGAAGAAGAGCACTTCAAACGATGATGAATCATTCTTCACTCCCGCTACTACTGCTAAAAAGAGATCGTAAGTATACACATCGCCCCATATCTTCTCAACATCAAAACATTTCAATCATTTTATTGTTGACGAACGAAACTGACAAGAACTAACAATTATACGTGTTCTACGCAACCCCAGGGCTCGGTTACAAGGCAAGGCTGCTTCGGACGACTTTGAAACTCTCCAACCATCACCAGATCCAACAAAACAAGACCTACTTAACAATAGCGAACATCACTTCCAACAGGGCGACGATGATGATGATGTAGATGGTAACGATGAGAATCTAGGACAGCCAAAATCAATATATAATCGCGCAAAAGACTTGATACTATCGCCCTTCAAACTCTTTTCAGGATCAAACAATGCCAATCTTGCAGACCAGAGTATGATGAAACTCGTCGACACCGATGACTTTGAAGATGATGAAGGTGGTCTACTACCAGAAGGAGGTGAAGAAGACGAAGGTGCCTCTACTGCCAATGACGACGGTAATGAGGATGAAGACCTAACTGCAACATCAACTCCTACTGGTGGTGAAGACTGGAGTCTCGGCGGACTGTTAGGCAAAATCACAAACCACAACCATAATCATAAAACATTCGACGAGTTTTTGGATAATCCAGATGATAATGCTGATGATACTGCTAGTCGAGTGACGGACTTGGAAGATACAGATGGTACACAAACACCAACAGACAGCCAACAGCAGCAGGGAGAACAGAATGGTGGTACTGCCAAAGGACTACGGCGTGTACGATTTGCTGCAAGTGATGATCAACAAGAAGATGATGAATCACAAGAACTTAGGGCATCCAGACGTATCCAGGATGAGGAAGAGGACGATGAACCTGAGAAGGAAGCCGAAAAGGAAGCTGAGACGAGAGCTGACAGTACTGGACATATAGGTAAGCATAAATAAATATATTACTAAACTTCCAAATGTTTTGTGTTACTTCACCTGTCCTTCTAACATCGCTCTCCCTCTGTAGAAACCACAACATGGTCTGAATGGTTTCATGATCAAAGGCTGGTCGTACTCCTCACCCCAATTGTATCAAAGGCTTGGGCTCTTGTCAAAGTATTGATCATGATACCTTGGTTTCTCCTCGACTGGGGATTCATAAAGCCCGCAACCTTCTTTGGTAAACCAGCACTATCGTATATATCCACCATTAGAATACCTCGTATCTATATAATTCTTCCACTCGCTACCATATTGTCTTGTTCTGCCCTTTACTATGCCGCACCAAACATCCTTACCATGGTCGGGCTTCCTAGTCTATCTAGCTACACTGGTGGTAGCTCAAAGCTATATACCAATGATGCCGCATCGGCTGCTCTCAATAAGAGGTTGACGGCAGTAGAACGAGCTCTAGAAGCCAATACCCGTAAATCATCTAAATTCGAAAGTGTATTGGATTCCGTATCTAAAGAGGTCACTACTGTATCGCAACATGTAGAATCGTTACAGAAGAAAGTCGAAGTCGAACTTGATGGTCTAGTCAAAAATGCTGACTGGAATGCATTCGCTACTCAACACAAGGACTCTATTGCTCAACTCCATCAGCTCGTCAAAGATTCTGTCCGACACTCTGAGAAAAGTGTTGCAGATATCAAGAAGGATGTAGATGCCTTGTCTACTACATTGGCGGACTTGTCTTATGTCGTAAATAGTGCTCCTCCTGCCAGCCGATTGCATGGAGTGGAAGCATCATTGGCTGCCATTCAAGCTCAATTGTCTACCATAAATAGTGATTCTAAATCTGAGTATACCGTAGGGATCAAGTCCGTAGAAGCAGCTTTGAAGGTCTTGTCGGACCGTTTATCTTCTGTTGAAGCTAGTCAAATAGAAGTACCCGATAAACTCAAGAGTCAGGTCTTGGCAGCAATCAACGAATATCTGCCGACCCTGATGGCTGCTAAAATAAATCCAACTACGGGCCAAGTCGAAATAGCTCCAGCGTTCTGGCAAGCCATGGAAGCCAAGTTTGCCTTGAAATCGGCATTGGAAACAGAACGAGCTGCTGCTAGTAAGGACATCAATACAGCACCCTCTATTGTAGTAGAACACGTAATACCATCTCTGGAAGACTTTTTGAAGGTCAACCAAGCTGAATTGGAAGAATTGATTCATGCTCGAGTAGATGCTAAATTACCAGGTGCCATTGTAACGAAATCCGAAGTCTTGAACTTGATTGAACGAGAGCTATCAAATGTACGACTCAACAATAGTGCTAGCGGTAGTAAAGCCAGCGGTCGAATCACTTCCACACCCATAACCTCATCGGATGCAAGTAATGATGCTGATATACCGAATATTGTCTCTTCAATCGTCACTCGCATGTTGTCTCAGCATCACGCCGATGTCATTGGTCGTCCTGATTATGCACTCTTGTCTAGTGGTGCACGAGTGATTTCAGATTTGTCAAGTGATGAGTATGCTCTATCACCTCGTACTGTACCTACATGGGTCTTGTCAAAGCTCTTTGGAATACAGAACTATGTAGGCAAACCAAGGAGGATGGCTCTCATGCCAGAGACTCATGCTGGTGCTTGCTTTGCCTTCAAAGGTAGTTCCATCATAGTAGTGTAGTCTTTTTTTGCTTGCAACTACAACGAAACCTGAGACGCAACTAAAACCTTTCCCTCTAATCACGTAGGCAGTAGTGGTACTCTTGGCGTCGCCCTCGCACGAGACATCTATCCCACCTCCTTTTCGATAGACCATCTACATCCAGAACTAGCTTTTGGTCCAGGTGCCTCGGATTTGAAATCAGCACCCAAATCTGTCGAGCTGTATGCTATATATCAAACGGGATTTACACCATCCCAGAAGAATCTAGCAAAAGCAAGCTCTATAACACCATCATCTTTAATAAGTAGCAACAGCAAACAATCGCCACCAGCAGCTGTATTGCTATCGAATGGAGTCTTTACACCACGAAAACCCAGTCCACAGACATTCGGAATCTCGCAAGAGATGGTTGAAGCATTGAAGGCTTCCCAATTACGAGTGCGCCATGTGCTTGTACGAATAGTGGACAACTGGGGGAATACGGATTGGACCTGTTTGTATAGGATCCGTGTGCATGGGGAAGAGTAGAAAATCATAGGAGAGAGGAGAAGAGAGGATTAGGACTCGTGTTTGTTGATATTTACTATTCATTTGTTTACTTTTTTGTATGTATTGTTGTTGGACAGGAATAGCAAATATAGTATCTTCACTCTATGATCTTCTTGGGTGTCTGTCTTTTTGCTGGTTGTTCTGCTGTTGCGTCGGTGTGCTTTTCTTGGTCCCTTCTTGCGCTTTGTCGTGTCTGGAACCACGCTTGGTCTTCAAGTACAGGTTTGAGGTTGATATATTGCTATCCTTGCCAAGGTTGCATCAAAAAGAACGTTTTAAATAACATGTGTGTCGTTATACAAAAAGCAAAAAGTATGATAAAAAAATCCAGCCAGTAAACTGCTAGAATGATATCCCTAATTATAATTTAACCGTACACCCCTTTCAAGACTGAATTATCCTATCCATCATAACACCCATGTCAGACCTTGAGAGCATCCATCCATGAATTCAGCTGATCTTTCGAGTCGGCCGCCAGATATATAGCACCACTCTCGTCCTTGGTATTTACATCATCACCCGCGTCTTCAGCTTCTTCTACTTCCTCCTCCTTGTCTCCCTCGTAGTGTTCATCTTGAGTTACGACACTCTCATCATAATGCTCAACCAAGTAGTTTGATATTCTAGCAGCGGTCGTTTTGAGTTCTTTCAAGGGTTTCAGGCCAAGAGTAGATCGTTGCCATGATCCGAGACGGGAGAAGCCAGAGTCAACGTGGAGTTCAAGACCGTATTTTACGTATACTACTTCTTCATCTGCTCGGCCACATTGTAGGATGTGTCTTGTTGAGAATTGGGTGATGGGTGCTTTTGTCTGTTATAGAGAGAGAGAGAGAGCGAGAATTCGTTAGCTTAAGAAGTTTGAGCAGAAGCAAAAGATGATTTGAAAAGTGCGAACATTATTGCACAGGGCAGGAATCCAAAGATTCGAGCAACACAAACGTCGCCTGCTACATACCTCTCTATCTACATCATATACGCTGATCTGGCCACCGTCCAATGTAATCCAGTACTTTCTCCAGGTCTATGGTAAGGCAAAAAAATGTCAGCGATTTGTGTGAGCATCCATCACAAAAGCACAGCAAGCACTCACAGGTCGCCCAGTATTACCAAACATTTGCACATTCAGATATCCTGACAATGAGACTTCGTCCTTGGGCTCAATAACATCCACTTTCTCCTGTTCAGCCACATCTAGCTCTTCACCATCATGACTTGTACGTCCTGCTAGGAACTCTTGCTCTTCAACACCCTCTATCCCAGTCGTAACAATAGCAGCACAAGCCCGACTATGTGGTGCACCAAATTTGCCAAACGCTCCGAAACTCAATATAGCTTTTGCATTTTGTGAGTCGTTTGTCATATCTTGTCTCATTGGGTAACCACCGGATATCACGGGAAATCCATGACTGACGTGATCTGGCACTAATTCCCACGTCATGGATCCCATGTACTGTGCATCTGTTGGTTTGTTTATGACTGGAGCGTATGGGATATTGTTGATACTGGTGTTTGTGTTGTTGAAGGATGAGTTGTTGACGCTATTGTTCTTCTTGCTATGTGGGGCGATTCTACTCAAGGTGCTATTGATACTATTGTTGCTACCACGACCGAGATTTAGGATACCTGGGAGATGGAAGCGTGATTTTTTGGATTGGACTGAGGCGGTGGTTGAAATGGAGGCGACTGATTCCATTGACGGGGAGGTTAGCATAGCTTTGGTTGTTGGTTGACCCGTTGACCAGATGGTCACTGTCAGATTGCAGTTGCCGTTAGCCATTGGGTCTCTACATGTTGATGATCGTTAGTTCAAAAGTGGCCACCAGTGACGAAACAAACTAGTGACGAACCCACCACGAATACTTACAGCAGGAATCCCTCATTCTGTCTGCTAAAGATTGCAAAGTCATGCTTCTTCTTTTCTCTTTCGACAGGTAAGATGGAAGAGTATACGGATTGACTTCCATTTTTGATTTCAGCAAATAGATGAGTTACGTCACTCGGCGCCTTCAATCTTAGCTCAAAGACTAGAATTGAATAGGGCGCGTCAGCCACTTGTGTTTGTTTAAGCGGACGATCGTTTGATCAAAACTTACGTTGAACGTATATGAGTGGAACCTTGAGTGGAGCCATTTGCACAGAGGCTGGTATAGCATCAGTTAATATAGACCTCCTAGCATAGTAAAACATATCAGATCTAGTCAGAACGAAGAGAAACAATGCCTCTCAATAACAACACACACCTATTGTTCTTCCCAATCGTTCCATAGTTTCCAGCATACGGTGCGCCGTTCTGTTGTGTATCATTGTTGCTAGCATTGAAGCCTAATCCTACTACAGGTCTCCTCTTTGTAGTTGGTTCTCGAAGGCTGGAATAGCCATTGGCAACCATCATTTGGGCGAATTCAGCGGCAGGAGCGACCAAGGAAGGCATGACATCCTGTGGCTGCAAGTGGTCTGGGATATCATGTATGAATCCATTCGAAGCTATGAGTTTGCAGGTTGATCTGTGAGTTTCCAATGAAGGGGTGCTTGACGACGGTTTGGGCGAGTCAGTAGAGAGAATCCATGACCATAGCTCTGGCGTTATGTTGGTCGGTGGGAGGGAATCTGGGAGATGGAGAGCAATCATTTTCTTCTTGTTGAGAGAAGCTGCCTCGTTTGGTTGTTTGGGAGTGGGTATTATGGATGCGACTGAATTTATTGTTGATGTTGATGATGCCAAATCAGGCGTCGTTGGTTGTTTATATAGGCTACGGCCTAGAGTAGGCGGTAGTGCAGTCGACATATTTGGGGTCTAATGATGATATACTCTATGGTCAGTTCCTCTGATCTCTCATGTTCCAAAACAGCACAAAAAACTCAACGCACCAAAGAGCTATAAGAATGTATTCACTCTCTCAACGAGCCAACTCGATCTTTGCCACGTTTGTATCGGTGATGATGTGCGTGCTGAGTGCCGTGGCTCTCACTGGACCAGTCCTGCTCTATCTCTATGGAAAACCAACTGTTTCGCTTCAAGTTGGAGAGGTCTCCGTGTATGTCGTCTGATCTTGTTTGTTGGATGTGTCAGATAGGATGGCTACCGTATATATACGCGTTGTTGATCATATCTCTCCTCTCTACTAGTAAATTGGGTCGAGTTGGTCAAATTTATGACAGGACATCTCCTGTGTCTGAATTGGGCTTTATCGACTTTAATCTCGACGCTGGCAAGTCATCCTCTCACTTGATTATACTCTTATTTACTGCTAAAACGATATTACATGCATTAGATCTAAGCTCCTTATTCAACTGGAATACAAAGCAACTCTTTGTGTATGTTTTGGCAGAGTTTGAGACTCCATCACATGTACGTATTAAGAACATCGGTGGAGGCTATCGTTCTTCACTAAGCAGCATACACAACTAGGACACGAACGCTGTTGTCATATGGGACGACATTATACAAACTCCTGATCGAGCTGTCATAAAATTGAAACGACAACGAGGAGAGTATGTCGTTACCGACATGTTGAATAAACTGAGGTACATATGCGCTTGAAAATATCATTCCTGACGATACACGTGGAACTGACACCAACCACATCACTCAATCTAGCCACAAAAAGGCACGTCTATCATTACACTACAATGTCATCCCTCATGTTGGAATGCTGCAATGGTTTACATCTGACTCGGTGGTTCATTTTGAATTCCCATCGAGGACTTCATAAAAGGAACATTTCCTCTGTCTCATTACATGGATTCTCGTGTGTACAGATGATTTACATAGTATGAGTGAGTCAATAGAATCGCATTTGCAACAGTATTGGACGTGATGTGGATGATACCCAGTGTTTATTACAGGATCCTATTACTGGAATACGTACAGAATGTTTGCGAAGTGCTCTTTCGTTCTGAGATGGAGCTCAAGACAAACTCAAGCAGGAGCTCCTCAGCAAGTCACTGTAGCACTAAGTTAAGTAAGGAGCTCTTCCATTGGAAGGAAGAGCACCAGGCAATGAGTGCATTCTAACTTTCAAAGTAGCAACAACAAAGAAGACAACCAAATAAAAACAATGGGCTGTTCAGGTATACATCACTGTTCACAGAGCCAAACGTTCCATATACACTAACCTAGGGTACTTTCAAGCACCGTATGCCAAAAGACACCGATGTCATTGCTTTCGAGGCATAGGATGCCATCGTGCACAAAAAAAGGAGCGATTTCCACATGCAAAAAAAAATAATCCGAATCTTTCCTGCAACATTACAGCTCCTCTCCTTCACCATCCAATCGATATCCACGCATACATCCAAACTTCCCTGACTACATCCATCCCTCGTCCCTCTAGACACCCTCCACAGCATCCAAATCCCCACAGTCCATTTCCCTTTGTGAGGTCTTTAATGTTCCATCAAAAAGTCGTCTATTCAGCAAATGAAGTACCTCAAATCCAACCAGATTCACATCCGTATTGAGATTGAAGTGTCACTGCAGACTTGGCTATGGATGATGGTCTTACTTGATGTCGGTTTCTTCATACACAAAACATCCATTCCAATATAGAGAAGATAAAAGAGCAAAAGAAGGGAGACTCCCAACGTAATGGAGGTCAATCCAATATGCGAGCACGACGCCTTCTTTTTCGTGATGGATGCTTGTACCTGTCAAGAAGCCATGGTTTTAATGAAGTTCAAAGTCAGATGATTGTGATGAAACAAAATCAAACTGATACCGAGAGTGAGGTAAACGACAGCCATTCACGTGTCAAACATTACATTCAAGTAGCTGGATATCATTCTCGGTATGCTTTCTATCTCATTCTCAAAGCTTAAGGCACCTTCTACTGCTGCTCGAACGACCGTGATTTACACGATAGGAGGATATAGGCCAGGCAAATCGACGTAAGAATCGCGTAACGTACACACGAATCCACATACTTGCTTATTCTGTCACGGCGATTCTAATGGGCGATAACTTGGTTGATTGCGAAATCCTCCCAACGCAACAAAACATAAATTTTCTTGTATGTATAATAGAATACGTCAAGCAAATTCCTGAAGAATATTAAAAGTCTCTGGATGAAAATCGTTGTGGCCAATCGCTGTAGAGGATGGAGGCTTGAGAAAAAGCAGACTTTAAATCGACAGCATATAGTGATAACGTATTGTAGCAAGCAGCACCAAACAGGAGTTTCATCTAACTATTGAATTGTGCATCGTTGTTTCGCTTTGTCCACACAAGAGAAGATTGTAGAACTTTTCAAATGTACAACTGTATTCTCTTCGGTACTTCTGGTACAATAAAACGAGACTTTAAATACAATGCAATCACAATAAAAAACAGAGGTTTGCCAAGGGTAGAGTGATGTAACAAATAATGGACATCACTGAACCCAAACTACTAGAACGACGATTGCTAGTACCACTTGTTGCAGGTTGACCAAGTCCAACTCCCGTAGAGCCCTTGACCATACTTTGAGGGATGACAATGCTTTGGTTGGTGTATGGTCGCATGTCACCAATGCATTCAGCAGGTGATTCAACATGGAAACCAGCCTTGAGCAAGAGGTTGAGTGACTGTGGTGCCTCAGTAGCTGAAATAGGAAACCTAAGCAATGCAGTGTGATAAACAGTATAATGACAACTTCAGGATCCGCCATTGCCCAATCTTTCTCAGAAGTATCTCCTTCTCGCAGATTCTTACAAATCATGTTCCAATGATATGTGACCATTGGTATCATTGCCAGAGGCAGCAATCCAGTCAGTAAAGTTGTTTGGAATCCATTGAGGTTGAAAATGGTATGATGGATCGTTGGAAGTCCCTGTTGTTGAAGGGGTTGATGAACACTGTGGATCTTACATGTTTTGCACAAAAGGACCAGTTGAGTGAAGATTGCAGGCATATACTGACAGTCAGATGTGTCACGATCCCACATGATCGAGGTCAGATTCATAGCAATAAAGATGGCACGGACACGGTCGTCTTAAAGAGGAGAGGGGGGTTGAATAAAGTTGCGTACAGTCCACGACAATAGGTAATAGACCACTAGAGTACCTGCATCACCGAGAGGGAATCTAGCATACTTTGGTCGTGTACCAGTGACCTTTTCAATGGCCAGCACTGAATAATGCATCTCCATAACAATTTGCTCAGTTGGTACACCAGTGAGCATCTAAAGTAGAAACACGTATGAGAAAACAAACCATTGTGCTTTTGGAAAGTTGTGAAAGACTCCCAGGATGGCTCCACGTATGTGCGCTAAAGCGACCAGGTATGCGCATTAGACATGTGAGGTTACATTTGAAAGGATATCTCGTTCAAACACAGATAAATTCAAATTTCAACACCCAACAATCTAACGTGAGTGGATCACTCACGCTAGGACATGTCCCGTTTGGAACTCTCGTAGTGTAATATCTGGTCGTTCACTAACACGAGATCCGATAGCGAAAAACATGGTCTGTGGAGATGAAAAGACGATGTTAGATAACGTGTTGGAACGGCTTCCAACTGTCAAATTACTGACCTTGACGTTCACAGAATCTAGAAAATCGAGCAGCCCAGTAGTGTAAGGACCAGGTCCGTCATCTTAGGAACGTTTCAACAATGTCAGTTGTAGTGTTGTACACGTCATCGTCAGTCACACAGTTTCTCTACCAAAAGACAACCCCCAGATTCGCTTGGCTATTTGTCAGATCCACTTTAGTAGCTGAGTCAATTTGAAAAGTAACTTGAGAGACCTACTTGGACAGATCCTTATATCTGTTGAACGGGTACATCCAAAGCAATTGAAATCCTGCAGATTCGTGTAAGGTTGAGACTTTTTCCTTTCACGCGTAGGAGCCTTGGGACAGTGTACATACACAGGACACATTGCTTGCAGGACAGATCTAAGTGAATGAATGCAGCGAGTGAATCGCAGGACCTCACCTAAGAAATCTTGGTTCAAAGATCCAGAAACATACTGTGTTGTTTGTTGTAGTGTTGAGAGTCTTGAGAGGATAGTTCGGAACCTAATCGGAGATAGATCCGGTGTAATAGGATTGAGTGTGAAATGATGCATCACGGAAATGAATGTCTGAAACAATGGATGCAAATGCAACAAAGCAAAGGGAAGGATCAAAGACGTACCCTGCTGAGATCATACAATGCGAGTATAGCTGGATCCACCGGTGGAATGACATCCATGGGCGGGAAGCCTTGTTTGAAGATATTTGTCGAAACTACGGTCTGGCAATTTCCAATGCTGATGCTTGCCAATAGGATGAAGAATCCATAGTTCCATAATGTCATCATGTTGATGTAGTTGAGTGCAGTACATTCCAGTCTAGTCATGGTCTGATGCAGTCAAGTTGTGTTGGTAGTAGGTTGAAACAAATGAGAGCTTGGACATGTAGAGCTTGCGGACAACATGCGTTTCCAGAAAAGAGCGAACCATGTCTCGCGTAATTGGTAATTAAATATTCATTTATCCCACAAAAACGCGTGAGGCTCCTTTCTTCGTCGAGCTTAGTGTGTTTCAATAGGACAGTGGTCAAGGGTCTGTTAGTTGTTTGCAACGCGACCAACATATGCAGGCAATTCCAGCGATGGACGATAAATAAACACTAGAAGGTGTACGAATAGTATCATGAAGGTTCCAAAGCATAGTAGTATCGGTAAGAAACTTGGTCAATTCGCCAACGTTTCGCATCTATAATATTCTGCTGCATTTTTTTTGACAAAATGTATTCACCCTGTCGCATTAATAGGAATGGACGATATAATATGAAAGGATCTTCGGCTGCCAAACGAAATAATGATCAAAATCGTAGACCATCTGGCCGCAAAGGATGAACTCATCGAATCAACACGAAGGGAGACACACAAGGCAAGAGCAGAACGGCTGGCCAGACTCGCACCGCTTGCTCTAGTTTGCAGAGGTCTCAATGTACCAATAGCTCGTATGCTCTATGATAAAGTCCGTGTCGCAGAACATGTGACGGGAAACCTGTGTAGGTAAGCGACTACTCGCACCTCAAGCCAGGGGTAGTTTACGTGTATGACGCGCATATGAGCAATCAAATAATCGTCTATTCGTATTTCCAAGTCTGTTCATCCTCTTCGAAGCTACGGAAGCCAGACAAATATTCAAGACGAAGGCTCAAAGTTCAGACCAACATTTGCAAACATCATTGCAGTGGGATATATGAGCATCATCTACTCAAGCAGCAACAGAGAACATACCAAATGCTCATAAGCAAGAAAGCAAACAAAGACTCAAAACCAACAAACGCAGAAACTGACCAACCACATCTGAGGAACCACATGCAAGGAAGGAGTTCAGGCTTGACAGCACCATATTAATAAACTGTAAGACTAGTTCTTCCACTTCCTGCTGGAATGACAGATTCAGAAGTCAATCCAGGAAACCACTCAGTACGCGAGTTACGCGAGTAGAGTTGGCACGAGCACCCAACAAGTTTGCCTAGTAGGCAGGAGTAGTAACACTCAAAGACAGGTTTCCTACTCTCTCGTCGGCATCGTCAGGCCCTTCGTGGCTAAGTCGATGGATGCTTGTCGAAGTATTGACGGAAGGCGTGCATGCGATTTCTGCCGCTGTGTACTATTGGTAGAAAAATGCCCTTTAGCTTTGTGACCATGCAAATCGCAAAGGAGGACACAAGATAACCAAATTTACTTTTGTATTAGTCTTAACTCTATGTATATGAGTGTCCGATATGGCGATCGATACGCGAAATATGGAATAGTTGCATCACGAATCTTCTTGCAACATCTTGTCCGTCTTTCACTGCAAACATTTAAAACATGTCATAAGGCAAATGATTTAAAAATATTAAACGTACATATCTACAAAGATGGCGATTTAGACGGTTTATCAAGTCCTGTTGAGAGTCTTGACCTCGTAGCAATCAGCATCACTTCCGACAGTTCGTATAATGGACAAGCGACGATAGATGCGGTAGTTTCAACTCCTCTTGCACTTTTGATGAAGGCGCTAGGCATATCATTTCCCTTCGACATGGACTCTGCGATCTGTAACAACAAGGCCTAAGAATATATGAACGGTCAGAAGGCGAAAAAGGCCTGAAGCATCAGTTCTTCATCATACCTTCGGGTATGGATCATAAATGAATTCATCGTCAACGACACGCTGAGAATCTGGTAGTCGTTCAAGTCCAAGATGGAAGACCTAATAGAAAGTAGTCTAGTAACTCTGAATCCAGCTTCAAATATAACTTCAATCGTACCTTGTAGATATCATCAATAGTCATGCTAGTCAGAGCATTCGAGACGCCCAAAGCCTTCACAAGTCCGTCATTAGGAGAGAAGTCTGCACTAGAATACATTAATAGTTCCAGAACATTGACCATTCCCACGGGAGTTTTCGCATCAGCTGGAGCAGGATTTCCACCGTCCTCTTCGTCTTCACCACTAATCACAAAGCGAGAGTCCTGTAGTTCATCCACGGATACTTCGAAACCAAATGGAATGGAGGCTGGTAGAGGACCATCGCCAAACAGTACTATCCAAAGGAAGGCTCAGCAAAAAATCCATTGGTATAGCAATCAATACACATACCACAAAGTGCAAGTTTGAGCTTTGCCGGTCGATTGAATTTACGCGCATCAGCTTGCCAACCACTTTCAAACCAAAGTGGTACCGACAAAAAATCGGGTTGGCTGACCTAATTCACACAAGGCTATGTCAATCTCCGCGTCTCACGGAAATTCAATCCTCAGTATTCACTCGCAACTCACTTGACCGTCCTGATACGATGGGCATGACTTGTATCGCTTAGCCAAATTGATCAAGGTATCATCACCAACGACAGGCAAAACATTTGCCACGGTAAACAAGAACCGTCTCCAGCTCACAAACCCAGTCTCAAACAAATCAAGGGATGCAGCCACTTGTTCTTGAACTACTGAAGTTGCAAGACTCTCGGGGACGAGTGTTCGATCATTCTATTGCAATGTTAGATTGTAAGGGCCTGGATGTATGTGTGTTCTTTTGTTCGTGACCTCTTACCAGAGCAGTCCGTTCCAAAACCCCAATAAAATCCTTAATAGAAACCGTTCCAGAGGGAGCAATTCCTCGATATTGCAGGGCAAGAGCAGCAATCTGAGCAATCGTAAACTGGTCCGCCTCTAAGAAAATCATACATCATTTAAACCAAAAACAAACCACTGCCCATAATCATCAATGACGGACAGCGCTTACTGTTCCTCTCAACAGGACTTCCAGGCCTCGGTTCAGGCTCAGGCTCAAATGTAAGAACATCATTCTCAATGGTGAACTTTGGTCCTTCCAAGACAAGCGCCACTGGCAATTTCGATTCGTTTTCAATATTATCACGAATGTATAAGGAAATGTCACGGACACCATCCATTTCAGCTTGGAAGCGTTGATTCGTCCAATCTGACAAAGTTGAGAAGGTTTCAATGGCTTTGGCTCGCAATTCCTGGTTGAATGGACTGATGTTAGCAACAACAAAAATGCACAAATAAACGAAGAAGGATGTTACACACCTTGATATCATTAGTTCCCCGCTGTCGTAGCCGTTCAATACGCCATCGATACATTTGATCTTCCAGTTCAAGGGTCTTGAAGCATTCAATTGGAATCTCAGGATCGTATTCTATGCAAGGAAATCGCGGAGTTCGTTTTTTTGCTGATATCTTTCTCAACAAGCCATTCATCAACATACCAGACGTAATCTTCTCCTCCCCAGCAGGCCCAGCAGTCTCAGCCCGTTTAGCATGTCCATCCTTTTTCCCACCACATAAAGCTTCAGCAGTCGGGACAGGTATAGAAATCGCGGCTTCAATAGCGCGTTGTAAATCAGCCAACATGGCAGACTCAGAATCAGCATATGTTGGATTCTCGACTACATGAGCAGACGGTGCACTTCGGGCATTGGTTGCTGGTCTTTTGACATCCTTGGCACTGGGAGTTGTAGGAGCTGCACTTACTTTACTACCACTCTTGGGAGGTGAAGAAGCAGTTGCTGGTTTTGGTGCATCCAATGGGGTTTCTCCACGTTTGCGAGTAGATGCGTCTCGATGGAGATCATAAGCAGATAAGCTCACGTCACCAGCATTTGAGTGCCTCGCTGTAGCGATTGGTACCCTGACTTGTATCTTTTCATGCTCAAGTAGTAACTAATTAAAAGGCGAAATGGAACAAATTAGGCGTCTTGACTAAAGAGAACTATGGACCAGCGAAGAACACTTACAGCTGAGTAAGCATCCCTATAATAATCCAACACTATTTGCCGAGTACCAGTATACCGCTCAACTTCAGCCTGTACAGCAGCAACATAACAATTCGTCAATACTAACATGTGATCTTCAACCCAACGGTCTTCAATCAACCCGGCCCGTTCTGCATCTGCTTCTTCTCGACGCATATCAGACAGGTCCCAAAGCTTTTCACGTAAATCCTCTACGCGTTGATGAAGCTCGGCCTTTACATCATTGTCATATCTAACACGCAAAAAAAGTTACAGACTTCGAAGCTATTGATTGATGAAAATGACCAACCTCAAATCTTCCTCAATTTCATTAAACTCTTTCTGAAACAAATCAATCACTACTTGTCGACGATCAGGCCTTTCCAAAAACTGCTTGAAGGCAACCTTGGATTCGAAAAAGTGTCGAAGATTGAATTCTCGCTCACGACGAAGACTCCTCAGGATGAATTTGATTTCATCAGTGTATGAGGTTTCGACTGTCGTCCATTCTAAAGTGTCAAAAAAAAGTGTCATCCAGTGCGACAACAACGAAAACTCCGCAACCACTCACGATCACTCAGCGTATCAATAAGATCCTTATCAGGGATCTTCTTCCCATCTGGACCAGTAGACCTAACTAGCGTGGGGGGCACAGATGGAGGGACGTTTATCGTACTAGTACCGGGAACTGTTGGTGGAGGATCGGTAAGAACTGCAGTCTGATTGATTCCAGGTGGGGTGACAGAAGATTTAGCATCTTTGGGAGGCGATGACGTTCTGGCCGTGGGCTTTGCATCTTTGCCAGGAGAAACAGGTCGAGCTCCAGATCGAGAATCTGGTCTTGTTGGTGTTTTCGGTTTGGGTGGTAATCCATCGGCTATTGTTGCTACTCCTTCTTCACCATGTGTGGTGGTTGACACTTGAGGTTGACCTCCAGCTTTAGCTGCAGCTAAGTAGAAAAAACAAACACAGGTTTTGTTAGCAAGGGCAAAAAAGGACTATGGTAACGACAGTACCTTCAGCCTCCTTAGCCAAAGCAGCCGCCTTCGCAGCCTCAATACTCTGATCAATACTCTTAACAATAACCTTCAACGTCCCTTCAACAACACTAAACACACTTGTCGGTGGCGCACTCCCGTCAACAACATGGAGGTTCTGGAATCGTCCAAACCAATCCTTCAGTCCTAATTCCTCTTCATCAAAGAGCGCCAACTGATTCTGTATCTGCGCAGTCTCGTTCGCTACATCGGGTAGAGCAACAAGGCGATCCAAAACACCCTGTTGTCCAGTTGGGGGTGGATTGAATTCTAAATGATAGATGACTCCGGTGACGGGATCTACCCGACGACCAGCTGATCGACGTACGGCGAGGTCATTGTCGATATCTAAAAGGAAGACAGCATCTAATGCACTGCATAGTGGTTTGAGAGGTGCATCATTTACAGAGTTGCTTATGGGTGCAATTAACGATTTGCGAATTTCAGCGACGATGGGCTTGGATTGCGGAGCTGTGCTGGCACTCCCTGGACCAGCATTGGTTGCTCCACGTTTGAGATTGCCAGGTTTGACAGCTTTGGGCTCTTCGTATCTACAGCGCAAAAAAGGTTACTGGAGCACACCTAATTGCATCGTCCACAAATAATGATACCCACCCAGACAGATATCGCTCGAGCAATTGTGCCTCATAACGCGATTTAGGGAAATTGCATAACACCCAACCAAGTCGTGCTTCTTCACATTTCTTGATGGCAGTTGCAACTGCTCCAACCAGCGTTGCATCATCAGGCGCAGATCCTTCCAACAAGCTCAATTCTAGACGCGTTCCAAGCTCAGCTATTGATGGGAGACCATCTTGAGTAGCAGTTGCTGGTCTGGCTATATCCTTTGACTTGGCTTGCCTGGCAAAAAGAAAAGATTACCAAAGAGCTAACATGTGTAACTTCACAGTCGGGGCCTACTTGATAGCATCTTTAACAATCTCTTCAGTTTGCAGAACTTGAATTCCATATGTTGAAGCTAGAGCAGCACATAAAGTACGCTGGCCAGAGTATCGTCGTCCAACAACACACAACCGTAATCTCACATTCCGTAATTTAGCAGCTTCTGCAAGCTCAGCGGGTTGAGATAAAGCTAAAATATTGTCTACAAGAGTTGCTAGCAGCTCATTCTTCTTGGTTCCCAAATCCCTAGTAAGTAGCTACTTATGAGAAAAAAAGACAGTATTGCAACTCCCACATCTCGTAGAACATCGAGAAATTCTTACGAGTCAGAAGCACTAGCCCAATCTCCCGACGCATTCAAATAATCACTAAACTCGGTCGAATCCAGCAACTCAATACCCGGAACGACATCATGTTTACGGAAACTGTCTGGCCCGACACTTCGTTGAACTTGCATGCTCGCTGTCGGCTGTTGTTGAAGTTGAGGCTGGGCCAACTCTGAAAGATTCTTGGCCGCATCCTTCTCCAACTCAAGTTCATATTTCGCTTGTAAAGGATATCCATTCAAAAACAAGGTCTTCCATTCTCGAACGAGCTTCATGGGTACTTCTTTACCCTCATTCAGGGTTCTATATTCCGAAATCTACAAAGCAAAAAAGGACTGTCAGTTTCACAACAAATTCCCTTAAGGCAAACTACCACAACAACAATACCTTCGTAGCAAGCTCAACAAACTGCCAAACAAGATAGGAGCAAAACTCTGAATGCTTCTTCCGTTTCTCTAAAGTACGCCGAGCCAGAATCTCCTTGTGTTGTTGCATCTGAAAGGAACTGAGTGCAGCATATTCTTCACGAGCTCTCCTGGCAATCTCTGATTCACGACTGGTTTCCATTTCATTGTCTCGGTATCGTTGTTGAGCGTATTGCATTTCTCGAAACACTCGGTTTTCTCTCATGACTTCTTTTTCACGTCGTACTTGCATCAGTCTAGGATTTTTCTAAAAGTGTGAGGAAACGCAAAACAAAGACTGCTATCGTTCGAAAACTCACTGCTCAGCGATCCGCCGCTCCTGCTTTGACTGTCTCATAAGTCTAGCCAACACAACCTCATCAAGCTTATTCTCTTGCGTTTTATCCATATCCACCTTCTGAGCAACAACTTCCTGACGACGTCTCAGTTCACGATCTCGACGTGCAGCATCTTCTTCCTTCTTCCTGGTCTAAAACTCCAATTGTTAACAACCCATGCAAAATAGAACGCAAAGTCCCACACTATACCCGCAAGTTCTCCAAATACTCTCGATTTTCCTCCTTCCGCAACTGCTCAGGCGGTATCTGACTCTTGAGCATCTTGATATGACTCTGTGCTTCCATAGGCGCACGCACAGTCATGAATCTCCTAATCTCCTTGGCGTCATCGAATGGTGCAATCTCCATTGATTCACCACGTTCGAGAGTAGAGGGTACGGATGGTGCATCACCGATAAGCTTTTCGAATGAAGCGACTTGGGTTTCAAAACTTTTGGCGGCTGATTTTCGTTTACGCTGTATGGGGGTGAAATTTGTCAGACAGAAAAAAGGTAGATAGCGAATATACATAGGGTGAACTTTTCTAACCTGCTCCAACTCTGACTGTCTCGCCCTCCTAGCATCCGCATCATTAGGCGTTGCCACCAACCCAAGTTTCTGCGGCGGTTCTACAGCTGGTGCAGCACCACGCATAGATCTAGCTAATAAATCTTCTTCATCTCGTTTTGATGATTTGGATGGCGGTGTTGTTGAGTCCAAGAACCGTCTAGCGACTCGAATGGTAGGCGACTCGACTGGCTTTACAGGTGTACTTTCAGCGCTTTTCGGTTTGGCAGGTACACTATCAGTACGTTTTAGCTTTGATCTCAGCATTTCGGCAAAAAAATCTGAAAAAGCTGCATGTCAGAAAATGTATTGGCAGAGTCCAAACAACACGCTCCCACAAACCATGCTCCTTTTCCGCAAATTTCCTCTTCAAATCCGAGTCAAATTTAATAGCCAGCGACCTTGTCTGCTGTTGCGGTGAACCCTCTCCTTCAAGCGACCCCAAACTACTTCGTGTTTGTGACAACCCCAATGATTGTGCATTTGGAAGTGTAGGGGTACGTTGCGTGTTCAACGCAGTCTTTATAGCCAGTAATAAATTGGCAGCACATCCTGGTCGAGCTTTAATTAAATCAATAGCGTCTTTTGATGATAGTTTGACTCCGAGCTTGTCTCGTAATGTTCTCTCCAATGCCTGAAATTTGTGATTTTGATGAGTTGTCTTTCAAGCAGCATGTATATTGAGAGCACAATTGAAAATTACTTAAATACCGTGAAATTACGTATACAGGCATCGGGACCGTCTAGTGGAGTATATACTGCGGCAAAGTCCACAATGACACCTGTCTTGTACAATAATTCACCCAACAGGTATCCAGTACGAAAAGACGAATCTAGCTCGGTGGCAGATACTTTACGGGATAATTTGACATCATCGTTCAGCCACGAAGACAGAATCAGACTCATTTTGGCGAGATCTGTCCGAGATCAAGCAGAGGCTTGTTTTTCATGGAAAGTTACGAATGAACACACTTCACGGTTCGCAGCGAAACTTCAGACCAAACGGAGGAAAAATCGCAACGTGGACGCTAAACAACTTGATCAACTTGATCTCTTATTATAAGAGATCTGGTCTTGCAGCAAATATGATACTTTGGTCGAAGATGATAGCGTGATTACAGGAGCAGATCGACCTACTTGCCTCGTTCCCCAGCCATACCCCCAGGCCCTCGTTCCACACGTGCTCCAGGCCCTCGTTCCAACAATTCAATATTTCGTTTCTGTAATGTGCTGTACCTCCTTTGCATCTCAGTCATATCTAAAGCCAAAACATGTCACTTTTGTAATGATTATCGCACATGTGACCATATAAAACTCACTCTTCTCTCTTGACGATAACTCTTCGGTCAATTGATCCATCATCTGCTTCAATTCTCTGAAATCTTCCGTCTTGTTTTGTAATGCGATTCGTAGATTTGCTATTATATTCTCCTGTTCCTGAGACGCTGCAGCTTGAGATCCATTCAGGGTACGTGATGATAGTCGAGCATTGGCTTCTGAAGCAGCACGTTCGGCAACATCAAGGTCAACTCGAAGTTTTCGAATTTCGTCTGTCATTTGGGTTCGTTGTTGCGATAACATGCTGTGCAAGACAGAGTTTTGAGCTTCGAGGGATGTCAATTTGCTTCGGGAATCTGCCAGTTCCTAGAAGTTGAGGTTCAGTAAATCCGACAGATCTAACGGATATAAAAATAAAATATACATTCAGACTCACTGATATAATTCTCTCAGTTGCCGAAGCATCAATAGTTCCACCATCTTCGAGAGTAAATCCCGATTTTTGATATGAATCCAATATAGACTCGAGGTTTTCTATTTGACCATCTCGTTCTTCAATCAATGCTACCATCTAAACAATTGATGTTGCGGGTGAGCAAAGTATTAATGCGAACACAAAACAATATCCTGTCTGTCAATAGCACTCACTTCATTGTACACTTGGAATGCCTGCTGAGAATGTTGTTCGAGATCTATCTTATGCTTTCGAAGTCTGGCGTTATCAGATCTCAGAAGAGATACCTCTCCTTCAGAGAGGGCTGATGCAGGAGTCTTCGTCATGAGCGATTTCAACATGTCAAGCTCTGATTTTGTAGCATTGAATCCGTTCGACAATATAGAGTTTTCATCTTGTACTCGTTGTAGTTCATCAACAGATCGCTTAAGATCACTCTCGAGCCTGTCTAGGCGACCTTGCAAACGGACAGCTTCATCAGTGTGCTGTTTTATTCTCAAATCATAAGCCTTTGATGATTTGGTAGATTCGAGGTCCTGAATGTGTCGGGCGTTTATGACCTTTTCGGATTCATATATGTTTCGTAGTTCTTCCAATTCGTGGTTGGCAGTCAAGTGCGCTAATTCATGCTCTTGACTCTTTGTTGTTAATTTACTGACTTCTTCATCAAGTACAGCAATACGAGCTTCAGCGGCTGTGAGAGCTACAATGGCCGAGTCTAAATCCAGATGCGACTTGTCGGTAATAGGCGCTGGAGATGCTGCATCCAATGCTTGTTGTGCATTAGCTCTCATACGATTCATATCGGCGTCTTGGGCGCGGTCTTCGATTTGTTTGCATAGGTTTTGTAAAAGATTGCATCTCTCTTCGAGCTGCCGTATCCGGATTGCTTGACCCATGGCGTTTCTATCATATGCTTCTTTGAGATGTATCGAGTTCGAGAGCTAGGTTAAGGGGGGGGGGGGGGTTTGATGTCAGAATTGACGTGGAATTCACCAAAAGTTACGTTACCTCTTCCTGAGTGATTGACAAGACCCCTTCAAGATCTACCACTTTAGCCTGCAAATCTTCAATAGTGTCAAATCCAATCTGATCTGCCCTTGATAGAGTAGCACGCCGAGACTCTGACAATTTCCTTTCTAGCTCTACTACTTTGGCTTCCAATGTCCTAACTATAACAGGATCACCCTTATTGGTTTCAGCAGCACGTGTCCTTTCTCGCATTTCTGAGCTCTCTCTGGCGAATTCAAGCATCGCGGTAGTCAATTCCCGTCTCAAGGTATCTATCGTTTCCTGTTGATCTGCATCTCTAACTATGGATTCGTGAGTATGAGTTTGAAGAGAGTCCAGCATGGCAGTCTTTTCATCAATCTCGTCCCTTTTGAACAAGAATAAAAGGATGTCAATCGGGGGGGTGTCAATGCCACACAACTTGCGTCATCATACCGTGCTCTTCGAAGCTCGGCTTCCAGTTGGCCCACTCGGAGCTTCCACGGATCGTTTCTTAGAGTGTATGATGACATTGGCATTGGGCCTGGCTGGATGACACCACCTGGTTGAATGGCACCAACAGGAGCAGTACTCAGAATACTCGAGCGATTTCCGGCATCAGCAGAGTAGGCTTCGGGAAGAGGTATAGGAATGTACTGGTATTGTGAGGCTTGCCGTTGCAACTCGGAATAGTAAGCGATAGGATCTCCAGCGTAAGCAGGTTGCATGGGATAGCTGGGTGCACCTATTGGAGCCCTACTAGCGATTTGAGCACCCATTGGAGTGGTGGCATACTGCTGCTGATATTCAGCTCCCATTGGTGGTCCCATTGGAGTGCTAGCATACTGTTGCTGGTACTCGTTCTGCGATGTTGGCATTTGTGGATAGTTTTGGGGCATGATATAGGCTACGGCGGACGAGGAGCCAGGGCTTGTTTCAGAGACTACACCACTAGAAGTTGGGACCATTTGCTGATTGACAGTTGGCACCAACTGAGGAACTGTCCTATTGGGTTTCGGAAGTGGAATTTGCTGTTGCGATGAGGGAGCAGCCACGGAAGCAGACGTAGTGGGCACGCCATTAGGCTTGACCACAGTGGTAGGCATTGCACTTGGTCTCTTTACTGTTATTGCTGTTGTTGGTTTGTAAACGTTGCAATAGCTGTGGTTGAGCAGACTGAACTTTATTTAAAGTCAAAAGATCGAGCACGTCACTACCAAATCGCCACCAAGGTTCTCGCGGCTCAAAACTGCTCTCAAAAGAGAACGTTCAAGACTCACAGGTTGCCATTTCGCAAATTCCATCGACTCTCGACGCGATCTACGACGTTTTGTTGTTACAGACAAAACTCCCACTCTCTCGCTACTGAGGCGGGATTTCACGCGATCATTCAGCCGCAAAGATGAGGAAGCATAGTAGACACGTCGCAACTGCCCTACACGTAGAAGTTGTGTGGTAATTGTTTGGTTGCCCTCGCAGCGTCAACGAATTGCAACGGTTATGGGGCAGATCTGACCTTGAAAGCGGGCCTCGCACTAGAAAATACTTGGCAAAACGCGATCTACTCCTAGCTTGCCCAGCGATTGCATATGACATTGACGTGATTGCTGCATTTTCTTCAACACAGGAAAAGTTCGGTGCTTCATTGCAAACACACTAACCATTGCAGGAAACAAATAGTACATACTCCCTAAATTTTGAAGGAAACTGGGATCTTGTTCCCTGTAATAGGCTTATTCTCGCTTCAAGGCTGAAAGGATGGCTCGCCATGACAGCAAACAAAAAGGATCAAACATGTCGTCAGGGTCACTAGAAGCGTCATTGGAGAGACGTATGCTTACTCTAGTATCGCAATACCACGCTCAATTGCCCGGAGACGCCCGTGGCAAGGCCGCTAGAACGGATGTAGATGCCATCATGACATTTGTAACAAAAAACGATGCATCGTTGGCTAGAAAGCAGCAAAGGCTACTAAAGAAGTCGATCGAGGCTTGTCTTGTTACTTTACAAAAGGAATCTGCTGGAAGACCTGGTGATGGTGGTGCCTTGTAAGTGAGGTGCAATGGACTGGAGCCATTTTGACCTTTTTTGCTCTTAATGGCAAACAGTTCAAACGAGCTAACACGCGTTCGAATTAGCTACAATGATGTGTCATCAGAGGACTCTGAGTTTGAAGATGATCCCTTAATTCAATTAATGGAAGTCAAGGACACAAACTTTCTCAACCGGTCGCTAGTCAATGTATATAACGCCAAACAACAACAGTCACAGAATCAGCAACAGCAACAGGCAGCCGAGAATGGAGTAGTACTCGGTCCTGAATCGTCTATAGAACTCGCATCCAAGACACCATCACAACCAACAACACCATCCGAACCTCAGCACGTTCTCCCTGTAGCCATGTTGGACGAACCTTTACATACCAGTCACGAGCATCACAAGTCGCAGCATAAAAGCTCACGCAAGAGAAAGAGGCATACAAGTAGCAGTAGAGGCGATGAAATTGAATCAGCCATTGAAAAGAAGCTCAAGGAGACGCATGGCGAGACTAATAAATGGCCAACACCTACTGTAAAGTTGAGTGATTTGGGTGGGATTGAGAATCATATTGAGGTATGGTTGCGAATCTGACGTCCGAAAGAGTCAACCATTCGTAGGCTGTCTTGCGCCTTTTTGCTCTCTAAAATACGTTTCCCTTAAATCGTTGAATAGGAGGTACTACAACTCATCGGAATGCCTCTCAAATATCCAGAAGTCTATACACACCTCGGCATACAACCTCCTCGTGGTATACTCCTACACGGTCCACCAGGCTGCGGTAAAACTATGCTCGCTCATGCTATCGCCGGTGAAGCAGGTGTACCATTCATCACCATCTCTGCTCCATCAGTCGTATCAGGCATGTCTGGAGAATCAGAAAAGAAGATTCGTGATGTCTTTGAAGAAGCTAAACAATTGGCTCCATGTCTCTTGTTTATTGATGAGATTGATGCTATTACTCCTAAACGAGAAACAGCACAACGAGAAATGGAGAGGAGGATTGTTGCTCAGTTGCTCACGTGTATGGATGGTGAGTCTGTTGGCAGTAGAAATGCTACGCATGACCCCATTGCTTCGAGCCGTCTTTTTTGCTTGGATGATTTGTTGGAACTCACTGAATAATCTTAAATGTAGACTTGACGCTCGACGCAAACGCGAAACCAGTAATGATAATCGGTGCCACAAACCGTCCAGATTCACTAGACCCAGCATTACGTCGTGCCGGTCGTTTTGATCGAGAAATCATGTTGGGAGTACCAGATGAGAATGGTCGAGCTCGTATCCTCGAAAAGTTGTCTAGAAAACTACGTCTATCTGGTGAAATGGATTTGAAATCATTGGCTAAACTGACGCCTGGATATGTTGGCGCAGACTTGTCGGCATTGACTGCTGAGGCTGGCATGTCGGCAATCAGACGGATTTTTAGAGATCTAAAGATTAATTTGACCGCTTCTGCTACGATTGAAGATAGGACAGAGCAGATGAATGATGATGGTGATCACATTGATGGCACTCTCCAAGAAAAGGTGGATGCTGATGTAGTCATGACAGAACCGACTTCAGTAAGTTGACGTCGCTGAGCGATATGCGCTCCTTTCTTTTCTGACTTTTTTGCTTCTTCTTCTGAGATTTTCCCCGCGCATTCTTATAGGAATCGACAGTCATACCACCAGCAACAACCAGCATACCCATAAGCGATGCCGCAAACCACGACAACCCCATAACAGCCTTCCTCTCAGCAGCCGCAACGCTCTCCGAAGACACAATCGCCTCACTCTCCATCACAATGGATGATTTCCACATTGCGCTCTCCAAAGTCCAACCATCGTCCAAACGTGAAGGGTTTGCAACCATGCCTGATGTAACATGGGCGGATATCGGAGCTCTAACTCACGTACGAGAAGAATTGAGGATGGCGGTAGTAGAACCTGTCAGACATCCAGACTTGTTTGCTCGAGTTGGTATTGCTAGTCCCATGGGTGTCTTGTTATATGGTCCTCCTGGATGTGGAAAGACGCTGTTGGCTAAGGCTGTTGCTAATGAGAGCTGTTGTAATTTCATATCTGTTAAAGGGCCAGAGTTGTTGAACAAGGTATCATCTATGGTAGAGGCGGATTTTGTTTTGGCCGAACCTGATGTTTGTTTTTTCTGTAGTACGTTGGTGAAAGTGAACGTGCAGTCAGACAAGTGTTTGCTAGAGCTCAAGCCTCGTCACCTTGTGTAATCTTCTTTGATGAATTGGATGCCTTGACTCCTGCGAGATCAAATGATTCTGATGTAAGTGCAACATGCACGCTGCGTTGCTAGCTTTTTTTTGGGCTGGAGCTTTTTAGTTGTCTAATCTTTGTCACACTCTGTCAACCCTTTAATAGTCACACTCTGCCTCCCGTCTCGTAAACACCCTCCTAACCGAGCTGGACGGCTTGCACTCACGTCGCCAAGTATACGTCCTGGCAGCGACAAACCGTCCAGACATGATCGACCCCGCCATGCTCCGTCCCGGCCGTCTAGACAAATGCCTATACGTCGACCTGCCGACTCCTTCGGAACGAGTCGAAATCCTGAAAACAGTGTCTGGGAAGACACCAATAGCCTCAGATGTAGATTTAGGTGTTATAGGCCTTGATGACCGGTGTGATGGATTCTCTGGTGCTGATTTGGCTGCTCTGATGCGGGAGGCTTCTGTATGTGCGCTGAAACAGACGCTGAGGAGGGTTAATGAGAGTGCTACGTTGGTGAATGGAGAAGAAGGGTTTGGTACGGGTGCCATTCAAGTGACTGCTTCGCACTTTGAAGAGGCGTTGAGTAAGACTATGGCTTCTGTTTCGAAGAGGGATTTGAAGCGCTACGAGTTGCTCAAAGTCAAGTTTGGAAGCGGGGTCGCAAATGATGCAACCTCATAGTGTATATGATTTCGAGCATATCTATATTGTGGTTCTGATGACCTACTAAATACATAAGCGATCCTTTTTTTATGATTTCATGAGGGTGTTTGCACCATATGTAGCGTTGGCGTTGGGACCTTCACGCTGTAGGTAAGCGTCGAACAAGACTATGACGCGTGTGTCTATCTATCGGCGCTTCATACGTTGCGACAAAAGGCAGAAGCGAAGTATCGACAGATTGTGTTAGGGAGAGTATATCGTCTATCTGTTGTCATTTATTACAATGCATTGTTTCATTATTCGTCCTGTGGCTCGACGTTGGCTGGAGGGTTGGCATACAATTTGTGATCGTGAATATAGTGCAACACTTCGTCAGGGACCAAGTACTTTATCGACAAGCCCCTCTTCACAAATAGCCTATCAAGATCATTTGGATGAGCATTGAATACACAGTGGTGTCTTAATAATCTGCGTACCTGATTTTGGTTGACGAAATGTCGTTGTGTATGTATTGCTTGACCACAAACACGCTTTTCTGTAACGGCGAAGGGAGATTAGTACAAACAATGAATGTCTAGTTAAGGTGTATCACGCAATTACCCGTTGTTTGTGTAATGGATCGTTGGACAAGAGCACTTCTGCCACATCAGTACCAGTTCGTTCTATAATGACACATCCATAGTATCCAATAATGTGATTCAGCTATGCATCAAGTATTGTGTTATAAGAGTCCAATCTTCATACTCTTGTCCAACATAGCTCATCACAATCACGACATACATCCTTTTCAGCCCAAACATTAGGCAATGCGAACGACTGTATCAAATCACCACCAGCCAACAACATGATTCGAATCTTCTTTCTAGATCCATCTGGCAGAGCAATACCACCCTCATTCCCCAAATTCAGGCATTCGTGGAAATGATCCAATACAGGAGCAGTTCGCAAGTAGAACGACTGAGAAGCTTCCCAAGGATCGACCATGAGCCAGTTTGAGCCAATGACAGCGAAATCACACATTCTGACACGGTGAAACCAGCTCGCCAGTCCAGATTTCGCGTAGCCGTCAGCTACTGGTGAAAAGTATCCTAACAGGTGTTTTGTGTGTGTTGTCAGTATTGGTTGTTGTGTGGAGTAATCCGTGTTTGATTGTACCTCCAATCAATTCAAATGTCGACTGATCAGCAAAGTAGTCCATTGCCATTTCTAAGTTGTGATTATGATTGTCAGCAAAAACAAACTTCCGTGCAACAATGTGGGACTTTTGTTACCAAACATCCTCAGATGGAGATATGTAATAGGAGAGAAAGAGCCGCAAGCCACCAGGACTACAGGCGTTCGATCAGGAACTAGAACAGAGGTGGTTGGCAACTTTGCAAAGCAAAACAACAAAAGCCCCCAAATGGGTCAAGATGGCCTACATTCCATGAGGGACTTGAGCCGATTCTTTGGAAAGACATAATCCGGTGGATCAACAGGGATTTGATTTGAAAAAGGAGGGGTATTTTGACGTGACATTGTAGTGGTAGGTAGCCTTGACGGGGTTGATGACATTTTTGTATTGAGTGACGAAAGCTGCCTCTTCAGGCGAGAATCTATACCAGTTGTTGGGATGTATCTACGAGATATGCTGCTTGATAACTTTGATAAGAGCTGGATGGTGTAGATTCGTGCGTGGTTTTTGGTGAATAAGACGACTTTTGCAAACGAAAGTTCCGTCTCAGCTTCCACGCTCGTCACAGCAACAAAAACTTCAAGCCATACGCGTCCACACTTCAATGTAAATTCTTCCAATGAGCCTTACCCTTGGCTTTAGTCAGCCTGACCGTTGGCTTCATAAAAGTCAAAACAGCGAGTTATCAGTCATATCGGTTGCAACTAGGAAGGAGTGAGTAGGCAAATCAACCTGCTCCAACTGCTCAAGATCCAAGATATATTGACACTCATCTCAAATCACGTAAATATGTAAAACTACACGTGATAGTTATAGTATACGTGATTTCTCGCTACAGAGAGCTCCCTATGCGTTTTCTTTCTCAGTATACAGACATTTGCACGTACTTAGAACCTGTCGTCAGCTGGATCCTTCCCCAACTGGAACAAGAAAGATCTTCGAGCAAATTCCTACTTTGTAATATACGACAAACGGCAAACACTCGACACAGATGGCAAATTATGAGGACCAGCTGCGTCAATATAGAATGCAGAGAGCTGCTCAACATCCGCCACCTGGAACAGCTCCTCAATCGACGACTCCACAATCCGGTAGCAATTCATCTCCACAATCATATAGTGACGCCCCTCCACCTAGATCATCTTCCACTAGTATGCCATGGAGTCTATCTTCCATAGGAAATACCGCCTCTGCCGTCTTGTCTGGCCTCCAGCAACTCTCATCATTAGCTGCCACAAATCAACAACCTTCATCAAATCAAGCACCCCAGTCCCGAAGTCCGATGCCCGCCCGCAGTCAGAATACTCAAAGTGAGGCTGACAGACTTTACGCCGAACGAGTACAAAATGAGCTACACGCTGCAGACGATGCTCGCCGAAAACAGGAGGAAGAAGATGAACGATTAGCTAGGCAACTGTCCTCAGAGTATGCAAATCAAGATATAGAAGATCGATACTCTGCACCTCCAACACCGCCCGTAGCGCCTGCTTCCCCTCCTCATGCTGCACTATCTCGTATGGAATTGGATGAACAGCTCGCGAGGCAGCTGCAAATGGAGGACGATGGTGATGATGAATCCATACTCTCACCAAGCAGGATGCCTAGACCCTCTGTAGATAGGTTGCCTGGAGGATTTCCAACTGGTCCAATGTCTTCAGGCTCAAGTGCCTCTGAATTCCGTACAATAGAAGACCCCATGGCTAGAATGTTTAGATCATTAGCAGAACAAAGACAACGAACAACAGCTGAATCACAACTTTTTGGAAGTATGCCAACCAATGACGGTAAGCGTTTTGATGGTTTTTAGCCAAACGATCGATCTACATGTTCGACGATCGCTCTCCGATGCATCGCAAATCTGACTCTCTGTTTTCTAGATCCCTTCCTCGCCTTGTTGAGAGCAGCACCTCCAACTCGGCCTCAAGCTGGGAGCACATTCACTATAATACGAAGCGGCAATGGAATCGAAATCCGATCATCATCAGGAAACGGAAACGCAATGGCAGGTGGACTTGGAAGCTTGTTGGCTCAAATGTTTGGGGGTGGAATGGGTGGTGTTGGTGAGGCAGGACATGGAGCAATGTCGTATGAAGAGTTGTTGGCTTTGGCTGAACGTATAGGTGCGAAATCAAAAGATTCAAGTTTGCAGTTATCAGCATTGACACAGCTTGTATATTTGTAGGGCCAGCTCGAAATCAAGGTGCAACACCCGAGCAGCTCAGTCGCCTACCATCAACTACATACAAGTCTACAGGAGGTCAAGCTGATGCTGCCAAAGCCTGTGCCATATGGTAAGCTTGATTGTGAATCGATGGTGATCTCTTATGTACTCATGATTTGCTTTTTTGTTAGTTTGGAGGACTTTAAGGATGGAGACAAAGTTAATCTGTTGAAGTGTTCCCATCAGTTCCATGTTGAATGTGCCAAAGCCTGGCTCGAACGAAATCGAACATGCCCTGTCTGTCGGGCTGACCTCATTACTGGGGCAGCAGCATCATCCTCATCTTCACACTAAATTTTTTGCACATAAATCTTTTTCTAAATATATCTTGCTGTGGGTTGTCGTATATGCTTCTCGCTCGCTGGCTGCGCGGGTCCTGTTTTGTCTGTTCCCTCCTGCGTAACCAATACAAACCTTCAGTGACTTCAACTCGCAAAAATCAACACGATGAAGTTTGAATGGTTTAATGCTCCAAAATCATTCACTGGAGACCTTTTGAAAGGTACTTTGGAAGTGAAGGCTTCGCCAAGGACTGACTTTTGGAGGTCTGTCAACTTTTGCAACTTGCGTTGCCTTGTTCAGCAATTAACACCCTTTGATGCCTATAGGAAGCCTGGAACTCACTGGGATACTGGAAACTTTTATTTTACGGATCTTGCCAGTGACTTTGAAGTACGAAGCTCTTTGTAACCCCCCATGCGTCAACGTCAACCAATCATTTTTGGAACTAGGTCGAAGTCACATTCAAAGCAGACTACAAAGTGGAATATGACCAAGCTGGACTTATGGTACGACTGGACTCGACACATTGGATCAAAACAGGCATTGAATTCGTACACGAAAAAGTCTTGATATCATGTGTCGTGACAAACGACTATTCCGACTGGTCGGTCGGCAAACTTGACGCTCCAAGTGGATCAGTCGGAGATTGGCCTGTGACTCTCAAAGTTGCACGACGAGGGTATGGGACTCTAAAGACTTCAAGTTACTCTAACTGTCTGACGGCCTTTGACACTTAGGAAACTCATTCAAGTGGATTATAGGGCTGGGAACGACACTGAATGGTCTATGATACGAACTGTGAACGTGTTCGTTGATGAATCGCTGCCATTGGCGGTTGGGCCGTTCATTGCATTGCCTATAAATCCTGATGGGATGGTTGTCACGTTCTCTGACTTTGTTTACAGAGATACCAAGGCCATCAAGCCTGCAGAATAAACTCGAATATCATCCAGTAGCATTATTATCATTGACTCTCTGAACATATCTTCATCAAAAGATTTGCAAGATCGAGGCTTTTGTTTATTTTATCGAAAAAGTTATGAAAAAACAACGTAGTTTCAGACGTAAATGTTTAATACTCTCTCTCTTACAAACGGGCAGAGACAGAGGAAACAGCGGCAACTTGAGAAGCAAGACCACGGATGGTCTTGACGGCAGTGTTAACCATCTCGTTTACAATGTCGGCAGCTGGGAGTACGTCATCAATGTTACCAGCGACTTGTCCCATCTAGTTGAGTTGTACATAATGAGTTTTCTGCTGACTTTGAGGTACCTGTTGTAGTTTGAAAACTTACCAATAATGGGTACATTTCCATCATTTCTTCGGGGTCCAAGTCTCCCTTCTTTTCCTTCTCTTGAATGTCGTGGTAGAGAGGTAGGATACCTTCGGATGTTAGCTTTTTGATTTCGTCGGCACGGCTGGTGGGAAAAGGTTGAATAATTCTTAGTTCAATACTTCCACTTGCGATAATCGAATCCATTGCTTCTCGTACTTGTTTTCCCAGTCCATGACGTAGGCACTCTTGTAGACACGGAGAGGACGTCCAGATACAATCAAAGTACGGATCTATAGCGCAGAAAAATGGCGATCGTCAAATAATGGAAGATGTGTCATCGCCATCAAGAGCAAACTTACGGTGTCAGAGGCACCAGCCTTGATGATAGCCTGTTGGTGACGAGGAGGTGCACCGGCTTCCTTGGAGTTAACGAAACGAGTACCAACCCAGACAGCTTGAGCACCCATGGATAAGGCCATGGCCAAACCACGACCATCGTAGATTCCACCACCAGCAACGACGTATATTGGGTTGCCAGTGAGAGGTGATTTTCTGCCTTTGACGACATCTACGACCTTTGGTACAAGGATGGAGGTTGCGATTTCTCCAGTGTGTCCTCCACCTTCGGATCCTTGACAACAGATGAGATCGACACCGACTTCCAAGGCTTTGAGGGCGTGTTTTGGAGCACCGACCATGTTCTATAGGGGCAATGCGTGTCAAGGAGCTGAAATAAAAGAGGTGTACAGGATGCAAGGGTGTTGTCAGAAAAACACAAAGAACGAACCATGACGTGGACTAATGGACATAGGAAGTCAGTAAAGCGTAAATGAGTACTGAAGAAGCGATAAAATTATGGATTCAACTTACTTCCAGCAGCGTGGAGCTTGTCAACAGCCCATTTGGGTGGGACACCGACAGCTGATACGAACAACTTGGCACCACCGTTGATAATGACGTCGATCAATTCAGGCAATTTACCGTGGGTGTAATCGTGGTTGGTCTTTCGTGCATTGCCTGAATCAAAACTTGGGTGAGACTCGAGCTCAAATGCCTCGTATTTGTAGTACTTACCTCCGACTTGAGGAAGAGCCAAGTCAATACCGAATGGTAGGTTCTTGTCGATCAAAGCAGCCTTGAGCTTTTCAATTTCCTTCTTCAAGGTTTCTGGGGTGAAGGATAAACCACCGACAACACCCAAACCTCCAGCGTTGGAGACTGCACTGGCTAATTCAGCACCGGCTAAGAAAGGAGAAAATCGATAGTGTAAGGACGAAGGCTCAAACGTGAGAAATTGTCAACTTGACCCTCAGGGTGTTAGAACAGCCAGTTTCTTAACGATCGAACATGGGGGATGTACTTACCAGCTTGGTTCATTCCAGCCAAGATAATTGGGTGACGGATACCGAGTATCTTGGTCAACTACAAGAGAGAAATGTGGTTCAATGACATGCCACGTATTACGTGGGTTTTCAAGCTAATATGGAGGTGTACGGGTCTCAAAACGGGGCATAGACACAGGAATAGTAGCAAATTATGGAGGCATTGCAATTTAGACAAAATATTGGTGTTGTTGGGATGCCTTGTCTCTTTGAACCCATCCTGCACCATTACATCATAACAGCACTAATTGCCCGACTTACTGGAGTGGTGAGAGTCTCAGTTGGAGTAGCGTAAGACATTCTGATATAGATATCTCGTGTGGTTCTCTGTTTTGGTTGAGGGTTATTGGTGTTTTGAAGTGTGAAGGTCACGGAAGCGAAATGCAAAAAAAGCCAAAAATTACAGACCCGGGGAAAATGGTTCACGCCGAGAGGGAAGGACGTTGAATCGCAAACGGAAATCGTGTTTAAACGATGTCGATCATATCCTAGTTGACATACAAGCGTCGGAGATCTGCTCAATTTCAAGGATGCTGTGGGAAAACAAACGTCCAGTTTTTGAGTGTTGGATTACAACCTTGTTCGCACATTTTCTACGTTCTAGGACTTGAAACATACTTTAGCGTGTAACAACAGCGTGTATAAAAAGGAATGAGAACTGTAACGCAGAGCGATCGGTACAGGTTTTATGCCAGAGTATCGCATTTGCTACTATTTGACGGAAGTTGGCACAACCCCCTTTCCATTGACAAACAGTCTCTTCGGCATCAATACTATCGATTCTCAGCCAATGATATACAAAGTAGTAGACTTCCGTTACATTTGGACTTGGAACTTGGAAAGTTCGATCTGCCTTGGAACTTTGGCTGCTCTTGATTGCGAGTAAACAAGATCTAAACTAGTGAGGTTTGGGCAGTGCTGATTTATAAGAGGCAGGTTCAGTTGATTCACTGTGCTAATAGGAACCTTATTTGTTTCTCGAGACGACGACCATGAGTTCTTATATATGATGCAAGATCCAGTGGTTGTGCAAATTGACCCATAATTTCAATTTCATTTAGAGAAGTAGCATTCGCCAATACTGGTTGATTCATGACCATATCCGGCAGCTGAAAGAGCTCCATGGCTTGTAATGTATCTTTATTCTTGTCTTGTAAACACGAGGCGGCTTCCGCGTTTGCTGCGACTGTCGTTGTTTCGCCATCTTCAGCTTTGCATAGACTGAACTCTTCCAAACCTGGAGAATGGCCGTTCATGAAGTCAGCTTCCTTGTCCAAATATCCCAACTTTACACGCTTCAAGCACCTAAACGATGCCATTACAGCAGCGGTCCAGTTTACAAGAAGACATCTATACAATGTGACGGTATTCAGGGTGACTCTACTACCAACCGACAGGGCCGCTATAACTCGGGAAGGCAACATCTGTAACAGTCTTCTCGTATGACGTCCTTTGCAGCGAGGTAATCAACGATTTTAAGCATGATTTCGTTTGGCAGGCGAATGTCCGTCCACATTATATCGCCCAATTAGAAATTGTTCATCGTATGGTAAGGATGATCAAAACATCGTGAAGTGTTACGTCGTTGTGGCGGTGAACAAATTTTGCCAAAGGAAGAATGTCACGATTTGAAAGAATCTTACCAGCGATGGCAGTGTCGGAGTCAGGTTCGGACTCGGTGTCAGAGCCTCGCGTAGTTGTGAAGTGGTTGATGATGATGGAGTTCACCGGGCCAGTTACGCGATATAGAGACACGAGACACGTCCAAATTGAATCCAAGCAATGAATTTGAGAATATCAAAAACGAATGTGAAGCTTGACTGGTCGGATCTCCGATTACGATTCAACATTCACAAATAAATTTTGCACGAGACTTACTTGTCTAATATGGCACGACGAAATACTAAAGAGCCAGTAGCTGCGTCTAATTTCACGGTAGCTATAGTCGGCGGAGGTCTTGTTGGATGCTTATCAGCAGTCTACTTTGCAAAGCGAGGTTGGAATGTCAACATTTATGAACGACGTGAAGGTGAGCAGAACAGACACGTTTCTTGTCGTAATTCCTACTACTTGGCGATTTGAGCGTTTGCATTCTTCCTGGTTCAATTGCTCCCTTCAAAGTCCACACATCATGACATTGACCAAACACCATTTCCCGTAAAATCTAGATATCCGATTGGACACATCCTATTCAGGCCGATCCATCAATCTGGCCTTGTCTGTAAGAGGATTGGCTGGTCTGAAGGGTGCTGGTGTCGATTCCATAGTCCTTGAAAACATGATACCTATGAAGGGTCGAATGATACATACTACCATGGGAGAGCTCATGTCTCAACCATATGGACTCTTTGGTGAAGTAAGCTTCTATAATCTCTGATCAACTCGTATTTCTCTTTGCTCATTTTATGTACAATGCGACTAGTGCATCAACTCTGTGGATCGCAAACTCATCAACGAGCATTTGTTGAATGAGGTTGAGCGCATGCCAAACGTGAATCTGTACTTCCATTATAATCTAATTCAAAGCGACTTTGATGGAAAGACGCTCCTGTTTGGTCTTAGAGATGGAACTCAGGTCACAAAACAGGCTGATTTGGTTGTCGGAGCTGATGGTGCTTTTTCACGTGTGCGAACTCAACTCATGCGAGCTACAAGGCAAGTTATATATTGTGAGAGATGAAATGTTGCTGTGAAGCTATACAGTGTGTACGAGGTTTTTTCTGCCATGCCAACACTCGTTTTCTTACGTAGGGTGGACTTTGCTCAGAAATATATAGATTGTGGTTATGTAGAATTGACCATCCCTGCTGGTCCAAGAGGATATCTGATGGACTCACACCATCTTCATATATGGCCGAGACACACATTCATGTTGATTGCTCTTCCCAATATCGTGAGCAAAAACGATCCAGCTATTCGTGCTCCACGTAACTAAAATACTTCACACATTAGGACAAGTCATTCACAGTAACACTCTTTATGCCATGGTCTGGATTTGACGCCATCAAAACCGAACTAGATCTAGTGACTTTCTTTGAAAAGACCTTTCCTGACGCTCTAGCCTTGATTGGTCGTGAATTACTAGTCCAGGAATACTTTGGTAATCCAAAAGGCTCCTTGATATCTCTAAAAGCAAACCCATGGCACCATCTAGATAGAGTAGTGATTATGGGCGACGCAGCTCACGCAATGGTACCCTTCTACGGCCAGGGTCTGAATTGTGGATTTGAGGACTGTCTAGTCCTAGATACAATCCTGTCCAAACATCTAGGAACACCTGGATCATCAGGATCTACAAACCCAACACCCGTAGCATTAAGTGCAGCATTAGCTGAATTCACATCCGTACGACAACCAGATGCTGAAGCTATATGTGATCTGGCAATGCACAACTTTGTTGAAATGAGTGCATCGGTAGTTGAATGGTCGTATCTGTTGAGAAAGAAGGTGGAGGGGTGGCTGCATCGTCTCATGCCTGTAACCGTTATACCTTTATATACCATGGTCTCGTTTACGCGTATACCGTATAGTGATGTTGTGAGAAGGTGGAAGAGACAGACAAGGTGGTTGAATATTGCTGGGTACGCGGGATTAGGTCTTGCTTCGGCGATAACTTGTCTTGGGTTTGCTGTAGCGTGGAAACGGTCTGATGATATTAGAGATGTTGTTGAAGAGTATGCTGGGAAGATAATACCACGATTTTGAAATGGAAACAAATGGTTGTATTTTGGATACGTTTCTTGTCTCGCAAATTACAATAGTAGTTCCGTCACTTTTGATAATAAAACACAGTACCTTCGTACAACAATTTAAACTTTGTTTTTGGAAAACTACTAGACTACACGGACATACTACATGACTGATCGAATTTGCGTCTTGACATTTTTAAGGGCACTCAACCCAGGAAGGTTTTTGGGGATCGCTCCAGCCTTTCGTGCACGCTCAAACGTACGCAAGAACATCTCAGTGGTATCAGCAACGCCCGTCCATCCAAATTTACGTGCTTTGGCAGTTGAGCTAAAATGAAGCCGTTATATCAGTTTGTGCTGTGCTTTTTTGCGCCCCAATGGCAGACAAAAACTTAGGTATCAAAGCAAAGAATTGCTCACAAGATAAGTGGCACATTAGTCCCATGTATGCATGCATCCATAAACCAGAACGTTGCTGAATCAATACTGGTTGGATCCACACCAGGATTCTTTGCAACGACATCCGTCCATATTTTCTTTCCTAGTCCGGATTTGTTGTAGTATGACTCCAGTTCCAATACATGGGCTGGTTCAGCAGGGTATGTCTGTGTGCCTGTTGGTAGCTTGGCTCCAAAGTATGCTGCAAAGAGCGGCCATAGACGTGCGTATGAGAATGGGTCGGCGTTTAGGACGTTAAAGTACTGTTTGGTGTTGGAAGGTTTGAATATGAGTCGACGAATCGCTGGCAAATGAGGTTTTCTTCTCGAAGCGTTTTTTTGCCGACTTAAACAATATGGTCAACCAACTTACTTCCCCACCACATTTAGGCGTTGTTATGGCCCATACATTGAACGCTGCGAGGTACACGACGTCTGTTTCATCGTGTGATGCATCGAATCCTGAAAATGTAAATACGTTTGAGCAAAAATTGCAACAACCACAAAAATACAGCCCTATGATGTAGGAATCAATTTCAGCTTTACCTTGCCCATTCGCAGGCCAAATCAATGGTTCACCCGTATGTGCCTTCAACGCACAGTACAGCATGATCGTCGTAGCAAGATTCATTTGGCTTTGTCGCGTGAAGCCCATGATGCCGGCTGGTATCGTCATTGTCTGATCGAGATGGAGAAAGAGCCATTCAGTAATGTGTTACGAGCAATTTAAAGACAAAATTCATGATACAATAATCGTGGAAGGAATTTTTGGCTCACCCAATCCCATTGCTTCCCCTGCGACAACGCCTTAACCGACTCCATTTGGTCCAGATAGAAATCAGCGGATGGATCTGGAGTGTCTGATTCCATGAGTGGGTTTGGACGCACGACTCTGTGGACGCCGTACCACTTGGCTATGATGTTTGAAGCTCTAGTCAGCGTTTTATACACAGGAGGTACTTTTTTGCGTACTTGCCTCCAGTTTGCAGCAACACTCTAGCCAACCTCTTTGAAACAATATCCGCAGCCTGTACTCCTTGATGGCATATCTTGGCGTTGGCTCGACGTTCTTCGGGGCCTTGCCATCCGTCGATTAGGACGTCTAAAAGCAATGTGTTGGAGTTTTGCTCGCACTGGCAAAAAAGCAAGGTCTCCGATACGTACATGCACAGTAAAACACATGAGTAACCTCCTCAACACCACCCTTCCTATACTTTGCAACAATACTATCCAAACTCTCCTCGTTCAAATCCGCTTGAACCCACGTTAAGCGTCCGCGGCCTTGTTCGACGTCAGAGATTTGAGAAGGTGAGAATTTCAAGTCTTCTGAGAGCTTAAAAATATTGTAAAGATAATAGCGTCAGGGTCGAATTCTGTGAGAGCAATGAAAGTTGTGATACCCAAGTCTTGTTTGGAAATCTGCGCGAGACCCCAATGATTTGCTTCCAGGAAGAGGTGGGCTGAGCGAGAAGATGCTCGATGAGGTAGGAGCCTGTTATGCCGTTGGCTCCCAAGATCAGAGCAACCTGTAAGATGTTGAATGTAACGTTCAGGAATTATGGGAATCCAAGCGATTTTGCTACAGGGAACCCCGATAGCATGCTTACCTTGTTCGGACCGTTAACGTCTCTCATTGTCCAAGCTGTCGCAAGGGTTATTGAGGGTCTTTGGTCGATTTCGAATACAAAGTACACTTTTTGCAGTTTTGGAACACGAAACGTGACGCGGACAAATGTTCGTGATAACGTTTTTAAAATCAGAGTATGGAATTCCTGTATGTTGCGAGCCTTTGTAGAAGGTCTGAGTTCCGCAAGCCCATCTCAGCCTTGACCTCGATTGAAGTTGAAGACACGTCCATTCATTCACGAATTGTACTGCGTCTTACCTATGCGATCGCTCTCGAAGCCATCATTGACCCGATTTCAGAACACTAGACCTGCACTTTCTATTGGTACCTTCGAGTCATTCAAACAATTACTTTGTCACAGCTTATCCAATGCCAACGTTGATCCTTGTTTTGGTCAAAATAGTATAAATCCCGTACACGACAATAGTTTACATGACAGCTCGAATTGGAGCCTGCACGTTCTTGATTGCTCTCAACCCAGGAACGTTCTGAATTGCTCCAGCTTTTCGTGCACGTTCAAATGTACGTAGAAACATCTCGGTGGTATCTGCGTAGCCCGTCCAGCCAAACTTGCGGGCTTTGTCTTATAGGTGGAATGACACGGAGTGTGAGTGTGACATGTCAAGACCATGTAGGTGGTTAAAAGACAAGGTGTTTTTGCACATCGAACAAAACTTACTGTTGTTGCTGTAAGAGACCAAAATTGTTGAGTTATTTTCAGCCCTGGTGTTCCAAAGGCAAAGAAACAGTTCACAGTAAGAATGAATACTTACAAGGTAAGAGGTATCCTCATCCCATGCAACGAAACATCCATAAACCAGAACGTGGCTGAATCTATCGATGTCGGATCCACATCCGGATTCTTTGCAACAATATCCTTCCAGATACTTTTTGCCAGACCAGATTTGCCATAATAAGCTTCCAAATCCATTACATGCGCAGGTTCGGCAGGGTACGTTTGCTTTTCAGTAGGCAGTTTGGCTCCAAAGTATGCGGCGAATAAGGGCCAGAGACGTTCGTACGAGAATGGGTCAGAGTTTAGAGCGTTGAAGTACTAGTGGTTTTGGAAAATGTTGAGCAATTGCAACTTGAAGTAGATATAATAGATCCTTTTTTTCTCGTACTTCACCACCACACTTGGGAGTTGTTGCAGCCCAAACATTGAATGCTGCCAGATACACCACATCTGTTTCATCACGCGGAGCACCAAACCCTGTATGTTGAGAATGTTTAGAGGTGTATCATAGAGATTTTGTTCCCCAATTTTTTTAACCTCGCCCATTTCCGGGCCAAATCAACGGCTCTCCAGTATGTGCTTTAAGAGCACAGTACAGCATTATCGTGGTAGCAAGATTCATTTGACTTTGGCGTGTGAAGCCCATGATTCCGCCTGGAATTGTCATTGCCTGATTGTGACGTAAGAGCCATGTTAGCACTGTAGTGCCTCTGACCAAAGGATTGTGCTTGCACTCACCCAATCCCATTGTTTACCCTGCGACAAGCTCTTGACTGAATCAATTTGATCGAGATAAAAGTCAGCAGCTGGATGAGGTTCGTCTGATTCCATAAGAGGCTGGTCTCGTTTGACTCGATGTACACCATAGAATTTGCCACCTGTCTGGAGCAAGACTCGAGCCAATCTATTCGGGCAGAATGTCGTCAACGTTTGACATTGTTCTGTTGAGCACCAGATTTTTTAGGCATCACTCGGAAATACCTTGTTGACACGATATCAGCAGCTTGCACTCCTTGATGGCATATCTTGGCGTTTGCCTTTCGTTCTTCAGCGCCTTGCCATCCTTCAATCAGCACGTCTATCACATAGGTGAAGTTGGTCCACAACAAAACCAAACAGGGCGAAAAAAAGGCGTCAGCCTCAGCACGTACATGCACAGTAAAACACATGGGTAACGTTCTCGACACCACCCTTTCGGTATTTAGCAACGATACTGTCCAAGCTTTCCTCGTTAAGATCGGTCGAAATCCACGTCAAGCGTCCACGGCCTTGTTCGACATCAGAGATTTGACTTGGAATGAACTTCAAGTCCTCCGAGAGCTACAAATTCAAGCAGAAAAATACATTGTCAGATCAACTTCAACACCAACTTTGCAAACATTGACATTGTGATACCCAAGTCTTGTTTGGAAATCTGCGCGAGACGCCAATGATCTGCTTCCAGGAAGAGGTGGGCTGAGCGAGCAGATGCTCGATGAGGTAGGAGCCTGTTATGCCGTTTGCTCCCAAGATCAAAGCAACCTGTAAAGTTAGGTCTTATTGGTCAGACACGGCAAGACTTTGAATGCAGCGAGAGCGTGAAAGCGTGTACAAACTCACCTTGTTTGGACCGTTAACGTCTCTCATTTTCGATACTTTTAGACTCTCTGGATGGTGGACTATCAGTAGATTGATTTCAAATCGCACCAACGTCGAATGCGGGAGCGTGGGCAAACAGTTTGGGAGGCAGGATTACCAAGCGTAGTCAGTAGTCAGCAAGTAGTAATTTTATCTTTTCAAATCAAGGCGTGATATGCCTTGATTTTATTCTCGTGAGCCTTTACAAGGTTGTTTGAGCCTCAACATGAATGAAATCCCAAGAACGCGTTTAATCCGGAATTGTCCGCTGTTGTACCTATACGATCGGTGGTCGTCGCAACCAGCAAACGGTACCAAATGCACCAAGATTCTAATAGTCCCTTCTCTGTAATCAATTGTCCACCTTCCCCAAGTCTCTAATCCCCGCAATTCTATGTGCAACACAGACACAGGTCACGCACGCTCTTAGTTCCTTGTTCTTTTATCTCCAAAACACCAGAAGAAAAAATGACTGACAATCAGAGAAAGGTCCAAATACAATACGCTCTAACTGCCTTGGCTGGAGCAAGTGCGATTGGATTGGCTACTATTGGTTATTTGTTGTAAGTTCTTGTTTCTGGCCTAGTAAGCAACTTTGTAGCAACCTTGACTCAACGATCTACTTTATTAGATGGGAGTATAGTGATCATGCTCTTGTAAGTGCGGAACTTTTGTGCTCAACTCGTTGCTCGGTTTGCGTGAAGATCGATCTCGTGGAAGTGGCGGACATGTGGGGCGGTGAAATTTGCAAAAAGGAGCATCTGGATGCCAATTATCATGCAAAAGAACTTTACACTAGCCTAAGAACTGAATTCGGCATGGCTTGTTCAACTCCACTGAAGATGTTGTATCTGTAGGGCACGCGACGACACACTGATGGAATTCCACAACCTGCTGGTGCAAAAGCACTTATTGGTACGTCCCTTACATCATGTTTCAAGTTCATTTCATTGTTGAGGGCAATGGGGATGGATGTGGTCACCGCCACACGACCACGTTCCTCACCAATCGTGACTACATCCCACGTGCGGAGCACATATCTCGTATACTTTAACACTCTTTGTCACTTATTAGGCCACTTGCCATTACTCGGCGGCAACTGGGTCAATGTTCGACTGGAAGAATCACTAAAGATGCGAAAGCAGCTTGGCGATGTCTTTATGACTTCCATACCATGGAAGAATCAGATCGAGACATTCTTGCCTGAAGACGTTGAGTGCGTAATGAAGGACCCTTACATCTTTGTGAAGGGAGCAGCGCAGGCGGAACAATTTGTCGAATGTGAGTTTTCGAATGTTTGAAAATTAGTAGTAGATTATATTTTTCTCGTCGACAAATGCTCAATATCACATACTCTACGTAGTCTTTGGTCACGGTATCTTCTTATCTGATGCTGATCCGTGGAGGCTCCAACGTAAAACCGCTTCAAACATCTTCAATGTCAAGAATTTCCGTACGCATTACGATCCTATTCTCGCGTTTGTTGTTAAACATTTTCATATTCAAACCCTTTTTTGGATTCCGTCTAGGTGATTTCTTTGGTCCAATCTTCATATCAGAAAGTCAACGTCTGTGCAATCATCTTGCCGAAGTTGCTAAGACTGGAACCAAATTGGATATCCAAGACTTGTTGCTTAGAGCTACTATTGACAGTTTTGGATTGCTCTCTATGGGTACCGATGTCGGGGCATTGAAGATGAAGCCAGTGTACAAGGACGGCCGATACACGCTCCCTGATGTGCCTTTCATGATATCCTTTGATGCAATTCTTGCCCATCAAGTGATTCGATTTACAAACCCCTTCTGTAAGAAACAAGTCTGGACTAAATGTGGCTTCAGCAGTTTCACCAAAAACATCGGGAACTCGCAGAATCAAGTATGGGATCTAACGCTATCTAAACATAGGGAAATGGAATGAATTCTTTGGCGACTCGAACGGAAAGGCCATCAAGCAACATCAAAAAGTCATTGATGATTTCTCATACAGTGTGATTCGCGAACGTCGTCAACAGTTGGTTGCATCTGGCGGCTTGAAGGACAAGGGTCGAATGGATTTGTTGGATTTCTTTATGCAAGTTGAAGTTGAAGGTACGTTGTTGTTTGTGGTTGTGGGTGTTCAGCGTGATGTTTAATTGAAAGATGTTTTTTTTTGTTAGGAAACCCACCGGATGACAAGTTCCTTCGTGATGTCGTTATGAATTACAGTGGGTTGTTCTTCTTATTGACGCCGCGTTCGTGCTTTGATACTAATACGCATTCTTTTTCTTCTCATCAGTTATTGCTGGGCGAGAGTAAGCTATCCCAGGAAAGAGAATGCGTTTCCAACCTCTAACCTTCCTTGCCCGCTCTTTTAGCACAACTGCTCAAACTACTTCATGGTTGATATATGAACTAGCTCGCAACCCTGAAATCGAAAAGAAGATGCGTGAAGAAATGGTAATAGTTTGTGTGAGGTACCACTGGTTGAGTCTTTGGGTCTGACAAAAGCTTCAACCGCATAGAAACAATTCCTCGGTGACGGCCCAGGTTAGCAAGAACATTTGGGCTGATTATGAAGTCATATTTCCATGGCACATGTCTCAATCTTTTGTTGTTTAGCTGACTATGAGCTTCTCAAGAACCTCAAATACACCACTTGCGTAAGCATCTGGGAACATCGCGATTCCGTTCGGTACTTCAAATCGCTCATTATTTTTATTGAACACTCAGGTCTGGAATGAAACTCTACGTCTTCACTGGTAAGGCCAAAAAAAGGTGAACGAATTTGATGTAATAGGATACTAACGCCTATCACCTCATTCGAACTCATCAACAGTAACGTCCCAACCGGTACGTTTCAACACCCTCACACTCATGCGAAATAAACCCCAAACTAATCCGCCCTCTATTCAAAAGCTCCACGTGTTGCTACTCAAGACATCACACTACCATCTGGCTACAAGGTTTATAAGGGAGAAACAGTCCAATGGAGTTCGTGGGCCATGGGCAGATCAGAAAAGATATGGGGTCCTGATGCTTCAGAATTCAAGCCAGAACGATGGTTGAAGGATGATGGGTCTGTTATGAAGGCTTCACAATGGGCTTGGCCAGTGGTGAGTGATTTTGCTTGTCGAGGTGTTTCTATGTGAGATGCTCTTATATGCAGGCTTTTCTGTGTGGTCCTTGAATCTTTTTAACAATTGGAAGCAGAGTTTGCCCAAAACTAACCAATGGTTTTGAACTCTAGTTCAACTGTGGTCCTCGTATCTGTCGTAAGTACAGAATTGCAATATGGGTTTGATTATCCGCATAGTCATCAAAGCTGTCAGCTTATTGTCGCTTTTTCTGTAGTTGGAATGAACATGGCCACTCAAGAAGCTTTGGTTATAATGTCTGACATGTATCGAAACTTCCACTTTGAAGTTGTTGGAGAAGGTACTGCGTAGAAAAATTGCCATTCCTCGATTATGTCCAGCCGTTTTTCTCTCTTCCTTGTTGCCAACGATGCATTTCCTAAATCTAACCATAAAACCATTTCAATAACATCTAGATGAGCCACGCAAATGGGGCCACTTCTCAGAAAACGTAGCTGAACGTGCTGGTCGTTACAATGTATGAATCGAGCTTCACACCTTTTGTTGTGCTGGACGCAAATTCAACAACGTTTGTGTTTTGACTAGGTCGGAGTGACTCTTGGCTTCCGAAATGGACTAGATGTCAAAGTAACTCGTGTTTGATTAAGTCGTTTGAATTCTTGAATTGAAATATCTCTTGTCCTGCATCTCGTTTCTTTTTTGTTCTTGTTTACAAGAGCTCTTGTTTTAAACCAAAAAATTGAATTATCTGTACGCATGATTCATTCGAAAGGATTTTTTGGTGAGATAGTAGTGGATCTAGTACTCTCTAGCTTGAGCTTCGTCTCTCTTCAGCCGTGAATCATTGCCAAAGTCTTTTAAGAGAAATCAGCAGAACATAGTCTTGTAGTAATATCGAGTCTAAGTACCTCATGAGCATATTGGCGCCGTGACCATCCTCTTTTTAGGTTTGTCTCAGTATCAGACATGTTTCAACCAATCGCTGATGGCACAGCAAGTGGCCTCTTCATCTCAAACACATACGACGCTACATCACACTTTGAGACGGTTTGTCAAGATGCGAAGTCGTTATACAAGCGAGTGACAGGCAACGAACTGACAGTTGCGGATAAAGGTCCCATCTGCTAGCATTAGATTTATGATGATGTGCTGTGAAACTGTAACCGAGTAAAATATGTAGGAAAGGAGCAAACTACAAAACAAAATATCAAAGCCCCAACAAAACACCACCTCGTTTTTATAATGCATATAATACTCTGTATTCAGTCAATGAAAAGTAAAGAGTAATAAGCCATTCAGCAGAGAAAAGTACAAACGACTAGACTACAACCCTCATCATCATAAACAACCGCTGATAACCCCTCTTCTCCTATTCCGTCATAAATCCAAGCGTCTCCTCAACAGCCAGTGTCAATTTACTGACAAGAGCATCATACGTCTTGTATTGTGGCAAGTCAATTCGATTGAAGCACGTATGTGATTTCGGTAAGCCTCCTACTTCTCCTGCTTTCTCGATGGTAAAGCGCCTAACGGGGGAGTAGAAAGGGAAAGGGTGAGTTGGATTGCTCAAATAAATAGTATTTTTCTCCTCCGTTGCTTTAAACGTACCTTGGGCCATCAGATCCTTGCAAGTCCTTGAAGCCATTGACAGGTATTCGAGATGTTCCAGTAACGAATTGCAAGAGTCGAGCCTTCTTTTCAGAATCCCAGCTGCTGACACACTAATATGAGCAAAAATAGTCGTTGGCAAAAGCAAACGTAATACTTGTCCAAATAATGTTTCAGCTTCATCTTCTCAACGACCACTCCTGCTGACCAAGACACAACCCAAACAACAAAACTCACCTTCCAAAACCACTGCACAACCTCATCAGTCTCACTATACCCACGATAATCAGTATTCTTCTTCCAATCATTAATATCAATATCCGCAATACCACCAATCAACAACTCCAACTCCCTCTCATCAAACACATTCACAAGATCAATAGGCACCAATTCATGGAAGCCCTGTGCAAATGCCCGGAACTGTTCATCAACACGTCGAGAAATCCTCCATTCAGTAATGAGATCCACGTATTCACGCTTGTTTTCATCAGTTACGGGTATATTACGTCCATTTTCTTTGAGGTCGACGGTTTGCACTTCGCCGAATTTGTCGTCTTCGGTTGAGAAGGTCAGGTCGAGGACGTCCTGGATTGGGTTTTCAAGCATCCATTCCAAAGAGTTGAATAGCTGGGCATCTACGGATTCCATATCCTTCAGCACAATCTTCTTTTTTAAGATCATTTTATAGAAGGCTGTTATGAAGAATGCGTCCAGGAATCGTTGATGGAAGATGGCGAGACCTACTACACGTCCTATAAATTTGAAATAATTCAAATGTTCAGGGTTGATTGCTGAATGTGGGTTGATTTGTAGCGTGTAATTATCATGGGCAGAGTATTCAAAGAGACAGTAGAAGGGATTAAACATTTCATGGGATAGTAAGAAGAAGAATTCTCGTGATAGACCTCCGTAATCAAGACCATCTTCACCATGGAATTTAATCATTAGACGTTTCTTGAGATCATTGGCTTGATACCTCATGATTTCAGAGTATGCATCTTCAAAGATATTATTACGTCGGACTGTTACGTGACATTGACCCGGTAGTGGTCTCATGGCAGGCTGAGATCGGAAATATACGAGCTTCCTCCTAAAGTCTCGTTTATATTGTGGCACATTCTGATCGACAGACGATGGTAGTCGCGGATCATCCCATGTGGTGATTTTAGCGGTATGATCAACAAAATATATGCGTCCGTTATTCGTCATCCTCATTTCCCAGCCACTAGGTAATGGCCCTAATTGCTGTTGAGTTTGTTGTTGATGTGCCTGTAATTGTCGCTCGGCTTGTACTGCAGTCATTGGTCCAGTTCCAGTTGTTGTTCCTGTTCTACCTCCTTGGGAGACACGACGAGGATCCAACCACGTAGTGGTACGAGTATTATGATCGACATAGTATGGACGCCCTTCAGGTGTATGACGCTGTTCCCAACCTGGAGGTAGTGGCAATATAGATGTATTCGCTGATGGTGTTGTTGATGCAGTAGCTGACGTTGGAGACGCAGCCGCTAATGTAGTAGAAGCCAAACTAACAGTCGAAGCAGCAGCAGCTGGGTTAGATCCTATCGAAGATGATCCAATAGCAGGTGGTGCTTGACTATCACCAGGCAACGACCTATTAAACGCCCGTTGCCTTTCCAATTCAGTCTGATTCGCTTGCTGAGTAGCCACCGAAGCAGCGGTAGCACCAACAGGTGGTCGATGCCATGTCGTAATACGATTATTATGATCTACATAGTATGTTCGATGTAAATGATCTACTCTGCGTTCCCAACCTGCTGGTAGTGGTCCCAAATGATCTTCAAAAGCTGTCAATTGGCGTTGAGCGTTGGTACCACTATTAGCTGCTCCAGTAGCTGTTGCTTGTCGTAGTGCTTCTTTTCGTAGATTATCGGCATTGGAAGCAGCGCTGACTGGTGTTGTTGATGAGGAGGATGATGATGCGGCGTTACTTGCTCCTGCTGCTGCTACAGAGCTTCCACCAACTACAGAAGAGCCAATCGATGAGGTAGATAATCGTCTGTTTAGAGTAGCGGTTGTGTCTTGGGATGCTTGAGGAGGTGGGATTGAAGCTGGTTGATAGTTCGTGGTGACATTTAATATAACTTTTCCGGATACGACTTCTCCACTGTTTGATTTCTTCAATTCGAGTGTCAGCATTTCTATGAATAAGAGTGTGTCAATTGTTTGTGCTACGTGAAGAGACATCTAAATCGTGCGTACCATCACCACCATGCGAAATATCGAAAATAGCAGACATTTGCTGATTAATAACACCCAAAAAACCTTGATCTTTCGTCTTTTTGAACTTTCGTTGATCAAAGATTTGGACTGTAATCACACTGTTAGCTCGAACATCACTACATAACAAAAAAAGTTAGTATCACAATCATAAGAATAGATTCTGTTTCGAAATGCAGCCCTAAAACACCACACCAACAGCAACCAGCACTCACATATCAAAACTCTCATTCCAATACGGATTCAACGTCCTCTTAATAACACTCGTGGTATGCGTCTGCTCTCCATCGACGGTAACGACAGCGAATGGATCCGGAAGACGTAATAGATCTCGTTTCATTAGGCCATCGGCTGCGACCACTATATAGTTTCCCAACAAAGACGAGGTTATTAATGAAACCCCACGACGGCCAAGTTTCGAATGTCTCCTTTCAAGCCATGCTACGGTTACTCTACATACCAGTCAATTTCACAGTTCTTGTAGCAGGAGGAGCAACACTTGTCGATGCCATCAAGTCTTCTTCTTTCCTCGATGACCCGAGTTTGTAAAATGTTGTGGTGAGGTCAAATGATGCGGATATGTGAAAGCTAGAACAGCCTAGTGCGAGGCTAGAGCGGAATCAGTAGGTACACTACAAGTCTATAAAGTGAGTGTTCTTCATTAGAGGTTCACGGAGTAATAATCGTCTCGCTCCTTGTTTGGATTGGTCACCAAAAATAAGTCATGTCTTCAGTTCAGGAAGCTGTACCTTTAATTGGACTATGCTACCTTATTGACAAGTCTGAAGTGTTGGAACTTTGAGCCAAGAGTGAGTTAGTGGGTGCTCTGCTCAAACTTGCTTCCTTCTCGTGGCTCTTTCCTTCAACCTCAAAGAACGCCAATCGAACATCGAACCAAAGCATCGGCGAAGCCTCCCACATAAACAGTGCGACCACGCGTCATTGTACGGTACAAGTCTAATTAATATGAAGATCGCAAAAATGTCCGGGCTTTAATTCTACATTATATATGACAAACATCGTGTCCAGTTTAGTGATGGTTTGTTCGAGTACTCAATACCGGCCTAGGCGAATTTTCTATCATCGTAATAATAAAATTCATATTAGTACACTTATATGTGACGTCTCTTGAGAATCAACCAAAAAACCACAAATTAACTGCTCACCTTCAACAGGTTTCACTGGCGTTCCACCAACATAGGGTTCTCCCTGAACAGCTCTCCCCCATAGATGAACAGGACGATCCAAATTACCAGTCCCAACATCTTCCTCTTTTGAATGATCAAACTTCCATACCCTCACAGTCATATCATCACTAGCATTAGCAATAAACTGCTGCGTCACATCTTGACCACGAGACCATGATACAGCTGTAACTTCGGATTCATGTCCCTTCAATATAATTGGTCCTACTCTTGGTCTACCACCACCAGCAACATTACTATAAAAGTCATTCTTGTCACTTCTCGCTTCTTCAACATCCCACACATACAATCCACCATCCGAAGACCCGGAAGCCAAGAATCGATCATCTGGTGATATAGCAGTCTTGATGTAAAACGAGGTCACTTTGAAAGTTGCTGATCGTAATTGTTGCACTGGAGCTCCCAGATTCATGGTATTATAGACATGTACTGAATGGTCGGAACATGATGCGAAGAGGCGGCTGCCATTGGAATCGCTAGTCAATGATGTCAATCCATGTGGTCGTTTGAGTCCTTCTGGAAGTCGTGATCGAGAAATAGAGTGTTGTGATATATCGGTATGGTCAGTGCCCATTCGTAAGTCCCATATCTTGACTAGTCCATCTGCTGCTCCGGCTGATGCTATTCGTAAGGTGCCTGGCAAGAAGAGTGCTGCAGTTACACCATGAGCTGTGCTTAGGCTGTTGGTTGCTCGTTTGGTTCGTTTGGGTTTGGGTGTGGATTCAGGAACATGTGCTCCGTTGATCATATATACTGGCTTATATGCCGTAGCTACAATAGGGTAGAATGGGATGAGTTTGTGTACACCAAGAGAGTTGTCGTTTAAAATTGAAAATAATAATAGACATTCAACATAAGGATTGTCTGTCGAGACAACTTACTGCCATCATGAATCGTCCTTCCTGGAACTCTCAAGTCCCACAACAAGACCCTTCCATCTCGTGATGCAGTTACATACATGCCTGAATGTTCAAAAAAAGGCGGTTAGTGTATCATCATAACACCCATCCCTCCACGTCATCAACCATCAACCCAAAAAGGCAGAAAGAACACCAGCAGCATGTCACTCACTTGGATTCTGAGGATGATTCGAAACAGCCTTAACACTACACTGATGTCCATTCAACGGATCTGTAATCCCACATTGATGAACACCCAAAGTACCCAACGACGCTCGAGTAGCCACATCCCAAACTTTGACAGTTTGATCACCAGAAGCAGTCATCAGTCGTGTGTCGTCACTCGACCATGCTACTTCAAAGATTGCGTTTTCGTGTGCAGTCCATTCCATTTTGATTGATTCCTCTAATATGGTTAGGGAGATGATGATTGATGTGAGCAAAAAAAGCTGCACAAGGTGATGGACATACCTAGAGGTGCTCGTGTGTCAACCATAGTATCAAGAAACGTTACTACACCATCTTCGTCAGCGACAGCCAAGAGTTTACCATCATTTGTAACTAAAAATTGGTAGATTTAGACAAAAAAAGAACACACCAACACAATATATGCATGTTTACATGGATCATTCAATTACATATACGCACCATTGGAGAATGAACAAGCAAAAGGAGGAATAACCAGATCTTGAGGAGACACCATTTGATAACGATCATGTTCAGTAGATACGAATCGTTTAATGAGTTTTCGTAATGAGACTAGTGAGAAGATGCGACGTGTTTGTTAGAGCACACGTAGCAAAAAAAGGTGAAGTACACCAAATCAGCCAAATGTAGATCCACATCAACAGCACGATACAACTTACAGTCAACACGTTGTCCCGTCATCTCTCTAACAGGCAGAGCCCACAAGACTCTCGAATCACGTCCATATGCATTCGACCATCGAGCTTGTGATAATGGTGTATGTGATCCAAGTCTGGTTGTCGCAGCAGTTGTAACTGCAGTAGATTTCTTGTCATTCAATAACAGTCTTAATGGAGATGCATTCTCCTTGAATACTGATAATATAGATGGCACTCCTGCTTCTTCTGTAAGATGATCAGAACGAACTCTCTTGCTAGCATTTGATGATGGTGTTGATGCGGTTCTTTTGAGTGGGTCTCGTGGAGGAGTCAATACAGGTAGGAATGGAAATTGGTTTTCCTTGTCGTCTCTTGTCATCGTTATATCCGTATTATGTAGCTACGTATGGTTCGTTCGTTAGGGTTTAGAGACTGAAGTTGTGGCGAATGCCAGTTGATAAAGACTAGATGGAGAGTAGTTCCTTGCTCCAAATGGTGTCTCTGTATATAATGATATTGATCTGATATGCTCTTCCTATCATATGCCAGTTGAGTTTGGAGTTTTGTTGGTGTTGGATGTGCATGCAAAGTTCGAATTCAGATTTCAAACTCAGTCTCCGGGACGTGACAAACATAACACGCTCTAAAAATACACGATATTGATTATGAGAGAGATTGAAAAGATCTAATTATTTGTGAATTACAACACTTTGGCTTCATTCTTCAACTTATCCACGAGCTAAAAAAAAAAAAGATGAAATGGAGTAACCATATGGGAGTAACCACTAAAAACCGTCTCAGGTTCACTCACCTCGTCAACAGTCTCCACTTTCTTCCCACCTTGTCGTTTGGCAGGTTCGAATACTTCCAACACTTCAATTCTAGGAGTAACATCTACTCCCAAGTCAGCGGCAGTTGTCTTGACCAATGGTTTCTTTTTGGCCTTCATGATGTTTGGTAGTGTGGCATATCGTGGTTCGTTCAACCTACATACACATCGAGTGTTATTGCCGACCGAAGTGTCATCTTATCAACCACACAAACCTCAGATCAGCAGTAACAACAGCAGGAGTCTGAACAGAAATAGTTTCCAGTCCACCGTCGACTTCACGTGTAACTGTCATCTTTTTACCGGCTTCTGAGAATTCAATCTTTGATGCGAATGTGGCCTACAAGTAACAAAAAAAAGGGGTCAGGGGTTATACCACACCATATGACATGATATGAATTACTTGTGGCCATCCTAGTAGGCCAGCTAGCATTTGACCAGTTTGATTTGAATCGTCATCAATGGCCTGTTTGCCTAAGATGACGAGGTTTGCCTTTTCCTTGTCGACGATTGCTTTGAGTAGTTTTGCGACCTGTATATAGGGGGAGAGTATGAATAACAGCACAATGTGGCAATAAAAATCCAATATCAACCGAATACACTATAATCAGCACCACCCTTACTTGGAGTGGTTGGACATCAGTACCCTCCGGAACCTCGACATGCATTGCCCTATCAACACCCATAGCCAACGAAGTCCTCAGAGTTTCTTGAGCTTTAGTGGGTCCCACGGTAACGGCAATAACCTCGTCAGCAACCTTCTTCTCCTTTAAGCGCACAGCTTCTTCAATAGCGATTTCGTCGAATGGGTTCATTGAATGTTTGACATTGGCTGTTTCTACTTTGCCTCCTACGACTCGTATTTTGACTGCATAGTCTACGACTCTTTTGACGCCCACTATTTGTTATCATCATAGGTGGTTAGTATATAGCGCATGTTGGTTGTATAAGACATGAAATGCAAAACTTTTCAAATGTCGCGAGCTAGTGAGGAGAGACGAATGCGACGTGATTGAAAGCAGGTACGTACCTAATACACGTAATCCTGACATGATGCTCTTCTTAACTGCCGATCTGTCCTTTATCTATCTCGTTCCTCGAATTATCAAATTTTTTGAATTTCAGACAAAACACCTCCATCTGGAACATTGAGTTGGTTGGATATAACAAAGGAGATCACAGATACGCGTAATTCTTTTACGTCTAGAGCTCCACCAATCTGGCTTCTTATAACAAGATAACCACCAGTAAAATTGATATGAGTGAATCAAATGGAAAGATGTTGACGCCATTGTCAACCACATATACAAAGACTCCGGAACAGGTCTGCCAGCTGTTATCTGTAGATCCAAAGAAGGGCCTCTCAAAGTCGGATGTCGAAACGAGAACCGAGGAATATGGAAAGAATGGTAATGCATTTGAACTGAAAATTGATGAACATTTCGTGTTGTCAAATGTTTGTTTGGAAGTCGGGCCTACCCATTATTCTGTTGGCCCGCAATGAATTCCATATCTCTATTCATTGAGCATTACCGCTCCACCAACACCACACAACAAAATGCTAACACAACAACCTAAATCAGAACTCCCATCAGACCCACCTACACCATTATGGCAACTCATCCTAGAACAATTCCAAGATCAGCTGGTATTGATCTTACTCGGTGCCGCTGTCATATCTTTTGTGTTGGCAGCTCTAGAAACCGACGAAAAGGAGAAATCAACTGCCTTTGTTGAACCTATCGTTATTCTCTTGATCCTGATTGCCAATGCTGTTGTTGGGGTCGTTCAGGAGAGTAACGCTGAGAAGGCTATTGAGGTACGGTTATGCCATGAGTGAAAGTCGGTATATGACGGTGTAGCTCAATGCGAGGAGTGGTCAATATGAAAATCTTCCATACGCCTTTTTTGTCGCCTTCCTTACCACAAAGTCTCCATACTCACAAACACGTATTGTAGGCCCTGATGGAATACTCACCAGACGACACAGTGGTCATCCGTGACAGCGTCCCACATAAAATTCACGCAAAAGATCTAGTCCCCGGTGACATTGTCTCCCTCTCTGTCGGCGATAAAGTCCCCGCTGACTGTCGTCTCCTAGTAGTCACCTCCTCGGCCTTCAGAATAGACCAAGCAATCCTAACAGGAGAATCCGTATCCGTCGAAAAAATAGCAGAATACATTGTAAAAGACACCCGTGCCGTAAGGCAAGACCAAATCAACATGCTCTTTTCCGGTACCACAATCACGATCGGTAAAGCAACCGCCGTCGTAGTCGCAACGGGTACATCAACAGCTATTGGCGACATTCACAAATCTATTAGTTCACAAATTGATGAAAAGACACCACTCAAACAAGCACTAGATGATTTCGGTGATCAATTAGCTAGGATTATATCCATTATATGTATTCTCGTGTGGATTATCAATGTTAGGCATTTCAATGATGCGGCTTTTAATGGTAACTGGTTGAAGGGTGCAGTATACTACTTCAAGATTGCAGTTGCTTTGGCTGTTGCTGCCATTCCTGAGGGTCTGGCTGTTGTTATAACTACCTGTCTGGCTCTGGGTACTAAGAAGATGGCTGCTCAGGGTGCTATTGTGAGGAAGTTGAGGAGTGTAGAGACTTTGGGATGTACGAGTATTATTTGTTCTGATAAGACCGGGACGCTGACTACGAATCAGATGAGTGCTCGTAAGGTAAGAGCTTATTGATGAACAGGTTGGGTTTGCTCCTTAAGTGGGTGCAGTTTGAGTGCAAAAAAAAAAAAAAAAAAATAGATTGATGGGGTAATCCCTTCTCTGTACTATCCATTACAGAAAATCTAACATTTCTTTTGTAGATAATGCTGGTAGACACCTCAAACCTCGTCGAATTCGATGTAGAAGGAACCACCTACGGTCCCGAAGGTCGCGTATACTACCAGTCAGGCAAACCATGTGATCGAGACGTCCTCTCGTCGCAACCTGTACTAAACGAACTAGCACACATCGCATGTCTCTGCAACGATGCCAAAATCGTATACGACGAATCACTCGACCAATTCCAAAAAGTCGGTGAACCCACTGAGGCCGCCTTACGAGCCCTAGTAGAAAAATTGGGTACAGATTCACCTGATTTTAATCGTCAAATCCCTATTATAAACACTCCTGTTGATTTGGGGCGTTTGTCTGGACGTGAGAAATTGTGGAGGAGTGGACAGGCTTGTGAGTATGTCGAATCTAAATATCGCAAGACTGCTACGTTAGAGTTTTCGAGAGAGAGGAAGAGTATGTCTGTTGTTGTTGAGAGGGTTGATGGTGGTGGTAAGAAAGGGAAAATTTTGATGATTAAGGGAGCTCCTGAGCAGGTTTTGGAGAGGTGCAGTCATGTTAGGTTGACTTCGAATTCGGATAAGGCAGTCCCTCTGAGTGATTCTTTGAGGGATAAGATTTTGAATAAGGTGTGTTGGGTTGGGTTGGAGTTGATGATACCTTCATAGCTGAAATAAATCGTTGACATTATTTTCTTTTGCTGGGCTATAATCTTACGCATTTGGTTATCTATAGATGGTTGAATGGGGAGAGAAGGATGCCCTTCGAGTGCTGGCATTCGCAATGGCTGAAAACCCATCCATACCAAACAAACTGGATCCTTCCATGTATATCAAGATTGAGGTAATTGATAGCATGATGCAGTTTGATATATGGCGAGTAGTTTTTTTATGCAGACTACCAACTTCTCCCTTTTAAACCAGACCAACCTAACATTTGTCGGTTTAATCGGAATGCTCGATCCACCACGTCCCGAAGTAAAATCCTCCATCATTAAATGTCGTGCAGCAGGAATTCGAGTGATCTGTATCACAGGAGATAACAAGAAGACTGCTGAATCTATCTGTCGACAAATTGGAATCTTCACTGCCCGAGAATCCCTCGAAGGCAAATCATACACGTCTCGAGAATGGGATGAGATGTCTGTTGATCAAAAACGAGAGGCTATTAGACGTGCGTCTCTGTTTTCGAGAGCTGAGCCGAGTCATAAGACTGAGCTGGTTGATTTGTTGAAGAATGAGGGATGGGTTGTTGCTATGGTATGTGTTGTGCCTAGAGTTAGATCTAGTTAGATTATGAAGCTAACCCTTGTGTATGTTTGTAGACTGGTGATGGAGTTAATGGTAACATTCATGTCCTTTTCTATCATCCTTTGTTGGGTTTTTTTGTGTGCTCTTTTGCTAACCTTCCGGTGTTTCGCTCTAGATGCACCTGCCCTCAAAAAGGCAGACATCGGTATAGCGATGGGATCAGGTACCGATGTAGCCAAATTAGCGTCAGACATGGTGTTGGCCGATGACAACTTCGCCACTATTGTCGCTGCCGTGGAAGAAGGTCGTTCCATTTATGCCAATACCAAGCAGTTCATTCGATATCTCATCAGTTCTAATATTGGTGAAGTCGTTAGGTAAAAGAGGCGTCCATGATTTTGTCAGATATTAGCAACTTTTTTGCTCACATTTTCTTCTCGTTTAGTATCTTCTTAACAGTCCTTCTCGGAATGCCTGAAGCCTTGATTCCAGTCCAGCTGTTATGGGTTAATCTAGTTACTGATGGATTACCTGCTACTGCACTTGGATTTAATCCTGCTGATCATGACATTATGAGACGACCACCTCGTGATTCTAAGGAGCCTATTGTTACTGCATGGCTGTTTATCAGGTGTGTTGATGCTTGATGTTGCTTGTATATGGGTGTTTTTTGTTGCTAACTTCTGCTCTCGACGTCACAGGTACATGGTAGTAGGAACCTACGTCGGAATGGCGACAGTATTCGGATATGCATGGTGGTTTATGTTTTATTCTGGTGGACCACATATTACATTCCATCAATTGGTACGTTGTCTTTGTAACTCTCCCTTTCGTGGATGCAAAAAAGTAATTGTCAACTCAACATCTCATGTTTCTGCTCCTAGACCAACTTTCACAAATGCTCAACGCTCTTCCCTGAACTTGGATGTGAAATGTTCACAAATGTCATGTCCAAGAAGGCGACTACCATGTCCCTCTCGATTTTGGTTGTTGTTGAGATGTTTAATGCTATCAACAGGTACAGAACCCCCCCCCCCACACACACACACACACACACACACGAAGCCGTGATTCTTGACAGTTCTTCGTAGCCAGGCATTTTGACCTTCTGCTAACAAACGTATCTCTGTTGTTTGCAATAGTTTGTCAGAGAATGAATCACTCCTAACATTCCCACTATGGAATAACATTTATCTCGTTTTGGCTATAACTCTGTCCATGGTGTTGCATTTCATGATTCTGTACATTCCATTCTTCACGGTAAGCGTGGTCAATGCGAAAAAAATTATATATGTACTAAGCGAACCGCTAACATTCTCCTTCAAAAGAATCTATTCGCAATAGTCCCACTAAACCTGGAAGAATGGCAATGGGTCTTGATGATTTCATTCCCAGTCATTATTGTTGATGAGATATTAAAGTATATCTCGAGAGAGTTTGTTAATAAGGCGAGTGTTGCTCCTGTTGATAAGAAACGGAACTAGAGATGAATGATGATACATGATTTTTACATGGTTATGAAAAAAGGAGGTGTGGTGAGGAGACATTCTAAAAAGAACCAATAGAATACAGAATGTTACACATATGTGGAGATTGTGTGCTGTCTGTCTTTCGTGTACGGGAACTATTTGTTTGCAGTTTTGCTATCTTGCGAAACGACTATCTCGCTGTTTTTTGCTACATTTCTCTTGTGCAGATTCTAGCAGTGTCTTGTTGCAAGACGGTGGTTCTGAATTCGGGGCATATATGAACGGAAGGAAGACGCTGCTTCACGGTATGATCCGGTTTGTTTAGATGAGATGGTAGAAGGAACGAGAGGTATACACACGTTGTAAGGTTGCCACATTTAATGATTGTCTCTGCTCTACTTTTTTGCTGTACCATGGTGTAATGGCGAACCTTCCGCGATGAATTAGGTCAGAAATAATGATGGATTTTGTTGAGTACTCTTTGTTGCTTCGCACCGGTGAACCCCACATTTTTTCACATCATTGAACAAGGTTCCCAAAACCACGCAAACGAGCCTCCCATCAAATCAAGCCCGCGTATCGTAGTGGGACGACAGGTCACCAATTTAGATCCAGAGTGATCTCAATTCTGACTGGGCTGTCTGAGCAATATGGCTACAAACAGCACTGCTCCCGCGGTTTTTGAGAAGAGATTGTTGGAGATGTCATCCGACATTTCCAATGGCAATTCCACCACTTCGATATCATTGGAATTATTGTTGGATACTTTTTTAGCTTTATATACGGACTGCAAAGGGGCTGCTAATCAGACTGAACATATAGTCAAGTTTGTTCAGAAATGTATGTCGAATGAAATTGCGTTGTGGAGGACATAGGAGACGAGGAGTAACGGAACCGATGGAATCATTTGATGCTCTTTGCTGATGCTTTTGGCTTTTTCTGATCGATAGATGATAAAGTGGCAACTCGACTACAGAAGCAGCGTGTAAATACTCAGGATTTCGATGTGGTCAAAGTGTTGGCTACCGGGGCTATTGGAAAGGTAGATTCCTATTTATTTATAAATTATGAATCATTTTTGCCAAAACGGTTATTTTCTTTATACAGGTTTGCTTGGTGAAGGGCAAATTAGATGGAAAAGTCTATGCCATGAAGGTGTTGAAGAAGATGGACTTGTTGACACGCCGTGAAGTGAGCAAAAAGCATCTATAGGTGAACCTGGTATCATCACGGCTTCGGGTGTCTGATGCAATTTCTGTCAAATTAGGCTGCCTTCTTCATGGAAGAGAGAAACGTCCTTGTATTCGCTCAACGATCTCACTGGTTGACGACCCTCTACGCTGCCTTCCAAGACGAAGAGAATCTATATCTAGTGATGGATTATGTCTCTGGTGGGAGTTTACGAGCCCTCATAATGAGCAGAGACGACCCGATGCCTGAAGAAGAAGCTAAATTCTATGTCGCCGAAATGCTGTTGTCGTTGGAAGAATTGCATTCGTATAACTACGTTCATCGGTACGGTGTCAATGATGTCTGTTTGACTTGCGCAGAGAGGCTTACACGTTGTTTTTTGCTAGGGACGTTAAACCTGAAAACATGTTGATTGATGAGACTGGACATGTTAAATTGGCAGATTTCGGGTCCTGCATGAGGTTGGATGAGGCTGACAAGGTATTACAGTTGATTGCAAAAATTGGTACTGGGCAAAATTTTCATCTAGTTTCTTTGCTTTTAGATCACCTCTCATGAAACTGTTGGGACTCCAGGTACGATTTTGTGATAGCGCAATATCGATGTTTGGGCTTTATTAACCTCGGCTTTCCTCAGACTACATTTCGCCTGAAATATTACGCGCTTTAGAAGGCGGTGTCAGTTATGGCAAGGAGTGCGATTGGTAAGACGGTGATCATTACCCCGGTGAATTTTTAGCTTTCTCTTGCTGACGTGTTCATTTCAAAATAGGTGGTCATTGGGTATCATCCTATTCGAATTACTATTTGATGAAACACCATTCTATGCTGAATCGTTGACTGAGACCTACGGCAAGATCATGGCTCATGCGGTACGTTTTGAGGCTACATGCCGACAAAAAAGGACACAGATGTAACGTGGTTATGTAATTCTAGACAACATTCGCTTTTCCTGAGGATTGTGAAATATCGGCTGATGCTAAGGATATCATATCAAAGTAAACAAGATTTGCAGATTTCCATGGCAATTATCCTATGTTTTTAAATGTCATTGTTTTACCACTATAGGTTGATATGTAGCAAAGAAGAGAGATTGGGCAAAAATGGACCTGCAGAAATCAAAGCTCATCCTTGGTTTAAGGGCATTGATTTTGAGAAAATACGAGCACGTATGTCAAAATCCGCATACAACAATCTTCGGTCTGTCTTTTTTTTCGCACAATAGTTGGCTGACACTCTCATCAACAGACAAACCACCATTCGTACCCGAACTCGACGGCCCAGAAGACACCAAATATTTCGAAAACGAAGAAGATGAAAGCAAGAAATTCGCAGTGAAAAAGTTGGCCAAGGATCGAGAATTTACTGGCCAGAATTTAAACTTCATTGGATACACCTACCTTCAGAACGCTCGCCCCATAATTTCATTCGGTGGAGATCTAGTCATGACTGTTGGAAACGGTGTTGCTTCTGGCGGATCAGCCGATAATGTTCGACTACAATCTCTAGAGACAGAGATTGAAACATTGAAGAATCGACTACAAGCTGAAGTAAAGACTGCCGCTGCTGCTCAGACAGCTGTTAGAGCAGCTGAAGAGGAAGTCAAGAGTGCCAAGAACAAGTTGTCGAAGGAGGTGACATTACGGCAAGAACTACAAGAACGTAACTCCATACTAGAAACCGAAAAGATGAAAACCCAATCCGAGTTGAACGATTTACGGCTCCTGAAAAATGATGCCAGCCATGAGAAGGCTGAGCTGGAAGCTAAACTAGCTCAAGTGAAACGATCTTTGGATGCCGATTTGAAGGCTAGAGCCGAGATTCAAGAATTAGAAGATGCCAAATCGAAACTTGAGTCCGAGTTGAATGGATTCAAGAGTGATTTAGAACGAGAACTGGCCAATTCTAAAACTCGAGAAGCTATATTGTCTGAGTTGACTCGCACCAAGGCAGGATTAGATGTAGAATTGCAGCAAGCTACTCGTAAATTGCAGGACGAGCTTGATGCCAAGGTCCCAGTGGAGGCTCGTCTATCTCAGCTATCCCAAGAGTTATCGAATGAGCAGTCAAGAGCTTCTACACTGGGTCAAGAACGTGTACAGTTATCTGAACGTGTACAAGCCCTTACCGCCGAGAATTCAATGTTGCAAGAGTCACTGACCAAAGAACAAGCAGCCGTTGAAGAAGCCACTCAACGTAGTCTACAATTAGAGCAAACCAAAGCTGGAGTAGAAGTCGAATTAGATGCTCTACAAAAGAAATGTGAAGCTCTGGAATCTGAACGTGATCAACTAATTGCGTCGTCAAGTAAAGCTCAAGCTGGATCCGACGAACAAGCATCAGCCAAACTCGATATCGTGACTCGACAATTGGATGCTGCTGTTGCTGCTCGTAACAAGGCAACCGATGAATTGGCCATTGTCAACAAACGCAAAGCAGTGCTGGAAGTTGAAGTAGCTGAATTACGCAAGAAATTACGAACTCAGGAAGAGTCTACGATCGAAAGCAAATCCAAGGCTGTTTCATTACAAACCCAACTTTCCGAAATGGCTACCAAATTAGCTGTATTGGATGATACCAACCAACACCTCTCCAAACAAGTGTCATCTACAAGTGAAGAGAGCAAAGGAATGACGATACGGCACTCATCTGAGTTGACATCACTCAAGAATAGTGTTGCTGCAGCTGCTTCTCGTATGGACGAAGTCGAAAAGACCAAGAGGTTGTTAGAAGCCGATCTAGAACAAGCAACCAAGAGAGAATCGGAAACCAAGGAAACTCTCAAGAAATTAGAAGCTCGGTTTGCAGAAGTGGAAGCAGCAGTTGGCAAAGAACGAAAAGCCAAGTTTGGTTATGAAGCACTCTTCCAAGGAAGTGAAGCTGCACGAGATGAATTGCAACGTGAAGTTGAGAGACTTCAAGCTCGACACGCTGGCACCAAAGAAGAACACGGCAAATCAGTACGAGAATACCAGGAATCCATGACTAGACTACGATTAGAATACTCAGCATTAGAAGAACGCCATGATTCTGAAACCAAACTAAGAACCAAACTTGAAGAGGATGTAGCTCGACTGGCTAAATCCATAACAACATTGGAAGAAAGTGTCAAAACCGAACGCCAAGGTCGTATAGATACCGAAGAGCAAGTATCCCAACTCTCAGAAATGCTGCAATACGAACGTGACAGTAATGCTCAACAGCGTGAACGAGAACGCAGTACACGACTTGTCGAATTGCCAGAAACCAGCATTGAGAAGCTGAAACATACTGATGGCAAAACCACTATATCGACTATTTCAGATAAATCTAGTCGCAAGGGATTCAACAAGTTGTTTTTACGTGGACCATCACCTACCAAGGACATGCAACGTATATTTGAGACTGAGGAGGACAATGGTGGCACTATATCACAGGGAAGTCCATTGGGCAGTCAAACTGTTAGTGAAATGGGAAGTCATCGCCGCATGAGCACTGCGTCTAGTCAAGGCAGTCTCAAGTCTAGTACCACACGACTTTCTGACGCTCCTCCAATTGGCAAGTGAATGAAAAAATTAGCACTCCTAGAAGTCATTGAAATATTGATTTCCATTTTCTTAGTTCATGTGTCCGATGAGATCAAAGGCTTCATCAAGGTCCCTAAAGGTGGCAAGGTCAAGAAGGGTTGGGTAGTCAAGTTTGCTGTCGTGAAAGACCACAAGTTGATTATCTATGATCGTGAAAGGGATGTTGGAATGAGTGATGGTGTTGACTTTTACGATATTGCGTAAGTGCAAGGCATCCCCGTTTCCTTTTGTGTCTAATAGGGTGGTTTTAACTTTGTCTCTGCTCGCAGTGGTGAAATCTTTGTGGTCAAACCAGTCAAACAAACAGAACTCATCCATGCATCTGGTGCTTTAATCGACTTTATCTTCCAAATTCAAATCAGTAACAAGTCTGGCGTTCCTGCTAGTTCATCACTTGCTTACGGCATGGCTAATTCTGTATGTGGATTGTCTCATACCGACCCTGCTTCTCGCGTCAATGTGAATTAGGGCTGACTTGTGTTTCTCCTTTTGTTGCATAGGCATCCACCGCAACCATGCCATCCCCAGCAACCTCATCAAACACTGCCACCTCTGTCGACCTACACAAAAAGATATCCAAACTGACTCAAGAAATCACAGTAAAAGAAAAACTGATTACCTCTGCTGAAAAAATGTTGGCTGTTACAAGTGGAGCAAGTCATAAACAAGTAGAAGGTGAATTAATCACCATACAAGACCAATTACAAATCCTGAGAGCCGAATTAAAGGAATTAACACAACAACAATTGCTTGTTGGGGCTGACAATTTGGATGAAGCCACCATTGTAAGTTCGAGTGTTTGCAACTATGACGCCAATTGGAAGTCTATTTTTAGCCTTGCTAACAATCTCATCTTTTTTGCTTTCGTAGCAAGAGGATGAGTTCCTACAAGACCTCGCATTATGTAAACGAGAATACGAAAAGGAGATACAATTAGAAGAGGGAAGGAAACTAATCTACACCAAAATGATGCAACCGTTGCTTGCAGCCGCCAAACCGAAAAAGCAAGGATTCTTTGGCACTGGAAGCAGTGCTACAGACAAGCAGTCAGGAACACAAATTGCTGAAGCTCAAGCCCAAATTGAGAGTGTGGAGAAGAGGTTGGAGAAACTGAATGAGGACTTAAGGATTCTCAACAATGTGAGTTGAATGATCGGACTTGAATGACGGGCTTTTTTTGTTGGGTGATGTCTAACAATATCCCATTCTTTTCGATCCTTAGGCAGCAACAAGGGACGCTCAAATGAGAATAGTGAAACTTTTCTTGAAAAAGAATCGTGTTGAGGAGGTTAAAAACCACAAGTTCAAGTTACGGCAGTATAATATGCCTATATCTTGTATGCAGTGTGGAGATCGACCACAGTTCGGGTCGACGACTGGTCATGAGTGTACAGGTAAACATACCGGTTATATTATGTTGCGAGGTTCTCGATCTATTGTTTTTGCATGTCTTAACACATATTATTGGTTTTCAAATAGCATGCAAAATGGTTGTGCATACGCACTGTGTACATAGTGTGCAGCAAACTTGTCAGGATATAGCAAACACCAAGAACTTGACGCCATATGTAAGTCATCCCACCATAGACAGCCAAGTTTTCTTGTTGTTGCTGTCCTGCCACCACAGAGAGCAATGTTTTTAACTTTGCTAACGTTCACCACATACAACTAGTACTTTATGGCTCAATCACAACGCGAAAGAGATCAATGGATTCACGATCTCGAAGCTACAAGACGCGACGTGGACAAGATGAAATCTCCATCCAGTTTCGTCGGAAACTTGCCACACGTAACCACCACGACAACATTTTCAAGTAATCTCGCTCACATTCAGTCATCAACGAGCTCGTTAACATCATCTGCAACAACATCACCGTTATCACCTATGCCCGAGCCTTCATCATCGTTGGGTTTACCGCCGCAATCACCGACAAAACGGTAGAAAGATGAATCCAACCTCCTCCTTGCATTTTACCAAACTCCTCTATATAACATTTTCACATTCACTCAAAGCATTTTTGAAGAACAGTGTATACAAAAATACCCAATCTATTTTCTTTCATTAATAACATATTTTTCTTTGGCATAACTTCAATGTTTTCTATGTAGCAAATTGTGGTTGGGTTAAGGCAACAAGTAAGATCTAGCGATTGCGGTTATAGCTGCTTCACGTTTGTCATCAAGACGTATACGTCGGAGATTGTCGAAAGGGTTGCCGTCAGGCCTTTGTACGTGGTCGACGATTAGGGAGGGGATGAATGCTTCACCTTGGAATGGGTCTCGCGATGGACTACATAAATGAGGATGTGAGAGTGAGGGGATGAAAAAACTATGGGGCTTGACGAAACAAAGCAAGAAAGTTTTAGGAGTATCGAATGTCTCAAATATTTCTTAGGCATCAACCTGCAAGAACTATCATTGTCTCCATAGCTTACCTGGAAGGTCTCGAACTTGCACGCCGCCTCCTAGGCGACGAAGCAGATAGCGGGGTCGGTGGTCTTGGTGACGACAATCTCGAAATACTCCACGCCTTGTTATTTCCGTGTATTCCACTCACGACACTCCCTTCTCGCATCGATCGTCCCTTCATCATTCCACTAACAACACTTCCCTCACGCATTGATCGTCTACCGGGACTGCCGAACCCCATAGCCATTGAATAATTTGACATTGGACTTGATGGTCTTGTGCGATTCCCACTTGGCGACCATAGTAGCGAGTCAACCGGACCGTATTGAGATTTGGTTTGACGGATGAGGCGTTGGACTTGATCTAGTCTTGTTTCGATGGTTGTTTGGAGTTTTAGGTTTGTTGGTGTTAGAGATCTCTTCTCTTCTATTGGTTATAGGAGCATGATGTGTTAGCTTGCTTCTGCCCAATATTTTCATCAAATGATGCCTCGCTTTTACCGATAGTTCTAGCCGGCGACCATGGAGGTAATAGGGACGTTAATTCACGTGGGGGACTGGATAAAATATCGTCTTCAACGTGTTTCACTACGAAATCTGGCCTTGGTCTCATCTTTATATTCACTTTGCGTCAATCTCCGTTCGTGACAAAAGCTCAAGACAGTAGCGATGAGAGTCCTAATCAATCTTTCACGTGCTCGGCTACCTATAAATTGCAAGCAGACACTATCAATCCACTCCTCTAGATATCGCCCAACGTCAATAATCACCGATTTGACACAATTTAGAGCATCGCAATCTCAGACACAATCAGCGACACCCAAACAGCCAATACAGCCATCAAACCTATCCTTTTTACCTGTTTTATGGCGGCCGTACGCCCAACTAGTTCGGCTAGATCGACCCATTGGAACTTATTTGCTACTTTTACCGTGTACATGGAGTATAACGATGGCTTCATATGCTGGACATTTGCCAATAACGGAAACTGTTAAAATGTTGGGAATATTCAGTGTTGGTGCCTTTTTATTACGTGGTGCTGGATGTACTATTAATGATTTGTGGGATCGTGATATTGACAAGATGGTATGTTATACGAGCACTATGTGGAATAGCTTCTTGTGGTCTTGAGTTTTAGGCTCATATTTGTTTGTAACAGGTCGAAAGAACGAGATCTAGACCATTAGCGTCAGGAGCTATTACTCCTAGAAACGCACTCATCTTTTTGGGAGCTCAGTTGTCACTGGGGTTGGTTGTGTTGACACAGCTAAATCCATACAGGCAAGTCTTTCTCGGTGTGTTTTGGTGCATGACGTTTAATGTTGGAAGCAAACAAAGACTTGATCTAACGCAACATGCTCCATTCATAGCATCATACTCGGCGCATCATCTCTAGTGCTAGTTGTCTCCTACCCTTTAATGAAACGCATCACTTTCTGGCCTCAATTTATACTTGGATTGACATTTAATTGGGGTGCGCTGTTGGGGTGGTCGGCAATGATGGGCCACTGTGACTGGTCTGTCTGTTTACCTCTGTATGGAGCCGGTGTGTTTTGGACGTTGCTTTATGATACTATATATGCTATACAGGTACGAAATGTAAAAGGAGAACGCATGCTCATGAAGCCTCTTCATCAACCATTTTTTTGGTCGTGCTTAGGACATGCCAGACGATCGCCTAGTAGGCGTAAAATCAACAGCAATTCGCTTATACGACAATATGAAGCTATGGCTATCCGGATTTGCAACAGCAAATATCTCTCTACTAGTGCTAGCCGGCGTAATGAATGGTCAAGGATGGCCATATTTCTTAACTGTGATTGTGGGAGCAGGTTCTCACTTCATCTGGCAGATACGGACGCTGGATATGAACAGTGGTACAGATTGCGCTAAAAAGTTTGTGTCGAATGCCACGGTGGGGGTTATGGTGCTCGTTGGGATTACCTTGGATGTGGTGAGGCAGAGGGTGTTTGGTGAAGAGAAACGTGCAGAAGATGTTGGTGATGACAAGAAAGATATTGTCCATATTGCAAGTACATAATTTATTGGATGGTTTGATATATAGAAGCTTTGTGTTGACCACGCAACAGTTTTCCAAACTTTGGTGCCTTGAACGAAATGGATGTGTTGTATTGAGTTTTGGACTTCTCTTTCTAGAGCAATGACTTTGGATCACACGGCAAAAAAAAATCCGATACGCCCCAATTTTCCTTTCTCGAGCAACAACATGAAATTTCACATCCAACAAGTGGTTTACTGGACCTGAACGGTCTTCTAATTCCATCTTTGGACGTCTCGTTTCGTTTTGGAAATGGCTGCTGATCGCTTTGTAACGTGTCGGGCGGTAATGAACGTGAAGTTGCCAGATGCCAAAACAATCAGGATTAGCCTATCTATCCTGTTTTCAACAAGAGTCACATCTCCTTTCACGGATACTAATGTTCATATGGCTTTGAAATTCTTGGACTTCACGAATCGTATCTTGGCGATTTCGGTTTAATTTTTCTTGAATGCGTGCTTGAGCAAGATGGAAAGATGTCAATTTGCAATGAGTGATCCTTGAGCAGCTTTGATACTGTGTGCTTGTTTTAGCTAGATACATACTCAATAATCGTCAATCCAGCCTCATCTACAGCAAAAAAAGGGATTCACACGATCGAGAATGCCAAGTGGCTCCTCATTCACGTTTTTTGAAGCAGCGGTACTACTAGTCATTATCTCTTCACACTTGCGGTTGTATTCATAAATTTTTGATGTCCTACAAGAAAAACAGAATACGAGACTCATTACACACAGCCGCAAACACACTTACACAAACTTGCGACATAAAGAATGAGCTCGCTCCAAATATTCAATCAACGTAATAAGTGTTGCAAACTTGCCATTGATGCCTCGTCTGGACTCGTTCTCCCTTGTACTCGTTCTCCGGTTTGCGGCGAATAGGACTCCCATTCGACTTTTTGTTTGTTGAAAAATGACATGATATGCAAGTTGCTCGGTGAGAAAACTGCCATTCGGAATTGCGACAATATGAGACTTTGGCTATCTGGATTTGCTGCAACATCGGACTACCCGGGACCAGCCAGAGTCATGAAGGTTCAACGATTGCCACAATTTGGTCTGTGATCGTGGGAGCAGGCACTTTGAATGTGGCCCACTGAATACGGGACCTCCTCAAGATTCCATCCTACTGTTGCATTTCTGGTTCCTGATAGTCAGTTGGATTTGCTGAAACAGGGTTTTGGTGAAAGAAACGTGATGTAGCTGGTGACAAAGGTATATTTTTCACAAGGCACATAGACAGCTGATTTGAACGTTTGTATAAAACGAAGCCTAGTCACCACGAAACCCACAAGAAGTTTTCAAACTTTTGCGTTTTTGAGCAGAGCCTTGAATGATTCCATGATTTCATCTTGAGTTTTGGTCTTCTCTTCCTATAATATTGAATTTGCCTTAGTCAAGAGAAAAAAAAAAACATCCCATGTTGCTAGAAGTATAATTCGGAATCCCCTTGTGCTTCAGCAACACTTACTGATCCCAATCGACCTTCCAATTCACGAAATCGATTCAAGTCTCGTTCCATTTTGGAGATTGCTGCTTGTCGTTCTGTTGCTTGTCGAGCAGCTACTTAACAACGTGTGTAAGAGGCAAAACGAAGACGAGAATTTCTAGCAATCCTTCCCCTCACAGGGAAACCTTATCTTCATCTCATCAAATCTTACCAATCTCTTCCATATCACTCTCAAATTGTTGAACTTCACGAACCATATCTTGGTGATTTCGTTCCAGAGCTTCTTGAATGAGTGCTTGAGATGTCTATAGTTTCAAGAAAGACAAATAGATCAGAATGAGTTTCACTCAATAGGTCAAGCTTAAGTGCAACATTTTTGAATGCATACTCGATACTTGTCAATGCCAGCCTTCATCTACAACCAAAAACAGTTAGGGCAAGTCGCACGGAATGGCACATGTCAGCCACATGATTCTCAACTACCTTCTTTGAAGCAGCAGCATTACTAGCCACAATCCCTTCATACTTGCGTTTGTATTCATTCAATTTTGAGGTGCTGCGAAAACAATAATGTTGTCATGCCAGGTAATGATCGGCATCGGCCGCAAACACACTTACACGGCCTTGCCACGTAAAGTATGAGCTCGTTTCAAGTATTCGTTCAGCCAGGTCAATGATGAATCAAACTTGTCATTGATGCCTTGTGTTGTTTCTTGGAAGTCTGCTCGACACTTGTCTAATTTTTGATTATGGGTTGATGTTGACGAGTTATAATGATGGGGAACCAAAACGGAGAGGTAGCGAGGGCCGATACCATCAATTGATTGTAGGAAATCCTTGAGCTCACGACTACTTTGAATAAAATATGATCTAGATAGTCATTGATCATTTGATGATGATGAACAACATGATCGATGAAACAAGAATGCTTCCGGAATGACGTACCTTATTTCCGGAGGTTGCTGTGTATCAGATGGCTGGCTGCTATCATCTTGAATGTCTTCCATTATCAGCGATCAAATGTTTCTGTAAGTGTGACTTGATTTTGATAATAGAGTCATGACTTATGGACGCGCCGCCGGAGGCAAAGAAAAGAGACCAACAGCGACTATTGAAGCCAGTACAAAGCAATCACACAACACCTTTAGTACAAATATGCCACTTCTATTGCTCACGCAAAATAACTGCGTTTGTCTGGATGTGTTGTTCTTTACTACATTCGCTAGTATGGTGCATAAAAGCCACGACGGCCACTAAAGAAATACGACGAGATACATGTCAATTATTGATCCTGAACCATACGATCCTGGTAAAATACGTTTTGCTTGAATTGCTTACCGATAACCAGCGCCACGTCCACCACGGAAACCAGGCTGGAAACCACCACGATATCCACCACCTCTGAATCCTCGAGGAGCGAATCCACCACCACGTCCTCGTCCGCCCCGATGAGCTCCAGGTATGTTGGTTCGTTTGGTAGTAACCTAACGTAAAGGAGGATGAAGTGTGAGACACGCGCTGATTTTTTTTATTCACGAAACATGCAAAAAAAAATTCGACATGAATAAATTACCTTCAATATCCTGCCCTTGAACTGAGTTTCATTCTGAACCAAGGCAGTTGCGACTGATGATACATCGGCGAATTCAACATATGCGAAACTAACGAAAAGAGCTGTGAGCAAAAGTTTCGAAGAAGGAGTGATTATAGCGAAGACCACTATTGTCTGGCATACCCTTTGGGAGCACCAGTCCACTTGTCACAAACAATAGTCACACGATTTATGGTGCCAGCAGATTGGAAGTGAGCTTGGATTTCTTCTGGCGTTGTGCTGAAATCAACCTGTATGAGAAAAAGAAATCAGAGTTGATACTTCCACCACTTTTTTTGTCAGAATTGCCAAACACATACATTTCCAAGAAAGATTGAACGTGAATCGACTTCTTCCTTGTTGGCTGGACGAGTGATATAATATGATATCAGTATTACATAAGTTGCACAGCAACAAAACAACGAACGAATTGTAATTCAATGTACCTCCATCACCACCAACAGAGCTACCCTTATCAACTTCCATTTGCAATTCCCGGAGTTTGGCAGCTTCAGCTTCCATTTGTTCCAATCGTTTCTTCATGGCATCGAGATCATTCTACAAGCGAGTTCCCATAGTTGAGTTGGTTGAGCGAAAAAAAGCGCAATGCTATGTTGATAATGTTTTCTACTGTAACAAGGACTCACTTCAACACCACCATCAGCAGCTTCGTCACCACCGAGAATGTCATCATCCCCCAATAATTCGTCGTCAGCCCTGTCGTCCGCAATCGAGTATTGTCAGTAGCCAAGTCACATAAGTGCTTAAATTGTTATGAGACATCTTTTGACAAGGCACTTACATTGTTATGAGACAAGAGACAGTAGTCCAGCAACAGCAAGTATTCAGCTAACAATACAAGGAGCCCCCTCTTCTTCCTTCTTTAATCAATCTTTTGTTGGGGGAAAGTTGGTTTTTTTGTGTCAATCTTTTGCTTTTGTTTTTGAGACATTTTGTGGGCCTTTGTGTACGTTTTTTTTATGCTTGCCTCTTGTAAATCTTCTTTTTTCAATGTTATCTCGTCTCTGGAGCCTCTTCTCTTCTATGCAAAAGTCAGCCTCTAGTAGTAATCTGTGCAAAACGTGTGGAGGGAATGCGAAATCAATCAAGACCAGCGGCAGGCAAGGGAACAAAGAAAAGGGGCGCGCTACTATGCTAACAACTAATAGGGTTGTGTTGTGCGTGTTTACGTGTTATATTGCTTTAACTGCAAGGTTACAATACACTTCTACATTTTTTATGTGCTTATTCCCTATTTTCCAAAGGCGTTAGAGATCAATCGTATCCAAAGTGTCATATGCTTATCACAAAATGCTGTAAAGCTAGACTTACCAGGTGGAAGCGCCTTCTGGAGCAGCAGCACCCCAGTTTTCACCAGTTGGTGCACCCCAGTCAGCAGGAGCAGCAGCAGCAGCGGCACCTCCTGATACGGCAGCAGCGACTGTAGAATCACCCCACTAAAATTTACAAGTAGTGTGAGTGTGTGTGCTGAAAATTATGTATCAAGGTCACAAAAAATGGAGACTAGACTCAATATCATACATACCTCGGTGGATTCAGGCACATCGGCACCCCATTCAGCAGTGTTACCACCAGCATAAGCAGCAGCACCACCATAAGTAGCAGGTACGACAGCCTTTTCTTCTTCCTTGTCAGCCTCTTCAGGATCACGGTAAAAGAACATATCCACCATCACATTCCATTGCGAGGCACGAGCTACAGTACCACGTAAACGCAATACCTCTCTAGCCAACATCCAGTAAGCCAATCCGATAGCATGCTTGTTTTTATTGTTTGTAGGGATTGCAATATCGATATACTGTAATGGAGAGTCCGAGTCACAGAGAGCGATAACAGGTATGTTGACATATGAAGCTTCTTTTACGGGTTGGTGGTCGGTACGTGGGTCTGTAACTATGATGAGACGTGGTTCCTTGAAGGAGCGAGTGATATAGTTGGTGAATGTACCAGGGGTGAATCGACCAGCAATAGCTTGAGCACCAGTGTATTGAGCGAATTTGAGGGCAGCACGTTGACCGTATGGACGAGCGGATATGACACATACGTCTTGTGGGTTTTCGATTGCTGCAATGATACGGGCTGCTAGGACGAGCTTTTCATAGGTTTTACCAACGTTGATGATGTTGATACCTGCGTAAAGGGGACTGTTAGTATGAGTGTTATTGAATGGACAATAGTAAACGGATGTGAGGATACTGTGATTAACTAGAGCATCAGGTATTCACAATCCACTTTTATACCCCCTATACACTCCATATACACATCTACGTACCATCAGCTCGTCTCTTCCAGACGTAAGGGTGCATTTGATGGTCTACATTCTTGGTACCAATGTGAGTTTGGGCAGCAAGCATCATTTGGACATCTGCCGATGTAGGGGCTAGGACTGCTGGCGTCTTGGACATGGTTATTTCGTCTGTTCATGATAATGAATTCGAATGAGTATCTTGTGTCTGCTGAATAGTATGTATGCTCCAACGATGAATGCTTGATGTCAAGCTTGATGCCTACCAACGGAAGTTATGGGTAGACGAAAAGATGTATGTCCGTATAAAACGCTAATAAATTTGATGTGAGTGAGTTTCAATGAGCGTCTTATATGTTATGTGTGTTAGAGGCAGGTAGAACGAATGTTGTTGCAAGTTTGATTTCCGTGACATTTCATCATCATTCACATAGGGTCAATGAAATTCTCAGCATCCTGATTTCCTCAATAATCATTTCGAATGCTTCTTTGAAGGTACTTACCTGCTTGTTGAGATGGATGTCTTGACTTTTGACTTGGTCGATGTCTCGGTCTCTTATGTAATGCTTACAACGAAATTACAAACCTTCAAAACTTATTGCCACAGCTCGGACAAGCTCGTTGAGGCACTAGAGACAGCTGCAAAGAGATCCACAGAGAACCAAATGTCGACAGTGAGCTTGCATGCAATATCGCATTATTAGGTTTCCTTGAAAATACTCACCAATTCCAACATTTTGCAGCTTCAAGGGAAGGAGAAGGAACTGGTGGATATTTCATGTCGAACTGCTGATACATTCGTCACAAAATACTATGATATGTTTGATCAGAAGCGATATGTATGTACCTTCATAGTCGTGGTATACTTTCATTCATCGGAAGCATCAAGTCATCAAACATTCACAGGTTGTACCTTAGGCATTGAACACAACCCTCTATCGAGAAACGTCCGCTATATTATGGAATGGTCAAGCCTTCAGTGGTGGAACTCAGTTTGCTGTATGTGCTGGAGCGTTCTATTATCCGTGGTTTCAAGGTAGACCTTGAACAAGTTTTGACTCGGTCTCCCGTTCTCGCAATAGGCCTTCTATTCTACATTGCCACAATCCAAACATCAAGTTCACACATATGATTCACAACCCCTCTTTGGTATGAGAGCTTATCATTGCCACGTACATGGAGGATCAACATGGTGCTGACTGAATCCCCCTTCCCTGTAGCTGATCAAAGTAACGTGCAGCAGTACCTCGATTCAACTAAAAAATGGGATATAATCATTCAAGTATCTGGTATGTGAACGTGGGAATTGGATCCAAGCGGGGTTTGTGCTCCCAAGACAACTCAATATGCTCGACAGACTCATCTCTTTTTCTCACTTTTTTTCACAGGGTCTGTCAAATATGCCGACAATCCATGGCGAGCATTCTCTCAAACATTCATACTCACTCCAGACCCAGATCCAACTAAAAAAGTGTATTTTGCTGGAACGGACTTGTATAGGCTCACATAAATCAGGAGCAAGGGAATTCAATCTTGTAATTTGGAAATGGGAAGCTTACTATTATTATTTTACACTACTTGCATATAAACCATCATCTTCATCAGCAGAAATTGTGCCGACCGATTGCTTTCTTGGCACCAAACCGTGATATTCCTACGACGCCCTGCATCGTCAACATTATAAATTGCTTCTTATACTTTATATCGAGTGCTCGCGCGGAACTGCGACAAGAATTCGTAAGAATGTATGGCCGTCTTCTCCACTTGGACGAGAAACCTCCTCGCAAGTTCGTCCACAGCTTCATTATCGAGATTCGGATCCATTTCAGCACCAGCAAGATATATCGATTTACTTCAATATGCAACTTGAAAGCTTTGTCCAATCTCTGTCAAGCATTTAGAGCGCTTGACAGAGCTGTCCTGGAGAAGTCTTCCTCGTCGTTATAACAGGCGAGTTCCTTTAATTTCCAAGTCGAAGGGCAAGCTGTATATACTATCTATATGAAGCTGCTTGAGTTGATCTCCTCGAGTTTGAATGAACGCTTCGAGACCTCCTCATTCAGGCTGTAAGCTATATACTTTAACACTAGTCAGACATGGAGCTGTTGCTAGGATTTTATGGATATATCGAATGGTAACTCCATTATGCTGTGTATTTCGAGATGATCAAGTTGATCTCCTCGAAGTCTGATGATGTATTGCACATTGGCATCTTTGGCTTGTTTGGGGCTTTCTCGGAAAAAAGTCAGAGCATGTGCAATTTCCTTATCCTTCTTCTCCGACCTTACTGCATAATACTACTCTCATATGTAGGGATACATGGTTTCACTTTCACCGTTTCTCCAACCTTTACTTCAATATTACCCTCACGCTAAAATACTATACGTTGTATACCCATTCATCACAGCAAGGCTTCCTACAGCCAATCGAAATATCTTGTCCAGATCATCAACAGTCGAATTACGTCCAAGACTCTCAACCAATTCACCAGATAGCCCGACATTAGATATAGTGAGGTCAAGTTTTTTAGCTTTATCCACTCTCTGTCGAGCATCCAGAGCACTCAAAAGACTGATTCCAGAGAATACTTTGGACCCACTCACGGCTTTCAGTGACTTCAGTTTCGGCATGGATGATATTACAGCAGACAAGATCTCATCAGATACGAGACGACCGGCAAGGCAGAGATCTTTGAGGTTTACACAGTGGCATACTAAAATGGATAGATCGAATGGCACGCTATCGTTGATACCCCAGAGCTCGAGGGACTCGATTTGAGAGCCTCGACACTGTATGAAGGATTGGAGATCACCGTCTTTAGCATGGTCTGATCTCACACTGACACGAGTTAAGGATTCCGCCAGTCCCAATACGGCATCTATGTGTTCTGCTTCATGACAATTACTTAGGTCTAGTATTTCCATGGTACTGATACTGGCAGACAACAGTTCATTGAGACCCGAGTGTGTTTCGTCTAAACCTAATATATCATCCGCTTTAAATGATTTGATACCAGCTGGGATACTAGATAGGACATCAGAACATCCTTCCACCCTTTCTAGATTCAGATTCTGTAGGCATTTAAAGTCCACCATGTGTTCTTTACGGCAGTCTGAGAGGGTGCAGCGTTCTAGGTGAATACTACTGAGTGTGGATCTACTGCCAGTTGACAATGCTTCCATTATTGAGCCTGGGAACTCAATGAGTGACTCTTCGTCTCGAGTACCTGTAAACTTGAAGCTTTGCAGGCGGAGGTTTTCAACTAACGTGGTGAAATCTATAGATAGCTCTTCGGAAATGTTGAATAAGGCTAGTTCTTTGATGTCTGGTGCATAGGTTGGAATCATTTCCCATTCAACATCTTGCCAGTGCATGAATCTAGAGCCTGTATCATTGTCGTCCTTGTCGAAGAAAACCCTATAGATCCAACGTCAGTAATCCAATAATTTGTGGAACTGTGTGTAAGGCGTGCTTGAGCGATAAGTACCTGAAAAAATCCAACGTCAAAGAAGTGAGACTCTTTGGCAATCCGCTCCACTTGACATACTGTGTCGCAATACCATCAACAGAGAGGTACAGACTACCTAACGAAGCAAAGGATCCAAATCCTCTACTAAAGACTAGTTGGGATGCACAAATCTCAAGCTTGGCTACTGCCTCCAGCGATGGCTGACTATACAGATCGTTGCCTCGTTGTCGCAAAGCTAGCAGGCTAGATATCCACAGTGGTGAAGGGTGAGTAGCCAGAATGGTCGACATGTCTTTATAGAGGAAAGACACAGCTGCTTCGTTGAAGCCTTTGCAAGCCATTGATGCTTGCGACAAAGTTTCGTGATGTTTACATGCGGCGAGTTTGCTCAAGATCATTAGGAGCAGTTCGTTGGGTAAACGAATACCATTCCATTTAATAGTGTCCATTGGAATGATAAATGATGTGTTTCTACGTGATAATGGATGCGGTGAAGGTGTAAGTTTGAGGCATGTAATCTCGAGGCAAAAACGATCACGATAAGTCTAATTGTGCACGTGCTACTTACGCGAACGAATAAATGTGCTTCTGACACGTGATTATTGCCTATTAGACCGTCTGTTCACCGGTTGGCTGTCCCAAAGCGCTGTCTCATACACAAATGATTTACAGCAGACGAAGCACTCACTTCCCCTTCGCTTTTGGCTCAGAGCACGGATGAGTGTAAAATCGTCTCAAGGCTCGTCTTGGACAAAGTTCAGGACTGATTTTCTCGGTATGTTTCCAGCTGCGTCCTCAATTGAAATTTAATAATTCACTAAAACACTCTTGCTGCAGACCCAGAAACAAACAATACAAGCCCTGAAGAGGGAGATTCAAATCCATATGGTCTGGCTATCGGCGATGAAGTCCCCGTAGTCACTTGCAATGGTTGCTCTCGTCCTGTATTGCAGACATCACTATTGGCACATTTGGGTGTGTTGAGCTGGCAGACTTACGCTATTGGTGCATGGGCAATTGCTGACATCGGGATCTATTTATTTAGAGATATGCACTGGCGCTGACGGGCCCTCCAACAAGAAAATCAAAACTGGTATGTTTTGCGAAGCTACCTTCGTGTATCGGTGGCCATGTTGCCTGACTCGCCTTTTGCTACTGAATAGAGCATCCTCCCATCAACTCATACAAGGAAGAATCGCCTCCAATCATGATCAACGATTCTTACATGACTGGCAAATCAAAAAGTACAGTCCTGTCGACGAGCACTCAACAGATCGTATTCCAACCTAACGCCCTATATTTACTCAGAGGGAATCAACTTGGACGAACAATGTGGTGTTCTCATAGATGGAATCCGATGTACAAGATCAATCCTCTGTAAGAAACATCCAGTTGCACAAAAGCGTGCTGTTATGGGGAGATGTAAGCCATACGATGTATTGGCTCTGAGGTTTGGAAACGCGTCTCAACAGAGATCCAATTCAAACAAAATCAAAGCAGGTAGGAGCCTTCAAGAGCAAAAATATGCAGGCGAACTCTGTAATGGCTTCAACAACAACACAGTCCTTCTCACATACACTCATTCAACATAGGAGCAGCAGGAACAGTACCACCCAAACCATCACGTCTGAAAAATGGAATACCTGATATGGTCACAAGTGAAGATGAAACTCAATCTGTCTTTGATGCCATTCGCTTCCATATACCACAACCGATCGCCACGCTCAACTATCCCAAAGTGAAACGATAGTATGTATATATGATGATGTTGCACAAAAGCATAGTATCAAGATATTTATTCGCTATTGTATATAACGGCAGCAAGGTAAAATAGAAACCCACCTTTTGCATCAGTATAGCACCGTTGTCGTAGTCAAGTTAGTGAAGGCATAAAATGTAACTATTCACGTGAAGAAGCGAAAGCTACGCGTATATATTCTGGTGTCTTCAAATGTGGGGTTGAGGTGCGAATCGTCTACCAAGCAGAACTGCATTTTACAGCGAAGAAAGCTTGCAACGATGAACATCAGAGTAGCCACGGTAAAAGCACGCCTCCAAATCCATTTTCCACGTACAATTGACTAACTTCTCATACTACTCAAACAGGTGGATGACCTGCTCTACATGCAAAACTGCAATTTGATGAATTTGCCAGAGAATTACCAAATGAAATACTATATATACCACGCCCTATCATGGCCACAACTATCTTACGTCGCAGAAGATCACAAGGGTAGAATCATTGGCTATGTTTTAGCAAAGATGTATGTGCCTCATCAAAAAAACCATTGTTGCTCTATGCTGATACGAACGCATTTGTGTGTAGGGAAGAGGATGTAGTCGAATCACCACATGGACATATCACTAGTTTGTCGGTTATGAGGAATTGGAGGCGTCTGGGGATTGCTGAGAAGCTTATGAGCCAGTCCCGTAAGCTTGATGTTTGGATCAGTCTTTGCTCCCGTCGAGTATGATCTTATAGGCTCAAACCACATATCTGTATATAGAAAAAGCAATGGTAGAAGTCTTCAACGCTCAATACTGCTCACTACACGTGAGAAAGAGTAACAGAGCTGCTCTTCAGCTGTATCGAGACACTCTTGGATTCTTGTAAGCGGTCACTATGGACATTATATCGTGAGATAAAATTCTGAGATACTACACTATTTCACATAGGGTGCATGAAGTGGAAAAAAAGTATTACGCTGATGGAGAAGATGCATACGCTATGAGGATGACATTTTCCAAAAAGGAGGAGGCTGCAGCTGTTGTGAAGGCGTAGGAAGCAGACTTATTTTATTAGAATATACAGGGATTGTTCGCATAGCATCAGAGTGGTGGTGTTAGGCACTGTTAGGAGCTCCATCGGTCGCGTGTATCTCGCATCGTACAGAGTTCATTAAAGATAGATAGTACAGATAGTCTGGTAGGCCCTGCTCTCGCTCCGCTCCTACTGTCCTTGTTTGGTTCTCTTTGTTGCATCCATGACATCGAAACTTTGACATTTTCAACTACCTCTCTATGGCAATGACGCCATTATAAATCATGAACTAGTGAGGGTGATTCCATTGTCGTTGCAAACTCTGTACTGGCAAAATCCCAACCTCTGACTTCTATCTCTGTAAGTGGCAAGCAAGCCAAAGGCAGAGTGAGACCTTGAATCATATATTGTAACTCGAGGTGGCCAACCTAATCGACTCGAAATATACGCGATAGATGAGCTACCTTTTGATATGTCAATCATCATATCTTACTGTCCAAACCTTCAAAAGCTCTGGCTGGGCGGGCCACTCGTCGTTGACGACTGAGTCTCACTTACAGAAGGATCCATGAAAAAATTGAAGGAGCTTGACTGTTACAGAGCTACCAAAGCGGCTTTTGCGGCATTACATTACTAAGTCCTCTGAAAACTCGACAGATATTGGTCAGAGCACCATAACTGCATATAAACCTATGGTCGGGGCCGGGGTTGGAAAATGGGTCGGAAGATGGGCTTAGGCGGAGGGATACGTTTATGGATAAGTGTCGGAGATATGGCCACTTTAATGACCATATCAGCTTTTCTGTCATAGGAGCACAGTGAGTGAGTATGTATCGAAAGTTTGCCTACAAGTAGTGCGGAATATAGGAAATGCATAGTCTGTGATCGAAAACACAAATTACTGGTAGGAAATAGCAACAAGAAAAGGTAAAAAAAGGGAATGGCAAAATTTAAGGCCAAAATCTAATTTCCATCCCTACAATCATAGTAACAAGCCAAAACTACCTAGCAATTCAAGATTATCATGTTGTTGTTGTCATTACGGGTCTACATACTTTGCAAAACCAAACACAAACAACGCACACACTAGTCATTATTACATAATACATAATGCACGTATATTTAGAATTGGTCTTTCTTTTTACATAAATATGAAATTCAAAACCAAACAAACCATTCACTCCTCATATTCTCACTTTGAATACGAATCGCCCTCCTTCTTTGGAGGCTGATCAGTAACAGGCCTAACCTCCTTCCCAGTCAACGGATTCTTTGCAGTCTTGATGAGATTCTCTGGTCGCACATCCGAGAATGTCCACATTAGTGGTGGTGGTTCGGTCCTAACGACATGTTAATTAATTTAATTAAATTTTTTGTAGCATCACCAAAGATGATTCATTTTCTTACCCTGGTGTAGCCCACATGCATTTTATAAAGTTCGTGAATGGGTATCCAATATCATAGTATGGGTATGAAGACATTTTTTCAAGCACATCTTTCAAGTGCTCTGCGCATCTGTGAGGGCGTAGTTTTCCTTCTACTTTTCTGGTCGATCTGTTACAAATTTAGATATAGTGGAAGTTAGCACACTTCTTTGACGTTTAAAGTGTTGTTGGGGAAGCTTTAGATGGCTTTTGAGATGTTTGGATGATCAAAAAACAAAACGTGCTTGTTGCAAGCGGAGAGCAACGATTACGAGCGAACAGGTCTCCACAAATGCAAAGATCAAGGACATCTCAAGCATGTCTCTACTCTCGTTGCCAAAAACCTCCCTCTTGCAATGTGTCCAAATGTCTGCCAACCTTTTACCAACTCCCAACAACATAACCCGACGTACTCACCCAGGCCCCCACTTCTCTTCAGCATATTTAATCCTCTCCTTCAATGCGGCATCGTATTTGGCTCTATCGCCTTCCCATCCAAGAGGAGAAACACCAGGAGGTGTAGGAGACCTTTGCATGACTGTTGGCCGCGGTGATGCTGGAGGAGCTACATATGGGGTCGGTCTTGTAGGTACTGATGGTTTGGATTCTGTCTCGTTGCCGCTTGTCGTATTGGGGCTGCTCATCTTTGCGTAATTGGTTGTCTTTCCAGCTAAACAAGTTCCTTACATTTGAGCATATAACTTGTGCGTGTCTTCAGGGTTCGCATATGCTGAATACAAACGCGTTCGTCGCTAATTGCCACTATACACTATTTCGTTCCCAAACCAATCACCACGAGGAACACAATCTCATCTTTAGTTCTTAACGGTCGAAATTATCAAGATATATAAGGTTCAATGATTCCAAAAGGCACGGGGTTCTTAATACTATTATTGCTCTGCAAATCCTTGAGTCTACAGTGATCGAAAAACAATATAAGTCCCAACTCCGCAACTGGAGACCAAAAAACTTCCATACTCTAACGTCAACATACCTCTTCGACGGCCATAGTCAACTTCTGCTCCAGTGTCTCATACGACTTGTAATCAGGCAAATCAATACGATTGAAACAGGTATGCGATTTCGGTAATCCTCGATCATCAGATCCTTTTTCAATGGTGAACCGCCTGTCAGAGTAACGAAAGTGAGGTTGATTGTCTTGTTCCAAATCAAGAGGTCCTTTTGGCACTTCTATTTTTTGTTGCCTACCTTGGACCATCAGCCCCTTGCAAATCTTTGAATCCAGAGATAGGTACTCGAGAAGTACCAGTAACAAATTGCAACAATCTAGCTTTCTTTTCTGTATCCCATTCTCGTACAAGCTGTAGGAAGAAAAACCAGGAAAGACGTGAGAAATCGTCCATGAAAAAGAAAAATCTTTGAAAATGAATTGCATCTTCAAAGAATTCTTAGTTGAACGCCTCACAGTCGTCACGACAACATACCTGCCAAAACCACTTGACAACCTGATCTTCTGAATTATACGTCCTATAATCAGTGTGCTTTTTCCAATCATCCACATCAACTTCATTCGTTCCGGCAATCAACAACTCCAATTCTCGTTCATCAAACACACTGATTATTTCATATGGTATGATTTCATGGAATCCAGCTGCAAAAGCACTGAACTGATCCTTGATTCGTTCGTATATACGATGTCGTACAAAGAGATCACAGTATTCGACCTTGTTTTCGTCTGTTACTAGAATGTTGCGACCATCGGGTTTCAGATCTACAGTTACAGTGGCTCCGAATTGGTCTTCGTCTGTTGAGAAGGTAAATTCCATATCGTCAATTGGATTTTGTCTAGCAAGGAAAAAGTGTGAGTTTTGTTAAGCTGTGAAGGAAACAAAATATAGAGCGTGGAAGGTCAAATAGTTGCGAGAGCTCTGTCACCCCAACGCACACAGACTACCTCTCTCCATACTCTCATCATGAACCAAAGCAAACACACTTACAGAGCCCACTGAAGATTATTATAAAGCTGCAAATCAACCCCTTGCAAATCCTGCAACGTAATCTTCTTCCTCAACAGCATCTTATAAAACGCCGATATAAAGAAAGCATCAATATACTTTTGATGAAAAATCCCCAATCCAGTCACCCGTCCAACGAATCTAAAATAATTCAAATGGTTTGGATTTATACCCGAGTTTGGATTTATCTGTAAAGTATAGTTATCGGAAGCAGAGTATTCAAATAGACAATAGAATGGGTTAAACATTTCGTGGGATAGTAGGAAGAAGAATTCTCGTGACAGTCCTCCAAAGTCTTTGCCAGCTTCACCGGCAAAGGTTATCATGAGACGATTTCTGAGGTGATGGGCGGGTAGTTTCATTATTTCGGCGTACGAGTCTTCAAAGATGTTGTCTCGTCGGACTGTGATTTGACATTGGCCTGGTTGGAGTCGCATATGAGGTTGGGTTCGTAAAAAGACTAGCTTTTGTCTAAAATCTTGTTTATACTGTGGTACATCTTGCCTACAAAGGGTATCATAGTTTGAGAGGTGGAGGTGACGTGCAAAAAAAAAAGAAAAATTTCGACGGAACTACTGCTACTACTACAACAACATACAACTCACCCTAAACTACTAGGCAATCTCGGATCATCCCAACTGGTCTGCTTCGTATTATGATCAACAAAGTACGTCCTTCCATTGGGCATCATTCTCATTTCCCAACCTGCTGGGAGATTACCTAAAATCTCTTGACTTTGACGACTGACTTGTTCAAGTAAGACAGTGATTTGTTCCTGTGTTAGTGCACCACCATTTGCAAGTGCACTTTGGGCTTGACGTTGTAACTCTACTTGACGTTGTAGAAGCGTGATTCGTGGATCGTGCCATGTTGTTGTTCGTGTATTGTGGTCGACCTAGTGACGTAGAGTGAGATAGGAGCAGATCAATGTTGGTATAATTCAATAGGCTAGAGCGCTTTTTTCGCTCGTCACTTTTTTCAACAAGACTTACAAAGTACGACCTCCCATCAGCAGTATAATGCATCTGCCAGCCAGGAGGTAGCGGTAACTGTCTCTGCAACTGCTGTTGTTGCTGAGCGGCAGCTTGCTGCTGTTGAGGTGTCAGTTGCATATTTAACATATTAGGCTGTTGTATTGTTGGCTGTTGCTGTTGAGATGCTATTGATTGTTGCTGTTGAGGAATAATATATTGTACTTGTGGTTGTTGTGGCTGTTGATTTGGTAGAGCAGCCTGTAAAGCATCCATGTTCATGGCTGAAGCGTCAACGTTTGGTAGAGTTCGTTGTTGAGCTTGTCTCCAATCTATTAGGCGTGCGTTTGCGGCTTGTTGGAGGGAGTCTGCTTTTGTTTGTTGGGCACTATGGATAATAGTTCAACGAGTGAGCAACGTGTGAGAAACGACCCTCAAAACACACAGCAAGAACGCTTACATTGGTCTCTTCCATGTGGTTGTCCGAGTTGAATGATCGACATAGTAGATTCTTCCAACCTTTTTTTATTGGCAAAAGTATGAGCATGTCTTGTTTGATCACAAATCACAAGTTTTTCACGAGTTCCCACTTTACGACGATTACTCACCCCATCTTGGCGACGTTCCCAGCCCTGTGGCAATGGTCCAAAGCTATCACTTGTACTATTCGCACTGGCCGATTGCCCAGCAACCGCACCACCAGCAGAAAGTGGCAAACTTGAGGTTGATGATGTCGGTGATATTGGTGACTGCTGAGAAGCCATAGCAGAAAAGAGCATCTGGTTGCCAGTCACGGGGCTCGTCGGGGACGGTATTATGCTTCTCGGTGGTATCGTATTCGTCGTTATCAACGAGGCACTACTCTGGCTCGAAATGTCACTTCTTACACTAGCCGTCCGACCTGGAATAGGGGAATTTACAACAGGCTGGCCCGTTCTATCAGACACCGTTGTCCTGCGAGGAGGAATCTCGTTTGGAGGGCTACTCATTTGTTCTCTCTATGTTAGTGTTATTGCGTCGCAAGGTTTCACGATTCAGAGATCGATTCCAACTACAGAAGAACTCGCGCAAGGGAATGCATTACGTGTACACTGACATTTATACACGCTCTATAGACCTCCGGTGCTGAAAATCGCCAACAAAACATCATCGATCAACTTCAACTTCCACAAACTTTTGGACATATACTTCGATCTTATTCAATTGCAATTTTTAAAATGGTGAAGTACTCAAGGAGTACCACTCTCGCCTTGCTCTCCCTCCCAAGCTTCCCATTGTGCAAGCTACAAAGAACAAAAACACGTCAGCTATCATAGTAGCAAACAACACTAACAAAAACACCAATTTAAACCCCAGTTGTTGCTTTTCTCACCATATCATCTGCCTTCTTGCAACTAGGTGTCTGCTTAAACACCATTTGCACCAGGTGATTCTGATCTGGTTCACCAAAGAACCCCTCAAACTTTTCGATAAAGTTCAAGCACTCGAGCATCTGACTTGGCGTATATCCCGTCGTCACTTCAATCACTTCTCCCACTACAAGTAAGTAAGAGAATGAGCAATGTGTGGGGATAAGGATCAGTGCAATATGTTAATCTCTGTAGGAGCAAAAGCGGCTTATAGATAGAGCCATATCAGGGAGCACTGACCTTCTTTGAGTCCTCGTGCTACATAATTCATGACAGCGGCAGCAAGCATAGAGTTCGGATATCGTAGACTCTCAATGTCAGAGATAATCACATCCAGTTTCTGCACGGCACATACAAACAAGTCGGCTCGAAATCGACGCCGTAGTAGCGATTCCACTCGTATAAGCGGTGCCAAGAAGGGCGACTCATTGTTCTGAGTGACGGAGAAATGAGAAGGACAGTATTGGGCGGCATTCTGGAAGTAGAGTAACAGCCATTCATAAGCTGTGGGTAGTTTGGTATAGAATTGATTGACCTGTGTTACGGTGTATGATGTTGCTTTAGTAGTGGAAGACATCTTATCCACAAAAAGCCAAGCGGAATCGCAAAGCATACCTTCCAAGCCTTCAGATCTGTCTTCATGAGACGACGTAGTGCACATGCCCTCTTTTCCAGTTCTGTTGCATACATGGCACATTCCTCCTCCTCGAGATGGAATGCAACAAACTCTTCCAATGAGTCGGGTTCCATATCCTGGAAAAACGGCAAGACGGTTGGTCATGTGGAATTCACGATGAATGTAAGTCTCTTTTTTACTTGCCTCCATCTTGACAGCTAAGGACAACATGGCAGCTCCAATCATCTGAAACTTCTCCTTTTTAACACTGGCACTCTTGGACATGTAATGATCAAGATAGTTGACTGTTGCATCAAGAAGTGATGTGGAGTGAGCAAAAAACAGGCAACAAAGCAAATTGCAACACCTCATATCGTTTTTTGAGTCCAAACAACAACTAACCTGCAAGATGGAATGTTTGGCGTTGAAGTTGATGATCATGAGCCACCTACAGAATGTACAAAAAGGTCAGAATCACATCATCGATTGTGTACGGTTTTACTCACATCACAGATCCAATCCACAAGCATCATTCTCATCTGCGCATTGATATCTGGATGTCGGGTAAGCCAATTGGCTTTTGGACGATTTTCAGATTCCGCCCGCTCCATATCTTCCCATGCCACAAACACAATCTCCATATCCGCTACCTAAGTATTTCGTAGAGTATGTTTTGTTAGTATATGTGTTTCAATACCTCGATGCGAAAAAGTGCAACTCTTGAAGGATGTGTACCTCATCACCATTCTGACACGTGCGCAACATATTCGGATGTCTCGGCTTCTCCGGTTTCGTAAACTGAAACAGCGCCAACTCCAAAAAATCCGGTGACGCACGACTAATAGGTGAATCCATGGGTGTCGTAGGACACGTAGGGCCCTCTGAGCTCATCAAGTTCAACGTGCTGATACTCAATGCCGACTCGGTTCGTAGCACTGATACACGTTTACAGCTGCCACTCACTGGACCTTCCATGGATACGGGTGTGTCCATGCGGATTTCTGAGTGCAGTTTGCGATCAAGCTCTTCGACAGCCCATGCTTGATTTGTGAAGACATCGTCTAGTGGTTGGCGTAGGTGGCCGTTGTAGCGGGACGAATATGGGGATTGGCCTTGTACGGGTGTTTGTGAGTGTGGTGTTGGGATGGGGATGATATCGGCTCTAAAGGCGCTCAAATCTGGTGGTGGTGTGGCTGATGGGCCAGTGATTTCAGACAGCAGTTCCTCACATTCTAATAATAGCAAGGGACGCAGGATGATGAGTATGATGCTGCATGTATGAAACGATGAGATCGCGAAAAACGAAGCTTATGGAATTACCTCCAAAGTTGACTGGAGTTTGACGACATTCTTGCTCCCGATCTAAGACAACATCAACACGATCAATACCACACATCACAAGCAAGGTAAACAAACAAACACAAATTACCTATCTTCAACCTCTTATCCATCTTTATGTCCAACCAATCATCATCGTCCTCATTATCCGACAACCGTTTACGAACTAGCGAGAATGCCGATCCATGTTGTTGAAAGTTTACTTGCTGTAACGGATATGTAGGTGAATCTATCGGTTGGAATGACATCGCCATGTCTGGTGGCATGACCTACATTGAATGGCAAAATGAAGGAGGTCAACTTCGCGCAACCACACCAACACATTAGGTGCGGTTTTTGTTTTGACGAGACGGTACTTGAAATGAAGCGACAATACAGTAATGATAGATAACTTACGTCCGAAGGTGTGATTGACTTGGCTCTATTCCTTGTCGACACTGGTTTGGTCTTCCTTTTTGTGCGAGTCACTATAACGTCTTCTTCCGTTCGCCTAGTAAGAATGAAAATTCAAAATCAGCCATCACGTTAATTGAATTAATGATTTGCTGATATTTTCAGTTGAATGCATACTGGTTCCCTATCATTGTTCCTTCTCAGAGTCTCCTCCTTTGTTTGCAGCTGTTAAAAAACCACAATTTGTTAGATAGCCGTTCTGCAGGAGTATAGTAGGAAAGCCACGCGTTCGACAGCATCTTCAATAGATTATTTGATATAAGATGAGATACGACTTACTTCCAGACTAGTTCAAACCGTCGTTTCCAAAGTTCCACGTCCTTTACAAGAAATACAAGACCCAACAAGATGGTTGCTTGCACCGTTTGCCCAATAAAAGTAGCAAGTGTCTCACTTATTATATCATGACAGCTTATTCCCCCGTTAATCAACGAAAAAGGAATCAATTCTCTACCTCTCTATCTCTCTCTTGCGATTTGCGAAAATATTGGTGCTTGGTGAACCGTGCACCATTCCGCAGCACATTTCATGGAACCACTACACGTGCACTTGATCCGTTATCTTTTTTGTTATAAAGCAAAGGAGCATTATACAAAATGTACGAGAAGCTTGCCACGTGACTTACTACAAAAAAAACATATAACTACTACACGCTGTTTGTAAAATGCTAATAAAGTATCTTTTCTGTTTAATATCATTGCTGAGATGCAAGACTCTTTGCCACATTCGAGAAGAGACGGTCGATTTCTACATCAGTAGATTGATTGCAAAGTTAGTATCTAAGCTTAGTACAACAAACCAGCACACATACCCGGAGCACACTGGATAAAGTTGGTATGATTCCAGAAACCGTATCGAGGATTACGAATCAATTCAATAAATGCAACTAGTAGTCCATATGGATGAGGTCGATTTACAATCAGACGTTCAATCAATACACTGTGTGAGAAACCGAATAATTTTTTTAGAAGAGAATCGAATAATGTAATCAATGAAATAGTCATACCGAGTAATCTGTTCTTGCACAATCTCTTGCTCAGCTTCAAGGAAGAGGTATAATAGTACATTGCTAAAGTAGTGTGTGTGGCTGTTGGGGTATCTCAATTGGTTGGCAATACCGCTTAAAAACAAATATCGTCCTATGTGATCAAGAAAATATAGATGAGTAACGAAAGCTTAAAATGCACTCCAAGCATCAAAGTTGATGAAAGCCCTCACAAACATCAAACCGGAATACAGCTGACTCTGACAAACATCAACCTCAAACAAAACTTTCACATACCTTCAGGATCTAAATCAGTCACCAACTGCTTAAAGATATCCATAGACGCTCCGTGAACGGGTGATTGCTGCACAGCTTGTCCAGGCTTATTCTGTGCTATAGCTTGACTTCCAACATACAACACCAAAGAATTGATGGTCGATATCATATACTTTGATCCATCAACTAGTGTACCAGGGGGCACCAATAAACGACCTGCAATTTCAGTCAAGAAGGCACCTGGTGCTCGATTTCTCAAATATGAATCAATGTCCGTCTTTAAATTATTCACCATCAGGCCAGACGTATAATCAGACAATATATGTGGGGCTTGATTGATTTCCGGTAACAAGTCCACCTTCAAGTTTGGTGTGAATGGATCTGGAAGCCTCATGCTGCGAGGGAAGGCACTCAATATCAAGTTGCGGAGTTGAGTACAAGAATGTGGGATAACATCCACAAAACTGAAGTGGTAGTCACATAAAAACTCGGGGAAATCATGCAATAGCACTAGCAAGACTCGAATGGTGCCTTTATACAAGAGTCGAACCGTGTCTGTGAGATCTGATTGGCGTAAGAATGGAGCGAGGAATTTGAAGAGATCAACCAACAGTCGTTGGAAGAATGGCCATCCCTATTTGACGTTATTTTGGATAGATGGTTAGCCGAACAATACCAGTTCCAACATGTAATAAGCAAGTGACAAACCTTTTGATTCTCAGCCAACAACAGTTTAGGCATGAAGAATCGATGCGATACCAATTGCAGCCAAGAGAATGTAAATCCAGGCAAGAATGATGGTTGTAACGTATGGAAGGTGTTGCTATAACAAAATTGACGAGTTTCAGATCAATAGACTTAGAACATTTGATGGCTTTTTTTGCAAGCAACGTACCTCAAGTATGATAAAATCTGGAAGTAAATTGGCTGCAAGTGAGGCTCGAATGAATTCAAATCATTAAGCAACGACGACAAGAGTCGGAAGAAGGGTCGTTGGTTAAATGTCGTTTTCCGTTGCTCATGAGAATGAACTAACACTAAGACTGTAATAGACAAGATCTTGGTCGTCAATGTCAACTTGGCATAATTGACATTTTGGGCCGCAGGATCATTGTAATGGCGGACTACCAATACTATAAGACGAGCAAAAGCATCTACAGCTTGAAAGGCTACTACTGATGGTGTTCCTGCTGGAGCTTTCATGTATGCTTCTACACTCAGTTCAGTGCATACTCGGAAGAACAGAGACGAGACATCTTCTGTCTTGAGTACACCTTGTTGTTGCAACTACGAAGGGAAAAAACTAGTTGAGAAAATACTCTCACGCTAATTCTTAACGTCACAAAACTCATTTGACAAATGCTCGCGACTAACCTGAGTGATATACCGTAAATGAGACTTCTCATTCGAAGCTGGATGATGATACAATCGGACCCATTCAGTAAACAAGGCTGCCAACTGATCACGGACTCCAGAGCTTTCACTATCCTTGCCAATCAAGTCGCGGATAGATACAGCAGATGACCGAAGCCTCAATTCTTGAAGCAACTGATTTAGACTTAGAAAGGGAAAAGAATTTAGTTGTTGAAAACAAAAAACGATGCCAGCAAAGTGGTACATACCTATCAGGAGCCTTTCCGCGAGACGCGATCTTGGTAAGTATCTCGACAGAATTGAAGAAATCATTCTGAGATGCAATAGCCGGTTCTTCCAAGACACATTTCTTGATGAGCCATGACGTGAATTCAACTACAGTGGGTCGACCAATATCCATAAGACGAGCAAGCTGCATATCCATCTCGGGTACATTAATCAGATGTGATCTGATGAGTGCTGCTGTTACTGGCACATTGTACTTGCGCTACGTAAGGGATCAGGAAATCAGCCCCAGCACGCTCCACGATAATCACAAAGAACTCACCTCATCATCAGCATACAACAACCAAGCATTGACTTCCTTAGCAACAGTCTTGGATAACTCACACAACCTTTCTAGCAATACAATATACATTTCTCTTGACAAGACCAATTCAGTCTTGTACAAGAGTTGTACCACTTTCTGGGAAAACATCAAAGCAGTCTCTTCTCGTTGGAAGGCTTGAGTTACCAATAATGGAATTTGCTTCAATGCAGCTCTCAATTCGTGTTGCGGAGGGAGATTAGCCATTGTCATGGTTACTGGTTGACTAGCAGCAAACTTGTCCAGTTCTACTATAGATGCACCAAATTTTTCCAATGCTTGTTGAGTCGTCAAGAGTACTGGGGTTTCTTCATATGGAGGTACGGGAGTGGCATATGATGTTGGCATAGCGTCAGGTCGAGCATCTCGTCTAGCCATATCAACACGAGCATGTTGACGATCAGCGACTTCTATGAGAGCGAAAACGCGTTATTAAAGAACGGAAGATTTTCTTGTTTGTGCTTTGTCGTACCTTGTGCACCGCTTTGCATGATTCGAGACATTCTAGAGAAATCTTCATATACTCTAAGTTGCTGTATGGTCAATCCGCCAGCCTTCAATCTTAAAGTCTCTGGTAGAGTTGATGGGTAGCGGGAGGCAGCATACACAGTCATATCATAGTATGGAGCACCAGTTCGCTAGAGAAATAAAAATAAGTATCATCAACAACACCAATCAACCAAAATATTGTTGCGACATACCTCACGATGCTTCCTTCTACCAAGATATGATTCCCTTAAGCCCTCATCGACTTCAGGAACGGCCTTTTCTGCTGCAGTCCTCTCAATGACGGAACAAGCCAAATCCAAATTATCAGATACAATAACAAAGATTGCTTGCTCTGGCAACGATTGCTAAATCGCCAAAATGAAGGGTAGTCAGAAACATTCGACATTTTTGCAACTTTGGACACCATTCCTACCTCTGTGAAACCATTCTGTAAAAGGAGACCCTTAATGTTGGCAATCATACTCAAACGTAAAGGCTCTCGACAGGTCACAGATGCGAGACTCCCTAAACGTTTCCATTCCAGAGGAATTTGCTGGTAAATACTAACATGACCACAAAAGACGAAACGCGCGTTTCGACAAATTCTCACCAGCAAGACTTTGAACCATCAAGTGAGCAGCCTTTCTCATCTTGTCTTCATTAGGTTCCAATGCGAAATCCTTGATCACCAGCTCTTTGGTAGCAATCGCAGCAATCGTCACACTGCGTTCCACGACAGGCACAATGATCTAATACAAATCGAGATTGAGTCACTTTGGGTCCAAGAAGCACCCATCCTGACTGTATACCTCACGAATAGCTCTCTCAATGGCAACGTGAATGAAGCGCTTCAGTGATGGCTGAGCAACAAACAATGGGAGGTTTGGATTGATGACTAGCTCAGCTGCAAGATTGTATGACAACAAGTTTTCTGCACGACACAAAAGGGATCATGAGTAATCATAAATTGTTTGGCGTTAAGCAAATGCGAAACGTACCAACAGTCGCAGGAGCAGTGCCAGTAGATGGAGGCAATGAATGAGCAGGAGCTCCAGCTGCACTGACAGGAATACCAACAGTGGTTACTGGTGGCAATCGTTCCAATTCTCGTAAAGCGGGTGCTGGCAGCTCTTTCGGTGGTCTGTTCCTTAGCAGAGTTGTAGGTTGTATCTCTGTTTCGGAATGATGGCGAAAAAGTTGAGCAATTCATTCAGCGTGGAAGAACAAAGTCCGTCTCAACCACACCTTTGACATCCAACTTGATATTCTTGCAAAGCACTTCAATTTCAAACTTGAGGTTGAGTTTCAAATCAGCAAAGTGATATAATTCAGCCAAGAGTTTCATGATTGCCATCAGCCATGGGTTTGGTGGTTTGAAGACTTTACTGTTATTCACTTGCTCCATCACTTTGCACACAAACGGAATGACTACAATCAGTCGATTGTTTTCAAAACCTTCAATCAGCAAATCCTACACGAATTACAACAATAGAAAAGTCAGCGACTAAAAGAAACCAAGATGACTATCCCTCCGAATTTTGTACCTTGAAAGATATATGTCTGTGTTTAATGGGCTTATTTTTAGCTAACGTGATGGATCCCAACCACGTTCCCAAATTTTTGAGTAGTGTACGTTCTTGCGATGAGGTTACAGTCTTGTCCGAATTCAACAAGTTGCGAATGTTTACAAATGTCTCAATCAATACAAAGCGATACAATGGTGTGGATTCGAGGGCATCGAGGAAGGAAATATACAAGGAATGGAAGTTGGGTTCGATGCTAGCTCGTTTTTCAACAATATAGTTACTAAACCACTTGTTGTATGTGTCCCTCATTAGTTCACGCATCTCTCGTATCTTGGTTTCTAGATTAGCTGGTGAGATATTATTTATGATGAAGAGTATCTTATCTTGCACGACCTCATTGGGCACTTCTAAGCTTTCGGGTTCAGTCGGATCTACTAAATTGTCCAATTTTATAGCAGCAAATACACTAGTCGATGAAGAACTAGGTATCACTGCTCCTACTACTTCACTTCCAGTTACAGCTCCTGGCTCTGGGGCTCCATTTGCTGCACCTGCAGCTTGACTTTCCTGCAAACTACGAATATATTGTACTATATCTGGATGTGCTTGTACCAAATGCGTTATTTGCAATAGATGAGAGCAGTATTGAGGCCATTCACCTAGCCGCGACTGGAATTGAGACAAGGCCTGTATACCGAATCGGAATAGTTTCGATCCTACAGGTTGCCGTAAAGCATCAAGAACGTATCGAAGGGCAATACCGAGTGGCATGTATGATACTATCTGGTGTTGTATCAGGGCACCAAATAGGAGACTGGTTATGGCAAGGTAATTATCGGGATATCTAGGGAAGAATTTATATTCGTCGAATAGATTGTGGATGATGCAAGAGTAAATGTCCTGTTCTCTTTGGTTTGGTGAGACCTTGAACCTTTGTAGCAGTTCAACGATCTGAGATATGGATATTTCGCCCTGATATATACGTTCATAATAGGCATTGACTTCCTCCTCAACGTCTGCAGAAAAGGAGCCACCTTCTCTAACACCGCTCTCCTCTCCATCAGCAGGTGAGCTAGTGGCCATATTCATCATATGCGGTGTTCTTGCAAATGCAGTGACAATTTCCTTCCATCTTTCGTCTGTATCAGCTGGCATTGCGCTAAAAAACATAGAGACTGGTTAACTCTATGGCGAAAAATAAATACCAATTACACGCAACACACCTGCTATGATTTTGCAGGATTCGGAGGAAGATATTGACAACGTCTGGCGACAAGGGAACGGACTGTTGCATAGAAAAGTTATCCTGCCGTAACACCTTCTCATACATAAAATCCACACATGACTTGATGAAGACATCACCCTCATCACGTATATGATCAGTGAGCCACTTTTCTAGGTTGAGATAATCTCTCCTGGATGCTAGAGCCGCTAAATCTATAGAGAAGGAATATGGCTTTGATTCGAGGATTTGAGGTAGTGCCTACAAAAAAAACCATTAGATCATGGTTTCAAGCGGCCTGTAAGTTTGGAGAGCTATACCTTCATGTCTTGAGCGACATCCAAGATGCGAGAGAGATTGGTTGGATCAGTCATGTAAAGACGTTGGAGACCAGTTATAACAGAGGATTCTGAGATTTGCCATAGTTTCGACAAGACAAATACAGAATTAGAGTGGCCACCACTTAAGAAGGTCATGACTAAATTCAAAACTAATTCTTTCTGGAAGGGTGTCCATGGAGCCTGTGAAATTACGATCAGATATCGTTAGAATCTCGGCGACGAAATAAACACACAGAGGACTGGCAACATACTTTGAGTTCAGCCAAACCTAATAACACGACTTCTGGAGCTTGCTGAGAAGCAAACTCAAAAATCCTCTTGACTTCCTCATACAATTCAGTCTCAGACAAGAATAGCAGAGTTTCCAGCAACTCCAAAGAATTCCATGGCTGGTTCATGAGCGACTGCATATTCAGCGCATCTATGACTCGACGGCCTACACTTTGAGTCACGACAAATATCTCGGGTCGATTTGATATAGCCAATTTCAAAAAGCTGAGATGACCCTTGAGATTTCTCCATCTGCCAAAGAAGGCATTGATGGGAAATTGATACAGGTTCTAAAGACACAAGATCATTTAGCTCATGTTGATCATGTGGAATGAATGAGTGTTGGGCATACTGGTATTCCAACTTTGGTGGCATTCAATATAATGTTGAGTCCCGTAGCATCATATAGTATGAATTCAGGATGATCCAAGGCTCTCATCATGGAAAACCAATCTAGAATAGGTTTCTAATGATTGACAAAGAGTGGTCGCGTGAGTCTTTGCAGTTGCGAGACCATGAGTTGACTCGCTTGTCTGAACGGGATGGCTGAGTGTCCAAATTGTATTACCCCCGAAACTGCCCTTACCAAATCTAGTATGGTCGCCATAAACATTGCCACATCCCAAGTTTGCACTCGTTTCAGCTCTTCTGGATCCATACGATCGAATATAGCTGACGTTATATGTTGAAATGCTGGATTGGGAGTCAGACCAGTATGCGTTCGAGCCATCATGGCAAGGACTCGAGCGATTTCGTCTTCTTTTAGTCTGGAAGCAGCATTGGATCGGTTGATTCCAATCTGCTCTAATATTTTCAATAATGTGTTTGGACCAAGACAACTGCTATAACCAATGTCTTGTAACAATGCGGTGAGCGATATGCCTGATGCAATCTGTGCGTCCAGCACACCATCTTGGCCACCTCTCAGATTATCACTATGGCAAATGAAGTATGGGGTGTGTTAGTTGTGGTGTTTTGGAATGTTTGGATGTTTGGGTTTATCGTCAGCACATTCAGGTATATGAATAAGCGATTTCTTACCCAGACATGGAGTTCTGGGTCGATGCACTGTGGAGGTTGTATAGTGTATTGTCTGCAGATACGCGTTCTAGTGAGGATTCTATGTCGTTTGCAACAGTCGTAAAAGTGTCTGGTTGATGTCGTTGCAAAATACGGATATAGCCAAGGAGGATACTCTTGCGTGAAGATGAAGTGTGTTCTAAATCGTCCAAGGATGAATTGATGATAGTACGGAGAGGGCCTACAATGTATTATTCATGGATTAAAATGCGCACTTGCAATAATGTAAAACAAATGAGCTTTTCCGACAGAGAGGCACTGAATAAAGTAGGGAGGTGCTAGTAAATGAAAGTAAACTTACCAGCGTCCCTCACCCTCTCAGACGTGTCCTGCTCCACACTGTCTTAGGATTGCGTAGAAAGCTTTCTGAATTTTGTCCCAATTGTGTGTTTGAACACTTGACGAACAAAATGGATGGCGGAGCTCACAAGGACAGAGACGATAATCCTGCTTCTAATATACAAATGACAATATTCGTTCACTGGATGTGCCTACGGGATGTGCGTTCGTCTCGCTGAACAGCAATTTCAAAGATTGTGAATGTTTTCACTTTCTACGTGTCTGGCGTGACTCAACTCGACTCTAGCTACTAATTGCTCTAAATGTTGTTTTCCTTCAAGAATTCGGTGCCTTCTTGAAATGGATTCCAAAGTTTGTTCACTGACTTGTGTTCCCAAACACTCAAACACGGCGAATTAGAGAGCTGACTGACGTTTCTCTACAATAATGCAATATTCTCACGATACAAGACAAGGTAGATCTATACAATGTTACGCTTTAAGGAGGAAGGAATGAGCATCGAGATTGACGAACAACAAAGATCACAAAGTCATAAGTAGATGCTTACCAATACCAATACAACAGAGTCTCCCCGTAAGAACATCTTGCTGATGAAACGATCCTTGTTGACTGGTTTGGACTTTTTGACTCCCTTGCCAGATTTTGGAGTCTCTGTCCACATCTATCCCAATACCAAGAAGCGTGAGCTTATTTCTTAGTCTCGCCAAGTATGCAAAAGCATCAGCAATGTGATTACCTCCTTAACATTTTCCAAAACCATATTACAGTGTCTGTCACTATGTATGCGTAGCAAAGTCAATACATCCAGACTTGAAAGGAGGCCAAACACGAGACTTACAAGGCCTTGACACGGGCCAATAGTTTGCGATTGTTTCTGCAGTTGATGAGGATCTGCGTATTGTTCTTGACCGACTGGTTCAAGACTGATAATGGACCAGTGTTGAATTCTTCCTCTTCTAATTTCTTGACTAGAAAACGGTGATGATGGTAAGATATGTATGGTAATCCAAGACAGAATAGACCGCAATTCATTGCATTCGGTAAGCCTTACGTTCATCTTCAGTCATTTCTGTCTTGGCTTTTCCAGCTAGACCGCTGTGTTTAAACAGAGAATGAATGGTGGTGAGCAAGATGCATCATGAAACGATTAGATACAATGAGTACATCGCTAGTGAATTACCTCATGTTTGCGAGTGACTCGGCGTGTAGTTCTTGTCAGTTGGGAAGGAAAGCTTCTTTCAGGATGGGTGCCAGTGAGTTCAAATGACAAAAGTATGAACGCGAAGGGGAGTGAGAACGGAGCGTGGCAAAGTTCTGATTTAATTTCTTATTTGAATTACTTGCGTACTTGCTTACAGTATACATGAGCTGGCAGTGCCTGTTCGATTTTTCACTGCTACGTTAGTCTCGTCACAACATCTAATCGACACCTATCTACCGTGACAATTCCTTCCAATTGAGCTTCCCGTCAATACTTTTGGAAGAGACCATATTCTTCCATCTCCAATTCCTCCTCATCGTTCGTGAATATTACAATGGGTGTTACTGTATATCCAAACGGAGCTTCGCTGCATTGTTCAAGAGGTTTCGACCGTGTAGAGCCGGTAACAAATCTTCAGACCAAAATCCTATATAAATTCCGATGAGTTTCAACGACTCCCGGTTTGGCATGGATGAGATTACTGCCGACGTGACCTGTCTAAGTATCCATGGCCCGTGAAGATAGAGGTGTTTCAAGTTGGTATAATGGGCTGTTATTACTGCAAAATCGACGGAAAGGGGTATGTCATTCCGTGTTGGGGGGAGACCAAGGATGTCAACCATGTCGAGATACTCAAATTGATATCCTCGTGTCATGATAGTCGTCTTAATCTCAGCAGCCATCATCTCACGATCTTACGCTTGGCTACATTTTGACGGATGCCATTCAAGAAGTTCCGATCATGTGAGACCATTCCCAGACTGACATCCATCAGGCTGGTGAAGTCTGCCATATGGTTTTCGGAGCACTTCATAAGCGAGAAGTCTTCCATTCCAACTCTAATCAGTGTCGTAGCACTACCTTTGCTGAGTTCTTCAAAGATGCTTCCTGTCACTGTTGTTTGATGTTGACCAACAGTACGAGTTCGAAAGCCAGAAAACCCAGAGTGAGACAAGTGAAGACTTCCGAGCGTCTGCGAGAGACTGCTACATAGATCTTGATGTACATTGAGCAAGTAAACCTGTTTTATATTTGGAGCGTGCAGTGGAATTAACTGATACTCTACATCCTGCCAAGTTATGATCTGGAATGGGTCTACAGCTACATCCAGGTCAAACAACGATTAATTTCGAGTAGAGAAGCCTCAGCTTCATCGGCAGTATAAAAGACATAGATTGCTGCTGCGGCCAATGACTTCGGCTGGTCGAGCTAATGATTTTCCTATATTCCAGATGATAGAGTAGCTTGTGGATTCGCTAAAATCGATTCGTAGAGTATGCTTGGCTCGTGTTGGTATGGTATGTGGTATGTGGGATGTTGGGATCTAAGTTACGACGAAGGAAAGGATGACTAGTTAGATCTGGCATGGATGCAGTACAATGATGATTGACTGTGCTGGACAGCACAGCCAAAGACTTCAAACCGACTTGAAATCACTGAATGCTTTTCGTTGGGCCGCAAATAAGAATGCGTTATATTCCTCGTACTTGCTTGATCCATATGTTGCTCCATGACAATGACATGAGAGTAGATAGAGCGAGTATTATTGTGTTAAGATCGTGTTGGGCCGTCTCCTTCTTATATCTGGGGTTCCTCAGGACAATGATGGGGGAGGTTCGAGAATCAAAACTCCTCCCACCAAATCCAACCAGAAAAAAGATCCAAATTAAATTTTAAATAGTTTGTTCCACGAATAAGCGTAAATATTGCGTGTGTACGTAGTCCTCGAGCTACTATTTCGTGTTTCCTATGGAAAGTTTCTGCGTCAGTGAATGTCATGGAGATCCAACCGTTGAATGAAACGATTTACCTTCAAGAAGGATCGATATCATTATGATAAAGCGATTTATACCTCTGTCTCCGACGTCTCATATATCACCTCGTCGTAAACCGTTTTCGAACTTCCGGAACTTCCCAACAGAAACGCACTCACGCAACCAAACGGTTTTTTGGCTGCTATATATGGCATTTTCAAAATAAGATCTTTTATTGTATTCTTATATTTTACGGAACATGAGCATATAGACATCCCGATCACGCTTCTCCCTCAGCACCTCACTAACGTGAACTTTTTGAACAAGAGCATCATCAATATTTAGCCATTGATTTGGTGCTCGTAATACATCACAGGTATAATGTCCTCCTGCTGCTAGCTTGCCATGGTGATATACAACTAGGGAGGCGGTGATGTGTGAGGTCGTAAGTTACGAAGACAAAGAAAGCACATTGGAGACCTCACTCATTACCTGCAAATAGCTGGTACTTGACTGCCGATATCGTCGCACGAGTGGTGGGTGATATTATATCTAAAACGAGGGACTGATCAGTCAACCAAACACAAAAAAGCGTTCTGGCAGACTTGTAACAGCTCTTCCTGGCTTTTCATACCAGCCAGGACATCCAATTCTGTCGAATAAGCAACATGCTTATGTATCTTTTGTGTTCCTCCAGTGTGAGTATACACGAATCGTTTCAAATGCAGCAAGAGAATGGGAGGGAAGGTATCCAGTAGATTCTGTTTTGTGGCTTCGACCTATAATACACGAGCCAAAAGAGTCACGATTCGTACTCGGCGCTACCACTACAACTATAATGCTATAAAGTACCTTGGTGCCTTTAGTAGGTGAAGTGAATTCATCCAACACTTCAGGAACAGCGACATTCCGTAATGCATCATCAATGGTGCTCACAGAATCGGGCTAGCAAACGAGAAACGTCAGTCCACATCTGTTCAATCCAAACAAGAGCGTCGACACTCACATTTATATCTAAATGGAGGAACATGAAAGGTTCATCAGTTACAGAATCTCTGCTACCTGGATGCCTAATAGTCGATCTCATCCGTCCGACGAATATTTTCGTTATGGGGGATGTTGATATTTCAGTCTATAATGGTGATGTAAAGTAAACATTCCGAGGCCGCCAAAACACCCGTGTTTCGCATCATGCGATGGCTTACTCTTCTCGTAACAAGAGTCTTGTTCCCCTTCCCAACTTCAGTCCAATCGTTACTCTCCGGCATCGCTTCCTTCCCAGCCATCTGACTGCCATTACTATTCGTACTATTCCTGGCTGCTAAAGCAGAAGGATCTCCTTCGTGCATAACCTCCAAGAGTTCTTCATGTACGCCATCAAGTATAAATCCCAAGAACTCTTCAGCATCTTCTTGTCTTCCTTTAGTCGAATTGATCTTCTTCAGTGACTTTAGAGCATCATATACATATTCGGGAGCGAATGGTGTGGAGGGATCTGCTTCGGGTGGTATACGTTGAGTTTCATCTTCAATGTCGAACTCGTTTAGAAACATAATCACTGCTTCTGTTAGTGGTGTCCGTCTACTGAATGAGTGGCTGACTCTTTTGCCAACCATCTTCATTAGATTGTAGAAGGGCGGACAGTAGACTAAGGGCTGCAGAATAGCGTTCATGAAGCACTAAATTAAGAATATCAGTGATTGAATCCTGTCGAGTCGACTTGCTTTCTTGCTGATCCACACACTCATACCATATTTCCATTATTGACTAGTCCTCTAGGTATTATCAACGGACAGTCAAGAGAAGGCTCAAAGTGTTTCAGCAGGTCTAGAGACAAAGATGAAAAGATTCAGTAAACTGGAACAAATTGCTTCAAACCCTGATCACGCATACCACTAGGTTTTTCATAAAACGATTGCTTTCTAGCACCAGGTTTAGAAACATGACCAACAGCACCGACGCCTTTTTCAGTGCCTGGTCCAACACCAATTTTAGCGACACCAGCCCATGATATCGGACTTGTCTTTGGTGACAGGACTACAGGACTAGTTGATTTCTGTGATGGTGTAGTCGTTGTTGATGACAGTAAACTCCCATTTCCATTTTCTGTGGTAGCAGGAGTGGCGGCAGGTGATGTTATTGATTCTGGAGCTGGAGTTGGGGACGATGATGTACTAGATACAGATGAATTTTGCGGGTTTTGTTGAGGACTGCTACTAGGTGGTGGAGTCATCATAGAAGTGGTGACGACATTCGGCAGTGGTGTAGATGGTAATGGCGGTTTTAAAGCATTACTATTCAGTTGCCGCTGCTGCAGTTGGTGAGGTGTCAAGACACCATTGGGTATTCTACCATTAGCAAGATGTTGACGGTTGGCTGCACTTGACGCAGTGGATGCAATCGATGAATATGAAATTATCGAGCTACTAGTATCTGTTTTACTTTGTACTTGTTCTACAGTAGTGGTAGGATGCAAAGATGACGATGAGGTTGTTGAGAGTGTAGGAGATACTGGAGTTGCAATTGTATGCGATAATACAGGCGACGACAGTGCAGATGAAGACGCAGGTGATGATGCTGACACATTATTAATAACTGGTGGTTTTGATATACTAGGTTGTTGGGGTCTGCTGGATGCTATGCTGGACCATGCAGGCTTACTGCTTGGCTGTGGTGTTATAGTAGCAGGAGCAATATTATTCGGTATGGCAAGACTAGATGCTGGCGGTGTTGGCGCTGATGATGGGACATCGACTGTAGGTTTCGGCTGAAGTGTCGTCGTTCTTGGTATAGAGTTGGTGTCTGCAGCGAGAGGAGGTTTTGTCTTTGCCGCTGAGGGAGCTGTCTGAGACACGGTAACTAGATCGAGTACAGGCTGATGATCAGGCAAGGATTGAGGATGCCTTATTGGGGTTGAACGTGTTGTTGTTGGGGTTGAACGTGTTGTCGTGGATGCAGAGGATCTAGGCAGGACTGGCGAGCCGAAAGCAGTATGACCTGGAGAGAAGGGACTGGAAGCTGCATCCTTTGAAATCCTTGATGATCCATGGGCGTTTTCTGTAGTAGATTTATGTTTGCTCTTCCTCGTCGATTTTGGCAGTTGATGAAGCTCGTCTGATGACCAACCCGTCTTTTAAAAGGGTAAAGCAAATAAGCAAAGCTCTCGTGTCATATGTTTTCTCACGATCCGAGAGGTTCTTACGATGAATTGTTCCAATAGCTTGTCACTTTGCAGAACAGCGTCGACCTCATCTTGGGTCAAATCCCCGAAAACGAGTGCCTAAGTGATGTTTTAGCGAAAGTACACAGTTCTCTATCTGACACTACGTGTACGTTACCTTTTTATTCATTGGCAGTGAGCGATTGCTTAGTCTCCTAGTGGCATGTTCCAGTTTTTTGACGTTTTGTTTCAAATCCAAGCAAACCTGACCAAAGACTCAGTCGTTTCAGGTATAGACGACACGGAGTACGACACAATTTCGCGTATTTTTAGGTCTAACGCGTCCGAATATGTCGTATGAAGATGAAACAGACCTGTTGGAGGCAGCATGCAATGGTAAATGTGTTGCAGCTACTGCTGTCCCTTTGCTGATCAACTTTGTACGTATCTAGACATGGTCTCTGGACAATTGATTCGCGCAGATTTACTGTCTCTTTTTGAAGCCATGACTGCCATCCAGGTGTGCCTCATTCCCCCAACATTTCCCTACATTTAGAAGCCAAGCACAATGTTGAGGCAAGAGCTCACACAAACCACTCTGAAACTTAGATTATGGATCCAAAAATGGATATGGGGCTCGACATTCCATCTGCGGAAGAACGTGGAAAGCTAGATGAAGACTCGATGCAACGGAAAGAACTGAGTCTGCAAGATGTTTTGAGTATTATTGACGAATTGTATGCTCAAGAGGTGAACAGTCGATGATCATGAATCTCTGAGTGCATTCTCCAGTGTTAAACGTACTCTAACCTAGTCAACACCGCTTAGATGTCTTGGCTTTCGGGAACAGCACTCCCATTATCACTCTTCACATGTGTATATCTTCACAAACCATTCCTCATTCCAAACGAGACTTTACGTGTCTATCTAATGGCCCTCCTCAAATCCGTTGCTCAAATGAGGAATCTGATATCATTGACTCGTATTACCAATGTACATGCAGCCACGCTCGTTTTTCCTTTCCTTTTTTTGTAAGACTCGTTCAAAAAATAGTGATTGAACTAATTGCACCTTCGCTTCTGATAGGAAGAAGATTTGACATACGACACATTCGGATTTGATATCTTTGAAGATTCACCAGATTTAGAAGTAGTGTCGAGTCTTCAAAAGTTAGAAGATGATTTACAAAATCATATTAGAGAGTCTAAACAGACCGAGTCTGGAGGTAACATCAAATGGCCAAAAAGAAAGCCATGCGAAACCCCTTCCATGTTAACAAGCCGTCAATGTATACATAGAACACGACGTAATATATCTGGAAGCCCTACAGAGTCGTATACGGCATCGTAAGGTGCGTTGTCTGGGCTTCGGCGCATTTTTGGCCTATGTTCACTCCTTTACCCTTTTGGTACAGGCTGTAATATCATGGCTAATGAATACGCTCAGAAAGAAGCCACCACTCATAAAGAAGAATTTGGTGAATGCGATATCTAATATGGAATCTATACAGAAAACTCTAAAGCTAGGGAAACCAGTCGAAGGCATGACCAACCTTCTTCCATTGCTCTTCTTACTCCTCGTTTGCAATCGACTGATACAGAGCAATCTCTATTCCAGATGCATTCGACCATGAAATAAATCGTAGTCTCTTTCAACAAGCACCACCACGCCCAATCGCTCCTCCTTCAAGAGCCGATGCAGTAAACAATCTGATGGCTGTGTTGCAACAATGTCAAGTTATTGCCCATCTTCATGGGTTACTTGAGACGGTTAAGTCTGATTCAGCGGGCACTCTACAGGTATAGAGAGAAAAGCCGACGTCGTAGGCGATGAACCGCGAAACTGAATCGTCCACACTCTTCTCAGAATGCTTTACAGTATGTGACATGCATGAGGCCTCAACCTAACGTCTTGCCGCGGTCATTTGCAAAGGTGTGACCAAAAAAAAAACGAATTGGTGTCACTGTATACCTGACGCTGTCTCTTTGCCATAGTACCTATTTTGTGCTGAAGAATCTTTTCGACCTCTTGTCATGATTCGTGAATCCGTCATAAGTAGTAGTAAACCATTATCTTTTGAACCTTCTGCGACACCAGCTGAAGCTGATGTGATTTCAAGGTACATGAACCTGTGCTGCCAGGTAAGCAAAAAAAGGAACATTGGGCATGCCGGTCTAGTGGAAGAGTTTGCACCTTGACAAAGCTTTCTGAACAAAATGCTTGTTATTTACGTAGATATATGAAGAGACACTACAATGCAGCTTGAAAAACACTTCAAGAATGCGTCGAAAACTAGCTCACTTGATTCCAGAATGGGAGAGAACTCAAGCTGAATCCGAACTGCTTGATGTAGAGCTACACAAGCTGCGTGGAGTTGCTGTTGATGATGAGGGGGGAACTGGTATATCACCTTCTGAACCATATCATTTGTCGTCTTGGGTGTTTGAGCGCAAGTTGGATGTCATGATTATGTATTTGAGTTTGGGATTTCAGTTAGAGCTGTATCGACATCGGGAGTTGATTTATATCTTCTGGTAAGACTGTTCTTGTCCGTTCAGCCCTTTTTGGTTGATCTTTGCCCTTTGCCTATGCTGACCGTCGTGTGTACCCACGTGGTCCAAAATAGGCATCTTTATTACTTTTATGATACCTTGACGCATCATTTGGATCGAACAAAGAAGGTCGCTGAGCTGTTATCTGTGCCGGCAATCACCTCGAAAAAAGAGAAGAAGGGCCCGAAACCCAAACCAAAACTGCCTGACCGTCATGCCAGTCGTGTAAGAACACGAACACTAGCCTTTGCCAAACAGAATCTCTTCAAGGCCTACTTTGAGGTCTGTGTGATGGCTGTCAATGGAAGAAGAAGAAGGATCTGCAAATGAATGAACCCAAATTTTCCTACTAGATTGCATTAGCCATGATGAAACATCAAAAGATGAAAGTTGACAAGGAGATTTACAATGATGTTGTATATTTTACACGTCGATTTGAAGTCTTTTCGCAATTGGGTAGTCCGGTGCCGTTACAGTACAGTCAGTTTTCTAGTCTGACGTCTCGAGACGATATATCGGTATGTGAGATTATCGTTTTTGACAACTGTGGCATCAGCACCTTTACTATAGTGGTTTCTCTTACTCACTAGTTGCTTGTTTTAGCCCTTCGACCTTCTAAGTGGGGCATCAAGTGTTTTGATGCTTGTATCTCGTATTGTAGAACAATTGAGTCAATCGACAGCCAAGACAACTGCTGATGGATCATCATTGCCTGAGAGCTTGAGTGATTCTTATCTAGAAGCGAAGGTGTGGAACAGCACTCCAATTGTTTCTGTTGTTTATGAATTATTTGTCTGTTTTTTCAGCCCATTGGAATACAGTCAACCAACAACTACTTAATTCACGTCAGGAACTACAAAAAATCATGGCAGTTGTGAAGACCACGACCAGTAGTCTTGAGCAACTGACCAGAACACTTGACTCTATACCTCAAAGCAGCCGCAATTTCCCATGTGAATTCAAGCTTGATTCACATCCACTGCTTCCAACATTACATCTGACGCTTGTTGTAAACGAACAAAAGATCGCTTCGGATTTGAATTGTACATAATCCATTAAACTTAGACGCAAACATTGACATCTGCTGGCTGTGGTGTTGATCAGTCGTAGTAGACGTGTTTTGGAAAATAGAACAACCGGCCATTTTATATCTTCAGATTATAATATTCATGGAACGTGAATAACGCGTCAAACATAGTGACAAACAAGTCCTTCTGCACTCCAAACTTCTACCAAACACAACCACACTTTTCATGAGTTTCTTGGAGTGAGATAAATTGTGTTGTATGACTTGACATTTGCATTTGGACATTTCCATTTTATATCCATCATCAGCAGCTCCATATACCATCTTGCCAGCCCAAGTAATAGTCACATTAACGCAGAATGCAACAAGGCCAAAAGAAGAATCGCGGAGGTCAACAAGGAGGGCAAGGTAGAGGAAAAGATGCACAACATGTGATTGCTACTACTACCAACATCACGACTCCTGCTTTCAATGGGTATGTCGGTGTCCTAGTTTGTGTCTTAAATTTGTCGTTTGGAGTCAACATTTGAGACAGGGCCCCAGAACATGGTGCTTTGCGCTAAGCAAACAATGTGAACTGGTTGAAATCTTAATTATCCATCTTGTTTTGATGTAGAACTGCTCGTGGAAAATGGGCTCAATCTCCTCCCAACTTTGCAAATGTTGCTTCAGCTGGTGCTTCTAGTAACAGTGCTTCTCCCACTTCAAATGCCAGAGGAGATGGTGTAACTGTTGAAAAGCAGAATAGTCAGAATTCTGCTGCTGGTGCTCTTGTATCTCCTCTAGTAGCTACTCCGCAACATCCCTTGTTGTTCATATTGGCTAATCTCGTGGTATGTGTCCAATATCGAGAAGCTCGTGAAGAGCATAACAGGACACGAACGCTTTTTAGTCACACTTAATTCACATCCATCATTATACACAGGGTCTCAAAGTACAAGTCACAATCAAGAATGGAACAATCTATGAAGGAATATGTCACACCTGCTCGACTGATGGAGAAGTCGGAATATGTTTAAAACTGGCTCGCAAGCAACAATCAGCTACAACAAAACCTGATCCTGCTGATGTTATAAAAGAACTAGTCATAATGCCCAAAGATGTTTGTGTCATTACTGCCAAAGATGTTGACTTTGGCTTGCTTTCACGTGCTACTGTCGAACGAGAATGTAAGTGTCGGGGCAGAGTAGGACTTTGGCAGGGAAAAAAATAGAAATGGATTCCTCCTATTATTGGCATATTTTGATTCTAGACAAACGCTTACTTTTCGCTGTCAACTTTTTTCAACAGCCTTCCAAACTGACACTGCAATCAGTGGAAGTGGAGGAAATCTCAAAGAACGAGCACTACAACCATGGGCTGATAGCGGGCCACCACCAGCTGATGGAATAGCTGAAAAAGATATTGGTGGTTGGGATCAATTTGAAGCCAATCGACGTTTATATGGTGTCACGACCGACTTTAATGAAGATGATTATACAATCAAGGTGGATAAGTCCGCTCCTGATTATAAACGGCGAGAAGCAGAAGCTGCCCGATTGGCTCAAGAGATTGAAAAGGTTTGACGGGTTTTGCACAGGTTTGACTTGCCCCTTTGTTTTATTGACTGACCGCAACTTTCTTTCTTGTTATTTTTCTTTCTAGTCTGGAGCTGGTGGTAATCAGCATATAATTGAAGAGAGAGGTGGTGCTGTTGCTGATGATGTTGACGAGGAGGGCAGGTTAGTGTCAGAACATCGAACTTTTTTAGCTAATCGTTTCATTTTCGCTGACACCATCCTTTTGACGCTTTCGCAGATACAGTGCAGTGTTACAATCAGGAAGATATCTACCTCCAGCTGCAAGGCGGCAGGGCTCAAACTCATCCTCCTCATCGGCTGCTAAACCGCCGAATGCATGGACTAATCCACCACAAACATCAACATCAGACGCAAAACAAACATCATTGGCAGCCGTAAAAGAACCTCCGAAACCACCCCAACAACAACAGCTACAACCGCAGCAACAGCAACAACAACCCCAACCATCTCAGCCTCGATCTGCAACTAGTGCCCATCCACCTACTACAACAGCTACAGTATCATCACCTGCGCCATCGTCAGCTCCACCAGCTTCATCTAGTAGTAGTGGGGGTGTCCCGGTGGCCGCAATTCCGCCACCGAAAAAAGCGGATGGTGGCAGTCCTTCTTCAGCAGCTCCATCCACTGTTATCAAACCATCCTCAGCAGCTCTGAGCAAGTTGCCCGCTGTTCATTCTGAAAGGGTATGTTATGAGTCTAGAACGTTTTAATGGCGTTTGCTTTCGGAAGTGTGACCTTAAACCTTTTCTTTCTTCGTCTCGTCACCTAGAAACCTGGCTCACCTGCTCAAAAGCCCACGCCAGACGATATGGTTGAAGAGATGAGGCGATTTGCTGTCAAGGAACAGCAAACCGTACATAAAGAAAAGGATCATCTGCAAGCTCGAAAGAGAGATTTGATGAAGAGAGAGAAGGATGGTATTTTAAGTGACTTCAAGAAGTTTAGTGAGACTTTCCAGGTAATGGAAATTCTGAACTAATCGCAGCAGAAACGACTTTTTGTGTGTCCAAATATTGTCTGACAATTTCATTTCACTCCTTTCTAGTTGAAAACACCTGTTCCCGCCGATTTGAAGGCCATGTTGAAGAAGGATGAAAAGGGTGATGACACCAAGAGTGATGCTTCTGGCGAGGCTTCTGGCACCTCGTCAAAGGGAGATGACAGAAAGAAGCATGGGATTGCTGGTGCTTCACCCAAACAACAACAACCATCATCGGCTTCTGCATCGAATGTCCCAACACGGACGCCAACACCTGTATCAGCAACTGCAGCTCCCACAAAGGCTGCAGAGAAGTCCAAGGACTTTAAATTCAATCTGGATGCTAAAGAGTTTAAATTCAATTTGGATGCGCAAGAGTTTAGACCTACCCCTACCACTGACTTCATACCGGTATGAGGTTCATTGACATTCACTGAAGTCCGTTTTGTTATCGTTCTGACTAATTCGAAATTTTCGTTTGGGATCATCTTGACAGACTCCTCAACCTCCTCCAATGGCATTCGCACAGCCCATGTTTATGCCCCCTATGCAACCACAACAATTCATGGCCCCCATGCAAGAAAAATCCCCAATGCAACCAGACAAGGTAACTCGTATACATGGGCTCGTGCTTTTCTGGCTTGATCCCTCACGCTCCTATTTCTCCTTTGTCACAGAATGTATTTGTTTGGAATCGTGGCCCTCCACAACCACCAATGGAAGGAACAATAAAGGATGCAATGATGAAAAACTTTACAAAGCAAACAGCCACTCCATCACCCAAACCACTGAATATTCGTGAGTAAAAATCGTTCTTGTTGTCTCAATTAGTTTGTTGTAGAAGAGTCTCAACCTTCCGTTTTAACATGTTAGTACCAACATGGCCAGGGAACAAGCATTCATATAAATCACCACCACCATCACCTCAACAAGAAGAAGGCGGTCCTATTGCATTCGCACCTATACAAATTGATCCCCAATATGGTTTTGCATATCAACAAAACGTGCAACCATATCCACCTTATCCAAGGGTGAGGCAACTAATTGTCGTGTGCAATGTTTGGTACTTTCCTAACGTTATTGTTTTTCCGCCGCAGCCAATGATGGGCAGACCCCCATTTGTGCCTATGCAAATGCCAATGCCATACGTAAGTACCAAGAAGAGAATGTCTTATATTGGAAACCTGATCAAAAACGGATTGTTGATCGTCGTTTGCTTATCTAGTATACACCAATGCCCCAGTTTCCACCCGGAGCTGGACCAAATCCCATGTTTGCACCTCAAATGATGCAGCCTCAGCAAGGGCGCGTCTATTCTCAAGGAAAACCGCAAGGTATGGAATGTACTCTTGATTTCACAGTTGGATCTTAAACAAAACTCGCAAATATCAAAACAAATCGAACTCAAACAAACAGGTTATCGACCAGATATGTATCAATCTGCTCCCTCTGGAAGACCGAACTTTGTTAATGTACAAGGGTTCCAACAAGGTTTGAGTTTTGAACTTTTGTGCAAAGCTTTGATTGAAACCTTTTTAACACCTGCACTTTCAATAGGTCCTATGATGGCATTCCCACCAGAAATGATGCCCATGCCACAAGGAGTTATGATGGGTCCCCCACAATCTTGGCCTGAACAACAAATGGGTATGTAGTTGTTTGTGCAAAAAACCACACGTGCTGACATAATTCTTCGACCAGGAGATGCATCAATGCCGCCAGTACCTCAAAATCAGGAACGGTATCAATAAGAACGGTATCCCAAATAAAAACAAATTTGAGCCGACATGATATTTTGTTTCTAAAAACAAGAGATCACCATTCACCACACAGCAGGCGTTCAGCATAGAATGATAATGAACAATTCTTTGTGTATTAGAGGCAAGAAATTTAGATTTTTCGATTTTTCAGTATTTTGTAGCTTCAGAGGGTCCGCAGCAGTCGGCAATGATTGGGTATAAAATTGAGGGTTCGACTCGACTGTCTTGACCTTTTTGACGAACAACATCAAAAAGTGTTTGCAAAAAAAGGACGAATAACATGACGCCTTTAGGCGTGATGTAGACAAAGAGGCCTATTTTGAGGAATCGTTTATTCAGCTTATGGTCTTATTCCTTTGAACTGGGCACAATTTGGATACGGAAACGCGATTGATTCACGAAATTAAAATCAAAAGTCACATCGGGCCACAGTCAAACGTTCTGCAATCGGTGGATAATAAAGCTATGAAATATCCTTCTATAAAACCACGAGGATTCCCTACATTGACCATAAACCGGAGTAGCCCAAATCTATTCAATGACAAGGTGAACATTCGTGTTTGTTAGAAACGAGGAGAGACGAGTGGTTGAGAAGAGAGAGAAGGAGAACACGATTCTTATAATATAGTTGATTTTTCTAACCAATATCACACATCCGTTTTAGATACCGATTGATCAACAAATAGCTGATGCACTACTAGCCAATAACAGCAATTTATTGGCACTAATATGTCAGTCCTCATTTGTTGGCGATACTGCCGCTAGTGTCTCGCTGGGTGTCTTGTCGTTACTGAAACGGGGGAAGGGTCGTGCTGCCGAAGATTTCTTGAAACGGTTGCTGACTTCACGGATGGGCGTCTCGCTCAAGAAGAATAGGGATTTGAGTGATATTTTACGAGACAATAGGTTGGGGTCTTTTAACCTTTCGTTTGGGTGTAGCCGAACACGGTTTGAATCTAACCACACTCTCCAATAGTATGGCAACCATTTTATTGAATGCATTCGCAAGACAAGAAGGTGTATCCTATTTATCGAAATCAATTGGAGAAGCACTAGGGGAAGTGATAGCATACCTAGACCATTGCGAAATTGATCCACAAAGACTTAACGCTAGTGCTGCAGCAAGTGCCGCATTAGCAGGTGGACCACAAGCAGCTGCACAAACCGACACCCCATTATCAACCGAGTTATCAGAAAACGAAAACAGACTCCGTGTAGCATGTCTACGACTCGTATCTTCTATATTCGATAATCGGGAATCCATGCCTATATCTCTTAGAAGAATGTGTCATTTCCTACATACCGCAGTTATTGAATGGGGTGCTACGCTACCGAGTAATCCGGCTAGACCGTCAACGATGAGTATGGTAGATCCAGTTAGTTTGAAACGCGGTATGAGTACACCTCTACCTGATGATATTCGAATGATGCCTACTGGTCCTCTGCCATCATTACCACAATCTTCGCGATCAACACATATGATTCCCTCTCAATCAAACTTATCCGATATGAACAGTAAAACTAGTGCACGAACATCATCTGAACATTCTCAACCGATAAACACCATAACCAACATAACATCGACAACAACGACAACAAACCAAATATCACAACCGACCACGACATCGTCTGAACTCATCGATAATGCATCAAATGGAAGCAAACCTTCGTCGCTTTGTGAAAGTGATGCTATGCGAGGCAGTATTGTCATCAAGAAACGAGACCCAACATCTTCGACAATAGTTAGTCAAGGAACACCGCCAATAGCAGCTTCAGGAGCGCTTCGCGTCGCTGCTACGGCCATGACACCAGCATCAGTAGACGACCATACGCTGCCGAGGCGACCAAGAGCCTTCACAGGTCCCGCAAATCCAGACCAACCAATCATCGGGATGCCATTACAAGGTCGAGGTTCAGGTGACGACTCTTCAAAAACAAGCGGGTCATCAATACACCTGAATAACAAGAGTCCCATGGCATCACACGAGCACTTCCCTCATATCAGTTCAGCAATTATTCGACCGGCAATCAATTTCAATATTTCAATACCGAATAGTAGTACTAGTCCTATTATGCTACCTGCCGGGCTCGAAATGTCGAATATGAGATCTGCTAGCTCTGTAGATGCTTTTGCTGCCCCTCTATCACCTATTCTTCGGACACCAACATTTGTTGACAATACGCCCTTGGCTGTACGGCTGCTCGCTGATTCGCAGTCTCGGATTGGCAAGAGATGGGATTCGGATAATGTGTCGATAATTAGGACGGTGGGATCCTTGACCGTTGCTGAAAAGGTTATTGGATCGTTCTTGTTTTTAAGGTTTTTCGTACCAGGTATGTAGAAACAGGCATTTTTGGGAATACGCACCAAAAAGTCTGCCAAAACAGTCCGAATTGCTCACTCACATACGGTCCTTCCCATATTAGCAATGACATCACCAGACAAGTGTGGGCTTACCGACGTCAAGATCAGTTCGGGAGGCAGAAGAGGGCTAGTGCTATGTGGAAAACTAGTCACAGCTCTATGCAACGACGTCGAATTTGGAGCCAAAGAACAATACCTCATGCCATTAAACTCGTGGCTCAAAGAAAACCGAGACAAGATGAAAGAATTTCTTGTATTTGCTGCATCCCCACTTCCAGACGAAGAAGCAGAAGCCGACACCGAAGCTGACCTCCCACTTGACGGCGGTGTACGAGAACGAGAACCAACCACACCAAGCTCTCCCCAAACATCACTCGCCCGCAAAATCCCAGCTAAAAAGAGCGCAGGAGGACTTGGCTTTTTAATGTCTACATCCATGCCATCCCTGACTCTTTTATCAACCGACAACAAGGTAGCAGCCGACACCCGCCACTCACAACCACCAACCCCGATCGCCGCCGTTGCACCAGTTGACTTACGAAGACGTAGCAAGTCGGCTGATAACCTATCACATGAAGCTGATAATTTGTTTGCATACTTGGGTCGATCCATCGCCAAGATTGAACGTGATATTGAAGAATTGTTGCCTGGACTGCCGTCAGATGAAGCTGAAGGGGTTGCTAGTAATTTGGCAGTATTGAAGAAATTGTTGAAAGTCAGTCAATACTCGGAGGGCAATTCGACAATGAGCAAGTCTTCGCAGAATCCAGTCTTGTCGAGGCTTAATTGGATACGGGATTATCTTCAGTGAGTTATTGATATACGAGTCGGGCGTTGTGTCGGGCGTTGTGGTTTTGTCTTTGGTTGTAGTCAATTTTGAGCCCGTTAGCAAACGTCGTACTTATCATTATTCTACTTGTAGGAAACCGAAATCAACTTCCTTTGAGGATCTGAGGCCAGTAGAAGGTATGTGGAGAGAGAGAGAGCGAACCCCACGATTGCTACAAGATTTGTATCATCGCAATAACTAACGATGTTCCATCTTCTTAGGCCGGCATTCCGAGAGCATGCTGAGGACGTCTCAGAGGCGGATGACTCAAAAATGATTTATTAAAACACCCCCTCCAAAAAAACAGTTTTTCTTCAAGAGTTTTTCTTTGTACCTCAACCAACCAATTGTACATGACCCAACATACTGCACACACAACACCTCAATGAATATAGATACGTTTATTATTTTGTCAACTCTAACTTTTGATTAGCTGTTTCGTTATGCTGTTGCAGATAATTTCGTATAAAAGTTGAACTGAGTTTGGTATCCATGTCTTTTTGCCCAACACGAGAATTCTTTGAGATGACATCAATGACGTAGATGTCTAAGAGATTGTCACCGAGGCCGTTTTTAATTCGCATGTCGTTTACTATGATTGAAAGAGTAGAGTAAGCACGGCAAAAAAAAATCTTGTCTAGTTTGGAAGCATGCTCTTTTTTACCAGCTTCACATCCTTTGAGTGTCTCCAATGATCCCACAATAGCAGAATACTTTGGATTATCTTGTGGAGGACCATACGGATCGTTAATTTGAGCCACATCAAACACCAAATCACCACCTCTCTTGAATCGATATAAAAAGGTGTTGCAGTTTGAGATTCGCGTATCTATTGGTTCGAGCAAGGCTGCTCCTTTCTTGTTTTTCAGTAGGTCTGGAGCTGCAAGCGAAAATAAGAGTTGAATTGGCAAAAAAATACTGTAATGCTTGGAAGGGATGAGAGCTGTAACCTCAACACTTACACACAACACCGCAAAACAGCGAAAGCCGAGACAGCCAAGCAGCTATAGTCAGTAGAATCTTGTGTCCGCTATGCAAATGATCGAATGTTCCTCCCATAGCTATATGGTCGTAAATGTCTGGTGGATTTGATCCACGATGATAGAATTCTTGTGAGTTTGTTGTTACTGATGGTGTTTCGTTGGTTTTTGATGTTTCGGGTTCTAGTTCAAGAGATTCAAAGGCAGGTAGACCTGCTGATTGTCGCTTCTTGTTTGCTTCTGATAGGACTGCTTGGTCTAAGAGCAGAAAATATGATTAAATTTGATACCAAGCTATGGTAAACGCACATCCACCGCAACACATACCATCACACAAAACAGCATCAAATCCGCCTTCTAACCCTCCATAATCAATCCACGCGTCATATCCACAGTACCCCTCAAAAATGATGTCCACATTCAGCAATGGGTTGTTACACGTATACGCCACGGTTGAAGCCGAGATGTAAAAGTCGGCCACGAGTCCCTGAAGCACTTGCCATACTCGTCGTGGAGTGGAGGCGTTTGCAGCAATGTCTGGACACGACAAGATTATTCGGAGTTGATGTTGGGCGAGTCCTGATGCGTGAGATATTAGCTGGAGTGCTCGAGTACGTGATGCGGATAGAGAGGGGAGCGGGATGTATACTATTATGCCGGATTGTTGGGATGCCGTCATGGTTGTTATAGCTGCGAGTTTGGTCCACACAAGACGCAGAGCTACAGAAATAGCGAGTAAGTGGGTTGTTTTGTTTGAAGCAAGAGTTGAATTCATCTTATCATAGTGTATTAAATCATTATACTTCGACTAATCTGCCACTCACCGCTCTAGTTTCTCTGTCTCGTATGTGAATCCGTGGTTTTGAGTTTTGAAGAATTAAGAGCTAGTTTCAAAGGAGGAATGTCAAGCTCTAATGGCGAAGCTATAATTCCTCCCAGTAACAATGTCGCACGTGGACTTGCTAATTACCCAGCTGCTCGAAAAGCTGGTTCATTCCTTTTCGTGTCGGGATGCTCTTCACGACAACCCGATGGGACGTTTCTAGGCAAGCATCATCATTGATTTAATTTCGTTTTAATTGTTGAAATCGTCTATCTAATTGAATCTGATCGTTTCTCATAGGGGTGATGATCTCATGTTTGAACACGATGTCGGAAATTTGAAGGCTCACAACGACATTCTTTAGGCTGAAGTCAAACCAGACGGAACTGTTGAGTTTGATATTCAAAAGCAGACTAGAGGTGTCATTGAGAAGGTACGTCCTAACCCATTAAACAGATCTTTGCTGATGAATGGTTCAACTCGTAGATCAAAGAAGTCTTAAAGACTGCTGGTGCTAGTCTAGAGAATCTAGTGGAGCTCAATGTGTTTCTGACCAATATGGCTGACTACAACGGATTCAATGAAGTCTACAATGAGTATTTCACAGAGCAAGGGGGTCCTGCTAGAACAACTGTTGCTGTGAAGGAGGTACTTAATTGTTTCTGCTTGAAGTTTTATACTACATAGTTACCATTTTAAATTCATTTTACTTTTCCCATAGCTGCCTCATCCGTATATTATAATTGAAATCAAGGGTATTGCTTTGGCTCCATAGCACTCAAGAGGTTACAGAAGTTGAAAGTGTATTATAGCGCAAAGAAAATATATTTCACATTAGTTTCAGCGTCTTGATCTCAGTAGTAGTTCCTTAGTTTTGTAGGCAGAGTTTTTGGTTTACGTCAAACCTTTTAGATGACAGGGTGGTTTAGCCAACACACATATTCCACTTCAAAGGCGACCTCCCAATAGCCATGGACCATAGAGTGTAATCGCCCGCAAATGCCAGCATTGAGCTCGGTGAGCCAGCCAGGCCAGTGTAATTGCGTACAGCTGCGGTACTAGTGACGGGATAAAAGGTATCGAAAAAATGCCACTCTTTGACGGTTTTGTCAGCGGATGTGCTGAAAATACGAGCTACTACGTTTCCCCACGGGCTTGTTGTAACAGCACTGGACAATTGATAGACAATCCCCGTGTGTCCAGTCCAGTTCGTCATTGCTCCAGTAAGGGTGTTGAGTACAACCACCCGCTTATCATTCGTGCCTGCAAAGGCTGTAACTTCGTGAGGGTACCCAATTGCCGTTACACCATTCACAGGAGACGACAAGTTGAAGGATCTCACAAATTGGTTTGATGAGTAGTTGTACTGTCGGACCGTGCCGTCTGTACATGCCGAAAACACCATATAGTCCGGAGATGGCAAAGCATAGATCTGTCGGATCATTGCCGTATGGCCCTGCAGATCAAGATACTGAGTCAAACGAGGAGCGACGTGCACGATATCACGATACCAGACATGTCTTACGGTATAATTGGCGAGCGAGGTCCCACTGGTTGTGTTGTAAACTAGGAGAGTGGCAGCTCCTACCATGGTATCGCCAATGAAGACGACACCCGGAAAAGCAAAGAGAGCTGTTGGGTTCCCAGTGGTATTGATGTTACGGATCAACAAACCACTAGTCAAGTTAAACTCATTCACATGTGCTCCTACTCCTGCAAAGAGATGGCCGGGAATGGCTACATACGTAGGGACAAAGAAATCAGTCCGAATCATCAACAAGGAAAAGGTAAACAAAGAAAAAAGGACCTGTGAGACTAACCGAAGATGCATCCAGAGGGTTGCGCGCTGCTTAGTGTGAAGTTACGGGTATTAACATCTGTTTTTGAGTGTGAGAAATAAAGGTCAGTGTCGTCAACATTTAGCTGAGGTTATTGTTCGCACATACTGGTTGTTGTGCTGAACTCCTTTAATATAGCACTAGATCCGGTAATAGTATAGCCTGTGTTGTAAGAGTCCAGAACGAAGACTACATTTCCCGTTACGGATGTGTAGTTTGTCACTGCCAGCGATAGTTCGCATCCATTCCAGGGCTATGGGAACAAAAGGGCTGAGTGACAATTGTTTCGTCGGAATACCGAAAACTTTAATCACTCACATAACCATCGCAATCGCTGAATCCCGTGGCACAGGAGTCAATCAGACACTATAATATGAAAAGTTAGACGTTTCGGAAAGCGGAAACAAAATACACAAATGAAGTCATACCCATCCGTTGGTACAGTTCGTGGAAGCGGCGTTTGGCCCGACGGTGCAAACGTTTGTACATTGTCCACAATTCTGTGTGTCGTTCATTATTGACTATCGTGAAGTTGTGGATGATTACGTTGAGGGGATATCTCGTGACAATATTGACGAATGTACAAGGTAGTTACCACTTCACAGCCGTTCGTCGGATCTCCGTCACTAAAAGATGTGAATGAACCAAGATGGTTTCAAGAGATGACGCAACTTCCATTTCCTTCTTTGGAATACTTACCAGTCACTGAAGCCAGGTAGGCACGAATCAAGGAAACACTAGGAAGTATGGATTTTTGGTGTCAGAAACTTGAGCCTTGAAAAGTTCATCCCTACGATTTACCTGCGAGTCGCCGCAGACAGCATTTGCATTTGGAAAAGCACAAGGAGATCCACAAGCTCCTAATTAACAGATGAATAAATCACGGCTCATTCATTCGAGCTCCGATTGACATGCCAACCCACCACAATTCTGAAGATCCGATGTTGTGTCCTAAAATGTGAGAAGAAGGTCAATACAACAATTCTACCTATCACTGAGTGATGCGAAATCCACTCTTACGCTTTCACAGCCATTGGCGGGATCAGAATCACAATCACCCCAAGACCCAACGCAAGAGCTGACGGCACAAAGAGAATTGGAGCAGGTAGATATTGCTCCAGGTAAATTACACTGTTCGCCACAAGCTCCACAATTTGGAGTTGAATCCAAAGGCTATAGAATTTCAAGTTGAGCTTTAACGTTGTAGTCCTTGACATCAGGAAATCTTACTGTTTCGCATCCATCAGTTTGCTAAGAGGACGAGGATATTTAGCTCAAGCCGCAACCAATGCAAGCTCAACTCAAATTTACCAAATTGTTGCAGTCTCCAAAGCTATGGTCACATGATAGGAACGAGCACACACCCCCACTACATGCCGACTGAGAATGTGGGAGTTGACAAGCAAGTCCTATTCAGGCAAAGTAAATAACAGGAAATCGAGTTTCAACGAGGAACTGGCCTACCACAAGATCCACAGTTGTTAACGGACTTGGCTACAAACTGTATGTGAAGTAATCGGTCAGAAGTGCACACAAATCAACTAAACATATTTATGACAATTACCGTTTCGCATCCATCCAAAGGATTCGAGTTACAGTCCTGAAACCCGCTGCTACATTTACCCATGCTACAGAGTCCCCCCGAGCAATTAGCAGCAGCGTTGGCATAATTACACGCCGAGTTACAAGAACCGCAAGATGAGACCGACGTCAATATGTCCTAAATTGTATCTCGTTAAAAAGTCTGATTTCAGAGCAATTTCTAACCACAATGCTGACCGTTTCGCAACCATTAGCCGCATCTAGATCACAATCACTCCATCCAGAAGAACATTGTTCGATCGTGCACGTACTACCAGTGCAGGAGTTGATGGCCACATTTGGTCCATTGCAGACATAACCGCATGCGCCACATGAAGTATTTGAAACCGAGGGGTCCTAAATAAAAAGTTATAGGTGTCAACACGTAGTCTTCATTACATATAATCTTCCCTCATGCTGCTTGCCATGCATGTACCAGCACACATTGTCAAACCAGGCAAACACGATGGAGTCGGTGAAGGTGCAACGGATATTGGAATGATGGTAGTAGGTGATGCTAACACTGCAGATTGGTCTGCAGATTGAGCGACGGCTGATGGAGCATACGTTGTTGGCGATGGTACAACTATAGATGTGTCTGGAGATTGAGTAATGATTGTGGCCACAGTTGTAGCTGAGGATGGTTCGGCCGATGAGTCTGGAGATTGAGCAACAGTCGAAGGAGCCACGCTTGGATCAAAAGACGGCGCAGCACTCCAAGCAACTGTGGTCGAAGGTTCCGCACTAGATTGAATAGACGGTGCTGCACTTGAGTCAATTGTAGTGGATGGATCTACACTTGGCTGGGTAGATGGTGCTGCAATTGAGTCGATTGTAGTAGAAGCATCTACACTTGTCTGAATGGATGATGCTGCACTCGGCGCAACTGTAGTAGGAGCATCCGCACTTGATTGAATAGACGGCGCTGCACTTGGGTCGATTGTAGTGGAGGGATCTGCACTTGGCTGAATCGATGATTCAGCACTTGAAGCAACTGTAGTAGAGGCACCCACGCTTGGCTGAATGGATGGCGCTGCACTCGCAGCAACTGTAGTCGACGGATCTGCAGTTGGTTGAATAGATGATACTGCACTTGATTCGATTGTAGTTGACGGCTCCACAATTGGAGGAATAGACGGGCCAGCACTGGAAGCAATTGTCGTCGATGGGTCCACACTTGATTGAATAGATGGTGCTGCACTTGCAGCAGTTGTAGTTGAAGCCTCTATACTTGGCTGAATGGATGGACCAACACTTGTGGCAACCGTAGTCAAAGCATCCGTACTTGGCTGTATAGATGTTTCAGCACTTAAAGCGATGGTAGTCGAAGGATTTGCACTTGGCTGAATTGATGGAGCTGCACTTGAAGAGATGGTAGTCGAAGAATCTACGCTTGGCTGCATAAATGGAGCTACACTTGAAGCAACTGTAGTAGAAGCATCCACGCTTGGCTGAATGGATGGCGCCGCACTCGAAGCAACTGTAGTCGAGGGATCCGCACTTGATGGTACTGCACTTGATTGGATTGAAGTTGACGGCTCCACACTGGGCTGAATAGATGGGCCAACACTGGAAGCAATCGTGGTCGAAGGATCCGCAGTTGGTAGTACCGTCGATGAAGACCCAGTTGGTGGCAAAAGAATTTCAAAAACATTGGATGGAACTGCTGACGTGTAAACCGAGTTAATTGTTCCAAAAGTAGTCAAAAGAGATGTGGTAGCGGTTTCAGTCTGTGAAAAATAGTTTAGTTGGAGCGTTGCATTCCGAAAATTTCAAAGAAAGATTCCCGTTTACCGATGTGGAATTTCCCAAGGCACCGGACCTATAAGATCAAACGAACAATGAATTTCTATTTTCAGAGCTTCCTTTAGCCAGGGATTGTGCGATACTTGCATGTTTTGAAATAACACTGAACCTTCTGTAACGGCGGCGTTTCTACTGGTGACAACAGAAGTTACAATAATGGTTATCGCAGCTGGCGGAATGACTGAGAAAATTCACTGTTAGAAACGTAGGTGTACGATTCGCAAATTGAGACCACATACTAATAGCAGCAAGTATTAAGTAGCAAAGTAGAGGCTAAAAAGAGGCTTTGAATTAGATTTCTTTCACCTGCATATACGTGCATCAGAATCCTTGCTCTAGTTTTCTTCAAGGTGATCAGATTCCTGTATCTAGACGCCATAGATCCATCTTCAGCTCCCATCAACCACACACTGCTAGTCCAGGAGCTGGCTTCAACCTTGAGCTTGCTTGCAGGAGCGTCTTGTTTCTTCAAAATATCTGTCAAGTATTCACCCTTGTCGACGCCTTCCTTGTAGGCAAACCCACTAAAATCGCAAGATTAGATGTCCTGAAGAGCAGTGACGACGGATACTCAAACTGAACACGTACCGTCCAACAAAGAAAGAAACCATTTCTTTTGGAGGTCCAGCATACAACGTGGTTCCTTCATACAGAACGATTGTATTGTCAACCAAATCAAAGAATGAGTTAGCCATTTGACGAGTTGTGACGACGACACTGATTCCAGAGTTTGCAAGTTTGGAAAGAGCAACCATTAACTCAAAGCTTTCTTCGGCGCTCAAATTCAGAGTCGGCTAGGAGAAACATTCTTCAAGTCGACTCTTGGTTTTGAGATAAACGGGTAACAACAAAGGACGCACATTGTCCAGAAACAAAATTTGAGGATTTGCCAAGACTTCCATAGCTACAGCTGTTCGCAATCTAGCAGTCGGGGAGAGTTACAGGGACACTGCAACACAACGAACTACAACTGAAACGATTGTGCACCTTTCACCATCAGTAATGCCCGTCTTTGAAGCAGAATCTCCAATGACCTTCTCCGCAAGATGGTCCAAATTGAGTAACTCCAAGACAGAATCAATCTTGTCCCTCATGTCGGTCAACCCCGCATTGCTAGGCATGCGGAGCATCGCCGCCATAGTAACTGCTTCCTTTACAGTAACGGTGGCCATATTTGATCGGATAGAGCTTTCAGAAACCAAAGCACTGATTTTTCGAATGTCCGCAGCGGCAACTTCACGACCGTTAGACAATAACTGTCCTTCCACTGATCCTTTAGCTTGGCCAGTAAGAACCTGTAATAAAGCACTTTTGCCGGATTTCGTAAGACCGACCACCTGTTATTTGAAGTTGCGTCGGCAAAAGGCAACTTTCTGATCTTTGACTGTATTGCGACAAACCCGATATCAAAATGTCAACCACGAATTTACCGTGGTGAGACCTGGAGAAAACTCTCCATAAGCATTGTCAAGCAGCACTTTTGGTACAAATGGCTTCTGGCCACCTTTTACCAAAGTTGGAACTTGGACAGTGTAAGACAGATGTCGAAAGGCCACCATCGACTTTTTATAGCTTGGAATCCCTAGAGACGTTGGAATAATTCATAAATATGTTTACGTCATTGACAAATGATTTGTGCCAGATATGATCGCCTTACGTTTTTCTCTGTTGGGAGTTGTATCAGCGTCAGATTCAGGCGCGACTTTGTCATATCTTTTGCCTTCTACAATTCGTAAATCTTTATGGTCAGTCAAAGTGCCAAGTCTCGTACCAACTTGCCACCAAAACGGAAAAATCCAATCCAAAAACTCAACTGTTTTCCGAGTTGGCGCGATTTTGAATTGGTGGGTCAACCGACTCTTGACGTTCACGTAGAACTGCCTCATACTTTGAAGCTCCTAATAGAAGAACATTACTGGTAAGACATCTAATTTGCAACTCATCAAAGAGTCCACCGACTGCGAACTGTCTTGTTTTTCATTCATATTTTTTGTTTCAACAAGCACACAAGCACCTAGGTACTTACTTGATACAGCCATAAGAGTATCTTCTGATCCTGGGAATACCTTGGCACTACCTGATTTCTTTTGCTTCAAGGACTTGCGTGGTAGTACGGTAGTGATGCTGTGCTGTGGTGCCTTTGTTTCCCGCTTATTCGAGTATGAACACTGCGCAGAAGGTCAAAAAAGGACCGTGATTTACACATGTCGGTGATATGGTAAAGTAGAGGCCTCACACATGTTAACTTCTTCGTCTTCGTGAGGTCGAGATTCCGGAGAGCTGAAACTGAGAAGTCCAAGAAGTTTTGACAGAAGGAAACCAAATAGCTAGTCGAGTGGTACGTTGCTATAGAGAAGCACGACGTACGTTGAATTTGCGCTAAAAAATCATTTACCGCAACATGTCACTGTCAATACTCTGCCCTGTCGTCGTAAATCGTAAATGCGTCGATTTCACTTTTCAACAAACTCATCACGAATCCACATAAGAAATGATGAACAATAGAGTGACAACACCCCATAGAAACAGAGAAATAAAACAAAATAGACATGCAGAATGTGCAAAGTGTATTAATTGACAAACATTTATTCCTACTAGCACTTTAATCTTTGTAGCATATTGTGACGTCGTCAAGATAAAAGTCCTCACTGTATCCACCACCTTCTCGACCTAATCCTGAAGCCTTGGTTCCTCCTATTGGTCACAAATTCAGTTTAACCCCACTATCAAAGCGAACCACTCCAGTCTCAAACCAAGACACTCACCAAATGGCATATTCAAATCCCTGACCATCCAACAATTGACCCAAACTGTACCAACACGTAGTTGTTGAGCAACACGGCGAGCCTTCTTTGCATTCTCAGACCAAACACTGGCTGACAGACCGTATTTGGTGTCGTTGGCAAGAGATACTGCTTCTTCCTCGGTTTTGAAGGGCAGAATGCAGACGACTGGTCCAAATACTTCTTGTTGAAATAGAGGACTAGAGTGTGGTAGCCTTGCGAGGTGAATTGTGATAGTTAGATTTTGAGCTAAATCAGTTCTCCGAACGTCCAATTTTTTTGGCGACTTTGAACTTACCCTGTAATGATAGTAGGCCTCAAAAAGAATCCATTCTCAAGTCCAGGAACAGCTACCTTGACACGTTCTCCACCAGTCAATATCTTGCCACCTTCTTCCTTCGCCATAACGAGATACTTCATAATCTTCTCGAGGTGTCTGCTATTGTTCACTGGACCAAGATCTGTCCTGTCGTCTTTCGGGTCACCGACTACCAGTTTGTCTGTTCGTTCAACCAAGGCTGAAACGAACTTGTCATATATCGATTCTTCAACCAAGATTCTTGAACCACATAAACAGATTTGACCAGAGTTTGAGAAGCTGGATCTCACAGAGGTCGCTACAGCATCTTCAAAGTTGCAATCGGCAAAGACTACGTTTGCATTCTTGCCACCTAATTCCAGAGACAGCTTTTTGAAATAAGGTGCAGCTGCGCGATAAATCCATTCACCAGTAGCAGTTCCTAAAGATATGAAATTGAGCCAAGCAGTTGATTGAACAACGATAAATCTGAGGGCAGCCTTACCACCAGTGAAAGAAATCAATGGTACGTCTGGATGACAAACAAGAGGTGTACCAGCAGATCCACCTTCTCCAAACACCATATTCACAACGCCAGCGGGAACCCCAGCCTCATTGAACACCGAGCAGAGCATGTGAGCTGTAGCAGAGGTAAACTCACTCGGCTTACAGACTGCTGTACATCCAAAGGCGAGACACGGACTGACAAAAGGGAACAACAAATACGTCAGCGAATGCAGACACACAAAAAATTCAAAGGAGACTAACGCTATCTTCCATGTAAGCAGATATAGAGGTAGATTCCACGGAGATATCAAACCAGCAACACCAGCTGGATTTCTGCGACCGTAATCTCGTCAGTGTTGCAGTAAATACAAGCACTGACGCCACTTCAATACGAACCTGTGTACCACAGATAGCGCAACTCCATCCAAAACAGACGATTTTTCGGATGTATGAAGTATGTACGAGGCAAAGAATCGAAAGTTGTATATTGCACGTGGTATATCGACCGTAGCAGCTAGCCTTACTGGCTTGCCTTGATCAATGCTTTCTTCTAATAACACATGCAAATCCATGTCAGACCATGCATTTTCTCAGCATTGTCAATCTTGGAAACGAACCTTTTGCAAACTCCATTAGTCTAGATTCGATTATATCGGCAACCTTGCTGAGTAGGGTTGATCGATATTGCCGAGTAGTTTTTGACCATGATTCGAATGCACGTTTTGCAGCTGCTACAGCTAGATTTATATCTTGAGCATCTGAGAATGGTAGAGTGGCGTTCACCTGTTGAATATAATGTTGTTAAGCGTATTTGAGCCTAAGAACCTGCAGGAGCTAATAGGAGTGAGCTTGCCACTGCTGTTGTTGGGTTCACACTCTCAAAGTACGATCCATTGACAGGCTTTTCAAATTTTCCGTCAATGAAGTTGAGAATGTGGTGGAACCCGTCGTCTGATCTTCCAGTCATTGTATAGCTATTGTGGTTGGTAAGGGACTGTTTAGTTAGCAGTGTTGGTTTTGATGTACGTGATCTCCACACGAACAAAGCAGTTCGGTCCAAGATCACGTAAACGAATCATACAATGCACGACAACATAGATTATTTCTCTGCTTTGACGTTGTTCCCAACGTATTCAACTCGTCGTTCACTGTTCCAAACATCCAAGATGCCTTCACTCGGCTCAATGTATATATATCCGATACTTATTCTACTGTCACTTACTGGATCGTTTGGCTACGAATACTATAATGAATTCGCTGATATTCAGCAGTTTCCCGATGGCAAAGTGCTCCTTGTCTTTCAGCACGTTCGAGTTATTGAACCTGACGTGTGGAAACAAGCTACAAGTAACAATCACGCTTAACAGCACTTGTATTATTCTGATGCCTATATTAATTAATATTCTACCGTGTTTCTTTTCTTAGATGGTCACTTTTCCCTACTGCCACGAAGCTTAGGAGAGGCATTCATCAAATACAATGTCGAGGAATTCCAGCTAGTCTTTACCCAAGGGAGATGGATGTATGATAAATGGGGTACCCTGCCTGTTGCTGCTGCATCCGGTGTCACGCTTTCCACTGTCTTTCGTACCGGCATCAAGTAAGTTCACAATGCAAAAAGAAAAGTTGCAAAATGCCCCATTCCATTCCTAAACGCAATGTGATCTCTCTAGTGTTGACAAGTCATGGAAGGGATTCACACATGCTTTATCTGGTTTGTTTTGTGCGTCGCTCAACTTTATGGATGACGCTGCTACTGTTCCTTGGACTCCGAGAATCGACACTAGTCCATGGAATAGTACGTTTATTACATCAACTATGGCAAGTCCATCATCATCGCTAATTCTCACATAACTTATAGATACACGGCAATCTCGATCTCGGTACTCTGCTCTCCCACGAGAGGCAGTTTGTACAGAAAACTTGACTCCCTGGGCGAAACTTCTGCCGTGTCAGACAAAAGTAGGTCCATGTGATTTTTTATTAGAGCTTTCGTGCCCTCATCATCTGACTATTCAATGAGTTTTAGGCTGGAATTGCGACGCTGTACAATTCCTACAAGGTCTACGATGCAAACTACCATTCCTTGTCCACATCTATTGCACCAAAGTGTCTGGTAAGATCTAGCACATCATCAGCGATAAATCTATCTTTTTTCGCTGTTTGAAATGCGTTGGCTCCTGTAGAACGAGGAATGTCGGAATCCTGACATGATCTTTACTCAAAGTCTGACGGTAGTGTTGGATCCAGTGCGGATTCGTAACTCGAAAGGTATTAGCGATAATTATAAAGATCCCAGGTGGTATAATTCTGGAGTTAATTTAAGGTTTTTTTTTTTGCAGACTGGCTGTTTTCGAATCTGTTGGACAGAAAACTTTGGAGGTCTTGTCCAGTTGCCAATTCTAGTCTTGTTCGACTGAAAACGGCACAAGGAGACGACTATGAGCTTGCAGAGGAAGCATCTGTGAAAACATTGATTTCGGGCAGTTGTGTTTATGAATACGACTTCAGCTCCCGTAAGGCGAACGAGTAATTAGTGATGGCAATCCTGTTACCAATTTTTCGTATCCATAGGATTGAACTTGGATGTTGGTATTCAATGGAATGATGCAATAATTGATTATGGTACTGCCAGAAGTGTTTTGGACTACAATCTCTTGTTTAACTCTTTTTTTTTGTGCTAGTGACAACCGCCAACTCGTCACCCATCAACATTCGACGATACGCCACTGGATTTGGCCAAGAGCGTGGAGGTTTCCATGTCGCGATACGCAACCAACACCCTACAGAGTCATTTGAAATCACATACTACGAGTATGTGCCGTGGTTTCTCAAAGTTTATCTTCACACCTACCATGTACATAACTCGCTGCATCCTGGTAAGTCCAACTTGATAACCCAGACTTTTGTGAGTTTTTTTTGGGTGTGTTTTTTTTGTGGGAGCAATTGCCGATGTGTCCTCGTTCACTTTTACAGGAGTACTGAAGAATCTATCAGTCCAGCCGACTATTGGCCGAAAACGACCAACAATATTACAAGCTCTTCTGCACCTTCCCCCCAACTCACTCACTGAAATGTCATTCGAGTTTGATATGGCATTCATGAAGTACACTGAACATCCACCTGACGCTAATCGTGGATTTGATGTCGCGTAAGTAATTGTAATGGAGTTCCAGTATCAACAGCAAAAAACATCTGTACTCATTTGAAATGATTAGGCCTGCAATCGCAATAATCACCACCATGAATTCTAGTGGAAGCACTACATACACTCGAATGTTTACAGATCCACTACTTGTCTCATTACCAACACCAGACTTTAGCATGCCTTATAATGTGATTACTATGACTTGTACATTGGTGGCACTGTTCTTTGGATCGACATTCAATATGTTGACAAGGAACTTTACGCCGCTTTCTGTTAAATAGACTCATATCTTATTCGAGTTGTGTAGGTTCAGGATGTGGTTTAAGTCTGCATCATGGCACTTTATTGCCTTTTTTTTGCTTGTTAAACTCCATCTATAAACATCAGAATGCAAAATCTTTCGTTCTGGTGTTACGCATGGAGTAAGATGAAACCATCAGTACCGAGCTCGATCTGGACTTCTTGTAGCTTTGATCGTTTGAAGGTGAACTGGAATATATATTCTATAGCAGAAAGGAAGCTGTGAAAGCGTGGAGTGACGTAGCTTGTCTTATTTTTTGCCAACCAATAGAACTCAGCACTTTTCAAACACAATTTTCAGCTAAAAAGCGTTCTCATGAATTTGTTTTCAATGCGATAGTCTTAACAATATCATACAAACAACTTGATTAGATTGTCTGCGCCAGAAGAAAACAGCCATGGTTGCGTTGGATGGAAGACACAATCCAAAACACCTACAAAGATAAAAAGAGATACAATTCGTTTAGCGTACCTCAGAACGAAAACCCCGCGATTGAAAGATTTTCTGAATGCTCACCAAGCGACTCCACAACCTCATGCGCCTCTAGCACCTTAACCGGCACAATCAATGGACTAGCCATCAAATCATTATACACCATCCCATGGAACACATTAATCGACCCATCATCGCTACACGTCGCAAACAAAGGGTACTGTCTATGGAAACTGACTCCCCGAATAGCTTGTTTGTGGTACCGGATTGTCTTGTATGGACGTGTGGACAAATCCATATCAAACCAACAGAATCGTTTATCGTATGACCCGATGATGAGATTGTCGCCGTTGGGGTGTACGTCCATTGATGAAATCCATTTGACGCCTGGCTGGAGCTTCTTGGTCATTTCTTGTTTTACGAGGTTGTAGACGCGGATTTCGCGTTGGAACTATTGTAGGGGTGTGTTGGGTGTGAGTGTGAAACCAACAACCGACAACAACAACGGAGCAAACCCGCGAAAGGAAGAAAAAAAAACGATGCACATCCAAAATGTAGGATCAACTATGACTTACGGCAACGAATAAGAATGGTCGATGAGGATGGAAGGACACTCGCTGTATAAGACCACGACTCTTTGCGAATGGGTTTTGGGACTTGTGTTGAGATATTTGGTGTATAAACAGTGATGACGAGGAGCTTGCTGCATCCGTTGCCACTGATGCAAAGTAATCTCCTTTACGATGCCATGCTATGACAGTTACAATCTGGGATGTGAAGGGGATTGAAGTCAGTCAACTATTCTGGGAAACTACTAGAGTTTTTTTTCGGGTTGTGTCTCACCTTGCCGATATCAATACAAATACGGAATCCTTCTGCAGCCTGTGTACCGCTGCAGCGTGTCCAGTTGACTGTGCTTTGTACCGCATCTAAAAGCAACAAAAACGGCTGAGTCAATAGATGATCATAATCGTTTTCCTCAACTCACATACCGTTCCATCCAACACTCAACAACGCATCAGTACTCTTAGCAACATCAGCATCCACAGCATCAGGTCTCGCTAAATACACTTGTGTACCACATGCAATCAGCACCAACCCAACACTCTTGTTTGGATTCCACGACACAGACGTAACAACAGACTCAAACTTCCACGTTTGTAAACATCGACCTGTACCAATATCCCATATTCTCACAGTTTGGTCATCTGATCCTGATACGATGAATTGACCTGTTGGATCTGGAGATATGCAACGGACACGACCAGTATGGCCACGATATGTGATTGAGAGGGTTTTGGGGAATGGTTCGAGGTCTTTGGGGCTTGGGAGTTTGGGGAGAAGGGCGCTTGGATCCATTTCGACCTAGATTTTGGATGTGTGGTAGTGAGTATTTGATGATGCAAAACAACACCTGCGATTGTGAAGAGAAATGCATACTCTGTTACGTCGGACTCGAGGACTGAGATACAAGTCAAGACATCTCTCAAATCTTTCCTGAAAGACTCTGTCATATGCTGGAACGCTTCTCACATTCGGATACCTGACATGGAAAACAAAAATGTGACAATCGTTTTAGCTATGCGATCCACTTAACGCGTTTCGTCCGACAATCTCAAAGACAATCCTTACTTTTTGGGTATGAAATTCTGCTCTCGATCTTCACGGTCTTGAGAGTTCCATTCTGCTGTTTCGGCAGGCGTGAAGAGGTATTCAGCAGGTGGATTGTATGATTCAGCGTGACCAGGCAACTTCATTTTGGGAGCAGGGATGTGTGTCTTGTCGTTTTCTTTTGATTCGTCAGTGTTGCTCCATATACCAAAGAATTTCGGTTTGGCTACTACTTTGTTGTCATCGTAAGCGCCTCGACGTATTGCCCTTACAATCTTCATGATCTAGTACCAGTTTGTGTAAGAACTTGTTTTTGTCGTTGGTCCTTCTGAAATGATACTTTCAAGCGACAAGACTTACTCGTTTAGCTTCCCACTTTGAGGGAGTGAATCGACTCTTGGGTTCTGCAGCATTACGTAGTGGATGTATTAAGGTTTGACTGCTGTAGTATTCGACCATGGGCTAAGAAAACTTGACGTTAGCCCTAAAAACGTAAAGACTTTTGCTTGAAATCTTCGGATCCAACCTCATATGGATTGTAATCACCAACAGGAAAGACGTTCTGTTGAATTCTCTTGATGATTTCCAAATCTTCTCTGGTCAACAGTCGATCTTTCCCTTCAAGCTCATCATACACCGTTCGCCTAGATTCAAAACAAAGTTCAACACAGGGCTCAAATACCGAATATGCGGACCTGAGCAAGCGAGGGTACTGACCATATATCAGGATTATCAACCGTGTTGAGAAAAGTGTCCAATTCATCTTTACTTGCTGGTTTTGCGATCGGCTTTCCATTGATATCATAACCAATATGTGGGTAATCCTTGTACCATTCAGATGGAACGTTTCCTTTGCGGTTGATCGTGTCCTACGAATATCATAATAATGTCAGAACATTTTTTTTGTTTTGTCAACTCTTCCAACGCAAACATACCTCGTCCGAGTCGTCGCTTTCATAGACAGGATCAATTTCAGGTAGTAATTTCCGTTCTGTACCAGCTGCACCTTCCTGATCAAGGTTTCGTATTCTAAGTTTGTTGAAAGATCTAAGTTTTTTTTTTCAAGCACCAAAAGCCAATTGATGCAGGACATACTCTTCTTCAGAAAAGTCATGGTAAGAACTGTTTGAAGTTTCATCATCACTTTCAATGTCCACTTCGTCATCACTGTCCTCTTCAACATCATCTAGTTCGTCTTCCTCATCTTCCCATTCCTCCTCATTGGCAGATTCTGGTTCCTGCAGCCGTAGCTTGCTTAATTTGAGCTCTCCTTCGGACTGTAGTTTTCCCTTTACAGGTACTGTACGTGCCTTCTTTGATGATTGCATAGTGCCGAATCACTTGTTTTCCTGATGCTTGACAGTTGCGTAAAAAGTTGGTTGACGCTAGTCAAGTTGAATCCATTGGGCTGGAGAGAAGGAAAGAGATCTTCATCAGAAACTGAACTATTTATATTAAACTTTGAATTGGCACGTGAATATTACGTGTGAATGAGATCAAGTATGTTGACACTTTGCAAAACCTGACTAATAGGTAACCGTGTCGGTAGTCGGTACAGATCAGCATCAAGGTCTCAACAGTGGGAATCTAAACGTTTATTGAGAAGACTCAAGTGCTTGTACGAGTCAAGTTACTTTAATATACAACTTTGTGCTGGCATGTTGAGCTTCGCACTGGGAGGTTTGGTGTCATTCGAGCTGCTTTGAACTGTCCTTCATCACTAGGGTCCATTTATATTATACTACATACTCACGAATCAGGGACCGTTTTAGATGGGCCGGTATTCGCCTGCCAACGAGATAACGCTCAACATCATTAAACGGATAACCAAGAGCTCCTTAGCAAAAATTGCAGTGGTCTGTAAAGGACTCAAAGTGGCTTTTTGCTATGAGTTATATGAGACAATGAATGCTTACACACCCTTGGAAGAAGCTGATCTAGATTGTCAACCACCATGGAAATTCTGGCTTACTGGCCATCTGTCATCGCCAACTACAACGGCTGTGCTTCGGCTACTACCAAATGTATGCTCAACCAAATCTGGAATGCATTACGACGCTGGGCATCGCTTCGTCGCAAACTGCACACTGTAGAAGTCTCGATTCATTTGTCAATGTCAGACAATTGACTGTATAAACAGACGACGTCGCCTTACCGGACTGGAGCAGGCTGCCAGTAGACATAAATTCATTAAAATTGAAATTTTACGACTTGGTATTACCTTATACGGAACGACGAGCTGGTCTGCCTGTATTACGGAACGAAGAACTGGTCTGCCTGATATCCGCTCTGTCCCGGTTCCTTAGGAAACCTATCCATGGATTGTAATAGCAGCAATGGTCCCCGCCATGCAATCCCTCAAGCTGGAACATGTATGGACTGCTTTCATCGACCTAATGTTTTGCCTGATTGGCAGGCTACAATTGTCGAGTTTTGAATATATAGGGACGGACGGCCTTCATGCAGATCCCGAACCAGTGAATGTGGAGCCTGACATTATGGGCTCACTGGCTTATAGTAGTACTGCAAGTCTCACCCATTTGGATCTGGAGTTATCTCGAACCATATATTTGTTACCAAACCAACGCCTTTAGCAGAGTATCTCGTATTTCCAGACAAGTAAGTTCTACCAGTGTACACACTCTAGTAGTATGCGAGATGTTTCAAATTGGTTGCGGTAACGACTATATCGTGCATCATCAGACTATTTAATATACCCGAGTTCTCACATTTGAGACAGAGCCAAGTCAGGTTTGTGCAGTAAGTGACGATAAGGAATGTGTTAAATTGATCAGGATTCTGGATGCTATAGATACCCAGCTTTTCAAGTTGATTCCAGTGAAAACAATACAAGCACGCTACTGTTCAATATTTTGCTTTGTTTCATAATCTCTTAGTACAATGACTTATTCATGCTAACATCACAGTTTTACAAAAAGAAAGGGGAGAAAGAGAAGATATATTCAATACAGCGTTTGGTTTGATGGGAGAGTGTTGTGTGTGTGGAGGTTCTGTAGTTCAAGTCCAATTTCTGTTGTTCCCTTACTCTTCCTCCTTTTTAATCCCATTGAGGTGTACCAGCATTACTACCACCACCACCTCGTCCACCACGGCCTCTGTAGTTATTTCTTGGACGATATTCACCGTTTCCTTCTCCATTACCTCCACGGTTGTTGCCACGGTAGTTCGACACATTGTCACGAATGACATATCCACCATCATTATTACCGGTATTGTTATTGCCATCTTCCTGATTGTTGTTGTTATAGCCACCTCTTCCACCACGGTATCCTCCACGTGGTCTATAATTGTTGTATCCACCGTTGCCACCACCTTCCTGATTGTTGTTATTATAGCTGTTATTATATCCACCACGGCCTCGATAACCACCTCTATACCCCCCTCCACGGCGACTATCAGCAGTACCAAATGTAGCAAGATTCCTACTTCGTTCTTCGTTTATACGACTTCGTCTGTCGCTATTAAGACAGAGAGCTGTGGGTATACACGCGAGCAATAAAAGAGAAGAAAAGGGAAAGAATGTCGATTGAATCACATCGAACTTACACTTGATCCTTTCCCTCAGCTTTATCCTTAGCCTCACAACTAATATTATCAAAAAATGATGATGATCGATCATAGATGGAATCATCTTCGTCTTCCGTAGCATGTGATACAGATCCATTTACAGGAGAAGTCACAGAATTCTCATCATCATCTTGATGTTTCGCTTCTTTAGCCAATTCCGACTTGTCGAATTTAGCGTTGGACTCTTCGAAATTGAAGGGTGTATCGGGAACTCGAGTGATTGGTCTAGAGTTGTTATTGCTGTAGTATCTTCTACCGCCACGTTGGCCACCATCACCACCTTCACGATATTGTTGTAGTTGCTGTTGCTGCTGTTGTTGAGATGGACCAGATGAGTTTGGTCTGCTATCGTCTAAATAACGAGAATCGTATCAGCAACAGCACAAAAAAACCCAGAATATATATAACAATATGCGCTGACACGTACTGCTCGCATTTACAGGGTTCCTATCCTTGACTGATGCTAATATTTGATCCGACGGTTTAGGAGGTAGAGAGAATCCAGAAGACGCTGCTGGAGCTGGTCTACTAGAACTATAAGCACTACTGCTACTGGCAGCATTTCCAGCAACGGCCGATGCAAAGGATGTAGGTTTAGCTGGAGGCTGGGTTGCAACAACGGGAGCAGCAGCTGGTGGTTGTTGTTGAGGTGCTGCTGATCGGGGAGCAGACTGCTGTTGTTGACGAGGCTTCTGCTGTTGTTGTGATGGAGCAACAGCAGGTTTCTGTGAAGCTACAGGTGTTTCGGCAGGTTTACTATCACTGGGTTTCTTGGTATCGTTATTATTACTACTACTAGCGGGTGCTGTTGGTGCTGCTACGGCCTCCTTCGTTTGAGCAGGACCATTCGATACTGGTACTGGTTTCTTTGTATCTGCCAAATCCATTTTTGCCACTTGATCGGCTACCTTGTCTGCTTCTTTGACTGGTGGTTTGACTGCTGATGGAGCCTGAATAACAAGAGTCAATTTTAGCAATTTATATAAAGACAATCTTGATCGGTTTTGTTTTTTGTACTTACAGGAGCTTGTTGTTGCTGTTGAACAGGAGCTTGATGCACTGTGGTTGGTGGTGCTCCAGATTGTTGTTGTGGCAAAGCACCAAATTGACTTTGCTGCTGCTGATGTTGAGGTGGTGGATTGCCCCACATTGGAGGAGGAGGTCCCATCATGTATTGATTTCCGGCAGGAGGTCCAAATGGACCTGGTGGACCGAACGCCGAGTATCCGCCACCCATCTGCTGTGGAGGAGGCATTTGAGTCTAGTGATAAAGAGGATTAGCATATGTTGGAGTACTAGTAAACGATGGAGAATGGTACGTACAGACATGATTGCAGGATCATTGAATGGTTGGGATGGCATTATGGGAGCAGGAGGAGGTTCCAGGACAGTTAAATCCTTGATATCCGATCCTACAAACGACATAGCATCGATAAGAACAGATGGTATAATGGGTGGTTGACACACTTTCACTAACCCACCTCGAAACTGTACGAAATCAAAGATCTTGTTTGATACGAGACAAAGTTAGTTTTCAGAAGTAAGCGAATAATCCATCATTTAAGGAGTGTACCTGATCAGATGGCCTATATAAGAATGACACCAATGAACTGTCAGTCGTTATATCCAACAAAGTAATGACAATTAACACTTACCCTATTTCACCATTGCCACCTCGTCTTCCTTCAGTTCCAAAGCATCGTACAGCTTCCAGCGAGACGGTGCTGCTCATCTAATGGTGTGTCATGGATTAGTTCTACTGGGATGGCAAATCCAACATTGCAATTATATTGCATTATGTACCTGGTCTAGCGAATGCAATCTTCCTACATAGCGTATCTCGCTCCTAGATACCAGGGATATAGTTGAGCCCACAAACGTCTGGTTGGACGCCATCCCTTCGCAGCTCTATGGTATAATAAGTATGTTTGGAATGCAAGTGCTGTAAAAGGAAGAAATTCGAATATGGATGTGTTGAATCAGAGACGAACGTGATTTGACGTGTCATAATACAAGAATATACATTATATGAATAAGAAATGAACCTTCCCGTTAGTTTCGTTATGCTTGAATCTGTAAACGCAGTGTCCCTTCGCCCTTCACTCTCTACCACATCAACCATATAATACCATATACCAAGTAGTAGAATGTCCTTCTTACGGGCCACCAGCAGACTCTCATCCGTAGCCCGTAGCATCGTGCCTCGCCGGGCAGCATCGTCGGTAGCTGAAATCGAGACACGATGGGTCAAACTGCCTGAATGTGAACAGGGTGTCATTGCCGACTCGCTCGCTGCTGCACAGAAGGGCGACTGGAAGAAAATGACACTAGAACAAAAGAGAGCTGGTATGTGATTACTCTGTAGCACTGGTTGTATGTTATTGTGCATCATCGTCCCATATGCAGCACAATTTGCCAAAAGCAAAAAATGTTTGATGCAGCAGACAGGTGACAGAGGAAGGAGCAGAAGGAATGTCAACATCGCATTCTTGGACTTGAAATGATGATATTCAATCCACGTCACACCATATGGCTGTATCCTAGCACCACAACTACAGCACCCCTCACACAAAACCAGCACATGACTCAACTACCTCCTTCCTCCTATTCTAGCTTACTTTGTCGCTTACGGTCCATATGGTGCCCGAACACCTATTGATCCTTCCCTCAACTGGAGAGTCACCGGATGGGTCGCCGTGCTTTTGGCATTGGCCATTGGTGGTTGGCAATACTCTGTCGTCTGTATGTTCCCAAATGTTTGATATGCAATGGATGATATCGTGTTCAACGATGCCATTCTGATCTACTGTTGTCAAACTAACACACTTTTATGTATACTAGTCCGTCCAAAATTGCGCACCCACACTCCAGAATGGGCCGAAGCTACCAAACAAAAGGCTATCGAGGCAAAACAAAATCCATTCTCGGGTTACTATGCAAAGGAACGAAAGGAGAAGGGAGAATAAATCATTTAAAAACAAACATTATATTGGTCGAGGAGAGAGGAAATAAACAAGCCATACGTAGAAACCGATGTGAACGATGGTTATTTGAGTTTGTTTATGATGTGCAGTTGGAGCTGATACGACCAGCAACCGCAAATTATAAAATCCTTCGGATGCAGTTCGAAGCTGATGTCGGCACACACCAAGGCTTGGTTCTTTTTGTGCTCGCAGGTCACATCGCTATAGAGCAACATAGTTCCTTGTTTTTCTTGGTTCTCAAGGTACAATCGTGTTGGAGACACACTTAGAACTGATTTTGGAATCCCACTGTCAGGTTTTTTTGCGTTCGCATCCAACATCTCACATATTTTCGATAGCAATACTGTTCCTTGTTTCCTTAAATTTCTCTCTCGTTTACAAAGCGACGTCTTTATAATATACACCAAAGCCAATGGTTGACGATGTCTTCCAACTTATAAAAAAAGGAATCCACGACGATCCTGTCTCTGTTTCCATGCTTATCGTTTAGCCTTCTTTGCTTTACGAGCATCAGAATCATCATCTGAATCATCTCGCTTGCGGCCCTTCTTGCCTCCGCCATCATCGCTTTCATCACCTCCACCTTCGTCATCATCATCGTCAGATCCAGAGCCGGAACTTCCAGATCCTCCAGATGCATTCGAGTCATAGTCACTGGCATCACTGTCAGACTACGGGAGTACAGAAGGCACAAGTTCAGATTGGGGAAACAAAAAGCTTACACATCAAATCAACAATGTACCTCTGACGATGCATCACCAGACCCCACTTCGAATTCACTCTCTTCTGATGACCCAGTACCATCATCATCATCCTAATGGTTTGATTGATTTTTTGAAGCTTGTCCTTCAACAGCCCAAAAAGGATCTAAAACTTCATAGAATACTCACATCACCATCAGTTCTAAGGATTAAATCCCATCCACCTATTTGGAAAAATTCACCTGGATCTTCAGTAATGGTCTTCATAATAGGACCCCAATTCAAATTGACTGGTCCTTCATAATGTACGACATCACTCTCACTAGGTACAGGAAGGAAAAAAGAAGTAAAGTAGTGAGCCAAAATGGCCAAGCAAAATGCGTGAGGCAATCCAACAACCAAGTTTATCAAGACACAAATCATCTTACTCGAGCCATGACTTCACAGTATCCAAATTAGTCATCGGGATGGTATTAATATGAACCACGGGTTTGTGAAAATCTTCAAAGACAAACACCAAATCAAAGTTCTTGAGTCCAAATGACACACGTTCCAAATGTGCAATTTCAATCTCAGACATGGTTACAACCAAGAATGGTGGTTCAGTCAAGTGCACCAAACAGTTTTGTGTAGGTTGCAGCAAGACATTTTGTTTGAATGGTACACCTTGGAAACCCAATTCTCGGTATGGAACATCCACTTCGATCGCTTTGGCTGTCTGTATATACACCGTTGAAAAGTGTTAGTAAGGCTTTCAACAATACGACATAGAAGTAGGTCTTGGCACTGTTGGCTATTTGTCACACAACACAACTTACAGCTTCGGAAATCTTTTCAGCAAAAGCTTTGAACTCCTTATCGAGATTGTCTCGACGTTTGCGTTCTTCTGATTCTGCAGCTAATTCATCTTCATCTCCATAGTTGAAGCGCCGTTTCTTGTTTCCAGTTTCATCGAAACTTGCATCTACGACTTCACGATAGAATTGTACATCCTAAAGTGTGGTGATCGGAGAAGTGAGTGCTGGATGATATCGCACATAATCAATCACACACAGAACATGACGTTGGGTACCTTTGTCTTCTTTTTGCCAATCATGATGGGATGCTTCAAGTGCACGTGTATAATGACAATCAATTCTCCTTGACATGGTTGGAAGAACAGATGCTGCATATTGGAAAACAGGACATCTAACGCAGTGAAGTTAGGGGCTAATTTCGGCAAAAAATTTACTGAAATCACGCGAGATACCAATCTTTTGATCCATGCGGCCACGACAAACGTATCTCAAACCATTGGTATGGATTTCCAAATCACCCGATGTACGTTTGCCTTCTGGTTGAGGACGAGCATAGCAATCACCAAGACGTGCTGGCCTCTTGCCTATTCGAATAGCCCAAAGATGGGATAAGATTCATATAACTAGGTTCAAGTCGAGAATGATAATGCACTTTCAAAGCGTTACCCTTGACTTCGATAAGTTTGTCCTGCTCTACCAAATCTGCTACAAGTGCCCGTTCTGACTCTCTTACAACCAAAAAACGGACGTTGAGACTTTGACAATGAGACAAGTTGCTTTTAGCGTAATCAGTACCTCTTGAGCGAAATCTTCTTGAGTTCAGTGACATCTCGGTGCAATTCACTAAACCGTCCAAGATCAGCACTTCGGTAGGAGAAGGATCTTATGAATGTTGCATTTGGATCTTCAAAGACCTAATTTCGCCGGTTAAATCAACAAAAGAACAGTACACGTTGATCGAATCATGAATTTACTTACGAGGTCTTTGGCACCCTTTGGACCACTACCACCACCAGGAGTAACAAAATTGAATCGTAGATAACAATATTCTCCTTCATCACTCTTGGTTACATTCTTGAGAGTGGTGATGTGGAAAGGCACTGCTTGACCAAAGATTGGTAGAATGATGGCTTGAGCACGTTTGTCAACATAAATCTGAATAGTGTAGTCAAGGAATGTTAGAAGGAAGCTAATGGAGCGAAATAAAGAAATCTTGACTAGTGGTGATTTTTTTACCTGAAGATTTCTGATGTCAGGAGGCATTTGAACGTCCTTTCGATACGTTTCAAACTTGCGAAACACTGCACGCTCTGACTTTGGACCTTCTCCATTGTTATTACTGTATTTTTCAAGACCTTGCTGTTGTCGCTTTTGAGCCAACTGGAGTTGATGCTGTTTCCTCTTGACTTCTTCTGAAGCATTCTCATCCTAGGGCGGCAAACAATCATGTAAGCCCGCTTGAATTATTGACAATAACCAACATTCACTTACCCTATCTTCATTTCTCAATTTTGAAGAAACGACTTTGGACTTCTTTTGAGGAGATCCAATAGAGTTGTTGGCACCGCCATTTTCTTTAGCCTTGTCATCCTAAACGCAGTGTGAGCAATCCAAAAAAGGACAACTCGCAGAGCGGAAGGCATACGTACTTTGATGTTGAATTGAACATCGCTCAAAGCTTTGCTCATATCAGTCAAAAAGATACTATCTTGTTGACCCACTAAAATGGTGTCTGTAAGCAACAAGGCATATCTAAGAAAGATCGAAGGTCAAAAAGACTGTAACGCAATCTATAACATGTACTGATATATCTCACATCCTGTTCTTGGCGTCTGTGAGGTCAGATTGCAAATTCTCAAAGCCAATCGATAAGTTGATCACCATTCCAGCACGTAGACCTCGTCGAGTTTTGGTGTTGATTGCAAAGTTTGCATCTCTAAAATCAATACCAATCTAGTATTGGTTGATAGTTAGCAGTGTCATCAACGCAAAACGTTTCAGTTTTGATGTCACATACCACGGAGCCCAAATTTGAGATCAAATGCTTGACCAGCTCTGGAGCTTCCTTTTCTAAATACCTTTGAGCTTCGGCATATATGTCATTGCAAGCAACACCATCGCGGATGACTGTACTCGTGAGATGCTTTTGCAAATCAACCAAGACGGAATAGTTCTTGGCACGTTTCTAAATGAAAAGAATCAACATCCAAAAGACAAAAGATCCACAGCTCGTGACCTGTAGATTCTCACCTTGTCATTGACAAAAAGCAAAGTTCGTCCAATCGATGAGCAGTATGCATTATATCGTACTCCAACCGAACAGAGGACAGTTCCGGCATGAAGAGGCGATTCATCGGACTCAGCACTTGCTTTCAAATCATATTTGCCGCCACTTTGAATGATGGGTGGGTAACACCATTCAGCTTGTTCAACTTCAATCTAAATGAATGTCTTTAGTGTACTGCGATAATGAATTCATTCCCAGGGCAACTCAAACTCACATCAGCGGGGATTTTGAGAGGGGCGAGTTTTTTTTGATTTCCATCTTCCAACAGACTCTCTGCTCCTTCACATATAGCTAGATGGGTAATCTTTTTGCCTTGATCGATGGCACGTAAGATGGTACTATATAGATAATTCTTCAACACCAAGGAGCTCATCTTGGCAGCATTGCGAAGGTATTTCTAAGATTGTTGGTATGTTTCAAAAAATGCATCAGATACAATACAACAATACAAGCTGTGAGACTTACAAGCTCGTTGTCATCCTTGACGGCCATGACAGACGAGAAGGACTTTGTGCCATCGACCTTTTCAAAACTTCGATCTGATAACGAAAGCGTTTGATTCCATTCGTTGAGGAATTTGCCAGAGAATCGATCTTTTGCGAAATATCCCAATCGTGTCTAAGAAACATATGAGGAACTTAGTCATGTTTAGCCGATCAATTGGCCCGTCGGCAAAGGTTGGAACTTACGCCCTCGATCATGGAAATGAAGGTTTGAAACAAGTCAGCATTCTCCTTTTCATCCTTAGTTCTGGCTAGCACTTCTACTGTGACTGACTTGTCGACTTGTTTTGGATTTATTAATGGTTCGAAGTATTTAGCTATTGCAAAAATAAAAGGAGGTTGAGATGGGAGATTGTAGGCGAAAATGTTGTGATAAAGAACAAACCTTTCTTGCTGCTAGTCAATAGTACGAATTTGGAGGGCGTAACGAGCATCAATGTATCAGGGAACTCAAGTCCAAATAGCCAATTCTATAGATTGACATGGTAAGCAAATCATCCATCGAAGCGGGGGAAGCTATAGGGATGAATGTCAACAAACCCACATGAACGACAGTTCCCTTAAAGTAGGAGGAGTCCTCATCTCCAGGATCTCCAACAACGACACACATAGAGTCAAAGTCAAAGTCTTCAATTTTACCAGAGGCCTTTGCATCCTGTAAAAGATTGGAAATTCACATTTTAATACACTGCGCATCGTCTTTGCTGTAGTTTAAAGAGGACTTACATTCCATGCAGTCAAATACTTGTCTGCCCGTTTATGGAACTGCTTGACGTCTATTTGAGCGGCCATCCTCGTCGATTGCCTGAGTTTGCTCAATTATGTGTTTTGTCAAAAGATGATGTTTGGAAGCAACGAAACGATGACTGGACGTGCAGAAGGCAGTAAGAAGTTGCGGGGCTGCTCTCGCGCTTTTCGAATTTTCATATATATGCTCCGCTCCTCACCATTGAACAACAAACGAACGCCGCAAAGCTGAACATGAGCAACATGATATCGATTGCGTTGGAATACTAAAAAATCTGGGCTTGTATTTGGATATTATAGATGAGCTTAAGAAACGCTCCAAACACAATTCATATATACTGGAAATCAACATGATATTTTTGTTTGTGTGTCTCTTGAACTACATTATACAACCAGAAATGAAACTAACGACACCGATCACCACCATCTAAAACAAATCATCCTCTGCAGCCTTATTCATTGCCTCAAACCCATAGATAATAATACTCTGAACATATCTAGGCCAAAATCCTCGATAGAGCGTCTTGACACCACCACCAAGTTTAGATATCCATGATGACCAAGTCTCTATTACTACTTGAGTTCCTGTTTCACTGATTGCATCTATTGGACGAGCAACATTGTCGATTCCACGGATAGCGGATGATGCTGGTTGAGTAGTAGTATTGATTGATCGTGTTGAGTTCCATGGATCGTTTAATTGCTGATTGAGGTTGTTGATATTGTTGTTTGTCGTTGTGGCTGTATTAGACGGTGGTCTACTAGGTGATAATCGTCTAACCTGCGTCCATTCACCATCAGAATGGAGTCCTACAAACGACGTTCCAGAATACGTTCGTCGTCTCACCCGCTTCCTTTTATATGTTGCTGATTCGGTGGCCACTACGGTATAGATGACGTCCAGCATCCCACGATACCTAAATGGTGCTAGATCTACAGCCGCGTCAAACGGCATTGCATATTGCATCGACACATTATCAGTGGGTATTGGTGTTGTCCATTCTTCAAGTGGATTCGGTGTTCCATATTGAGAACCTCCTCCAGCTTGACTTCCACCACCATATTGACTTCCTCTTGATCCATAGTATCCAACGTTGCGACCACCTAATCGCTGACATTCCAACCTCCTTTTGGCAAACTCGAGAGGAGTCATGACTAGTGTTTCGGCCCCCAAGAATGCTAGGCGAGAGAACAAGTAGAATATTGGGGTGTATTCCCATGAGAGGCCCATGTTTGATTCCATGACTGTGGTTGATATATACCTTAGTAGAGGTCGTAACGCGTGTAGTGTTATGGAAGGAAATAAATGACGAGTGGAATATAGGGTGGAGAGAGTTCCGTTCTCTTCGTGGACTATTGTTGATGCGGCATGTATAGGGTTATGATACTTTTTACGATTTGATGGTGATGATTGTACAATGATTCTACGATTTGAATCAAAGGTGAGCAAAAAGAAGAGTTGGACGTCCTAAGTGTATGGTGTTGAATCAATACCGTGTTTTGATGAGCTCTAATGGCGACAAGATGCCACCAACAATAACATGGCTGACTGTGAGTGTTATAGGATGTACGTCGTCATACACGTCAAACACATCATTCAATGTCTCTTCTACAGCAGGCTGAAGTACTGAAAAGGCCATGTATTCAATGAATCCCGTTACATGTCCTAGTGCAAGTTGGTGTCAACATGATATGACTTGAAATTCATTGACGCGCATCCAATACCTTTGAGGAGAGCAGTCCAGCCTTCATCAGGATGATGCACGATGTGTTTCCAATTCTCTACTAGGCCATCTTGTAATCGAGCTAACCTTGGATGATACAGATGCCTTGATTCACTGGCGATGACAGATACACCATCTTCGTCATTGTAGAACGAAGCAGCTTCAGCACCCAATGGCAGTTCTTCCTCCTGTGAGTGCGATTATAGATTGTCAAAAGCTTGACACGCGACAACCTCGAAAACCAAAACCCAAAGCAATCGACGAAACGAAGACACAATGAACTACCTCGGGACTGCTAGCAGTATTTCGATCAGGTCTCTTCCAGTACTGGACTTGGGATAATATTTCCGCGACTTGTAATGGTGACAAGATGACTGCGAGTGTGTAATGTTGCAGTGCTAGACCCGAGAAGTCAGTCGATGAGGTGGAGAGCGTGTATCCGTGTCCAATAGCATTACTTGCGTTGATTTCCTCCTCAGTATATCGTAATGCTCTATCTGCTGAACTGGAAGGGATGGTATAAAAGAAACGAGTCAAGTCAAGCTGGTTGAGTAAGGACGAGACCAAGGGAAGGTACGGATCTTGCGGCATTGTTCCTTCGATCCAAATTTCTGGCAGAGCTCTCCTCGTATAACTATGCTCGTTATTGCCAGTTTATAAGTTTTACCCTTGAAAAGCAGTGACTGGCTCTTTGAAAGATCTACGCTAGGAACGACCATATTCAACTCACTTTATTGTATAGATCTATATGCGATTTTTCCATCCTTTCAGCCTTGGAACATTGGATTTGTGTGAACATCTGCGCTCATCAAACATACGCTTGGTCAAGACACCATGAGTGCCAGCGACGACGATGACTTTGAAGATCCTCCATCATCAGTGACTGCAAAGAAAAGAAAGGCTGGAGCACCTGCGCCAAAACCTTCCCCGAAAAAGACAAAACGACCAAGGTTGCAATCCTCACCACCACCTTCGAGTAAGACCAAGAAGAATGTTAGTAGTAGGCTACCGATACTAGAAAACAATCAGCAAACAATGCTTATATTTGTTGCCAAACAACCACCACCAACTATTCAAACCCCTGCAAAGTCACTGAACGAAACACAACCAAGACCACCAACAATAGTTCCCAATAAATCAGCCACAGTTCATGAACGACCAGTAGCACCACATCCAGTATTACAACCTCATGTATCAACGGACGATGACACAGATGATGCTGCTACAATAGCAATGCTTGAAAGCTTGGCCGCAGAAGAACAGCTATCTGAAGGAGATGACGATGATTTACGGCATGAGACCGAATATGAGATTCAAGAGGAACCAATCAGTCAATTGCGATGTCCTGTTTGTGATGTAGTCCTAGAAGCCGAGGTTTGCATGATCAACATATCAGTAGATTATTATACCCTTTTTTTGTTGCTAACGATGGTTTCTGTTTTAGTCGGCAGAAAAGCATGTAAATAAATGTCTCGATGGTAGTGGTGGTAAAAGTGAACCTTCGTCAAGCTCAAAACCACTTTCGAAACCTGGGCAACAGTCTCTCATGTCGTTTTTCGGCGGTGGTGCATCTAGCAGCAATGGCGATAGTAATAACAAACCGGCTGCTGTAAATAGTAGTAGTACTAATAGTGGTGGTAAATCGACCGCGGAGATCGCTTCGAGCAGTAGCCATTCTATCACAACAACCACTACATTCGTCGCTTCGCCGATACCAACATTCAAACGAAGTACGACTTCCACGTCAACCACCTCAATAGTATCGGGTGCTTCTAGTGCAACAGGTGATTCCAAGAAATCGTATTGGAATAAAACTGGAAAGTCGGCACCGTTCTACAAGAAGCTACCCGGTAAAAAGTTACATGCTGTGCCTGAGTTATAATTTTTCCCTCACGGCCAACTTTCACTCTAGGAACCAAATTCACCGTTGATGCATTCAGCTATGGCCGTATTGAAGGCTGTACTTCATACTTTCTCTCACATTACCATTCAGACCATTACGGTGGACTGACTAAAGCATTCACACATGGCATCATCTATTGCTCAAAAGTCACTAGCAATTTAGTAGTGAATCAGCTCAAGGTTCCACCGAAATATGTCAAGGCTCTTCCAATGAATGAACGAGTGCAAGTTGAGAATGTGTTTGTCACGCTCGTTGATGCTAATCAGTAAGTTTCGTCGTATTCAGACTAGGCAGAAAAAAAATTCCCAATGAACTCTTATGACATATAGCTGTCCTGGTGCTGTCCTCTTCCTCTTTGAGGTGCCTCAGGCCAATGGTAAAATGTCAACATACCTACACACTGGTGATTTCCGAGCCTCTCCTCAACACATCGCCAATCCGATAATCAATTCGCAACGTCTCGACCTGTTATACCTGGACACGACATACTGTAAGCCCGCACATAAATTTCCACCACAAGACGCTGTAGTGAGAGCTGTAAGTGAGCTTGCTAGACGCGTAGTCCTGAACAACGAAACAGTGCAAGACATCGTAATGGGCAAACCCGTAGATACCAGTAAAGTCGACAAGAGCCCACCAAGCATGATGAAGCGGTTTCTGTCAAAAGCCAATCCCTTGTTTGGTACTCCAAAAAAAAAGAGCCGCACTTTGTTTGTTTGTGGGACGTATCTTATTGGCAAGGAGAAGGTGTTCGTTGGGATTGCGAAAGCAATCTCGTCAAAGATTTATGCCGATGCAAATAAACGGAGGATCCTCACATTGTTGGAAGATGGCGATATTGATTCGTTGCTGACGGGTAATGCCGATGAGGCTGACGTTCATGTTGTTGGAATGGGAGGTCTCAACAAGGAGGTATTTTACTAGTTTGGCTGGAGGTTGGAGGTTTTTTGTTGCTTACTTAAGCCCACCACCATCGTCGATTCGTTAGGCGCTAACAAAGACCCTTGAAGCCAACAAATCTGTTACTTCGATCATTGCATTACGTCCAACTGGTAAGATGTCGGTGCAGATTGTATTAGCAAAAAAGAGACGGCTCCCCCAGACCTACTCCAACTAATTTAAACAATAGGTTGGACATTTAGACCTGACAAGTACCAGTCAGCAAATGATTTGAAGCCATTCACAGTCACGAGTCTCAAGGTGTGTTTAAAATACGTTATTATTCGAATGGAAATGTGTTGTATATATGGACATCTGACCATGTTATTGGTTGTCACAAGCCATCATATCCTACTCCACAAATCACTATAATGGGCGTACCGTACAGTGAACATAGCTCATTCCTTGAACTGGCTAGTTTTGTCACGAGTTTGAATATTGGAAAGGTTATTCCTACGGTCAATATGGGAAATCCGAAAATGAGGTAAATGTCAAAACAAATTGCAGTATTCCTTGTGGGCTTTTTTCACCGGTCAACTCTTAGAGAGGAAATGAATCGCTGGTTTGAAGCATGGAAGATGCAACGACTTGACAGGCTGATGGTTGCAGATGTTGAGGATGATGGTGACGATTTGAGAGAGTACTTGAGTCAGGCTGTGCCTGCTGACGATGTAGATGAAAAAGGATGCATCAGAGGAGAGGGTTGATGAGCATTGATATGATAATGAATGACAAATATTGTGTTTAGTATTGTATAGTAGACTGTTGTGTATACTTGTGTTAAAGGATCCTCTAAATATGAAAATAGCCTACACATTAGAAATAATCCTGGGTTTCTACAAAATTTCAGAAAGTTATCTGCGTCTGCCAGCGGGGTTGGCTTTTGCGTCACAAAATGTCAAGGTTGGACAAGATGATGAGTGCACACAAACGGATTCTTATAACAGGTACGCTCTCCATCTTCTTGGCAGTGATCTCATCAATATGCGATTCGCTTACAGGCTTTCAATACCCTTCAGGTGCTGCAAATGGAATTGGCCGATACTTGACATTATACTTTCTTCGCAAAGGACACCAAGTCTGTGGCATCGACATTGACGAAACATCACTCGACAAGCTCAAGCGTGAAATATTCACAGACTCAGAAATCCAACCCGCAAAAAGCTTGTTATTGAAATGTGATGTCTCATCAGAACCGCAAATCGTTCATACATTTCAAACTGTCGCGACACAGTTTGATGGACTTGATGGGCTAGTTGTAATGCACATTTGTGTATCTCAAACGTTACGAAATCGGTTCCTGACATTATATTGCTTTATAGAACAATGCTGGACTAACAAGAGCCCAATTCAAGTCTGAAAAGCTCGAAGACGTGGAACTTTCTGAATGGCAGCGATATCTGGATGTGAATTTGACTGGACCGTTCTTGATGTGCAAGCATGCTGCTCCGTTTTTGAGGAAGTCGAAGGGTAGTATTATCAATATGTCGTCGACAAGGGCATTGATGTCTGAACCGAGGTATGTTGTTGGTGCGCTTTTGGTAATGAATGTGCGTTGGAGTAATGGAATTGTGTATGAGATAGGTCGGAAGGGTATGCTGCTACAAAGGTGAGGCTGGTTCTAACCCCAGCAAAAAAATTACAGTGAATAATGTAAAACAGGCGGGTTTAGTAGGCCTCACACACTCACTCGCTATGAGTCTTGGGCCTGATGTGCGCGTGAACTGTGTATCGCCTGGTATGCTGCCTGACTTGGTGTTGGAATCAAAGTGATTAAGCAACTAGCTGTAAGTCTTGTTAACCATCCTGGTTTTTAGGTTGGATTGACACACGCGACGAAGTGGAAGCGACCCCTCCTCCATTGACCGAGGCAGACCACAAACAACATCCTGTTGGACGAGTTGGAGTTCCAGACGATGTCGCAAGGCTCGTCAACTTTTTGATTTGTGATGAGGGAGGATTCATGACTGGGCAGAATATCGTACTTGATGGAGGTTAGTAATGCGGTGATGAAGGAATTTCAGTCGGGGTGTTTGGAGCTTGTGGTTGACTAGGGCAGTGTTGCTACTTGCTGCATTTCTGGCTCACACCTACCACACTTTCCAGGCATGACGAAGAAGATGATTTACGTGGATTAGATGTGTATGAAACTGTCTGGAATCCAAAATCGCGTCTCTGGCTTAGCGTCATGATAGACTTTGTTACGATTTGAATTGTCACAGTGGAAATTGCACGTTGTCTACTATACTGTATCCAAACAATACAAATTAGCATATTGGCATATTATTGACAATTAAATTGATTGAATCAACGCGAAAAAATCACGTCCAAACCTAGCTATCATGTTTAGATTTTTGTTTGCGGGCACTTGGATTTGTGCGAGTTGTGAACTCAGGACGGCGAAGAAGAGCTAACGTTTGAAGCAGACTTTGGATCCCAGATATAAGCACGCCGTCTGCCTCAGACAGTCCATTGATTTATTATTTCAGAAGAGCAAGATCCAAGATAACCAGCAAAATGGTGCCATCTAATCCCCTGCAGTCGTATGGTATTGTTCCCAGGTAGGCAAGATGGAACGGTAGACAGACTCTATTATGTGCCTACTGCCGGTTGCCTGCAGGACATGAGCGTTGCCTCTTCCCTGTTGCTAAAGATCAACATCGAACGTCAGCACTTCGACACCATTACGATCATTGATTTTTTGGTCGTTTTTCGACCTGCTGACCTCGAACGACGCCACTGACGCTCTGATCTGGCCATCTAGAAACTCTGTAACGCATCCAATCAACGTCTCCTGGCTGTTCCCATCCAACACAGCGACCCTCCTAAAGTCGTGTCCACCTAAATCAGACCTCCTCGACGCTCTAGGCTCAATATCAGGCTCGTCGGGCCCAACAGATGAAATCCTATCAAAGAGAAAAGCTATTGGCAAATCAGTGGAATCGTGCCAGGGTCAAAAAGTATGTGAGGATCAGGAACGGAATGGGGGACGAGAGGAAGAGGAGCTGGCTGAAGCTGCTGCTGTTGATGTGATGGATGAGAGTTGGGACTCGTTGGGTGGGGCTGTTACAGAGACTGTGTTTGAGGGTATTGGTGGTGTGGAGCAGATTCCGGCGTCGTTGGATGAAGGGTTGGTTAATTTGTTGAGGGCTGCTGGGTACTCGAATGCTCTTTTGCATGGACATCATCAGGGGAACTTTGCCATGAGTTCATGTCCTGGAAAGAAGGTAATTGGAAGAAGGATGCAATCCGTTTAAGACATGTCCAACCCCTAGTTTTTTCGCACTCCTTTTATAGGTGCGGTTAGACAGTGGACCAGTTAACGGACGCGCTGTAATCAACCGAGATCTAGACGCCGATTTTGCTCGTATGGCAAGTCTGGATATTCGAACTGTCGTCAAGTGAGAGTCTTTAGAAACTTATTATTTAAGAAGAGCTTTGCTTATTTTTTGGTCATGTAGCTGCCTGTTTGATCCTGAACTCTCGTATCTTGGAGCGTCGTATAATTTATACGAAGAAGCTGCTACCAAACATGGAATCAAAGTATTACGGTTACCTATGATGGAAGGCTCGTGTCCTGAAGCCTTTGACGAGCTGGACAAGGTTGTTGTTGAGATTTGCTCAACCATAGAAAGTGGAGGGTATATCTTGTGTCATTGTCGAGGAGGTATGGTACAGAATGACATTCTGACGTATGTTTGATTTCTTTTGTTCTGACCGAAACACACTCTCTACAGGGATCGGAAGAGCTGGACTCGTAGCCTGTTGTTTCCTTCTCCGAACAGGACTTTGTCGAGATCCGGAGCGTGCCATCAGACTTGTTAGGCTGAGACGGTCACCCAAGGTTCATCTCTGTTGATTTGTTAGTTGGGAATGAGTACAGCTCACACGTTCATCTCTGTAGGCTATTGAAACGCGTCGGCAAGAAGATTACATATCAGCATATCACATCTGGTTGAAAGACGGAAGGCCTCCTAACAGAACAATGGGTGTGAACGGGCCTATTTCTCAGTCTAAAGTGGTGCTGAACAAGGTTTCAGCGTCTTGGGGGCCGGCGTCTCTGTCGCCGCGTTCGCTTTCTTCATAAATGTGAACATGTAGATAAAAATACCATGCATACACTATTTTAATTGTTAATATGTCATGTAAATCAACAAAATGCATAACACGTCAGGATGTCAGTCAGGAACGCGCTTTTTCGAGATCGGATACGTAGCGACAGTAATAAGCCCGGTACAATGTCGCCCAAAGAGCAGTATGCCGTGATACAACGCTCACTTTTCGGGTCTGGCTAGCACATGCACCCCAAAACAATTACAAACATAATTCGCAAGCACTTGGCAATCACATAACAAGCAACAGTTGGAGATGCCAGGAGGAGGCAGCGAGCGGTCGTCGAGTAATCCAGGTCGTCCTAGGTCCCTCGATGAGCTTCAGTCGCTAACGACAGTCAAATATGACAAGACTCCTCATCATTATCTAACTTGGTGTCGCTCAGTAGAACGATTATTTGAAGAGGTACGTTCATAATAGTTTATTGCTGGAATTGTGGAGATATGAAACTGGGTATCCCGTCGTTTTATTGCCGTCGTTGCATTGGAAGATGTCAGTTGATTACACTTCATGTGGCTACTTGTTGTTTTTGGAAGCAGATGTGCATTTGCGCTGATTTGGCAAAGAGGAAGGGATCAGATTGTACTGCTTGATACGCTATCTACCTCCTTTGTTTACTACGTTGACCCTAACGCAATAGGGAAACATTGCCAGACTGAATGGAGATATCGAGGAAGCCTATATTAGATTCACTAGAGGCTTGGTGTAAGAACTACTCAAAGCTATAGTTTTTATGGATCTGTCAATGCTTACTCGTCGTTTTTGAACCATCTAGCATCATACTGGAACTGATACCTAAACTGCCAGGATTTCAAAAGTCCAATGCTGAATACCTCAAGGTCAAAAAGGCATGTACTCTTGAACGACCACACAGAGACAATTACGCTTACACATTTTATCCTCCCTAGTCTGTCACGGTGATATTCCCATTATGTGAAGAGATAAAGCTGGAAATCACCCGCCGATATCTAGAATGGAAGTCAACGCAACCAGAAGCACCATCGCAATCACAGTCATCATCACTACCACCGACATTCACACCTCAAGTCCCAGTCCCCACTCGACGTGCATCAACGAAAACGATGATTGATGACGTGCCATCACTTTACGAACTGGGCAATTCAGCATCACCGCCTCCGTCCGGTCCGTTGCTGAGGGATAGTTGGATTGGAGGACCGCCAGATATGAGTAAAATGGAGTCAATGACGCCAAATCAGCTGGCACAGTTCCTGGTGCAAGCTGGAGCTGATGAGTCCGCTACTGTGCTGGTGTTGGATGTCAGACCACAGAGTGAATTCTTGGAGGGACATGTTAGATGGAATAAGAAGAGGAGGGCTGATGGCAGGTTGTGTGGGGGTGTTATTAATATTAATCCGCTTTGGCTTACTCCAGGGTATGTGTAGCGAAAAAAGCGATCACATGGTGGTCTGGGATGATGTATCTCTGACCTCTTTCAATCTCTTAGAATGGTCTCAGAGGCAATCGAAAAGTGTCTAGAACTGTTACCGGGAATGTACAACACCTTAATTCCGAAACAATTATTCTTACAAAAAGACCAATTCGACCTAATTGTATATATGGATTCCAAGTCATCATCCCTGACCGAGTCTGGGCCTCTACAAATAGTACACAACTCTATTTATTCATTTGAAACTGAACGAATACCTCGATTTCCTCCCAAGATCCTACTCGGGGGATTTCAAGGTTGGGTCAAGACACTAGAAGAAAAGAATGGGAATAAAGAGCAATGGATTGAAGTTGGTCCTGGATGGGGTGGTAGTGATGAGTTGGATCCTAATTCAAAGTTGTTTGCTGCACTCGAGCCTGCACCACAGAGGCCAGCCAGAAATCCAAGGAGGAATTCTGAGGTGGAAGATGTGTCGGGTATTGTTAGGGATCCTTATGAATATGTAAGCGTTTGCGTTATTCGTGTTTGGATGATTCTCGGGAGTTTTTTCTCCTCGCCGTCCTTGAATACAAACTAAAACTTGAACACGATTATAGATATCTCGAGCTCCGATACCTATACGAACAACGTCTGCACGAGAATCGGAACCTGTTATACCGCCACGAAGTCCAGCTCGAACCCATCCTTTTGATTCTCCACTTACATTCATGTCGTCAAGTGTCCCACCTAGTAGACATTCATCACTGGGACTTGACAAGGAAAACCAACAACCTCAATATGATCCATCAAGATACCGAGAAGCGTCATCCTCATATAATTATCCAGTTTTACCGTCAAGCAGTAGTAGTAATAATAGTAATAATACCGGACGAAACCAACTGCCAGGTTCTCCGATGCAGATGGAAGCACCACCATTACCCTATAAACCAACAGAAGCTGCATATAACGAGTATGCAAACCTGCCACTTACATCTCCCTCGTATGAACCTCCATATGTCTTCCCGCCACGATCATCACTGCCAGCAGGATCTGCTGCATCAACGGCTGGTCCGCTCGCTTCACGATACTATGCACCACAAATACCAGCTGAAATCATTCAGTGGGATTCATCATCAACACTAGCATCAGCAGGTCTGAAAAATCTAGGCAATACATGTTTCATGAGCTGTATCCTGCAGTGTTTGAGTGGGACACTACCACTAGCAACCTTCTTCAACAATGGTAAATACAGAAGGCACCTGAATCGAGAAAACATTCTAGGTACCAAAGGACAAGTGGCAGATGCCTTTGCCGCACTTATCAAGGACATGTGGTCGCAAGATGAGACGGTGATTACTCCAACAAAGTTTAAAGCTACTGTTGGAACTTGTGCACCTCAGTTTCGTGGTAATGAGCAACAGGATGCGCAAGAGTTTTTGGCATTCTTGTTGGATGCGTTACATGAGGATTTGAATGATGCTAGAGGTCGAGGACCACCACCTGCCATGACTACCGGAGAGGAAGATGAACGATATCCAGATGATGTATATGGATGTCGTTTTCTTTGTCGATTCTGGTTGTTGACACAATTTTTGTTCTTTAGGAGGCTTCAATTAGGAGCTGGAATCGATATCAGTTATTGAATAAGAGCTATATTGTGGATTTATTTCAAGGGCAACTGAAATCAAAGTTAGAGTGTATGACTTGTCATAAGGTACCTACTGAAATTATTGTACCTCCTTTTTTGCGCTTCAGTATTGTCTAATTGAATTGCATTTAGACCTCAACGACTTTTGATTCTACAATGTACTTGTCATTGCCCATACCAGCAGCCAAAAAGAAAGGAGCAAGCATATCACTCGATGATTGCCTATCCAAATTCCATGAAGAAGAGATACTAGATAAATCTGACGCCTGGATGTGCCCACAATGTCGTGTGCCTCGAAAAGCTACCAAGAAATTGACTATACAAAGGCTGCCCGTCATATTACTGATACACTTGAAACGATTCTACTTCCAAGGCCCCTTCCGTAATAAGATTGAGACTGTAGTTGATTTTCCTTTGCAGTAAGTTGTGGTGCTCGGATTTTTTTTGAACGAAAAAAGGAGTTGACTAATTTTCTTTGAAACTCTTTCAGGAACCTGGATTTGACCAAATATGTACCAACAAATACTCCAACAACTCGAGATGGGGGTCAGCCTGTATATAACTTGTATGCTGTGTCTAACCATTTCGGTGGATTGAATGGTGGACATTATACCGGCATTGTCCGTAATGGCTATCGAAAGGAGTGGTATAACTTTGATGATGCTCGAGTTGGAAGGGTTGATGCTAATGCTGTCAAGGTATGAGAGGAGAGAATTGGCAAAGAAATCCTGATGGATGGTTGGCAAAGTTTGTAGCTTTGGACTAACTTGTTTCTGACCTATATGTCTTAATAGTCTAAAGCCGCCTACATTCTATTCTACGTCAGGAGAGACGTTACATAGTGGTCATGTACTCGTTGAGTAAAGTAACAATACACAAAACATTGCCGCGGAGACGAATTTGATAATGGCTGTCAAACATGAACGTTGTCTCAAGTAAAGATCATGAATGCGAAAATGCGAGTGACGTAAGTTCACGTTCACAAAGCTTTTATCTATGTGAAGTTCGTGCTTCAAGATTCATCAACCACACACTGCGCATATTTAATTCATACTTCTAAAGTGAGGTTGAAGGAAAGAGCGTCATCGGATATTTCAAAAGCGAAAGGTTTCTAAGCATGAAAAGCCAAGGGACGCATGTGTTGGTCTCTCGCTTTTCATCATCATCAACAGCGGTTTGCAATCTGATTGTGTTTGGTCAAGAGTCCAAGCAAGACACAAGTCAACCAGAGGATACAGATCTGAGCAAATAGCTTTAATACGAGGATTCCTTAATTTTTGATAAGGTACGCGGTCTCGCACAACACTGGTTTTTAGAAGTATGAAGTGGACATTGGGTTTGCGTATCGCAGCAAATTGAAATGAGTCGCTGACACCGTTTACGCTTTAATAGGACGCTTCGAATCATTAAGACGTTTTCGGTTTAATCTACACTTGAACATTTGATATCATCACGTGCACTTTACCGATCTTTTCTGAGATCAACTACTAAAACAACACAACAAAAATGTCACAACCTATAGTATCAGTCCCAGTCTACCGACAACGTTCCATTCCCCGAAACCGACCTCAAGTCTCTATGAAATCCGTACATTATGACGAATTACCTCGAAACACGTATCCTACACCAACTGTATCACCGTCTGATGTTGTTGAAGGTGCTGCTGGTGGTATTGTTCAGGAGTATGGTGGGAGCAGAGACGAAGTTGAGACGTATCACGGGTATATACACACTGCGAGAGATGCGTTGTTGTTGCTGGAGGGGTGTAGAGTTGGGAGGTTGAGGCTTGTGCCTGTGAGTCATTGATTGACTTTGATATTGTTTTGCAAGCTGGAACTGTTCTTGAATAGTGCTTGAACGTGACTCACTCCTTCTGGAATATAGGATCGACAAAGTGGAGCCTGTATTCGATCTGGTGCAGTTTTTGTTTGGAATGAAGAAGAGTCTGGGATTAAGAGATGGACTGATGGACGACAATGGTAATTATTCCTTGTGTTTATCTTATGTGTTGGTTCTCACCAGTCGGTTCAAATGGTCTGATCACTAATACGATTGGGCTTTTTTTTGCTTTAGGACCCCATCACGTATCAGTGGATGTTTCCTCATCTACCAAGAACTCACCGCCCAAGGCAACCTCGACTCTAAATCATCACGAGCATCAGCAGCCACATCATTTTCAATCAAGGAAGGAGGTCTCATCAAACGTGGCATGTCGGTTGTAACTGCAGACAAGGTCAAGATGCATCTGGTTTCGTACTTTACTCGAGAAGACGTTGCTGCGAAAGCCCTCATATCGCCTAGTGAAGATCCAGCATTAAGAGATGTAGTTATTGCTCCTGAATACTATCCGGAATTCAAGTCGTATGATACTCCACCACAGAATGAGTCTCGGTATGCTAGATCTAGTGCTGCTGTTAACGAAGCGAGAACATGGCAAGCTTCAGAACCAACGAAAGCTATCAGTGAACATTCCTATTACGATCAACCAGGACCAGCATGGCTCCAGAACGAATACACCGGATCTATCCGCCCAAACAACATGTACCACGCTCGCACCACTCCATACCAGTATCCACCACGACCACAGCCATCGCACACGGCGGGACCTATAGACTCGATATTTGATGTAACGGTTGTTTCCATACCTACAGGAAGACATGAGCCAGGAGGTGAACTCGAAACGCAGAGGAGACTTGCAATTGTGCTTCCACCTCCGGTATTGGATTCACCTCGTCATCCGCTTGATCAGCGGTTTATTGACAGGTTGTCATCCTATTCGCAACGGTCTGAGATGTTAAATGAAGAGAGACGGCACCAACAATATCAGTCTGATAATCAAGTGCTGCCACCGATGAATTCTTTCGGTGTTGCGAACCGTGGTGGGCTTTTGAGGACTCCTTCTTCGTCGTCAGATGAGTCTGAAATGACCTGGCGGCCAACACAGGAACGGATGTTGGATGGTGTCTATGAGAGAAAGATGTCTGATTTCGTTACTGCTGAACGGAGTTAGTGAAAATCTGCCCATTCTGCTGTGGTTGACCTGACGCCTGCGAGCGACCATCACAACTTCACGTGCAAATGAACATTTGTATCAAATAGAATCATTATTTATTTATCTTCGTAGTAAAGAACGCGTTCGCGTTTCTGTTGGTTTGAACTTTGCTTTCGTTCAGCTTCGTCATCACCCTTTTTCGAAAAAGCGAGAGGTTGAGTGGAAGGGAGAGACCAAAACTTCCCGAATGTATGTATACTCGATCGTGGTAAGTACACATCAATCGAATCGGGCTCTTCTAGGAGTACTGCTCCTCATTGCGCAAAGCTTTCGTCCAAACCAATTTCTGGTTCTGGCATATTCCCGACAGTTAAACGTATTAACAATCCATCTTAACACGGTTAGATTGAAGTATTTGCACCCACGAGCATCCCTATACTTGATTCCACCTCGATCAAATCACCAGAAGCATTGCCGTCAGATATCTTTGGCGAATTACATACTTCATACAAGCAACAGGAGACTACCAAGGCAACGAACAATAATAGTAGCAACAGTGTCACTAGTAGTAATAGTCAAAAGAAGAAGGCTAAATCAGCTACATCGTCATCCGCCAGTCAAGATTACCGATTAGGACGATTGTCTGTCGAGTGGATTGATCTAGCACTTGAACCAGAGCCTGAGCTAGAAGAAGACGAAGGAACGCAGGATTCTAGAATGGATGACGTGCCTTCATCAACGTACGCAGAGATCGCAGGGTCATCGTCAACTACTCGAAACTCACGATCTGGAAGCATGTCGTCAAACACGAATGTTACTCCTACCAAGGCTTCGTCATCGTCAGCAGGGGATGTGATAACGCCGAACAGTAATAAGAATACTAGTGATGAGCCTTCCATGATGGCAGAACTGGTAGCTGCACAACGTGATGATGCGCTTTTTCAAAGTACAGGAGGTGGTGGAAACAAGACACGGAAACGGACCAATGCACCTATAATACCTACGTCTGGTATATTCGTGCCCTTCAAAACAGGCAAAACGAAACTGAATGCTGGTATCGTGCATCTATATCGAGATCGTAAGGAAATCGAAGATGTGGTATCTCCTGCTGTTATATCAGACGACGAGGACGCTGCCGAGCAAGCTAAAGGATCTGGAACTATATTATGTATACTAGCAGTACCCTCATACATGACAACACAAGATCTATTGTCGTTTGTGGGACCAGCCCGTAAATCCATATCTCATTTACGTATTGTGCGAGACTCGTTACCGAATCGATACATGGTGTTGGCTAAATTTAGAGATGTGAGATCTGCTGAGAGGTTTAGAGGGCTGTTTGATGGCAAGCAATTCAATTCTCTCGAATCGGAGGTTGCTCATGTTGTTTTTGTCAAGAGTGTCGAGTTTAAGAGTCAGTCGATACCGCCGTATGCATTTCCGCCTGTACCAGAAGCACTAGCATCTTCGTTCAGTAATGGTAATAGCGGTGCAGCTACAGTTACGGCTTCTACGAGTGCTTCGCCAGATAAAGCAGCACCAGTCATCACAGCAACTATGTCGGTAGATGATACTACAAAGTCTAGTAGCAGTAATAACGATCGTAGTATAACTCCAACAGCATCCTCTACAACCAACACCACCAACACAACTGTCGCCCAACAACAATATCATCACCCACCAACACTAGTCGAATTACCCACATGTCCAGTATGTCTAGAACGTATGGATTCCGCCGCAACAGGTTTATTAACTATAATATGCCATCACACCTTCCATTGCTCCTGCCTTGCAAAATGGGGCGACTCGTCGTGTAAGTCACAGCGTGGGGGCTTGTCTTGTTTCTCAATTGAGCAGACCTGGTCTCTAACTGGCATTTACATGTAGGTCCAGTATGTAGATACTCTCAGCAACCAAAAGGTCCAGGCCTACTCCCATCCGAAGACGAAGAGCAGAACGAATGTGCTCAATGTGGCGCCACTGAAGATTTATGGATTTGTCTTATATGTGGCCATATTGGGTGTGGACGGTACCGTCGTGCACATGCTCGAGAGCATTTCACAAGTACACAGCACTTGTATGCTCTAGAGCTAGAAACACAACGAGTATGGGATTATGCTGGTGATGGATATGTGCATCGGTTGATTCAGAATAGGGCGGATGGTAAATTGGTCGAGTTGCCACCACCAGATGCTAGAAGTCGTGGTAATACGCAGATATTGACGTCACCTCAAGCAGAAATCGACTACTACAATAATAATAACAACAACATCCATAACGGAAACAACCATGCGTACAACAATTATAGTAACAATGATAATGCTATAAGTGGTGACAAAGGCATTGATGCTCTTGGAGTCGAATATGGGTATTTGCTAGCCACTCAATTAGAATCACAACGTATATGGTATGAAGCTCAATTAACCGCTGTACGTACCGACTCTGAATCCCGTATACAAGAACTTGTAAACACCCTATCGACCGAACGCCAAATACGTGAATCCATACAATTAGAACGTGACACACTTAAAAACGATGAACTGCCCACCCTACTTTTACAAAACAAAATCTATGATCGAAAGATGGAACGACTACTCGAACGCATGAATGCAATGGAGAAATCACTCGCTGAAGAACGACAATTGAACATAGGATTACGTGATAATCAAGCCTCGTGGCGGGCACAGATTGAGACGAGAGATAAATTGTTGCTGGAGAGGGATAAACAGGTGAATGATTTGCAGGAGCAGTTGAGAGATATCATGTTTTATCTCGAAACGCAGCAGAAGGTGGAGCAGTCCGGGATTAAGGATGAGATTACGGGTGGGCAGCTTGTTATTGAGCAGAGTACTCCTAGTAGTAGTGGGAAGAAGAGGGGGAAATCAAAGAAATGATGAAGTAAGAGAGAAGGATGTATGTATTATAGCTTGTATCTTGTAGCAAAGAACATTATCACTCATAGTTAGTTTACATGATTATTCGCTCATCCATCAGAGAAGACAAGCTTGATGTCTTCAATCGTTTACCTTACTTACTTTACTGCTTTGCTCCCATAGTTCTTGAGGCATAGTCGTTGTACTGTGTTTAGCAGTGTAAAATCCTGAAAATATGTTTGATTGGGGACTACAGGTCCCGTGTAGACAACTTGTTTTATGTTCTTTTTGCTTGAATGGTCTCTGAAATGTTTGGCGTTTGGTCGTCATTTTTCGAGACATATGTAATGGCAACCAGTGAGGATTTGGATCAGGATGTTCATTTCTACGATCGACATAAATCTGCAAATAGTCGTGGTAGACCACTTTTCGTACCGCTGCCTTGGTAAAAGTCGGATTCTCTTCAGATGATGAAGGTAAGCGTCTTGGACTTAATAGCGATTTCGAGGGCAGAACAAAACAGAGATCGGCCAGCTACAGACCCAGTCAATCGATTTTCTTCCTTATATTTTGTCTAGTGGCACCTTCTGTCATGCTATGCCGAAAAGCGTGATTTCTCCACTTGCCGTCAACATCGGCCAGGAACATAGAATAGTGTACAAGCGATGGCAAGTCCATTATTGATAATTAAGTACAATCCAATCACCAATTGCAACCACTTGTGATCCTCTGTGTTTTTCACACCAGGGTAGGCCCATTATCACCTGTGGAGCTTGATGCTACAGTCATGGTGCTTCAAGGCTACGTTAGACGTCCGCATGTGACCCAATTGGCACTCATCTCCCTCTCTATTCACCCCAACTCCACTGGCAGAGAGTCTCTTCTTCTTGGAAGCTAATATGACCAAAAGTCATATTGTTGTCCATGGAGGAAGCGAGGGAACCACGGGTATTCCTGAATCTCCGACACCAGCATATAACTAGCACCACCGTTCCAGAGACTTGACAGCAGAAACGTTTGACATATACTGAAGACGTTGTCTGGTTCAACTAGCTTGCCTTCCCGTCCAGGACCACCATATGGCACCTGTCCATATACGTCTCCTCTGTTTCAGGCAGCGCACAACCCAACAAGGTCTCACCTACTGAGAAATCTTCCCCAGCAGTACGTCTTTCCCTCCCCACTTGGATGTCAGGAATTTCAGTGAAGGCGCTAGTGTATTTTCAAATTCCGCTCTCCTCCAAGCACACATTACAGGTATGAAAAGTGTCAAAAACGACGTGATTCAAGAAGACAAATATTCAAACTTTACTGTCATAATCATGGCAAAATTTTTAAATCACGTTCAAAAACTCTTGAATTGCTCTAGTTCTTGATGTGGAGTTGTGGACAAGTTCAAATATCTCGCTCAATCCATAGAAAGCAGCTACAAAAAGAGCGCATGGTTCGCATTATGAATAATAAGACAGTCGCCGATGATGGACGATGGCTAGAACATGATCGGTATGGTGTCAAAATCCAAAAGGCCAAACCAGCTGTTTGAATTAGAGGAACATAGCGTTAACGAAACCCATATTTGCTGAAGACTATGTATGATGCTAATATATTTACGCTTCTAGAGTTCTACCGTGTCCCATGTCATAATGGATGTTAAAATAATGCCAGACATCAACCAAATGTGTACATAAGACTAAACCATTTCAGACAAACACTATGTAATATGTCTACCATCAATAACCACTTGGATCTAGATCATTCGAATCACGAGAAACTGAGAACCATTGCACCTCTGCAAGTTCGATGTACCAACTTTCCTACAATCATCATACGCAATTCCTGTGAACCTTTACCCATAGCGCCACTGGATGCTTCCAGATAATTTCTTCTCTTAAAAATGGAAGGCCAACGAATGAATGGGATTGAGTAATCAGTCCGTGAAGGTCAACAACTGAAGAGGATTACGGCCATGTACACGTTCAAAGGTATCCATACAGTTTCCGTTGATTGCGTCGTAAATTTTGATAGATCAATCGTCCGTCACAGCATTTTGATTATAAATAAGCAATTGAAGACACGGTTTGAGTTTTCAAAGCAGCCAGAGAAAAAGCCACCGCTGTATTGGAATATGGATCCGAGTTTGCTTTCTTTCAACCTACCAAACAAAGCACACTTGATTCCACTTGCAAGAGCGTCAAATTGTGATGACGGTCGAAACCATTGGAAGGTCGATGTGCAGTATATGGAGGATACTCGTGTCGTGTTGCTGCCAATAAAAGGTGGCTCATCAGAGGCGTGAAAGCTCATTGATTTGACTGCAGGAGAATCCGCAGGAAATGGATTGACAGTTGTTATCGCAGTTGACGAGTTGCAAGGGCAAATCTACTGTCGTCATGTCTGGTAGTGTTTGTGGGTTTGGAATCTCGTACCGAGATATGGAAGCAATCATTTCATGTTCACTTTCGGCACATCAAACATATCGATGTGGTTTTGTGCAGTCTGAGAAATAAGAGTGTCAATGCAGACATTGCTACGTCTGTTTTTTTTGCCAGCCCCTTCCACAAAGTCCACCACACTTACAAGCCAAGATTGTTAGGACGAAACGTAACATCCGTAACACTCGTATTGACAGGTGAGCCCCCGTCTTTCGAAAAACGCACCCTTGTCGCTAGCAATATTCAATACCTCGGACATACAATCAGCACCAGCAATGCAGCATTGTATGCCCCCATGTGCACTGAAAGCGGCGGACACCACTGGTCCTTGGCAAGAGGTTGGGTTCCAAGAAATGGTTGATGAATTTGTTTTCGGATGTTGTTTGGTGGTAGATGACGTGTCCGTTTTCGACCATGGCGTCTAGTAAGACACAGCTTTCAATTTGACATCTAAATTATCAGGGCTGGGAGAGCCTGTATCGAGAGAAAATAACAACAAGACTAGTCACCATCGTCAAACGAAAAAAAAGCGTAATCTAGGCAACGTGGATGGTAGCTGCTGGCAAGTCATACCCAACAAGATTTAAGACAGGCATAAACTCACAACCAACATAAACGACACTCGAAATCAAGATACGATTATCTCGATTCGAGCACACAACTTACCGTCAGCGATGGCATGCGCTAATTAGCTCAGTTGTAATCCTGATGGATACTAACCAATGCAAACACTTGTTTCTCAGAGTTGATGTGTATCATAGTTGTGTATTTGTATCTTGTGCGAAAAATGTAACCTTAGTATCTAGTTTACACGATTGGGTGTGACTCTGTAATATCCCAGAAACGTATTCGTCCATCATGGCTAATAGAAAAATAGTGTAAAAAACAAGAATCAAAGTGGTAAGAGCAAAGGCTTCAAGACTACCTGCAACTGACAAAACAAGGGTCAACTGGACTTGTTGAAATACGTGGAATCACGTCTGTATGTCCTGCAACAAGTTGCTTTAAAGCAGTTCCTGCAAAAGAAGAGTGAGCTTAGATTGAAAACGCAACAAAAAAAACCGTCGAAGATCAACGAGGATACCTGTTCGTGCATCCCAGATGTTAACTGTTAATGCAGACTCATCTGAACTCAGCACAATATCCTCATTGTAGTTGAATGTGATGTTGATGCTGTGATTCTACAGGATATCATGAATGTCAGCTGTCAAAAGTGCATTCAACTATACGAATCGCAATTTTTTTTCTCATGATATTCTCTTACCTTTTGACTAGCACCCTCATATGTGCAAACAGGTCTCCCCATCGTAACATCCCACAGCCTTCCAATAGAATCCTGACCAGACGACAATAGATACCGTCCAGATTTCGAAAAGACGATACTCGAGACTGAAGCACCTCCATGTGCACGTTCAAGAGTATTCACACATTTTCCATTGATTGCGTCGTACAATTTGATGGATCCGTCGCCACCACATGTTGCTGTTATTTGAGGATTGGAAACGAGTGAATTTCAAATTCCAAAAAACCCCTATAGAGGACAAGCCAATGCAGACATTGCTGTGCGTCCTACCAAACATGGATCCTTGAGGTGCATATCTAGCACAATTGATTCCACTGGCATGAGCATCTGATTGTGATGATGGTCGGTAACACTGGAAGGTGGAGATGTCGTAGACGCGAGGATACTCGTGGGTAGTTGCTACTAATAGAAAGTCGCCTGAGGCATGGAAGCTTATTGAGTTTACTGCATGAGAGTCCTATGTTAAGGAGGAGGCGTGAGTGGAGTTGTCACGTTGAGTTGCAAGTGCGAATGCTTCGTTCTAGCGACATTTTTTGTCGTTTTGCAGTGGTTTGATAGGGTTTCACACCTGGAGATATCGAAACGACCTCTTCATGTGCACTTTCTGCATATCATACATCTTGATGTGCTTATCATCTGAGCATGATGCGAGTACTAAAGAAAGATGGAAGGACTCAGAGAAGGTGTTCATTGCAGATCAGGTACGCGTCACAGGTATGCATTTTTTCGTCCCACTTAAAACATACCAAGATTATTCGGATGAAACGCAACATCTGTAACATTCCCCGTATGATCCGTCACACTTCGACTCACAGGCGAACTCTCATCCCCCACAATCGGCTTATCATTCTGCGAAGTATGCACCCTCCTCGCTTTCGCAACATCCAGCACCTTGACTGTACAATCAGCACCACCTGTAGCGATGTATTTCCCATCTACACTGAATGCCGCAGACAGGACGGCTGCTTTGTGGGGCGTCGAGTACCAAGACATGTATGATGGAGCTGTTTTGGGCTGCTGTTTTGTGGATGACGAAGGATCGCCGTTGGCGTCCGTGGTTGTTGAGGGGTTTTCTTCCGACTGGTCCATTACGAGACCACCTACGGCGGGCGGGTCGTCGTCTTCGTCTTCAACCATTGCGTCGTGGGACGATCGGTCTTCTGTACGGACTGCGAGCGAGCAGAGTTGGGAGAGTCTGTCGGATGGGGCGAATGAGAAGGCAGTATTCGTGGCTATTAAGAGATAAATAAAATTCAGTTCGAAAGAGTTGGCAAGAGAAACTGCCACTTGGTTGCAAGATGCTCAATAATAGCAAGACATCCAAATTTCAACATGTCAAGCCATCAACACCACAAACCAACATGTCCCGAGTACGAAATAATCAAATAATAGATGGAATTTACCTTCAGCGATAACCTGTGCTAACGAACTCAATCCATAAGACTGCAACTGGTTGATAATCAAAGGGATGACTTGTTCTTTTGACATTGCATCTGACGCTGCATCTTGTTGTTCGGGAGCTCCATTGTTGGCATCCTGACTGCCTGGCACAGCACCTGGCGCTGTCTCTTGTTCTGCGTCAGAAGTGTCCATCGTTCAAAAAGCCTACTCTGTGTTTGAAACATCGGGCAGAATGAGAAAGACAAACAGCTAACGTCAGGTTGAATCAAACCAATATATCAAGTTTATAGCGCATAACGCTTCATAAAGCCATAAATGTCATAATACAATTCAAATTCTCAAAATTCTATAACTAGAGTTACGAGTTACTGTCGGCTGCGAATCAAAACATCATACTTCGCAGTCTGCAATTGCAACGTGATGAAGCTCCCCAACGACATATCCTGATTGGGATCGGCGTCCGTGATATCAAACTTGCGCAGGAAGTTGGCAACGAGAAGTCGCATCTCCATCAAAGCAAAGTTCTTTCCGATACAGTTTCGAGATCCTGTTTGCAGAGCCGAGTTAGTGACGTTCTTCAACTGTGTAGTATGCAAGTACGTACCAGCCGAGAATGGAACGTAAAAGTCGGTGTAATTCGACTCATCAACGCCCAACTCTCCACCTTCCATGAATCTCTCTGGCTTGAAGCGTTCTGGCTCTGAGAATGATTGTTCGTCGTATTGCATAGTCCTGGTTGGTGGTAGAATGCTTTGTGTTAGAAGTAACTTCAAATATCAACCCAGATCCTCTTGAAACTTACCACATTGGAACAATAGCAATTGTGTCTTTAGGCACGTAGTACGGGCCTAGTTTTGTATCTTCGGGCACGCGGCGAGGAGGACCTCCAGCTCCAACAGGGTACATTCTCATGGTTTCCTTGAGAATGGCATTCAACACTATAGAGGGCGTTAGCAAAAACAAGGACAAATCTGATAGAAAATGGCATTCGGTGCTTACATGGCAGAGATTTAGCTTGCAGAGCAGATATCAATCCGGTTTCGGCATCAGTCGGACATGCGTCCAACTCCACTTGAACACGACGCAGGTATTCTGGGTTTCGCATCAAGCATATCAAGGCGAAGCTCATGGTGTTTGCGGTTGTATCCGATCCTAATAAAAGTGTCAAAAGAATTAACCAAAGGTAATATATGTCGTTATCTAGCAAAACGTTTTTTGCTTACCAGCCACCAAAAACAACTGTGTATGCGATCGTACACTCTCATCCTCCAAATGTTCACCATGCTCATCCACATTATCAATCAAAGCCTGCAACAAGTCCTGACGTTTCACAGTTCCATTCCGACGAAGCTCAATGATGTCACCCATATGTTTACGAATGTATGCCTGTCTCTTTGCAGCAGCTCTCGTAGATTTCAAAGGCAGCTGTCTCACAAACGGAATGTTGCCTATTGTAGCAGCAAACCGCAAGTTCTCTTCCAGCATGCCACCGATGTGCTCTTTGGTAGACTCGATTGCTCCAAATGGTTCACCGAATGCTGTTGTTCCAATTACGTCCAAGGAGTAATTGTGAATCTATGATAACAATCAAAACGAGACCTTGTGAGAAGCGGGAAAAGAAGGTCATCATACACATCATTCTCGTTTTACCTCCATCCAGAGATTGACTTTTGTCTGTCCATTCGGGCCACCCTCTTTACATAATCGTTCGAGACGCTTGTTCAAGATCAGGAGTTGTTCTTCCATCATGGGCTCGAGATTTTGGAGATACTTGATTCCAAATGAAGGACTCATGAAACGACGGAGTAATTTATGGTAGTCCTTGTCTGTAGTGTTGAATACGTTTGGTGGTGTGCCTGGTGGTCTGAATCGTTCGTAGGAAGGAGCTTTGGGGAAATCCTTTGTGATGAGGATTTCTCGTACTGATGCTGGATCTAAGTTTCACAAACACAAGAATGAGCTGTATCTACATAACGGATTCTTGAAGCACTTGCTCTTACCAGATACAGATATGTGGTTGGAACCCACACGTACAAATCGACCATACTTCTTATGCCAAAGATCCAACGTTAGGAAACCTTGCCCGGCCTTGCCACGTACAAATATAAGACCTCCAAGAGGACCTAGTAACGGTCAGATTCACGAGGTTAGCTCGCAATGCATTGAACGCTATCCTTGGACTTGGGTTAACAGAATCCAAGCGTGTCACAAGCTTTTACCAAAGAAGAGCGGGAGCTTGGGACCAGGTATCTAGGTTCATGATCGTTGTTAGAATTGCTTTCAACTTTGTCGTTTCTTGCATGATTATTCTGCATCACTCAGCAAACAGTTTCTTGACATCGTCCAATACAACGTCACTGGAAACCGTTGGAAGTGATGCATTGCCTTCCAATGCCATAAATGGAAATACGCTCGTTTGCAAAAGGAGTTACCTTTGATAGTGGAGACAGGAAGAACGTATTGACTAAATACAACACGTATCTTGCCACAACAGCAGCTCCCAGCAGCCTGATTGCTGTAGGCAAATGATGCGACATCTGATCCAAGATCTTGCTCATTGTGCTCTGAACTGCCATGATTTTCTAGTTGTTTTTGGTTTGGTTTGGGTTGAATGAGTTTTAGCCTTTTGTGTTCTCGTGGCAGCAGGGGTAAAATGATTGCCGATGCACACGGAAGAAAATTAAACGAGTTTGGGGCTGGGAGGTCTGATACGTGTACGAATGTGTTTAAAGCTCTGTAATTGCATGAGGCGTCGCTAGAATTGTTGATTGTTGCATCGCCACAAAGCATTGCTTTCTGATCAGTCAGCCAACACAATTGCATTAGAGCAAGAAAGACTGGTATCGCAATAGAGCACTAAAACACTACCGCAGGCCATTAATCAATGCACAATTTTCTTGTATTGACACTTGATCGCCTTTATTGACAACTACAATATCTGTAATAACCCTATCAGAATACATTTGACTACACACCTCTACACCGGTGCTCTTCTGTGTTTCTCAACCAGGCTGGGAACTGGTTATAGCCACATTAGCACGGTGGTGAACCTTGTGCTCAGATAATAGAGCTTCTTTCTAATAACGAACAAAAGAGCGTCAGTTTCCACACACGAACAAACACAAATTCATAAACAGCAAGTTCACATATACCTTTCCAACATCTCACAACCACCCAAGATCCCTGTGCGACTTCACCAGAAGAAACCACAGTAAAACTAAAACAGACCATTCACTCTGCTTTCATACCACGACCAATTTGCATAGCACATCGTCCCGCCGACGTGGTATTCTTGCTATACATGCCCGCCGTCGATATTGCCTTTACTTGGGCTCATCGCATTTGCAACACTGCACATCCTTTGACGGATGATTGCACGGACCAGCCACCTGAGGGTGGAGTATACAAAGCTCTAGCCTAAAGCCACACCGGGGACGTACAGCTGGCAGATACTTTGAAATAGGTTCACACTCGCAAAACCGGTGCCAACTAGAGGGGGAAGAGATCAAACCTTTGTTTGTGTCGCAAATGTTGAAATGCTTGAGCGTGGAGTGGCTGCAAAAAGGAGGAGAGAGCACATTCATCCACGATGGACATAAATCTAGATGGATTGTTAAGGGTAGAATGTATGAGTTAGTATGGAATTGGGTTGTAACAAACAGTCCAAAATATGAACCCGACAATAATGCAAACAACTTGGATTTTCTCGATGGCACCAAGCTGGGAAGCAAGCATCCGCGTACCTGCTGGACTACATTCTCACAGCACATGCTACATCCAGCTCTCCCCTCCTTTCAGGCCATCCTCTCAGCCATCTCTCTTAACTGACTGCTTCCATGGACCTGGCCTCCATGAGCAATTTCTTCATAGGAGTATGAGGGTATTGAGATTTGTATCAGATTCCAAAAAATAATCGTGTACAAAACGAAATTGTGTACAAAAATGATTTTACGAGGGGGGTTGTTGTTTCTACTTGACATATGATTGGCCACATGTGTTCAATGTTTTCCTGACCTTGGTTCTTTAATGGCTTACTCTCCTGCTTTGTATATATGGGGGTATCTTGTATACATGATTGACTTTAGTGGTATGTTCATCGTCCTGTAATATATTGACAGTGACAGTGGGTATATGGTCATGGATTTTTGGGAGTTAAGAGCCTTCGACGAGCACTAGGAGAGCGTGGTATCAGCGATGCATTCAAAGAGATGCCATTTGTATAAGGATCAACCGTTGAGCCTCACTTGATAAACCAATTGTTGCACTGGGTGATTGAGAGTCCAGTTTGTGTACATAGCTTGTCCTTTTCTTCATCAGTAGGATATGGGTGTTCTTTGTGACTGAATAGCCATTCCTTTAAAACGCGAGAGACCTGTCAAAGATGGAGAGAGAGAAAACGATGAGAAGCACAAATCCGACATGTCTCCAACATTGGCTGCTTTTGAGCTAAACTTTACTTATCAGGGGAGGCTGCGACAGATATGACTGCAAAGCAAAACTGAACTACTGTCTGTCACCAAAAAAACTTCACGTCAAAAGCTTGACATACCTCAGCAGAATGGTTAGGCCTTTTAACAATACCATCACCAGCAGAATTCCTTTTTGGACCGGGCTTGGGACGACTACCACTATTATTACTATGACGTTTCTTTGCGACTGGCCTATCGCCAGATGCAGACACCGCACTCCCTCGTTTGTTTCCACGAGTAGAGCGTACAGGCCTTGACGGATGATAGTCGTCACTATCATCACTTGGATTCTGAGCAGCGATTTTAAACTCTTCTTCATCGTCAGCGTCGTCATTGCCGTCGTCATTGTCGTCGACGGGCGATAAATCTGATTCTTCAGACATGGTTTTCCTATTACTACCAGAATCAGCCGTTGTTCGTTGCACTGCACGTGTGAATGCTCGTTCCGACTTGTTGAGCTTTCGAGTTGCGTATCGTTTTGACGTGTTGCTCGGTGTAGGGGATGAGGTTGAAATTGCAGTGGCGTCGTCTCTAGCGACTTGACCAGCAGCATCATCATATTCTTTTTCATCCTCGTTCTGAATGTCGCGACTACGTTTGGCACCCGTACGAGGAGTAGCTGCTACAGCTCGTCCAACTAGCACCGGACTTTGACGTTGTTGTGGACGAGACACGTTGACAATCTCATGAGTGAGATACGCAATAGCACGTCGAAATAATACATCTGATTCTGTCGTCTGACCATTATCAGACGACGTGTCAGCCAGCAACTCACTATTCAATATCTCACGAAGACGAGTCAAGATTGTTTTGACTTGTCCGATTTCGTCACGGCCAATGGCAATAAGCATGAATTTATGTAGCGACAGCAGCTCTCGTACGATAACGAGAAGTGGGTTTCCTTCCAAATTGGCAGCGGATTCGTTAATGTGGATGTTTTGATGGTTGTCCATCATCAGGACATTGTTGGTGCTACTACTACTAGTGGCGATGGTGGTGGTTGGGATTACATACGGTTGCAGCTGCGGTCTTGCAGATGGGAGAATACTATGGACTGGAAGATGCATTTGGAAACTGTTTGCTGATGCTACAACTGATGTTGATGGATTTGGCATGTGGATGTAGTAGACAGCGTGAGAGTCTGATTGACTAAATATTCGTTCAATTGTTGGCTCTTTGAAACTCAAACCATATGGGTTGGCAGATGATTCACTGATTACATCTGATGGGACTGAATTGACGTTTTAAAGTCACCACCACAGTTTTAGGAGAGGGTCTAATAATGAAAAGGATGTAATTAGTGATGTATGTCAAGCTGCAAGCTATATGAAACACCGACCGGCTATGCTTAAAGTGTCTTTCGGACAAGTTGTGCAGTTTTGTTCGCAGGTCAAATGGTCAAAACTCGAAGGAGAGAACAGCATAAGTTCGGGAGTTCCCTTTGAAAAGATACATAGAACATTGAATCGTTTGATTTAAAAGTCGCTGCCCTCGAAAGTCACGTGTGACTCGTCAAACCATTCAGCGAGTTGCCAAACGTGGTTCTCGCGTTGAGACGCACCACGAAAAGCCAACAGAGTTCCCACCCGAAATCGCATTCCGAGAATCAAACGAAAATCGATATATTTTCTGGTATTTCACCGACAAAGTTTTCTATGAATTTGCACAAAGCCAAACATCTCCTTTACGACAAAGACCTAACACGTCACCCTCCTTTTGTACACGAGCAAGGTATTCAGGGTGGCGCTATAGAGAGATCAAGGCAAAGCTCATAGTGTTGGCAGTTCTGTCAGATCCTAAAATTGCATGGTTAGTTATCACTTTGGCCTACAGGGTGAGCAAGTTACAAATGAAACACCGATGCTTTACCTGCAATCAAGAACAACAAGGTATGAGCAGTGACACTGTCATCCGAGAGCTTTTCGCCATTATCATCAACATTTGTCAATCAAGAACTGCAGTCGTTAGGTTTAACTTCTCCAGTTCGGCGTGCCTTGATTTTCTTCTGCATGAATTCATTGATTACCGAAACACGACGTGTATTGTTCCGACTTCATTTGAGAGGAAGGGTTTGAGTGAAGATTCCATCGCTAGTAGTAAATCGTGAGTTTTGATCAATCAGATCACCAATATGTTCGGCGTTAGTGCCGATAGCTCCAAACGGTGCTCCGAATGCAGTGGTTCCGATGAACATCCAATGAGTAATTGTGGATCTATGTGGAGATCACGAGTATTGAAGGCGTTTGCATGTTTTCAGTGATTCAACACACAACATACCTCCATACTCAGATTAACCTTGGCGAGACTGTTCATGTCACTCTCTTTACACAATCGTTCGAGACGATTGTTGAGTACGTGTAATTGTTCTTGCATCATGGGTTCCAAGTGTTGATACCAAATGATGGACTCATAGAGCGGCGGAGAAGCTTATGGTAATCGTTGTTAGTGGTGCTGAATACGGTTCGAGGAGTGCCTGATGGCCCAAGACGTTCATAAAGGGGTGCTTGGGGTAATCCTTCTTGACAAGAATCTCGCCTAACTATGATGGGTCTGTTTCCAACAGAAAAATGAAGCAGGTTAGAAACGCTGTCGAGAGATCGAATTATGGGGCTTGAATCTAACGGCTGAGCTTACTAGATACAGAGATTGCATTACTTCCAATTCGAACAAAGCGACCATGCTTCTTGTGATATTTGTCGAGAGTCAAGAAGCCTTCACCAGGTTTACCGGCACCTATAAGAAACAGAACTCCTCCCAATGGACCGAAGAACAATGGAGCCATCGGCTCGGGCAGCTAAACACAAGTCGACAATGTAAAGACAGTAAGCGCTTGATGTGATGTGATGCGATGCGCAAGGAAAATGAATGTTCAAGAGTATCAGTATGGTCAACTAATCAGTACACAAAACATGACAACGCGTCAACTTGTCGAATTTCGTGGTTGTTTGTTCCACTGAGTAGCCTGCTCTTTCTTGAAACTGGAAATCAGCATATTTTGTCCAAAACCAGCAAAAGCTCAAACAGTTTTCTAGACTACATGCTTTCAGTATCGACCATGCCTGTAAACGGTGCATCTAGTCCAATTTCGACTATGAAAAGAGGCGTCTCAGACTCGCCATTTGCTGCTGACGTCGATGAGATCCAAAAGCAAAAGTTACTTCAGCAGACAATGGTTACTGATGACGGATACTCTCTTCAGGAAATAATGAGCCAGGTATGTTACCAATTTGATCCTTAACCTGGTGTGGAATTAGGTGTTGGTGGCGACTGTGCATTTAGAGCTGTTTTTTTTTTGGTGTTGGAAATTCTGATCTATCAGATCCAATGATCAAATTGAATGTTCTAATGCTCACATTGTAATCCCAGGGTGTAGGATTAACTTATTCTGATCTCATTTTGCTGCCTGGATATATTGACTTTGCTGCAAGCGCTGCCACGTCAGAATCGTATGTTACGAAGCGAATCAGGTACAGGACTAGATCTCATTTCACCACGCTGAACTGAAAAATGATGGTTGATTAATCGTGCTATTATGACCAAGGAGACCGGTCTTCTGACAATTGCAAAAATCACTAGATTAAAGACGCCGTTCTTGTCAAGTCCCATGGACACCGTGACTGAAGCCAGCATGGGAATCGCAATGGCTCTTGCAGGAGGCCTCGGAATCATACATCACAACTGTAGTATCGAACAGCAAGCTGAAATGATTCGAAAGGTCAAAAAGTACGAGAATGGGTTTATCTCTGATCCAATGTGTCTTTGTCCTACAAACGTCATCCAAGATGTTTTGGATATCAAGACCAAGTATGGGTTCTGTGGTATCCCAGGTACAAGTCGCATTGTAACCCTGTATGCAGTGTGATTGTTGATGTTGTCACAACCTAGTTACTCTGGATGGACAAATGGGATCCAAGTTGATTGGAATTGTGACTTCTAGAGATGTTGATTTCTTTAAAGTGAGATATTCTACTATTAGCAAAGTCTTGAACAAAATTGGCACCATGGACCTAAACAAACCTTGATCGCAGGATGCTGATTTCAATACCCCTTTGAAAGATGTAATGACAACTGAGCTAGTCACTGCACCTCAAGGGGTATCTCTGGCTGAAGCTAATGCGATTTTGAAACAGTCGAAAAAGGGGAAGCTTCCCATCGTTGATTCAAATGGTATAGCACAGAATCAGGTTTGAGCGGCCAGGGCAATCTATCTACCAAACTAATTCCTTTCGGGTTCTGATAGGTTGTCTGACTGCTCTCCTTGCCCGGTCAGATTTGGTTAAAGCCAGAGACTTCCCTTTGGCCAGCAAGAACAAGGCTACCAAGCAGCTGCTATGTGGTGCGGCCATCTCAACACACCAAGATGATCGCGTACGTCTCGCCGCACTCGTAAAAGCTGGTGTCGACGTGGTTGTCCTCGATTCGTCGCAGGGCAACAGCATATACCAAATCGAAATGATCAAGTTCATCAAGAACGAGTATCCAGGTATAGAAGTAATTGCTGGAAACGTTGTGACTCAGGAACAGGCTAGGAATCTGATTCTAGCAGGCTGTGATGGTTTACGAGTTGGTATGGGAAGTGGCAGTATATGCATTACGCAAGAGGTGTTGGCATGTGGTAGACCTCAGGGAACAGCTGTGTACAAGGTCGCTCAATATGCGAGGCAGTTTGGAGTGGTACGATTTTAGCTTTACCTGTTGTTAGACAACTTTGCAGGCTCGCTAACATGATGATATGTTAGCCTGTAATAGCAGATGGAGGCATAGGCAACGTTGGGCACATCGTGAAGGTTAGAGATTTCTAGCGGCTTTTGTATTATTATCCTTTAGTGACACTTGTTTTTTTCTCAGGCAATCGCTTGTGGTGCGTCTTGTGTAATGATGGGCTCATTGCTAGCTGGAACGACCGAATCACCAGGAGACTACTTCTTCCATGAAGGCAAACGCTTAAAGAAATACAGAGGAATGGGAAGTGTTGACGCTATGGAAGCTGGGAATGCTGCCAAGAATCGATACTTTTCCGAATCAGACAAGATCAAAGTTGCTCAAGGTAAAAGTCAGTTATTGGAAATAGCAGTTCACTCTCTGACCACTCTCGTTTGCCACTGTATTTCAGGGGTTACCGGCACCGTTCTCGACAAGGGTAGTGTTAAACGATTCCTCACATACTTACAGTCTGGAGTACAGCACTCCCTGCAAGATTTGGGTGTTCGCTCACTCGATGAGCTGCGGGAAGGCTCGCGAAATGGGGCTATTCGATTTGAACGTCGTTCACCTAGTGCTCAACTTGAGGGTGGTGTACATGGGTATGTATACAAAAGTCGAGTCTTCAAGACGCGTAAGCTTTTAACTAAGTTTCTTGGTTGTTTCTAGGCTGTTTGGGTATGAACGAAAGGATTTTGCTTGAGGATGCAATGTGTGAAGTGTTTTGTGAGTCGTTCGTAAGGTAGTAAAGTAGATACTGCCTCTGTATAAATATAAAAGAACCGTGTCAAAACCCCTTGCTGGATCTTTTGAGAGCATTGATGTTGCATTTGAAGAGTTCTTCCCTCTTGCGTCCCTTGCAGTTCGAGGTCACACGTTCACATTACGGAGTTGAACCAGATGAGGCGAAATCGGCTGGGCCCATCACACCCGCTGTATATGCCATATTTTGTATCCTCTTCTACCTTTCAATCTCTCCTCGAATCAACCAGTTGTCTGTGTAAAGGAACAAGTTGGACGATTGTGCTTTTATGTGAATTTCCAGTCACTGGGATTGAATTTCTATGAAACACGAGGGAGCTACTACTATGGACAGAATACTCGAAGGAATATATACTTTTGAGTCACGTTTGGTTATTATTGTTCGCTTGGGCTTGATGATTCATCACAAAAATGTTACCACCGTGTTTTTGACTTTTGACCTGTTGTGACTTGGACAACAGAGTAAAAGAATAAGCCTGGATCGCTGTGAAGAGGTGGCCCCAGTTCGTCGCTACTAGATCAACTTTAGACACTGCCGATTCGGGCATTATGTTCAGCAGCCTTTCAACAGCTGGGCAGTTGTACGATCTGACACGACCGTGGTCATGAAGGCCTATATTGGCATCTGGACGAGTTCTGATTTGGACTTACGATTGAAATTATTATCAGCTTTTTCCGCTCTTCTGCTTCTTAACGCCCCTCTTTACCGAGTTATATAAATGATTAGGATGCCGCAGTCGAACTTGTATTAAAGACGAGACCATTATTAGGATTACAAAACCCTCGAAACAATCAAAAACATACTCAAGATCAATTGTGACTATCTTTATAAAGCGAACCATTAATTGTTGATTCCGTCGTTTGTATCATACCTTGTTGTCGATAAAAGGTACGAAACAGACCGAAAACGAGGACCTGGACTAAAGTAGGTGGTAGAAGTTACCGAATAACTGCTGTCGTCTTATTTTTGGAAAATCTCATAAATACGGTGAGCTTGTCTTGGAGATGTCCATGCATGTCTAAACTTCTTGCACATCTAAAGACTTCAAGCATGAAAAGCAAGGATGACGAACGGGAGGAGTCTACGTTCAGATATACCGCCCGGGAAGGTTTTAGTCACGACGCTATTACCAAGATCCCTTGGTTATACTTTGATTGGCGTGAAGCCTCAAGGACAATTCAAGGACACCTCCTCACAATTGCTATCGCCGAACGCGTCTTTTTTCTTGTTTGCGGAAATTAGCTCTCACCTGTGTGATTTGCCGATATACAATTTTGCGTCTTCGTCCTATTTTCTTATTAACACGACAATGGCTGGCGCTCAAGTGGTCATTCCAACGGTAATAAGCTAAGCATTGCAACCAAAAGGTTAATCGAGCGTCGCTTTTTAACTCTTGTTTTTCGCAGATAGCTTCCAACTTGATTTTAGGAGCTACAATCGTGTTAAATGTGCTAGGTAAGGGTTGAACGTTCAATGATACATTTACAGAGATTCCTACAGCCAAAGCCAAGCACGAATCCAAGCAATTGTACTAACTCTGTGTGCTTGGTTCTGGCAGCTCTCTTCCTATATGGCCTGCCAAATCCATACAAGATGTTTCTGAATGATCGTGAAAGACAGAAAACGCTTGCACTAGTCATGCTTGCAACATCATTTGGTATGGAAGCGAGAGAAAAATCTCGGTGTAGCAGATAGATGACTTTTCATCTCACCATCGATACTCTCCTTCTCACTGTGCTGACAGCTGAAGTTATACTTGGTGGATACTACATAAGTGGGACATTTTCAGACTTTTTCCTGGTTCTAAGTACCGCACAGACCTTCTTGATGCTGGTAAGCCTTCAAGTGCTGACTAGCTGTTGACGTCTATGGTTTGCAATTAATTTTCTTCTCATCTCTTCGAAACTCAACTAGTTGGGATTAGCTATTCTCAATCACAACTCTTTAATACGCCTTTTGGTGGCCTTCACCTCTGATTCGCAGAAGGTTGATTTATTCAATTGGTTTGGGCTCATTCTGTACCTCTTTCCGTTTGTGATAATGGCCCCGATTTGGAACCTGTTGGCCAAATATGTATGTGTAGATGCCATGTAATTCCTGGGGACAAAGTTCTGACAAATACCTTTCCTGTTGACAGGCACAAACATCGATGCTAGACCTTTCATATTACGGTGTCTGGATACCCGTATTTAGTAGGTATCGTTTTATGCGGATACTGGATGTCAAGGAATTAAGTCTTACCAGCAATTGCTTTTCCCCCTTACATAGTAACAATGGTGACTAGTGCATACCAAAGCATGGATTCCATCACTATCTCGAGCCATAACACTGTCGTCACTTCCTCTTTCATTTAGATTCTTGGAACTGAAGCATGTGCTGTGATATGTGATTATCTACTATTCAGACGAGTCATGGGCGCAAGAGATAGATTGGGATCCATCACCGGAAATAAAGAACCTCCTGCTCGTCTACCATCCATCACGACTCGCAAACCCGCAAATCCTTCCACCTCAGCAGTTGTACGATCTGAGACAACCGTGTTTATGACGATGTATGTATGTATCTGGGCGAGTCTAGCTTTGGACGTTATACTCAAGATTCTTGTTACAGTGTAAGCCCTATGTTTGTCTTCTTTGTTTTCGAGGAGAAAACTGATTCTTCATGCATTCTGTCACAGGGATCCCACGCAACAACTCTTTGACACCCAAGTCACAATATTGACCATGACGTTAAGGGCAGCTGCAAATCTTGCGTTTGGGACTACGATGAAGACATTGGGAACTTTTGGCCCAATGACGCCTACCGCTGAAACGTCGCATGACGCCAATACCAAACTGAAGACTATCGTGGCTTCATAAGTAGGACGCTTTCTCAGAGTGATCTAGTGGCAGCTGCTTGTCTTTACCACCTCCCTTCTCAAGCTGTATATGTGTAATGGTTTGATTTGTTTTACAAAATCGATGCCGCAGTCGCATTTGTATAGAACAGGAGGTCACTGTTAATATGAAGAGATTACGTGACGCGTGTATATGTACATACTAAGTGATTTTTTATCATTCATGTTGGCCTTGATAATATAAAGAACAAAACCACTCCTTCTTTGTCGCGTTGGTTTTTTTATGTGCAACAGTGCATGACGTAGTCCTCACATCAACTTTTTCAAAAACAGACGGGTTGAATCCAAAGGTGAGTTCATAGGCAATGTCTTGTAGTTCTCATGTTTGCCATTCGTCACTTTGATTCTGATTTTGCATTCCTCAAATTGATGCACTGTTCTCAAACAATTCACATTGATTGAAAGCTAGCTACCAGAAAACAAAGATGGCTAGCACTCAAATCATCCACGACTCCAAATATGACTATCCTGAGACCAAGGTCGAGCTCAGAGGACAGGTTGCTGTGGTCTACATGGACAGGCCAGCCAAATTAAAGTGAGTTCGGATCGTGAACATTGCTTGTCAGTACTAAACTAGACTTTCCTCAACATAGTGCATGGTAAATATTCAACTGGTTCTCAATCCTCTGGACCACCTTCTCGTCAGGAATCCCAAATGTGTTGCTGAATGTCGTTACATTTATTCTTGTTCACTCGCTTTATAGGACTGGAGTCATGAACAAGGCACTACAAGACATGTAAGCGAACTTCTAATGAGAGAAACTTGTTCTACGCTTGTTTCCTGCACGATTTCAGTCTCAAACATGGCGATTGTGATCTGATTTCTCATTCCTGTTGCTTACTCACGTTGTAGCTTTGAGAAACTCGACGAAGACGACCGTATCAAAGTCGTAGTGGTCACTGGTACAGGTGACCGTGCATACTGTGCTGGAGCTGATCTTTCTCAAGGTAAAACTAAAAACCAGTCAACACACCCGCTCGCTTCTAAACTTGTACTTTCTACAGGCGATTTCTCATCTCGCGGTGACAAGAGCCGCTACCAAACTCCAACTCTAGGAGCTCATCGTGATGGTGGTGGACAATTCAGTATTCAGGCTGCCAAGATGCGAAAGCCGGTTATTGCTGCTATTAACGGTGTCGCTGTAAGCTCACTTTGCTCAGAGTGGATGAAATAATCTTATTGAGAGTCTTTTGGTCTGACATTGTTCATAACACTTTTGCAGGTCGGTGTTGGTATAACTTCAACCCTGCCCATGGACATTCGTATTACATACAAGGAAGCAAAAATTGGATTCGTGTACGTATTTAACTAGTCAGAATTAGCCGCTCTTTGTATTTTGGAGTGTCTCCCAACCATCTATGGTCTCCTGATGTCTTTGACAAAAAAACGAGTCATGAGTTGAAACCCAACGAATTGTATCTAACAAAACTCTCCTCTTCACATAGATTCGTACGACGAGGAATTGTACCTGAAGCAACATCAACTTACTGGTTGCCTCGTCTTGTTGGTTACTCTCGTGCCGTTGCACTCATGTTGACTGGCCGCGTTTACAAGGTAAACTAAACAGTGGCTCCCCTTTGCTTTACCCAAACACTCATTCGTTTCGTTTCACAGGCCAGCGACCCACTACTGGCCAACCTCTTCACTGAAGTCCTCGACAACCAAAAGGATGTGTTGCCCCGTGCTCTTGAGGTGAAAACTCCCCTTCAGTTTCCAGACCCTTCCATTTTTTGCTGACCTGTCGCATTCTCCTAGCTCGCCAACGAAATGGCATCCATGAACTCTTCCGTATCCATGGCCATGGTTAAAGGTCTGTTATGGCACGGTACAAACACCCCTGAAGAACAACACTTGCTTGATTCCAAGGGCATGTTTGCATTGGGAAACAGTATTGATGGAAAGGAGGGTGTTGCTAGTTTCATGCAGAAGCGACAGGTCAAGTTCCAAGGTGTGTGTCTGTTGTGTATTGGTTTTGGAAAACCAGTGATGGAGTCTTGTTTACGGTTTTTTTGCTGGAACAGGTACCGTCACAAAGGATATGCCAGTATTCTACCCAGTAAATAAGAGTCCAGATTCCGCTTGTTTCCTTTGCGTCCGTTTTGATTTGTTTTGGAAAAACCAACCCATGCTATTTTTACTTATAGTGGTGGACTCACCCAGATGCTTCAGCACCAAAATCTTCATTGTAAAAGCAACCTCGTCGGTTGTCTTCCCTTTGTTGGATCAAGTTTGTCCAAAAGAATACAAGCATTTCGAACCTTGTTGCTACACAACAATTGCTTGTCGTTGTTTACAGAAGCAGAGACCAATTTTAGAGCAACACAGGATATGGGAATCTTGAACAGGGTTCGAACTTCAGTAGTGATACAGCAGTAAGGGCCCTCATCTCGGGCAAACTTTTCCGTTCACCTGGGAAAATGAAGCGACTTGTTCACGCCCGGTCCAACAAGAACAGTGAATTTGCTAAGCAGGTTCCAAAAACAACGCATCTTTAATGTTTGATAAGAAACTAGTATATCTATTATACAGGCGTAACAGTTGCTCTAACAATAAAAGTAACATGACCGATAATACGATAAATGATTGTAATTATATACGACACAGGGAATCAGTTCACCCACTCATACCACCACTAACACGACCTAATAATTCCGCCGCCCACTACAACTCACTTTGACCAGAACGACCATCTAGATCTAGCCTTCTTGACTCCCACCTCATCACCGTCCACCTGTTCCAGCTGCGGGAACGAGTGCGGACGCCCCGATGGCGAGGCCGGCACCTCCTGATCATTATTATATGCCTGGTCGTCCACGACCACCTCCTCTACTATAGAGTGACTATATGCAGCATTCTGCTCCATGTCGATTGTGAACGGATTGCGTCCCTTGTACGGCTTCCTGGCTACCGGTTTAACGACGTCTACGTTCGTGTATAGGTCCGCGAATGGGTTCCGGCCTTTATATGTCCTTGTAATTGGTTGGGTTGCTTCACATAATACGGTGGTTGGATGATGATGCGATGGTGTTGATGCTATGGTGGCCAACTCGTCGTCCGAGGAGACGGAGGACGTTACGGATGAGTTTGATAGGGATTCTATAGAGCTTTGCATTGAGAGTGATGGTGGTGGGGATGTTCGTTTAGTGCTAAAGTCAACTAGTTCTACGTCCATATCTGAGGAACTGCTTGTTGGCCTGCTAGATGAGGATGTGGGTCTGCTACGAGAAAACATGGTGCGATAAACTATGCCAAACTATGAGGTGGGTTTGCCTTAAGGATTTGCCGCAGAAACTTTAAACCACCAAAGTTATGAAGATCACATGTGGGACATGATGGAGCAACCAAACTTCCATGAAACGGAGGGAGAGAGGGGAGGAGGGCCCGACGTGAGTTGGATTGTATGAAATGGTGCTTATTCCATCGCGAGAGTGCACCGATCGCAGTAATGATTACGCCACGTAAATCATACGTGTGTGGAAACTGGTGTATCGGTTTTGGCAGAATCGTGATAATGCTTTGTTGGAACTGCAAGGTGGATTATTGGATGCATTTACACGCAGAATCGAATGGTGGGAGTATCGGACATGATCCGGTCTTCTGTGTAAGAGAGAACTAGACATCATAACTAATAGCGCTATGAGTTACAAGGGTACCAGCTTGTCATATCGCAATACGGGACTTTCAGATACTTGATGCCACTGCAGATCATTCTGCACGCGCAGCTGGTACTGATGGTCTAAAAGGATATGATCGTACGAACTATGCTTTGTCGTCAACATGTGTCTGAACAAACAAAGAGGAAGTTATGAATGTAGGCCGTACAGAACGGGACGGCAATAATTATCATTTTACCTGTACGAGCTAGCTGTAGTAAGAACACAATTACAGCAACAAAACACCCCGAACGCACCATACAAGTTGCTGTGTTCGAAAGCAGATTGAAGGAAGCGAGTTTTCAGTACTTTTGTATGCAGCTTTGGGAGTCTTGTATTCTAGAAGAACCCTCTCCAACGACAGATTTTGGCTTACACTATCACGAGATGTTGGAAACACAGTTCCACGATAGTTCTTGACGCGTACTTGCCAATTTATTGTCAGTTCTATTCACAACAGACTGAGAGTCACGTTCTAACTCGTCCAATTCCCACTACAACCTTCTCGTCATCACCCTCGTTGCACTGCCTCGACTCGCAACAAACCCCTTCAAACACAACGACACTCGTCAACAGACAAAAACACAATAGGTAAAACCCACAAGCAAGCATGCCCACTTACATTCCCCCATTCATCATCACATTCCCATATACTAACCACCACCTCCTCCCTCTTCCTACCACAGAAAACCCGCCCTCCCCAAAAAAACCGACATTCCAACAAATGGCACCCAATGTCCTAGTTCTAGGAGGAGTCGGCTTCATAGGCAGGAACTTTGTCACTTATCTCATAGAAAACAATCTTGCAGACTCGGTTCGCGTCGCTGACAAGGTCTTGCCCGCGACCGCCTATCTCTCGGATCGCGTAAAGAAGGCATTTGATGACAAGCGCGTCGAGTTTAGACAGGCTAATCTGGTTAATGCTGGTGAGTAAAGTATGGTTTGGAAGGGTTGGGTGGTGGAGATGAGGGTGTGGTATGAGTGTATGCTGGTTAGTGTGACTGGCTGTGGGTGTGGGGATCAAGTCCAGATCGTACATTGGGATACTCCGTATAAAGAGATCCACATACACCCATACACCATTCATCATCTTCTTCTCACTTCGTTTCTCTCTGTACTCGCACCAACCAGCAACCATTGTCTTGCTACTCCAACTAACAAACCCCTTCACCAACAGGCTCAACAGAAAAGATGTTTACTCGAGAAGACGGTAAACAATTTGATCTGGTATTCAACTTGGCCGCTGAAACAAAATACGGCCAATCCGAAGAAGTCTATGACGAGAAAGTGTATCAGTTGTCCCTCTGTGTCGCCAAAGAAGCCGCCAAACGCGGTATAAAGGTCTTTGTGGAGGTGTCTACTGCTCAGGTTTATGAGGCTGACAAGGTATGTCGTGTGAATATGTGTGAGGGGAAAGTGCGCGATTGTGTTCGAGCACGTGTATTCATGGGATTGTACTTTTTGTTGCCGTCATTGCATGGACAGAACTTGATTCTTACAACCATGTCCGACTAGAAACCATCAAATGAAGACTCTAAAATCAAACCATGGACTCTGATTGCGAAATACAAGAGCAAGGCTGAGCTTGAAATCAAAAAGATTGCGGGGTAAAAAAAAGCTGGTCTAGGATGAATCCTTGTGCTCAAAGATCCTTTTGTTGACTTTTCAATCCTCTTTACGTACAGATTGAATCTCATCATCGTGCGACCAGCTATCGTGTATGGTCCTGGTGATATTCTTGGACTGAGTAAGTGTTGCAAAGAAGGGACTGTCTTAAATCCTTCCGATGAACTGATGATATCATCTGTCCTCGTATTCCTAGCTCCTCGTTTGATCATCGGCGCCGTATACCGTCACCTCAAAGAAGAAATGAAACTATTGTGGACCAAAGATTTGAAAATCAATACCGTGCATGTCAATGATGTGGTATGGATCAAAATAGGCTGCATTTCTTGTCATTGAACAGTCACTAAAAACCCGATGTCTTATTCCACCAAAGGTTCGCGCATTGTGGTATGTCGCAGCTACAAAGGAAGAACAGGGTGGTCGCACAGCTCCCGTCAAGGCTGGCGGCGAGACATACAACTTTGCAGACAAGGGAGATACGGATCAAGGAGCAGTGAATACATTTATTGAGTCTATTTTCGGTATCGAGACTGGATTCCAGGGAACAATGATTTCGCAATTCGCCAAGGTATGAAACATATGATGTGTAGAGGATGGAGCAAAAAAAAAGGATCACGTCCTCGTCTGATACATGTCATCAATACGGTCCACCACTCATATCTAACATGTTTTTCTCTTCGCAGCTCAATCTGGAATCAGTCACAGAAGATGTCAATGACAAGCATTTGCAACCGTGGTCTGATTTATGTAAAGCTGGCGGTGTTCAGAATACACCATTGACACCATACCTAGACAAGGAATTATTAAAGGATAATGCTTTGAGTATTGATGGAACACGGGTACGTTTTGAAAAATAATCGGGTCTGGGAGTGTTTGTAAAAACACTTCAACTCTCTCTTGTCGTGATGAGCAACGATGAAGTAGGAGATTTCGTTTCTTGCCCCCCTAGTTTTAACGCAATCTTTACATAGATTGAAAAGGAATTAGGCTTCACATATACAGTTCCAACACTCACAGAAGCCGCCTTACGTGAAGTAGTAGAGGACTTTGTTGCAACTGGTATCTGGCCAAAAGCAACCACCAAGTAGAGATGTCGAGAGCAAAAACACACAATAGCAAAACACACCACTCCACCTTTTGTAAAACAGTACCCCTCGTCCCTTGCCTTCCCTCAACATTTTACATATCAAAAGTTTGTGCTTTTAGGCAAGAAACAAAAATTGTGCTATATCACCTCGAAATACCCGTCATTCTACTGCTTTTTTTCTTTGTTGCTTTGTTGAATAATATTTAAACTTTTCAAATCTCTCTCTCTTGTGGGCAGTTACCAAGCGTGCTATGTTTGCTCTTTGTGTTGTTGAATTCTATGGTGGTACCTTGTTAAAAAAATGAACAACACTTTCGCTGAATCAGCCTTTCTACAGGTACTGTCGTTGCTAACTCTTCAGCCCTCTTCTCCTTTAGATTAAATCTCATCATCTTAGGACTGGCTAGCGCATATGATGTTGGTGATTTCCTAGGACTAAGCAAGTCTTTGCACTCAAAAAAGTATCCTACCGTTCGCAGTATCATTTCTTAATGACCTAACAATGGTATCTTCTACTTGAAGATAACTCCTCGTTTGATCATTGTCGCTGTATACAGCCACCACAAGGACGATGTGAAATCATTGTGCACTAGATATGGTTGACAATTAATGCATATCAACGGTGACGTATGGTTGTAGCTACTCCAACTTATGTTAGTCGTTCGGCAGCGAGGTTTTTTTAGTTGTATATATATGTGAGCGTGATTCTACTCAACCTCACACAGCACAACAAAAACAATAAAAAACACACCACTCCAAACAATAACACACTTTGTAAGATATTTCATATTCCTACTCATCGAAAAAAGCTAGCAAACTATACAAACTCCCTTTTTTATACAACCCCTGCCAATCCTCATCATCCAACCAATCTAGCCTCCTTATTCAAATACTCCAAATGATCATCACTTGTGAATGGAGCCATGAATCTCGATGATTGTGACGGTATCGTAGTACTACTACTAGGATTCATTTGTTTTTGTCTCTTAGGAGCAGCAGGAGAAGCAGCAGTATTGGATTCCTGACCCATTTCTTCATCTACATCGGTCTTGCCTTCTTCTTCTATATCTTCATTTGTAGCAGTCAAGTCCTACGTAAACAAAAGGTGTGAGGTCAGCAAAACTTTTAAAAATTTAACCCGACCAATCAATGTCGGCCACCAACAACAACATACAACTAACCTCAACACGCTTCCCCACACTCCCCAATATAAGCGGCTGCACCCTCGCAATCCCATTCAAAAGCGCCGACTCTCTCACCCCCCTCGCATTCAACCACTTCATCAGCAAATCAACCTCCTCAACAGTCTGATAACACCCCCACCTCACAGCCTTGCCCCTCCCATACGCAATGCCAACCCCAGCAGCATCCCGTTCCACATCGGTAACACTATTTACACTATGTGCACCAACACCGACTCCAAATTCTTCAACAAAGACGCGTCCAGCAGCCCACTCCAAGACAATCGGCACAGCAGGACGTGCCTTGTGGCCCTTTGGTACAGGTGGGGCGTCAGGTAGTTCAGAGCCCGGTGGGTATGCGCCGACGTATTCGTCATACCACCAGTAGCGGTTGTAGTGTCGGTCGCGTCCGAGTGGGCGAATGCGGGATACACCTTCGAGACGACGAATTTCTTGATCGAGGAATAGTTGGCGTTTGGCTAGTTTTAATTCTTCTTCTTCGATTCGGAGTCGTTCTTGGGCAATATTTTGGATTACGTCGCCTGATGATAGGGGTCCTGGTGGTGCTGTTGGTTGTGGTGTTGAAGAAGAATTACGGGTTGTTGCAGAAGTTAGAGTAGACGATGAAGGTTGTTTCCCAGTTTTCCCCTTTTTAGTGACTCGGGTTTTCGTTTTTTTGGACCTCTTCCTCCTATATTTATATATGTGTCAGGTTTGAGTCAAGTAAAGTGACAGACTGCAGCATGCAACCAAAAAAAGGGAACGAATGGCTGACAATCCAAACTTACGAAGATGGCCTATCATCACTCCCCGTCGCATTACTAGTCCCACCATCCGAATCACCATTATCTTCTCCAGAACTGGTTGCAGCATGATCACTCAAATCACTCGAATTATCAGTCATTCGATCACTGAGTGGTGGATCATCTTCCATCTTGATGGCTGCTATTGCTGATGCAGGTGTAGCTGGTGCGAGAGCAGATGGTGTTGCTGCAGCAGCCCCACCTTTTCTAGTAGTTTGCTTGGCTGCTTTGGCGGCTGCCACAGCACCTGATCTCTGTTTCTTTAGGTCTCGTTTTGACTGTGCTCTGCAAGAAGATAAAACAATGTATACTGTCAGTGTGACAAAAAAAGAAACAACACAAGCAACCAATGTGCCAAACAACACACTTACAGAGCCTTAATCAGATTGTTCACATCCCTCTTCTCAGTCTTAAGCTCACTAATCCGCACAAGCGAAGCCTCAAATGCATCCCGTATAACATTACTAGTCATACAGCACTCATCCGCCAGAAACTTTAAGATCTTGACCTTTTCAGCAACGGTCAATGCAACAAACCCATACTCGGTAACCTGCAACAATCGATCTATGTCCAGTGTTTGTGACTGCTGTGCAGCAGCGGCGGCAGAACGTCGTGATGGTGGCGGTGCCTTTTTCTTTATAGGCGGTGTTGGTGTTTGGGATGTATTGTTGGTCGGCGTAGTGGCAGATAACATGTCGGGTGTAGCAGTTCGGGTGGCTCGTATGGGGCGTTCACGTAATGATGTTATTGGATGTGGTAGTGCTGATACGATAGGTGAATCAGGATCAGGGGATTCATCTTTGACGATTTTGGGTTTCTTGGTTCGAGATGATTTTCGTTGGATGGGTCGCGAATCATCTTCACTGCCATTGCCGTTTTCATAGTTTGCCATGTCTTCGTGATAGGATGCAGTATCGGGTGTATCAGCGGCTCGTTTACGATTATTGGTACTAGTACTATTACCATTGTTACTAACACTGCCACCACCATTCACTACATCTAGGTGCCCACTACCACCAGCAAGAGAATCATCATTATCATCGATATTATTGGTTCCATTCACAGACGGTGACGCAGTCCTCTCATCTCCCATTTCACTTGACGCAGCACTATGTACAGATGGCGGCTCACCTCCTCGCCCATCAAGTTCTCCACCAAGCAACAACGACAACACAGTCCATTTATTAGCCAAACAATCAGCCGGAATCCAGTCACGTACAAGACCAGCCAACACAACTTCCCAAGCACGTAATCGTTTCGTGTTTGGAATCGACCGTTCAGCTCGTGTATTAGCTAGCAATGCAGCAACCGACGGTCGATGTCCATCCATTCCTGAATGCCATCGTCCGGGATACCACTTCCACCATTGATCTAGTGATGCTCGTTCATCGGCAATCAGTTTGGCGTATAAGGTGTTTGCGGTTTCGTGCATGGGTTTATCGATATCGTCGACGTGGAGGGCTACACGTTGTTCTGGTGGTATCGGAATGGTTTGGTGGTCGATAAATGTTGCAGGCTGGTTTGCTGCTGCTCTAATGGCTGCATCAACTTTGAGCGACCATTCTAGACATGCTAGATGTAATAGACTTCCAAAGACTTCTACTAGAAGGGTTGAAGCTGGTAGACCTTGATATGAGAGTGAAGATATAAAGTCGTCCAATGTGAAGGGTGATAGATGCAAAGATTTTCTATACGAGGTGGATCGTATGGAAAAGGTCAGCGGTTCATTTTGTTAAATAAATCCAAGTTGGAACGAAACGCTCCAAACACATACCCAAAGACTCCAAGAAAAGTCCATATCACTAGGACGTCGGGCACCAGTTCTTGTGGCACAGCACCAAAGTCAGATGTTGGTATTGGTCGTGGTATAGGTGGTTGATTGGCACGTGGAGGTACAGATAGCAATTCCAAGTCTTCCACTGGCAGATTGAGAGTGGACATGACTAGAATCAAGTTATTGGAAGTTATTCGCTGCCTTCTTTTGTTGTCTTTGTTAAGCATTACAAAACTTACGATGATTTGCAGCACGTTTTTGCGTTGGTGCGCCATCTTCAGTCTTCTTCCTCTTGCGATCATCAATTTTAAGCTCCTGTTTAAAATGACGGAATGTGAGTGTTTCTTTTGTATTCAAGAGACAATAAAAATAACAGACAACGCATGGTATGCATACTTTCTCTTCACGAACTTCAAAGTTGGCCTGTACATTGACTGGGGGTGTAGTAGATATGCCATATCGTCCTGCTAAATCAGCCTATCATTTCAACAAGAAGGCACGAGTCAGAAGGGCCCACACCAGAAAACAAGGACTCCGATCGATCAGCCTACGCACCCTAATCAACCACGGCGCCCCCTGCCACGGATCCTTACTCGCATTCTCCCTGACAAACTCTCTCAAATTATTCTTTGACAATGCGACCCGATTCCTCTTCATCGCATTCAGACTAACCCAGTACTCTGTCGGCTGGTTTGGATTTGTATGGGGAGGCAGCAGTGTTCCATCAAGCGCGCACTGATGCACGCGATACAGAGTAACATCAGGCCATGTGGCATCTGGGTTTACGGGAGGAGCAGCGTATGGGTTTGGACCAGGACGAGAATGCGCTTGGATTACTTCCGTGATTTTAGCGTCATGTTGAGTAGATTCGATTTCGATGGTGACTTGTTCACCGACAATGGCGTTTTCTTTAAACCATTCGTGGATTTCGTCGACGAGTTGGTTTAGACGTCTTGTGTCTATTTGGGAAGAGTACTTAGTATGTAGCAAGTCACATATGGAAGGTACGCTAATCCAAATTGCATGGAAAATCACGTTGGTAAACACGGGCCACGTACTGAATTGAATCAACTCGAGACAGGGCTTTCGCCATACATCCGGCAGCCGATCCTCTAGAATCTTGCGAGCTTCCAGTTCGGAATTCAGAGCTTGTTCGTAAGTCAGTTTTGATTTTCCAGTTTCAGCGCATTCCCATATGCGTTGATTGTAGAGTCGAAGTCGTTCCCAGTATTGACTGTTTTTTGGATTTTTTTGATGTGGATTGAATAGAGTAAACAAGTTAGTAGTGTATTGTTGACGAGTATTGAAGCACCAATTATAACGTGATTTGAAGTATGGGAATGAGCGAACTGTCAATAAGGGTGGATGTTACTTACTCGTAGTCTGTGAATATCTCTCCAGTGAAGCGGATTTGCAGGACCTCAATCTGATCGTCAGTATGTGTTGGAGGTTGAAGGAGAACTATTGGCTTCTTCGTGCGAGTCAGAGTCGGCATATCCTATTATAAAAGCAGCCTGTCTTCCTGAAGACTCCCTCTCATCTGGTGTGCTGGTCGTGGAAAGGAGAGGGAAAAGGGCAAAATCAAACGCTGGCAAGTCGAATTGTCATGAATGTTGATATTACGTGACTTAGACTCAAAGACGACGGTAAAGTAGTAGCTTTTATGGTATATAATTATTATTTCAACTTGGATTCGCTGCCTGTAATGCACAATATAGGTAAAACATGCATTTAGAGGCCGAATTTGGACTGATGAAGCCAGAGCTACCCGTTACAGTCTATTTACAGTGTAAACCGATGCTGAAAACACGCGTATATGCCTCAAAAGGTGTTAGATCTCGCAGTAAGAGAGTGTTTATTTTGTTGAGGAGCGCCGAGCGGTGTGGTCGATTAGATGTAAGCTCGTGTCAAAGGTTATGAAATGATGTACTTCAGCCTGAAGTTCAAACTGTGACTGTTTCCGTATATTCCTTGCGGTCCAAAACCCCCCGATCGAAGAGAACGAACTGCCGAAAGGGCACCATTTTGACCAACTTCGACCTCATTCAATAAATGTTGGTCTCTTGCCGCATTCCCGTGTCTAACGTTACTTGTAACGCGTTCCAACACGTTCAGACCTCCTATCTGACGTACTCTGACTCTCTCGCTTATCTCTAACTCCATATGAATTCCACCGACCGTGACCAAACACACACATCAACTAATTTATTATTTAGAGAGCTCCCCCGATACGCATCTACAGAGACAACAATGACGTGGGACCTCGACGCGTTCATATCCAAGCTATATGAGCGCGAACTGCTCCCAGAACAAGTAGTCAAGGAGCTCTGCGAAAAGACCAAAGAGGTCCTCGTCACTGAAAGCAATGTGAAGGCTGTTGCTGCTCCTTGCACCCTCGTTGGAGATGTCCATGGGTACTGTATTGCATCATTTCGTACATTATGGTATTAGAAGCTGACTCTTATCGGATTTCCATAGACAATTCTACGATGTCCTCGAAATCTTCAAAATCGGAGGCTACTCGCCAAACACAAACTATGTCTTTCTGGGCGACTATGTGGATCGAGGCTACTTTTCTGTCGAGACAATCACCCTCTTGACGTGCTTGAAGCTGCGTTATCCGAGTCGAGTTACCCTTGTCAGAGGAAACCATGAATGTAGAACAGTCACTCAGGTAGGGCTAGTTGATGTGCTACGCTGTAGCAGTGATGATCAGTATCATATCATCATGATCAACCATCTTTGTTGTTAGACGTATGGATTCTATGCTGAATGTATACGCAAATATGGGAATGCAAATGTGTGGAGCTACTTTACAGACATGTTTGATTACTTGGTGCTCGCTGTCATTATTGAAGACGCCATATTTGGCGTTCATGGAGGTAATGTGTGTTGTGTTTGTTGGGCAGAAAAAGTCCAAACATTCCATTTGCAGAATTGTGTTTGTAAACACTTATTGACTCATTACTCATCATAGGTCTCAGTCCGTCGATACATACTATAGATCAGATTCGAATCATAGATCGCTTTAGAGGTATCCCGCTACTCTGTCTCACGGAGCGTCAAGACTTCTCGTTGGAATCCGCTCATATCTCATCATTTTTTTTCGCACTCTCAACCAGAAATACCACACGAAGGGCCCATGGCCGACCTCGTCTGGTCCGACCCTATGGCCCCAACCTTCCCAGGCGGTCTCCCGGGCTCCGAAGATAAAGGCGATTTCGCAATATCACCACGCGGAGCCGGCTACGTATTCGGCAAAGACGTGACCCGCAAATTCCTCGAAATAAACGGACTCGGCCACATATGTCGTGCCCACCAACTATGCATGGAGGGCTACCAAATTCTCTACGACGACATGCTATCCACCGTATGGTCTGCACCCAACTATTGCTACAGAGCAGGCAATATGGCTAGTGTGTTGGAAATATCGCCGTATTTGGAACGCTTTTTTAATGTTTTCGGACCGTGTCCTGACCAGCATCGGGAATTGCCGAGTAGTAGAGATGAAGGTGGACAGCCGACGTTGAGTAATTTGCTTGGGTTGGATGGGGAGGCGGAGACTGCGAGTAGTGGATCGTCGTCCTCTGGTGTGTCGTCGAATACGAGTAATGGTGCTGTTATGTCGAATGGGAATGGTGGCGGTGGGAATGGTGATTTGGCTAATGCTAGACGACGAAGAAGGAATTTTAGAACAGAGAATGTCGTGGCTGCTGATGGTAGTAGTGAAGCTGCTGGGAATCCTAACATCACCAAGGTAAAGGTTTGACAATTGGCTATGCTTTGGTGTTACATTTGGGTAGGGACTCATGGTTGGTGTTTTAACATCTTCTTTTGTGCTGTAGGTTGTCAACGAGTACTTTCTTTAGCTCTCTTTCGCATTCGCTTGCTTGTAGAAATAATCTGTGTTTGGTAGAAGAATACCATGTGTAAAACTTGTGGTTGCCTCCTTGTAGTGCCTCCCTATTTTCTATGTAATACTATCACCTATTGCATCTTCTCAATTTGATGAGGGCTTCTTATGGTGCGTTGTTTGTGGAAGTGGGATGTGCTGTAGCGATGCAGTACTTAGGCTTTTTTGCTCATGTAGTGTTTGCTTCCATGCTAAAACGTGTGCCGCATCGCTTTACAGAGGTGTTCTTTCGTCGTATGGTGCAGCGCGATTCATATTGTGTCACAGATCGATTCAACACAAGGCTCGATTTTGGTAGCGGAAAATATGAAACATCTGATCTTGTGTAATGATCTCTCTCTCTTGTATGTAAAAAACAAATCACCTTTGTGCATTCTTCCTTCCAACATACAAAAATAACATTCCCATTCCCTCGACATACAACGAAAAAACAACAATACTCTCATCATAAGCCGTCAAACCAAACCTCCTCCTCCTCTCATCTTTTATAGTTTTGACTTTATAACACCATCATTCTCTTTTAGCGACGCACTCTGCTGATCTCCACGACGTCCACCATCCCTCTTTGCAGACGACGAAACAGGGAAGCTAGATATCAAGTGATTGACATCCGACTGATCAGTCGTATGGCTTGAGACCATCAATTTGTGCTGCTCGTCTTCTGAGAGGCGGACTTTTCTGTGTCGCTATGCACATGAGCAGAGAGAATCGCATTAGAAGATACGTTCTATACATCTGACCCATAAATATTTTTTTGGTTGACATACCCTGGTAACAGAAAAACTCCTCACAATACTCCTCGTCAAACTTCGTGGCCTCCTCCCGCCACTCTTTCGTTTAGCGAGCGTTGCAGCAGCACCTTCATCCTGGTGGTCCATCATAGATTGTACGAGATCCGTGTCGACTGCATATTGTGGTGTTGGTTGGATGGGAGATGGGGTAGCGGGGGGAGGGGATAGGAGGCCGATGTATTGGAGTGGTTTTACGACCATCTGGTTTGATAAGTTTCGCGTTAGTACGGGGTGATATGAATTGTAGCCATGTTACCTACTGATAACCAAGATGTTGACGATGATGGTGGTGGTGGTGCAGCGACGTGGGTAGCGTGGACGGGTTCAGCTTCAGCAGAGTGGATTGAGGCTTCGTCGAATGTTGCGGCTGCATCTTTCAGCTATCAAAAGTAAATTGGTTTCGGCAAGAGTTAAAAAATGGTTCTTGGACGGAGGGAAATGGCAATAAAGGAATTAGGAGGCTGGCATCGTACCTTTTGTAATCGCTGTTTGCGCTTGAACATGTTGGCTGCTTCTGTTTTGCTTTGAGTGGCGTGCGATCGTGAGTGTGTCAGAGAGTTGAGATGCGATTATCATGTGTCTGAAAAATTGTGAATTTTTGCATGAGTTTGAGCGTGATTAGGAGGTGAATAAGCACGTCTGCACCTTGATTTAATTTTTAAATCACGTAGATAAACGATTTTTATTGCAAATCCTGATGTTTGAGTCAAGACCCAACATGTATGAAGATACACTAGTGAATGGGGCATATCGTGGAACGTTTTCGTTAAGGTAGCTACATTCGAGTAGCGCTATACGCACAGTGAACTTTGGTTTGCCAACTATGGGCGATGATGTCCTATGTTCAACTGTCAAACTGTCCGACATAATAGATTTGACTGTGAGAGACCGCATCGTCTTGTATATAATACAGCAGAAACAAATTTCTTAAACACAAATACGCGTCAAAACCAACTTCCCGGACTCAGTATACGACATCAACTCCGCCAAAGGCGTCACAATTCTTCAATTCAAGAAAACGAAGACATTCAGCGCAAACGACAACCAAGAAACCCCCATGCTAGCCGACCTCGATCCTTATGAGATCAAAATCCGACTGTCTGGCTGTTGGAGAAAAGAGCGTTCTGGAAGGCTCACAATCGGATATGGGTTGTGAATCACAAAGAAAACTTCTGCGATACACTGTCCCTGCTTTCATTCAAACTCGTCCTGTCCTATACCAGTCCTTATTTGATTCCATTTATTATATACCAACAACACATGTTGCTACGTTCTATTCAACGTGGTGCCTTCCTCACGTTAGCGTTTGCTTCAAGTGGTTTGGCCTCCATTGTTTGTAACTCGTAAGTGCTGGTTATTTTTGGGATGGATAGTTGAGGGATTTGAGTATTTGGGCGCTCTTGTACTTGTAGCTCCCACTACTTCCTGCTGTGATGTTGGACTGGAAAGGTATCTTACTAAATATGTTTCTTCTTATTATAGAACCAATGCTCCACAACCAACTGAATTCGTATTTGTAATTGATGCATCTGGATCTATGTGTCCGTACATAACCAACGTCACTGCTGGTGTCCAAACCTTTGCAAACAGTCTAGTTGCCAAGCACGTTGATGCCCGTTTTGCAGGTATATGTCACAAACAATAAAAATCGGCCGTGGATGATCGATCATTTCAAATCAAACATCACACACCTTGCTAACACACCCACCTCATCACATAGTCGTCGCATTCGGTGGCAGTCCCACCCTTCTACAACCCTTCACAGCCAACGCCACCCTCCTACAAGCTGCCCTCGCGTCCCTAAACAACTGTAACTATGGCGGTAACGAAGCCGGTCTCGAAGCACTCCGTATGGTCCTCCCACCCAAATCCGGTATCGACCTCATCTCCGGCTGTGTGAATTCCGCCTTTACTGGTGCCAGCTGTAACCTAACATACCGATCCGGTGCCGCCATCCAAGTAATCATGGCCACCGATGAAGACTCTGATATCCCAACCAACGTCAACTACAGGCAGTCTGATCAAGTTACCCAAGTTACCACTATGTGTGCTAGTCAGCAATATACCAGCAAGGGTAACGAGAGTGATTGTGATGCTAGTAATTCTTTTGAGCCATTGTTTATAAGTCCAAAGTACTTGTATGGGTTGAATTACTATGTTGGGGGTGGTGGTAATATTCAGACTTTATACCAGGTAAACCGCTGTGGACTACTTCTCAACGGCTTGGTTTCGCTCACAATATTGACATTTTAATCTCATCTAATAGTGGTTCCGTAACAGCTCCGCGCCACTTGTCCTACACAACACCTACTACAAGGAAATCAACGCTACCGCCGATGTCGTCGCCGCCTCTAACGCCGCCATCATGTTGATGATGCGCCCAGATGAAAACGCTAACAGAAACGGTCCTATTTCTCAATGTGAGCCTCAGCATGTCCCTCAGCCTCATTTCTTTTTTCTCATCATCAATTCCAATAGTCGACAGCACCTCATACTACTACAACTGGATGGCCCCGTCAGGATCAGCCAACGACTCGACCCACACCGCCATTGCCCAATACGGACATCCATATGCCAACGTTATGGGTGCCAACTATACCAACTTCAACTCTACAGCTACTTTGGCTGCTCTCCGTGCTCGTGGTTTGGGATCGTCCTTCCAGGCTCAGGTTTTGGCTCGTGGCGGTCTTGCCAAGTGTATGTGTTGCGAACTCCTCTGTTTGTGGGTGATTACAAGTGTTTGATTCTTATTTTTTGCTTCTAGTGTTCTCCATATCTGACTTTATCAGTAACATTAACGTCGTCAACAACTTCTTTACTCAATCTATTCAAGTATCCACTAGTTGTTACACTGTCAGTAAGTATTTTATTACGGGTTTAGTATGCAAAAAATACCATTTTTCTTCTTGAATGCTGACCAAACAACATCAACCAATAGCTGATCCATCTCCAGTTCAACCATCTCTGACCAGTGCTGTAAGTGCCATCTGAACATATTCAATTTGCCTTTGATTTTCACATTTCTGATTTATAGGCCCCATCAATTGCACCAAGCACAGTTGTAGCATCCCCAGTCAGAACCTCCGCTGCCCCATCCCCAGTTGCCAGCACTGTCACCTCCGCTGCCCCATCCCCAGTTGCCAGCACTTTGACCTCAGCTGCTCCATCCCCAGTCAGGACTTCTGCCGCTCCATCGCCAGTTGCCAGCACTTTGACTTCAGCTGCTGCTGCATCTCCAGTCAGAAGTTCAGCTGCTCCTTCGCCAGTTGCTAGTACTTTGACTTCAGCTGTTCCATCTGCTGCTGCATCTCCAGTTCACACATCTGCTGCTCCTTCACCTGCTGCTAGTACTTTGACGTCAGCTGCGCCATCTGCTGCTCCATCTGCTGCTGCTTCTCCAGTTATGGCTTCAGCTGCTCCATCAGTAAGTAGAACCCAAACTTTTTTGTGCAAGTATAAGTGACGCCCCTGACACCAGTCACTTTTACCAGCCAATGGCCTCAGCCGTTGTCGCTTCAGCTGCTCCATCAGTCGCTGCTTCCACCATTGTCGCTTCATCAGTAAGTTCCTTCAGTACGCAAAAACTCTTCACAAACGAATATCGAAATCTAACATGACTTCCGCACATTAGGCACCAAGCGCAACACCCTCTCCCCTTGACACCAACCTAACCCCCGTTCAACCACTATCACCAGTCTCATCACCAGTTACCGCATCCCCATCAGCAACACCAGACTCTGGTTCCAGCTCGTCCAACAACATCCCCATCTACGCTTCCGTCGGAGCTGTTGGTGCCGGTGCTGCCGCCGCTGCAGTCTTCTTTGTCAGACGTCGTTCAGCCCGTCAAATCCCTGAAGGTGTTTCAGTTGGTGCCTCTATGGATGGACTACAAGGTGACTCGCATATGAATCCCTTGTTTGCTACCAGACAGATGATGGGTATGTGCCTTTGAACATTGTGAGATATGATGATGGAATACTTATGTCTTTTTTGTGTAGAAAACCCTTTGTACGAATCATCTGGTTCCACTCAAGTTTTGGGAGGTGCCTTTGGTTCTACTGACTCTGTTTAAGGAGCCTCACTTATCCGATTCAGCGAATTAATAATTATTTAGTTTTACTTCAGCTCTAACTTTAGCTATTATTTACCCAATTATGTATTCCCAAGTTTAAAATCAATACCAATCAACTATATCAGTAAAAGGTGGATTGGATTTTTGCCTTAGGAACAAGCTGCGTCAACAGTAAGTTGAGCGGATTTTCTCGAAATTGTAGTGATGCCAGCGGCAGAATGGCTAGGTTCAAGATGGCCATGTTTTGGTAGATTTTCGCCCTTTTTTTGTTGTTTTAGAAGGAGGATGGTTGGTGCTTGTGCTGTTAATCATTTTAGTGAATTGACCTAGTTAAACAAAATGGTTTAGGGACGAGGCAATAAAAAGTAGTAAACTGTAGCGCTCACGAGGGAGTCAAACTCTGTATCATCCGATAATGGCCTTTCACTTATGCCCCCCAGCGTCTTCAAGCATAGAATCGACATCGAGTACTTGATCAATGTCTTTCATATCGGCTGTTTTGGATGATTTTAATATGAGAGTGGTGACTTGGCTTGATGTAGCAGCAGACAAGGACTGGATGGCTATAAAGGAGGCACCACCTTCAGATTCTTTGAATACAGAGCTGACGGTTCGGGCTGATGATGTATGTTGGTTGGTGAAGCCTGTTGTTGCTCCCTAACCTAAATATGAAGAAATCCCAAGTTTCAATTGATTGTGAATTCAATACGACGTCTTTTCATACCTCGACAAATTCACGGCCCAATACATCAGAATCATCACGGACCTCATCGACAAACTCTACATTCCATTGCAAACCTTGTTCTGCTAGAGTTTTGAGAAGGCAACGCTCCCGACGAGATAGTTCAGGAGGCACAGGTATGAGGTACTTTCCAGAAGTTGTTTTCACTGTGCTACTAAGAATTTCTCCAGACAAGTGTCGATACAGTGCTGATATGGCGGTTGGGATGTCCTTGACATCACAAGCCAAGAGTGATTTTGTACATCAGTATCCCGCGTGAGAAATGTAGTCCACCCAGTAACTCTTCCATGTTTAGCGGTTTTAATATGTCGTATCTCATATTCCTCTAAAGGGGTTGAAAAGGTGGTAAGAATCATATGACAGGAAGGAATGTTGAATATGTGCGACATACCAACAACGGCGAGCTTTGAGTTTCCCCTGCAGATAGAACAGGTCCATTGATTTGGCTGCTAGTTGTAGTGCATTGTACTCTGCAAGCTCCTTGTACCGAGACATCTTGTCTTCCATAAGACGGACCATCATATCCTTCTCCATGATGGCGGCATCCTTCAAGATAGTAGCGTTTCTTACAGCATCATCTTTAAGATTGTTGAGTAATTGTTCTTTGTTTACATGATCCAGATTGGATTGTAGAATGAGCAAGGAAAGGGATGGAGGATGAGCAGAGACAGAAGACGCTTTGAATGTTTGTGGTGAGAAAGCTGGAAAGTATGCGAAAACAAATGCTGACCGAAATGAGCTTACACCATCAGGTTGCCACATGCCAACGACAACGGTTTGCCAGAAGGAGAGTAGTGTAGACGACACTCTTGAACATGTTGACTGGTCTACTATGGATTCTGCTCTTGTGGAATGGGTTGTAATGTGTTGTATGTATCCGTAATGTGCTCTCACTCACTACAAGTAACGATTTGTACCAGCTTTTGTGCAAGGAGTGAGTTTTTCTTACACATTTGTTTCTCATATTTGTTTCTCATCGTCAATTCTCGCTAGAGTCAACTCGACTGCTACTTTGGAATCGTCCTTGCAGGCTGACTAAGGTTTTGGCTCGTGGTGGTCTGGCCAAGTGTAAGTGTTGAAAGCCTACTTGTGCATGTGAACTATGCCACTTATTTGATTCATGTTCTTATCTAGTGTTCTCTATATCGGACTTTATCAGTGACACTAACGTCGTCAACAATATCTTTACTCAATCTTCAAATAATCTACCAGCTGTTACACCGTTAGTATGTATTTTTATCCAGGGCTTACTACGCAAAAAAAATCTATCCGCCATTTTGAATGCTGACCAAACAACTCTATCAATAGCTGATCCATCTCCAGTTGAACCATCTTTAACTATTGCTGTAAGTCTTCTCTGAACATCTTCAATGCAGCTTCGGTCTTTAGCTGATTTTTGTGCCTTATATGCCCCATCAGTTGCACCGAGTACAGTTGCAGAATCTCCAGTCAGAACTGCAGCATCTCCAAGTCAGTCGAGGCTCGGGAGTATACTGGGAGAGTCAATCTGGATTGTGACTACTCGAATTCGTTTGAGCCATTGATTGTTTGTTAGCTCCAAATTACTGCTATGGGATGAAACGCTACGTTGGTCGGTATGACGTTATTCAGACTTTAGAGTACTTAACCAACGATGAAGGATGGACATTGGGGAAGCGGGGGAGACAGTTGATGATGGCCTCAGTTTGATCATCGCTATTTACCCTCACAATAAGTTTCGTAAACGAATCTACTTTATTACTGTTCCATAACACCTAAATCACCAGAGCTCCCATAGCCCTATACTTGCTGCTAGCGATATCATGAATTTGCAGACTTATAAAATACTTTGTACACTATACTAAATATTGTTTACAAAAACACCTCTACTATATCCACACAGTCAAGACATCATCATAGTCATCCGTCCCATATCTAATACGCCACTCCAAACTCCTTCAAACTCCTCAAGCTCCCAAAATTCCTCGTCGCAGCAGGCGACAGCGGCTTGATAATCGGCAACGAAATCGAATCATGTTTAGCAAACGAAATTTGAGACTCCGTTGGAGACGTGATTCCCTTCTCGGCTTCTCGAGACTTGTATAAATGGATTGCTACGATAGCGATATTGGCCAGCACAACACCAGACACCAAGATTCCGATCAGTGTTGGCGTTGAAATTGTTGCTGTGTTTCCAGTTGCTGGTGCGCCTCCTTGATATGCTGATGTATTCCCTTGGTTTCCAGAAGTAAAGTTCTGAGTGCCTGCGATGGCAGTTGGAATTGGAGATAAAGACGATGTTGTTGAAAGCATTTGTGATGCTTGAGTAATAGAAGCCACATTCAGCACAGAGGTTGGAATCGTAACTATTTTGAAATTGCAATGCAGTGAGTCATGTGCTTCGAAGGAGTGGGAAAGCATCAAGCAACACATGTTCACAAAAAAAATACAAACTGACCAGAAGAAGCAACCACAGAGGAAAGCACCACAGCAGCTACCGAAGCAATAGGCGAAGGATCAGCCGACGCCAGGGGCGACGGTGCAATTGATGGCACTACTACAGCTGATGGTACTATAAAAACTGATGGTGCAGCAGATGGTGCAGATGCTGCGCCACTTATGACTGGACGAGCATTATTGGGAGATGGTAGTGGCAGACCAGCATTGATGATCGGTGACAGAGCCAGTATAAGTGTGAGTACTAAGTTCAAGAATATGGCCATGGATTGATTCTGTGTTTTTGAAGAAAGCATAATGCAAGTCAGTAAATAAAGACCTTGAGTTCTCAGAGGGAATTCAGTGCAATATGGTACAACATACCTTTCTTTATAAAGAACAAAGTGGATTTCAGAAACCTTGAAGTGTTTGTCGTTGGTGGTTGAGATGATTGGTTAAGTTTTGAAACGACGTTTTGGACGCAAGTCGCCCAAACATCATATGTGAAATCAAACGGAAGCCGGAAGATGGCACAGTTTTACGCGTATTGATAAAACCAATCAATTTGTGTCTCTCTGAATTGTGTTCCAACGCAATTTATTTCCTTCAACCATAGCCAATACCTAATTTACGCTTATAGTTTATACGCAGCAATAGGCTGCTCATAAGTCACACTCCCCCGTCTAACAATGTCCCTTGCACGCTCCCTAACAACCCCCTCACTCTCCTCCTTAATCGTCTTCCCATCCCCCTCAACAAAAAAGTACCCACTCACAATATTCTTCCCACTCGCAACATCTTTCGTAAACTGCGCCTCTTCAGCAATAGCAGTCTTACTAGCCTCCAAAAACGGAAACGCCTGGAATGCGTGAAACATATCCTTGAAATCGTAGAGTCGGACGATTTCACCTGCCTTACGTCGTTTAAGTGCCATTAGGAGGTCTTCGAGCTGGAGACGGTCGCATGTGCCTGTTGTTATGAATTGCGGTGGGAGAGGGCGGGATGAGGCGTTTGGAGCGTCGAGAAGAGGACTGATGTAGGCGTTCGACCAGTGGCCTTGGGAGTATGCGTGTGCGTTGTCGCGTAGGCCTCCCAATTTGTTGCTAGAGATGACAGAGACGTGCAAGTTTGTGAGCTGGCTACGAATGTCCTTTTGTCATATGGATCCAAAGATATTGCACGAAACATACCTGTTCAACGTATCAGCTTCCTCTGGAAATACGTTAATATTACCAGCAGGCGTCGTACCTGACAAATCAATCCAAGGCGTTAGAGGAGCAAGTCCTCCGCTACATCAAAAAATATTCCCGTTGCAGTCAGCACATTCAAGCTCCAACCGGTTATTCATACCACAAACTCACGGCATATCTTCTCCTAAATCCCTCAGATACAAAGCAAGCGCATATGTCAATCCACCTCCCGCTGAATCTCCAGACACGACAATCCGTGAAGCGGGCACTCCTGAAGCAATCAAGAACTTGAAGCAAGCGTATGCGTCGACTATTGCTGCTGGCTGTAAAATATAAAGAGTCTGAACAATGGCAGAAAGATGGCAAGTGAAAAGTATCACTCACATAAGGATGTTCGGGAGCGAGTCTGTAACTGACGCTCAAGACTCGAATACCGTGTTTGGCGAGTCGCATGGTTATAGGGCGATGTGATTCTTTGGAGAATAGCGTGTATCCACCACCTATAGACGAAACGAATGAGAACAAGCTTCAAATACCGTCGTCAACGAATCAACAACAAGTCCACGCAACAGCTAACTCGTGTGTTTTTACATACCATGAACGTAAAGAATATGCGGCAAACTCGTATCAAACGCCGACCCCGTTTCCGCCACAAACTCAGCAGCAACACTTCCCGTAGGAGTCGCCTCCAACCCTGGAGCAGAAATTCTAAAAGTGTTTAGAAATGTGAGCTAAAATCAACAAACTTTCTATCGATCGGTGGTTAGCAAACGGGCACTCTACCTAGGCACTTGAACCTCACGGATCTCGATTCCAGCTAGCGATTTCTCAATGGGGAGGGCATCGTTGGCAGCTCTGATTTCCATGATGGATGCAAATGGTTTCTTTGCTTCACGGGCTTTCTTCATGACGTGGGCTAGCTTGGGTGGCCAGCTTAACGGGAAACCTGTCTTTGGATCCATATTTTCTTCGTGCTCTGTTCCTGATGCGTATAGTGTAGTTCGGCTGACACGATTCTGCGACGTGATACAGAGTTCGGCTTAAGCTTTAGCATTGAGGCACGAAGAACAATATGACTCATTGAAGCTCTACGCTGCAAACACATCAGCGTTATTCCATCAAATTATTTAGAGTGTATTTATTCTCACATGGAGAAATTCATTGTAATTGTATTTACATTCACCATTTAAACCGTGCCTTGCATCTGCACATTATTCCTCAAATCCTCCGGCAATGCTTCCAGCACTTCCTGCGAGGCCTGAATCAACCTCTCATACTGCTGAGGCGTCGGTATAAGTCCAGCAATGACCTTCTGTTTAGGCTGATCACTCGAACTGCCAATGTTATTACTATTACTAGTCCGTTGCTGTATCGAGGCTCGAAGCGACGTCACAGACCCACGTAGCATAAAAGATTCAGCATCTTCCATCCCGTCCCAAACAGATTCATACGTATCGATCTCGGAGCTGATTCTCATCAACAAGTCAATTACAACAACATCAGCTCCCCGTTGTTGAGCAATCCATTCCACGATATTCGATTCGGTGAGCACTTGGAGGTATCGCGTCCTCCATACTCGATTTACTTCGGCGATTCTACCACGTAGCCATGATGCGAAATTGGCTGATTTAAGGAATAGTCGATAGAAATCTACGGTGGGTCGACGTGGATTTAGACCCAGTTGTGGTGGTGATGACTCTAACGATTTAAGGAAGGTCTCTTGTCTAAATGGCTTGATTTCTGGTTTGGATTTGAGAGCGGAAAGTGACCTATCATTTTTGAAGTGTATTAACATGAATGTAATCATCCACCTTTTTTCTCTTCTTCCTCATCACTTACATATTGGCAGGAGATCCTACCACTAATCCTTCAAAGTGTCGATTTAGAGGCTGCAGAAAACGTTCAGTCAACTCTACAAAGTGCCGCCTCAGTATGTTGTCGAGTCCATGAGCTATCGTGAGAAGAAGCATCAGCAAATACTGTAGCAGCTTGCTTTTTGCTTGTGGAAAACGCAAGACCTTAAAGCGCACCTGGCTGACCACGAATAACTATTTCAGCAAAAGACCGTATCAGTTTCTTGTCCTTGCTAAAAAATGGCTTGTGTTTCGTGGTGATTGACTAATAGGCAGAAACTGAATAAGCTTTTTCGCTCGTTTTCAACAGTACAGTATCACAAAACAGAAACTCACATCCATAGTCAGCTCTGGCATAGACGCCAGTAAGGTCTCATAACTCGTATCAGGCCGTATACCAGTCGACGTCCGTTCAGCCCCTGTTGCGGCAGCTCTCATTTTAGGACTACCCATATTCTTTGGCGGTATAAAGCCAATTGGGTATCCACGCCCAACACCTACTACGTCACTACCCTGAGGAGGTATCTCTGGTGGATGAATGTATGATAGTCCTTTGGTGACTCGAATCACATTTGGCCAGTGTTCTAATACTTTGCTAAAGACTGGATTTGTAACACCAAGAATAGTGGCTGCAGGAGGCCCCTAATCAGTGCAATAAAGCAAATTAGTCTCCTCGAACGTTCAATAAATCGAAAACTACTGGCATGAAGAAAGCTCTAAGTGTCAAGCAAAGAACACCCACAGTCGGGATTTCACTTGCTCGCACTTGCAACGGCCTCAATCGGCTGTACTTACTCTACTACGATTAGCAAATGTCTTGAAATCCGCATCTTGAATCGTCAAATACGGTCTAAAATCTCCTCCAAATGCAATCTAAAGTGGCACAAAAACAAATCAGCTCAAATCCTCGACCAACATCTTCATCGGATCCTAAAGACCACTCACAGGCTTTATAAGCTCCACTAGCGCCCACACAACTTCACTACAAGACCTCGGATTGTCAGCAACAACCAGTATAGGTTCTCCCAACAGCATGAATTCCCAACAAGTCCAAAGCATCTCCAGCGAGGATGCAAATAGTCTATACAGTTTAGCTGGACATGCAATCTCTACCACTTTCGTGTCTGGTATTGATGCTGATGACGACGACGATGATGCAGCTTGAATGCGAGGTGCGAGAGAGAAATACTGCACAAATCGATTCGACGGCGGTATTGAGAAGGTCAGTAACGTGCCAGAGAAGGGGAGCTCTAGTGTGGTGGGTGAATATCCTGTCTGTGGCGATAGAAAGAAGGGTGGTGGTGGCCTATACATGGAATCAAGTCAACGAGGATTTTGGGGTTCAATAACTCAAAGGTACAGTACCAGTTTGCTACATCATGACACGCCGTATCGAGTAAAGCTCTAGCAGCAGAGAGCTTCCGCACTTTGGCCTTCCTGTCTTCTACCAATGCATCCATGAAGGTCGGACCAATCACTGCAACGAGTCTAAGCATCAATCCAGGCCATGGATGGGACGTTAGAAGCACCAGTGATTTCTATCAAATGCGATTGATCAGCTCCTTCTTCTTAGTTGCTGTACAATCCAGACTCCCAACCAACCTGAAAGAAACCACGGCGAACTTCCTGATCTTTTTGCTGTCTAAAGAAAACATATCCATGCAGAAAGGAGTCGTGATCATGAGTATTTGAAGGAGGAGGCGGTGGTGGTGCACCTGTTGAATCACGAGGACCTGGAACGACAGTTGCATCCCGCAGATTATTGGAAGACGATGATCGAACTACTTCTGAGGATGCCCGTATCCGAAAACAGAAGGTCGTATCACCCAAATGAGATTTAGAATTAGAATCTGGGAAAGCGGAAAAGCATCTTGGTGTGGCTGCGTATTAGTATTTTCTCTGTTACGTAAAGCGACCAACGGCGACAATCTTACATGTTTTTTCGTTGAGACTCAGTCAGATTTACAGGTGGATAGATCAACTCCATGGCTAAAAGACAGGAGGAGTCGTAAGCAGATAAAAATACGTCAAGTCTGAATAATAGTATCCAATTGTCAAGTCCGAATTATATCAACCAATTTTACCTTGACCCAGTTCCAAGTCGAAATTTACGACACAGAAGCATAGTATCCACCTAAAGACGCGCCTTAGTCAAAAACGGAGCTATTGAATCGAATTTACCTCGTCCCAAATTCCAATACCTCCAAAATGATTTGAGCGACAGAGCTGCTAGTGCTTCATCAGCCGGCGAATACGGTGTCGAGCGTGTCGACGAGAGAGACCCGCTCCTGGGTCGATGCAAGCCATCTAACGACTCTTTACTACTAGATACCGAGCTACTCAACACGGGCATAGGCGTAGTGTTTATCGGCGATGGTATTTTTGTACCATTCACTACTACATTATCCGCCTGCGGATTCGTTGTATTGCTAGTTATCTCGTTCGAGGTCCTCGCGGCACCATGCGGCCACACCTGCAGATCATCGTCCTCTTCATTATCGTTCGAGAGATCTAGATCGACAAATTGACATTCGTCGTCGTCATCCTCTTCGGATGTGGATTCAGGAGCTAGTCCTGGAATATCTAGGCCCGATGCTGGTGATTGTAAAGCTGTTATATCGTCTTGAGGGTCTGATTGCTTTGACGATGGCAAGAATGGGACAGATCGGTTTGCTAATGTGTATGCAGGTTGAGCAAGAGACGATGTTCTAGCTGGAGGAGGTGACGTTCTTTGTTGGAACACCATTCTCGACGCTAATACCTATTATTTCACGGGGTAATCAGCGTACTGGTTTCCAAATTCGAGGTGTGATTTATGTTGCGAAACCCAGCAAGAATTCATGATATTTTCAAGAGACTAGTGAAGAAAGCGAGACTTACGCCATCCGATGAGCTGCTTCTAGTGAGATTCCGAGAGCTTCTCGACGTTTCAGACTCGACTTGTGGTTGTTCGACGTGCACGTCAAGTGCTAATAATGATGATGGTGGATCATCTCGCAACAGACTTTCAGAACCCTTTACGGTAGTATCGCCCAGCTCTGATGCAGACATGCTGTACACAATGCAAGTAGATTTGGTCTTGGTCTTCAACACATTTGGGCGTCGTTGAAACGAAATGTTTTGGAACCAAAAGCGTGAAACTCGTCAGAAATGTCGCATATGTACGTAAGAGACACGTAAGTGAATGATATTTTTAAATATCCTAGCATCCCGAATCGTTCGATGCCGGCATTAAAACGCGTCGAAAGATGTCGCCTATTGACGACGTTGACCAAGAACTGTGGTTAGCTGTTACTATACAACTATATTTTGTCATTTAGCCAACTAAATTACAAGCAAGGAAGCTTACGCTCAAAATGCTTTGGAATTCGACTCTAGTCCTGATCAAAGCTAATACCAAATATGGAAACACAGTTGATTACCAAATATCGAAACACAATTGGCTTTCATATAAACACTCTTACATGTTGCATCACGGTTGCGGCTTCCTCTTGAATTGCTTACTCTTCATAGTCAAGCAGTTTTTCCTGTTGATCGTGCCAAGGATATGCATTCACGTGGCAACTGACAGGTAGCGTCCAGGAAAACAATTCAGTATGTAACCCCGGAGCAGCCTTTTCGATCTGATCTCGAGCAACTTCCAAATCGACACCTGCATCCATATCTAACGCCAATGGTTTGAGAGACTTGAAATTCAGAGTTGCGAGATTGCTAGCCGCCTCCACAAACTTTAATGATTGCCATTGTGTCGCACTACCAGCGTCACCTCAATACATTTCAAAGAGTTTCAACGATGAAGGTAGTTGAGTGGCTGCCAATTAATCGAATCGTTGTTTACTGCTCAGTTCTACTGCAAGCGACTCGAGACGGGAACCCAGGTTTGACGTATAAAATGATGGTTTGGGATTATTGATTATACGCAATTGACGTAAGGCGGTGTTGATTTGTTCGTCATCTCCCTTCAAGACTATACCACTACGAATGTCGATGGAAGCTAGTTGCTGTCGAATACGTAATAGCCCTGAGAGATCGTGGTAGTTCTGCAATATCAAATAAAAGACTCGGAATTCCTTCAGGTTGAGTGGTATTGCTTCTTCCCAATTTGGAGCTCCCTCCGATAAAGTACTATAATGTCGAACGACGTTCAGACAACGAAGTCTTGAAAAGGCCTCAGCGATCATGTCATATTCAAGACTTTGCGAGGATGATGCACGCTCTCGATACCCGAGACTTTGAATGTCTACAGGCAGCATCTCGTGAGCCTCGAGGGATCCCCCATGAACTGGCTTTACTATGATCTGCGTCGGACCAAGAGCGCTGATGCAAGCCTTGAGCTCGGCAGCGACTTTCGATACATCTGGCAGATTTGATATACTATACAAGGACTGGTCGAGCCAGCAGTACTCAGTCCTGAGCTGCAAAGTCCAAATATGGGTGTGTTCGCGGAATGTGGGAAGGAGGGTATCGTATCGAAGCCGCTGCAGGCCCTTCAAGATTCTCTCTTCACGAATAGAACTATCGTGATAAAGACAAGACTATATAGAGACGGAAACCTACTCAGTCAACCTGTGAGTGTCTTAAACATTCTCCACACAACACCTAGAAAACGTCCAAATTCGTGTGATGTTCTCTTTTCACCTTCTATTTGCCAGAAATCTAGAGGGTTTGCCTACATCGAGCAGGATACTGTTAGAAATGATAAGGTCGCATATACTTTGATCAGTGCAGCACATACAAATATCCCATATCTAAGTCGATGCAGCCCCCAGGTGAGATATACTCCTTGCCAGGATGGAAGGCCTCGATTGGGAATATCACCCCTATTCAGAACTCCAACGACTTGCAAATCACAGGAAATGTTTTTGAATGTCTTGCAAACAGACTGGAGAGTTCCAAGCGAGCAAGGAGAAGTATGATGAATGATCTTGATAATCAGTTCAGTAGGTAAATTATTGATGGTCGTTGTTGACATAGAGGAGGTCAAGAACGCAATGTTATCCAAATAATGGCAAATGCTCAAGAATCCTCATGAGAGACGTTGCCAGGTCGTGAGTTGTCGAGGCGAGGTATAATGGAGTATGTTTAGAAGCAATTCGTTTGGTAGTGACCGAACCTAATACAACATAATGTCAAGTGAGCTAATGTTCATAATTGTGTGGCAGATCTCACGACATACTCCTGATGCCAGCGAGGAGAGCACAGTCAAACATAAAGATCTTGACGATTATTTAATATCCTGGTTCCAGCACAGAGCGACCGCTATGACAAAATTCGAAACGAGCGAGCTTTCACTTTGCAAAAAACCATCCAATAATAATTGTACAGTCCGGTTGTAAGCTAAAGCCACATAGGGATGTTAGTAGCTATATGACGTAAGGCCATGTAAAAATTGATAGCTATTCCCACCAACCGTTCCCTGGGTACGTTCAAATCATCCTCTTTGCTAAAACTTAACAGTTTTTGAAAACAATCAACTGACAACACACCTCATCACCTTCCAGTACGAAAATGCTCTCAATAATCTGGACATCTCGCATATTCTACACATGCGCATCCCTGATGGTCCTAACATGCCACCACATCCCATACCTCCACGACATCTTGATTCCATATGGCAAAACGCGAACATTAACCACACCAAACACCTTACGGGAGTCCTTCTCACTTCCCAAACGCTGGTTTTACCACTTTTACATCACTGGGGTCGTGACTTGTATATCTCTTTGGTGGTGGTTGTCACAACACCCGAGAAACCATGATGGACAGAGCGTGAATGCATGGATTGGACTGGTGATGATGAGCATACAAGTCACACGAAGGTTGTATGAAACGATGGTGGTGGAACGCCCGTCAGATGCAATGATGCATGGATTGCATTATGTAGCTGGGTTGGTGTTTTATAGCGTTACGCCAGTTGCGGTTGTGTGTGAGAGTGTACCGCCGTTTGGTAAGTGCTCTCGTATAAAATCCGCATGTACGGGACTCTCACCATTATCGCAATAGGTCTGACAAAAGAAATGATCATGGCACTGTCACAACGCCATGCATACGGATTGTCGCTCTTTATCGCTGCATCAGTGACTCAATACCATATACACGCATACCTTGCGTCGCTGAAACCGAGAATAGGACCTAGAATATATATCTTGCCAAAGGGAGGATTGTTTGACGCCGTGCTGTGTCCACACTACTTTTTAGAGATTTTGATCTACGCTGCTCTGTTTATGGCTGTTGGAACATGGACGACATTCGCGGTGCTGGTATGGGTGGTTGTGGACTTGAGCGTGTCGGCTGACGAGTCGTATAAGTGGTACCTGGCGCGGTTTGGGGATAAGCTGAATCCTGAGATTGCGAGGATTATCCCGTTTGTGTTTTAAGAATGTATAGATACCATACTCATACATATAGCAACTTAACGACAAGGCAAGACGGGGTGTTTTAGGCTTACTACTATTTGGTTGTATTTATTTCTTTTGTGTCCCATTTTACGTGTGGTGGGTTTTATTACAATTTTTTAGTACGCCTCGACCACCATATCGCTATTCCAGCGGCAGCCAAAACTGAAGCAGCCATCACAAGCACTGGTGGTAGTGACGACTCTTCGACTACTTTTACAAGTGGTCTCTGCGTCGTAGTTTGCGTCACTTTTGTCAGAGTCACGTCAACATGTACATCCTCCCCTAGATCTTTAGCTGCAACAGCATCCGATATTGGCTCCTCCGTCAGGACCTCCTCACTCATACTGCTACGATGATCTATACTCGAATCAACAAGCTCGACCTTCATATGCGACGAATCGTAATCCACATCCACAGCCGGTATATCCACGACATGGGTACTAGTATCAGACAATATTTTAGGTACTTCAGACAAGTCCACTGTATCGACCTTTCGCAGCGTGCGTGTAATTTCGTCTTTGGGCGCGACAGGTGGTGCATCAGGCTGGTTTTCGTGTGGCAATAATATATTATCGGGTGATGGTTGTGATGGTGTTGTGTTTGGTATGAGTTCGTCCTGCTGCTGTTCCTGTTGTGATGTGGGTTGTCGAGCTTCATCTGCAGCCTTTATATGAGATTCGACGTGGAGTGATATACGGTCATCGTCTAACGCTTTCAGTGGAATATGATGATTAGATTCTCGTCCCTCCTCTTCATGGTGCAGTATCGTGTCATCAGCCTTCACATCGTCCTCCTTTTTGCTGGTTGACTTTTTATTGGCCTTCTTCTTCTTATTGTATGCATCCTTCTTCAGCTGTGCCTTTGTCTTGTGCTGCTGCTTGTCATGGTTAGAATCGCTACTAGCTGTTAGCATGATGCTTGCCTGTAATGGTTGCTATCACTAAATTGAGGTTTGGAATGTTGAGGTGTGACGCATTGAAACAAACGTTGGGCCGGATATGTGCCTGGAACGAGACGTTCTACGTGTATTTAATTTATTTTGTATAGTTTCAATGTATTGCAATCGCGATGGAATGTCAAAACTGCCGCATTCAAGAGCTTTTGTTGACAGTTTAATCAAGCAGCAAGCTCGCGATGAATGTTGTTCTTGGGTGAGGAAGGGAACAGAGACTATACCCGTAATTGCACGTTAATTTAAATATCTACGGAAACGGTCCGTAGAAGTCTTGTCCTCGACGTGATTTTCTGTCTGTTCATATTCTCCAAAATACATAACATATTTTAATAGAAACACATCAGAGGAGTAAGGATGAGCATAGCATCACTATCAACAGGTATCCACCATAGATCTAGACTAGTTCCTTCCTTTCCCAGTCTTCAAGTGTTAGCCTTTATGACCCTTCATCATTACTGTTAGATCTTCAAGTTTGCAGAGAATGTGCCCTTCTAGGAAACTATGAATCCGCTCTGATCTACTTTCAGAGCATATTGCAGACTGTCCAGCAGTAAACATACATCGTCTATATCGCATCTAGTCGTATTTGTCACGGATCTAACACAATCAACTCACTACTAGACAGACAAAGAATGTCGCAAGTGTCCAGGACAAGAACCGCTGGTTGAGTGTATTGCGGGATCTGCAGATGGAGGCGGATCTAGTCAAGGATGTTAATGCGGAATTGAATCTATTCAAGGTATGCTATACTACATTGCGTGTGCTCACAATGTTTATCACCGATGAGTTGCCTCTGCCTTTTTTTTAGCGAGACCAAAAAGGAATCTCCAAATCCTCTATATTTGATGATACTGAAGTAGATCCCGATCATGATCCTGACGTTTGGGCTCCACCACCGCCAAGACAAGAAGTAGTCAAGACGAGTAGGACTGCGTATCGGAAACCAATTCCTAGAGGTACTGGAATCTTCATACCCAAAAAAAGCATTAAAGATCGGTCGCTATAGACTCATTTCTGTTTGACATCGCAGATGACGACGCACTACCATCCTGGGCCAAAAACCAACCTCCAGGCCTCCCACCCAAAGCGTCAAAAGGAAAACCATCATCAGCAGATTCAAACAAGTCTTTAAACAAATCGAAAACGTCATCGTCTAGTAATATATTGGCTGCTGTTGCACCTTCAAAGAATAAGAAGGATGGTGGCAAGGAATCAACACCACCAACCGCACGTAAATCAGTCAAGAAGAATGGATCTGCGTCTGAAGATAAGAGGAAGAGTGGTGCCAGTGGTGTCAAGGATAAGGATAATACGAGTGATGGAGAAGATGCAGTTGAGGATGGGGAGGTTAAGAATGAACGACCAGAGTGAGTGAGTTCAAATGAGTATACAACAGCGAAAAAAAGTTAATGATGACTTAGGAAAACACATTCTCACAATGTTAATTAACTTCTAAAAGGTTTGACGGAACTGGATATGAAAAGGATATGGTGGAAATGATGAAACGAGACATTCTATCTGTAAACCCAAATACGAAGTGGTCTGATATCGCTGGGTTACGTGAAGCTAAACAGTTACTGGAAGAGGCCATTGTTTTGCCTTTATGGATGCCTGATTTCTTTCAAGGTGTGTGTTATCCAGTGTATGCTTTGAAGATCACGTTTGTTGGCGCGGTTTTCTGATCCTTCATTTTTCTGCCACGGTCCTGCTGAACCTGATTTTAATAAATGATTTTGGACTTCATTAGGTATTCGAAGACCATGGAGAGGTGTTCTGATGACTGGTCCTCCAGGAACTGGTAAAACGTTATTGGCTAAGGCTGTAGCTACAGTAAGTTTTCCAAACTTTCTTTCAGACAAAACAAAAGCAGAAAGGTCATTATGTAGAGATGAATTCAGTCAGTTTTGTTGACCAGCTATCCTTCATAGGAGTGTGGAACGACATTCTTCAATGTAACTCCCAGTGTGTTGACTTCTAAATGGCGTGGTGATTCAGAGAAGATTGTTCGTGTAAGTTCATATGATTTGCATATACAACCAGTCATTCAAGCAAAATATCATTTCTCACCTCGCCTCGCATATCATCTCCTTACGTATTAGCTTCTCTTTGAAATGGCGCGACACTATGCGCCAAGTACCATTTTTATTGATGAAATTGATTCAGTGTGCTCGACTCGTGGTGAAGGATCGGAGCATGAAGCTAGTCGAAGGTGAGTTTGCTAATATTTGTTAGCAGTCAACTCAAAGCAACAATAAAAACCTCGAACAACCCATATCACATAGAGTCAAATCTGAAATTCTCATGCAAATGGATGGAGTAGCAACTGCAGCAGCTACTCCAGAAGGTGAACGAGAACCCATTGTTATGGTACTAGCTGCAACCAACTTCCCATGGCAGATTGATGAGGCCTTGAGACGGCGGTTGGAGAAGAGAATATGTGAGTATTCACTGTTCAGCCCGAGGACCTCTTGTTTTTTGGTGGTGACATTGGAGATGAAGAACGAAACTGCAGGAAGGATTGTCTGATCCAAACCCCTCTACATTTCTATCTAGACATTCCACTTCCAGACGTGGAATCACGACGTGAACTACTACGAATCAATTTAAAACAAGTACCGTTGGACCCAGGAGTTGATTTGGATGAGCTGGCTAAGCTTTTGGAGGGGTATTCTGGTGCTGATATTACTAATGTAAGACTAGAGTTTGATCTGTTGTGGACGAGCAAAAAAGAGATGTGATTGCATATTGATGACGCATCAATACTAACATAAACTCCCACAGATATGTCGAGATGCAAGTATGATGGGTATGAGACGGAGAATACGAGGCTTGCCAGCTGAACAGATCAAGTCTATTTCCAAGTGTAAGTGTCTACATGTCTTGATGACGTGTTGAGATGCAGATTGTTGAATTTCCCCTTTTTGCCAACGTAGCCGAACTGGAAATACCAGCTACTATGGAAGATTTTGTGGCAGCCAAATCAAGAATTCAGTCATCGGTGTCGCAGGCTGATATACGTAAATACCAAGATTGGATGGAGGAGTTTGGAAGTGCTTAAAATACACATGATATTCCGAGCCCCCACCATTTTTTTTCTTTGCCTCATGAGCTGACACCGTTCTACCGTTCTTCTTGGACGTATCAAAACCATTCTATCTAGCACGAGGTGGTGTAGATAGATCATGCAACAGGTAAGCTTCAAAGATCAGCATAGTGCTCTTGCGTTGATACAATTAGCAGTATTGACCTTATTACCGTACTAAGATCTTAAGGTTTGCAGAACATGTTGCCCAACTACGAGGCTCTGCATCTACTCTGGTTCACTTACAGGAGCACCATTCTGGACCCTGTTTCAAACGTGTTTGAACATCAGAAATCAATGGTATGAATCAATTGGTATGAACCTCAGTGGTGAAGCTCTTGATTTCAAAGGTTAGCTCGTTGCATAACGACATTGGTGGATATGAGATGACTCCTTGTACCGACGTTAAGCCGAAGCAGCCTTAATTTGATACTTTGTCCAAAATGTAAGATCTGGGGAGAGACGGTATAAGAGCTGAAATTCCACGAGGTAGGAGAGCCTATAACAGCAATACCATTCCATTAATGTGTATCTTGATCGTGAGCTTTGGGCGATTGCAAGAATCATGTTTGATTATCCTAGATGCGGACTTGGTTGTGTAAGAGTGACGATTAAGGAAGGACAGGACAATAAACCGGCGAATATACGGGGATGAATCAACGTCTTGTTGTTCGACTGAGTATCTTGCAGAATGTTGAAATTTGGATTGAAGCTAGATCCATGAATCTGAATATAACGATACGAGAATGAGGGTAGATATTCCAGCTACATGATGCTCACGCAAGTAGAACCTGATGGTCTCAATCACCGAAGCTCGAAACGTCGACAGATCTCACACTTCTCAAAATTGTCGCGACCCACTTGTACAAAAGTTCGTTCTAGAAGCATCAAAGCAGTTCCTAACGTGGCTTTACGCGTATTAAATCAGCTTGATCTCATTTATTATTCGTATACACTCACCTGACCTTGCTGCGTCAATTCTTAAAAACTTGGAAATTTGAAACTGCAAACAACAGAATTGAAGCGATGCCACCGAAAAAGAAGGCCAAGCCGACAATCCAAGTACAGGAAACAGTCTCGCCTGGAGATGGCAAAGTATTCGTTACTCGAGACTTGACTCCGCTGGCTCAAGCTCAAGCTATTGTCGAGAAATCACGAACTGTAAGTGCATGTTTTGATTGCTGGTTGTTAAAGGGCGGAGGAGCAGATACGTGTCGTATCGTGTTCTACGCAGGTATCGATTTGCATTGGTGGGAGATCTGTCGTTTATCTCGTGAGGTTTGGGTGTCATCAAATGTGTCATCAAAATGTGATTTCAAGATTTGGACCAAGCAAGATGCGAATTTCACAGCTCAAATTACTTTTAATCAACCTATCTAATCACATTCCTAACACTACACAGGCCCAAAAAGAATGGAAATCCGTCCCCCTAAACGAACGAATCCGTATCGTAACAGCCTTCGTCGATGACTTTGTATCCAAAAAAGCCGAAATAGGCCCCGAACTCACATCCCAAATGGGCCGTCCCATAAAATACGGTCCCAACGAAGTAAAAGGATTTGAAGAACGTGCTCGATACCTAATCTCAATCGCTGAAGAATCACTACAAGATGTCAAACTCCCTAAAAAGGATGGATTCAATCGATATATCAAACGAGAGGCGTTGGGAGTCGTTATGGTTATTGGGGTGTGGAATTACCCGTATCTCGTAACGGTCAATGCAGTCATTCCAGCGATCATTGCTGGAAACTCTGTCGTGCTCAAGCAGGCTCCTCAGACTCCCTTGTGTGCTGAGAGATTTGCAGAGAGCTTCAAGGTCGCTGGGTTGCCGGATGGTGTGTTTGAGTATATTCACATGTCCAATGAGACTTGTGATGAGTTGATTTCCACAGACGGGAATTTCGAATTTGTTCAATTCACAGGATCAGTCCGTGGTGGAAAAGAAATTGCCAAGGCTGCTAGGTAAGATAAGTGCGCAAAAAATCAAATTTGATTCTTGCTTACAATCGCAATACCGATTACTAGCTCGACTATGGCTGGTGTTGGTTTGGAACTGGGTGGTAATGATCCAGCATATGTTAGAGCTGATGCTGATCTCGATTATGCAGCTGATAATATCGTGAGTAACATCGAATTCATAAAGCACCGCTTGTCGGCTTTTTTTTGTCGGTTGATCTTCGTGACTCCGACAATCTTGCTAAAACGCAACTCTTTCCGACAAACAGGTTGACGGAGCACTATACAACTCTGGACAATCATGCTGTGCAGTCGAACGAGTATACGTACACGAAAAAGTATTTGACGAATTCGTGAAAAAGGCTGTTGATATTGCCAAGGCGTATAAACTCGGCGATCCAATGGACGAGACCGTCACTTTGGGCCCAGTTATATCTGCTCATGCTGCAACAAACATCAGAGCTGCTGTTAAAGAAGCTCGTAAGTGTCTTTTGCATCCACACAAAAAAAATCCTTCACGCTTGTATTGTAATTGCATCCACTTGCACTTATTCGCTTACACCTTGCACACCTATTTCATAGTTGCCAAGGGCGCAAAAGCAATGATTGATGAATCCGGCTTTCCCATGGCAAAGGCCAAAACACCATATGTTGCACCACAAGTCCTCATTGATGTTGATCATACCATGAAAGTCATGACTGATGAGACGTTCGGTCCCATCTTGCCCATAATGAAGGTCTCGTCAGATGAAGAGGCTATCCGACTGATGAATGATTCGCAGTTTGGGTTGACTGCTAGTGTTTGGACGCGGTGAGTTTTCAACTATGGTCAAGTTTGGATCTTGGGCAACCTATTCCTGACATTCAATGAATTTGCTTCGCTGCTTAGAGATGAGAAAGCTGCTGTCATGATTGCTGATCAGTAAGCAATGTTCCTCTTTACTTTTCTTTCGGTGTGGTGTGGTATATTGTCATAACCATATTCCTCTCTCATCCTAGAATTGAAGCTGGAACAGTATTCGCAAATAGATGCGACTATCTCGATCCCGCCCTCACTTGGGCAGGTATGAAAATGAGTGGACGTGGTGTCACATTGTCGACATACGGATACGATTCTTTGACGCGACCAAAGTCATATCACCTAAAAGCACATCCATAAAACACAACACTTGCTGAGCAATAAAACATACACATACATATGCTAGTTAATAACAGACCGGTTTCTATATACATTTACACGCTTATGACACACACACGCGTTTTAAAGCATCCCCTTTCACAAACTTGTTTATAGTTCATCGTTTGATCTGATTGGAGAAGGTTGGTCTACATTCTCTTTGCCATGGTCCTTCATGAATGGGCATGAGGCCCCATGATGGTTGTGCTCTTTCTCAACATATGCGTGATGAGTTTTGTGGGTCTTTGAGTAGTGTGGGCAGCTCTTCTTCATGACTGGGCAGTCTTCGATGAATTTACTAGAGGCGCCAAAAAGGGGTGTTGTTAGCTACTGTAATATCATAACAATTGAACTTGGCGACAATCTGGAATTGTAGAGAAATCTGTTGCAACTTTACCCAGTTTTGAATTCAGAGTAGTATGGGCATGAATCTGGATCGTGGACAGTTAGATATTGAATGAGTGAGAACCAAAAAACGTTTGTGCAATAGGTCCACACTTCGTAGTGAAACTTACTGGCATAAGGACAGTTCTCAGTGCTCATAGTCATTTCAGAGATGGTGTTGTTCTTTGCACGTTCATAGTATGAGCATTTGCCAGCGAGAGGGCAGTGTTTGGCTATAAGGGGTGCGAAAATAATCAGTTAGAGAATGTGATCATTGATGGTGTCAATCCTGGCAACAGCATCTATCCTCTCTCCTCAGTATACATATCATCTTGACGTAGGTTGAATGCCACGTATTCCAAACAGCATCTCGCGTCTTTCAATATATCTCCATTCTCCTCCGCAAAAATTTGAAGCATAATTTAACACATGTCCACCACGACGTACATTCCGAAGTCAAAACACCTTCAAACGTAGCAGGAGTAGAATAGTACGGACACTTTTCAGACTAACGATAATAATTATCAATGTTAATACCCCGTTCATATCTCACAAACACACAAGTCAGCCCTGCCGTTTTGCGACAGATCTGATGACCACAAATTGTGTGGTGGATCCAAATCAAAAGACCAAATCAGAAACACAGCAATCTACACATTCACGACATACCAATGGACATTTAGTGACTCCGTCCTTCTTGGCAGTTGCATGTTTGGCCACATAATCGCATTTTCCAGACATTGGACAAGAAGCGTTTGATAAGGCGACCAAGGTCATGAAGGCCAGGAAGAGGGCGACGTTGAGTCTCATGATTATGCTAGATATTTAATCCGATAGTGTAGATCTTTGGATTGCTAGGTGTCTGCGGTTTATCTGAAACGATAATGTTATGTAACGTGATTTGGGAGATAGGAAACCTTTGGGCTGGGAAGTTGAATATACAGAGCTGGAGGAGCAATATATACGTGTCAAATCGTGACTTCGTAAGCAAGAGCGCCTTGATTCATGCTTGACCTTATGAGGTTTTGAACAAATTTTGATGGTAAAGGGTTTGATAACCAAACTGCAAGTCGTCTACCAGGTAAGTGAAGGATAGTAGAGGGACATTAAGTGTAATTTACTGAAAAAAGTGATATTTTGTAATTGATTATAGTACCAGTTTGTGGTCAAACACGTCGAAACTGGGTGAGAACATAGAAACACCTACTGCTTCCTGTCGGCTTGCAAGTTAGGTTTAAAAACGTTCTGGCTCTGGGTGGGAAGTTCCTATACATCCAAGCACATATTGACGTATCATCTAACTGATCCGAGTACTAATTCGTGCAGTTACTTATTGGAGTGCTACTTTTATACTTGGATTAACTTGTCTATTCTTTAAAGCCTCCAAAAAAATAGACAAGTTACGAGACAGACCTCAGGTAGAACTGCATATGGATATGGATGCAAGCCATGTTAGACGCTCGTTGCTTTCTCTGCTCTAATATATCTCCGAAATATATAGGACGTGGGTGATTGGGAAGAGAAGCTGAGGAATCTTCTGACTGCTTGGCTCTCCTTCAAGTGAGAGAAGAGAGCACCGCACTACAACTGGAGATACTTAATTTGCTTCAAAACCAATTCCAAAATGGTATAGTATCGTAGCTCAGACCTTCACAAACACATTACTCACACTATTTCCAAAAACAGGACAAAATAACAAGTCGAGGACCACCTTCACCAAGAAGAATTGACCCATCGCAACTACGGAACCAAAACCACACTCCAACAAAACAATCAAATACCAACAATCCGAATACAGCTCAGGGAGGCTACACTCTCGCAAGCGAGGGGCCATGTATTAGAGAGGCCTTTGATGCAGCAGTCGGCAAAGTCACTGCTACAGTAGTACGCGTCAAAGTATATGCCGGTGACGCCGATCAGTCCGTCCTCCTGAAATTTCCTCCCGGTGAACCTGTACTCGCCGGTGATGTCGCTGATGCCGTTGCGAGGAAGGTCGGGCTAGGGAATGGGCCTTCGAGAAAGATGTTTTCGCTCTGGATGGTTAGCAAGGATTTAGGTATGTTGTTGGGGAAGGCGTTGGCGATGTCAACAATTGTGTCTACAGTTTTGTAGCTTTTTTGCTCACTACTCGCCCTTTCTGCAGAGATTCAAATACGACCAAACTTGGATATATTCGAAGTCAAACAGAAATGGCCACGGTGGATGGTGAAATATACCCACTTCCCTGAAGCTGAAGATCCTGATCACCCAATCAATGACGCCTTGCTCGTGTTTCGACGAGATGCGACTATACCCAAGAGTGTGGACAGGAAGACTACTGATGATGCAGTGTTGAGATTACTGTATGGTGAAGTAAGTTATTGACTTTGTGGATGAGTTATTCGTATAGAGCCAGGGGGGTTTTTTTTGTAGTTGTTGAGACAGATCTCTGGACAAGAAGGAAAGCAACTAGTACCAACCCTTATGCTTCTTTCAAATTAGACCAAGGACAATGTGATTAGCGGAAGATATCCATGTTCGATAAACGATGCAATCACACTCGCTGCAATTCGAATGCAAATCGTATATGGAGATAGTGATCCTCGCAAACATGGACCTGGGTTCATCACAGGGTAAACAAAGAAGACGAAATTCGATTCGAATGCCCCCTATGACATATCCAATCGTCAGACTCTCTTTATTCTAACATTTTTCTTCTCAACCTTGCAGTGCCAGTCTCCTAAAACAAATGATACCTGGCCCATTAATGAGTCGCCTACCACAAGAAGAATGGGAGGCCTTGATTCTCAAAGAACATGCCAAATACAGGGGCAAATCAAGCATGATTGCTCGTATGCTGTATCTCCAATACGTTCGTCAATGGTCGTGCTATGGAAGTGCCTGGTTTCCGGCTTGTAAAGAAGTTCCACCGGGTGGTTACTTTGAATTCCGCACGCAGAAATGGTTGTTGGGATTGAATGCTGAGGGGATGGTTGTTGTTGATCAGAACAAATACGTGAGTAGTCTAAAAATTTGTTGTGTTTGAACGATATTCGATAAATTGAAATTGAGCACTAGTATTTACTGGCTTTGTCTCACATTAGAAAATCGCATTCGCCCAACCATGGGAAGATCTAGAATGGACGTTCTCGCCCGACACATTCATAGTAGACTACCGTCACGAACGGCAAAAGATGCAGCTCACAGTAATCACACCCCAAGCAGCCATGATTGACAATCTCGCAACAAGGCAAGCATACCTCGTTGACAAGGCCGCCCAAGATTTACACGATCGACGTCTCGCCGCATCCAAATCCCAAGATCTAAACCAATCACTTGGAAGTGGTCTCGTAGCAGTCGGATTCGCAACCAAAGCCGAGTCCATGGAATCGAACATGAACCTATCCTCCCCACCAACGAAATTCGCACCTATCGCCCTCCTATCAAACTCACCACCCAAAACTGATATAATGCAGCATGCTAATGCGTATATCGAAGAACGCAAAGAGTTTAGACAACGCTCAAACTCGAATAATAAGGGTGGGCCGTCGCATAGTGCGAATGTTGTTGTGCCTGCTGATGTGAAATTACATGTGCCGCAACAGCAACAACAGCAGCCAGGAAAGTTTAGTAGTCCTACGACACCGTTGAATCAGGACCAGAAACAGGCACAGGAGATGATTGATGCTCTGTTTGCTCATAGTTTGGCGCATGCGTGATTTATGAAATTATAATGGTCTTGTGTTTTTGGAATTGTTTGGATGATTGATAATATATAGTTTCCTTTACCTTAAGAATTGCTGTTTGAATTACAAGAAAGGAGGATGGTTTGAATGGTGTTAGTGTCTTGACGATGACAAGGACACCCCGATGTGCGCGATATAGCATGTAGTTCCAACAAGTTGAGAGATGTAAGCTGGTCCATTCTATCTATCCAAAGCTTTTGAGTCGATTGGATTGTCAAATGCTTTACAGCGCCGAATACGTCGTGGTGAAGCTGCCCTCACTTAGCTTGGGCTCGTTGGGCAATGGTGTCGGCCCATGCCTTGCCTAGAGGATATTCATGATCTTCCGAATTATCTGGGTTATTTTTCTTTGACAGATTTATAAAAAGTGGGGACAATGATGGCGTTACGGCGTTTAGGGCTTTACGAGTCTGTGACATTCGACCTAGCTCCTTATTGGACAAGCAAAAATAATACACGTTCGATCAATTCGATAGCAAGGGCTTCAAAACCTCCTTGGATTGCTTCATCTAGTTGAGCTTTTGATGTTGATGAATCCTCCTTCAGCTTCGTGGCTCTACGAGTTATCATCGTGACGGGTCTGTAGTAACGAGATGATAAGTCGATCGTATTGGTATGTGAGATTTCTATCCTTATGAGCTAGTCGGACCAACGATGTTTGGGGTTCTGGCGCTGCAGATGGTAATGATTTAGTAACAATGCAATATCGATGAACAAGCAAAGAAGAAGAAACTCACGTTGGCAACGTACCGCTTCGATATCCTATATAGGCCAAAAGGGTATCCTACTAGGACAGGCCCAAAGACCAAAGATTTCGCAAATTGCTGTTGACTTGCTCCTTTGACACCGCAAGAATCAGATTACGAGAGGAGGACACTCGTGTGGTTACCTTGCAAATATTGCTGTAAAAAGCTACAAACGTTATAGATGCAATCGGTCGTTTATGAGAAAACGAGAAATCAAAGCTTGTTCCTGCAAATCTCCTCTTTGACGGGCCGCATGACGAGTTTCTGACGCGTTCCCTACGCAAAATTCAAATATGTTTGATATCACGCTATCAAGTACCGTGGAGCCTCCCATGTGAGATTTCATTTTGCGTCCATTCGTCGTTGGAAAAACACCGAACGTAATAAAATTTGGGAAGTGAAATTCAGAAAGTGCCCGAGTTGACTCTAGGAGACACGGTCTATATATAAGGTTGACGGACATGTTATTTTGCTGCTTCTCACTCTTCTATGGACACATGAGTAAGTTTCGAATCTCCATTTGCTCACCACCCAAGTTTTCTAACAATCCACGTTAGCTTCCATAGTCGACCTTCCTACTGAACTGATTATTCAAATAATTCAGTATACATCTCCGCGGCAGTTCGCTACTTTGCAGCGTCTCTCAAGGAGGTTCTTGAACATCTGTCGTGATTTACCAGTGGTTGTGGGCGCCAACATCACTTTTGGAGAGAGTGGTGACGACTCTCGAATTGAAAAGGAGCATTTTGCATTGAATGAATTTAAACGTCTTTCTGGATGGGATATCAAAGTGAGCTGCCTTCGTTTATCGATCGTCTAAAGGAAAAATCAGAGTAGGGCTGACATATATATACCAAATAGGTCAATGTATTGGATGAATGGAAGTGCAATGGCAAGAAAAGGACCTGGAATGGCTTACATGTGAGCTTCCTGTTGAATGGTGAATACCTACAAAGAAGTCAAATCGCTGACATACTCCAACATTTAGGTCAACATCGCACCGAGTACTCCTTCGTGGCACAACGCCGTCATCGATAACAGACTGGGCCTGGTGCTAAATGGTCTCAAATATATGAGAACGACGTCTCTCCTTTCCGTTTTGAAAGAATACACCCATATTGGTAGTCTGCAACTTGACATAGAACTGTGTCAAATACAACAATGCTACTTTGGAAACCTGCCTGCACCACATCAATCCATAGTGGCTGCTGAATTGAAAGTTTGCCTTGGCAGTCTCGGGATAAAAGACGTGCCAGTGTTGGCAGAACATGGAGACGTAAAGTTGTATGAGTTTCTACCTACCGATATTCGGTCTCTTATTATAGAGATTGGCGTCGAGGAAACACGTAGTATTGATGCTGAACGTGTAGGAGCTAGCTTCCCCAATCTACGTCAACTCGAGTTTCAAAGCTCCAGTGGATGGTTTGAAGAGCTCAGCGCAGATTGGGAGGATTTGATCCCGCTGAGTCTGGAAACGCTTAAAGCAGCTCAATACATCGTTGTCTCTGGACCCGATTGCTCAAATCTATTGAGGACGATTGCTACGACTCGGCCAATTCTAAGGACTGTCGACTTTGACGGTCCAATCCAAATACCGTCTGATGTAGCAGAGCTAGACTCCTCAATCCGGCATCTCGGAACAGTCCTTGTTAAAAGCAATACCTTTTACTCGTCGCCCCTGGCTCGCAACTTGGAAACTCTTGCTGTTGCGATCACATCAAGGACATTACAGAAACTGGTCGCATGTCGTTTCCCACCGAAATTACGAACCTTGACTATATATTGGGCAGGACTTTCAAATCCCTGGGGCGAAACAGACTTTGGAGTTGTGGCCGCGAATCTGGCCAGTCAAAATGTAAAGGCTCTCACCATCCATTCAAGGTGTCTTCCAGCTGATCTGAATACCATAAAAGCTCGAATGGCTGTCGCAGCCCCGAATATGAAAATTGAATTCCATTATTGGCCTGGGATTGACGATGACGTCTTTGAACAGGATCACCTCTTGTCTAGCCAAATGGATAACGAGGAGGATCAAGACGACTATAGCGAGAATGATTCTGAAGATGACGATGAAGATTGAGTTGCAGGAAGGCTTTATCTGATAAGAACGTCATAATATTCCGTCTCCGTGGTCTTGTGCTTATACAGTCTGATCGATAAAAAATAAACACATTGGCTTCTGTTCATCTGTGTCACGCTTCGACGAAGATACAACTCGATGAGAACTCATGCAAAACCCGAATCGATCAAGTACTGAAGCCACATACAGGGAAATTTATGTTTTAGTTCTGCTTTTTACAATCAGGTTACTTGGCTTTTTTATACTAATTTACATACTGACACTAGAGTCACAGAAGGTCGAAGCTTGGCCCAAAGATCTCGACTACCACCTAGGTACAATGTTTCTACTACATCATTCGGTATTTATTGTCAAGGAGTATGCTCACGGAGTTTGTCGTTGAGCGATTTATTCCATTCAAGTTCAGACGTAGGAGGTCTTTAATGACAGCTAATACGTTTTGGCTAAAACTATCTTTAGCTAGTGTCCCTCTACGCTTCATAGCATTGTTAAATATACTTCCTCGACCAATACTTGGTCGACGTGGAAAGTTGTGGGTCAAATTCTCTGACATACTGATAGAGAGTGGGGAGGATCATGGCATTCGAATCTTAGCAAAGTTTGAGCCTTTCGTGTAAGAGACTTGTAGTCCATATAATAAGATATAGTCTTCTACTAGTTCGACAGGTAGGCCGTCGAATACACCTGGTGCTGCTTCACTCGGTGGTTGCGCAGTTGATGCTACTTTCAACTCTTGGTCTTACAAACGTGGAAGCACGAGACGCTATGGACGAATGTTCCACGGTACAGTTATCCTTTTGCCTTAAGAGCAGTCACCAACGTGTATGTTCGTTTTTGGAAGCAGGCTGCGATAAATGTAATTTAGTGACAATGCAAGTGTATGAAGCAAGCAGAAAAGAGCGAATAACCACGACGAAGGTACCGCTTCGATATGCTGATGTACTACAGAAAGGCGCTTTGAAGTGATGGCCCCAAGCTTTGAAGTCATGGTCCCAAAGCTTGATTACAGTTAGAATTCAGCAAAAACTAAGTCAGGAAGTTTGAACTTAACAACTTAACGTTGTGTCTCGAATCTGTCTAGCACGCAGGCGTGCCATTTTAGAAATTTAAGAAATGTTAATATATGAGGATAAATGTAGCCTTGTAAAAATCAATTAGTTGCGGCGCGACATTGTCCACCAACTTGTGAATTTTTAGTTTTTTTTGCGTCAATGCCGAAGCAAGAGCCTGGTCTAGGAAAAAGCAAAGGCCGAATTCCCTGCATATCTAAAGCTATCTTCCTAGTAAACTAGCCCTGATCTATCTGTAGGCGATCGATACAAACTCTGCCTTAAAAATCGCCCAAACAATTCCCTACCAATTGACGAAAAACGTGCGCAGGTGGGAGTTAAGTGGAATCAAGCTTATCATTAGTGTCACCACTCCGTATCATTCTCATAGTCGACGTTGAAAACTGTTTTCATTTCTCGATCAATCTATAAAGATCTTCAGTCATAGGTATGTGCATCTTATTGACTCACAGTTCTGAGGTCTTGGATTCCAAACACTTCTTTCTCACACAAGCTTTCCTTCAGCAAAAGCCAAACTATACCATCTTGCAAACTCAACTCCAAGCTCTTAAAGACCTATTAAACATGTCTAACGTAAGTTGTCTCCGTCGCTGTTTCCAACATCCTCACCGCAGCTTTAACAACTTCTGTTGCATTCACTTCTACGAAAGCTTTACTCTCAACCAGCGTCAACAGCTAACATTCAGTCCCTCAATAGTACGCAGGTGACGGTGATGGTGGCAAGATCCAAAGGTACGAAGCATCGTTTTCCATATTGCCTTCCATAGCGACCAACCTGACTCACAATCTGAAAATCCCATCTAGTATGAGAACACATAATCCAATAGCCGGCAATTCACCACGAATGGTTCCAGCTTCGCCTAAGCTCTCTGGCATGCCTGCAACTGGCCACGTCATTTCGCTTGGTATGTTGTGGTTTCTGGGAAGCTTGTAATATTTGGAGGTTTTGGCATAGCATATGCGAGCTTAGCATATCCAAACTCCAAGCAATACGATCTTTCAAGCTTGACTTTTGCTTGATCTCACACAAACACTCAATACCCCGCAATTTTCTCCCATAGCCGAAGACGCAATCTACCAAGACTCAACCGGCAAATCTGGATTGGGATCTATGCGAGTACACCATACCCAGGCAGCTCCTGAAGCAACGAAAGCAGCTGAAGCTGAAGCTGAAAAGCAAGAGCCCAAAGGCCCAGTCAATCACGCACCAGTTGCAAGCGGCCGTGTTCATCATTAAATGGCTTCTTTTTTGCTATCTCATTATACCGTTATCCTTGTATACTCATTTTAAACCGATATATCTGACTCGTGCATCAGTTACAGCGACGTGCATGGTGTGTGTGTTTGACGCATAGTTAACGAGTTGACACCATAAGTCCACCTTTTCCAGCTCCAACGAGAACGGTGCCAGCTTGTCCTGGCTCCAACGAGAGTTGTTCCACGCACGAGTCTCAGTTGATCTTTTTTTGTCCAATTATCAAGGAGAATATAATCGACGACACCGCAAGGAGATGTACATACACATATACTTTGATGCTAAAATCCGTGTGTCTTTATTCGAGTACCCGAGCCAAAACACCAAAGTTTTAAAACCCTTCACTTGGCCACATCCATTCATACTTTTCCCAACCTTCCAACACCCCATTCTGCAAATCCCTATACGTCGTATAGAGTGCACGGAACCCTTCAAAATCAGATCCACTCAATTTCGTGACCTCCATAGCAACTTCGTCTTCCTCCTCTTCTTCATCATCGTATGGGTCATGAGCAGGGACGACAGGTTCTGTCTTGGTAGCTTTGGCACCCTTCTCAGTCTTTGCTTTTTTACTGGTGCTTCCATTCGTGTGGCCATTGGTGGCTGTTGTAGTGGAGTTGGCAGTTATACGTTTACGTTTACCACCAGTCGGCATTTCGCGATGGATTTCACCGATAGGTGTGATGACAACAGCTAAGAAGCAAAGGATGTTTAAAAAGTGTGAAAAAAAAATATCCGGAATGCGGGATTGAGCGCGAATAGCTTTTACATCTTGATGTCCACCCACAAACAAAAAAAGACCGTAGAGAACCGCAAAATGACTGTCAAGTCGTGACTCCCCCATTCAGCAATCATAAAAATGTGAATATCAACACTTACCTGTACCACAAGCAGCAACTTCATCAAACAAGCCCATACGAACTTCATCCCATTCAACAACTCGACGCTCGGTCTTCCATCCAAAGTGCTTTTCAGCCAACTCCAACAAGGAGCGATTGGTCACTGATGGCAAGATAGAATGTGATTTTGGTGTGACGTATACTCGTTTACCATCAGAGTCTGGCTTGGTGAGTGCGGCAAAGTTGGATGTACTGAATTCCTCCACGTATCGGTGTTCGAGAGCGTCCAAGAATAGCAGTACGGTAAATCCAGCTTTTTTGGCTTCATTTGTCGGGCCCATGGGTGCTGGGTAGTTACCACCAAGCTTGACGTGGCCGGTACCTTAAATTGGAGAGTGATTAGTGTCCCATTGTTGGGGTTCTTGGACAGTGCTTTTTTGCTGAATGTACCATAAGGAGCTGCACGATCAAACTTGTGCTTGATGAGTGCTTTGGCAGGTGATCCGATGCCTCCCTTGTAGAACTAATGTTTAAAATAGGTTTGAATTATTAGTTTGTGTTTGTTTTCGAACAGTTCATCTCTGTGTACGACAGTTTGACTGTTTTTCAGTCTGGACATACCTCTCCAACAGGACACAAGAATGCCATAAAGGTATATTCAGTAGCTGGCAAGAGTCCAGTTCGAGCACCACTTCCAAAGACGAATGGTCTGACATATGCTGATCCACCAGACTCGATCGGTGGAATCCATTCAAGATTGTCTTTGATGAGACGTGATAGAGCCTACAGCAATGTAAGTTGAATGTGGGATTCTGGCAGGTCGTTCTTTTGTTGTGCAGTTTGAAAGTGGCATTCACCTCCAGGAAGAGCTCTTCAGATGGAGCAGCCATGGCAGCGACTTCACACGAGGTTCTCAATCGTTTGGCATTCAATTGTGGCCTGAAGAGACGGACCTGATAGCAAAAAGAACGTCAACACGTTGTCAAATGGATTTTGTGGCCGTGGGTATACCTTTCCATCCTTCATTTTAAAGGCCTTCATTCCTTCGAAACAAGCTTGTCCATAGTGCAATACAGTAGCTTAATAGGAGAAAAACGATTTAATGCAAGTTGACATGTGATGCACTCATGTAACATTGATTTTTTTGGCACTCCGCAAATGTCGCTGATGACATTGGCGAACAAGAAAAGAGAGAATCTAAAAAGCTGACCTGATACATGAATGTTGAAGTTATCTGTTCCTCTGACTAGTTCTCCTTTATCCCAGCCTGTTTCTTCCGTCCACTTATAAGTTATAAACGAGTTGGTTTGAACGTAATCGAACCCCATGTTTCCAAAGTCAAATCCATGAGCGTTGGTCATTGTGCTGGCTACCACAGCCTTGTCTCCACTAGTGCTTTTGCTCTTGGATGCCTTCTTTTTCGTCATCTTGATTTTTTTCGGATTTTTAGGTGACTAGAAGCTTAACATTCAGGCTTCAAGCCGTTTGCATCCATTAAAAATTGTAATCCGTGGGCCAAAATATTGAACGAAAGCTGCTTAACGCGTCCAAACACACCCTTACCGCTCAACAGCTTGTTGGATGACTCTTAAAAGCCAAACACGTTTTCTCCTTCTTATACCTTAAACATACAGCCAATAAATCCAACAAAAGGCAGGATAATGACGAAACTATTAGACTTGACCATTGCAGAACTCAACTTGCACCATACTAAACCAGCTGCAATCTCTATCTCGCCAGACACCACAATCAAGGATGCGCTGGTCTTGTTGAAGGAGAAGAATATTCTAGCATTTCCGCTGCAATCACGATCGAATGTGGACAAAATTACCAGTCTCGTTAACGTCTTTGACATTCTACTCTATGTAAGTACTCGGTGTGTCGTGACTCTTTTGAACATCTGATTTGTCGTAGAAAATGTTTTGATGGCGGTAGCTCAAGTATAGTGCGAGAACGTTTCTGATGAAATATTTGACAAAATGCATTGTCGCACTTTGCTTCTGCACAACTTCACCACCATCGGTTGCAGCTCACTCTGTCACGTTCTTGACTTCTATAGGGATCTGATCAAATTGAGAAGAAGGGTAAACTAGACTTGACCAGGCCTGTTGATGAAGTTCTCTCTTTGGACGACGACCGTGAAAGTTACTTGATGCAGGTATTTGACTATCGAGACACACTTCGCGAGGTAAGCTAATATGTGGTCGTCTGGGGCTGTGTTGGTGCAGTTTCTAGTTTAAGGACAGCATGCATTATTGTACATGTTGCTGCAGCTTCTGCATCGCATTCCCATGTCACAAACACTCACCAATTGTCAAACCGCCTTTCCAGGTCATGAACGTCTTCAAAACAGGCCACCATCACCGAGCATGGATCTCGGATGCCATGAACGTCCTTCCCTCCTGTATCATGACCCAATCCGACATTATCCGATACACATACGCACATCCAGACTTCCAAGTTGGATGCGATAAGCAAGCCGACCTCATTACTCTAGGTCTTGTACCAGACGCACGTCCAATCCACAGCATCACTATAAACGCAACAGCCGTGCAAGGATTCCAAACCATGCGCCAACAAAACGTCCTGGCTCTCCCCATACTTGGTAAACATAATGAAATCATCAGTACGTTGTCTGCATCTGATTTACGTGGGTTGACTGAAGAAAAGTTTGGAAGCTTTAATCAGCCTGTAATGGATTTCTTGGGGTCTACGGCCAAAGTGCCTGTTACTTGTACAGGTGCTGACTCGCTGCAATCTGTGATCGACAAGATTATTGCCAAACATGTCCATAGGGTTTGGGTGGTAGACGGCGATAATAAGGTTATAGGTGTGGTGTCTTTGAGTGATGTTATATCTGCTTTGGCTGGCAAGTAGGGAGCCGAGCGTGTTGGGGCGTTGTATATGATAGCAGCATTGTTTATATTGACGAGGTGGTAATAAAATGTAGCATGAGGTTTTAGCACGATGCCCCTTAAAGGATTATTGAGTCGTTCTTTCGAAAATTCATTTTGCGTCCGTACAACTTGTTGTTTTCTCGCTCGAATCTTGAGTCTGTGAGGTTGAGGAGCACCCAATTTGAATCTGGTAGAGGAGACAAGATATACAGAGACGTGAAGGCTATCTCTCTCTTGCCTGGGTTACCTTTTGAATCATGTGTATGTCTCGAAATCCCATTTCATTACACTCAAGGTGGTTCTAACAAGCAATATTCCGTAGTTAGGTTCAATCAAAGATCTTTCAACTGAATTGATTCTACCGATAATTCACTACACGTCTCCTCGCCAGTTCTCTACGTGGCAGTTTCTCTCAAAGGGATTTGTCGTGATTTACCACTCGTTGCAGAAATAAACACTACATTTTCAAGAACTCCTCCAGCTGTAACGCAAAATGAGCTTAACGCATTCTTGCACCTTTCTGGATGCAGTATTGAAGTGAGTTGCCCCTTGTAATGGTTTTCCTCACAACAGTCATTGGATTATGAATGTTGGGCTTGGGTATGGACGTCTGTCTTCAAATAAGAGCGTATACTTGAATGAGATGCAGAGCCGCTTAGGACCCGGAATTGCTGTGAGTTCAGATTATATTAGTGCTCAATGTTTGGACAGGTCAACAAGATCCAAAGGAACAATATCTATTATTACAGGTCAAACCGAGGGATGAATGGTAAGTCAAAGGAGGTTAAAGGACTTGGCGTGGCAGTCATGTGAGTTTGCTACAGTCGCGACATTGGACGACCGAAAACTCATGATAGGTTTTGATTAGTTTCACATTGTCACATAGCTGGACGATGAGGTCATGCATCTTCATCGGTGTTTCCTTGCAACGCTCAAAAGGGTTAAAGTGCTTCGAGTCCCTACTCTACTTCCCATTTTGGTAGAATACGTCCATATCCCCACGTTGCATCTCAAGGCTGTCGTATCGGACACTTTTACCAGGACTTTGACTCTCATGACGCAACTCTTGTTGCTGCCGAGATCAAGCATTTTGTCGGCTCATTCGATCTGACAGACCTACGTACTATAGTAGGACGACCTGTGCGGAACGAAAACAGAGTTGCTGCCTACAGAGATTCAGAGTCTCGAACCTCGATTATTCATTCGATCACGCAGCTTCGACCAACATTTGATTGCAGAAAGCTTCACAGTGCTTCGGGGTCTGGTACTGACTGACTTTGAGTGTAATGATCAGTACATGCTCCGGAATTGGGAGGTGTTAATCCCACCTAATTTGGCGGAGTTTCGAGTCGATGAAGGGATATGTATAAGCATTTAGATGTCTCAATGCTGCTACGTATTTCCACTACTTCTCGACCCCAACTAGAATCAACTGAATTTGGGCGTGGTATTTTTTTGACAGATGCCGACGAACGAATCAATACACGTTTACGTCATTTGGGTGAAATCAGTAATCCCAAACCATCATTCCATACATCCAATTCGAATTCGACTTCGCGTCTTGTCTCTCTCGACGTAGTCTTGGATACAAAACAACAATTCCAGGACTTGGCAGTCACCGAATTACCCCCGTCTCGACGGTGTATAGATACAGATTGGAAAAACGATTATAGCAGTACTTGGTAATCCCTAAAGTTTGGAGTTGTGGCTAGTAATCTCGCAACCCAAAACATCAAACACTTAAAAGTATGGGTATTGCAGAGCACAAGTTGAACGTTGTGTGAGGTCATATCAAAGAAGCTGCCCCAAAGGTGAACAGTCAAGTGCATTCGTGGAATGGTTACAGGGTGCAGGAGGAGGTCTACTTCCCCTACTACGACGGCGGAAACGTTTACGATGATTATGATGATCATGGTGATTGAGGTCATGCTGAAAACGATTAGGGAAATAAAAAGCTTATTGAATGGTAGCGCGAGTTTAGGATTTGCTTCTGTATTAGAGAGTGAGTCGTTGAGGAGCAACGTATAGATATCAGCAAAGTTTGTAGCAAGCCTGTAGTCAAAAGGAAGTATTATAAAGTCGACGAGAGTATAGCAATCAATCCCTCATGTTGTGAACTTTGAACTCTTCTTCGCATTTGAAAATCAAGTCCATCAGCATCCGGCAATGACTTACCTGTAAGATGTTTTATTTCTGTTATGACTACGAATGTTTCCAAAGACATCTTTTAACAATAATCTTATTGCATCAGGAGACAGAAGATTAAACTATTAATACTGTTTCAACTACTTTATAGCGCTCTTTCCCTTTTTGTGACTGCTCAGTACTCGACTCCCCAAAACACCTCCTTCCACTTCAATTTCCATATTATCATCACCACCATCATACTCCTCCTCTTCGTTTATATCATCATCTAAAGCACGTCTAGAAGGTAGTGGTGGTTTCCGTCCTTTAGCATGCATATTTTCCTCAGGAAGTCCTTCATTACCACCAGCAGTAGCAGCTTTGACAATCCATGTAGCAGGACGAAGCACTGAATCCTCCTGTGCAGTGGCAGTACTTTTACGTGTCAGCGGATCAAACAAGCTTGGACCATCACCATCAGGAGACCACAGTTCAGCCAATGTTGGCGGATATACAGGTTCCGGTGGATTTACAAGTTGACGTGGGATTCCCGGCATAGGTTTCGTCATTTCAAATCGTGAAATCTCGTGTATCTCTACATTGGAATCTATCTGCACTCGATTTTTACCAAATACAGCCGCCCCCTCCTTTTTATCACGAGCTCGTAAATCTTGCTCATCCAAAAACTCTTCAACGCCACCATCCTCTTCTATTTTAATCTGTTCATCGGCTGCTGCTTGATTCTTCAGATCACGAGGCAATCGTGCCAGTTTCCGTAATCCCAAAAAGTAGACTCGAGATTGCAATTCAGTGTCCTTGGATAAGAGTCCTGGTCCAATTACAACTACCAAGAGAATGACCATCGATTTGGTCCATTCTGTAGGGTCTACAGCACCAGAGCATCTCCACGACATTTGTTGAGCTCCAATACTGACCAAGGCTATAATTAGGTAGGAATAGAATCGCACTCCTGGATTCACTGCGGCTGAGATTACTGCATTATACCACAAGACCTGGTAGGGTGCAAAAACAGTTGTGGGCAAAGTGGTATAACGAATTCGTCATGAAAATGACAATACACAAGTTGCCGCTCATATCTTCACTTACATTATATATACTAGCACTACGTTCATAAAACTGTGCAGCAGAACCACCATTCAACACTGAGCAATTTGCTTGATCTTGCAAAAAGGCATACAGCATGACAATCATAGAGTACGTGAGAGCGGTATTGGCTTCATACACCCACAATGGTAGTCGAGTGACAGCCTGTACTATAGACCCGAATGTTACAATCAACAGGAGGAAGCCGACGTGGAGTGCTAGCAATGCTGAATCCTTGTCGCCGACAAAGTTCAGACCACCATTCAGAGCATTTACTATGAGTTTTATAATCCATTCTCGCACCAGCTTCCACCTGTATGAAACGAATGTGTTGAGCTCTTGGGATTTTCTACACATTAGCAAAAAAATTCGCACAAGACTCCATCACCATACCTGTAGTAGGCAATCAAATGCTTCCTAAACTCATTCTCTAGAGGATGTCCCTTCCACTTGGGCAAAAACAAGAAGCGACGAGCCGATCTCTTAGACCACTCAAACAAACTTTCACCCTTCTCTAACAGCATCTCATTCTTTACAACCCCCCTCTTGATCTTATCTCTTAGATCAGCTTCAGAGTGTGGCATCAAATATTTAGGATGATCAGGATGTGTTTCCTTCCATTCCAGCTGGAAGAGAGCACGGTCTACACGTCTTACTACAAATGGAAGTGGGTATGCTCCTTCAAAGGAGGGAATTGCGTCGAGATTGATATCGGGAGTTTTGAGACGCGGAGCACGGAATCGGGGTGTCCGGGGGACTGCTGGCAGTGGTTTCTCTGGTGCCGCCATTGAAGAGGCGTCTGTTTCGGTATCACTATCGGTATCAGGGGCAGCTCGTGTTGCTTCCTCGTCAGTAGACACAGCGGGTTTGCTAGTACTAGTTTCGTGCCATTTCATTGCAAACAGTTGACGATCTAGATACTCTCGTTCACGGGCACTCATCAAGGTCGACACCACGTTCTAAGGTAGTTTGAGAGTTGAGTTTCAAGGACTCTGCGACAACAAAATTAAGAAGCGGGCACTTACGAGGAAATATGTCGCCAAGACGACATACCAAGAATATCTATATCATTTTTTTTGTGTTAAAGTCATGCGACCCAAACCACAACCGCAACCAAAGGAAGAGGTGTCATACGTGGTGTAATATCCAGCACCAGTAGTTAAATCGATGATAAATACACCAAAGGCTTGTAATCCTACTACCACTAGACCAACTGCACCAATCAGTCTGACTGTAGCAGGGAAGAATCCCAATGCGATACGACCATAGAGCACAGCAAGATAGTTGGGGAAGCGACCAATAGATCGAGTTGCTGATGTGTACAGATTCAAATAGGGATCCACGGTTAAAGCCAGCATGTGGAACTCCAGGTACCTGTTGCGAAAACATTAACCCTTTGTAATCCCCACTCTTTTTTGCTGTGATGAAAGTTTAGGAGGACTTACGCAACAAACAGGACACCAGCAGACCCCATAATCATAAAATCAGGTCTCCTTCGTTTAAACCACGGCAAGTATCCAGCCATAATAACTGCCATACAAATCGCATACCCAGCAGCAACCAACCATTCTCGTGGCCCCTGTCCCGACGACGTGAAATACCCCAGCGCGCCAGTGACAGTAGGCACAGGATTCCAAAGTCCTAATCCAATATCCGCAATCTGATATGCGAAAATCAAGGCAGCAATCAACAAGGTATACAATCTACGATGTTCAGCCTGATATTGAGCAAACGCAGCTTCCGTTACCGGGTTTTCGAAGTGCCAGCGGAGGCCGATCAGAGATTGCGTTAGTCCTGTTGACATTCTAGCTACGTTTTGTAGTGGTACTGGATCACCATTGACGACTCGAGCGACTTCATCCCTCATCCATACTAGTGTAGATGTTCTTGATTTAACGGAAATTTCATCTGAGGAATCATCGTATCCTGGAATATGAGCGAATGCTTCTGGTGGCAATCTTGAATCGTTTAATTCCGGTGGTCCTCTTGGTCGTGGTGGTAGGATGTATGATGTCCTACTATATTCTTTACGACGTTGCCAATACGTAGGATCCTCCATGTCCCGTCCATTCTCTCGCCCCTCATCGTCCTCTTCATCGTCGTCATAAAACTGCTCGTAAGGATTTATACCTATGGCATCGTTTCTCGATGTTGGCAGAATTGGTCTTATCGGTTGTAGATTCGTTTCGTATGGCCGAGTGGGCCGAGTGGCCACGTTCAATGGTTGAGATGGATATACTGCACGGCTACTACTGCCACCTTCACTCTCTGTCAAAACCTCGACTTCAATGATATTTCTCGCTGCAGATGTACCAGGAGCAGCTGCGTAGTATGGACCTGCAGCATACAGGGATCTGTTGTTATTTACACCTCGTATTTCAGATAAAGACGAGACAGGTAGCAGTAATGGTTGTTTTGGGCGTGAAATGTGTCTTGTTGTCGCAACCACGGAATTTCGTTTAGGGTGTGATCTCGACGGCATGGCTGTAGATCCTCCTAAAATTATGATTTATAAATATTACTTTGGTACTCAGACCCTGCCAAAACGTCCGTTCTACTCCCTGCTTACTATCCACTGTGATTTTCGGCGTTTTGAATTTCAGCAAATACTTGAGACGCACATTACAATCAAGTTACAACGTGAAACGTTTTGAAACCTAATGGGCAGCTTAATGGAGAGATTCTGAGATATATTCAAGTATTCCAACTGTGCGAAAAAACGCGTCAAACGCTTCAGATCGCCAGCCCAACACGATTACTACACTATTTTCGCTGAGGGCCACAGTGCCAAACTGACAAGCCGAACGTTTCGAGCATCCAATCCAACATTTTACAAAGAATTACACGTCAAACAACCTTCCAGTCACAATTCAAACTGGTTACTAGATCTATTCATCAACCGATTAAGTGTTCTCACAACAATGCTTCAGAACCATTCCACTCAACAACACAATTAGACCATTTGGTCCTTATAACGAGTTCTAACGGTGGCGTCAACTCCGAATACCTCTTCTTGCTTAATGAAGTACTAAACGAAAGCGTCAATCGAGTCTCCTCAGACATTCCAGCCAGCTGATCATAGTAGAAAACATCAATAGGGAACTTGCGACTAGCCTTCTCCAACGTATTACGTTCAGTAGCGAATAAGACGGTATAATGCGATTCAGAGCAAATGATAAAGATTGGCAGTGATGGGTTTTTGAAATGAGATCCAACCTTCATGGAATCGTAATGTTCAAAGAGAGAGAGGTATCCAATTTGTGATGGGCGTTGGATTCCACGTAGGACTTTTGAGTCGAGTTTGATGTCGCCGTCAAACACGTTTGAAATTGCTTCACCTAACAGTAATAGGTTGACGAGCTCCTACATATCAAGTAATGAGTATCTTTGTTGCTTGTTTTGCGATGTTTGGAGAAATCTCACCTGAGTACAATAGCCATATTTTCCAATCATTCTGGAATCGGGCTCATCCATATCAGCTGCCACAGTGTCGATTCCTCTTGTCAAAACAACCGAGTACAAGAGGAGCATAAGTCCATGTTTTTGGGGTCCATTACCAGTAAACTATGGCAAACTCATTCGTCAAAATGCATACAAGTTTGTTGAACGATACTGTTGAGTACTTACTGCAATAAGATTGTTGTCTATGAACTCCCACAGAGTGACTTCAGTGCAAAAGTCATACAAGTCTAGCTTTTCTGTAACTCCATCTGGGTAGCAGGACATTCGTTTTTGTTCAGCACTGTAGTCAGACGACATTCTGTGGAAATAGGGCGTATTAGCCATGACGCTTAGTATTTCTTTGTTTCACAAACCACTCACAGAGCAACGATAGCCTTCCTCTCGTCTTTCTGTCCATTCGTTGCCTGCCATATTAGTTCTGTCAGAGCTGAGACCAAAGCAGTGCGACATTGAGCTGTAGTTGGGCGCAGACGTCCATTCCTAGGAAATTCCCAATATTGAGAACAAAAGAAGTGGTGCGGGTATGTTTGAATCAGAGTCTTACCTAGCAGATGAAGTCTCACCAAACAACATATGCTTGATAACAAAGGCCTGAACAGCTGCCAACAATCCACAAGGACCTCCTTTTAGTTGCACGAGTCCATACGAAACTTCCTTATCCGAGTCCCAGAATGAAAATCCTTTACCCTTCCACTCATCTCCAATAATAGGTCTCGTGCCGTCTCCGGGCCAGACAACAGCCCTCAGCCGCTGAACTTCAGAGATCGATATCCGAATACCTCGATTCGTCATTGTAAAGTTCACATGCTGCCAACTCAGATGATTAATTGGTACAGGTACAGGCATTTTTTGAGCAGCCGACGGATCCAACATGTCATGATCTGTGATGTTGTTATCCTCGAAATCCACTACCATAGGTTCAATGAGACTAGACTGCTTACTGATTGCAGCGGGGTGAGAATTTCGAAGTTCATGAATCGATAATCCAGCTATATGGTTGCCAGCAACGAGGTTGTTTACCCTGATGCTGCAATTATCATCAGCCGATGACGTATCAGACATGACGAAAGGAGGTTCGTTCCAACGATGAGCCGACATGGGTCGAGTACTTGGTTGGAATGGGTCTGAATGCTCAGTATTGTATGAAGCTGCAGTCTGTGGTCTTGATGGAGCAGCAGTTTCAAGTCTCGATGCAGCGGCAGTTTGAGGTCTTGATGGAGCGGCAGTTTGAGGCCTTGATGGCGAGGTCTTTAAAACAACTCTTGCGGTTGTCGGTCGAGAAGTACCAGGTCTCTGTGACGTCTGCTGCTGTGGTTGAAATGGTGATGCATACTCAGGCTTCTCGATGGCAGTTGCAGGCCGCAAAACGTCTCCTGTTGATCGAGGGTTTGACTTTGTAAATGCTCCTAGTGGTGCCCAATCACCGTTTTGAGCATACGGCTGAGGACTTGCAATTGCAGCAGCTATTGTACTAAAGTCTCCTTTGAAATGAGGATCTTTCATCTGTTGAATCGCATTTTCTGTCACTGTTGCTGGCGATGCTGTTGTCGTATCATCTGCTGCTACTGGTGGTGCTTGTGGATTTACGTGAGTGTCGACTAGTACCTCCAGTAAGGATTTCAAAGGGTTTCCTACTCGTATTGGATAAGCAAAAAAGAAGGTCTAATTAAAACTGGAACATCCATACTCACCAAGAGCCTTGTTTTTTTTCGCAGCTTTGAGTATACCAACTGATCTCGCCATTTCACTCTTAGACGTGACCAAAAAGTCTCTCTAAAATGTTTGCGCAGAGCTTAGCTTAACATTTGGTCCAGCCAACGGCATTTCTTAGCAATATACCTGGGCAGAGTCAATCAAAAATGCATCAACCGTAGATCTATACCCTCTTGCTGATAGATATTCCTTGACCAGAGAAGCAGCTAAAACTTCCAACGGGACTGGCCCATAGCGTTGCTTTTCCTCTGATCTTGATGAAGTTCGAGGAGGCGCGACTGCCGTTCGAGGTCTCTCTCCATCTCTCATGCCTCTATAAATTCCAATACTAAAAAATGAGAACTTTTCAATAAAAAACGGTGAGATCTCCCCCAACTGCGATGCTACCCTTGTTCCGTAATGTTTGCAAAGTCCCAACAAAAAGCAGCAACAAAGATGAATGCAACCAATGCAGAGCTAGCTGCATCTCTACTTGGATCTGCTTCAGCTGCTTACATTTCTATAGCCAAACAGGCTCAGTCTAGGTCTGAAGGTCTCCTCACGGATTTATTATCGCAACGAAAAATTCCAGAAAAGGGATGGTCAGATTCAATGATTGAAACGTTAATGATGCAATTCAGCTCTATGGATTCGAACACGTATGATTCTAACGTGGGATTGGGAGAACGAGAGGGTCGCTTGTACTCTTCCATTGTTGCCAAACGCCACTACCATCTTTCGCATGGAATTGGACGCAGTGGTGATATAAATGAAGTACAACCAAAGGCACCGGGATCATCTTTGATGCAAAAACTTACAAATGCTATGGCTCTTGATGCGCTGCGTATTGGTGGTGCGGTATGTAGAAGATCTACGAATTACTGACAGGTGCTATTGTTGACCCTCGACTGCTTTTCCTGAGAAATAGACCAAGAAAGCTGCTGCAGCAGCTCTTGTATTGCCTTTAGCCACTGGTATGACGTTAGCTCTCGTGATGCAAACCATCAAGTCGTCACGACCTGACACCGCAAAATACGTCTTGTGGCCAAGGATAGATCAACGCTCTTGTTTCAAGGCCATTGCTACTGCTGGTATGATACTCTCGGATGGACTGAAATTTTGATGGATTGTGGCTGCTGTTCTTACTGCTTCTGAACTTTACAGATCGGTCATCGCCATCCAAGGGTACTGTTAACATTGACTCCTTGTCTAGGTTTGACGCCAGTAGTTATCGAAAACCTGATTGTCGGTGACGAAGTACGGACAGACATATCCGCCATCGAATCCAAAATCAAAGAATTGGGTGCCGACTCCATCGTCTGCATAATGACAACTACAAGCTGTTTTGCACCTCGTGTACCAGACGCGCTACATTCAGTCGCCAAAATCTGCAAAACAAACTCCATCCCTCATATAATCAACAACGCTTACGGAGTCCAATCACAACGTATGATGCACTTGATATCTGAAGCATGTGCTCAAGGTCGTGTCGACGCATACATACAGTCTACGGATAAGAACTTCATGGTTCCTGTTGGTGGAGCTGTAGTTGCCAGTCCGGAAAAGCGGGTGATTGAAGCAGTTGGGAAAATGTATCCTGGTCGGGCTAGCAGGTAATATCTATGTTAATCAATTGAAATTCAATTGACACCATTGCTAATTCATGATTTGAAATATCTAGCGCTCCTATCGTGGACTTGTTTATAACATTATTGTCAATGGGTGCTATTGGATTTAGAGAGCTTTTGAAGTCGAGAAGAGAAATGTATGATTATTTGAGAACAACTCTTATTAGAGTGGCAGAAAAGCATGGGACTAGAATATTGGATACACCGAAGAATGATATCTCAATAGGTAAAGTTAAATCTTACTACGGCAAAAAAGATCGTTCTCATATTTGCGTAACATATAGGTATATCACTGGAACCTTTTGAGAAGATGACTACAAAGCCCATCACATTCCTGGGATCTATGCTCTTTTCACGATTCGTATCTGGGGCAAGGTTAATTATCGAAATGAAGTTGTTTCACCATCAGAAGACCTCATCTGGTCCTTTTTTTGTTTAGAGTGGTGCCACGAGGAGCAGAAAAGACAGTTAGTAAGATATCATTCATAGGCTATGGATCTCACGTCAATGAGTATCCATGCGCCTACCTGACTGCTGCCGCTGCGATAGGTGTTGCAAAGGACGAAATAGATGTGTTTGCTGAGAGACTAGATTCTACTTTGACAGATCTAGCAAAGCAATTATCAAGTGAAAGACGCAGTGTAGCTGTGGAAGAGTCGGTTCAGGATCCAGCGACTGCCAAGGACTCTGCATAAACGACTCCATTTCTATTTATTTTTTTGTTTATTTAACATACCACTACAAATAAGGCTTTTGGCATTCAAACATGAAACTAAATCAGCTTTTACGATCTATATGGTGGTGGAGGCACTGCAGACATGGGTGGAGCGAAGACGCTGTTTACTTTCTCTGAAGCCACTGGCATAGCAGCTGGAGCAGCAGCAGAATACCCACGACCACACCCCCAACTGTTACTGGTCGCATAGTACCCACTAGCAAACTTGTTTCGTACATCCTGGATCATGGCATCCTGCTCTTCCGGTGAAGCAGTAAACCAAGTCCATCGACGGTATCTGACATCTTTCTTTATGTTGTGGAATTCATTCCTGAAGCCATGGGCTACATCCCAGAAGCGATCATTGGCAGAGTAGAGAATGGTCGGTGTAGCAGTGTTGGCTGGGATATCGGTTTTGGACGCGCCGGCCGCGTTCCATGGAGCAGTGGCAAAGGAACCCGATGCGAGTCTAGAGGAGGAATTGAAAAGGCATCAGCATTGGACTCATTCGAAAAGGTACAAGATGCGCTTACCGTTGACGGAAATCAGCTTCAATAGCTGCCCGAGCAGAGGCATCACCAGCCTCCCATTGCTTCTTCAAGTTCTTTCCATAGTTCTTGGCCAGTTTGAACTCTGATTTGAGTTGATGCTTTACAGTTCCCCATCGTTGGCGACCCATTTCAAATGTATTCCACATGGCGGTACCAACGGCTGCTTGTTGTTGGGGACTAGCATTTGCGAATTCATTGGCTTGCATCCTCCTGTTTTAGAATGAATGATTGAAAGTGAGCTGAATTATTGGTATGAATGATTCGACTTGCAAGCAAAGAAATGTTGGGCAAAATCTACAACATCTCCAACTCTTACATGGCGACAAAGACATCAGGCTGTTGTTTCTCATTCATGCCATTATTGAATAGCATTGCTCTAGAATCAAGCGAATGACGATGAAACTGGTGATGGTGGCGGTGTCCTCTGCACATGGTTCTACTTGGAAAAGATATCAGTTGAGAAATCACGTTTTTGGGGATTTTGCAAGTTTGAGGATCAATGAGTTTAGTAGTTACCTCTCGAGTATGATAAGAGCTAATTTGTTTGATATCTTTCAGAATTGTAGTTGTGTTTTGTTCCTGACACAACTTGAAAGTTTGGAGGCTTATATATATTGTTTTGTATGCCACGATACGACCAATCAGATCGCACCAACGACAAAGCAATGCCACCCACTCATATATACGCGGGTGAAACGAACGTCGGAAGCCAATTGCAAAGCTTCCTTACACGATAACGAATCATAAGAGGTGCTACTACGTCGTTCCCGCATAGTTTTGCATTCAGAGTTGGCCTTGCTGTTCACCCCTCAATGACGCAATGACCAAATAGGAAGCGAGACAAAATGTAGTCAGCTTGGAACTCGAAACTACACGCAATATATGCAATTTTCGTTTCCAAAGCATTCATAGAATCCTTTTGCACATTTTTTGTTTTCGTGTTCGTTTGGAAACGATGACTGTGAAGTCTCTCGAGTCTTACAGCTGGAACAAAGCATTTGAACTGTAGCTTACTAGCATACGTTTTCAAGCCAGGATTGGAGCTACTCACCTTCAACGAGGATATCCACCGAGAACTATCGTTCGAAAAGTTCCAAAGTCACTACATTTGGAAACTTTCCAGGAGAACGTGTCGCTCCTGTAGGTCGCAAACGGTGAGGCAGAAAGGCATCACATATCGCCTCCTCATACTCACCGGTCGCATTAGCAGAGACGCCTCATTTGTTTGTGTGTCAGTCATGTTGCGAGTTGACATCCCACATATCGACCTTCACCCCTCTTTCCTGTCTCGTCGTCTCCTGTTGTTGACGGTGGATGGAGTTGGGTCAGCGCCGACTTGAATTCATTTTCCGCGAGAAACAGAAATGTAATTGTCAGATTCGTGACGTGTCTGGTGAGTTTATATTGTAATTTCATGATTTATTGACACGAAGAATAGATTTAAGCTTCACTCCTACAATAGCGCATGGGATTCCGCCACGCACAGCACGACTTCACTAGCAGCAATCCAATGCGGGCGCCTACTATGTACTAGCAGTAGTGCTCATCAGCTATCCAGATTTAACAAACTTAACGACATACAAGTTTAGCATGGATATAACATAATATTCTTCATTCCAAAATAAAAGTAGGGGGTATGACAATGCATTTTGTTTTACTTGTTTTTACAGCAACATTGTGTGCAAACATAATACTCTTTTTTATTTGTAACTCTCAACATTCATTGGAGTATACGCTGATCAATCCTTTTTTTCAAAAGCCGTTACTAGTAAATTTGACATCAGCAGCTCCTACACCGACAGAGACGTTGATGGTTCCGTCTTCCACTGATCCGCTCTTGCGGAATGTGCCTTCAATGACACCTCCAGTGGGTGTTCGAATGTTATCGGTGATTTCGAGACCTTGTTGAAAGGAGGAGGTTAGGACAAGGCTCGGAACGTGCCAATAGGAATACATTTCTTTCGAACCTGATGTATCAGCCGAGACCTTGAGGGCACCGACCTCTGTCTTGACTTCGAAGTCGCCATGGAAAGAGTCACGCTGTCGAAAACCACTGAGTAAGACTTTGAATACAAAACTGCAATCTGCCCAACGGCCTACACTTACGACAAAGAGCTTGACTCCTCCATTTTGAGCAGAGACATCGACGACATTCACGTAATTTTGTGCAAACTCGACCTTGTTGACGGAGATACCACCAGTCTTTACAGCCAAGTGGACATTGGTAGGCCCGTTCTGGTTGCTTCGTAATTGATCAATGTTGATAGCTCCGTTCTCGGCTTCAGCAGAAAAAGATAAGTAATCATAGAATGCTCCGTTGATTCCACCGTTTTGGACTCCTAAGATGAATACTTGTGCCTTGGCACCCTGATAGCCAAAACGGCGTCAAAAATGATCGCATGGTTTCAAATCAGACTGAGTCTTACTTTGAAGGTGACTGCACCAGAGTTGACGTTCACATCAACGGTACCCAGCGCGAGGTTTGTCAAGTCACCGCCTGAAACGCCAGCCTTTGGAGCTACGATTTTCAAATTGGTTCCGGCCTTGGTCTTTGATTGTGGCAAATACATGGTGAGATCAACAACTACATCGTCATCGGCTTCGATGGAGGTGTCATTGTCAGCTGCGCCAGACTATATAGGATACGGCATATTGGAAATTAGCAACAGTACACAGTGTTTTGCACAGATTCGTTCGCGGCCACTGGCATGAAGCAGCGAACGACAGTCTGCATAGATGCATAGTCAAGACTTGCCTCAACTACAATGCGAAGAGTTCCTTCAGCATCGACCTCGTGAGTAACGGTGATATTGGCTTCGGTAGCTGGGTTCTTTGAGAGAGCTTTGAAGGACACGGCGATGTTCTTGTCTTCAGATAGCTCAGTCTTGATCTTTGCAAGAACGGCACCAGTGACACTAACGTCGATGGCATTGACTGTAGCTGGGTCGACTGCGACGAAACAAGGCAAAGAAGATCAGAAGGGCATTCAACTATAGAATATGCTCGTTAATAACGTCAGCTGGCTCACCTTCAAAGGATTCAGAAGCAAGTTCCCAAGCGTTGACATTGTCTTCAAACCCAAAGAAGGTTGAAGCGCATCGATGGTGCATGGCCTTCTACATTACGGCGCGAAAAATGGTTGCATGTTAGTAAATCACGATTCGAAGAAATTCGAGAAACGTGCTTTGATGAATGACCCTTACCAAAGCATGAGCAGCGAAGAAGAATCCGAAAACTAATGCGACAATACGGATCAATACACGTCCTTTTCGGCATGACCTCTTTTCTGGTTCTGCAGCGAGAATGTAGATTGGATTTGTTGGTTCAAGAAGCTCTCCTTTTTCCGTATCGATCTTTTCGCTGGTAGCGACAGCGACGTATCCACTAGGAGCCATTGTTATAGTACTTGTTTGAATATTTCGAGTTCTTGTAGTAGGTCTTCTTTCTGCTGAAGAAGAAGGTTTTTAAGTTTCGGGTGTTGAACGGTTGATCAAGTTACGCTCCTCTGCCGAAAGAAAAACACGTTGCGTTTCTAGTTGCTTCGGCCACGACAGAAGCGCAACACAAAAGGCGTCATCAAGCGGATGAAGCTAATATGGTGATATATTTGGTATTTGTGTACATATTTTTAGTTTTGATCTACAAGGAGATCTTCTGAATTATGGTGAGCAGCGACAAGAATGGGTTCTGACAAGTACCTAGAAATTAAACCGAATTTGAGCGGTCGTGTCTGGCAAGGATCCAATTGCAATCGAAAAATTAATTCAAATGTAGCTGACGTGTTGCCAAAAATCAAGTTGCACTCATAACCAGTTAAGCCACTTACGGAACAATCTTTTCAATAAAGAATTCAATGGTGAATTGCATATGACCTCCCTCAGTATCCAGAAATTCAAGCTTCTTTGCCTTGTCAAGTTTCTTCAAACCAATCCAGTCTTCTTTATAGATTGGCAAGTCTCGAAGTCCAGCTGTAATACCTTCTTCACCGTCCAAGTAGAAGCCAAACCAAGCCGTTTCTTTGGGCACTACCGTAGTATCATTTAGGAATTGCACCATTACAAGCTTGTTTAGTGATTCCATATTGACGGCATATGACGGCTCTTTCACATCACGCTCGTTGTTGATATCAGCGAGGAATATGGAAGCCTTCAAATAAAATTCAAGTTCTTTAGGATTCTAAGATGTCGCAAGGAAAGAAAGAAACCAGAGTGTGAGATCGTTTCAATGCAATGGTGACGACGTTCACTTAAAACTCACCTTGTAGTATTGAGCTTGAACTACTCGTTCTTGCACGAAAGAGAGATAAGCACCACGTCCAATAAGACCTCGTGCAACTTGACACGTAATATCTGTCTTGTCTGAGGGACAGTTTGGAATCTCAGCTATTCCACTGTGAGGAGTACCAAAGGTAATCAAATTGTGTACTAATGGGATTGGAAGGATACAAATTTAAAGAGAGACAGTAAAACATCAGAGTCGAACTGCAAGTTAGGTACCTGGAGGATCGTTGCATCTCTCAATGTATCCGCGCAAAAACAAACCACCTTGGCTAAATCCAATAGCATTGAAACCATCAAAGAGTTTGTCGTCATCAGCCAGAGCTTCACAAACCTCATCAATCTATAGACATTGCTTTGAATGTAAATTACGTGTATTTTGTAGATCTGATGTTCGAATGACTTTACCTGACGATTCACATTGTCAATAAAAGTGTAGTCTCGATCTTCTGATTCAGTATTCCCAATTCGAATTGATTTCACATAGACGCCTGGAAGCTCCGTCTCGAGAGTTTCCTTCAACTGGGTCATCCCTTTTGACTCTGATGTATCTCCCAATCCGTGATATAAAACCACAGGCCTATAGTGAGTCTTTGCAGCGACTATACATACGCCAAGAAACTGCAGAGCGACCGATGGACGAAGCTTCATTGTAGTAACGTCCTTTTTTAATTGTTTGATGTAGTTCTTTTTGGGAGTTTGGAGTCGACGAGTTAGAGGAGATGTTGAAGGCGACAGAAAATATTTGCAATATCTGAATGTATGAATTCTCACGTGTATTTATGGGCTAGGAATCTTGACCTCGCGGTATTTTGGCGTTTGGAGGAGCACATTGAGAGTCATGGCTGCTAGGACCTAATGGCCAACACGATTGTGAGACTTTAAACGTTATGTGTAACACTGTATTCAAATCATGTCGCAGTTCTTGATGCTCAACCTCTAGTAGAGAGGCTCTGATTTCCACCACCTCGTAAATCAAAATCATGGAATTGTGCCTGGTCGTGGCGCAACACAATATGGAAATGTTGCAATTCCATCTACTCAAAGTCCATATCGCCAGAGTTGGCTAATTCACGATCTGATGAAGTCATCTCTGAAGTTGGACTCAAGTATGAGTAAACCACCCTTTGCTAGACAGGCAAATTCAGGTTGATTGATACGAGCTCTTACTGAATTGAGTATCTATTTGGGCCTTGAAATACGCTGCTCGAAAACCGCTTCGGGAGGCCAAGTGAATACAAAACTACCTGAGCCCGTCATGGTCCGCGACCATTGTGCTGGCTGTTACAACCTCGTATGAGAGAATTCAGAACTGGGAATTCATGCAGACGCGAGGAGTGGACTGTTAATGAGATGAAGCACATACTCTCTTTTGGATGGAGGTAAAAGTAGAATGACAGCTGCAGTCACAGTTGTCACGTTCAATATCAAAGGTGGTTGCTCGTCAGAGCTGTCGTCGCAGCATTTGCAGATAGGCTCATCTTGGAATTTCGATACATGGGTAGATTTTCTCTGGGACGAGGAAAACATCCTCGCAACAAGTATTTGATCAGGTATCCTGCAAAACATGACCTTCCAACACACTTGAAGTGACACTCTGTGTTATCATCAGTTTTGAATCGTAAATGGTCATAAAGTCGAAAGTAAATACACTTGTGAAATCACGAGATTGTTATAAACGAGGGTTTTGAAGAATAGCACTTCACAAACAAACTGAGCAAAAAAGCATCAAAAGAAGACATAAAGCTCGTAGAGATTGATTTCTCACGTCGCGACATTTCTTGTACTGTTCCAAAAAAGTTCGAGACGCCGTTTGAACAAATATTGCGGCACGCAATCTTCGTGAAACATCATTCCAGCAATCGTTTAGCGACGCACCTCTCGAGCCAGGCAGATAAATAACCAGCCATGGCAGCCCTTTCGAAGCAGTCTTTCGACCAGACGTTGATTGTTCGCTCGTTCTACGACTTTAGCGATAAACTATCCAAACATTTGGGTGATTTTGGTACCTTTGTCGCTGTCATGTATCTACCGTGGATTATGATGAGAAAAGCAATGACGTGCTACTTTATACTGGCAAACAGGTATATTGACTTAAAAGTCTCTCCATCATGATCGTTTTGCTGAAATTACTTTCCATGCATACCCATGACACTGACACACAATAATCATACCTAAACACTCAATACCGATATGTAGGCACGGTTGGCTAGACAAGTACAGAATTCAGGATCAGAAATCCACAGACGAAGAGCTGCAAGCGCTTTGGCAGAGGCAATATGGTGCAAAGAGTTGGTACGGTTTTGCGATTTTCACGTAAGTGCCTTGATGCTCGGCATTCAGCTTCATTCAGTCTCCGATTAAGACTCGTTATCTGCTTATGATAGAGTTCCCAATCTTATATTATACTGGAACATGCAAAAGTGGAGAGGAATGGACATTCACAAGCGGGATACCAACGGTCTAGACGTTGTCAAGAGATTCCTAGTAGCCGTACTAGGTAGGAGCACTATCTCTGATTAGACCTTCATTCGAGTCTTATTGATTTGTTGGCTAGTTTGGGATACGTTTATTTGGGCAGCTCACGTTGCAGAACACAAGATTCCATGGCTCTACAAGGTACTGAAAGAACTTTTTTCGAGCCTGTATACGTGCTGAAAACATTCTCTATTCAGAACTTCCACAAATACCATCACCAATACACTCGACCGTCAATAATGGTGGCTGGTCACTTTGGCCTCGTTGACGCCTTCCTGGAGACAACTTTCCCAGTATACCTCGGCAACATGGTCGCTGGCTCTTCGTTTTTCGGCAATGTCGTCTTCATGTCCTTTTTAACTTGGATTGTAAGTGGTGTTCAAACACTCCAGTTTTCATACGTCTTGTTGACCTTACAATTGAGAACAGGGTATTCACAACCACTCGGGCTATGATTGCCCGTGGGACTTGCTGAACAAAGTCTTTGGCTACGTTAACTGGTAATAGACTCTATCGTTTCGTTTGCCACTGAAACTTAAAACTCATAGACTTGTCCTTGCACCACTCACAGGCACGATTTCCATCATTTGAACTACCGAGGCAATTACCAAACTCTTCTATCGTTCTGGGACGTTCTCTTCGGCTTTGACACGGACTACTGGCAAGCAACAACATGAACATTTCTATCCCGTGACAAAGCTCATAGGCCACCATCAAATAGGGAATACTCAAAGCAAAGGAAGGAAGCTCGAGCTAAAGGCCTTCCATTCAAGTGGCGTGGAAAGGCTGGCAAACTCGTCGAGAGTGATGGCGAAGTGCCAGTTCCGGATGAATCTGGGATCATCCACTCAACTGGAAGTGCTGTAGATCTGAAGTAGCTTCCATTTTAGTTTTGCTTTTGTAAATGTAAACTCTACTATAGTTTATTGAAAACGTGCATATGTGTATCTGCGTCACTGATCAAGTGCGACTTTTGCAGCAAGTCGATTCAGTCAGAAGGCCTAAATCCGTGACATAAAACCACCGGTAAAAGTGAGTCTCTGATGCCAGATATGCGCTCAGAATTGAAAGAGCCACTGCTAGGAGAGCTTCATTTGTGGGCACCTTGTCAGAGATTTGGGATTTTGAGAGAGCTCACGATGACAAAAGACATTTAAGAAAGGATTTGCCACTTTGAATACGTGAACTCTAACGTGTATTCTCGCTCTAGAATTCCTACTAACACCACTTGGGAGCTAGGTGCAACACATCATTTGGTCCAAAAATGTCAACCACGATTTGTGAAACTGCATACGGAACCTTACGTGGAACATTATATCCAAACCATGTAGCATTCCTCGGAATACCATTTGCTCAACCTCCTGTAAACGAATTGAGGTTTAGAGCACCGCGTAAGCCCAAATCATGGAATGGTATTCGAGACGCAACAAAATATGGTAGTGTTGCACCTCAGGTTATTCAGAATCCTGAGCGGGCTCCCGTGTTTACTAATCCGAGAGCTGATGAAGTCATGTCTGAAGACTGCCTGTAAGTTTCCTAGGCAAACTCAGCTTTTGGTTGGCAATGGAGTGATACACATTTACCAAAACAAATAATGCCAAGAAGCATGCAAACTCAGTTTCTTCTATCCATATTTTATCTTACAAGTACAAATTTAGTCTCATTCATCTTCATGTTGTGTCTTGATAGCTATCTGAATGTTTGGGCACCAAAAGCTGCATTGGGAGGTCAAGAGAAACTACCAGTGATGGTTTACATACACGGTGTGTATCTCATTGTCTTGCACCCATTATTCCTACCTTTAAAACCAACAATTCTTCCAACGGAAGGTGGTGGGCTACGAATCGGATCAGGCTCACAATCATTATTCGATGGAGGCGAGCTCGTACAAACAGCTCCAGTCATAATCGTGACCTTCAATTACCGGATGGGCTATTTCGGCTGGATGGCATCGGAAGAATTGCGCGACAATTCACCAGAAACTGTCGCTGAAGGGTTTGGTGGACATGCGAATCCAGGACTGTTGGATATGAGAGCAGCGTTTTTGTGGGTCAAGGAGAACATTGCATACTTCGGAGGTGATCCAGATAGAGTTACTAGCTTTGGAGAAAGTGCCGGTGGCAGTGAGTCTCTAAAATCGCAAAACACAACCGTTGCTATTAAGTATTCTGTTCTTATTCCAAGTCTTTTCGCTAGTGCTCCAAACATATTTAATATCCTGCTTCCCAAACGACAGTTTATTCCGATACTCTATACTGCAATCAGGCTCAGCTCTCGCACCATGGGACATGGCTCCATTCTCACAGGACGTATTTGATCAAGTCTGTGCAAAATGTAGTCTACCAAAGCACTTGTCTGGGTCTGCTAAAGTAGATGCGCTACGAGCTGTACCAGCATCCGATATAATGAAGGCTTTCACCGAGATCTTTTACAACGGGCCTATGAGAACTCGACCTGTAATCGACGGAGTCGTAGTGAGGGAACATCCATTGAAGGCTATTAGGAATGGTCGCTGTATGAAACTAGATGGTGCCATATTAGGCTACGTTACCGACGAAGGATCGTTTAGAGGGCAGCAATTCTCGAAACGGGAAGACTATGAAGCATTTGTCAAACACGTATGGCCTGGGTCTTTGAGTCAACGTATACTCAAACAGTACCCCTTCAATGAAGCTATCCCATACAAGGCCGGATCTGAACTGATGACCGACGTGGAGTTCGTTGCTGGAGCATATGCCACAGCTAATGAGTTAATCTCCCAAAAGGTGCCAGTGTATATGTATAGATGGGACGTCGCTCCTGAGATGACGAAAGAATGGAATGCACGAGTACATCATGGTGCTGAACTCTTGTTTACGTTTAATCAAAAGAGGTATTTGATGACACCTAACGAGTTGAGGTTGGGAGCTCTGGCTTCGAAAGCTTGGATATCGTTTGCTACGACTGGAAGTCCGGCTGGATTCCATGGTTGGCCTCAATATAAAGGCGATGGTGGAGCAGTTGTTGTATTTACCCCCGGTGGTATTGAGGTTGGTGATGATCGATGGCATCAGGAGGGCATCAAGTTCTGGAGGAAAAATGAATTTGAAGCTGATGCTGCAGGAGACCAACACCATAAGCTTTAACATAAGAAGCTTAACATGAATATTATCATTGTGTCAGCATATCTAGTCTAATTACTATATTACATCTTCAAAAGGAATGAGTACTTTTGTCCAAAGCGTATATATATCTTGGTCCATAGTTAAATGCTGACGCCACAATGTTACCAGCGCCCTTCTCCCTCCTCGACTTCCCACTCCTCTAGCGCGTCTGCCCCCTCCCCTTCAAACAGCTTTCCAAAGCATTTGGATTTTCGGTCATTGAAGTGCCTAAACAAATATAACGTTCACCATCAGCCAGAGTCTCATTTAAACTAGCGAGCGAGCTCACTCCAATACCTCCACCACAACTTACCCATAAGGATTGGTAGCGAGCAAAAATTGCCCGCAAAGGTAGCAGAAGTGCGAGTTGCAAAACTTGCACGTCATATGACAACAACCCTCAGAGCGTTCTACAGCAGCTAGAAGAAAAAGGTTTCAAAGGTTAAGATATAATCTTGAACCATCTTCTTGTCGACAAATGTTCTCAAAAATCAAGAACACGAACAACAAACAAAAGAGGGCCGCTAGTAACATACCATTGCATGTAGGGCATCTTTGAGTGTTTTCCTTCAAGTACAACAGACTTTCATGCTCTTCATCCCATTCTTTAACCGCTCGTTCCAATGTCTTTTTACCATACTTGAATTCCAATCTTCGTTTGTCTGTTGACGAGAAAAAAGAAAGATCAACGTCAGAACAAAGGCAATGTTGAAGCCTAATTCAAGTACAAGTTAAGTTACCCGCTTCTGAGGCCTGATTATACTGATTCACCAACTCCTCCAATTTGAAATTACTTTTACAGTACGATGCATATCCATGCCACACCGAACTACAGACGTGGCAGTAAGCAAATCCACAAGCCGTGCATACCACAAGCTTATCGTCTTTATTTGTAATGATGGTGGGAGCTTGACAGTCAGGTCGCGGGCAATACGCCACGTCACTCCTACCATCAAGCAATTTCTTTTTGAGAAACTCTAGATACCGTTCAAACAGCTCTTTGCCTACTATGGATAACATATCGGCTTGTGGCACAGGTATAGTCGTAAGCACATCTAGAGATCGTCCTTCTGACGTCCCTTGCCGATTCCGTTGTAATGCTGCCTCTCTTTTACATTTCGCGTCAGGACATCCGACTTGGTCCACATCCCCTTCCCGAATCAAGAGCTCGAAATACGAGTAGAGACATGGTCTACAAAATACGTGTTTACACGGATTGAATCTCATGGATTCTGATCCACGATGTGGAGAGAAACAGATTCCACAATCGAAATCTAGAGCTTCGAATTCTGCTGCTGCTTTATTCCTGTCGTATGCCAAGAGAAGATTACATAGATCTAACCGTGTTTCTGGTTTTACGGTTTCGTCGTGTCCTATTAGCAGCAGTCTATTCGTTGAGTTACTGTTCGGAGGAGACAAGAGATTGAGGTAATCTAGAGCTCTCGTTTGGCAAAAGTCAGCCCACTCGAATAAACAGACATCGTGGATCTCCTCCCAAGCATTTAAAAGATATCTATGTAGTTTCTGCCGCTGCAGTCTGCTTAAATACGGTGCGTCAACGGCAAACGATGGTGGAGAACTAGAGGGATATTTACTGGTCAAACGGAATCTAATTAAGATAGGTGGCAAATGGGCGAGTTCAAATAAACGATTGGGGTCAGTTTCGCCGTCTACGTTGGGCATAGACAGAGAAATCGGCGAGTCCAGAGATGGAGGGACTGATAGTGTCCCATACACGCCAGAATCAGTTCGGTCCCAGACGAGAAGATCTTCAAATATAGCCTGTTTTGGGATGAAGACTGTGTTAGACTGACAAAGTGGCATTTGTTCTATCGTTCAAGGTCCAGATCGCTCTAGTTCGATTCAAATCGTTGCTTTAAGAGCTGCCCTGTTCCAATCTCAAATGTTGTTTCAAGCTCGACTTTATGTCAAATCCAATTTCAAATGTTTGCTTCATGGAGAGTTCCAGACCGGTAGTCGAGCGAAGCAGTAGCATAGGATGAAAATTCAATCGACGACCTTCCGCTTGCCGTTATGGAATTGCCATTTGTCTCTGTATTGCAGTTTTCTCCATGCGCCAGTTTTTGCCAGGTCTTGTCAACGCCTTTGGCACTCCATTCCCCACTAACTTTAGGTCGATCTGACGATCTCAACCACTTACTTGTAGAGCAATTCGTTCGTCCTCTTGAGCTTCTTCTGCCATGCAAAACTTGGCAATAAAACAAATTTTGGAAGTTTCAAAACGTTCAGCTATCAAACCACCGACAATAGGAACAAAACAGGAGTGCAGGTCGTTATAAATTTATATGTTGAACCGGAATATTATTGTTTTGGTTTATTTTTTACATTCGTTTCCTTTCACATTTGCGACATCCACAAGCACCTTTTTCAGAATCTGAGTCATCAGACATTTTTACATTCGTTTCCTTTTACATTTGCGACACCCGCAAGCACCTGTTTCTGGATCTGAGTCATCAGACTTCAGTTCCTCGTTGCCATCCGCCTGATCTTCCGAACTGCTACTGCTACTAGAAGATGACGATGATGAAGACGATGGGCATGGATTTGGTGTGGTTTCAAGAGCTTCAGCCTGCTTGACTAAATCTACATAGAAACTTGCTGGCTTGCTGTCCAATGGGCGCGCCACGACAAACGACAACTTGGATCTGTCGATTTGGGGATTTGCCAACAGGGACAGTCTTTTCAATAATCGTTGTGCAAGTCGTGGTCGAGACCACCGAGTCTTTAACCACACTGCGTCAAAGCCGGTTGGAGTGACAAAGTTTTGAGTCTTTGAAATAAACAAAATCATAATTAGTGCTCTAGTAACCAGAAGCAATATCAGTTTCGCTTACCACTGCAATCGCAAAGTCCAGATTCATAACACAATGATGCCATCCACCAGGGACGAAGACAGTTTCACCTTCTGCTTGCAAGATTTCAATCATACCAAGCCTTTCTGCCAGAGTTCGTCCTTGTTCATCAAGATTATCACGGGACGTGAGAGACGAGAAGACGATGCTGAACCATGTGGAAGCTTCATGATCAGGTAAGCCTCGAGGAGAGACAAAGCGTTTCTCTGTGTTTGGTGGAAACAAGGCCCATCTAACAACGACGAAGTGGCGTTAACAATTGTGAGGCAACGAATTCAGGCAGCAACCGCATTCTAGCCGCTTATCATACCTTTTGTGGCCTACAAGGAGAGAATTCCAAGCGGAAGTACCCAATGGGTCAACATGAACACCAGTCCCAGAACGAGCAGGTCCTATTACAATCCATCTATGTGGAGGTCTTCGACGTCCAGTCAAGCTGAACAAGTCGTCTTCAAAATACTTTGGAATCTCGTATTCATTCAACATGACAGCTGGCGATATAGATCCTGGTTGTTGTTGAGCCTTACTGGCTTCTACTTCATTACTGGAATCTGATTCATTACGTTGAGCATCATTGCCAGGCGTTGCGACGTCAGGAGATATCCTAAAGTCTTTATCAGGCACACGATCAACTACTCCTTTTTCATTTTCGTTTTCGTCGGCACTATTATCGTCGTTCATCCTCTTTCTCTTGTTTCCTGAGCGTTTGCGACGAATTCCGAATGCTGAATCAAAGATGTATAGAGGCGAGTCGTCCTTTCTGGCTTCATCACTCATAGCATAGTCAAGATAGTGCTTCATGCTTATAGTTACGCTTTCACCTTCGTCGTCCTAGTCGATACAGATCGTCAGGTCGATAATAATTGAATTTCACTTTCCACTTCTCTAACAGCAGCAGGCCTCCTTCTTGTCTCGAGGTCTTCAGGCTTGCTCATCCAAAAAGTCTTAATCAGAATCGCTGCTAGCAAAAACGTGGCAGAAAAGCACACCTCGCCAACCTTGAACTTTTCGTCAGAGTGACGTTCTCTCAGAGTATTGACATTCCAAGTCTTTGAAGCTGTCCACTTCGTAGCGCCAGTAATGACTATGGGTGTGGAAGTTGACTCATACAAGTTGATGAATTCTGATTTCGATGTTGTCTCATAGTCAATACGTTTGACAGTATCTCGTGATGGATCAATGTTAAGATCTACTCGATCCAGATGCTGACGATTCCATTCAAAGATACCGAGCTCTAATACATTCGTTGTTGTTAACTCTGCACGAAAACAAAACAAAAGCTGTAAGACTCTGTGAAAACAATAACAACAAGATCTACCAGAGCGACAAGCTACTTTGACTTTGGCTATTCGTCTTGCTCTCTTCTCGGTTTCCATCTTGCAACTCCACTGCGTCCAAATTGGAATAATCGTGGACAAACAACAAATCAAGTTGTATAAACCCTCTAATCTGGTTGGAATCATCAGCATGGCATTCAACGATGCTGCCAATGCAACCGTGCCGATTCGCCCGGCTGCATCGTACGTACAATGCTAGAGAATCTAGCAACATTTGAGGCAAAACACTAAATCCAGCTTCCATTTCTCATGTTTATAGAGTTATAATCGCCGCTAAAACCAGACAGGGCACTGGCAAAGGCAGTGATTATAAAGTACGTATTTCGGCCGGCTGTGTTGCTGTGTATTGTCGTCAAGCCTGAAGTTTGACCTTAAATCTGGCTAGATTCTGATGTTGAAGAGGAACAATCGTGGCCAGTTTGGTTCCCTTCACGTATTTCCTGGAGGTAGAGTTGACCATTTCGATCAAGACCCTCGTTGGCTCGATATCTTGCCAAAGAGTATGATTGAACAACACAAAAAGACGTCAAAGGTAAGTTGCCTTCGTCATTGTGTCAGGGCAATGCTCTAACCCGTTAACTGATTTAGATCCCACTGGCATTTCGGATTGCTGCTGTTCGCGAAACATTTGAGGAGAGTGGAGTTCAATTATTCGATCCGCCACTCAAACTGTCTCTGGAGGAGGCCGAAAAGTGGAGGAGTAAAGTTCATAGATCTGCCAAGAACTTTTTAGAGTTGTGTGAAATGACATCGTCAGCACCAGACATAACTCGGATTGTCCATTTCGCATGCTGGGTAACTCCCAAAGGTATCACCTTCCTATTGATATATCTAGCGTCTCAACCTTTGTAACTAACTTCGATTTCTAGGCGCGCCAAAGAGATTCAACACCCACTTTTTCATTGCTGTTATGCCGTCTTCACGAGGTATGACCTGGCAAGTCCAACCATCAAGTGCTACTTCTGACACCATTTTACAGCGCCGGAAGGTGCCCGTTATGCTGCGGACGGGAAAGAGACGCTTGAAATGGCCTGGCTAACTCCAAACGAAGCACTAGCCAGATTCAGGAGGTATGAACTCAACATTATATCACCTCAATTCGTAAATCTTTCAGAACTGTCACGACTATCATACGATGACTTGAACAATCTTGTTCTCTCTGGCGGCGAACGGCAAGGCATTGTTAGAATGGCTGGTAGGGTCTCGCTGCCTCTGAACATAAATTTTTCGACCTCACATGGTGCTTTGTATAGGCGAAGAGCGAGGAAGATCAGAAAGTGGCAGACTACTAGTAGAGCTTCTTCCAGGAGACGAAGAGCACTCTGAGAGCAAGGACGTGAAGGTCAAACCGGGATCTAGGAATAGGATAAATTCGATTTTCAAGACAAAGGATCCAAATGAGAAACCTGATCTTGAATGGGAAATCAATATCGACTTGAACGAGTACTCTAAGCGGCAAGAACGTCATGTTGAGACCTTCATGTCTCAGTTATAAAGTCGGTAGTATATAGCTGAGGCCCTCATGTCTGTTTCAGAGTCATTGTGGAGGAAGAGGCACCACTTGAACCATTTCATATCCTTTATAACGCTCTATATACAATAAAATACCACTTTTAAACAAAGAACGAGCAGCGATCGCTAATGCACTCTTTCCCTATGCCAGCTCCAAACTCAGTAATACTTTGCCCAATTGTAACCGTTCTGGACTAAGAGAGACAACGTCAACACAATGCCTCCCACAATCCTTGAAATCTTAATTGATTTGGTGTTCTCGGTGCCCGATTTGCTTCGCTTTATGGTCTCTGGCTTGCTTGGAACGTTTGATTTGTTTTTGTACACGTTTGGCTTGTGGACGCCGATGCAAGGAATTAACCTGGAAGGCAAAACATTCATTATTACGGTTAGCGAATCACGATTTCCCCTACTTGCCTCGTTCTAACCAGTCTGGCTCGTAGGGAGGTAGGACATCAAACGATCAAATTCTCCAGACCTCAAGCTCTGTCAATCAGAGTTGTTTCTTGAAGAGAATCCAAAGAACATTTTTTGAAACCCTCACTGTAACGATCTTCTGTGACGAAAGATCGCTTTTGACGAAGCATCGTCTGAAAACACAAGCTTGCCAACCCCTATTAATTCTTAGGTACCGCTGGTCTTGGACTCGAGACCGCAACTGAGCTCTGCAAACTCGGAGCGCATGTGATAATCACTTCACGCAACGATACTCGTGGCAAGGAAGCAGTTGCTAGAATCTGTGACGCGTCAGGTAGTAGGAAAGTTGAATATGGAGTCATGGAGAATTCTTCGCTACGTTCTGTAAGTCCTTTGATTTGTCTGGTGCCGATCTATGACTCTGAATTCATTTCTCGTCTGTAGGCCGACATGTTTGCACAATGGTTCTTAAGCAAAAATATCAAACTGTATGGCCTGATATGTAATGCTGGAGTAGGCGGTAACCCCAATCGTCCTCAGAAGGGAATCGACGAAACGCTAATCATCAACCATCTGTCTCACTTCCATCTGTCTCGCCTTTTATTGGATAACTTGCTTCAAACTAAAGGGAGTCGTCTGGTCAACGTCTCTTCTGAAATGGGGTCGTTTACTTTTGGAAGGCCAGACTGGACCATGATGGGGCGAAAGGAGTATTATAACTCGCAGTATGCTTATCAATTAAGTAAATTGGCCAATCAATTGTTTACGAGAGAGCTGGTGAGGCAGCTCGGACCACGTGCTAATCTTTATGTGAATTGCGTTCATCCTGGTGTAAGTCACTTTTGTATCGTATGGTCGTTATAGCAGAGCGAATAATCATGGCAAGGTACGGCACTGACGTTTGAAGATTATTTCGCTGTAGGTCGTAAACAGCACAATCTGGGATAAAACTAGGTCAAACAGCGACTCACTGTACAACATCATCACAACCAGCTTCATGAAATTCACATCAGTATCTACGCAAGTTGGAGCCATGAACCAACTATTTGCTGCCACATCACCACTTATCGAGACCGACAATATCCGTGGCGAATACTTTGTTCCCATCTTACGCAAGGCCCGAGTCCAGCGATGGGCCCGCAACGATGAAGTGGCTAAAGAACTGTGGCAGTTTTCACTAAAAGCTGTTGACAATTTGCTGAAAAACGAGTGATTGGGAGTAGAATAAGAGTAGTTGTGTCAATGAGAGTTAATATTTTAGCTTGTTTTTGTATACACAGATGCAGCCGATAAGAATGTACAATCATATAGTAAAACCCAAGTAGTTTAGTAGCCTTCGTACTTTTCTTCACTTCGTTGTTCAAACACGGTTTTGACGTGGGTTGTGACCGCAATCAAGTCTTGTAAGCCTTTATCTAGAGCTTGCATTGCCGTACAGGAACCTACAAGCAAAAAAGATGGTCAGAGATATGAAGACCATTAAAGAGGAGCAGGCTGTTTTTGCACTGCTCACCGTCCGTTTGTATTCTGACGTGAATCTTGGCCTCAGAAGGATGTGGAAGAGTGTATGCACAAAACTCGACTGCAGGACTACCAGAAAACCAACGTGTGTCAGAACGCTTTGTGACATCACACAAAAGTCTTTACAGGAAGCTCACTTTTTCAGAATGATGTGCCTCAAAGCATTTCCAAGAGTATGCTCTTCTTGCATTATGACAAATGTAGCTATAGATCCATCGTGGTCTTGTGTGAGCTACAAGCAAAGATCGTCGTTATTGTACGATCGAAGAGTGTTTTTTTGTTAACAAGTTCATGAGAAAAAGTGCTCACAATAGATATTTTGGGACTGTCGAGAGGTGGCAAATTGCCTCCCAGTCCAAAATCAGGTTCTATCATAGCCATTTTGCAGAGAAAGATGGTTGGTTCTTGCTGAAATGTTGGTTTTTGATGTGAAAAGATTGAACATTTGGTGACGAGCAAAGAAAGAAATTTTGTTGTATTGACACGTGAGGAAAGAGACGTATGTGCTTTTTTAACTCGTGATATAGTGATCTAAGTACATCAGACGCGTCGCTTGCTCTTCATAAAGGCAATGTAAGCTTCTTTTGCGTTGAGCTTGTCTGAGTTCAAACACGTATGTATACGAACCACAATCGTTTCGATTCTGGAGCCTAACCAGAGAAACGGGATCATCAGTATTCCGTTTATTTATTTCTTGTCGTTGGCATCAAACCGGAGAGCTTGCAACAGTCGCAGGTTTTCAAGTCATGTTTGTCTGCTCACGGTGCATTAAGAACCTTGCTGTTAAGGGCTTAACTCGCACTTCTGGACGTGTCAGACCACCTAAAGTCCAAGTCATTCGACATTATTCGGTAAGAATTGACGACAAGCTCAAAACATCAACACGTTCAATCTGACATCTCTTCCCGCTCGAACTTAGACCAATGCAAACGATGATGATCGCATGCTGGACATGTCACGTTACCCTCCCGATCTGATACGGAACTTCAGTATCATTGCTCACATTGGTTTGTGTTTCTTCTTCGCAAAAATCAACTCCTTCCCAACTCGTAAGGTCGCTCACAGTTCGCACTCATGTAGATCATGGCAAATCAACACTCGCGGATCGTATGCTAGAACTTACTGGAACGATTGATACGTCAAAGGGAAAGAACAAGCAAGTCCTAGACAAGCTCAAAGTTGAGAGAGATCGTGGTATCACTATTAAAGCTCAGACGGCGTCCATGTTTTATAATTTTAATGGAAAGAAGTATCTTTTGAATCTAATGTAAGATTGAGAAACTTTGGTATCTTACGACACAACACAGCGCTCAATATTCAAAACTAGTGATACGCCAGGTCATGTTGACTTTAGCTATGAAGTCTCAAGGTCGTTAGCTGCGTGTCAAGGTACGCTGTTGCCAATTTATCCAATTTATCCCGTTCATTGTCATCCACCTAATACCATATCTTCGTCAAGGCACACTGTTACTAGTTGATGCTACGCAGGTAAGCGGGTTGACCTCAATGGATGGCCATCAACTGGATGTCGTTGCCATCTTTTCATCCACATCTCACACCTTTGTTCTCTGTAAGGGTGTGCAAGCTCAAACTGTTGCAAACTATTTTATGGCCTTTGCATCCAATCTACACATACTGCCCGTCTTGAACAAGGTCGATTTAGCTACGGCTGATGCTGAGAGATGCACCAGCCAACTGGCACAAGCATTTGAGATCGATACTACGTCATTATCGCACGTATCTGCTAAAACAGGTCGAGGTGTGGAAGATTTACTAAAGCTAGTTATAACAGCCGTTCCACCGCCGCCTGCACTCCCGAATCAGCCATTCCGAGGACTCTTGTTTGATACGTGGTATGATACATATGTAGGAGTTATATGTCTGGTAGCCATATCAGAAGGAGTGGTTAAGAGGGGACAACGTATACGGTCTTTGGCACAGGATACGACGTATGAAGTGTCTGATTTAGGTATCATGTTTCCTGAACAGACGCCCACGGCATCTTTACATGCTGGGCAAGTCGGGTATCTAATTATGGGAATAAAGTCGGCCAGAGACGCTCGTGTCGGTGATACGTTATATGCAGCTAGCACCGGTGTAGACAAAGTAGCTGCATTTCCTGGATTCAGACCAGCTAGATCTATGGTTTATGCTGGGCTGTTTCCTGTTGATGCAAACGATTACAACAAGTTGCAGGATGCGTTGGAGAGACTAACTCTGAATGATGCTAGTGTGGGTGTCGAAAAGGAGACATCAGTCGCTCTAGGACAAGGTTTCCGCTTAGGCTTCCTTGGAACCTTGCACATGGATGTATTTAGACAGCGTCTTGAAGAAGAGTATGATGCAGCTGTCATCAATACAGCACCCACAGTACCATACAAGATTCATTTTGAGAATGGATCTGAAGTTGTAATTCATAATCCGGCTCAGTGGCCAGAGCCTAATGTCATTCACAATGCCAAGGAGTTTCATGAACCAATGGTTATAGGCACGCTTGTGTTTCCTCAAGAGTATATGGGGAAGCTGATGGAGTTGTGTGGGGTAAGCTCTTCATCTTGTGATTAACGATGTCAGGTTTATTTTGGCCAGTTTTAATTCGATCAATCTCCCAGGCACATCGTGGCGAGCAACTAGAGTACACTTATATCGATGAGACGAGGTGAGTGCCCGTTTGTATATGCAAGCAGTGTTCCGTGTCTAACCCGCATACTTATCTGTTTAGGGTGATGATGAAGTATCGACTTCCAATGAGTGAGGTCCTGACTGGTTTCTATGATCAGTTGAAGAGCAGATCATCTGGATATGCAAGTTTCGATTATGAGGAATGTGGCTGGCAGGCTTCTGATTTGGTGAAGGTGTGTGGACAAAGCATTCGGGGAACAAATAGAGCACTTACGGGATTGTAATGCTCGTTGCACAACGACCTCACCCTTTTGTTGCCTTCCTCTGCCCGTCAGGTGGACCTCTTACTCAATGGCAAACCTGTTGATGCTCTTGGATTTATTGTTCATCGATCGGAGAGCACACGGATTGCGAGGGAGTGGGTTAAAAAGTTGAAAGCTGTCATGAGCAAGTGAGTACTTTGTAGTTGCTGTCCTGCTTTTGATTCTCCTAATAGTGCTCACGGTATTTTTGTCAGGGAGCTATTTGAAGTTATCATTCAAGCTTCTGTGTCGGGACGAGTCATTGCTCGAGAAAGGTGATTTATGGTCGCGGTTCAAGGGAGGTGTTTTTTTCTTTATCAACTGATGAGCCTTCATTTGTAGCATTGCCGCTGTACGAAAGGATGTCTTATCCAAATGTGTAAGTTTTGTGGATGAGTGTATTCTGATCGTGCAAATCATTTACAAGTGGTTCGTTTTTTTTGGTCTAGTATGGAGGCGATGTCACCAGGAAAATGAAACTTCTAGAGAAACAGAGGATCGGTAAGAAACGTCTTAAGACTGTTGCTGGTGGAATCAGGTATGTACAGCAAGACAAGTTGACCCTTGATGTTCTTAATATCGTCTGAAGTTGCGTCTAACAGTAAACGCAACATCATAGTTTGCCACAAGAGGCATTCTTGACGCTGATGAATAATGGGCAATAGATCCTAGCATCATAATATTGTATTCATTGCATCATGTATATATCCTGTACCGTTTACAGACCTCTGTGTCTCGGATGCATCGCGACTGTTTGGGGAACAAAAAAGCTTTGCTGCCTTGTTGCCGCAAACCGTTAAATCTATGGCCAGGATCTGAATTTCATCTGTTTTAAAGGCTTGAATACGCGCTCCTGTAGTTCAAGATGCCATCTAGAAGCGTAATACGCTTCTCCTAATCACCAAACTCGCGACTGGCAGGTGATTCGCAAGGGTTGTGCTTTAAAAACAACCATTCAGCATTCCGACAAGCCTTCACCTTCAACGCTTACAAGTCGTCAACGAGGAAACTGCATGTCAAACGACGTTACAACTCCTCCGCTACCCAGGAAGCATACCATCCTCTCTCTCCCCGACGAAATAATACTGCAAATTCTTGCATCCCATGATTTGGATTCAGTTTCTCGGTCTAGGATGGCAGGCGCCTGTAAAAGATTGCACTATATATCCAGTGATAGCAGCCTGTGGAGTGTCGTAAACTTGGAGCCGTTTAGGAATATTATTGATGATGAACAATTGAGGAGTCTGACTATTACACATTTCCGAGCCGTTAAAATCGACGGGCTGTCACGAGAAGTTGGATTACTGCATCTTGTACTTGATCAATGGTACGTGTGAGATGTTTGAATTGCCAACGTGGGCTGTGAATCGCTTCACAATGTCGGGCACCGAGTTTTTCTATTCGATGTTGCCTTCATTCTCGGTATCGATTATGTGCTCACGCATAAATTTAGCACCAACATCACCAACGAATCACTACGAATACTGGCATCAAACTGCCCAACGCTACGCTCACTGTCACTAAACTCTTGTATCAAGATAACGGACGACGGCATAGGCTCCCTATCTAAATCATGTCTAGCCCTCTCATCTATATCCGTCTCATACTGCTCTGAACTAACCGACATCGGCATCGACATGCTCACAACGCACTGCCCCAACCTTCGAGTCCTAAACCTGCAGTGGTGTGATCAAATAACCAACCAAGCAATACAATATATAGCATCCCGTCTTAAATACCTTGAAGTTTTGAACGTTGGATGTGACACTCAGCTAACGGATATCGCTATAGTCGAGTTATTGGACTCTGAATGCTTACAATCTCTGCAATGCGCCATGTGTGAGGGTATAACGGACGCGGCAATCAACATATTGATTGGTTTGGCTACGAATTCTAGCTTGAACGATGTGGATTTGATGTGGACGTCTGTGACAATGAGTGGGATCAAGAGGCTTACGAAGGCTGCACCACATTTGAGGATATCACACTCGGGGATACTAGATCGATAATCTTGCTTACGACTAGTAACATATTTATTATCTCTTAATCGGACATACGTGTTTCGTCAACATTACTGACGTTCAAGATTCGCGTGTCAGTTGTATGGTGAGAGGCGTACTTGGATACCAAGCAATTTATGTAGACAGAATACGCGTAAATTGGGTGTGCGAATGTGCGAACGTTGTTAAATCTCATTTGCAGGTGATTGGCTTTCCATGTCGCTCGCACCTCTAGCAATCGTGTTTCCTTCATTTTTCTTAAACGACTCGTTAGTGTGTTTAGTAGAGGAGGTAAGAGAAATTCAAGTACTAGCAGCGAGCGCACTCGATTCTTTAAATTAGTGGACACTTATTCCCTTCATTGTCTAGTGAATCTAGTTACGAAAAACACCAACAAAGGACTATCAAAAATAATATACAACCACCATGGGTTTGTCCATCTCAAAGTTATTGGCGGGGCTATGGGGAAAGAAGGAGATGCGTATTCTGATGGTGGGCCTTGACGCCGCCGGTAAAACGACCATACTCTACAAGCTCAAATTGGGTGAAATAGTGACAACCATCCCAACAATTGGTAATTTTTGCATTTTGATATTTTTGAAAGGGGCGAGCCACTACCGAAGGAGGTGTAATCCATATCGGAATCAATTGTCTCGCATGCTCACCTATCGTGATGGCTCATTGTGCCTCTCTTATTCGGTGGAGGTCACAGACGTGGTATCGGCCGCCAAACTCAACACAATGATTAGAGTAGATGACTGGACCATGTCACATGAACAACTTGAAAGAGACGGTTTCTAATCTATAGATATAATGTTATTTGATAGGATTCAACGTGGAAACGGTAGAGTACAAGAACATCAGCTTTACTGTTTGGGATGTCGGAGGACAAGACAAGATTCGACCACTCTGGAGACATTGTAAGCATAAACACCTCGACGGATCGAAACAGTCATTTACTGATCGTCCATTATTTCCATATTATAGACTTCCAAAACACTCAAGGTAAACCCAGCAACGTTTGAAAGCTCGGGGCCTCAGTGGTCCTGTTCCTTTGCCCATACCAACTTGAGACAGAGCCACTAATACCAAATACACTCTCTAGGCATCATTTTCGTGGTTGACTCGAACGATCGAGACCGTGTTGGTGAAGCTCGTGATGAATTGCAACGAATGTTGAATGAAGATGAATTACGTGATGCTCTCCTATTGGTATTCGCCAACAAACAAGATCTGCCCAATGCTATGAATGCTGCTGAAATCACAGACAAACTTGGTCTCCACTCATTGCGACAACGCAACTGGTACATTCAAGCTACTTGTGCCACATCTGGTGATGGTCTTTATGAGGGATTGGAATGGTTAGCTACCAACCTGAAACGGAAGGCATAAAAAAAGAGGCCGGATATAGGAGACCAGACAGGCAGAGAGAGAGAGAGAGAGAAGTAAAAAAAACACCCATAAAGCAAAAATAATGTGTCAAATCCCATTTGAGCCCAACTAGCAACTTTTTTTAGAATTCCGTGACTTATGAAGCATTTTCCGATCAAAAGATGAATATATAAACAACTTCACCAAGATCCAAGATCATAATTTGCTGTTTGCGACGCGTCTGTTGTTATTGTCTTCGCGAAACTCCATTCGCTCAAAACAGCAAGAAAGTCTAACACAATGCTTCATACCACCGCGACTGCTGATTACGAGTTGTCATCGCCTCCACAGGATGGCATATCATGCGTGGCATTCGCTCCCAAGGACCCGAAATTATTAGCCGTTTCCAGTTGGGATAAGGCAAGTTTCTTGGATTTTTTTTGGATTGTTATTGAAGCTAACATCAATGATGCTCCTAGAACGTCCGTGTATATGATGTCGAAAACAATAATTTAAAATGCAGATATGAACATCGACAAGCTGTACTGAGCACTTGCTTTGGAGATGATACACATTTATATAGTGGTGGATTGGACAAGGATTTGAAAATGTAGGATCAGCAAGGAATAGAGATGTCAAGGTGCATGTCTATGTGATGATATTGACATGCTTTTCAATGTAGGTATGATTTACAAGCACAAAAAGAAACAATACTAGGAAGCCACGATGAAGCTATTCGAATAGTAGACTACAACCAAAAGACGAGTAGGTTTGTCCTAAAACACATATGATCATGCATCTGCCATCTATGATGATATCAATCTGACGCTTCACACCTTCCACAGACATGGTAATTACCGGAAGTTGGGACAAGAGCGTAAAAACATGGGACCCAAGAACACCCTCGCACCTATCACAAACAGATCTCCCAGCCAAAGTATTCGCAATGTCAACAGCAGACACCAAGGTCGTCATCAGCATGGCCCAACGCCTTATACATATATACGATATTCGAAACATGTCGGAAACGCTACAACAACGGGAATCATCACTAAAGTTCATGACTCGGGTGGTCAAGTGTATGCCGAATGGAGAAGGGTATGCTTCGGGATCTATTGAGGGAAGAGTTGCTGTTGAGTTCTTTGATCCGTCTGAGGCAGTGCAGGCAAAGAAGTATGCATTCAAGTGTCATCGACAAATGTCGGAGGGTGTGGATAATGTGTATCCAGTGAATGCGTTAGCTTATCATCCTGTGTAAGTGCGTGTGGTGGTGGTTGTGTTTCGTTTTGAGTGCTGCCATGAATATCCAAAAGCTTAGAGCGCACTTTTTGGCATTTGATGCCCTTTGCTTTAACGCACCTTTGAATTTAACACACCAATCCAATATAGGTATGGAACCTTTGCAAGTGGTGGTGCTGATGGATTTGTGTCAACATGGGATGGATTCAACAAGAAGAGACTAAAACAGTTCACAAAGTATCCAACATCTATCGCCTCTATCGCATTCAACGGTGCGGGTACATTGCTTGCTATTGCGTCCAGCTATACCTTTGAGGAAGGAGAAAAGGAGTAAGTGCTGGTTTGTTGGTGCTGCTAGTGTGCCAAAAAATGGGCCGCAAACTTTTGAATTTATCACTAAGGCTGATACATCAAATCCTTCTAGTACACCACCAGACTCTGTATTTATTCGAACTATATTGGATGGCGACGTGAAGCCAAAAAACATGGCATAGACAGCTTCGTTTATATATAGTCAGCATTTAGCACTATTCCGAGTTGAATAGAGCTTCATTTTGTAGAAACGACTTTGCTCAAGTTACTGAGCTGCCGGTTCTATGTGCCAAGCACGACTTTTAATGCTAGACGGTCTGCATTATTGATCGAACAAATCCAACACGACGCTTTCGTGCCGCACCCCAGAGATACGGATCCAAGATGGATTTGTTGCGATCGTGGTAAATGCGGTTGAGATTTTCGGGCTTGTAGATTGTCGAATTTCGAACAAATTATAAAAAAGGGAGCATAAACGCAGAGTCTTCCTGTCAACACTCTGAGGCCAAGTGAATGAAGGGGAGCACGGGGCATGTTGTAAAATACTCTATGCCATCGGGCGGTAAACTCTGCGCTGCTCTTCGTGTTCTGTCGGTTGAGGAACTATGTCTTTTATGCGACTGAAGATCCCTTTCTGGAAATCGATTGCTTACCCGGCGACCGGCTTACTGGATTTGACTCTCAGCCAAATTAAAAGAAAACCCAACGCATTGGGAATCCGAGCCCATGTACGTGCCAAAGGATATTCACTGTCAGTGCCAAAGGGATAAGAGCTGGTTAGATCTTGGTAGCAGCAGTACCAAAATTTGACGATCAAATCTGATCTCTATAGCAATGGTGAACGAAATGATGGATTTTCACCACGCAGCACTTGTCAATCTGAGAAACCAACCAGGACTTAGGCAGCGCACCAGGATATCGTAAATCACCTCTAATACCGCTCAAGGATCATTCAGTTAGTGAATACTAAGTACGTTCAAGACTATAACGACTCGCCTGCAACAAGAACTCGTCAACAAAGGTATGTTGAACGAAAAGTAGATCTCGACATGTTCTATTATGCAGTTCATCATGGCATAAAACAATATCACATTCCAAACATTAACAATGAAAAATCAATTCAATCTAGTTCTTACCTCGTCGCAACAAACCGTCTTTACGAATCAGGTGAAAAAAGGCGTCGGCATTCAACCCACTGAAAAAAATTTCTTGGCATACCACACCACCTCTTCTCTGGCCTCTATATATTATATAATTATATCAACTACCGAAATGGATCGCTACACTCTCAACTCTGCTGCCAACTGCCCAACACCATCAGCTCACATCACGAATCTAGTGGTGAATGGACTACCTATGAATATAAACCAGTCGAACGAATGGAACGACAAACGTAGTAGAGCTGTACGCTCCAGAACACGAGCAGTGGACGTACGATTAGGAGGTGAACGGATCTCTGAGCTGCTTTGGCAACCATTACCTCATTCCCGGATTTAAAAAGGAAATCAACAATTGCATCAACACGCCAAAAATATGTATTTAGTTGCTACTTGGGGGCGCTTATATAGTGTATATGGGGTCTCACGCAAGGATATAATCCGCTTAGAATTTAGAGGGACTTTTTTCAATTATAGACTTGACCATTAATAGACTTGTTTGCAAACAGATGGTACTGTGCTTAAACTTGGCTGTGTGTGAGAGTGGACTCGTTCTATGGTTTTTTTGATACATGAGATCTGTAGACAAGACGTCACGCGATGGTGGACGATGTGATCTAAACCTGTACGCGTTTGAATCAGACGTTGAAAGAAAGGCGAGACTACAAAGGCGTGAACTGCAATTTGCATCGCAATCTATTACAACAACCTTATTTTCTAGTTTCTACATCCCTCAAGACAAATCGTCGGAAAAAGGAAGATCTCATCCTCATGTCCTGAGGACGCATCAGCGCCACTTTGCATAAATGCAGCATGGTATAGTTGGCATGATGCTGATCTGTTGCCATAACCAGAACCAACTGCCGCCATAAATGGCGTGAATAAGACCCAAACGAAAATCTCCTGGTCCATTTGTCTGTGCACCTTTTCGACCAATTTGTTTGCAATAGGGCACCCATTAAAATATGTCCAAGCACTGATGGATTCTCGAGGCAACCAAATCCATGGATTTGATTTCCCAACTGCTCAAGAACTGTTGACGATGAGGAACAGACGAGAAAAACGGATTTTCGTAATGATGCTGCGTCCCCTCGTTAACAACCAACAACTCAAGGCAACCGAGGGATATTGCATACTTCGAAGGATCTACAATTCAAAACTTTGGTCAAGCTACGACGAGATTGCAAGCTACACATCAATACAACAACGAGACACTTTTGACAACTTTGCAGGTTAGTTCTGATCTTTTTCCCTAGTAAACATCTTGCATGAATCTAATACATTTTCTTATCAAACAGACAAAGGAAGCTGATCCATCCTCTTACACCGTCGTTCCAACGACATTCTCATTCAAAACCATCACAGCTCTAAACAAACTGTAAGTCGCAAACCATGCACTGGAAACCTTGCACTTGTCGTTCGTTTATGCAACACATTTCACGCTTGAAACCTGCAATTACTGATTCTCGATTCATTATCATCTAGTTAGAACAACAATGAGTTCAAACATGTGGCAACAAATCGACGTCTGCATAGACGCTCTCAAGATGGATGATCAAGGATCAGGATCAAGCCCATCATCATCTCCAGAACCATCTATGGTGCATCGCTCTGACTCACGGATATCACACGCTACCACACTACCGCTACGACAATGTGTTAGCAACAGGTCGCGCCGAACAAGAAGTAGAGCCGTGCACGTTCAACTTACTGGTGACGCTCTCATAGCTCTGTGGCCATCGTCGTCATCATGACATGTATGATGCTCTAAAGGAAGATTATACGCGACTCGCACTTATTGGAGGACTGTTGCTATAAAACTAGGGTAGTTTAATATCAGCTGTAAGCAAATGAATGTAGATTTTAATTTAGTTTGAGATGGTTTAGTAAATTACATATATAAAGTATTCACAACACGTACAAGTTTGGACTTTAAGCTTTGTGGGGGGTTTTGACTGCAAAGATACTAATATGTCTGGATTCTCGCGGACAATCGCGTTAAGTTCGACGTCGATCTACCAGTTTCGTTGCCTGCAAGAACGTTCATCGTGCAGTTTTTGTTGCAAAATCACGGAAGCTTGGAGCTTAACCCAACATCTGACGTGACATAGCTATGACTGGAGGCAACAAATCAGTGTTTATAAGCTACTGCTGGAACGATTCTCCAGAACAGCTACTTGCTGAACATCGACCAACAAACACAAAGTACAGAAACTTATTGCTTTCGTTGGTACCTAAAGCATCTAACGTTTACGGATCATACTTGCAGAGTTGATCCAAGAAATATCGCTAGGAGTCTGACCAAGAATGGGTTTCCGTGCTGGCTTGACGTGGATCAACTTTCAGGTTTGGTGGCATAGTTGTTTGGTTCGTTGCACATTCAATAAAGCAGTTCATCTTACGATTTCTACCTTTTATTAGGTGACCTGTACACTGAAATTAGTATGGAACTCTCAACAAGGACGTCAGTCTTTGTCCCTTTTGTGAGCAACAGTTATGTACAATCGCGGAATTGTAACTCAGAGTTCAACTTTGCATGGGATCTTGGGTTGCCAATCGTTTGTGTAAGTGACGACACACATTTCTCTATGGCAGGATGAATAATCGTTCTCAACATTGTCTTTCCAGGTTGTTGTTGGTGATAAAGACCCCTCGGATGGATCTAGACCGGCATGGAGAACTTCAGCGTGAGCTTTACTGTTCCTGTTGGCTTTCCGGGAGACTTCTCTGACGGAATATCACAACTAGCATATGGATGAGACTCTCGTCACTCATATACATTGATATGAGGAACGAGGCTACTTTTGAGCAGGCATTTACAAGGCTGAAACATGCTTTAGCCAAGGTCATGAATGAGAAGAGCGACATCAAGTCACCGACTCCACCACCACAGTATATTGAATCTAGAGTAGAAACGCCTCCACCATCATATACCCCAGCTCTTATTGAGGCCAACCTCAAGACCTCGAGAGACCCAAGGGCATTTTGTGGAGTTTGGCTTACAAACCCGATAGATTTTGGACTCACGAGTGGGATATCAATGGACGATTTCTCTAAAGTGAGTTTGTGTAAATGTGCCGTGTCTGCTCAATCTCACAAAGTAACACCTTTATGTCGGAATAGGCTGTTGGATGGGGAAAAGAAGCAATAAAGCGAGGAGCTGGCAATTCGTGGGCCATGGTCCTGCTAAAGATTGAAACAGTTAATGGTGTCTTTAGGATGCACGTTCAATTTCGCTTTACCGATGATTCGCCATTCCTGTCATATGAAATCTTCACCTTTGATAATGTTGAAGTCATGATCGATGATGATTTTTACAAGGGTAAAACTTGGCTGAAGCGGTATCTATCGCCGACAGGAGTACTGCACGAGGATAAGAGGTTGGTCAAGAGATGCAAGAGATTGAGAGCTGTTTGTGAGTTGTGCTACGCGCTCAACACTGCTTTTCTTTGCTCTAGAGGACGCAAGAATTTGAGGAATTGGAATGTCCTTCAGATGTTTGATGTTCAGGGACCTAAACTAATCATCAGCTGCTCTTATATGGCTTATAATTACCTGAAAACGTATCGTGAAGTGTTGGATCGATTAGAGCCAGGTGAGATCAGCATTGGTGTGGTATTCGTCGTTAGCTTCCTAACTCACTTTGTTTCGAAGGTTCGCCAAAGCTGGAAGAACTTAAACGAAGGAAAGAGGAACTTCAAATTGTGATTGATTTGGACGACGCTTGATATTTGACGTGATAACGCGTGTATTGTAAATCATTTAATCTGTCTCTAAATAATCTCAGCTTTTACGTCACAATGAGCTGGACACTCGGTTAAATCTCGCAGCTTTGTAACGTTTCTGAGCATACCATCAATTCTTCTAGTGATCCAGTGCTGCTTCACATAAAATTCGTCCAGTTTCAGAGCCATGTTGTCAAGTTTCGGTGGACTTCGCATAATTTTAGAGATGAGTAGCCGTAGATAAGGGTAGCAAAGGATTAGCACTCTTCACAATGGACTTTTGGATATGAATGCATCACTTGAATTGCCCATACTCGTCCCATCGCCGATACATTTGAACATTTAAAACAAAACGTTAACGAAACAATCAGTAAACAGAACCTCGCCAAAAGGAATGGATTATAGAGAGAGCTTCCTTGATAGAAGAGGTCATGAAACGTCCTTGCCGCAGGAGGTTGAGTCGGGGTCCAATATTGAGTATAAGGTACGAGACATGGCAACATTGGAACACTTTGTTGTTCTCGCATACTGAAACCATTAATCCCATAGCTCAAGTTGATTGATCCGCCGCCTGAGAGGCTGGAGCATCTAATCACGCAGATGAAGTGGAGGTAATCTACTGTTTGCTCCATGAGTCACTTGATTTCAACGTTCGGTCAAGAGTTTGGCTCTCTCATCTCATCTCATTGATTTCGAGCTCGTTTCAGACCTTGCTCACTCGCTCACTTATTGCCTATTCTCCTTCGCTCACTTTACTCATCGCGTGTTCTCACATTTAGACTCGCTGAAGGTTCAGGCGAAGCAATGTATGAGGAAACAGCACCTTGAAGCTTTATGATTACAAAAATCAACTCATATATGTCCCAAATCATAGGTACGAGATTGGTGTTGCTGACTCGGGCAAGCTTGTCGGCCTCTCCGAAACAGAACTATCAGCCTCCCTAAACACGTTAAGAACAATGGGCGACCGACTAGCTGCCGAAGTCTTTGTAATCAGACAACGGGATGTCGTTGGCGATACAGGACACGTCCGTAAAGTCGCTGAAGTGCTAGTTCGCAAACGATTGACTGACGACCAGCACTTTCTCGAAGTACGAATCGCCGTATTGGGAGCGTTCGATACTGGTAAATCCACTCTATTGGGCGTATTCTCAAACGGAGAGCTGGATAACGGCCGTGGTAAAGCACGACTGAATCTCTTACGACATCTACACGAGATCCAGTCTGGTAGAACCTCTTCAGTCGCCCGCCAAATCATTGGATTTAGCCCGAGTGGTGAACTCATCAATTACGCTACAAATAATATAAACTCGTGGGAGGATATTTGTGAGAATTCGTCAAAAATCTTGACGTTTCTGGACTTGTGTGGACATCCCAAGTATCAGCGCACGACGATTTCTGGGTTGACGGGACATGCACCCGATTATGCGTGTCTTATAGTAGCTGCTTCTGATGGTCGGTTGAGTGAAGTCTCTCGTGAACATCTGGGAACGGCTGTAGTTTTGGCAGTGCCTGTATTCGTAGTGCTCACTAAGATTGATCTTGCAACGCCATCACAGTTAACGAAAACGGTCGAATCGCTCTTGTCTGTGCTTAAGGCCCCAGGCATCAGACGAGTTCCTGTAGTCGTTCAGAATGAGGATGACCTTGTGAGCATGTTGTAGCATCATTTTTTTGCCTTGAATTTCCTGGATAAAGCTTGTGTTCATATTGCATATTGACGATAACTTTTCAAAATTGCTAGGTCGTAGCGGTCTCCAACTTTGTATCCTCTCAAGTAATCCCAATCTTCCTAACATCTAGCGTAACGGGAGAGAATATGCAGCTATTGACTCAATTCCTCAACCTACTACCAAAACCAGTCCGAGACTATGACGCACTGCTACAACAGGATCCCGAATTCCAAGTAGAAGAATTATATTCCGTACCTCAAGTTGGGTGTGTCGCAGCTGGTATATTACGAACAGGTCGTATCTCCGTCTCGAGAATCGAAGCACATAAAGTATACTATATAGGGCCTGATCGTGGACGATTTATACCTTGCAAAGTAAACTCGATTCACCGTCAACGGATTGCAGTACAGGAAGTCAAGGCTTCGCAGGTTGCTACGTTGGCCGTGTCATTCACTGCTTCAGTAGATGCTTCTGAGCAGCAGGAAGGAGGGACGAATGCTCGTGAAATTGATTGTACGCAGCCACCGACTGGATTTCGATTACGTAAAGGGCAGGTTATCCTCAGCGAACCTATGGATAATGCAATTCCTAAAGCTGTATGGGAATTCGAGGCTGAAATCTCTGTCTTGAATGCACCTGTTGGATTAAATGTTGGAATGCAGGGAACAATGTATTGTGGAACCATTAGGCAACTCACTCGTATCGTCCGTATCGTGATGCCGAACGGTGAATCCTCATCCTCATCTCCTACTAGACTTGCCGATACTGCTTTAAGGATAGATCAGCCCAAGGTAGCACTCAAGACTGGAAAGAAGGGAGTAGTTAGGTTTAGGTTTTCGCACGAGCCCGAGTGGGTCAAGCCTGGATGGATTGTCTTGTTTAGGGAAGGGAGACTGAAGTGTGTAGGAAAAGTGTCTGAAATCTTTATTTCTGAAACCTCATCCGAGTCTGAGCAACGATAGAAGGGCCGGGTTTTGAAGAAGAGGACTAAATAATCTATATATTAGCGGAAAGTTTGAAAAAGGTCATTTTGTTTTTACAAGGATATTAGATATCTAGTTGCTATTGCACAATATATTAACTGCGTCGGCAAAAGTGTCGACAGTATACGTTGGTGCCATCTCATGTTTTGTTTCATCTCCTGGCCGATATTTTCCAGTTTTGACAAGGAATCCACTCTTGATTCTCGCTTTCAAAGCACCAATAACATCATCTCTGGCATCATCACCAATCATGGCTGCTTCTTCTGCCTTGATTCCCATGTCATCCAAAACCGTCTGGAAGAATGCCATACTAGGCTTGCCGACGACAATAGATGGCATATCAGTAGCATACCTACAAGAAAGGTTCCAATCAGATTGCGATTCTCGTATACAGTAGATTGCAAACAGCCTTACTCTAAAGCCTGAACAAACGGCCCAGGACCAAGAGCCAAACTCGTCTGAGTGGCAAAGTACCTTCCCTTGTGAATACCAATCAGTTTCGCCTCATTCTTGTTATTCAGCAAGACGTTCATAGCATCCGTAAGGCAACTATAGTTGAATTTACTTGGAGCCAGACCCACAACCACTGCATTCGGATTTGACGTATCAACTCCCTCCCAGTCTTCCATGGCAGCATCTTCGATAAGCAAGTATGGCCTTAAAGACATTGAGGTGACGAGATTCCTTGCACTGGTCATTGACGTGAAGATTTCCTTTCCGGACACGTCAAATCCCATTGTTGTCAGACGTGACAAGAGTTTGTTTCGTGACTCTTTTGTAGTGTTGGTTACAAATCGTATCTAATGGAATCATTTGGAAAGGAAGTCAGGCTTGATGAAGGTAAACCGTAGGAGGTTTCTGAACGACATCATTATTTATGATGTCAACCCAAGGACGCAAATTTGAGATCTGAAAGCGATAAGAAAACATAAATAGTACGATTATCATACCTTGAATCCATGAGCTCGTAAGTTGGCCAAAGCATTCACTGCACCCAATGTTGGAGTAGTTTCCACATGTAATGTTCTGGCATAAGAAGGAAGAATTGTCAGTTAGGAATCTTAAGGAACGCGACATTTTTCAATAAAGCATACGGACTCACCCGGACAAGTCAATCAGCACTCCTTTAATCATACGCTCCAAGCCCATCTGTAGTTTTTGACAATGTCAGTGTTGCAGAGGTGCAACAAAGCAGAGATACGATGGACAGTATAGCATACTGGCATGCGCTATCAGTCCTGGTTTGGAACTACTCACCTACGAAGTGGGGTATGCACCGAGAACTAGCTACACTTTCGTGGTAACTTTCAAGTTCCACGAGACAATGGCAGTTCTGTTATATGTCGCGAAGGAAGGAAGCACCTAGTGCCTAGATGTATCCACATGCCACTCCTATTAAAACGCCTCATTGGTATATCGCGACTTAACATCTCATTTCGTAGCACACTCATCAGCCAACACAATGGATTCTCTATTGAAATATTGATATTCAATGACTCAAGTTGGAAGTAGTAAAATCTAGTTGCTGAAATTGATGTGAACTGTTGTAAAGTGCTGAGTGTTCGGATTTCGACTGGAGATCTTGCTCAAGTCCATCTCACGAACACAACGGGCAACGGGGTCCTCTGTGTTTTTCATTCCGGGCTTGGAACCGGCAATGGCCACATTACCCTCATTCATACATCCGGAGGGTACGAGAGCTCGAAAGTAAGCTCAAGATTTTGGAATTATCGTGCGTTTGCTGATTTGTTGCGGGTTTGGGTGTCAGAGCATTGTTGGAAGTGTGTCGATTACGTTGATGTCGAGGAGCTCTCACTAATGACATATTTGGAGGAGATTCCGGTGCTGTTGAGGGCCAACCACCCTCTCCGATGGCAGAAGTCAGTAAATATGAGGAAGTGCCCTTGATAACCAAGGCAGTTACTCTCCAGCATCTTCGTATGAGGTCATCACACGCTCGGAACTGGAGCCCCATAATTCAAAGATGCCGGGTGACGTATTTGGAGGAGCTAGAGTTACAAGACCCAGAGTTCACGGATATGATGATACCATCACCGTTGGCGAAAATCTGTGAATGTGAGAAAGCACCTTCATACTGCAAAGCGCTGTGCCCAGTATTGTGAGGTGAGTGAGCACAGTTCCTGAATCCTCCATTCAAAGGTGCCTGATGAGGTATTTAATGAAGTCTCGGTTTAGGATCATGTTGAATGAGGTGGTTGAATGAGGTGGTTGGGGGGTGTCCGAGCTGGAGGTCGTTGATGTGGCGATGTTGATGAGATTGTCGATGAGGTTGTTGATGCGGCGTTGTGGATGAGACTGTCGTTGAGGATGTTGTTGTTGAGTGCTGATCGGATTGTCGATTTGGGTTGATGTCGGAGCACCCCCACCGATGGCGAAACTCACTGAATATGAGGTAGTACCTTGATATTTCCAAGGCACTCTTTCTAGGCATATTGGTCAGCCATAATCACTAAATCCTCAATTCAATCATGCCGGATGAGGTTGTTGAAGTGGCGTTGTTGATGTCGATGGAGGTTGTAGGTTGGAGCTTGCGCAGTAAGGAGGACCTATAGTGGGGCATGAGATTAGTGATCTATCCAGGCTGCTATACACTCTTCATTAGTAGCTTACTCGTTGAAAGTCGAGTTCTCGGAGCACTCGACGGCGAGGAGGGCGGGAGGGATCATTTGACTACAAGAAGGAAGAGAAAAAGATGGTAGAGTATTCGATGGGTGCTAGATGGTGGATGCGTGTTGTCGTGTGCTGTAGTCCTCTCCTCCTTCCTCTCTTGTTGTGGAATTGGCTCTTGAAACTGTTCAAGATTCAGCGACGAATCACAATAACAAGAACTGGGACTTCAGTGATCATCTTCATTGAAACAATATGTATTGTATACGTGTTTCGAACCTGTACGTCCTACGAAAGACATCCTTCCAAGCTCGTCGTACTGAGGCCTCTGTACTGCCTTAGTGTCGACACGTAATCCTCACAGTGTACCGTTCCCACCAGTCTCAGGTCGATCAAACGACCAAAAAACTACCAAACTTTGTTATTCGCTTCAGTTTCTACATCGCACCATGGGTTGTCACAGATTTGACTTGACTGGAGCAACCATTGGTTGACCACACAACGGCCTCAACAAATTCGTAATTGCCAGCTCCGCCATAGCGTTTCGCACTTGAGGAGTCGCATCTCCTATATGCGGAGTGATGATGACGTTCTTGAATTGGTGAAGTTCAGAGGTTGTGGGTAATGGTTCCGGTGTGGTGACGTCTAGCGATACTGAAGCAATGAGCTTTCGCTTCAGAGCTATTATCAAATCATCCTGATTTATTCTAAGATAGGACAGCGAGTGTCTAGATGAGTGACTTGCCTCAAAAGGTTGAAACTCTGGGCCAGGTCACTTACATCTCGCCTCTAGCCACGTTCACGAGACACGCATCCCTCTTCATGATTTCGAATTGTGGTAGAGCTAGCATTCCCCTTGTATCGTTTGTCAGAGAGCAGGAGACCATCACCTTAAAATGGTGTTAGAATACTCCCTTGGTGGTTCTTTTTGCAGCACATAACTCACCACATCACTGGCAATTAAAAGAGCATTAAGCATCGGTACAAATTCAGCACCAATTGCGGTCGCTTCACTTCTTTCACTCCGTCCCAAATACAGAATTCTAGCAACACCAAACCCTTTGACACGCTGTGCGATAGCCAACCCAACAGATCCAGCGCCAATTATTCCAATAGTAAGTCCCTTCATAGAGCGGCCCATAACCCGATACCACTAAAAATTGCTCATCGTCAGGATCATTGCCACATCATCAATAGGTTGGATGGTCCTTACTTCTTTGACGACACGATTTTCATCACGTACGACCTCCATAGCCTCTGGGATTTTCCTAAGCGAAGCCAGCAAGAGCCCAAGCGCTAAATCAGCCACGGCTTCATTATTGGTATTCGGCGTATGTCCAACTTGCATATTTCGAGCCCTACAAGCTTTGACATCAACCATATCATAGCCAGCTCCCATAACTGACACCACGCGTAAATTCGGTGCTAGAAGACGTTGATGTGCTTTTGGTTAGCTTAAGATTGCCTTTGCGTAGCCTGTTTGACACGAGTGAAAGTGGATGCACATACAGCCTGCTCACCTGCATCAAGTACAGCTTGATCTATAGTGACAGCGTCAACTATCACAATACCAACGGGATTGAGCTTGCGAAGAGCTTCAATTTCTGCTTGATGCGTCTCTTTCGCACCGCTCCACAAAACAACTTGAAACCTATCGTGTAAACGAACAGTTTCAGCCGACAGCTCAATCTGAAAGCCGCATTAGAGCTTACCCCGCATTCTCGATACGCTTCCTGAAGGACGATGGCAACCAATGTGTGAGCAGGACGCTTGGCTTCATGTTCGTCGCAGTTGAAAATCTTGGGATGTTTCGTGCCTTTTTTTGCTGATAGATTATTCGAAACAAAATATCTATTTCCTAGAAAAATGCCTTCCACAATAGGCCTGCTTTCTTCTCTGATTCGTCAGTTCTCCTCTCAAGGATTTCAGTCACCTTCTCCTTCAACCCTATTTTGCCTCTACCGAATCCACCAGAAATATCGACAACTAATGGTAGATTGCCAGAAGTTTTACCTTCCAGAGCAGCATCATAATGTCCCCACGACGAAACAAAGAAATCCAGGACTTCCTTCTTTGTCGTTGGAGGGGAGATTGACCTGCTTCGCTGACCTCGACCTCTTACAACACGTTCCACATCATCATCTGTCGGTAAACCTGACATTGTCTTTGATGGGTATTCATAAAAAGTAGTTCGTTTAGCTAGTGCTAATTCCCTATGTTACGTTGAAAATGATCTGTGAGTGAGCAAAAAAACGGACGAAAATGTCACTGGCGAACGTACTCAGCTCCTGTTTCTCTTGTAGGGAAGTATTTTTTCGTTATTGATGATTCATTCAACTTGGATAACTCTTTCCATGATGGACTCCAATTTGGTTTGTTGGTTTTTGTTATTAGTTTTGTGGTCACACCTTCATAAAAGTCCGGAGTGGTCTAAGTTATAGACAGAGTTAGGCATTATGCAAGAGATTGCTCTTTTTTCTCTCTGCTAAGTTTGCATATACCAAAAATGCTCTGCAAAGATTGTACTCCATCTGGAAACATTGAGCGAAGTCCAGCTTTCTTCCTCGCCGTAATTGTGATAGCGTGACCTGAAATATAATCAAGTCGTGAGAACATCATCCATCGAAAAGCTTAGCGTAGTTTTTCTGCAGTACCTTACAACTCGTAGGAGACATGGTCTTGATGGTGCTCACAGTCTTTTCAGCCCATTCCTTAACTTTGGCTTGTTGATTTGAAGCTGTGGCAATTACCATCTCTAATTCTTCAATAATTTGCTCGACGCTGTCAAATCGGAAGCACCTGTCAATGTTTTCTCGAATGGAGCCTCCCATACTCCAACTCTTCCATTTCTCTAATGATGGTGCGTCGCCTGTTTTCGGAAATTTGATTAGGATAAAGAAAAATCTCTAAATGGGCTTTAATTCTGGTAAACAACAGACATTACCTGCAAACTCTTCAATGGCAAGATTAACTACCGAATAATCACTCGTCTCAAGTTCTGATAATCGCGTCATCAAAGACGGTAGTCTCACTGCAGGGACAAAGTGAGTTGCCACACCAGCCATACTACACATGAAGGAAAAGTATGAGCAAAAAAGAACAACCAACTAAACGTCAAACATACAAGACTTCTTCTCCCTTCAATCTAGCACCAGTCAGTCCCAGGTATACACCCAATTCACCATCTAGACGTGGCAGGAAGAAACTACCACCAACGTCAGGGAATAAACCAATACCAGTTTCTGGCATGGCGAATAGTGTGTTTTCTGTGGCAATCCTAAATGGAGCGTGTACAGACAATCCTACTCCACCTCCCACTATATGAGAGATAGGAGGTAAGTAAGCGACTATAGTCCATAATGTGTTGGTTGTGTATGTTCTTTTTGTTGCGTACTTGTAATTCCATTCATAACAGCGACTATCGGCTTTTTGAACGTCCCAATGAGATAATTGAGTTTGTATTCTTCTTCAAAGAACTTGAGCGCTTGAGCCAAGTCTTCCGGTGTTCCTTTCTGTGCTTGCAAGACGATACCTTGTGCGACAGAAACGATCAATATCGATGCTGGATGTCGACAGCGACTCAAACAACATACCCTTGACATCACCACCAGCACAAAATGCCTTTCCTTCAACAGCCGTGAGAATCACCAGTTTACATAGGTCTGACACCTCCCATGCCTAATACAACAGGAAGTCTTTTGGTGTGATTATCAACCGACCAGCAGTTTTTTCCAAAGTAGCCAAAAAAACATGCTAGACTCCACTTCAATTTCCCACCTCTAACTGTGGGCTCATAGTATACACCATATTCAGGTTCAGTGCATTCAATGCCTCAGGTCGATTCAGCACTAGCAATCGAGCACTTTGCATCTTGCGATGAAGCACTTCAGCTTGCTTTTGGGATGGGGCAGCGGGTGTGGAGGGAGTGGATGATGCCATGAATCGGTATTGCTACAGACTTATTGTTGTTAGTCACGTCAAAGAAGAAGAAGAACGTGATGAATAGATTGCAGGTTTATGTAACAAAAAGAGTTTGGCTTACCATATGCACTCGACGACCAGCAGACGAATTGGCAATCTCTGGATGATTTCGTGGTGGCGCTTTAAGCATGTTCGACGCAGCTATACGCCTACTTGTTAACAACAGGGTCCGATTCATCATGCATTGACCAAAAATGTGTGTTGAAGTGAAGGACAAGGGACGACGATCTTTCGCGGAGCTGAATATATTTAGTGAACTACAACAAAGGGCGTCATTCTTCCTTTTATATTACATTCTCAAATCACCTTGGTCGTGGTGGGAACTGAGGCCTAACAAGAACAGCGGGAACTGTTAACAGCCTATTGCGATTAACTACTCAAATTAATCAAAGAACTGACCTTGGACCACGTGAAGGACCAGAACTAGGTCGAGGCATACCCTGACTGAAACCGCCAAACCCGCCGAATGGATCACTCTGACCTCCTCCTCCAAACTGAGCTCCTCCGAATTGGCTGTGAAATCCACCACCACCACCTTGCTGCTGCTGCATGAATGCACGCAGAATATCCTAAGCGCAAACAAAGATTTGTCAGGATTTGTGTCTGAGTCTATTGCAATTCAACATCCAAAGCAGAAGAAGACAGCTCACCTGCTCAAATCCGCCTCCACCACCAAATCCTCCCATCCCAGATTGACCATCACTCGCACTAGATCCATCAATATCTACTCCTTGATCGTACAAATCCTTCTTCTTTGGATCAGACAGTACAGAGTTGGCTTCAGAAATCAATTTAAACTTGGTATCAGCTTCCTCCTTTTCAGCGTCTGTCAGATTGGCTTGTTTATCTGGGTGATACTTGAGTGCCATGGTACGGTATGCCTTCTTTATTTCTGAATCAGAGCAACCACGTTCCAGACCCAAGATCTTGTAATAGTCCTTCCGTTTGGCAGCCTTCATAGTGTGCTGTACAGATCTTATAGCATTCAGAATTTCTCCATCATTAGGTTTAATGCCATCGGCTACAGTATAGTCCCTTAATGCCTCTTCGTACTTTTCTAACTTACAATAACTATCGGCTCGACGTAGGTACAGTTTTAAAAATAGGGAGGAATGTGATGAATTGGCTAGATCTGCTGCTGACGTCTCCACTTCAGATGACCCAGGAAATGAGTACGATTCAAGTAATTCGAGTGACTTGGTCACGTCGTCTACTGCTTTAGCATGTCTACCAAGTTTACTGAGTGTCGTGGCTCGATTAGACAATACTTTAGCTCTACCAACACCAGAATCTGAATCCTGATCTAGCCATTTCGTATATGCAGCAGCAGCTTCCTCTGATTTTCCTTGTTGGAAGGCATCGTTTCCTTCCTTCTTTAATTGCTCCAGAGCTTTAACTTGCTTTAAAAGTGCTCGTGCATGCCTGTTATCAGGATCGTATGAAAGGGCTTGTTGCAGTAGCTGGATTATTATACTGCTTTGATGGTTGTCTAAAAGAAATAATAGTCGGGCTCTTATTGTGATCGCTTCAGAGCTTCTAGGTTCAGCTGTTGTTATGGCACTATGATCAATATCAACGGGAATGCTTGTCAGTCCATATCACTCGTTGTCATTCCGCCCAAAAAAACGCCGCGGGAATTCCGTCCAATGCTCTACTTACGCAATAATGCGTCCTGCTTCTTCAAGCTCTCTACAATCTACCAGAATATCAGCCCGTAATAATCTCCAAGCTAGAGGAATCCCTGACAAATCAGCCCCAACGAGCCTTGACGATTGAGACGCACTCTGGGCACTTAGCGGCGACAGCTTTATAGTAGGATCAGTAGCCAAAATCGCTGTCTCAAGTTGTGCCAAAGCACCTTTATAATCCTTGGCAGCCCTCATCTTTTCAAAATTGGCGAATAGCTCTCGAACCTGTTCTATAACTTTTACATCTCGGTTGATGGTGACTGAATTCTCTCTCAACAATGGATTTTTGGCAATGACTGACTTGGCGAGCTCTAATTGATGCGATGCTTCATTGACGTTGCCGACATTCAGGAAACATTTGCTGGCGCGGATGTAAGCCTTGACAAATTCTGGATCTAATGTGCTGGCTTCTCTGCAGTCCTTGATTGCATCGTCCCATTGTTTGAGCATTGTTAATGCTGCCGCTCGATTTCCGTACAACATGGCATTTGTTGGGTCAAATTCTGATATAAGAAAGGGTGAGTTAATGCGGCAGCTCGATTTGCATACAACATGGCAATTGTTGGATCAAATTCTGGTTGGAAGAATGAGTGGGGTGTATCATCTTCACGGGTTTTTTGGTAGTCAAAGGTTCTGACCAAGGCCAAACATACCTATAGCTCTAGAATACAGTTCGGCAGCTCCTGCAAAATATCATGAAAATAATCATCAACCGATGCAACCATATAATGTTTCTGTCATCATCCGTCAACACACCTCCATATTGTCCTTGTTTGTACAGTTCATTCGCCTCTAACCTCAATCTACGGATGAGAAAAGGTTTCAACAGTTCAAATAAGGAAGCTTCGGATTATGAAGACGTCTCAGAGGCTCTCTTGTTCAATACACGTTGCTTCGATCGACACAAAAGATGCTCCAAATCAAACTTCTCCAATCTCGAAAGAGCCTACACAAAAGAATCCAAGTCTCTACCTTTCAGATAGTGGAGTCTCATCCACTGGAGCAGCTCTATTTGAGAATGGAAAGAAAATAACGGTCTCAGTTCCAAGAAAAAAATGCGAAACAACACAGAATTGATGAAAAATCAACATACGAAGCAGATTTGCCGGGGAAATCGTCAGAGAACTCGTTCGCCGGAAAGTCGGTGAACTCAGTACTCGTTGCAGGACTGATGGGAGCTTCGCCTGTCGTCATTTGTGCCTGAATGTTCGGATGATGAGGTTTGCTATTTTTTGAATCGACAAGAGTGCAAGTTGAAGGACATGGCTAGGTGAAAATAGTAGGATTTCGTGTATATTTACTCTGGAATCTGTTTGAATTTCTTTTCTTCTTCGAATTCGCCCTCCAAAAAAACAAAAACTGAGGACATTTCGAAACATTGCGCATCAGCTGTTACACTCCATACTTATTTAGATCGACTTGAGACACTTTTAGACACTTAATAAGACACAACGTTACATAATACGCAATACCGTACATATGACGACAATTGAAAGTTTCAATAGTATGAGGCAGGTGGTGGTGGTGCTTGAGGTTGCTGATATAGAACATTTTGTTGCGTACCAGGAGGAGGATAGGCATACACAACCGTAGCAGGGTAGTGTTGCTGTAGTTGTTGTGGTGGGTTTCCATAGACATTGGTGGCCGGATCGTAGGTTGGAGGTGCGTAACTTGTACCGTTCAAGGGTGCAGAAGATTGAACTTCCATGGGAGCACTTGGCTGGACCTTTCCATTTGCAGCAGGAGTGGTAGGGGTCAGAGGATTGACTTGTTCTTCGGCTTGGTGAGAGTTGAATTTGCGACGTTGCTTGATTTCTTTGAGTTCCTGCATGATGACGTGCAGTTTAGGCAACAAGTATAGTGACAACACAGCAAAAGCGCAGTAGAGTACCTGTCTAATGTCACTGAAGTCCTCTGTCTCTTCATACTTGGATTCCTTGTACAATGCGGCGTGAGGCAAGCAGCGAACCATGACAACTGTTTGAATGGGCGTGAATCAACAAATGAACCATGGTCTTCTTACTGTGAAACAACTCAACTTACTATCAGTGATTGTAGTGGCGACGTGGAGCAATGCAAGACCTAAAGACAAAGATACAACGGAAACATTAACCGCAGAACTGACCAAAGCCATCACGTTGCTCTTCTACAACGTTTACGACCACCGTACCACCAACAAGGCTGGAAAGGAAGGTGAGGAAGTTGAATTCTCCAATCTCTCCCGACTGGGTGAGAATGATCTGCACTCCGTGGCGATTCCAATAAGTAATGCTTCCATCGGCTTGTGGAATCCTCTCAATTATCTTGTATTCTATGGGAAAGCAAGTAAACACATAAACTTTAAAAAGCAAGTATTAATTCGCCTTGGTCGCGTTGAGTAGCTGCGGAACAGGTTTTAGTGTGTCTCGTGTGCTTGTTCCTCAACTTCAAAAAACTGATGGGCTTGAATGCAATGAAACTATGCGGAATTTACCTTCACCATCTACTGACGCAGGGACGTAGGTGTACTTCAGGTCGTTCCAGGCACCCGTGGTTTGTCTATGAGAAACAGAAATTTCATTTTGGTTGCTTCTTGAATATTAAGATTTGGATCTCTTGAATACCTGTTCGTGTACACGATTGGCACACTGATAATGGATCCAGTAGATCGTAAAGATTCGCCAGTTTTAGCAGTAACAGAAGAGCTATTGGCATCGAGGTTGACTGCTGCCCCACTGCACCCAGACGCAGTTAAGAGTTGTCCAAAAGTTATGACATCTCCTGGCAATCCAGCTGCAAGAGCCGAGGCGCGAGTGGTGGAATTCCATTCCAGGACGACGGGAGCAGATGAGGAACCAGAACAGCCACCCAAAAGTTTTCCCTGCATTCTATGTGATGGAAAACATTAGCTCGAAGTATGCGAGAGCATGATGATGATAAGCTTACGCAGGGTTAGAGTCCTTTCCGACGGTTGTCGGAACGGTTGCCTAAGTTGAAAATCGTCCGGTTAGAATACGAAGGGCAGCAAGTCTCCTTCTAAGGAAACCAACTTGTAAAAGAAGTCCACTAGCAACTTGTCCTCTGACAGAGTGATCGATCTAGTAGAACCTTATTAGCCTGCGTTATGGACGTGGGATATATATTCAAATACAATGAACACTGAACACACCATCAAAGTGAAAGCCTCGACGTTGGCAACATAGTAAGTTGTCTGATTTAAAGTGTTTGCTGGAGGTGGTGTACATCCATACGCTGCGGTAGCAGGTGTTGCGTAATTGCAGCCGCCTGTGGGAACTCCGGTGTTTGAAATTGAGACACGAGTTGTAAGGAAAATCTCTCCTTCTTGGCCGGCGTAAGGGTATGCAATTTGCTCGGCGTTCAAAAAGAGGCATCCAGCAATGGTACTTGTTGGTGTACAATATGAGGGTGTAGCAAGACTCTTGTAATTTGTAGGTGTTTGAAAGCTGATTCGGATTGAACCAGTAATCGGAACTGTCTGTGTCGACAAAGAGACAACATTCAGAGACATATGGCAGTAGTCCAGATCAATTCAATCCCATTACCTTTTGCAAGTAGAGACCGTTGGAAAAGATGTTCCACAACACATAGACGGCGATTGCGATCTCAAATGAGAGGAACTACAAAGAAAGACGACATCTCAGTATAATGCCTTGTACAGCACGCGCTCCATTCAAATATTACCAGTAATCCCAGTCTTCTGTCTTTGATATTGACCACTTTAAAGCTTTGGTAAGCTAAAACGGTGTGCAAGTATGGAGTCAGTTGATGCCATACAAGTTTGAGCGAAGCCAAGAAATCCGAAAAAATTATTCAAATAGTGGCAGATTAGGCAGCCATTGAGTTCTGGTCGTTCAACTTACAGCAAAGCACGTCGAGACTGAAAAAAAGTGTGAAGGTTAATGAGGCGCTGATTTTGATGCTGCGGAGAGGCAGTCACGTCAATGCAAATTGTGCACTTACTCGACCATTTTGAAATGTAATTTTTGACACGTTCAGTGCAATTGCGTGTCGCTCACTCTACTAGTATGAAACCAGTTTCGAAGTTTTTTCGGTGATGAATCACCACGGAATTTTTGGGGACGAGGTCCTTCTCAGTAGAAAAGCAAAGCATTATTCACGAGCTCGAAAACACCAGATCCAAAAATTTTTCGTATCCACCCAACTCATGGGGTAGCAGGCATCAACGTTTCTCGTTGAGTCCCAATTCTCCTTCAAGGCCAGAAATTGCATAGAAGAGCACTTCTCCTCCAGGCTCTCTAGGCCATCTCAAGCTTACCAAGATGCTATTATAGAGGTCAACATGGCTCAACTCTGCCTAATGTGCTGTCCAAAGCACTCCAAATGCCAGTACCATAACAATCACACGATCTGGACGCACCACAAAGAATCAAAATCAGCTTGAGGAGCTTCGACCACTAAGGATCGCCCATATTCGAGATATGAATAAGACCATTACCTCTCAGGAACGGCCTGCTATACTGAAACTCCAGGAAAAGCTCATCACATTAGAACTAGCATCAATTTCGCCCAAAAATACAGATCTGCTCATCGCACCTGCTGCTGAAAAGAATTTGACATATTACGTCGCTCCAACTGGAAGGAACTCTGTGGATCAACAAGAAAGTGCTTCCACTTACGCGAGTGGATTGCACTTGATGCTCCTGTACATCAACACTCTCTCAGTACATACAAGGTTTTCTGTAACTTGGAACTGTGACACAACATAGTTCGCGTAACTTTTGGTAGGTTCAAGCTCTATCTGTTGCACCCCCACTATAATAGGCAGTATTTTACCGCATCGGATGGGTCTTTGGTGAAACCGCTTACAGACAATCTGCGCCGAAATTTAATGCCAAATTCAACTTGAAAACGTCCTGGAGGTTGGGTCAGACGGTGTTTGATCTTGCGCCTTCGAGAGTTTGGGATGACAGTGACTCACGGTGGTTGATCATCCAACATCGAAACTGCAAGTCGACTTGAGTTCCTTTGAACCTCCGAAGCGAGAAACGTTCTAGAGAAGCGAGGACGTCGATACAGTTTATTCGATCTCAAATGCCTGATAGAGGCGGAGATGCAGTAAGAGGCCCAACACACACATAGATCTACATAGTTCCAAAGGAAAATAACATGTGAAATTGAGATAATTAAATGCTGAACAAATCGTAAATTACCTAGTTCGATAACTCTGAGAAGCTTAGAACGAAGATTTCGCTGCTGCAAATGTCAAGCTATAGCACGTCCTTTGCTTGTTTTACGCCAACAAAAGACGTAGGAAAGATTGTTTCGAATTACAATCATCCATCGAGACAACTATTCGGTCGTTCTTGGACAGGTAAGTAACTTGATAGATTGCATATCACCAGTTAACACTAGACATTCTGCTCTCAAGCTAATTTTTGGAGCTTCTCACGACTCTTTAACGATTAAGAAATCATTTCTTTACCCGATCTTAGGATCATTCATACAATATTCATGAATTCCAAACTTCTCATCAAACATTCCAACATTCAGATTCAGCGCCGACGCGCATAGCAAGCTCATCGCCCTCTAGTGCTGGCATGTCAATTTGTCCGTTTACTCATCGCTGCGTGCTCCTTCTTTACAAATTGGCCGGGCCTAGTCTCGATTTCACAAATTGTCAAAACAAAACTAACAACTCTTTTTTCCATTTTCGCTAGGATCAACAAAGAGAAAGAAATCAACGCCCATCTCTGCAAATAATTTAAGCACTCGACCAGGGATTGTGTTTAAATTAAACTTGCCATCTAGTCTGATTCAACAAGATTGCAGTCATCAACGGGAATGCCTAATTTTGCATGTCAGGCTGGAGGAGGCTATGGAGATCACTTCTCCGAGCTTCCAATGATAAATAAAACAACAAGAGACCGTCAAGTGCAAGTAGGAGATGGAGACATAAATGTGGTACTACCCATAATGACAACCAACAGCAGTCATAGCAACCGAAACCCTGTATTTAATAGCCATCAACAACACCAACAGGCTGCTGTCGAGAAGCCCGTCACGTCACGAGTAATAGAACGAGAACGAGACAAGCCACCAAAAACATTATCAGACAATGAAAGCAGTAAAAAGAGGAAGGCGAACGGGGAAAGTAACGGTACTAGTAATGGTAGTAGTAGTAATAGTCACAAGAAGAAGAAGCATCAACAGCAGCAACCGCAACCACAACCGCAACCACAACCCGCACCACCAAAACCTACATCCAAACCGACAACACCTTCGTACATACCGTCTCTCGTACCGAGCAAAGATAAGCAACCTGTTTATACCAGTAGTAATAGCAGCACTAGCACATCATTCTCCAAACCCAACCCCGCAGCAAAGGTCGCAGAAATCACAGAAGTCATTGTAGTCAGCGACGACGACGATGAGCAACCAGTTATAGTTGTAAATCGAGCTCAAGCTAACGTTTCTAAACCATCTTATACAACAAGTACGTCGCCAGGCCCACCAACACATACTGCTAGACCAGATAGACCACCACTACCCACACGACCAAGGTCCCCTAGCCTGTCGGTTGGAGGATCGTCAAGAGCGGTATCATTCTCGCCTGATATACAAGGAGACGATGAGGAAGAAGTGAGACGACCTGGATCTATCCCTCCCGTTACTAATAACAACAATAATCATAATAATGATGATGATGTCGGTTGTCGCAACGGTCAAGGTAGTGGTGGTAGTGGAGACGCTCCGTCGTCTGGAGACCGTGGTAGGAATGGTACAAACAAACGAGCTAGTGCAAGATTCGCCAAAAACATTTGTGAGAGCTGTGGAAACCCCGGAGGCATTACCCTTAGACCATCTCAAAACGTTAGAGCAACTTATTGTCCGGATTGTGCTGAACGATTTCAGGCTAGGGGGAAACGTTGCACTCAATGTCGTTGTAAGTACCATTATCCTCTTGTGTTTCTTTCTGTGCAAGCACGCTTGATCGTACAAGAGTCTAACCCTTTGCTCCTTTAAGATGTGCCCAACGAAACTGAGGTTACTGCTCTGTTTTGTGTAAAGTGTAAAGTTGGAACTTGGCTGGCCGTCTAAGTTGTATTATGTATTTAGTAGCAGGTTTTAGCTTTTGGCTCGGTCTTCTCAAGCATAGTGCAAAGGAAACAGCAATCAAGTTGTTATTATTGCCACTGGTTACATCCGTATTATATATTTTGCTATATTATTGGCAGAATTGTTTGTCGGCAATGAAAATTAAAAACAAGTATGCATGCAACATTTGAAGTGGTAAAGTTAGGCAATTTGAGTTCGTGCTAAAGGTGATGATTTCGTATTTCACTTGGGTCGTTTTTTCTGCTCGCGAAAGCTCCTGTTTCCCATTATAACTTAAATCTATTTGTATAATACTATGGATGGTTGTGAAAAATACCCCAAAACCTGAGAACTATGTAATTTTGACATCTAGGCAACCCAAGTAAGCCCATAAAGTATAACCGTAGTAACCGTATTTGGCGGACAGTTTGCCAACAAGACCACTGCGTTACTACCATATCCAAAACTTGCCGACAGCGGCACAAGCGCATGATCTTCTGAATCACTCGTCCTATACACAGCCATAGACACGTCTGCCGTCCTCAATGTAGCATTCAACCCATATGCATACCCGCTGATATCAACCGAATACGACGTGTTGGCATTATTTTGGTTCATGGCAACTATTACGATCTGTCTATTCGCCACCGATCGACCCACTAGCACGGCTGGCGTATCACCCTGCTCAACACGTATGAGATCCATACCAGGTCGCAACCATCTCGAGAATTGCATCATTACGAAATACTGTTTGCCAATGTAGGCAATGTCTGGGTCTAGGACACCTGATGTGGTTACTATGAAGCCCCAGTCGCCTTGGTCGATGGCCTGCACAAAAAAGAGTGAAGGGTTTAAAGTATTGGTTGGAATGCGGTGAGGTTGGGGGTGTGCGACATTACCTGCCAATAAACCCATGCGGTGACACCGATAAAGTATATGTCGCCAATGATGTTTCTGGCTAGTCCGATAGCGCCAATGTTGCGGATTCCGTATGTGACTGGGAGCATGTTTTCACCAGCCGTTCTAAAGGAGAAAAAAAGGTTGGGGATAAGGCTCAACGAAAAACTGGGGATTCAAGTGCATGCTTGATTCAATTTACAATGTCAAGTGCCTCCTAGACTCAGCTTACAATACTTACCCAAGTTCTGACATCCAAACTTTCTTGTTGACACTTTGCGCAACAGCCGCAAACGACTTGCGCACTGCGGCCGTTGGGTCAAAATAACCATGGACGTTGATCCTTTGGAAGCTATTTAGGTCGGTTTGTGACATTCCATTCAACACGGATCCGGCAACTGCATAGTCGACTTCGTCTGAGCCTGCTACTATAGTATTTAAACCGTTGCTGGCTATGGTGTTTGTAAGAGTGTTCATCATGGGTCCGAGTTGACCGGCATCGAAATGGCAACCCTTGTGAAAAAGTTGGATTGTTAGAAATCGACGTGTGAAAAACAAACGGAGATAGTGTAAGTATACCTCTTGATTGCACCAATTCGGAAGACCCCACCAATTAGATGTTGGCTCTGAGAAGGGAGCCACACTGTAAATCGATATGTTCCAGGTATCTTTGTAGTACAAGAGAGTCTGTACAATGTAATTTGCATATGACTGAAATTGGGATGTTGCCAAGTTATTTCCGTAACCTACGAAACAACAGCTGTGAGTGAATGTCAATCAGGAGTTTCAAATCCATTTACTGACCTTGCGCGCCACAACTAACACCACTGATTGTCATCCATTGAGGTGGAGAGCTGGCAAACAATTCTGTTGTCTGGACTCCCTTTTGAATTGCAGCAAGCAAGACTCTACGTTGTCCTTGATCCACAGTCCAGTTAAACGGAGCATTAGCAGATGATTGCACTGCTGGCATGTCAACTATATTTGTGTATGATGAGGGTCCTGGTGGATTGGTAGCTCCGAGATTATATCTGACAACAGTCAAGCCCAGTCCACTAGTCACATTAAATAGCTGGTCCATGACTCTATCAAACTTGGAGAGTCCGTAATAGTGGTCACCAATCCAGCGAGCCCACCAGGACAGAGATGTACCGAATCCTAACCAATCTGCCCCATTTACAGAGTTTGTTGTTCCAGCGACGAGATTTGCGGGAATAACCACTGCATTGGAATAGTTGAGTACGACGAATGGCGAAATATAGATCGGGGGTTGAGTAGTGTTTGTTGTGTTGGCTGGAGTGGTGATATTGGGAAGGGTAGTATTGGGAGTGATGGTAGCAGTGGGAGCTGAAGCAGGGATTGTGGTGTTTGAAGAGTCTGGTTGTATGGTATCCGGCGACGATGCAAGGCTTCGTTTATACAAGACTATGCCTGTTGTCAGACCTACTGAGCCCAGAACTCCAAGAACTAGGTAGCGTTCGAGAGAATAAGTAAGAGATCAGATATGTGTGCACAATGAAATGCTGTCTTTGTAACCATATGTTCATGATGATGTTGTAATATTGGAGGATGTGTGATGGACTTACTCAAGATGGGGAGGAGGACTCGAGTCTTCCATGTCCTAGCCTTTTGGTTCCTGATGGAAGCTTTGTCGGCATCTGATTTGATGCTCTGAACTCCCCAATTGTTGAGGCCAGCGTTCAAAAACACTTCTGCGAAACGGAAAAAAGTGTGTTTTGAGTTAAGAGGTCAAACCAGTTGAAGGTACCTCATTAGAAGTGCATCGGAGCTTACCTTTGGACACCATTGGTCCGCCACGCCACTGAAAACAACCTCAACCTTTAGTTCTTGGGTGCCGCTGCTGCCTCTGCGTAGTCAAACAACCTTGTTGTGGTGAGTATAGGTTTGTTGAAGTTGAACTCGAATTGTGTCGCAGTTTCTTCAGTTTTCCTGCTTCATAAAGCAGATTCACTATTCTATACACGTATACATTGAGGACTGGGAACGCGTTGACATTCCGGTACTACTAATCCACACAAACCCAACTGACAAGCACTTGCGGTTAGCGTAGATGGCTGACATGGAGCTCCTACGCGAACATTTAGCACAACTCTTCCCAGGACTATCTTTAAACATCAGCCCACTTGACGAAGGAGTTTATTTGGTTGATCGAAGCCCCACTGCTAAGAACTTGGTTGCAAGAACATTCCCGGATGCTAGAAGGAACCTGGAAAGCGTAAAAGCTGACGCTGCTCTACTGGAATATTTAGCTGCCAATAACTTTCCCGCTGAGCGGGTGCATCCTGAATACCCTGTAACACGTATGACTGATCAAACAGTACTATTGACAGAATTTGTCAGTGGTGAAGCCTCAAATGCAGGTCCCGTCTTATATAGACTAGGTAGTTTGCTAGGTAAACTCGCAACGTTGTCAATACCACCAGGAACGCCAGGCGGTGGTTGCCTTCATCACTATGGGTACGGCACGCCAGACCTTGAGCTGGCGCTATCTAAACAATGGCTGGACGAAATCAAGGATAGAATACCAACTGAGATCAAGCCAAAGTATGATGCCTTACATAAACAGGTCATGCAAACAAATGATTTGAAGCAGGTGCCTAAATGCCTCATTCATCCAGACCCAGTAATCAAAAACACTCTCACAGATGGCATTACTACTACATTGATTGATTGGACTGGAGCTGGAGTAGGCCCTCGTGTGTTTGCAATAGGATTACTGCTGTTTGTCGGTGGACTAAAGAAGGGCGGGTTTTCGGAGCTGAGAATCGACACTATTGTGGCTGGCTATCGTGCATCCGTATTGGAATTGGAACAACATGAAGTAGATTATCTTCCTGATGCTATGAGGCTACGAAGTCTGAGTTTCAGCTGTATGAAGCTCAAGCACGTAATCACGAACAATCAACCGTGTACTGGTAGTGAGTTTTGGTGGCATGATGAGCCTCTGAATGTAGCAATGGCTGATCGAGCACGGGAAGCCTTTGAAAGATCGCTCCCTGAACTACAATCCAGTCTCAAGAGCAGGAAGTCGTGACTGAACAGGAAGAGCAGGTATAAAGCTGTAGTAGATTACGACCAGATTTCAAGAAGAGCACGTGTAGGCGCATTCTGAGAGTGCCCGAGACTGTGAATTCGCTCCTAACGCGGGGCAATATGTCGAAAATGACCGACAAGCGCAAGGATTTGTAGAATAATTGAATGGAATGTCGTTAATATCATATAATTAGTTGAAAGCGACCTCTTTTGTTCCTATGGTTGGAAGAGTCATTTCGCTTTTTGCTCACAATCAACCGTTTTCCGTCCAACTCGATATCACAGTATGGCGTCTAGGAAAGGCACCAAGAGAACTCGAGGTTCCAGCAGAAACCCAACTCCACCGGCCATGACACCTGAGCAGTTTCAGCAATCGCTCGACGACGACGACGAGCAAATAATGATACAGCGAGACACCCAAACAGCGCTTTTGAAGCAACATATACCATCATCGTCTGCCAAGACTGTGCCCGCATTCCTCAACAAGCTATACAAGTGAGTGTCTTAATAGTCATCATCTGCAGATTCTGTACATATTGACAGATGCATGTGTTTGTGCGGATCAACTCCTTTCTTGACACTTCATTCCTCAGTATGGTCAGTGATTCTACTACTAATGATTTGATACATTGGAGTGCTGACGGGACAAGTTTTATTGGTAAGTTGACCGGAATCGATGAGTGACCTACACCCAGTCAACTGTGCTACGGGAACTCGGCATTATCAGACGCTACACTTAGAGGAGGCTCTAACGTGCTTTTTATACATACTAGTACAACGACATGAAGAATTCGCGAAGGATGTGCTACCCAGATTCTTCAAACACAACAACTTTTCGAGTTTTGTTCGCCAGTTGAACATGTATGGATTCCATAAAGTACCTCACCTCCAACAAGGCGCCCTGCACGCCGACACAGACGCTGAAATGTGGGAATTCACCAATCAATACTTTCAACGTAATCAACCCGACTTGCTAAGTCTGGTTAGTCGTAAAAAAGGGCGAGATGGAGAAGAGAAGGAAATCAGCACTGGTGGCAGTCTAGATCTAAACAATCTGGTCACGGAGCTTGCCGCCGTCAAGAGGCATCAATTGACTATATCCTCGGATCTCAAAACAATACAACAGGAAAACCAATTACTCTGGAACGAGTCACAAACCATTCGAGCACGATATCAAAAACAACAAGACACGATTGATAAAATAGTTAGGTTTCTGGGTACCGTCTTTAATGGTAAAAAGCAGGTTCTGAGCAATGGCAGCGGTCCTAGTCAAGGCACTGGTACCAGTAGCCCAAACAAGAGGAGACGACTGATGATTGAACAAGGTGCCAACGATTTAGCTGTCTCGGACTCTGACGGTGATGGAGAATTTGAAGACACAATCAGATTATCTCCTGATCACGATCAAGGTGAGCATACGCTGAAGCGGATATGTCATGCTTGTATAGAGATTTTTTGGTGAAGCTGACACATCATCTTGATTTTTTAGACGTGCAACAACGAGTGGCAGACCTCATGACACCACACTTCTCACTGACGGATCCACTTTTTCCAGGAGCAGGACTGGCTCTGTCTCCTACTGCATTGGGAGATAATAATGCTCTAATCCCTAACGCAACACCTCCCACAATGACCTCTGGTCTATCCACGAACAATCCCTCATATTTGTTGAATCATCAGCAAGCTGTAAATAGTAGCGTCGCTCGTACTGCTGATACGCAAGCTGATCTGGACTTGCTTCAAGATCATTTGGATTCCATAACGGATCAACTAGGCTTCGACCCTGATCACAATGTAGATTTCATAGATACCCTTTTACGGGATGGCCCAACACAACCTATCAAAGGAACTCCATTAGATCGTGATACCTTGTTGGCACTAATCAATAGCCAAAACGGAATGCCAAATCAACCCATACTCACAAACTCCACCAACATGAGCTACCCATCAAGCTCGTCGTATCCCATGAATAACATGCCAGCCACCACTCAACAACAACCATCATATATGTTCCCATCTCTAGTGACTCCCCAGGGTAACGGAGCAAACGACAGCCAAAACAACTTCAACTTTGATTTCGATGGAGGAGTCGACGACGACTTGCAGAAGTATATAGCAAACTCATCACCAGAAGACTTCAATGCTCTGTTTGATACTAGCTCGCTAAGTGGAAATGGGGCTGGAAATTTCCTGCCTCCGAATAGCGTTGCTACACCACAAAACAATGCACAATCACCACCATCGCCAGCTGCAGTAGCCAGTCCTGCAAATACAACAACAAGGAGAGGCACAAGGTCTGGTAGATATATGTAATAAACGATTGAATTAACTGCTCGCAAACACGATTATATTTGAAATAATTAGTCGCCTGTTAGACCTGTGCGGCGTCCCGCGCAATTTCGTGGTCAAACTATGATGCTAGGCTTGCGAAATGTAAAAAAATTAACTGAGAATACTTCCTGAAACTCTGTTGAAGAGCCTCGTTCTGTTTGCAGCGACAAATGGATGAGTGTTCGAGTTGTGCCATAGGAATCCGCTTAAGAAGGATGTCATTACTAAACAGATATTAAAATCCAGTTCCTCATCTGTGCAAGATCAAAGCAGGTTAGTCTTGTTGCGGCAGTAATGCTGAGAAACGTTTGAAAATTTGTGCTAATAGCCACAGTTAATACTTTGACTACCAACCCATTCCCTTGACGGTTTCATGTAGGAATCAAAGCTACTACTACTTGTGAGAGCTCCTTGAATACGTGTCGGGTGTCAAACATCGGAAACAAAAATATGCATGAAACGAAAATAAAAATACCAAAACGTGTCAGGACTTTTTATCCAGAATGAAAACATACCTGAAACCAAAGTCGTCTCCAGAACTTGGTCCGTTTTGCATCAAACACAAAACAAACAAGTTCGAACCAAGCACACAAATGTCTATCGCAATCACAGGAGCAGTGGCTCTAACTCAATTCCATGGCATCAATTACCTCGCTCAAGCACCTACTTCCATTGATTCCTTGTATTCGGACGACAACCACACACGTCACAAATTGCAGCGTCGATTCTTGAAGACTGAAGTGGTTCCCTTCCTCAAATATTTTGCTCGCATGATAGGTATAGCAAGCAACACTGGCTGTTTGATGTTAATTCCTCGATTCGTTTCTGATATTTTGACCCTTTTTTGGAAGCCTCATTGCCATTATGCCTTTTCTCGCGGTCGGCTTGATGCTGACTTTATCTTGATGCTGTCGATGAAGTTGCTGAATCTATGGTCGAGGTAGACTTGTGTTTTAACCGCCACGCAAAGTTGCGTACAGCTGATCTAGAGATGGCTCGTGCCGTAATTGCCGAAGCAGCTTCGGCTATGGAAATTGATATTAAATATTGGTAGGGGTTGTCTGGAGAAGGCAACGATTCGTCTGATGAGGAGGAGGATGAAAATAACGATGTAGACCATTCTAGTGATTCTGAGGAGGATGATGATGAGAGAAGTGATGATGTAGATGATGCAGAGAGAAACTCCTCCAATGATTCTGATGAGGACGAGAAAGAATAGAACGAAGCAGCTCTTGTGTTTGGAAGTGACGGTGATGATTCTGTAGTTAAATCCACTTCGTTCCTTTGCAGTTGCATAGTAGTTCAGCTACCAACATATAAACTCTCGCTCCCAACTCATCCGTCATCCAAAAAATGAAATGTGCTTCTTATTTATTCATGATATACAAAACGTTGGATAAAACTATGCAATTTTTTTACTATCTACAACCATCATTACAAAGACTCAGATGGTTCTTCTTCTCCCTTTTCTGCTGCTGTTACATCACTTGGCGTTTCTGAATTCTCCTGTGGCTGTTGCACTTCGCCAGTTGTGTCCTGTACACTAGTTCCGGTAGCAGCCTTCGGTCCATCGGCCGTCAAGACTTGTTCTGCATTTTCTCCATCAACTTGACTGACTACAGGCTCCACGTGATCAGACACTTCTTCGACGTTCAATACAGTCGTTGAATCAGATATGGGTTTCTCGATGGCATCGGTTCCTTCAGACAATCCTACTACTTTTTCCAAAGGTTTGCTACTACCGCCATTATGATCGAGAGCTTCACTGTCACCACTATTACTATTTTCAGCAACCATATCATTGGCGGAAGGCTGATTCTCAACCACTGGTATATTCAGCTCGGCCACAATCTCAGGCGCATGTTCTTTGACAGCAGCAGATTCAGTAGAATCAATAACCACCGGTACCTTCTCATCAGATGGCATGCCGCTGGTTGACTCTACATTGCCTGCTTGAACAGGCACAGCAGGCATCACCTCCTTACCAGACACGTTTTCTGATTCGACAGCTACAGAAGACACCTCCTCCTTCCTCGCCACATTTTCAGCTTCACCAGATCCAGAAACCACCGCCTCCTTACTCGGCACATCAGGTTTACCTTCAGCAGTAGGCGACACCACACTGTTTTGTCCTTCTACAACGGGTTGAGGTATCACTACTTCGGGAGCCACGACCTGCAGCAAATTTACAATAGCAGCAGTAGCAGGCACAACACCAACAGATTCACTTGACTTTGACGTCGGGAGACCCACAGACACCGATCGTGTGGCTTCAACACTGGCTACACTTGATCTACCATCTAGACTTGATCTACCATCTGAACTATTTACAGCAGGTATTGTTGATGGCGTTACATCAGAAACCGATTTAGTTGGTGGGTGTGGTGGCGCTAGAGACTCGCTACTCTTTTGTTGTCCGGGAGTTGGAGTGACTGCTCGTGCTGTAAACATACCACCAAATGCTGTTCTAAAGTGTGAGGATTTTACAGTCCATGATGCTGCAGCAGAGGCGGCTGCAGATCCCGCCGTACTCGTCGTACTAGCTACAGGCTTATCTATGCTAGGTTGCTGTTGTTGTGGATTCGATATTTGTGTTAGTGGTGGTGGTAGATTTGTAGATGGTGTCGGTGTAGTAATAGATGGACCTGTCAAGTTAAGGCTGCTGCTACTATTGGTTGTGCTGGATGCTCCTAATGGTTGTGGCGATGGCACTATAGGAACATTGCTTTGCGGTCCAGGGGCATTCGGCGATGATGTCGACGGAGAAGCATTATTACTATTCGTTGGACTTTTAACCGATCCAGTATCGGACGTTATAACAGGTAGCGCTGAAGATACAGGTACTGCAGCCTTCCAGCCTTGGAATCCTTTGAATGATAATCCAGTAGCTGCTGCAACCGATGGAGTAGCACCTGTTGAGGAAGTCGAGACAGCTGGTTGAGGTGGTGGAATTGGAGCAGCAGCTGGAAGAGCTGGATGAATGGTAGTAGCATTTGTAGAAGTAGCTGGTCCAGAAGGAGTTACCGGAGATTCCATCGACATTGACACTGGACGCGGTTGGACTTGTCGTCTGTCCTTGATTTTGGTGTTGTTGACTACAACTTCCAAATGGTTGCCAGGACCATCAGCACCATCAAGTGATGATAGCTTGAAGATAAAGTACTGGACATCAATCAGCAATCTGCCAAAAAAGCCTCACAGTCAACAATACATTTACAGTGAAGAACATCAAATCACGTAAGCATACATACCTATTCTTGCCAGCACTTGTAAACAAATCCAACTTTTTTAGATCTTCTTCCAGCTTTTTGATATATGCTTTGAAAACATCGCCCATCACACTCTAAGAAAAATCAAGATGAAAAAGAGACCACTAGCTGAACAGCATAGGAAACCAACCTTCAAAGTCTCCGGATCAAGATATTTGGCCAAGACTTTATGCAGAGTCATAGTCTCCTTAACCAGAGTCACCATATGCGTTGAGACGCCTCCATCTTCTTCCAAAAAGTCTTTTGGATCTGGGCTGTCCCAATTAACTCCCTAAACAACAAAAAGAATATTTGAACCAGATCCATCACACACCAACACTGTGAAGATCACACAAAGACACACCTGTAAATTCTTCGAATGAACGGTAAGCCTCTCCATCATAATACTAACCAACTTGGCATACAGTTCAGATTGGTGGTCACGGTAATCTTTGACCAGTCGATCCATATCATTCAACAAAACAGCTTGCTTGGTAGGCAAATACTGCTGAATACCAACTCGCAAGTACGGTATCAGGACGACAATGACTCCAAGCGATTGTGCTGCCAATGCTAAGGAAAAAGAAAGAAAAGGTAAAGACACGCAGGAGTGCAGTGTATTCTCTTTTCCATAGCCTTACCAATATGTCTAGCAGTAATGTTTTTTAAACCGGCAGATCTCATAGCCCCAGCTCCCAATATGACTTGACACAGACGATTGTTTACCAACTGCGAGAACAGAATTTGTGGGTGAAAAAAGGCCGGAGAAAAAATCAGTTGTACAGCTTGTATGCATACTTTGAGTATCTCCATAATCCGATTCAACACCTCAGCAGTCAACACAGGTACATTCTCCATACACTGCATATACTCTGTCAACTGCTTCAAAAACATGAGCATACATCCAACCATGTAATACTTGTGTCCATTCACAACCACATATTTCATACTTTTGGATCCTTTAGCGGGTGAAGCACTACTACCGCGTTCATCATCGTCATCAAGTGCATTATGTAATGACGCGATGGAAGTAGATCCACGCATGTTGTTGTTATCATCAGTAGAGCTACGTTTCAGTGGGAGTGATGTTAGGCTAGATATTGTGTTTGGTTGTTGACCTCCTCCACGTATAGGGCGTTCTGGTGGTGGTGAACCAAAAGATCGAGCAGCAATGATTTGATCTGTGATGCGTTGGAAGTCGATGGGCACGTCGGCTTGTGTCCATTGTTCATTTTCGACTAGTAAGGTGATTTGTTTGGTTCGCTCTTCGTGGAAGTGGTTGAGATATGCCTTGGCCTACGATGTATAGTATGTGAGTGTCCGAGGCCAAAAAGCGCAGGATGCCTTTCACGTTATTACCTGCGAAAGCATATTCCCTTTCAATCCCAAACACAATCTACCACACAAAGCTTCACAACCAGCCACAAACTCCCACGTGGCTCCAAATAATCGATAAAAATCTTTAGGATTCAATTGTGCATTCTGCTCTGCTCGTACCGACAGCAGTTTTGCACAACGAACTTGAGCCAAATCAGATCCCGAATACAGAATTTCCGCTGATTCATTAAGCATCTGTCCATATGTCGTAGCAGTTTTATCCGAGCCTTTGGTATCTGATGAGACTGTAACAGGCTTGTCTATTACAGCTACGGTCGAAAGTTTTGAGACTGCGTCTAGTGATGCAGGTGACAACACATCAGCGCTAGATCCAAACTCGTCGTCATCATCTTCTATACGTTTTCTCAGTAGCGCAGCATGTGATGGATGTGAGGATGCAGATGTGGCGGATTCGTCAGATCCAGGAAGAGGTGGGAGCTGCAATGATTGATGACTGTCGGCACCAATCTGTACACCTGTATCCTGAGCTCGTTTTATGATGCGACATATGAGAGCGTTTGAGATTGCTACACGCTCCAGCGATGTAAGAAGCGCTATGTACACGTTGAGCATAACGTCCAAGAAGGCATCAAATGTCATGCCCTTGAGTTGTTTAGCCAAGGCTCTAAAAAATATAATTAGCAAAAAAGTCAACCAATGACACCCTAAGGAAACTTATTGCTTACTGTTGTTGTTCTCGCTTTATCGCTGATTCAGGTATACTTGGATCCAAAGCACCAATGGGAGGGTGATGCTAACAGATGAGCAATAAATTGAGAGGAAAAAAACACACTAGAGAATGACAAAGCTATTACCTTCTTGGCCAAGGCCTTAATTTCTAAGAGGAGATTGTCCCTATATACAGAAAAGGCCGATCCAAGTCGATCCATTCTCAACAGCCCCAACACAAGTCGATCTAATCTATCACGTAATCTACCCTCTTTCTCCAGCATGACGTCAGTAATCTCTATAGTTGCAGGAGGATTGATTCCAGGCAAAAACTTTTGCTCCAGAATATTGCTAATATATTGCACGGCTGGACCTCCATTGCCACCGGTAGGCGATTTGACAATTTCGAATGTGGTCTTGTCAAGGAGTATACGTACAAATTCCGATTCCATCATGATTCCAATGTTGCGTGACACTTCTGATAAGTGGTGTGCTAGCTGAGCTAGTCCCTTGACACCTCTCAAGTCTACGGTACAAGGTATTGCAGATGATTTGATCAATATGATGCCTGGTGCTATAGTTTCGGGGGCTGATGATGATGGAGAGACGGCTACTACAGGGCTGTTGGCATCTGTTTGAAGATGGACTCCAGAGTCTGAGCTACCTCGTAGAGCCAAAGATGTTGACTCGACGAGATTCAGAGCGGTCATAAAGTCACTTTGAGCCAATAGAGCTTGTATTGTGGGCTGCATTTGCTGTACGTCTCTGACTATACGGACAGAGGCATACAAGACTGCCATATTGGCTCTTCGTCGTTTTAGTCTCGTTACTTCTATACCCCGCCGGGCACCTGTTTGCTTCACACTATGTAATTTACCACGTAATTGAGCAATCTGCTCGACACACGACAAGGTTTCCGAGTGCAGAGCCTGGAGATTTGACAAGGCCGCGAAGAATGACGATGATTTACGTGCAATTTCTTTGAGTAGGTGCACTTCAACAGTATCTAGCAAATATGAAAACTTTTCCTGTAGAGCTGACGACGCAACATGAGTTTCAGCTGGATTTTCCGACGTGACCTTGTCATCACCACCAGTGACAGCGTCAAACGTATGTGGTGCCTGTAGATTGAAGTCCAACTCAAAGAATACTTTGGGTACTATATCCAGTGGTGGTGCATTGACTGACAGCATCCGTGTTCTTTGCGATGCAGTCAATGCAGCACGTCCTCTCTTTCCTCCTGTGTCTGGCAATAGACTAAGTTGGGATGCAGCGTCCAGCAAGTCCAGATACTCGGCTTCATCAAGAGGAGAAGTACCTAGAGTTGGCGTTCCTTCCATTGCAGACTGTAGCCCAATGGCACGATGGTATTGATACTTGTCGAATACTTCTGATAGGTATTTGGTGTATGGATCAAACTCTGTGTTGCGTACTTTACGTATTATAGTAGGAGGAACTGGAGCGAAATTCTCCATGCTTTTCGGTGGCTGCTTGTCGTTCATGACACCCTATAGATAGTGCAAGCGTTGGAAATGTGTGATTTGATGAGATTGAAAATAATAATGATCTCGCTGTTCTGCAACAATTCGAGGCTAGCAAGATAGATTACAAGCTTACAGAAATAGCGTTTCGACCAATATCCTTTGGGCCCCAAGGTTCCGCATCAGCATCAAAGGGAGAAGTTGCATCTCCTCCTCTTCTAATTCTAAACTCCATGGACTGGTTGGTACTTCTAATAGGAGACCCATATGGACTTCCACTCCTAGCTGGGCTAACGTTGCCTGATCCTCCCTGTCTATCCATCGCTATACCTGATTGACATGAAATCGCGATTGTGCAGTGTGGACGCCAAAGAGCAGACATAGGACAAGACGGATTCGTCAGTGAAGCAGCTTTAATGCACGTTACGTATTACAGTAGAACGTTATAGAAGCGTAGTTCCGTTTGAAAACTCTGCGAGATCACGTAAAATGACGATGTTCAATCATTCTCAGTTCTGAGCACTAAGCACGTCGAATTCTACCAAATTGCACGTCCCTCTTTCTGATGAGCTTATGATGACATGAAGACCGTCCTGTTTATATAGTTTATATCAAGTTTAACCAAACTGTTCAACCAACAGTACTGCTCGTTCGCCATGCATCTGACGAGTTTGAGGTTGATCTATGCGTGTAGTGGATTAAAGGATATATTCGACGCGTTTTCATACTTGATTTGTAGTAGATCTATCGCGGGAATCAGAGAATCCTTGTCTTGTTTTTCTTCCTTCCAAACATCATCAAAACACCATAAGGAATGGGCGATTCGGGAGTCGAATCTCTCTTTTCGAAACGAGTCCCCGTGACTATAAAGGCAGCCTCACCTGCTTTCTCTTCGTCATCGCCGTCAAATGGCAGAATCACGACAGGAACAAGTCTCCCAGTCAACGCAGTAGATCCGCACTTTCAGGAGAAGAAACACACGGGAATCACTGTTCAGGTCGCGCTCGCCGTAAAGCAGTCTGGCAGAATAAAGGTATGCGGTTAGTGTTGGTGTTTATTGTGTCGTTATTCCCGTCATTCACTAACATCAAACAAAACAATAATTTCAACCAACTCCCAACCACACACATGATGCGTAGGTTTTGGAAATACAGTTGACTGATGAATCGGACTCCTTCTTCTTATATCAACTGGATATTGGAGAGGATGATTTCCATACTCTCAAGTCCGAGCAGAACTTGCTGGTCGATTTCGCTCATTTTCCTGTAAAGTTTATTGAATTGTTGGAGGAATGCATTGCTTGCAAGAACGATGAACACCCAAAGTTAGTACTGTTGAAGTGGGAATAGCCCATTTTTTTGCTAGACATGTCTTCAACAACATTGTGTGGACCTTTGATTTCACATTCTGACCGAATGAACATACTGTGCTAACCGCACACTGGTATTCTGCATGACATCAGGTTTCTGGCTCAATTAGTATCAGACTCGGCTTCCAAACATGCTATATTCAGCGTAATAGAAACGAACACCTTCAAGGCAATCACACACTTGTCTCTTCACTTTATTCCTGGTAACGATGCCGCTGTCAAAACATATCTAGCAAATCTAGTCAAGGAATACAAGGCGCGTATTTGTAAACGGGGATCCCCGGTGTGTTGGCAAGTTAAGATTCTTTTTTTCTCGTCTGACACTATTCAACCATAGAGTGAGACGGCATCCTTACGATCTCAGCTGTCGAATACTACCACCACACTGTCTTCTCGCTTACGAGAACAAGAAACTGCCATAGGATCACTCACTGCTGAGCTCGACAAGTTGAAGATTTCCTCGTCAACGTCCTCCTCACAGTTGCAGATATTGCACGCTGAAGAGCTGGCCAAAGAAAAGGAGCGAGCTTTACGTGAACGAGATTCGGAAAGGAGGCTCTTGGAGAAAGAGAAGCGTGACTCTGAGATCAAATACGAAGATCAGGTTATTTCCCTGCTGAAGATTCTGTTTTTTTGTATCACATACGTATTCGAAACGGAATACTGACATATCTATTCTACCAACAGCTGAAAACTCTGACCCAAAAACATACCGCCTTGACCACAACCCACTCCCATCTCCTGTCACATACTCAGACGCTTGAAGAACGATTGTCTAATTCATCACGACAAACAGATCAACTGAGCAGAGATTTGGCTACTGCCAAACAAGAAGCTGATCGTGCCAATGCCATGAATCGTCTGTTGGAAAAGCACAAAGCAGATTCAGAACGAGAAATAAATCAACTTCGAGAACAGATAAAAGAAGTTGAGAAACGAGAGCGGGAAAAGGAAGAAGGAGGGCGAAGGCAAGATGAAGCGTTACAAGTTGTTGGAGAGCAAAAGGTTTGTTCAAACCTAGTTCTGGTCCTCCTGAATTTTTTAACCGACTGTCGAATAGGGCAAGTTGGAAGATGCTCTAGAAATGTACAAGGCACAGAATGGTCGTTTGGAAGATGGTCTGAAGAAGGCCACCGAGGAAATCAACAAGGTATGGACGATGATTGATATGCAAAACAAAACAACTCATACGTATAATTTTTGCAATAACCTTGCTTTCTTGCAGGGCAATGAAATCATTCGCCGATTGCAATCTGAGCTCAAGGCATCTAAATCCAAGGTCAAATTAAAGAATGTAGTGACTCTTCAGCAAGAAAAGCTTCTTGATGAACGTGGAGTTACGATAGAGCAGCATACCAAAGATATTGCAAGTTTGAAGGAAGCTGTTCAGAAAAAGACGGAAGAAACTGAGTCGCTTCAAGTTCGTAATGAAGAGTTGACGCGAAAGTTGGAAGAGGGCAAGCACATCATTGAAGACAACAATCATGGTATGAGGCAGCTGACCGTCCGGCTTTTTTGCTTGATGCTCTACTCAAAGTTCTCGCATCACCACTAGTGATTGAATGGCTTCACAAGCAACTGAATGAAGAATCTTTGAGTCGACCATTAGGTGTTACCGGTGGTTTTGGTGCGATTGACTTTGAAAAGTATACTTCTGACTTTCAAAAGGTAACCGTAATGTCGTTTGCCAACTTCGACTTTTCATAGCTAACCGCTTTTTTGCATCACTATTAGCACCAACGAGTATCACCAACATCATATCGGGCACGTTATCAACCAGGAACAGAGCCAGACTCCCGATCATCACCTCCTGGAGGGGTAACTCAACTCAAATATGCTCCATATCAAACAATGCCTTCATCAGCCACGAATGGTGGTGCAACACGATTGAATCCACGCTCTCCACCCCGATCGGCTAATATTCCTACAAGCGTGAATGCTGGTGTAAATACCGGTGGTGGTGGTAATGCTGTATCCGGTTTGGTCGGTGGTGGTGGGCTTGCTACTCAACCAAGTCCCATGTTGGCAGCTAGCCGTCTAAGTCGAGCTACAGATAGTGGAGGTGGAAATACGAATACTGTTGGAGGTGTAGCTGGTGGGACTTCGGGGCGTTGGGCGGGTGCTGCAGCTCTGAAGTCGGGGTTGCGAGAAAACAACAATATTGATGCACATAATCGTCCAGGTGCAGTACCGAATGGTATGCCTACATCTACACGTGACGAAGCTCTAGGGGGTCGTACCGTGAATGGGATCAAATCCAACTACTTTTAAGCAAACTATGTGTATAGGGTCGCAGCGTCGTGTTGATAATTTTTCTTTTTGGTAAAACATGTGTCAATATGTGTATAAATTTCAGTATTTGACTTAATGATGCGTGTTTGGTGCGTTGAAACGTTTCTCTGACGTGTTCGAGATGATGATGCTCTTTTTTCGCACATCCACGAAAACAGAGTTCTTGACCCGTACTTACAAGACAAACAATGCTGAGAAGGACGTGCATCATCGCACGCCGTACAATGGCAGCAGCTGCATCAGTCTCTGCATCACCTTCAGTGAGAACATGTAAGAGCTTGCCTAGAAACAAAAAATCGAATTTTGGCAGACGGTTTTGGCAACCACCAGCAAGCTTCAAGGACTCTATTTAACACTTCGCTATCATTTATAGATGCCACACAATCCCAACCAATGCCTGAACTAAACATTGGCGGTCCACGCCTGCCCCCACATCTGATAGCAGCAACACTAGCCAAACCAAAACTCTCGCAACAAGGCAACCCAATCGACATCAAACGCCAATTCCTATACGCCCTATACACATCCATCCTCCCCAAACGCATCGTATTCGTAATCCAACTAAACGCACTCAGTGCATCCGAATACCAGACACTAACGCGTGAATTCAGGAAACGGGGCATGAACATTCTCAAAATCCGTCTAGGTGTATTTAGAGCCGCTGCCAAGAAATTTGGACAGCGGGGCACCATGAGTTGGGTGCCTAGTATCGTTGATCCACATCCAGAGAGCATGTATACCATATCACATAAAAACGGAGTTAGGTTATCTGAGATGCCTGTCGGGCACACCGCTATCGTATTCGCTGACAATATCCCCGAGTCCGTAAGCAAGGTATTACAGAGCGTGAATCAGGTCGTGGATAAAGTCAAGCCCAAAGTGTTTGTTGTGGGTGCTAAGATTGATTGTGATGTGTATAGTAAAGCGGAGCTGGATTATGTTGCTACGCTGCCAAGTATCAAGGAGTTGAGGGAACAGCTTGTTGGGGTGCTGATGGGGCCTGGTGGCAAGTTGGTGCAGACTTTGCAGAATGTGCAGGAGACCCAGGGGGTGATGTTGGTTAAGACGTTGGAGGCACGGCCTGCTGAGTTGGTTGATGTGCTTGGTAGGAGGGAGGATGGTGAGGCATCGTCGCAGCAGCAGTAATAGTAGTAGTAATAGTGAGGGTTGGACGCTTGTTGTAAACTCATTTCGCACAAACAATCGCACCAGCAACAGATGCAATGCATAAACGTGTCTACTTTTAATCTATAATTACAACTGCATGCTACTCCGCACTATTTCATTATTCTTGAGCAAGCTTCTTCAACCGATCCCTCGCAATAGCCATCATCTCACTCAACCCGGTCTCAATCTCCTGATCAGCCTGATTATTAAGTCTAGCCTCAATAACAGGAATAATCTCCTTCCTAGGTCTCCCGGCAACAAACACCACAAACTTGAATCCAAACTGTTGCTCATATGTGGTGTTGAGTTCGGCCAGCACAGCGTTCACAGCCTCATCTTCAGACATTGTGTTTACTGATGCTGTGGAAGGTTGAGGTGCAGATGTATATCCCTGTTCGGCGTATGAGAGAGCTGATAAGCTTGTTTTTGCAGCTCCGATGCGTGGATGTCTAATGTGGGTCAGAATTAAGTGATAAGACGAAATCAAGGAGATATCCGAGTAGACTTACGCATTGATAACCTCTATTCGGTCTGATTTCGACATGCCCTTGATGCATGCCTCTGCCTGATCAATCAGAGCTTCATAGCTGGAATACGGGCGTGAATCGTAGAGCACACCGGCTAGTGGAGGAGCAGTCTCGAATAGTACATTGACCGTTTCAAAGAATTCAGAGGAAGGTAGAGCGTTTAGCTTTGTTATTCTTGGGAGGCTTACTGTTGCCATCTTTCATTATCTCCTGTTTGGAGGATTTGTGAAGGGGATGCCGCCATCGGCGTTTCATGAAGTCGAGTACTGGGAGAAGAGATATGAGTGTGATGATGGAGTTTACGAGTACGTGTATTTTGTAGCTTTGGCGTCTCAGGTCACGAACATTAACGACATCAACCAATTTCGCGTCTAGTTGGTTTGGAGGATGGGAATTGTTTCGCCCCTACCTGATCGATTACATATCGACAGGTAGCCGAGTGCTAGTCGCAGGCAACGGCAACTCGACAGTCGCAGCAGATCTAGTCAAGGAGGTTTCCAAAGTCGTCGCATTCGATTACAGTCCAGTCGTTGTCAATGCCATGAAGGCCAAGACGACTGACAGCAAGCTAGAATACGTGCTTGCGGACGCATGTTGTCTGTCGAAGGCGTTTGAGGCTGATAGTTTTGATGTTGTGCTGGACAAGGTTTGACAGTTTCGCAGTTTTGAGCTTGATCTCCATTGATCTTTTTGTACAAGTAGAGTCTTTTGGATGCCATTACTACGGGCGATGATGATAACGAATCACAGGCTAGGAAGTATGCGGACGGGTGTGATTATGTTTTGAGTGGGAAGGGGGTTTGGATTGTAATTTCTTATAGCGATACACGACGAGAGCTATTGAGGGGGTTGCTGCCAGGCGTTTTTGAGGTGACGGAGATTAAACAGGTGCCGACTAGTCAGAATGTGCCTGTAAATGCACCTGATATTTTTTACCATGTGCATATTTTGGAACGATGTAAAAAGCCAGAGTGGTGAAATATTTGAGGACAAGGCTTTATAATCGCTTGTAAATATAGACTTTATTATTAATATTGTAATCAAACCAAATCGAACCATTTTTTGTATGAAACTAGCGATGCCCCGCCTTAAAGCACTAGACTTTAATGACACTGCCCATAGACGCAAACCCCATTTGCAAATTTTCTTTCCCCACGAGAGACAAATACTATATTATAAAACAGCAGAAGGATTACCAAAAAGTGACGATGTAGCTTCTTCCTCCTCCTCTTTCAATCGTTTCTCACAATTTTCGACTTCCTCAGCCCAATTGGTCCCTGTCACAATCCAAAGTTCTATGAGGCCAACTAGAGATAGTGCTAAAAACTGGCCCATCCAGAGACCTTCTAATCCGTAGTTAGCTCTGAATGCAAGCCAGAGTCCACATGGTAGAGCAATTAGATAGTAGGCGCTAACGTTAACAATAGCTCCAATATGCTGTCTTCCCATTCCGCGGAGCGAGCCTCCACATGAATTCGCAAGTCCGTCTGCCACTTGGAAGGCTGCTACCCAGGGCATTACTTTCGCTACAAGCTAGAAAGCAGTTTGAGAAAAATAGTGAGGTTAATTCGTGGGGGAAAAAAAAGACCAGTCCTTACGATAACGACGGAAGCATCGTCCGTAAACAGATATCCAAATACGTCTTTTGAAGCTAGCATATCTCCCATGATACCAGCGCCGATCGTGCAAGCGACACCTGCAGAGACATTCGCAGCTAGTTTTGATCTTCTCGGTAGTCGTGAGCCCAGAAGATTTCCTACACGGTTGGAGCTCGATACGCTACATGCAACTAAAGTGTAAATATCGGGTGGTTTCGACAAGACCACAAAGGAACGAAATCTACCTTAGTCCAAATGGTATCGTATTTAACACCTGATCTGCAGTCATAATGATCGATTGAGCTGCAAGTGCCTCAGGCCCTAGCAACCCTGCCGCCATGGCCACTAGCTCAAACGCCCACCACTCCGTCCCCACCATGAGCACGCCAGGCACCGCAAGCGCCAAGAAACTTGCCCAATTCGTGAATGCTTTACGACTAAATCCTCCCCACGCTTCACTCCCATCTACAAATACCACATACAGTATCAGCAGAAACAGCATCAGCCAGTACGTTATTGATGTCGCTATTGGAGCGCCGATGAATCCCAACGCGCAGCTGGGATGCCAGACGAGCAAATAGTTTAGGATTATGTTGAATGGCGATGCGACCATCATGACGTAGGTTCCAGCGTGCATGATTCCTTGGGCCTGCAAGTACTTTTTGATGCTTTCAAAGTAAAGGTATGCTGGTGCTCCAAATAGGAGATACCGCAGGAAGAGAGCTGCACGAGCACTTAATTGTGGTTCTTGGCCGAGCTGATATTGTAAAGTGAGCATAAATATGAGAGATTCGCTAGAGGGAGCATGTTTACGTACCAGTAGAAACAATGGTTCCGCGAAATACCACAGTGCAACGACAGGCACGAAAAGCACTGTTAAAATTAGGAGGCATCTTTGAAGTAGTACTCCGACTTCTGTTTTATCTGATGCGCCAGTAAATGCTTGGGATCCCAGTGTATCTGCCGAAAACGTGTTGGTAACAAATCGGCCAATGTGCAGCACATAGAAGCAACACACCTAAAGCAGTGCTACCACCCATAGCTACAACCCAGCCAGTGACCATAGCAAACATGAATGCAAAAGCTGCTGCTGCGAGATCATCCTACGAGACCATCCAAAATGAATCAGACAAGCCCTCAAGGTACAATCTGTGATGACACTCACTGCTCCAAGACGTCCAACAATCACGACACACTAGATTAAAGAAATGTTTAAATCGATGCTACCACACGAATGCGGTACGAAACTTACAGCTGTTTGCAGCGAATTCTGAAGCGCATACGTTAGGGACACTGGGATGAACGTTTTCTAAGTTTTGATAAGATTAATTAGTTACAGATCAATTTTTTTGTAACATTGATAGAACCCATCCATACCAAAACAACCCATATTTCCTGGGAAACACTTATTTCCAAATCTAAATCGTAGGATGGTGGTTCAGATAATAAGGGCGTGTACTCGTCCACGACAGGATACAGAGGAGGCTGTCTGGTATCTCCATAATAGGCCATTACTATCCTTCCTAGGCTGTTGATGGTCTTATCTGTCCATGACAAAGTGTTTTCATAGGCAATAGTTTAATAAAAAAAATAGGCAAAGCCATCACATTTTCATAACGTAAGCAATTCGAAGTCGTCGACGCGATTGTGTCGTTCTCAGTCAACACGACATGAATGGGCTTAAAGAAGGATGGTCAGATTCTCGGTCCTTATTTTCGCCTTTCCTGTACCAGAAAAGTGCTTTTCAGCATATACCGATCGCTCAAAGGAAGCAATTCCAAGCTGCCCAATTGTTTAATTTGTATTTGGCTCGTCCATATCTGGAAGCATTGTGTCCTCCATATTCGGGCAACAATCTCAGCATCGTGAATCTCAAATCAACCACTTTAGATGTGCTTTCTTCTTTTCAGTCCAATAAATCAACCAGCAAAACATTGCTTGTGCAACATTGACTTCAAATCACTACTTACAAGGACGACATCATTCGAGCTCAAAGCAAGATGGCCAAAGATCAGTTCCCTCAATCTTGGGGTCCTAAGCTGAGACATGTTATGACCAAACAGAAACAAGCCATGAAACCAAATGCTTCCGTCTTGGAATCTCGAAAGTTGGCCGAGACTGTACCGTACAAGATGGACGGTATTGATCTAAGAGAAGTTCAAATTCCAAGGTAATCAGTATTTGTTTAAGTTGTGAACGCATCAATCTTTGTTTCTGAAACAAAACCGTAAACACTCAACATTTGTGTTTTCCTATAGAATCCATGCTCCATCGCTAGAGGCCAATGTTTCTGGAATTGTGCCAGCTGAATTTGTGGCTGTTAATGGATCGAATTTTGATTCGTCCCTGCCCCATATTCTGTACCTTCATGGTATGCGCTGATGTGTGCAGTTGCTCGTACATCACCCTAACTTTGAACCGCATATAGGCGGAGGCTATACTCAAGGCAGCAAAGAATCGCACCGCGTAATAACAATGAGGCTGGCCAAATATGGAATCAGAGTGTTGAGCGTGAGCTATCGACTCGCTCCAGAACATCCTTATGTGAGAAACTTGTTGAGACACGGGTTGAAGGCTTTAATTAATATCTGTTTTTGAAATTCTTTAGCCAGCTGCTCTCGCTGATGCGTATGCTAGTTTCAAGTATTTATTGGCATCTGGAGTGCCAGCTTCTCGTATTGTGGTTTCTGGTGATAGCGCCGGTATGTATTGCTTGTAAGCTGTTTTCGTGAGTTCTTAGTACGCGTCTGACAATCCAACTGTCTTAGGAGGAGGACTCAGTTATGCCCTGGCCATGTATTTACGCGATATGGGTGAAGACATGCCGTAAGATTCCATTATCCCAACCAAGTACAAGGCTGTGAGTATCTGAGAGACTCACCAACTTATTGCTTTTAGTGGTGGATTAGCCCCTTTAACGCCATGGGTTGACTTGAGCCACTTTAGTCCTGCCATGAACATCAATGAACTCCCTGAAAGCGCTGATGTTATCCAGAGCAACGATATTGGCTCAGAAACAAACATGAGTGATGCCTATTGTGGCGGTGAATGGGCTCAGATATACGTTTCCCCTATTCTGGATGTACCTCACTCATCCAAACGAAAACTGCCACCACAGTTTATCATAACAGGTTTGAGTGTTTGTTATAAATATGGTGATCAAACGTGAATTGACTGCTTGCCATTTAGGCACTGTGGATCGCTTCCAACTAGAGGACACTATCATGGCAATTAGGAGGAGAAGGAGTGGTGAAACTGTCCAACTTTACGTATTCAAGGACATGTTTCATGTTTTTCAGGCATATCCATTCCTTGATGCTTCCACTACAGCGATTGAGCTCGAAGCTCAGTTTGTCAAGGACGTAGCTAGTGGGACGAATCTTGCGTCTGCATATTTCTTTGTCGAGGATGATGGAAAGACTGTAAAGGAGGAGACGGAGACTGCTGTTAAAGCACGAGCTGCTGATATTGTTCGACGCGGAACTGTTCAAAAGACGAAACCACTAGCCTTGTATAAATTGTGATGAACGAATTTGACTGAATGTGAGATGTATGATGGATATTATGACTTGCATGGGTTCACTTTTAGCTCACATTTGTGTATTGGGATACAGATGTTTGGGCAATATGGCAGTTTGGCGCCATGAAAACTTCTGAATTGAGAGCCTGCGTGTTTTTTATTTCTTTAAAACTACAACCGTGTCACTATACGTGCGTGTTTAGGACCTCTGCTAGAAAAAGTGCTATGCGGTCGCTCAATTCACGTAAATCCAACTGGATAAATCGAGCGAGCAGGTCGAATATGAGCGAAATCTGCAGTCATATTCTCCTCCAACTGGCCAGGAATCGTGGATTCTCACCCTGTTCCTTGATATGTATCACGTAAGCCTTACCAAATCCGACAAGTTCAACCTCCTCATCAGACATCCGTCGAATCCGTAGTAGTCTTTTAAAAAATTGGTAAGTAGATTATGACTTGGAAAGTGGATACATGCATGATATCCATTGCATCGGGCTCGCCACCGATTGGAACCTCAATACGAGCAAATTGTCGAAACTCTTGACGATTGTACTTGAAACCTTGATACCGAAAGCTCAAACAACAAAGAAGAGGAGCAAGAGAGAGAACCGAGATAGTGAAACAGCTTGATAGTCACTTGTATTCAGGACCTAACTCCCTTTTACCTCTGCCGAATAGTATATTTTTGTTGAACATTTTACAACATGCCTCCAAAAGTCGACCCTAATGAAATCAAGACAGGTAAACATCGATATAGTTGGTTAGAGGCTGTTATCAGCTACACTAGCTGTCAGCTGCTCGAATGAGCCTAGCTTTGTCAGACAAGACGAAAGTCTAACACGCAAATCGGTATTATAGTGGTGTTGAGAACAACAGGAGGTGAAATTGCTGGTGGTTCAGCACTTGCACCAAAGATTGGTCCATTGGGTCTGGTATGTACCTCTTATCAGCTCTGTTCTCTGTAATAAACCAGAAGACTGACACTCCTTTCGTATTTAATAGTCACCAAAGAAAGTCGGTGAAGATATCGCCAAGGCCACCATGGACTACAAAGGTCTCCGAATCACCGTAAAACTCATCATCCAAAACCGTCAAGCCGCTATTGAAGTGGTACCCAGTGCCAGTTCCTTGATCATCAAGGCGTTGAAGGAACCTCCAAGAGATAAGAAGAAGGAAAAGAACAGTATGTTGTCAGTATTATCAGTATATGACTTTACAAGTCCCTGATGTGTTTTTTTGTCCAGTCAAACACAGCGGCAACTTGGCCTTTTCTGAAGTTTTGGAAATTGCCAGGAAGATGAGGAACAAGTCCATGGCCAAGGAAATGAGGGGCACTGTTAGAGAAATTCTAGGAACATGCTTCTCTGTTGGATGCACAGTAGACGGACAGAGTCCTCAAGATGTCAGTGAAAAAGTTCAATCAGGCGTAAGTCAATTGTTGGAAATGAATCTGGTTTTTGGCCGACAAATTCGCTCATTATGTTTTTGATATCTAGGAAATTGATGTACCTGCCAAATAACCACCCTTGTAACATTTTATGTCCAATGAATTCAAGCTTTGCAAAATATGGTTGTGTGTTGGGCTGTGGTGTTGCTGTTCTCGATTTTTTGTTTTTTGATCGGGTGAGGTCTGGGATCATGGGAAGATAGTCTTTTCTTGTATTGGGAATCGTCATCAAAATTCTCCGATTATGCAACACACTTGTGTTCGTCTTGGAGATAAAAAAAATGATGAAAAAATTAAGGTTGCAAAAAAATGTTCCAGAAGGGAGAAGGACGCAAGCTGCCTTCTCACAGATCAAGAACGCAGGCCATTCGACAATGAAATCGAATACCACGATGAACGGTCTTATACCCTGGATCTTGGTGCTCCTATGCCTCTCATCAACATGTCGAGCAGATATCGCAACACTCTTTACATCCCAGAATCAATCAACCACCATTGGATTTAATATCTCCGTGACATTGCTACCACAACCGGCAATGATCTACTCAGCCAATATTGCTCAAAACTACTTTGCTGTCGTGTATCCATCGTCTACTTCCCTTGGTGTCGTGCTACGGGGATATAGTGCTGCATTGTCAATATCTGCACGCAAGGTTCGAGTTGAGAGAGATGGGTGTACGAGTCCAGTGTGTTCTGCTCATGGGTTGTGTAATGATAATCTAAATTGCCAATGTGATGATGGATGGACTGGTCCAAGCTGTGATCGTTGTGATGCAGGATTTTATGGTGCTAATTGTACAGGTAAAAAGCCTTCGTCTCATGCTGCGTAAATGAATGTTCATTTCACCATTCCCAAACTTGAACGTTTTTAAAAAGGTGTCTGCAATTGCCCAAGTGGTGCAGGCTGCAACAATGGAATGTATGGAGACGGAACGTGCAAATGTAAAGGTGGTTTCCTGGATTTCCCATACTGTACCCAATGTCCAGTTCAAGGATTCTGGGGTCCGGATTGCACGCCGTGCAATTGCTCACACCAGTATGGGTCCTGTGATCCCAATACGGGAAGTTGTAAATGTGCTGCTGGATACGATGTGAATGCTACACCCAGATGCTCTAAATGTCAGCCAGGATTCTATCAGACTTATAATCCAAATGTGGGACTGAATGATTGTGTTCGTGAGTACATTCTTGTACATCTTGTCAACTTGTTGGGTTTCTTTTGCACACACTCAATCATCACTCACATAAACACTACTTTCAACCATTCAGGATGCTTTACCGGATGTGCTCAGTGTACTGATCCTGATGCTACTTGCACGTTGTGCTCACCCGGTTTACACATTGATCCAACGGATCATCGCAAATGTATACCTGATCGAACATGTTCTGGATTTGCAAATTATTGGAATGGATCAACCTGTCAACGTAGGCCTCAAGCTCTGGCACTTGTACTGGTTTGTGAGAAATGCAACTTGACTGACTCGTCTTTTCTTTCGTTCTCTACAGATTGCCCTAATGGATGTTCTTGTGTGGACACATTAATGTGCAGTAGTTGTGACATCCCGAACGTGTATCCTGTTGTCAACGAATGCGGGGATGATTTTCTGGACGAGTACATGTCGTGTCATACCGCAGACACTCTCCAGTATGACAACTATTGGGTAAACATGGCCAAGGCAGCTTGTGATTGTAAGTGTGCTTGCTTGCGCGATAGATGAGTTTCAAACATCTTTTTCTTGACGCATACGTTTCATACGTCCACGACGATTCTAACAACTTCCCTTTTTGACAGCATGTATGTCTGGATGTGCAACGTGTGGATTGCCACGGGGCTACGTATATCCACCTGATTCAGCGTCCCAACGTGCTGCAACCAGTTGCTTCACTTGCATGGATTCATTTACACGACAGAATATTTCTGGGTTACCTCCAAACACATGTAGAGAGCAGTGTGCCAATGGTTGTACTTACCAGAACGGGACTTGTATGTCGTGCCGTAAGTGCTCTCATACGTGATGACGTTTTTATAAAAGCAAAAAACCCATTCAACTTGTCATTGGCAACATGCTTCTGTTGCTTGTGTTCTCTTCATGTAGAGCTTTGCGGTGATTCAAATTGTCAAACTTGCAATGGACAAGGAGCAGGACATTGTACATATTGTGCGACCGGTTATGCTATTTTGAATGGGTTTTGTGCTCCTACGCCATGTCCAGCTGGATACTATTTGGATTCCACTGGAACTTATTTAGTGAGTTCGGAGGTTAGGCCTACTTGTCGCAGTAAGTTCCATATGTAGTTGGGTCGATTGTATCCGTTCGCAGTAGTTGAAGCAATACTTCGATAGTCCCTGACCGTTTTTTGCCTCGCAACTAGAATGCTTCCCTGATTGTGCCACATGTACTGGACCCAGTTACGAACAATGCACTTCTTGTACTGCACCGTGGCAAGTGGTTGGACCCAATGGAGCCTGTGTGGATTCGTGTCCTGATGGACAGTATAAGACGACAAACAAGACGTGTAATGGTAGGTGGAAGCTTGATTCTTCACTGGATTATTGATCGAAAAGCTAACAACCAGTGTTTATAGCGTGTTTCCCTGGTTGTGCTTCGTGCACTGGTCCGAAAGTCACTGATTGTCTGTCTTGCGACAACCCTCTCTATACGCTGAATAGTACTGGCTGTTTCTTCATCGTAAGCCGACTGCTATCACCATAGCGCTCCTTTTTTCGTTGTCACCTACATGTCTGGGCTTGAACGTTCAAATCTCAAACTGTATTAGAGCTCCGTGACGCCAGCGACACCAGCACCAGCATGGATAGTCCCCCTCACCATTGTCGGCTACACTACACTCGGAGCAGGAATCTTGGGAGCCTGCGCATTTGGTTTCACCCGTTTCTACTTCCGAGCCAAGAGAGCAGAAGCAGGACAACGTCAATGGTTTAGTGCTTACATGAACGCATTCAAAGGTGGAGCTGCTGCCGCAGCACCAAGACGTACATCAGTCCGTCGCAAATCGTCTCTTGGCAAAGGAGCCAAGATGGTTGTTGATGTTTACGAAGAGATCCAAGAGGATATCAACCAAACTGCTGTTTGTTCACCGAATGTACCTGCGGGTGTGGTTGTTGGCAATGGCTATCCAATGCAGAATATTGCTCGTGGTGGTCGAGCTATGCCTCTCAGACCTACAATACCTGATATTCCCTTCCCAGCACCACGACCGGTACACCTTGTTGAGGAGGAGTGGAAACGCGATCCGACGAATCCCTTTGCTCCAATGAACCAGCAACTGACTAATTATCCATTTATTTAAGTAATTTGCAAGTTCACGTATTCAATATAGCTATATATGGACGATGCAATAAGCACATAAGTACCGTAAGTACGCGTTCGAATGAGCGAATGAGTGAAATGAACCTAGTCGACGCGTTCTGTCCAAAGCTGCTTGGTTTTTTGTAGTCCTTCGCACCAGTTACCATGACAGTGACAAATCTCCTGAGAGAGTCGACGAAGGTAAACATAAATCAAGACAAAGAATAGGCTCACATGATGAACGCCCCATTCGAATCGGTACTGGACTTCAACGCTGAATTAGATGTGCCTTTACTGGACAAGGTTGTTCAAACATTCTATACAAAGACAGGACCTGATGTAAGTAGTCTTGATACTACTACAGCGATGACTCTATTTGAATGATTTTAAATCTGGAAATGCTGTCACTCGTCATTATCGTCTTCTGCTTGGCATTGCTTGGGTTTTTTACAATCCCAACATTTTGTTGTTGAAAATGAGTGGGTTTGGATTTTATGTTAATCTTGACTGCCTTTTCGATTAGCAACTACGAGCTCAAAAGATCATTGCTGAATTCCAAGAACATCCTGATGCTTGGAAACGGGTAGATGGCATCCTGGAAAGATCCTCCTACACTCAAACAAAGGTGAGGTTGTTATTCGTGGTTTGCTGTGCACGTTGGTTTTGCAGAACCTGGAACCGACGAGGCATGTATCTTATTCGCCATCATATAGTATATCGCATTACAAATATTGGAAACACTGATCAAGACCATGTGGAAAGCACTACCTGTAGAACAGCAACAAGGTTTGCCACTGTATCCATATTTTTTTGTTGATTTGCGATCCGAATCAAACGAATCATCCCATATTACAGGCATAAAGAACTATATCGTATCAGTCATCATCAAGACATCATCAGATGAAGTGTCGATTGAAAAGGAAAGGACATATCTCGGAAAGCTCAATATTGTATTGGTTCAGGCAAGTCCTTTCTTTTGATGAACACACATATGATAATCCCATGGATCTTGATGAGAATGAGTTTCCAACTATAAAATGGTTACATATATCTAGATACTAAAACACGAATGGCCACACAACTGGCCTACATTCATACCCGAAATCATAAACTCTAGCAAAACAAACCTATCATTATGCGAGAACAATATGGCCATTCTCAAGCTGTTGAGGTGCGTGCTATTGAAACTTATCTGACGTGGCACAATCAGGCAAAAATGCTCAACATTCAATTGTATTGATAGTGAAGAGATCTTTGACTTTTCAGCTGAACAAATGACACAGAAAAAGACAAAGGATCTCAAACAACAAATGTGTGGAGAGTTCTCTGAAGTCTTTCAATTGTGTCATGAGATATTAGAAAAGGCTCAAAAGCCAAGTTTGATTCGAGCTACATTGGAAACCTTGTTACGTTTCTTGAACTGGATACCTTTGGGTTATATATTTGAGACCAACCTTATTGATATTCTACGAAACCGAGTATGTGTCATGATACTGAGCAAAAGAAGTTGGATGCGTCCGCTAATGATGATCTCAAATCTTTTCCTAGTTCCTCGAGGTACCAGTGTTTAGAAACGTAACCTTGAAATGTTTGACTGAAATTGGTGGATTGCAAGTTGGGCCAGAGTACAATCCCAAGTTTGTCATTTTATACAATATGGTTATGGATGCTATCGTAAAGATGATTCCTCTCAGTACTGGTATGTGGGGCTTGTTGTCACCTCAATTTGTAAGCGTCTTCTAATAACGTTTGTCTTTCTCTTCCCACCAGATCTGGTGCGAGTCTATGAAAACAGCTCAGACGATGATCAACAATTTATACAAAATCTGGCTCTATTCTTATGCAATTTCCTCAGTGTTCATCTTCGGGTGCGACATCGATTTGTACTATCGTTGCCTTTTTTTACGCTTGTTAATGTTTTGATCTCGACCCTTAGATTGTGGAACAAACAGGCAATCGCGAAGCACTACTCACTGGCCATGCCTATCTATTGATGATTTCCCTGGTACGAGATCGAGAAATCTTCAAGATTTGTTTAGAATACTGGACGAAATTGGTATCCGAACTGTATGAAGAAGTCCAAGCATTACCCAATGGAGCAGGAATGACAGATTTCGGTGCCCAAATGCCTTTTGGCAATCCTGGTGCATTGGCAGGAATGACTGGTGCACCAGGACTCTCAACTCGCAAGGGTATCTACACAGAAGTCTTATCGAGGCTTCGTGTCGTTATGATTGAGAGAATGGTCAAGCCTGAAGAGGTATGAATCGTTTGATTTGGCGTCATCCTTGCATAGTTGCTAATTAAAGGTTGGGTGTTTTGCGTTACAGGTTTTGGTTGTTGAAAACGATGAAGGAGAAATCGTCAGAGAAGTCGTCAAAGAGAGTGATACAGTCACTTTATACAAGAGTATGAGAGAGGTGTTGGTATACTTGACCCATTTGGATGTTGATGATACTGAGCAAATCATGTCAGAGAAGCTGAGTAAACAGGTACGCGGTGAACTAGTTCCTTGTTTTGCTTTGCTGCCGTCACTCAAACCTGCATTCTAGATGGATGGCACTGAATGGTCATGGGACAATCTCAACAAATTATGTTGGGCTATTGGATCTATTTCCGGAGCCATGTCTGAAGAGACCGAGAAACGTTTCCTTGTCACCGTCATCAAAGATTTGCTCGGTTTATGTGAAATGAAACGTGGCAAAGACAACAAGGCTGTGGTCGCTTCCAACATTATGTACATTGTTGGTCAATACCCAAGGTTTTTGAAGGCACATTGGAAGTTCTTGAAGACTGTTGTCAACAAGAACTTTGAATTCATGCATGAATTACACGAGGGTATGTTGTGGTTGAACTAGCATGGTAGATTTTTGGCTGAGTCTTTCTGTTTTTGTTTGCTCGTGATTAGGTGTTCAAGATATGGCTTGCGATACCTTCATCAAGATCTCTCAAAAGTGTAAACGACACTTTGTCATGCAACAACCTAACGAACCACAGCCATATATTGAAGAGATTCTCGCTACTATTGATCAAATCACGTCAGATCTTTCACCTCAGCAGGTAAAGGTCTCCCTGCATGGTTTTTTGGTTCAGTTTCTTACCCGTGTTTCTTGTATCAGGTCCACACATTCTATGAAGCTGTTGGATATTTGATTTCAGCACAACCAAACAAGCAAATCCAAGAACGATTGATTATCAAGTTCATGGAGTTACCCAATGCAGCGGTATGTAGCAAGCTTCTGCTTTCCATTTCGATCTTTTTTGTTTGCTTACACATAATTAACCCTGCGATAGTGGGACAATGTGTTGAGCCTTGCCAACCAAAACATTGACGCTTTGAACAATCCTGAAAACATAAAAATCTTGGGCAACATTCTGAAGACGAATGTATCTGCTTGTCTCTCTGTAGGCTCGCCCTTCATCATTCAGATTGCCAGGATATATAATGAAATGCTCAACTTGTACAAGATTGTGTCTCAGCTGATATCACAAAGTGTTGCTACACAAGGTGGGTTGCGATATTCGTTGCTGTTAGTCCTTTGAGATCTGAACGGAAGAAAGTACTCGATTTTTTTGCACCTAATATTTACAGTCACTTTTCAATTTTAGGACTAATCGCTACCAAGACACCACGAGTTAGAGGTCTACGAACCATAAAGAAGGAGATCTTAAAATTGATTGAAACCTATGTCAACAAAGCTGATGACACCAAGGCTGTTGCTGTCAACCTCATTCCAGGCTTGTTGGAAACTGTATTGGGCGATTATACTAGAAATGTCCCAGATGCTCGTGATGCTGAAGTGTTGTTGGTGTTGGCTAGTGTTGTTGCCAGGCTTCAGGCAAGCTTTCACCTATGATGACAGCAAGGGTTTTTTCCCCGCTTCTGACATCTTATTTTCCAACTTTAGCGACACATGGATGACGCCATCTTGTTGATTCTGGAAGCTGTGTTTGAATGCACGCTCAACATGATAAACAAGGACTTTGAAGAGTATCCCGAACATCGTGTTGGCTTCTTCACCTTGTTGGATTCCATCAACACGCACTGCTTTGAAGCTCTCATCAAGCTGCCATCAAACCAATTCAAACTCTTCCTCGACAGTATTGTTTGGGCCTTCAAGCATACCATGAGAGATATCTCTGATATGGGTCTAGGCATTATGCTCCAACTTATAAACAACTTCTCACTCAAGGCTGATCCGGTTATAGCCGATGCCTTCTTCCAAACATTTTATCTCAGTATCTTGCAAGATGTATTCTTTGTCTTGACCAACACATTCCACAAGTCTGGTAAGTTCATTGTGCAGTGTGAAGAATAACCGTGTTCCATAACCAGTTGATGTCAATTAATTTTGAATTTTCCAATGCAGGCTTCAAATTACAAACATCCATCTTGATGCAAATGTTTGCATTGGTTGATGCTGGTTCCATCCGAGCGCCCTTATTTGACCGCAACCAATTCCCAGACCCAAATATGGATAATCGAACATTCTTGAGAGAGTTTGTTGCCAATTTGTTACAACGCGCATTCTCTCATCTTCAACCGTGAGTTTATTTGTTACTTGGGCAGCAGTCTTTTTTGTTGTTGACTAATCATTGCTCCCAATGATAGACTTCAACTCAAAGCATTTGTGAATGGATTGTTTACATTTGACAAAGACTTTATTGCCTTCAAGAGTCATGTACGAGACTTTTTGATTCAACTCAAGGTTTGTCTTTGTTGAACTTGTATCCGTTGCGGATGTCATTACTAATGTTTTTGGTGCTCATACCTCTCTGTCCCATTTTGTAGGAGTTTGCAGGAACAGACAGCGATCATCTCTTCCTGGACGAACGTGAAGCAGAAGTAGAAGCCAAGAAGGAAGCAGAAAGGAATAGGAATCTCAAGATTCCTGGCATGTTGAAACCAAGTCAACTTGCCGATGATGGAATGATGGACTAGAAGAGATGCACTCGTTACACTTCAAAAAAGTGGTTTGGGGGGGAAGGAGAGGCAGAGGAGAGGATTTAAAATGCTTTTTTACGATACACCGTTTTTGATTTCTAAGTAAAAAAAGAAGAAACGAAATCAAAGAAGGAACGAGCATTACAGCTCAAAAGGAATATATGTATATTGCCCAATAAAACCATATTGCGAGTACTTTAGCATATACAGGAGATGTGTTGCAGGGGTTTGTACAAGTTTATACAAATGCCAAAAGCTAAAAAAAAAACCCCCCCGGTGTGATAGTAATATATGCGTCTATGCGTCTTACGTTCAGGCCTCTGTCTTTGTAGCTTGAATCGATTCGTACACAACAAGCACATTCCAAGCGATAACATCAACAACAGCACGAGCCTTCAGCGCATCATACAAACCATTCGAAGCCTTACTCCTAATCTCGCTACTAGATTTCTTATATGATTGCACGTACTCATCATCCTCATCTGCTGCATCAGGCTCTTCTAAACCTGTTTGTGACCTACTCTCAATCATCCACAACACACACGAGGCATATAGAAACGAGTGCCTGAGGAACGGGACAGGGATATCGAGTATTGGTTGTTTAACTAGGAGTTTAGCAAGTCGGGATAAGGAGATTGCCGAGTTGTATGCGATGCTGAATGCGGATAGTTCTCTTGATGTCCACGTAGAGTTTACTGTGGTGCAGAGTGCTGGGCGGAGGGAAAGGAGGACAAGTCTAGTGTTTATTGGAAAGGTAGGTTGAGCAAAAAAACGATTATCAAATAAACCAATAGATGAGTTGCAACTTACGAATGGTACAAGATATGCATGTTGACGAGCTCCATATCATCCTTTTGAAAGCATACATCCATCTAACAGGGCATTAATGGGAGTGAATGGAAGCTCGTTTTTCTATAGCTTTTAACTGTTTCCTGTGCAAATGATTCGTCCCTTACATTTATTTCATCTGGTAATGCTTTATGCCACTTGAGGAGTAAACCTCGAATGCGTGACATATTGTCTTCATCTAGAAAGGAAAGAAGTATACCAATGTAAATCTGACTTGCAAACGAGCCAAATTGCCGAATTGTACTTCAAACTTTTCTGTTAAGTGCGTGAACTTACAATCTTTGGACAAAGCAGATGTTGTATCATTTTTGTCTCTAATGGGTTCCAGCGGTCCTCCTTGACTCATCAGCGGGACTACAACATCCAAAAAGACCGTCAATATTGTGTGTGTGACGGGACAAAACACCACAGATTTTGAAGACTTTTACAAGCAAGGAATGGTCTTCAATGCAGCACAATTAACATAATCAAGGGCCCAACAAACTTACATGACTCAAAATGACCAAGACAATGGTACTTGACTATATTCTCATGATGCAGTTGCAACAATGTAATAATACCGGTATGTGCATCCATGTTGACTGCTTGAACAGCATAATTCAGAACTGTCCATGACGATGATGGCAATTTCACGCACTTCTCGTAAGGAAGCGATGATGATTGCCCCATTGAGACAAAAAAACTGCGAAGCCGACGACGAGGACAGATAAGTACAATCACCAATGAGCAACCACTTGATTGATACAAACATACCTATCAATCCGGTATAAAGACCAGTAAAGAGCTCGCCGTTCTTCAATATCCAATTCCGTCAACGATGAGATGTCACATGTTGGGAAACATTTCTGTTTGAGAGATTTTGGTATGTCGGTAGGATCCACATGTAACTGTGTGAGAGTGGCTAAGCGGCAGGCCATACGATGCATTCGTAAGGCATGTCGAACTATTGGGAGTGTAAGGAAAACGTATAAGAAGGTTATGCGTGATTGTTTGGAGGGGTCGGCAAACACTTCTTACTCAATTTGTACTTCCAGATGCAGGAACATGGGGATTTGATTGTTTTACACGCACAGAGGTATTTTGACGATGGGCTGGTTGCATTCATAGCTTTTCCGTTCGTCATAGCTATGGCAGAAGAGAAAAAATAGGATTTATCAGTCAATGATAGGTGAATGCTCACAGCTAAATCATACGATAACATACCAAATGCAAGCGAAGCCATGATACTCAAAGCTTGAATCAGCGGAACAGATTTTTCCCAAGACACGTCTTCAATATTCGACCAAATGTGTTTTCGAAACCTCTTCAACCATGGCCGAGCTCTCGCAACTTCTAGTCGACTTATACCCTCCAGCACAGATTGCTTGCTAGTAATTGATCCTAAAGCACAGACAGCATCCCATAACGAGGTAGGACACACTGTCTGAAATCGTTGTGGAGCTAAAAAGTGTCGAGGTAGGAAATTATTGGTAGGCGAAAGAATCTGATGAAGTAGCTCTTTCCGGTCTATGATGTCGTCTGGGAAATCGCTCGGTGATGAGGAGATAATGGATGTTGCGAGGTTGGCGATGGTTTTGAGTGTTGTAGGTGGTATATCCTGGTTGGAAGTCGGTAGACGGCATTCGTATTGAATGGCTTTCAGCTGCTGGCCCTTTTCTTTGAGCTTTTTGAGTAGGTTCTTCAAATCTAGAAGGGAAGCAAGTCTTGGTTGCAAGCAGATCGCAAGATACGGGACTGCGACGAGAGTTTCTTACGTGAACCTCGTCCTCCAGCAACAGGTTTGATGGCAGCTGATCTAGTATCTGCCGGTTTGTCTGAATACAAACACGCAATTTCAGACTTTAGGCACCATTCACAAGGTTGTTGACGGTTGCATCCCTTCTTGCGACTAGTGGGTTGAATTACAGGTAAGCTAGCGTACACGATGGATGAATCAGTGAGCCATCAAGCAAATAAATTCAAAATGATTGAAAATGCGGCATTAAATCCTTCCACAAATCACAAGTTAACGCACAAGACGTCAAATGTAAGATCAAGCTCTAGATGATTTCAAAACCAGCGAACAAACAACCAAAAAAGGTGCAAGTACGTACACTCGACAGTTATGACAAGCAGGTCCATGCTCTTTTGGTTTTCTTTTCCTGTTGGGGGCTTCGTCCTCGTTTGACATTCTTAGTCAACGAAGCTCATCGCAAACTTGACTGCGCTTTACCAGCAAACTATGTCGAATGAGGCTTTAATGTAAATTGGGCTGCATTGTATGTCCCTGATAACAATCTCCTTACTGATTAAACCAGCGAACAAGGCAATCTGGTCAACCATCGCAGTGACTGGCAAGTATGAAGATTTCTACCTATACGATCTATGTTTGGAGCGAATGTAGGCGATTCCATGTGCTATGAGTGATGATTTATGATGACCACTGTACGCTGATACGCTGGTCAGCGAATACCCGTTTTGCCGACGCAAGTTTTCACATCGATAGCATATACGCTTGGACCGAATATACGTGATTCTGTGGATCCAGAATGCAACGGCGCGGTGCATCTAGCCAGATCAGCCGCGACGATGTGAAAACTGGGTGCATGACGACAGCGAATCGCAGAAACGAGTTTTTGGGGATTGGCAGGTTTGGACGGTGTATTCACGTAGCTCATCGCGTAATATCCCGTATTAGTTGGCAGCTCACGTTTCGTCGCTCGTCGATTCAATGTTCTTGATTTCACATGTCGGCTTCGATTACGGACACTTTTCACAAAATTTCAAGCGTCACTTGAAACCCAGCTCGGCCGACACTTGACGATAAGGAGGGTAATCAATCGGTGGTAAGTTTTACATTGTTACGTCTTGACTTTTGATGCTCAGGCTGCTGCCATTGCTATGAAACATGCAGCTTTCTTGCTCTTTTTGCTGTTTGGAAAAAAAAAAAGTACGAAGAGCACCTTCGCAGCTGGGGAATCGGCAAAAGAGAAGCCTAGATGAACTAGTCCTGGCTATACGACGACACTATCTGTTATTGCTTCTTGGGCACTGCCATTGAGCTGTCTTATCTACAGTGTTTCAAATCTTTGGGACACAGAACTGACCTACTTGTCCAACTACTAGATTTGAATCATCCATAAACAAATAGACCCCGACTGACGCCCCATCCCGCATATCACTCTAGCCAACAACGACAGAGCCTCCTTGTTGCATTGAATGGCTCCTGGTGCTGACCTTGTTTCGGCAGCACAACCCATAGAGGACGAGTTTGAAAACCATAGCGAATACGTATCCTATGCGGACGTCATCCCTCAAGCCCAAGGCTTATACAACCCAGAATACGAAAAAGATGCTTGTGGTGTCGGCTTCATTGCCCATATAAAGGGCAAGGAATCACATGCAATTGTAAAAGACGCTTCGGGAATCCTATGCTCGTTGACACATAGAGGTGCCGTCGGTGCCGATGCCAGAGATGGTGACGGTGCAGGTGTCATGACTGGAATGCCACACTCCTTCTTTGTCGCTGAATGCAAGCGCTTGTTTGGCATACAGCTCCCTCCCAAGGGTCAATATGCTGTCGGAAACATCTTCTTCAAACCTGATGATGAAGTCCTGCAATCGTCGCAGGCGACGTTTGAGGGTGTATGTCGTAGTCTAGGTCTCAATGTATTGTGCTGGCGTACCGTCCCCCGTGATAACTCGGTACTAGGGTCGGCATCGTTGTCTAGAGAACCTGCCATCGTACAACCATTCATCACTGTTACTGATCCATCAAAGTTTGACGAAAAGGAATTTGAACGGGACTTGTACCTCCTTAGGAAGCAAACCACAAACAGTCTTACGCTAAAGAATTGGTTTTATATATGTTCCCTCACTTCAAATCATATTGTATACAAGGGTCTATTGTCTCCCGTACAGGTTAGTACATTTGTTGTGTTATGTCCTCTTATTTTAGCATGGATGGTCGTTGTTGGATGGATCCGATTTATCTTCGTGTTGGAGAAAAAAAATCAGTCACCAAAAATCTCACACATCCATCAAATGGACATCACATCCATGCTGAATACATTCTCTCGAATAGGTGTACAAGTACTTTTTGGACTTGGAAAATCCTGAATATACCTCCCACTTTGCTCTAGTCCACTCACGATTCTCAACAAATACCTTCCCATCCTGGGACCGTGCTCAACCCATGAGATGGTTGGCCCATAATGGTGAAATTAATACAGTTCGAGGCAACAAGAACTGGATGAGAGCTCGTGAAGGTGGTCTGAAGAGTGAAAAGTTTGGTGACGCTCTTCACACAATGTTCCCCATTGTTGAAGAAGGTGGATCAGACTCTTCTGCTTTTGATAACGTCTTGGAACTACTAGTAGTAAATGGTGTATTGTCGCTCCCTGAAGCAGTCATGTTGCTCATCCCTGAAGCTTGGCAAACTCAGACTTCCATGGAACCAGAAAAGCGTGCCTTTTATGAATGGGCCGCTTGCTTGATGGAACCTTGGGATGGTCCGGCTCTCTTCTGTTTCTCTGATGGTAGATACGTAGGTGCTTCTCTGGATCGTAACGGTCTGCGTCCATGCCGTTACTATATAACAGATGATGACTTGATGATCTGTGCCTCTGAAGTCGGAACTATATACGTCCCACCAGAATCCGTAGTCACCAAGGGTCGTCTACAACCTGGTAAAATGTTGTTAGTAGATACCCTAGAAGGTCGAGTAGTGGATGACCGTGAACTGAAAATGAATACTGCCACTCGATTCCCCTTCCAGAAATGGATTAAAGAACAAATGGTCACTCTTGATAATGCAGTCCAATGGGCAAATAGTACAGGTCGTGTTAGGAAGCTCGAACTTGACGCCCACTCTATATCCGAAGATCCACGAATGTTGGCATTTGGTTTTACCATCGAACAACTCAACTTGCTAGTGATTCCCATGATTACAGATGGTAAAGAAGCTCTTGGATCTATGGGTCACGATGCTCCACTCGCTTGTCTATCTCGTCAACCCAGATTAGTATACGAGTACTTCCGTCAACTCTTTGCTCAAGTTACCAATCCACCTATCGATCCCATCCGTGAAGAAATTGTAATGTCTCTAGGATGTTATGTAGGTCCAGAAGGTAACATGATGGAAGTATCCGAGTCCCAAGCTCACCGACTGTACTTGCCAACCCCAATATTATCCATCGAGCAAATGGCAGTCATCAAAGACTTGCAAGCCTATAAACCATCATGGTCTGTAGCAGTCATTGATATCACCTTCCCCAAATCAGAAGGACCCATTGGATACCTACGAGCATTGACTCGAGTATGTAATGAAGTATCAGCTGCTATTGAAAACGGATTCAAGGTTGCTATATTGTCTGATGCGAATATTGCTGCTGATCGAGTTCCATTGTCGGCTGGTGTTGCTATGGGAGGTGTGCACCATCACTTGATCCGTAACAAGACTCGTACCAAGATTGCGCTCTTGGTAGAAACTGGTGAAGCTCGTGAAGTTCATCATTTCTGTGTTTTGCTTGGATATGGTGCTGATGCAAGTGAGTAATTCGTCTTGATTTATTTGAAATTTTGTCTGCAGTAATGCAAGACCAAGCATATACCAAAGAAGAGAGCATATACCAAGCAAAGACTAAGAATCTATTTTAATCGCCAAATTATTATCATAGTCTGTCCATACTTGGCTTTGGAAGCTATGCTCAAGTTGAAGCGTGAAGGTGTACTCAAGAACGAGTTGTCCGATGAGAAGGTAAAACTGACGCAAAAAGCTTGGGTTTGTGGGAAGCCATGAAAGCTCACAGATTTCTACTTCTTAGCTCATTTACAACTTTATAAAAGCTTCCAATGATGGAATTCGTAAAGTAATGTCCAAGATGGGTATCTCCACGCTGCAGTCCTACAAGGGTGCTCAAATCTTCGAGGCTCTGGGTTTGGACATGCCAGTCATCAACAGATGTTTTGTCGGTACTGCTTCTCGTATCAAGGGTGTCGGCTTTGACATTCTTGCCGTGGATACGTTCGCCTTCCACGATCTAGGATACCCAACTCGAGACACTGTAGCTCTCCACACTCTACCAGAATCTGGTGATTATCACTGGAGAGATGGTGGCGAAGAACACATAAACGATCCATTATCTATATCCAACTTGCAAGATGCCGTCCGCAGGAAGAACGACTCTGCATATGAGGCGTACTCTCGTGAAGCATACCAACAAATTAAAAACTGTACTCTCCGAGGCCTGCTCGAATTCCGATTTGACGCAGCTACACCAATCCCTATCGATGAAGTCGAACCATGGACCAATATAGTAAAGAGATTCTGTACTGGTGCAATGTCGTATGGTTCCATCTCTATGGAATCACATCAGACATTGGCTATTGCTATGAATCGATTAGGTGGTAAATCAAACACTGGTGAAGGTGGTGAAGACCCTGAACGGTCATTCACTGACTCGAATGGAGACTCGAAGCGATCTGCTATTAAGCAAGTTGCCTCTGCTCGATTTGGTGTTACATCATACTATTTGTCTGATTCTGATGAATTGCAAATTAAGATGGCTCAAGGTGCTAAGCCTGGTGAAGGTATGTTCACAGATTTCCGCCGTTTTTTTCGCACCTACTCAGATCCAACAAGATTTAATTTCTTTAATCTCAAACTAAATAGGTGGTGAATTGCCTGGTCACAAGGTATCAGAAGGCATTGCCCGTACACGTAAATCAACTCCAGGTGTAGGTCTCATCTCTCCACCTCCTCATCACGATATCTATTCCATCGAAGACTTGAAACAACTCATTTACGACTTGAAATGTGCAAACCCCGTCGCACGAGTATCCGTAAAGCTTGTCTCTGAAGTTGGTGTCGGTATAGTCGCATCAGGTGTCGCCAAGGGTAAAGCCGACCACATCTTGATTTCAGGTCACGATGGAGGAACGGGTGCTTCCCGATGGACTGGTATTAAATATGCTGGTTTGCCATGGGAATTGGGTCTTGCTGAAACCCATCAGACTCTTGTCTTGAATGATTTGAGAGGACGTATTATTTTACAGACTGATGGACAAATCAAGACTGGAAGGGATGTTGCTATTGCTTGTCTTCTTGGTGCTGAAGAGTGGGGTTTCGCTACTGCTCCACTTATTGCGTTGGGATGTACCATGATGAGAAAGGTTGGTATACATCTTCTTGTTTATTGGATTTTTTGCCTTACTTTTGGACACGTTTTCGTTGCTGCAAGTCTTACTAATCTGAACCATTTTTAGTGTCACTTGAACACTTGTCCATTCGGTATTGCCACCCAAGACACTGAACTCCGAAAGAAGTTTGAAGGTACTCCTGAACATGCAGTCAACTTTTTCTACTATGTTGCTGAAGAATTGAGAGGCATCATGGCCAAGCTTGGGTTTGCTACCATTAACGAAATGGTTGGTCGAACTGATCTATTGACTTTGAACGAGGTATGTGGTTCGTAAGTAGCTATTAAAAGACTGTGTCTAAAACGCTTGTTATGCTTCTCGCTATCTAGTCCTTGAAGAACCCCAAGACTCGTAACTTGGACTTGACTCCAGTGTTGACTCCTGGATATGCCTTACGTCCTGGCGCAGCCACCTACAACGTCCACAAACAAGACCATAAACTTGACATCCGTATCGATAACAAGCTTATACGCGATGCTGCTCCAGCTCTCAACAACCGTCAACCCGTCAAACTCTTCACCAAGATTATAAACACTGATCGAACAGTCGGTACCACCTTATCCTATGAAGTATCTAAGCGATTTGGTGAAGAAGGATTGCCAGATGATACCATTCACATTAGCATGACTGGATCAGCAGGTCAATCTCTTGGTGCATTCATGGCTAAAGGTATCACTATAGAATTAGAAGGCGATGCCAACGATTACGCTGGTAAAGGTCTTTCTGGTGGTCGATTACTAGTATACCCACCAAAAGTATCAACCTTCAAATCCGAAGAAAACATCATTGTCGGTAATGTGTGCTTGTATGGAGCAACATCTGGTGAAGCCTTCTTCCGTGGTATTGCAGCTGAACGATTCTGTGTCCGTAACTCTGGTGCTCTCGCCGTAGTTGAAGGTGTAGGTGATCACGGTTGTGAGTACATGACAGCAGGTCGAGTAATAGTTCTCGGTAGTACTGGACGCAACTTTGCTGCTGGTATGTCTGGAGGTATCGCCTACGTCTTGGACTTGAAGAACGAGTTCAAGGCGAAATGTAATACTGAAATGGTCGACTTGGACCCCGTCACTGAATCCGATGACATTGAATACCTAAAGAATGTCATTGCTGCTCATCGAGCATACACAGGTTCCGAAATCGCTGATCGGGTATTAAAGAACTGGTCCACCGTCTTGCCCCGATTCGTCAAAGTCTTCCCACAAGACTATAAAGCAATCTTGGCCACACAACGTAAAGCTGCTGCTGCAGCTGCCGTCGTCAAACCAGTAGAACCTACTCCACCGGCTACTCCACCACATGCTAAGAAGGAGCCTGGTCTTGTTGATCTCGAAGACTCGATTGTAGATGAATCTGCTGTCGTCAAGAGACAGCAAGTGCTTGACAAGGTCCATGGATTTATGTTGTATAAACGCAGCACGGATCCATACCGCAACCCACGTAAACGGGCAAAGGACTGGAAGGAAGTCAACGCTCGTATGGAAGTTGCTGATTTGAAGGTTCAGGCTGCTCGTTGTATGGATTGTGGTGTTCCGTTTTGTCAGAGTGATACTGGGTGTCCAATTGGTATGTAGTTTATTTAGTTGGGAGTGTGGAGAAATATGTGCTGTGGAGAGTGTTTGGTGGAACGGTGGTTCCTTCAGAATATTTCGTCTGAAGTTGGTTTTTGTCTCGATTTTAGGTAACATCATTCCCAAATGGAATGAATTGGTCTTCAAGGATCAATGGCATGAAGCTCTTGACCGTTTATTGATGACCAACAACTTCCCTGAATTCACTGGACGAGTTTGTCCAGCCCCATGTGAAGGTGCTTGTGTCTTGGGTATCACTGAGCCAGCTGTATCCATCAAATCTATAGAATGTGCCATTATCGATCGAGCCTTTGATGAAGGCTGGATGGTACCAACACCACCCACGACCCGCACTGGTAAACGTATTGCCATTGTCGGATCTGGACCAGCTGGTCTCTCTGCAGCTGATCAACTCAACAAGGCCGGACACTCTGTCACAGTGTATGATCGAAATGATCGACACGGTGGTCTCCTAATGTATGGAATCCCAAACATGAAGCTTGATAAACGAGTGGTACAACGCCGTATAGATTTCATGGCTGCTGAAGGAGTTGAATTCGTATCCAATGCCCATGTTGGAAAGAATGTAGATGCTGCACAATTACGTAAAGATAATGATGTAGTGTTGATTTCTACTGGTGCTACCTGGCCTCGTGATTTGCCAATCCCCAACCGTAATTTGGATGGTATCCATTTCGCAATGGAGTTTTTGCAAAAGAATACTAAGTCATTGCTTGATTCCGAGTTACGTGACAATACGTACTTGTCTGCTAAGGACAAGAACGTTATTGTTATTGGTGGTGGGGATACTGGTACTGATTGTATTGGTACTTCGCTTCGTCATGGTAATTTACATCAGAGAAATCCAAGTTATTTGGCAGTATGGTAACTAACTGTTTACTCATTACTGCAACAGGTGCCAAGAGCATTGTGAACTTTGAGTTGCTTCCTCAACCACCAGTAAAACGAGCATCCGACAACCCATGGCCACAGTTCCCTCGAGTATTCAAAGTAGACTATGGTCACTCTGAAGTCGAAGCCATCATGGGTAACGATCCACGAACATATGAAATTCTATCTAAAGAATTCGTATCAAACGGAGCAGGAGCCGTCAAGGGTATCAACACCATCAAAGTGGAATGGACTCGCAACGACAAGGGACAATGGTCAATGAAGGAAGTCGTCGGATCAGAGAAATTCTATCCAGCAGATCTCGTGTTACTATCTATGGGTTTCCTAGGTCCTGAAAACGAAGTCTTGAAACAGCTTGGAGTCAAGCAATTACCCAACTCCAATATCGATACTCCCAAAAACCAATATGCTACTTCCGTGCCAGGAGTGTTTGCTGCTGGTGATTGTAGACGTGGTCAGTCATTGATTGTGTGGGGTATTAATGAGGGACGACAAGCTGCTAGGGAGATTGATTTGTACCTTATGGGAAACACTCGATTGCCAGTGTCTGGAGGGTTCCAACAGAGGTCCCTTGAGAGCTTGGAGGCTTTCCGTGCACCCTTGACTGAAGAGAGTGTAAGTTGACTTGTTGCTCAAACAAAAATAAAAGTCAGTTGCACACGATAAATGCAATGGACTGAACCACTTTCTTTCAATAGGCATACGCAGCAGCAGAAGAAATAGTCACACTCGAAGAAGCTGGATTAAACAGTCGAGGACAACCGCAACCTTCTGGAAACTGATTATGATTGGATATAGATAGATCTCGCACATAAAAACACAAACAAAAACCCCCCAAACAAAATGGACCCTGTATTCCCCACCCTCTTTTGCTCCCAAAAGTATTTTTGTTTCTCTTCTCTCTATTTCCTCGTTTTTTTGCTATTTTTGTGTGTACCAAGTTGGTTGTTATTTTAGAGAGGGGGCGATATAAAAAAAGGTGGATTTTCGCATTCCTTTTGTATTGGAGGTGATTAAAGAAATATAATGACTTGGAAAAAACCTTTCAGTCGTACGGTTTATGTTTCAATGGTCAACTGTTTGAGATTTGTGGTGAATGAGAGCGATGAACTGAGTTTGTATATAAATTGTCGTCCGGTATCTTCAATTGTGTCATCGACCAAACGGAAAACGAGGCAAAACACTGAAGCAAAAAAGATGGACCAAAGCAATAAGATGAATCCAATTACCGACCACCACCAACACTACAGTAACGCATTTAATTTACCCATGAGCAATACCAACCACTTTGAATGCCAAGTACGTAGCAGAGTACATAGACACAATATGACTATGTCGACGGGGCCAATTTGCGATTAGAATCATAAAATCATTACATGTTGTTGTTTTTTGGCGCACCCAATATTAAACTTGCTTCGTTTCCTCCATTGACAGCGATTCCTTCTATACAGGAAATCCTTTTTCGACCAAAAACAAAAAAATGGTGACTTAGTGTATTGAATGATGTCTTCACTCTTCATCAACTTGTTCACTATATGCAAAATATGTATTGTTAAAAATGTTTATTCCAAATGCTGCTATAATTTCAGTGGCGAATCAATTGGTGAATCAAATTCATGTGCAAACTGTCGTCCAACTTCTTCAATCATGTCACCTATACGAATTAAATGTAAGTTTGGACGAAATTATATTCAAATGAATGCCAAGAAAATAGTCAAAGTACACATCACAAAGAGGAACTAAGCCCCATGTTAAACAATTCCACTACCACCGTAGCTATGACCTCTACGAAACCGTTACTTACTAGCCATCATAGCTCTCCCTCGTTTCTTGTATGCTTCCTTCGCACACGCTCTCACTAACAAACAAGCTCCGTAAGCAGCCAGGAGTGGTAAGCTTCGTGATAGAAACGTGTCTCCGTTCAATTCGTTTGAGTGTCTATTCGAGAAGGATGGTAGTGTGAGAATACGTGACTTTGCCGGCGACAAAAAAAGCTCTTCAATATTACAAACCTCCACGCATTTGAAGCATACGCCTTCCCGAATCCTAAGAAGGCTGCGATTGCTCCTGATAGCAAGTCTCCTTGTCCACCACAACGTCTTGGAGCTCCTTCGGCGTCGCATGTCAGGACTTTTTGATTGAGGGAAAACTGTTGGTTTTTTTGGCAGGCAAAAAAGAGGATTGAAGAATAATACTGCTTGACTTGAAATTACCATCAACACCATTCGATATCCTATCCACTTCCCCCTTCTGAACTATCGTCACGTTTCCTAATGCTTGACTCAATTTCATCACTTGCTGGTCTGGTTCCACATTGTTGACTTTCTGGAAACGAGAAACAAGAATCAGGTTTTGAGACAAACGAGAAGGATCTGAGTGGATGTCGACTAAAAAGAGCAGCAAGAAGACAAAAACGGTAGTTCATACCATGACTTCACACAGCCTTGCAAACTCATTAGCATTAGGAGTCAATACAGCATAAGGGTATCCAGAAATGATGCTTGGATCATTTTGTATAAGAAACAGACCATCCTATCAAAGATTAGATTTTGGAAGGTGTAAGTAACAAGAATCAAAACAAAGCAAAGCGCAAAAAACCACTATTGAAACAGCTGCAACAACTTGACAAAGTTGCGAGAGCATCACATTTGCGACGAATGACAAGCTTACAGCATCAATGACGAGTGGCATGTTCAAATCTTTCGCAGCCTTAATGACTCTTGTTGCGCATTGCATCATGGCATCATCTCGTGATAAGCCGGGACCGACTAGCACGACGTGAAGTCTTGGGAAGACAGATGTGACTCGAGATACGATTTTGGATATAATCGTTTCGTAGTCGGATGTTATGTGACTAAGGAGAAAAACAGGGAATACGAATATGTAATTCGTGATGTAGTCGAAGTTTAGCAATTGTGAGAGAACTTACTCGGTTGTAAGTAGATATGGATGCACAATGAGTTCTGGTGAGTATGTCTACAGAGGATGAGGTAGCACACATTGTCAGTATTCTTCCAGTCCAAGGTGCGCCAAAAGCGATAAGAAATGAGATCTTTATGGCAAGATAAGTTCCCTAGCTTACTTTGATGACGGTCCCAGCATTTCTTTCACAAAAGATATGACACAAGTCAGCTCCCTATAGTAACATGGATCAAAATCAGACTCGAAGTGGCTATGTGGCTATGAGCTTCACGTCAAGCACTCGAATCTGGCGATGGACTGACCACTCTTAAAGCCGAGTATCCAGCAAAGTAAGGAGCACCAGTATAACTATGTCAACAAGGGTGTTGAATATAGCGACTTCTCACAGCGTGATTTCGACATCCAATGTTGCAGCTTACTCTTCACTTCCACCAACAACCGCGATTCTTCCTAAAATATATGTGAAGAATGGGATTTAGTAAAATGAAATAGATTCATGTTTGATGGTGTGCCTTCCACTCTCTCTTTCAAACTTTGAACATTTTTCAGACTCAGACAACAAACAACTTGCCAGATTGACCCTTGTAGAGAGGAACCGAAAGTGGCGGTAGGAACTTGCGTATCGCTGCTACCAGACTGGCTCGGGAGTTGGTAAGTTGCAGCGTCATGACCGACTGATTATTGATGGAGGTTGTGAGCGTTTTGTCGCAACGAATGATAGTGAGGCTACCACACAATTATACATATAACCCACCTATAAACGCACAGCGGGATCTACTTTATCATACTAACTCATCACATTCCAAACTAGATCAAGCCTCATATCATCAACTTGCTACTGACAGCTCATATCATCATTGGGATCTCGACAGAATGACCTCTCGTACTGATGACTACTTCCCATCAAAGGATCCGGGATCAACTACCAGAAATCGAATCCCGCTACTGTCTTCCCCTCTAGACAGACCTAGATTTAAACTACCCGACTTGAAAGTCGGAAACAAAATCGGGTTTGTCGGTTCGGTCTCCCTCCTAGTCTCGAGCATCACGGGTCCAGGCCTCGTACTCGTCACAACGCTCTTTCAGCAAGCTGGTCTTGTTTTGTACGTTGGTGCTGTATAGAAATCTTGATCGATATTCATCATGTGTTAGTGTGTTGTTTTTGGAGCCTTAGGACTTACCCATCTTTCACACATTAGACCGACACTCGCCTTCCTGCTAATAGGTTTAATGACCAGTCTCACATCGCTATTCTTAGCCGAAGCTATCGCAAACTTTCCAAGAAACGAGAGACTCGAAAGAGATGTGGAATTATCGACCCTCGTACGCCATTTCTTTGGAAGAAGGTGGGAAGCCGTCATGCAGGTCGTCCTGTATCTATCTATGCAGAGCTTGAATATTGCTTCCATCATCATATCTTCCCAAGTACGTTTGTTCAGGGTGCAAAAAAAAAATAAAGTAAGTACTAAAGTTTAGTATCTTGTACTAATAATCATTCACACGTAGACTCTGGATCAGTTTCTAGTATCATTAGCAGGTCAGACTTGTGGGTTAGCGCTGAGTAGTCCAGGGCCTGGCTGGGTGTGTGTAAATACCGTCAGTCAATCGAATTCTCCCTTTGAGAATACCTATATGCTCTTCACGTCAGGATATCTAATACTGATTGGAATGATTATTCCACTCGCAATGCTGAGGCTGGCTGATAACATTATAGTCCAACTATGTATGTTCGCTGATGCAGTCGTTTTTTGGCCCATTCATACTTTGTTAAATTAAGCCTGACAGCATTTGTCTCCTTAGTATCTATGGTAACCCTCAAGTTCATCGTGCTTACATGGATTGTTTCCTTCTCTATGAAGGGACTGAATCCGTCACTTGTCCCTCTTTTTGGTGACAATTACTCTGGCGTCGCTTCGACACTCGTCGTCAACTTTGCATATCTTACTACACTGCCTTCATGGATTGGTGAAAAGCATAAAGATGTTAGTGTTCCTAAAACGGTATGTGTTTGGAAAGTAGACTAAAACCAGCAACCATTATTCATATCATGTTTTTCGATTCTAGATTTACACTTCTGTCGGGATTTCAACCTTTATATACATTTCATTGGGCATCATTGGAGGAATGTCTGTGAAGATGGAACACAACTCTAATATTCTCAGCACGATTTCTGGTGATCCGACTAGCTCGGTCTTGATGAGAGTCACTACATTCATATTCCCGATTGTTGTGCTAGTTACTAGTATTCCGATTTACTGTATCGTCATACGGTACAATCTACGACAAAGGTGATTGCAGAATAAATCTCCCTTGCACTGGGTTTTTTGGTCTCAGACTAACTTTCAATTCAATCTCTCGCAACAGTGGCCTATTTGGCCCTTGGGGAGCTTTAGGGATGGCGGTCATTGTGCCGTTTGTATTCGTTATTCCATTCCAGACTGGATCGTATTTGAACAGCTTCCTTAATTGGACTAGCTTAATCTTTACTTCGGTCGCAAATTTTTGGGCACCATTGTTAATTTATATTTGCTTACCTTACACCAAGGCCTATATTCAAAGTAAGTCAATACGACAGTGCTTTGGAAGACTTCAGGAGAAAAAAACGACCGTTTGCTTCTATGCTGACAAACAATGCCTAATTTACTCAACTACTCTAGGATCTGACTTTGTTGCATTGCCCTATATGCACAATGTACCTGCATTAGAAGATGAAACTCAACATCAACACCATCATTTTATAAGGAATAGTCCTGCTACAATAGAGCCTCTGCCATCAGACTCACCAGCACTAATACCAGCCATAACACTATCAACACCAACACAGGAGGACTCTACGAAATCTCCGTCCTCATTTTGGCTGTCATCAGCCCTACCGCCACGACTAGTCCTAACGAGAGAAACAGGCGACGAAGTCGACCTGTCCGAAGCCAAACACCTAGACAATGACGGAATGTCATACAAGACATCTAAAATGTCACCACGATCTGGGTTTCTGAGTTTATCATCACGACAATCGGCTTCTGATGGTGATTATATTGATGGAGGAGGAGGTGGGTTGACGCCGCCGCCGCGGCCAAGATCTGGTTCTGTAGGGTCTATACATGCTGGATCGCTGAGAGGTAGTCCGCATGCTGCTACCGTATTAGGAACGTATAGTCCCGTAGAACGCCGTCCATCTATCGAGATGGAGGCATTCGAATTCGAAAAGGGGGTCTTGTCTTACCCGTATTTGTCGATGCCTAGAATATCTCTAGGCCGTCGTAGTAGTTATAACAGTGAAATTATGATCAATGGTAGTGGTGTGCATGGTACAGACGGAACTGGAGAAACGTTTAATGATGGTATGATGATTATGGATGAAGATGAGGACGAAGCAGCAATTCGGCCAGTTGAAGATGAGAGTGTTCCTGAAGTCTTTTCGGCGTTGCCGACTGCTTTTCGAGGCTGGTCGAAGTGGATTTCACGATCGAGTCTGGTTGTTGCTGTTGCGCTAGTCGTTGGGACGATTCTATATGATATAATTGAGACCACGCTTGGGATTGATGTGTTTTAAGAAAGGGAAGAGGAGATGTGTGGTGGATCGGGTGTGATTATCATTATTATTATTTATTATATAGGGACCTTAGGCAGCAAAAAGTAGTTGACTATACCACACACATTTTATTTGTACGTACATAAAAAGAAACACACGTTTATATAGAAATAACCCTCTTCCGCCAATGCAAAACACGTAAAATGCACGTTTCAAGTCGGGTTTGAGTGCGATCTATGCCCTTTTCTTTCCTGCACCGTTTTGGCATATGTGGTGGTTTGTGTTCCAAATCCAAACCAAGCCTTCGCTCTTTAAAAGTCAGAACTGGTGTCGAGTACTGACAATGGAAGGAGCAAACAAGTTTCAACGTAAGGCTACATACTTGAATCGCTATGCAGTTTGCTATCTTATACTACCTACGTTTCTCTCTTAGATTCCTATGGCCGACCATCAATATCACAACATGAACCTGTCCACTATCGTCAACCCAAACGAACGAGTTACCGATGGTGTATTGTCCTTGGAGGTACCTATGACAATCATTTCAACCATCCACAATTCCTTCCCTATCCCCCTTCCGTTGCACTTACTCACACATCACATAGTTCTCGTCCTGCTAATCGCAGCTGGCATCGGTGCCTATTTTGGCATAACACAAGCAATGAAATCCTCATCATCCTCTTCAAACTCAACATCATCTGGCTCTGGCAGCGCTGCATCACCAACACCATTCAGTCCCGTCGCATTCAATGCGTCAACATACAAGCCGACACACACACTAAAGAATTACAATCTCGTGGACGGGAAGGCGTTTTATGGGTTTGGGGTTGCGCTTGCGTGGTACGTGCCTGCACTCCCTATGTAGTAGTTCTCTGTGTTGAAGGTTTTGTTTTGAAGGTGGGCACGAAACCTCGGCACAAACTACTGGAACACGACCACATTCGACCACGTCCTCGACCTGCTATTTGACATCAACAAGGGGCTAGGACTCACCATCGTGCGCTACAATATCGGCGGAACCGTAACAGCCGGGTCGTGCAATTTCGCATATATGAGAGACATGCCTGCCGTGCAGACATCGGCTTCAGCGGCGTTGAATATGGAGCAGGACTATGCGCAAAAGAGGACTTTTTTGGGTGCGATGGCTAGAGGGGTGCAGACTGTGGAAATGTTTTCGAGTTCGCCTCCGCAGTGGTTGACAAAGAATGGGAACACGTGTGGCAACTGGGGAGGTAATGAAAACACACGATTTACATACTTTACGTCATATTCCATCCTCTTAAACTCATGGGTTTTCGATTTGGTTAGGTGGAAGCAATCTGGATTCGTCAAACTACCAAGCATTTGCAAATTACTTGACCCAAGTTGTGGTTTATTACAGAGACAATTACAACATTAACGTGTTTTCCGTCTCGCCGTTCTCGGAGCCGAATGCGTATTGGTGGCAACCCGGGTCTACTGCACAGGAGGTGGGGGGCAAAACACCCTAAAAAGTGTCCTTCATTATGAAATTCTGTAATCTCACAATTCACAACGTCGTTTGGCTGATAGGGATGCCATTTCGAACCATCCGAAGCAGCAGCGTTCGCATCAGTGCTAGCCAGCACCCTTAAAGCAGCTAATCTGAACACATTGGTTGCTGGTACTGATGAGGTTGATTATGCGGTTGGAGCATCAGTGCTGTCGAGTATTGGGTCTAATTCTGGTGGGATATCGAAGGTTGGAGTCCATGGGTACTATGTAAGAGAGATTCTTGAGTTGATGTCAAGTGTATTGCCAATGGTTGACATTTTTTTCATGTTTAGGATCCAGGGGTATGTGTGAGAGGATACTACCGTTCCCATTTAGTCTTTGCTGATAAGCTTTTGCTGTTGATCGGTTGATTTAGGCTTCGGCAAGACAAAACTTCAAGGCTGCTGCGAATGCGATGGGAAAGACGATTATTTGGATGACGGAGCTGGGGACTGCTGGCCAGGATATGTATGTTGTTGGATTTATATTTGTGTTTTTATTCAAGTTTAAGCAAAAGCAGAACAAAAAACCCTATAACCGAAAAGTCTTGTACTGCAGTGTGCATGCACCGACGTATTAACAACCATATTTATTGAACAGGTACGACAATCAAGACTATACTGTGAGAACTCTGGGAGGAATTGGGCTTGCTAGAAACATCATAAGTGATATTGTGTACACAGGAGCTACTGGATGGTTGTATTGGCAGGCTGTTGATGGTGGGACGTGGGGATTGCTTTCATCTGCGAATGGCGATCCAGGAAACTTCTTCTTGGGGTATTATTCAAGACGTTGCTTCGTTTTTTTTTTGTTTTGCAATGTTTTGACATCTCGTGTTGATTATTAGGAAACAATATTATACATTCATGCAGTTCTCGAAATGGCTGAGGCCTGGAATGGATATTATTGGTATGTTTGGACTATTGATATTGGCCGCCTTGACTCTTTGGCCCCAAAAAAACACCCGTACAGTGCTCAAATGAGACTAGACTAACTCAAACCACCACAATTTCCACCAGCACTCGACCAGTCAGACCCACCGTCATTCCTAGTCGCCAGAAACACAGCAGCTCACCAAATGGTCATCGTCCTCAAAAACCAAGACTTTAACCAAAACTCGTATGCTCTCGACATTTCCGCATACGCGCTTGGTATAAACAGCACATCTCGAACATCGAATGTAACGATGGCAGTGTACAGGACGAGTGATTCGGAGAATCATGCTAGTGTGGCATTAGATTCCAACAATTTTGGATATGGAGCTAATTCGGTCGTGCTGATTGCTAATGTGCCGCAGGTTTCTGTTACGACTGTGGTGTTGAGTGGGCTGACTTGGAGCGTGTGAAGTGTTAAGTGACGGAGGAAAGAGTGGATTTAGTTATACCCCTTCCACGAGGATACAAGCAAAAATGCTATACAGATTGTTTTTTGCCTCTGCTTTTGTACATATTGGACGTTGGTCATAGAAAATTAAAGTAGATTTCGATGTATCTATGTGATCAAGTGTTTTGATTTGACGTCTTTAACCGATGGCTTTTTTTGTTGGGCTCCTGAGAGTTTCGCACTCAAATGCTCGAGTTCGCAACTTTTATCTGTTATCAAGCAATCTATATAACGGAAATACAGGGAGCTATAGACTACAGGCTTATACAACATCACCCACCTCTACGTTGATACACGAGCTGCTTTGGTCCTGTTTCTCACCAGTTTCACCAGACAAACCTCCTAAGCAATACGGCCTACTACACTATGCGCCATGGCATTCATTCCCGCGGCAAGAATAGCTCCACGTCATTGTCATCATCCTCAGAATCATGGAACGAAAGTGCCTCCTCTGCATTATCCACACCAGGCCCCCCAAACCAAATCACGGACTGCATGTCTAGATCTGGAGTTGCTTCTTTCATCTCTCGAACAACCGCACAAGTCGTCTCAGAAGGAGGGCATAAATCGTAACAGATTTCACATTTTGGCTCAACAGATTTGCAGCCACGTCCGTAAAGTAGTCTTCTTTCCAGAAGGTTCTTAGACCGTGCCAGTATATGGATATGTGTCGTAGTGAGGGGGTAAGACAGCTGTTAAGATTACAAGTACGACATCTTCGTCGTCTGTCATGATACCTACGGATTTTAGATACTGGCTAGAGGCGATGCGTAGAAGATTTTACTTTGCTGGCTAATTATACCGAGATGGCGGCACGTTGGACATCCAAGCTGCTACAGTGCAGGCGTCATGACGATTCCACCTTGAAAGACGAGTGTTTGCAACTTTGGGCGACTTGTTGCAATGAATCCAAGCAGATGTGTTTGATGTCTGGTCTTGTACGTCGACCATGACCAGATCTGGACTGATATTCAAAAAAAACGACGTAAAATTTCAGACAGAACATCCCGCGTCGACGCCTTCAATAGATTCAACAATATGTGATGGTAGAGTCATCGTCAACCTGCCAAGCACTACTACATAGGACCAAACTACATTATTATTTAATACTCAATTCATTAAGATGTCCTTGGACGCGCCATTGTCGTCTCATGCAAATGAATCTATGGATAATAATGGAACGCCGTTCATTGAGTTTGGTCATTTGTCGAAATATTATGCAACGTAGTCGCTCATACCATAGTACGGAATTAATATAGTTTTGCTAAGCTCTTCGATAGCCTTCCATCCTTTAGCTATCTGTTCGTCTGCAAAGTCATAAGCTAAATGCAAAGCAAGCAGGGTATTAGAGTCATGATGTAGATTCCTCAACGTTCCGTTACACTCTAGAGCTCACGATGCAGTTCAACCATCAGCGTGTCCACCACTGTGTCTGCATGCACCTCTACCATCCTGGGCAACACGAAAAACTCTGCCTTCTCAATGTCCATTTTCACAAGGACGTAATCCTCTGGTTTGAAAGAAGCAGCTAGCCATGAAGCAATGTCAATAGCCGTGACGTTAATAGGGCGGCCTTGCGAGTATAGTGATGTAGCCTTGTTGTGGCATGATGTGAGCTGTGTGAGCTCCACTACCAGTCGTTCTTGGTGGCGATGCTTAGGTGCTTACCCAGTAATCGTTCTGAGTGGTTGAGAAGGTGATATAAGCCGATTACCAGGGCCTGAACGATTTGAGAATGGTGAATGCCCAATCTTACATCCTTGTTTTTCTCATCCAGATACAGTGTCGCGATACCATCATAATCCGTACAAGCATGTTCTGGAAACACCGTCACGTTAAAACCTCTCGACCTGTACAGAGATTCAGCCCGACGCAAGTCTGCCGTGAATCTCGGATTCGCTTCAAACAAGTAAATTTCACATGTCGTGTAATGTGCCCAATACCTGTCAAACATTCGGTAAATTTTTTGAAAATGTGAGACATGACATGAAATTTGCCAGCGAAATGAAACACCACTTACGGTATAGGATAGTCATAACTAAACTTTGCATCCCTTTCTCTCAAAAACACACGTAACGTATCTGCTCTACCCGCTCCCAAATCCACAAAAACGCATCTTTTGGAGCTATCATGCAAGACTCCTCTTCTACTTCTCAAATCCTCCAAAAGTTCCTCGTGCTTCTCCTCTCGTTGCAGATGCAGGTAATGCACATACATCCATATCAGCAAACCAACAGCAAATACCAGCTTGAAAGCATGGATGACATACGATATGGAATAGATTTTCTTTCACCCAGTACTCTTTGCCATGGGAGACCTGAGATAATAGTTGCGCAGCTTGCTTGTGTTCATTCACTTCCCGTGAAGTTTTGTGCAGAGAATTCCTTGTACCGGTCGGTGCTTTTATAGCATGCTCATCAAGACATGTTGTATCAGAGACGAAAATTCGACCTTACAGTCTAGGTTTAAGAACAGCCCCTTGTTTGTACAGCCCACGTCACAGTCCAAACACAAAAACACTACAGTCATGGCTTGAGCCACGATTTTTGAGCACCTTATTACATCATGCACGTTTACGAGCCAACAACGAAGCTGATTCTAGTGTGCACACGTTCCAGTACTTTAATTTGTTGCGTGTTCTCGTGATATGATAGAGATCGACCCTGTAAGCTGCCGAAAAAGGCCCTGGGCAAATCCCAGTGGATTGTTCAGGAGCGACGTATCTCAAACCACAATATTAATTTAGCACACTATTCCAAATGTATTGGAATCTAACAGCTACTTGTTACTACTGCACACGTAACTCATTATAATTTAATATAGAAAACTAATAATCGAAACTAGATCTCGACCCCATTTCTGCATCATCATTTCCATTAGCAGCAGGCGATGTCTCTTCATTCTCCTTTTCCTGGTTTCGAGAGTCAGTATGTTGTTGTTCTTCGTCTTCACGGCCTTCAACTAGCACATCGGTATCAGAGGTAAAAGCACGTTGCGATGAACGCGGTGAGCGATCCAGACTATTGTTTCCGCATCTTTCATTGGAAAGGTTGGTAGTGTTGGTTGGAGCATCGTTTGATGCAGGCTCTTGGTGAAGTTGGCTTCCATGAAGGACTCCATCAGTTGGAAGATCGTTGGCTGCGAATTGTGTTAGGAGGGTTGTTGGATCGGCGTCACTAAGAGTGCGTAGATAATTGCTTAGAGTCTAGATCACTCCACCAAAAAAAGCAGCTGTCAACCCGTATTTATGATGTACTCACCCATTATAGAGAATGGTAGAATGCCTATTACTACTCTTTCGATTTCCAGGATCCACAGTACGTCTCCGTTCAGCCGGTGGAGTATTCTCGTGACTACTAACGTTAATAGCAGGATTCTGAGGCATTTGATGCGCGTCACGAGCCATTTGGTCTATCGACTCAGTAATAGCTTGAGCAGACTCATCATTCAATACAATCGTCCTTTCTCTTCGACTGCGTTTGGTGTTTGTCGTTCTTCGTCTTGCACCTCCATCTTCAGGATTGTCGATTGCATCAGTTGAACCCGTAGTTCCCGTAACGATAGAATTCGTGCCAGCCATACTATCAATCGACTGGCCAACACGTGTTACTCCCATAGCTCGATCGAGTGGTTCAGCTCTGGCGGATGCGGATGGGTGTTTTCGTGAGGGAGTGGCATCAATAGAATCACTTCGTTCACCGAAAATTGAATTGAAATCAGTCATCATGTTGGTGAACACTGGTGCTGGGACACCTAGTGTAGGTGCAAAGACAATTCCAATGTTGCGTGGATTCATCTTGTTTGACGATGCGTTTTCAACCACTTGGACCAAATGTTTTATCAGGGCTCGTAAAAGTTTGCGATTGCCTCGGGGCAGCATTCGGACCAAGTTGTATAGCTCGTTGAGTCTCTCTTCCTTGTCTGCTAGCTCTACAAGTGACAGAAGAATTTCAGCAAAGATGTGCGCAATCAAGTTGAAGTTGCTATACTTACCAATGACCCGTAAGAACTCTGGCTGCAACTCCTTTGTCAAGATGGGTGTCGTCAACTCTCTCAACCAAAGCTTGAGCAATCCCGAAATAGCATGCACATCATGGAATTCACCATTTCCTAACAAGTCCACATCACCCTCCGTATCGAACCGTTCCTTGAGACCCTGTATAACTGCCGAGCTTCCCGACAATCGATAAATGCCCTCTTCAGTCAATCCACCTTTAGCATTCAGATACTCGATGGTTCGGAATACCACAGCAGGTAATTCAGCAGCCTTGTCGACACGATGAGCAGCTTCCAATGCTTCTTCCAGCGAAACATTAAAGCAGGCTTTCGATTTTGCGGATGAAGAGGTATTGGATGCCAACGATTCCTGAGAATTGTTGTGCGATGAACTGGTTCCAAATATCCCGGCTATCGAAGGCCGTCTCTTGAGATTCAAGAATGAGGCTATGAGTTTAGAGCTAGAGCCCAAGGTGCCTTGTTTTCGTTTCGGGCTGTCATCGTCTAGTTTCCTGCCATTAAGACCATCTTCACTATTATTATTCGTTTCAACGGCGTGAAGCTTTGACAAAGTGCCCGTTGACGTGCTCACTCCCAGTTTACGACCGAGACTTCCACGACCAAGACTTGATGAAGCAGCAGGTTTCAACGGCTGTTGCTCAGACCCTGAATTCACGGAATCCATGGATGCTGCTGAAGCCTGTTTAGCAGTTTGTGGCCGTTGTGGTAATGCAGGTGCGCTATTTATTTCTTCGTCTGATTCGCTGGCGGCCATTTCCTCAGCATCAACACCCTTCATTCTGCGGAATCGGGCTTTGGAGAAGGTTGCTGCAGCTTTTTTGCCCAAAGTTTCGCCAGATTTGCGACTTATAGTCTTGGGCCGTTTCAATTCTGAATTCGAGCTACTCTTTTCTGAACTCTTTTCGGTAGCTGATTCGGCAGCTCTTAATAGACTTATCTGTCTTGAAATCAGCGACACCCAGTCGTCTCTTTCTTCGTCACTCTCAGCACAAAGAACCGTTTTGGTGTTGACCCGATCTTCTGAGTTTATAGATCCTATTGATGCACCGTCCTTAAACTCGATCAGGGTGAAGGCATGTCGATAATCGGATTCAGAAGTATTGTTGAGTTTACTTGATGATCCACTCTGTGTGGAAATCGCAGTGCACTTGTCGAGGCGTATTGATACTGCTTTTGGAGAGTCTTTTGATTCAGAGTAGTGGAGGGTATTGTCCATCAAGACAAAGTATCGTGTCTTCCAAGCGCCAAAGTTTTTGCCCTTCTTGAACAAGTAACCAGCCTTGTGCACTGCGGGGCCCTGTAAAGTATTAGAGGATTGAGAAAAATGACTGGTTGATGCTGCTATAAGCAAACGGCTCCTACCATGCTGTCTCGCCTCTTTCGTCTATCTTCAACGTCAGAAGAGAAGAACTCTAACACGCATAAAGCACTAGTGAAACTTGCGATAACTGTCTTTAAATACAACTCGACAGCCATCTAGCAAAAAAGGCAACCTTTCAGCTAATAGATTTCCGAAATGAAATTCCATAATCGTTTTCAAACCTTTCGTTCATCTATCTTTAGTGGCGATAACAGACTTGACGAAATCAATTTTTCATTCAGCTTGCTAAAGTTGGGTGCTCCATCCAAATTTCGTAACTAGTACAATGAATTTGTTTAGCTCTAAAACATGGCCAATTTCCAATTGCGAAAAATGATAGGTGACGCACCGTAATGTCAAAATCAACCAACTCTGCCAAACTCTTTGTTATCCTCCACAGCTCTCCGCCAGGTTTACTACCCGGTTTAGCACTCAATTTAATCACAGATATAACAAACGAGGTATCAGACCCATCCACAGCAGCCGCCAGATTAAATCCTACTACCGCAACTTCAAATCCACCCAACGCTTCTAATACACCAACACGGGCGAAAACATCCATAGAACCCAGCTCTTTGGCTTTCGCATCTCCTGACAATCGTTCAGGTTTTGTTGGTGATTCTGTAAGAACTGGATCTGAAGCCTGTTGTTTGGCGACTAGTGTTATTTGCTCTTCCTGGGAATGGGTTGAAGAGTTTGATGTTTGGCGTTTGTTTTGCTTACGGGTGGATGGTTGCGATGATGGTTGGATTGGCGGTATGGGTTCTCGTTCGATGGTTTTGGGGAAGGTTCGTGATCCAGATGGAGTCATATATGGTTCCTTTTCAGGCACGTCGGGCACATCACTTTCTGAATCTTCTCGTTTTGACCGTCTACGTCCTTGATCTTCAGACGTGGATCTCTTGTGCGGTCGCTTCGCGGATGTTCTGCTCTGCGTGGATTCTCTGCCAATACTATTATATGCAGATTCTCTGGCAGTTGATAGTTGTTCTTCCCGCGAAGAGTCCCGATTATGTCTCGCAACGTCCATCGGCGTTTCGGGGCTGTCAGTGTCAGTAGAGCTAGCAGACTGTGTTCGTACCATCTTGTCTCCTCTACTATCCGACGAAAGCACCCTTCGATGCTGAGACACTTCGGACGTCGACAGTTTCAGACCTTCTGAGCTCTGCGGCCTGTCTTTATGTCTTGGCGACTCTATAGAGCTACGTCGTTTGGATGGTGGTTGTGGTTGCGGTAATAGCGGTGCTATTCGTGAGTTTCGGCTCGTGGCAGGTCGTGAAGGGCCCCTAGATTCTAACTCATCGAGTTCATTACTGCTGCCCCGTAACCTTCCAACACCTGGTGCAGACGTGGGTCGTGATGTTGTACCTAAATCAGACGACGACCTCTTTCTGACATTGCTGGTGGATCCCGTTAACGGTGGCAGCACTACAGGTCTTTCCTGCGACGACGACACAGATGATGCCCTCGTTCGTCGTGTTGAGCCCGGCCGCACTGACAGACTATTTGCAACATTGTCAATCGATGACTTTCGGGCCTGACTGGATGCTATAGGTGGCACTGGCCCACGTTCCGAAGCAGCACGTTGGGATTCCCTTGTATCTGAATTTGATTTACGTTCACGTATTGTCCGTAATGCTCCTACCAAAAAGCAATTGTTATATCCTTTTGTTAAAGTTCACAAAATTACAGAAATTGTTTTCAAAAACAAACCAGAATCCTTCAACTCGAACGAAGATTTCGGCTCTCCCGACTCATTTTGCTGCTGCTGCTGTAATTGTTGAATCATGAGTCTCTGCTTTTCAATGATTTTCCACAGTTGATCGTTCTGAGCTCGAAGTGAATTCCGTTCATTGATGACATTTTGCAGTAATTCGGACATGGAATCCTCTTCTGAATCTGGCGAGATGCCACCACCATACTCAAACTCTGGTGGACGCATTTTTGCCTCGCCTAGTATTTCGTCGCTTCCCGTCAAAAATTGTCGCTCAACAAAAGTGGAAACTGTCAATCAGTGGTTTAAAGTACCCTCATCCTGGCGAGCTGGTCCATGGATGAGTACCACCAATGCTCATAGTTTTCCACATATAATTCACTGGATTTCGATACGGCGACCGGTACACATAATACACTCTAAATTCACTTTAAACTTTTCTAGGTTGTTTACTTTTTTTTTTTAACAGTTTTATTATAACCGCTGGATAACTCCATCAGGAGAAACCGTGGGACAGATTTAAAGTATACGAATTACAGCTATGATGTTGCATTTAAACGTAGTAATACACGTCCTTCGACGTGATAAAGCGCGACTATGTGATGCTTGTTAGGTCGATGGACCACTGCAAAGATCCGTCCGTCAGCCGAAACAGTCCTTGCCAGTGTGCTACAGAGTTGATGATGAGGTGTTTTGCTGATAACATGCGCGTGAAGAGGCGAGATGAAAAAAGGCTCCAGAGTTGTTCAGCTGTGATGTCTTGATTTCGGCAATCTTTAAACATTTGCATAGCCGTGCTGATC